TCAGCCACCATTAGCAGACGGAGAACGGCCTGTGACAGCATTCTGGATTGAGCTTGCGTCCTGCTTTTCCAAAGCTATTGGGCGAGAGTATTCCTGGCTATCGGTAAAACGAAAGATTATGGGCCCAGCCAGTCAACGCCCAAGACATGCCAAGCCAAGCCCGAGGGTGGAACAAGTTGGCGAGAAGATTATGAGTCCCTCAGCCGGGCTCACAGATGTTGCTACAAATCCACTGCCCGACAGAACCATTAAAGACGAATCTTTGACTTCGGAGAAGCAATATCAAACACCATCAACATCCCGGCATTCTGACGGCCCTGATTATACAAATCCCGAAGAATTGTCTCCTGCCTTTGGGGGTCGGGTACGCAGAGTCTTGTTCCCAGAGGCACCGAAGTCGACTTGCAATACCGACAAGACCTCCAATTCCCAGTGCGCCCATCAAACACATCCCCAAATGCGGCTACGAGATCCCGAATTGCCTCCTGAGAATCCCCAAACGTCGGACACGGCAAAAACGCAGACCAGTCATGCCACTCGCCGATTGAGCACTCAGTCAAATCCTGTTTCACATTCGGGCAGCTCGCCAGGGCCAACTGTTCCACTTTCATATTCACGTGGACCCCAGGGTAGTTCTTCGCGAAAACAGGTATCCCGGAAACGCAAAATTCCGGCGGTGGGCTGTGAGTCTCGAAAGAAAATACACACAGAGACCATGGAAGTTCAACGACAACGAGACGCAGAAAGCCCGGAATCGATTGGTGGCCAGTCTTATCCTTCTGACCCTGACGATTTACCTTTGGCGCCGGTTCGCATATCAAGGCCGTCTCATGTCAAGCGCAAAAGACGCTGACATAAAGCGACAACAAACAAGATCCGCAGGCGGACATTCCAACACATTGGGGTTTCTATGAAACTATTTGCACCTAAATTAATTCAACGATCAATAGAACATTAATGTATCCATATACACGTGCCATGAAATGTCAGGGCATAGCAGAGCTTCATTTTGTGTAATAATCAAGCCCACCTGAACTCCCTGGCTTCTATGAGTAGATGTAAGAAGATTTTGTCCTAGTTTCAGTGCCTCCTCAGTTTACCGCTGTCCACTAGATCTGTATGTTGGCAACAGGTAGGCCTTTTTCAACATGTCATCTATATTCACAGTGCAGTATCATCTCGGAGTTCCGTCGCTTTCACGTTACTTCAGCTGTCATAGTATCTCAGGTTATATCTCACACAGTCCTGTGAAGCCTCTTAACACTGGGTGTGGATGGACTATCTATTGTGAATGTCAGGATACTTCGGACGAGAATCTGCGCTGCTTATGAAGATCAGATGGGCAGTCGTCCGAAGTATTTGAACTAGTTGATGCTGCTTTTTGAAGGACGATCCTCAGTCTCTTACAATTCGAATGATTCCATCCTCCCAACAATTCCTCGTTGAAACGTGCATGCAGCATTTCGGACGGGGTATAAAACGCATTTTCTGACGCTTTCTCTCCTTCTCTCCTTCTTTCTCCTCTCACGTCTGTTCTTGAGCCTCATACTCACCTTCTGCCTTCTAGGTCTCTCCAAAACCTTGGGGGCTCTCAATACAGGCGTCTCTCTATCATACTTGAATTTCGACCGTGGCATAAAACGCAGTTTCTGAAACTTCCTCTCTCTCCCTCCTTCTTCTTCCTCCTCCTCCCACATCGATTCTACAAATTCCTTCTCTGCCTCCCAGCTTACCACAACACCTTGAAAGTACTTGAGACAGGCTTTATCTGCTCAAAACTTGCCATCTATCAACCTTCTGCATCTCATTAAACCGCCAAAATGGGAAAGGTCAGATGGGACAGCACAGCTGATCAGATCGTACGTATCTTCCTCGCATTTGTTCGCCCTGTGTTCCGTCTTCTTCGCACTTCATCGTCACTTTGTTGTTTCTGACCGTCAATCCTTCGCGCTTCTTCCTCACTTGCACCTGTTCGCTGTTTCTTTGCGTCTGTCCTTTATTCCCTCGCACTTCATCGTCACTTTGCTGTTCCTGCCAGTCAATTCTTCGCACTTCTGTATCACTTATCTGCCTCTCATGGCCATTTCTTCGCACTCTGTCCTCACTTTCGTCACTCTATCCGTCACTACCTTCTGCTCATCTATCACGCCTTTGCACCTCTTTGTTACTGTGTGATTCAGTGTCTTCCCAAGCTCTGACTTCAGCATCACTCCTCCTCACATGTCCGCCATTCTGCCGCACTTCGACGTCAGTTTGGTGCCTCTGTCAGCCATTCTTGGTGCTGATCTGATCAACCTTCACACTTCTTCGTCACCTTGCTACCTCCATACAGTATTCGTTGACACCCACCGGCTACCTGTTTTGCACCTATCTGTCATTCATCTGCACTGCTTCGTCGCTTCTTTACACCTGTCTGCTTTCTTTTTACGTCTCCCGTCAAACCCAAGGCCGTCTACGCCTGTCCGTCTCTTCATTGCATTTGCCTAGCACCCTTTCCACTTCTTGGCCACTTTCTCACAGCGGCTCGTCAAAATATCTGATTCACATTCTGGCTTTCTACTTGCAGAAATTTCGCACTACTGCACTCATTGTTTCGTGGTGTTTCAACTGACATGGTATCCATCATCAGCTCCTTACCAAGATCCTCGAAACGCATGAGATCAGTGTAGATGCTCAGCGTGTGGCCGAAGTCTGGCGTGAGTGGTCCCATCAAACATGCTGGAAACATATGCTGATATTTTTCTATAGCTGCTGAGGAGAATTCCAAACCAACTGCCCGTGCGATTAAGGAGCGAATTTCAAAGATCAAAGAGCTCAGCAAGAAAGCCACGACTGGTGGCTTGAGTGCCAGCAGCCCGAGCTCCGCGAGAAAGACGCCCCGTAAACAAGCTGCGGCAAAATCATCTCCCTTTGAAACCCCAACCAAGAAGCGCAAGCGTCCCTCCCAGGCTCAACAGGATGCCGAGGCAAAAGTAGCCGCATTCGCCGAAGAAGCGCAGGAGAGCATCGAGGTTGATGGAAGTGACGATGAGGAGGAGAACCCGGTCCATATCAAGCGCGAGAAGACCGAAGAGGAAACTGGCGTTATTATCAAAATCGAGGATCATGATGATCAGGAAGTCAATGTCAAGCCCAAGATGACCGCAGAACAGGAGGAAGCTCTCTTTGCCGATGATCCCGTGGTCGTGTCTTCGCGAAGCACTGCGGATCCCCAGGATAACACCTTCCTCCAGGCTCCTCAGCTCACGCCTGGCTTGGATAACCGATTCGGCCAAGTTGACTCACGCCTCCGTCAAACCTCGAGAAACCCTACTTTGAGTTCGGAATCTGCTGCTAGCAGCCAGACTTACACCTGGCCTGATAGGGAAAAGTCATGGGCCTAAAATCACATGTCCTGAACTATCCCTGAACGGCTCTATGGTTCGCTGTGCACATGGATTTCATTCATATCACGGACATTGCTTGCGAATATGATCAGAAAGATATCAACACATCTCCACTCTTGTTTCTTCAATGTGTGCCGCGGTGTTATGCATCACTCTTTGTGTTGATGGGCGAGTGGCTCAAGTTTGAAGATAGTGAATACATATGCAGACGAAGGAAAATCTTGAAAAGTACAAAAAGGCAGGTTGATCGGGGAGAGATGATCTACCTCTTACATACTGGAATCTACGTTAATGCCGTCTGTCTTCAGCTCCTATCCTCTAGGTAAACATACATGGTGCTACATAGATGTAGTAGTCTATCATTCTCTGCGGGAATATTCGGTGCGAATCATGAAAAGAAAAGAACATGTCTGACTTCAGATAGAAAAAGTAAAAGCTGCAGCCCTTAAAATGTTTGGTTCTCAGCTGATACATATATGCCAGGTTTACTTTCTTCCCTCAGCTTTGTTCCTCTTCCACCTACTTTCTGAGAACCCTGCCAGCATAACCATCAAACTTCATTCGCAAGATGCCTAAGTCCTGGGACCACATCAGAGAGCAAGAGGTATTTGCTCCATTTCGCACAGCCCGGTGACCCAATGATTCATCCTGGCACTACACATCCTTGGAAGCTGTCCACGCCCGTTCACCATGAGCTCGTCACTTCCTGTCCCATTGCTCAGAAGCTGATCATCAAATTCTCACTCTAGCTGCTGCTCGCCATTCATGCCACCAATCCTTCCTTTGATTGGGCCGCCGTCGCCGCCAAGATGGGAGATGGTAACCACAGCCGAGTCACACTTGTAATGCTCCAGCGCACTGATCATTTTATCGACAGGAACTACCGCGAACGCCATCAAAAAGCACCTCTTGTACATGAAGCAGCAGCAGACCAAAGGTGGCTTGAAAGCTGTCGGCGACAAGAAGAGGGCTTCGCCCACCAAGGCTAGCAAACCCGCCGTGAACAAGCGGGCCAAGAAGGTTGAGAAGGTCGAGAAAGTCGAGGATCCCGTGAAAGTCGAGAAGGTCGAGAGAGTCTTGTATCCCGTGGAGGTCGAGAGCCCCGATGAGGACTCTGACACTGACGTAAAATACGAGAGCGAGGATTAATAAAGTGGTCTGGCTGGTTTCGAGACTCGTGTGTTTCCGATTTGCCATTTCGCATACTCGAGAATTCGACACTGGACCTTGTGTCTGCGTTTGCTCTTACGTTATTTGAGATTGCTCTGTGCTACAGGGACTCAAGATGCATGTCCGTTCCCTGGTTTCGAGATGATGCTTCGATGCTCGCGTTTCTACTAGCTGGTGGCCTTTGAGGGCAGCCTGAATATCAATTCAATCGACGGCATTTACAGCCTAATTTCAGTTCTCGTATGCACATGTAGATACTCGCCTTTACATCAAACATCAAGCACAATCAAACAAGCAACATTCTCGACTGGGAATCTATAGACATTCATCAAAGCAACAACCAGACAACACAGACGCTGGAAATTCAGATAATGCACCATGTCGTCAAGCTCGTTCACACTACGATGTACGCATGCGCTTCCAGTTGACATCGCAGGCCCCTATCTAAGACTGCCCGGAAGAAGGGGGCGTGGCAGCCCATGGCCCACTGACAAACTGTGACCCCGCGGGTCTTCCTGGTCCCTCCACAGACTGCGTTTGATAATGGTTGGATGGGAGATAAGACATTTGATGAGCGGGTGCGGGTTCGGAGAATCCAGCTGGCCCGTCGTGCATATGGTGTGGTATGAATTGATTCGGATTGATCTGGGCCAACGGATTGGGCTGATTGCCGCCGTGTTGACCTTGTCCGCCCGCCCAGCCATGTGGGACGTCCGACCCGGAGTGTGTCCGTATCGTGTGTTGTTGCTGGTATTGGCTCTGCGCATGTTGCAGTGGTGAAAATCCATGGAGGGCTGGGTCTTTCGGGGCGTGCTGTGATTGCGAACGTGAGACGGGGTAACTCTGGAATCTGGGGTGATCAACCATCGACTGCGGTGAATGACTGTGGAATTTCTCCGCGGGGGTTTGATAATGTTGGGCATCTTGATACCCAGGAGGGATCATGCCTGAATTGCCGTACTCTCTGGAGGACGGTTCGGTGTGTTGTGGAGACGGGTACGAACCGAAGAATGGCTGTGATAAAGTGGACATGTGAGCTTTATCCCCACCGGATCCCATATGCCCTGGCAGAGCTTCGGATTGCCACTCAGGTTGGGATCCTCTTGCCCCAGCCATTGCTCGGTTCATGTGCTCTTGCTGACTACCGGTCGCTGCCCAAGATGCCGGAGGCTGATGGCCATGTATCGCTGCAGCGCCAGCGGAATACGCCTGGAAGGAGTCGGGATGCATGCCCATACCGTAAGTGCCAGGCTGTCCCTGGAATCCACCTCCGTTGGGACCCCATCCCAACGGTGGGACATTCTGGGACATGGCGTGGGGGTATCCGGGATGGGCCTGATTCGCATAAAACCCAGGCTGGGCGCCGTTTCCTTGCCCATCATCACCCCGAAGCGGACTCTGGGTACCGATTAGAAACTCTCCACAGGCTACCGTTTAAAATATCCCGAGATTGGATCGACTCGAACTCACCGGTCCGTACCCCGCATTTGCTGGTTGGTGATCGTACCCGCCGGACAGGCGTTGGAGAGTCTGATTTGGATACCAACCCGGTACACCACTCCCATGTAATGGGGCTTCCGGCTGCGGATAACCCTGAGGGTCAAGGGAGCTCTATCCCACCATCAGTGCCATTCTTGTAACGCTTCGCAGACATAATGAGCGCGATTCCCTACGGAAATTCTCGCACTGTCCATGGCGGAGTAGTTATCGCCCGCCGTATCGTTCATGGACTCCATCCCACGAGTGCTATTGTGCGCTTGTGGCGCCTGCGACGGTCCTCCTCCGATCGATGGTGTCGTGGATGGTGTTAGGTGGATCGGCTCGGTGGGAATTTCCCATTGTGACTTGCCGGTCGTTCGCTGGACGTAGTACCACTGCCTTCGGACGCCTTCCCATTGCGGGAGCCTGTCGGTGTGAGCTTATCGTCTTTGATGGCCAGGGTCTGGACGTACCAGCCTTCGGGGAGTTGAGGCGGTGGAGAGGACGGGCCTGCAGTGTCGGCAGGGGCCTCGGGCGCCATGGCCTATCGTTGATGTTTAGGTTAAAAGGAAGGAAGAGGCATACAAAGTGATGTGGAAGAAGCAGCTGGAGATGAGGTCCAGGCAAACTCTCGGATAAGAAGATCTTGTGGGGCTTTATCGTGCACAGACCGCATTGGAAGTCCGCTTGTCTCTCCAGGGCTGCTCGGTGTCCTCGATCATTAGTTGTCTCATATTGTATCGCTAATTTGAAATAACCTGCTGCTAAGAGATCGCTCCTGCAAAATAAAAACGCCATACACCTGCTCCATAAGTTGATGGTAGGGGAGTCATGTCTAAGCATGACAAGAACAGCAGAAACATGGGTATGGATACACCGTACACATTTCGAAAATCAAGTTTTAGGATCATGGCCGCATTACCACGCGTGTCCCGGGGCTGGTTCAATGTCATCGCCATTCCAGTCTTCGTCCCCACTGATTTCATCGTCAAGGAAATCATTCTCGTTGTATTGCATCTCGGTGGGTCGTTGGTTGTCGATTCGGATATTGACAATATCGCACATTCCTTGAATTTCCTCGGCATCCAAGGTTGAGTCCTTTCCTAATGAGTCGGTTGTGGTCTCGCTCACTTCGGTGGAGCTTTGTTGCGCCAAGCGGGTGCTCTGGCGCTTAGCTGAGTTTGACGGTCCGCGATCGGCAGATCGTGATTCATTCGCCTGGCCTTCATCTGCAACCCCTGGCGTTGAGATCAGATTTTTCGGATTCAACTGGCGCTTGCGAAGGGAGCGCAAGTTGGGATCTGGTGGCGGGCTGTGACGCAGGAAGACCCGTTCAAATCGACTGATCCACCTTTCACGGAAAGTAGCACGGTCTCGCCATCCGATTTTCAAGATTGCGCTGATTGCCAGTTTTCGCAGATCACAGAGATGGGGCGCAGCATTGACCAACGAAGTAAAGAAGACCTCTGCCGTGGCGTCATCCCATTTGCGCAGTTGGGTCAGCTCAATCTCTTGGAGGCTAGTTGGCCATGTGGGTATCTGTGTTTTCACAAGGAGGGCATCAAAGTGTGGCTCAACATCGTGGTAACTGGACCCGTCGTGCATGGAGACATCCATTCTGAAAATCTTGAGGCTGGGGCATGACTGGGCCAGACCTTGGATAAAGTACATGCTGAGATGTCGATTGTGGCTGAGGTTAAGTTCTTGAAGATTCGTACCGTGTGAGCCCAAGAAAGCTGTGAGCTCTTCCGACCACATTCGATCGCAGTTTCGCAACGTGAGAGAGCGAATAGTCTGCGGGAGGTGAGTCAAGACTTCGCGATTGACCAGTGAACTTTCAAGGAATTCAAGTCGCTGGATGTTGGGCAGAGCATTGAGGGCAGCCGCCAGGAAAGCCCCTTTGTCAGAAGACTCTTCGTGTTGATTATCATTGAGATGAAGCAGTTTGAGCTCTTTCAAGCTACGAAAAGCCGGTTCCATATGGCAAGCGAGCATGAGTTCGAGAAGCTTGTCAACTTCTAAAAAGCGGCTGTTCCAGTCCCAACTCCGGAGAATGATACCATTGTCTTTGATGGCGGAAAACACCGAGTCTGGGTATGTCCACCTCGAAGGTGTTATGTGCCATGGAGGGATCCCGACAGTATAGTCGTCTTTGTGATAAAGTCGAACGGTGTGCACTTGTGGGGTCTTTTCGATCAATTTGGCGAGGTCGAAATATCCGAGAGTAGGTCCACTCTTGTAAACTAGCAGTGGTTCCACTTCAAGGTGTAGGTTTTTGATTTTGCTGCAGTAATTCATGGACAGTGAGTTCAGTGGTAGGGACAACAGATTGAAGAGCGCATGGGTCTTGTGGGCTGGCAGAAGAGGTGGGCATTGGAACAAAGCCGCAAGCGCGGGCTCATGAAAGTTTCGACAGAGTAAAGCCATGCCCAGGAGCCATTTGACAGAATCGTTGCGATCTGACCGACCTTCGTCGAGCAGTGGGTAGGACGCGCGCAAGAAGATGTCGAGGAGGATGTGATATGGGAGGTTTTGCCAGGGTGGGATGACACCAGATCCCAGTACAATTCCAAAGCCTTCATCGACTTTGGCACGCTTGTGGAAGGCTTTTCCCACCTGACTGCTGCTTTTCGATGGACGTTTCGTCTGCTTTGGTTTTGGGGTCACGGTGCGCCGCGGACGAGGCTGTCGAGGAGGGCGAGGGGTAGGCACAGATTCGGAAAGAATGGTCTGTTCTTCTAATTCTGTGGGTGCCGGTGGTTCGGGCTCCTGGTCCTCCGCAGGCTCATCAAAGCTGGCATCGGTGGACGCCTCGCGATATGATCTTGGCATTCGGGTCGCGCTGCGCGAACGGAGGGATAACGATGCGCGCTCGGATCTTGGAGCACCGTCTGATTCTTCCGACGAAGTCTCTTCATGGTAAGTCTTCACTTTGGTGCGGCTGGACCGCATGGGACGAGTGGATCTCGATCGTGAACTCGAGGACGCCATGACGGATAAAGTCGCGCTAGGATAAGAGAGTGGGTAGCAGGAAAGCGGGCCACATCACCCACTTAACGGGTGGCGCACAACAAGACGAACAGCCGTCACACGTTCCTGATTCGGATACGACCAACCCACAGATGTCGTCGTTTGAATTAGCCCAGGCAGTCCGGATGCACCCGGTTCTTTGACGGATGAGGTCGAGGACGCCAAGACTGACCCTTATCGATAAGGTGATAATGGGATGGTCTCCACGTGACCGTTCCAGGCAGAAACCCCCGCCCTCAGGCGGAAACGCTAGTCCGGATTTGGCAGCACTAGATGGCCCCAAAATAGATTCTCAGCTTGAGCTTTTAAAGATGGGCGCTTCCAGCCACCTCGAGGGGAAACCTCCTGGAATCGTGCACAGTCGATCGATGCTCAGCATCTTATCTCCATGCTTCTTCTTTGCTAAATGACCAGGGCTGAACATACATACTGCTTACTCTACGATGACAGCCCATGCGATCCAGGATAATCAAAAGTACCTGTGAAAACTGGTCTGGCTTTGCTTTGCAAATGAGCGAACCTCGGAGCTTTGGATTCTGATACCTCCCATGGAAATCTCCTTTCCTCTCATGATGGACTCTGATCGATCGAATCGTGGTGAGGTCGGCGGACCGCAGATGGTCATCCAACAATATGCGCGATACCCCCCGACCATGGAATCAACACTACAGAGTGCTTCCTCTTTGGGAAGTACCAGGAGTCAATTGGACATTAACAAGTCTCCTCCTTTGCAACGGAGAGAGACGCCAAGAAGTCTCCAAGCTTCTCCCAGAGGGATGCGTTCCGTTATGTCGCCGCCACTATTTGATGCCCACCGTCAACAACCGTTAAAGGAAACGGCCGATCATGCAGATTCACGTACTCTTCCTCCTCGAGATATTACTGAAGATACTATTGATGACGCTTATGTGGCTTTCATTCTTTATTGCAATCCCAATGTTCCATCTTCAGTGGATACAGCAGAGCTGCGGAAAACGTTTCGCTGTCTGCCGCGAAGTGACGGTAAAAGTTTCAATATATTCACTTTATATGGGCTCATAAGAAGACGGCTACTGAACGAGGAGTTGAAGACCTGGATTCAACTAGCAATCGAGCTTGGAGTTGAACCGCCTTGCATAGAGAAAAAGCAAAGTACCCAAAAGGTTCAACAGTACACTGTCAGGCTCAAGGTATGTTTTTCAACTCTAGCATATCATCATGGATGACTATCTCTGACTCGTCTCAGCGTTGGATGCGTGCCATGCATATTGATGCGTTCTTCGAGTATTGCTTTGGCCTTCCCCATCAGTACTACACGCAACTTCCACCATCTGGTCCGTTTGTTGGTGAGCCCCGTGATGGTGTAGCGTTGGAAGAGGATCTAGCCCTCAGGGCGCTTGTCCCACAATGGAAGCCAAAGCGCGGACGGAAAAGAGTTGAAGACAGAGATGAAGACGATAAGACAACGAAGCGGCCTCAGCTGGACACATCAGTGGGGGCCCTCCACCAGGGTAGCTTTCAATCCCATTCAGTGACATTCCCACAAAGTGCTATTCCATTCAGTGCGTTTCCCGACGACATGGAAGCACACGACCCTTGGATGACAGCGACCTCATCATTTCCCAACAGCAATGGCCAGGATCACGGACAAGATTTACGTTGGCGATTGCCAGAGCGAGATGCTTCTCCGGCTAATTATCCCCAATCTGCCATCATTCCCCGAAGCCACATTCCGTCGGATGTCCTCATGTCTGCTGAACCGCGGTCTGCGGTGACTCCTTCGACGGGAGAAAAGGCCCGCGCCAGGAGGCGACATGGCCCTGCGGTCTCCTCTGCTTGGCCAAATAGCAATGGACTCTCCGCTGGAAAAGGCCGCGGGAGACCGCCCAATAAAGGGTCATCAACGGGGTCCTTCTCGACATTCCAGCTAAATCCAAGCCGGGAATCATCACAGGCGCCCAACACCGACCCCCAGTCTACTCCACTTGCACTTGACACAAATCCAACGCAAACCTTTCAACCTCCGTCCTACAATCAAGCCCCAACCCCTGTTGCCCAGGGAAGACCCAACAAGCTGCAACTACAGGTTCCTCAACACTCTGGGGCCCCGGTCAGACTCGCCACACCTCCCAGGTTACTCGTCAATGGTGTCAATGGTGCGGTCATCCCCGGTGCCGAAGGCATCAACGGCAACCGTCATCACAGTATCACCGACACCGAAAATACAGCGAACATGCCCCCCAAATCTCAAGAAAGCGCATCTAATCCTCCAAATCCTTCCGTCGACGATATTGTCCGCGCACTCTCTAGAGAGCTTCTGCAAGCTAGACTAGTAGGACACCCAAGCACCATGCAATCCGATGAGGCCGCTGCCCTAGCCTCGGCCATTGTGATCAACATATCCTCCATATACTCACAGTTCCAACTTGGCACCCCCTCTCTACTTCTGGCCTTTCACCTTGGAATCGGTCACCATTTTGGCTTCTCAGGCACTCAGCCGGGATCACTGGTCATAAAAGTGGAACGTGTCACAAACCCAGATGGGAGCCGAGCCTCTCTCTCCAACGGACACCTCGCTGGCTCACAATATACAATCTCTCACGAGTATAAAACCTCGAATCGATTCTCGATGCAAATCACACTTGCAAATGTCAACCCTGGTATAGCAGGAGCGGGAACTGCAGCTCATTTGAGTGTAGCCGATGCCCCAAATCATGCTAACAGCAACGCCCATGCTGTGGACTCTGGACTCGACAATGACGAGTTCGAGGAGCCTGCCACCGAGGCGACATGGAAGCAACGTTACAGTCGACTTCGGGCTCAGATGCAGAAAAGGGATCAGTCCTTGTCGCAGTACAAGCGGAAGATTGTAGAATCTGTTATGGCTGATATATGATCTAACCCCATTTTTTGGTTTCTGTACTAAGAATTCTGTTCTGTTTTCATTGCGCCAACCGCAGCTTGCAAGACTGCTTGACTTTTTCTTTGATAGGATACCCCTCTGATACATCACCGTCCAATATTGGGACACACATCTTTTCCAGGCATGTTTGTTTGTATCTCATATAGCCTTGCCGATCAGGTCCTTGATTTCTTTGCGTGCTTTTCCTCTCTTTCTAGATATGCTTTATTCATCTAAGTTTTGGGATATATCCGTGTCCTCCCAGCTGAAATTGGCGATTTTTCTTTCCACCTCGAGAGGTTTGTGCATTGTCAATGGATTTATGGATTGTACCGTTTGCTTTTGATCATAAGGTGTATTCCCAAGGTCATTCTACGCAAGTGTATTGTTTAAATATCTTGGAATAAACCTACTACAAAGGACTTCCGGATCCATGTCCAGGTCCACGGTGGATATAAAAGATGTTACCAACTTGAGAGCCTAGAGACTGCCATACTTTTTATCTCCGTGGTCATGAATGTCCACCTGGGCAGGTCTAGGTATCCCTGAGGTTGTGCCGACTGCCCAGGTAAATACTTACGTTTACAGCTGGGTATGTACATGGGTGCCGGGGCCCCAGAGAGGTCAGATAGACACGTGGTTGCCCGGATTTTCTAAAATTTACGTCTGCGCTGCTCTCAGCTGCACTTCATGATGATTCCAGAGTCGTACTAGGCCACTAGATCAATCTGTTTCGGGCTGTTTCCAGAGCCTGGAGGAACAAGCATTTCAGAATACAAGGCATGCCTGAGTAACCTAATTGCTACCTACCTACATAGGTAGGGCAACATCATGGATCCACGATGTACAAATACATACAATCAAGCAGGGTATCAAAAATCAAGACAAGAAAGGGACTCAATGTGCAAATAACCATAAATGACATACATAAATAGCACGCCAATATCGCAGATGAAGTGTGCGGTTCAAGAATGTTGCTATTTCGTAGATACAATGGAATCATGGACAATCAAGCATTCCAAAGTTATCGGGAACCCTAAAAGTGTCATTGGTAAGGAGCCGGATATTCAAGCTTATCCTGACCGTCCCGAGTACCCTGCGAAACAGGCCTGGCACGGCCAAGTGACGCTCCTTGTGGCTGTACAGGTGTCCGTGGTGTAGAGGTACCGGAAATAGGCAGAGACGGCTGGCTCGGGTTTGACGTGCGTGGTCTGTAATCCGCAGAGAGACGGGACCATATATTGTCGAGATCAGATTGTTTCACCTTAAAGCCTTGGAAGAAGGATTCGTATCCACCGCGGGTAACACTAATGTGGCCCCATGACATCCAGCGCTCAGACTCTGGGGTCATCCCCGTGGATGTCACAGCAAAGAAGTACTTGAAGCGTTGCATATTGAGGAGTGCCCAACCTGCAAAGAACTCGATGAGATTATCGGCATCACTTATAGCTCTTTCTTTGCTCTTTGGTTCATTGGACCCTGTGCGATCATAGCTGTGGACCGGGTGGGACATGACGGTGTTTGAGAGCTCGGGGTCGAGACTGGACTCTCTGAAAATTTCATGGCGAAGATCGGAAACATTCAGCTTCCATATCAGGGTTTGGACAAGCCCAAGCCTATAATTTTGATTCAGTCAATGAGTAAGGGGGGCTGCGTGAGAGAGGATGACTTACAGTGCATGGTCCTTCAAAAAGCGATCGTCGTCCAATCTCCTCTCTATCCACTCCATCACGCCCGGATGGAGCATGATATGATGGGCGACTGAGTGTGCCTTCAATTTTTCCTTGTTGCGAATCCACTGAAGCAGGATGGCGGTGCCTTTCAGGTCCCCAAGCATGTCCTCGGTCAGAAGTATCACGACATCCTTGAGCAAGATACGAGTGCAATGATCATCGGGCAAACAATATCGGTCATCCATCGTTTGGAGCGGGTTTTTAACACGAATCACCCAGAAGTTGAACCCAGCGCTACGGAGTGCGCGGCTCAGAGGAGGCTGCATGCTCTCGTATCTGCTGAACGATTCATGGAACTATGTTGTCTGAGTTAGCTGTTGTTTCTTCGAGGAACCCAGAGAGACATACTATAACCACGCCCATCTTGCTGTTTTCGCAGAATTTAGACCAGCCATCTGGGTCAAGATTCGTGAGGACAGTCATCCCATGAATAATTAAGTATGGCTTCAGGAGGTTGAGATCCATCTGCGCTTCGTCGTCATCGGAGGGGAAGTGCAAATAGAAGTAGTTCGCCTTCGAAAATTTCACACCATCTTCGATCGTGGCCAATTCTTCGGCCTTTATTTTGCGTTCAGCCATAAAACTCTCAAGTTGTGATTTTGCCTCCAGCTCTACATCAGCTGATGCAGGCGGTTGAAGTTGCATTCCGGGGCTGGCCGGGGTGGCAGGATCAGCAACTCGAGTTGACACTGGTAGAAAGGATACTGAAGATGAGACAGAGGATTGTCTGGACCTAGAAGTATGTTTGGGCCCCAACACATGATTAGGTCGAAGTTGAGTATGCACTGCAACAAGTAAAGGAATTTCCACGTCGAGTGGCAGACTTGCCTTGGACTTGGCTGGGAACTGGAAGGTTGGAGACCCATGAGACCACCCCACCAGTGCATAATTTGGCCCATTTGCTTGATTGTTGGGATAGTAGATTGCAATCTTGTCTTCATTTCGCAGATGTTCCGCCATGTGGAATAGGTCGGAGTTGTTGTCCGCAAATCCTTCAAGCCATCCAGTGCAGACGATGTTATCAGCCTAGGGTTGATTAGCTTCGCGGACCAGAAAGGAGATGATCACTGGAACTGACATTAGGGTCACGTAGCTTATTGAACTCCTCCAAGGTACACACATCTTTGAACCAGGCGTCAAACCTGGCAACCCCCACTTGTTTTCCACCAAAAAGCAGATCTTTCTTCACCTTGGGGGATAGACCGCAGAGTCTGAGAGGGCCAATTTCTTTCTTTTCGGGTCCATGATGCACATGTAAAAGAATCTCATTTCGGCTATTGTCCCACCAGTATTTCCCCATTTTGTACACAGGCCCCTCGGGTTCACGAACAGGCATTCGCGCTACAAGAGCAGCAGTGCGAGCCTCCACTAGATCCGCCGGGTATTCAGGCTTCAATGACGTTGTAGCTCTAAACGATACGGGGACAACAACTTGTTTATTTGCACGTGACTCGCTTCTGACGTTGGCAGACACTGAACGGTCTGGTGAACAATGCATACCAGGTCTGTAGCTATCAATCTCTCCAGTTCGATGGGGCTGGGTTGGCACATGGGGAGATCGGGATCTGCGACGCAGAGGCGAGCGACGAGGCGACTGAGATCTGTGACGCTGGAGCGAGTGATGGGGGGGAGACGACCGTCTCGAGGGAGGTGTCCGCCTTCTTGGTGGAGAAGGCCATTGTCTTGGTGGAGAATGCCATCGTCTGGGTGGAGACCATCTCCTGGGAGGAGACCATTGTCTTGGAGAGTGTCGCTTTCTTGGTGGAGAAGGCGACCGTCTTGGTGGGGGAGCCCACTGCGAGCAGTGTTGATCCAATGGAGACGAGTGTCGCCGTCGACTGCGAGACCGATTAGGCGATCCTGGGCGCTCATGATGTGAAGACTGTTGGGCGATGGGGGGTCTTTGCGCAGGCTCTGACGAACCGGGAAACTCGCCAGGCGGCGCAGGGGACACAAGGGAGAAAGGGCCGAATTGCCGAGCGCTATTGGGGCTATCTAGGGGGGTTCCATTTGTCGCAAGATCATCGGCCGCGTTCAACGGAGGTTTGAGAGCACTAAGATCTGAACTTAGAGGCTCAGTGCTCGGCAGAACAATTGTCTGTGGGGATCTGCGAAGAACGACCTCCCTAGAGCGTGTTGGGCTATGTGGGCTAGGCGGGCTGTGATGCTTGTCATTGTTTGATTCGGATTGAGCGTTAGCTGGCAGTGAAGTCGAATTGACGGCAGAAGGACTCGGAAGGCGTGGTTCTGGCACAGGCATGATGGGCGCGGGAGTTGGCGTTGAAACACTTTGTTCTGCTAACTGTTGATTTGGCATGTTGGCTGTTTTACCTGGAAAAGGCTCTGATAGACCATCCGGATCAGTTTGGGGCTTATTGGTACTATTCTGAGCTTCACCGGATGTAAGGCTCGCTGGTAGCAGCATGGCAGGGGTGTTATCACCCATCATTGTCCTCGCTGCGTAATCAGAAGGTTTCCTAACATCAATGGCAGATGTAAGAGGTGCTTCCTTTCCGCTCTGCTTGCCCTGAAGACTGCTTCGAAAAACACCAAACCCAGGCAATGCTGGTGTCCTGATAGGCGCGCTCTTCTTTGGTAGTGTTGCCTTATTCGTTTTTGACGCTGCCGACTTTGCTTTCAGTGGATGCTTGGGCTCAGCTGGCGGCAGATCTTGTGTGGTTTTGTGACCGAGGGAGCTATCTGTTGCAACTCGGGCAAGTGTAGGCCCTGATATGCGTGGATATGGCCGCACATTGACCGCAGTCCATCCGCTGCTGGGTCTTGGCTGTTGGAATGATGGGGCGGGAGCTGGTGCGGGAGCTGGAGCAGGAGCCGAGGCAGAGACCGGTGCAGGAGCCCGTGCAGATGTTAGCGCAAGAGCTGACGCAGGGGCCTTTGCGGGAGCTGGAGTAGAAGCCGAGACAGGAGCTGGTACAGGAGCCCGAGTAGGAGCCCGGGCAGATACTGGCGCAGGAGCTGGCGTAGAATCCTGAGTAGGAGCCCGAGCAGGGGTCCTCGCAGAAGCTGGCGCAAGATCCTGGATTGGGGCCTGTGCGGAAGCTGGAGCTGGAGCCGAGACGAATATCGGTGCAGGAGCCCGGGCAGATGTTGGCGTAGGAGCTGGTGTAGAATCCTGAGTAGGAGCCTTGGCTGGAGCCCGGGCAGATGCTGCAGGAGCTGGCGCAAGAGCCTGGACTGGGGCCTGTGCAGGAGCTGGAGCTGGAGCCGGGACAGATGCCGGTGCAGGGGCCCGGGCAGATGTTGGCGCAGTAGCTGGGGTAGAATCCTGAGTAGGAGCCCGGGCAGGAGCTGGTGCAGGAGCTGGTGCAGGAGCCTGGACTGGGGCCTGTGGGGGAGCCGAAGCTGGAGCCGAGACAGATACCGGTGCAGGAACCGGGGCAGATGTTGGCGTAGGAGCTGGCGTAGAAGCCTGAGTAGGAGCCTTGGCTGGAGCCCGGGCAGATGCTGCAGGAGCTCGCGCAAGAGCCTGGACTGGGGCCTGTGCAGGAGCTGGAGCTGGAGCCGGGACAGATGCCGGTGTTGGGGCCTGAGGAGGAGCCTGAGGAGCTTGGACTGGAACAGGTGCGGGCGCTGGAGCAGGAGCCGGGGCAGCGCCAGGGCCCTTCGGCGGAGGCGTAGCGATAGGAACAAACATTTCAGAGGAGACTGAGTCGATAGATAGACGTCGCTGGTTGATCTGGGGCACAGACGAACTTGCTTGCTGCTCGATATCTGGTTGGGCTTCCTGTTGTGCTTTGAGGACCCGCAAATTCCTTCTCCTTTCTTTTCGCGCTTGAGTCTGCTTTTCAACAGCTCTGCAATGTTTTTCCCATTGCTTAATATCGAATGGCTGTCTATTGCCTGCCTTTATCTGCCGCTTTTTGGCTTTCCAGTTGCGTAGAGTCTCGCCTGAGTTGAATGATGCTGCTGGCTCCCAGCTATGCCTATGGGCTTCATAGCCAGTCCAGCTCACCAGGTACTGAGCTATGACTCTACCATTGTCGCCGATGGAATTCCGTTCTGCGAGAATGTCTTCCACTTCGAATTCTTGGTCTTCATCACTTTCTACCGTAGACGTCAACGATATGTTATCACTCATATCATTCTCCTGGGAGAGATTGTCTGCTGCACGTTTTGACGGCATTATGGTGGTGTGGTGGTGTGGTATGCGACACAACCAGTGGGTGTTATATGCCACAGTGCTCTACTCCGTGAGCAATGTCAAGATCATCGGAAGACATGCACATGCATAGCCCAGGTCATGCATGCCATCGGTCCCCAGTTGAGTCAAGCACTGTACGGAGTATGATACTTGGTGTTGGGAATAGTCGAGAATGACGCAAACAAAGAAATATAAACCTTGGAAGTGATCGATTACTGCCAAAACGGGAAAGATGCCGCCCTGCGTTTTGGTCACGTGATCACAGCACTAGACCACAAAGGGCTCGGCACGATTAAGGAGACATTCGACCCGCGAGGCATCACTGATTGACCCCTGCTGATTTTCTCTGGTGTGTGTACAACCTACTCTATTTCTGCCTACCGAGTGCTGACATCGTTGACCCTTGTGCTCTTCAGTCCTCCCAGTTTGCACACATCCGCCACGTTTACCCGCACTTCATTACCCTTCGAGCTTGACGTGCTCGATCACATCCCAAGATGGCCAACGACGAATATGACGTGAGTTGATTATGGATCCTGAATGCTCATCTGTCTCAGACTGGTATGCTGACAATAATATCACTACAGTTCCTCTTCAAAGGTAATGTCGCCACCTTGAGCTGATGCCCGCCCTCGCCTCAACCCTCCTCCCCCTTGTATCCAGAGCCTCGAGACTGACTGCGGTGGTATTATGGGATAAACAGTGGTGCTTATTGGAGACTCTGGAGTCGGAAAGTCCAACCTTTTGAGTCGTTTCACCCGCAATGAATTCAACTTGGACTCCAAGTCAACCATCGGTGTGGAGTTCGCGACCCGATCCATTCAAGTCGACTCGAAAACGATCAAGGCACAGATTTGGGATACTGCTGGTCAGGAGCGCTACCGTGCGATCACCTCTGCCTACTACCGCGGCGCCGTCGGTGCCCTCCTTGTTTACGATATCAGCAAGCACCAGACCTATGAGAATGTAACACGGTGGTTGAAGGAGCTGCGGGATCATGCCGACTCGAACATCGTTATCATGCTTGTCGGTAACAAGAGCGATTTGCGTCATCTGCGTGCGGTCCCCACAGACGAGGCCAAGCAGTTTGCCAGTACGTTTCCCCGATATACACCTTGACTGTTGCGTCTGGCGCTAACCTCCAGCAGGCGAGAACAACCTTTCCTTCATTGAGACATCCGCCCTTGACGCCAGCAATGTTGAGTTGGCCTTCCAGAACATCCTCACAGGTTAGTGGCTCTTGGTTCGGGAATGTGCATACCAAAAGCTAATGGTACCAGAAATCTACCGCATCGTGTCCAGCAAGGCTATCGACAACGGGGACGGTGGTCAGCAGGTTCTTACTCGTGAGCCTGTGATCAACCCCAGCAAGAACGACAGTGAGCAGAAGCCGGGCTGCTGCTAATTTACCCCTCGCGAGGACGATGCCCCGACCGCCACGACTCTTCTTTTGCGATGTGATATTGAGATGGCTTTGATCTGTGTTGGAGTCTGGATTTCGACAGCTTACAAAGATGATACACAGGCGGGATCTGTGAAAGAGACTACCCAAGACTGAGGACCAGTGGGAGCTGATATCACCAGCTGTCAACCCCCTTTCTCCCGTCTGTCCTCTCGTTCTTCAAGTGGTCTCAACGAAATTGATCCCTATTTTTTTTCCGTTTCCCCAATTGTGTTTGATATGTTGTTACGGAATGGACACACTTGTTGGTGCAATGAATTTTGGCGTACAGTATTCTGTTGGCGCTGCCTATCAACCTTTGCCGTTCAGTACACCTTGTAAAATGTACAATCAGACCACGCAAAGAGGGCCAGGTTTGCCGTGTCAATGGAGACAGGGATCCACTGTGCTCCACAGGGCAATTTATTTCTCCGGCCTAGCCTTTTAGGGCCTTAGATTATTAATTAGCGTATACACAGTCTCCAGATATCCCTTCAAATGGCAGATCGTCATTTGTAGCCATCTCGCCAAAGGGGCTCGCATAATTTTTATTTCCAAGGTTACCGATCAAGGGTTGGAATAACAAGGATTTCCTGTGTTGCATGCCCAGGTGCACAGAAAGGGTTACCCAATTAGAAAGATCTTGGTGCAGGAACATTCAGACGTCTCAATATACTACTCTAGCACCCTAGGTTATCTCCTTTGATAATGAGGTTGAGTACTCTATAGTACTGTGTAATGTGTAATGAAAGAGATGCCTTAGTTATCCAGAAAAGCTGTCAAAATATCTAATTATGCACAATGCCCATTTCACAATCATTGACGGCAGATCGTACTTCACCAACATCCAGACCCCGTTCATTCATGACAAACTCCAGCGTATCGGCAAAGGTCTCACCGTTGTCACGAAACCATTCCCCGAGCGACCATACATACCCCTCCACTTGTTCTTTGAGCAATGCATGATCCCGCAGCCACAAAATTTGGCCCGGATCAAGCTTCAGCATGTCCTGCAGAACATAATAGTTTGGAATCTCGTCACCCCATCCCTCAGAACCTGGGTCATGGGACAGGTCATTGCGGAAGCGAGACCGGTATTTTGCCGAAGACCCGGTGAAATGACCGGGGTGCGCAGTGTGGAAATGATCCTGAATGGAGGTGCCTCGGCCCTTGTCGAACGAGGAATAATCATAAGATGATAGTGAAGGTAGTGGTGGAGGGTAGTTGAGGTGGATGTTGAACGAAAGCTGCTGGTTGCTGTGCGGGAAGCGCTTGCGGAACTTGCGCTGAATGGTTCCGTTACTCGGGCAGATGTGATTTTGAACGATATCTTTCATCACGATACGCAGATCTTCGATTTCGGCTAATTCTTCAGTGGACCAGTTGTGAAGGAGCTGAGCGCGCTCCAGTACCACATGACGAAGGCTGCGCGAGTGCCGGTCGTAGGCACAGGAATGGAAGGCATGATGGTAAAGCCATAATCGATACACTGCACGGCGAAGCCGCAATCGCTCATCGCTGGTGAGGGAACGCCGATTCTCGTAGTCGGACTTCCACTTTTTGAAAGGGAATATAGTCTCCCATTTCTTCGCCACCATTCCCAGCTTAACTACTTGCTTAAGCATAAAAGAGGACATATCCGTATGACGGATCTGATGGGCTGGCTGGCTGTCATTCTGTGTCACCACTTGTACTATGTCGTCAAGTGGACCGAATTCGTTCTCCGCGGCATCGACGAGGATTTGAAGCTTACTTGTCGAGTCAAGAACGCGATGAAGTCGACGGCAGCTGGCAGAGAGGTTCAAGACGTCGGATATTGAGTCACAGGCGTGAAACACGTGGAGCAGGAGCTCAGTTGCAAGATGGTCAATTCTCATGGTGGAGCTATGTTAATGAAGTATAAAACTGGATTGCCTTGAAGCTCTATGTATTAGCACAATCCTGGCTCATAAAACATTAAGAGGACATTCACCTCGTGAGATTTCGGGTGTCTGGCTGACAATCTTGTAGGGCAATAGGACAGAATTCTCGAGATTGTTGCTGATTCAACCAGTTGAACAGCGTTATCACCAAATCAGGCAATCAACACTGGTCGCGCGGAGGGTGGGTCTATTGACGAAGGACCCCGCCGTTGGGGCTGACAAGAGCGGACAATAGAAGAGGAACAGACTGATCAATGGAGGCGCGTTCTTGGAGCCATGGGCTCTCCACTACGGGTTGAGATGATTCCATGATGGATCTGAGAAGCGATGGAATGTGTCGCAATCACAGCCAGGGAGAGGGCTCGAGGGGGCCGGGGGGTCCACGCCCGGGCGGGTTTATATGGCGCTTAGCTAATGAGCTTTCAGTTCCAAGGTTTCACCAGTTGGCGCCTTCGCGAGGGCTCAAGTACACCCCCTTGCAGTGGACATGGTGAAATTTAGGATCAGTGACATGAAACTGGAGAGATCGAAATAATCAACTTTTAAAATAAACCAGAATGAGACATTGCCCCGACGCCTTAACGGACCATGATGAGAGCGTCGCATCAAATATACACACATAGTCGAAACATCATCCCGAGGGATATCAAGTCTAGAGACAAATAACATGAAACAAAAACGTAAACCCCCTATGCAAATAGCTTCCTTGTGTCCAATGCATCAACCTTCCGAACAGAGTTGTCTGACAGTCCCAAGTTGGAGCGCTTGGCGACCCGGTCGGTCTGAACATCCCGACGCTGGGAGTAACGGCCAGCCTTGCCCTGGCGAATCTCGCTACGGACTTGGTTGGGGCTGACATATTCCTTATTCTCGTAAATGACGGGACCGCCGAAGCTGCCCTCAAGGATCACAATGGGGGTCAGGACGAAACGGGGACCGATCTCGACCAGAGAAACCTCAGGCAGGCCATCCTTGCCCTTTGGTGTGGGCTTGACAGCCTCCTCGCCCTCCTTCTTCTTGCCACCAGCCTCGGACTCGCGGATCTCGTAGACACGGATCCAGATCTTGCCATCCACTCCGAAGATACCGATGATGCGGTCGACGAATGGCTTCATGCCGCGGACGCCGCGCTTGGGAACGCAGAACACTCCGCGAAGCATCTCTCGGACGAGCGCACGGTATTCACTGCCGGGCTTGCCCATGTCCGGGCCTTGCTCATCAAAGGAACGGTCGAAAACAACCAGGCCGCGACCACCCTTCAGGCAATTTCCTGCGAATCCAGCGCCGAGCTCGCCCATGGTGTGCAAGTTGTTGAGGTGGAACTTAATGGTGGGACCGTTAGGAGGGCGCGAGAGCCAAAGGTAGAGATCCTGTCCGTTCTTCTTGGCCTCGAGGAAGAAGATAACATTGCATGAGTGCAGGTCGGCAAGAGAGTTGAGGAGGAGGTTGTAGCCAGCGGCCTTCTTTTTCGTATCGAGCTTGGTCTCTTTGTGCGCGTGGGGAAGGAGACCACAGATATCGGACATCAAGTGACGGTGGCTATGGAAAACACAAATCGTTAAAACCCAAGAACATGCAGTGTTGCGAGGCGCATTGTACATACCGGTAAGAGGCACCTCTGGAAGTCAGAATGAGGACTCTGGTCTTGGGCATGAACCCAGAAGCAAGCTGCTTCTTAACGGCCTCGACGCCTTCGTCGTCGGACTCTTCCTCCTCGCTATCAGTGGTGTCGTTCTCGCCATCGAGGTACTCCTCCATCTGAATGTCCTCGTCGGACGAATCCTCGGCCTGCTGGGCAGCCTTCTTGGAGACACTCTTGTAAACTGACGCCATTGTAACGGGTGATGTTGTTAAAATGGTATTAAAATAAATCGTGCAAAAGAAGCTCGAGACCGAAAAGTTAGTGGCAGAATAATTTTTGTTTCACACCGCCGGATCGCACGTGATGTGGGCTCCGCAGAAATTCCGAGATCTGCTGGTAGTCACCGCCAACAGGCCAATGCATACTAGTAGTACCTACGGAGTAGGTAGGTCCACGATGATTCCTCCTCCATAAATCGTCCCAACCAATATAATCCAGCCTAGTATGAATCAGTCTGTAACGCCCTGTGCAGATCTGAGAATCCCACTTGTGCTACCTTCAGGCTAGCCAAGTAATTCGCAAACTTCAGTCTCTTGAGAAAGTCCCAGTCCTTACTCTGATATATGAGACCGTATAACAGACCAGCTATGAACGTATCACCTGCGCCGATAGTACTATGATTCTCAGCCCGTGCATTCGAGTATTGGGGTTGGGGAAATCTTAGCTCACTCTACAACCTGCTCAACGGTGTGTGCCGAGACATGAGCAAAATCCCCGGTCGTTGGCTCGAGTGCTGCGGCACCGTCATCACCCCAAGTACAACACAGTAATGATCTAGAAAATCTTAAGTTAAACGGTGTTTGAGGTGCTCTCTTGGCAGGAAAGCTTACGCCTGACGGGTTTTTGGCATTTGCTTCCTCAGGCAGTCTTCGGCTGTTGTATACCCCTGGTTCTGCTTGAATATCAGACATTTCCGTACAAGCTCGAGTATTTTGCGCATTGCTCCCTTACCTGTGCCCAGCCTTTGGAGTAGATGACAACGTCGGCCACCTCAGCAAGTTGTTGCAGGCCGGGCCGACCCGGTTTTTCAATCTCAACGCTGACGGACGCTTCTGGGAATCGGTGTCTGATATAACGAATGCACTCGATTGTAACTTCTGGCACACGACCCTTGTTCAAAGTCAGTGTATCCTTCGTGTGTCGTACCATCTGTGGAACCCACAATATTCGGGTTGAACATACCTCGAAGTGGAACCACGGAACTTCAGCCGCTGTATGAAAAGGCTCAATTGCAGATTCAAATTCATCACACCTCATTTCAGGCAGCTCATTATAGTTGACAATCGTTCGACTGCCGGAGGCCTGACTCATGATGATATAGCTGGATGCTGGTTCGCTGAATCGCTCTCGGTAAATGCAGTTCTTGATCTCAACCATATCTCCGAGTCCTTCCTGTATCCTATTTGATGATACCGATGATGCCGATGAAAGGACAGAGATCAAACTCAACGTTGACCCCTCTCTCCGGGGGCCATGTTGCAATAATTGTCCCAGCACTTCAAGGCTGTTTGGACAGTTTCCACCTCTGCGGCGACAGAGGCTGGAGGAACGTAGCTTTTCATCCTCGTCGGGATAGTAAGGAACTCTGGTCGAACTCTGTCAGATCCTGAATTTTCGTGCAAGTGGGGTGAGCTCACGTCAAGATTGTGTCGATATAGCATGCACCTATTGCTACTAAAGTCATGATGATACGGTCACAGAAAGCTTCCAAAACTTCTCATCATTTTCAGGTAGAAAATAGATGTTTCAACCAATCTGTGATATGGGACGAGTTCAATCTTGTGCTTTGCGTTCCATCTCTCGGGCCCACGCTCGGCAAGGACCTCGGGACCCGGGGCCGCGGGGGTGACTAAGTCGGTTTCTAGCGGGCCCACGGAGCGGCCCTAGCCTGAGCTCGGGTAGGCTACCCTAATTCTGGTCCCTAGGATATTATGGAGTTGGTGTCTTTGTCTTCCAAGGTTGTCTTGCCAATTCGTGCATGCATTAGAATTAACTTGGTAGAGCTTCCGCACGGAAAAATTGTTAAGAACATCTATGTATGTCAAGAGCATACTTACTCAAGATGACTTGCTCAACCATAACGTATCACATCCACTACACAAGCCTCTCAACGCCCATGCATGCTTTACTTTGACTTTGGGGGCCCGGGGTATAAGGGGGATACTCTGGTCTTGGAAAATGTTAAGATAAAGCCAGGAGGAATATTCCCCCCTTTTTTCTCACTCTAGAAAGTAAATCTGAAATCTCCTTGAGGATGCTGGATTGCACCATAAAGGAACAAACGGCCTCTGTATCACATACATACTTCTTGCTGAGGCAAACTGACTTGGTAGGCATCCGCTCCTAGAAAGTTACTTCATGAATATTCTATTGTTTCTCTCATCATAGGGCACAAAGAGACTGCTTGTTCCAATGACCAGTACTGTTCCACTGACCAGTACACAATATGCTTGCATTCTCTGGTGATCTGTCAATTTCCGATTCTTTATATAGCAGGCTGAAAGTGTTCATCTTTCCCATATCACACTGTGGATTTTGCTTCACTGAGTTTCAAATTCCACATCATGTCCCAGCGACAAAAGGTACTAGATACAGAGAGCACCACTGCGAAGTTTTTATATGCAATAATCAAGCAGACAGACTTGAAATCGGTCAGTTCTCTCCCAACGGCATTGGCCCGTGATCTCTCGTGGTTTTCCTAACTCCTGACTCCAGATCGATTGGAACCGAGTTGCATCCGATCTTCAGGTATCCAATGGCCATGCTGCCCGCATGCGATATTCACGATTCCGACAGCAAATGGAGGGCACCCTCGCCCCCAGGGCAAAACGAAAGCCCAAAAAGGCCAAAGTTGTGGACCCTCCTACAAATCTGCAAACTGACTTATCCACAAATCCGTCTCTGATGGTACCCCCAGTGCCTGCGGTGAATTCAACTTTCCCCGGCAATCCCTTCATAAAGCCTGAGCCCGGCACGCAAAGCAACTCAGCCCCAGGTCATATGCTGTATGGCTCCCAGTCGATGCAGGGAAACACCATGCCCGGGCAACAATGCTTTCCCCTAGACTATTGCTCAATGCAGTTTCAGCAAGCGGTCACCATGCAACCCGGGGCTTCGTCGTCCAGCGATACAGTCCCGTCATCTTCTATGAATACCTACCCAATTGAAGCCATGCAGACCAACTACCCGTACTTGCCACCAGGTATGCCATCGGGCTTTGGGGTGCAGGATCTTGGAATGCAAATGCCTTTCCCGGATCAACCCTCTGGCATGACCTGGGGGCAACAAGCTCCCTCGGCCCTTGGAGACCAGTTCATCAAGCCTGAGGAGGTACAACAGGGCGCCTCGATGATGGAATGGGAGCCTATGTCTCCTTTCCTATCAGATGCTATCGTCAAGTCTGAGGACCAGCAACAAGTGAACTCGGTCGGGTGGGAGTCCAGGTCCTTTGTTCAACAAGATGCCCCTGTGACAATGTCTGACAACCGGGGCCAAATCCACACAACTTTCCAGTGTGAGCCCCCGACCTCTCTTCAAGATTCTACGGCCTTCAAGCCTGATGAGCAGCAACATGGAAATCTGGCTGCGGTCTGGGGTAATGCACTGCCAGCTTCGCCCGTGCCAGCTTCGCCCGATGTTCCAGTTTCATGCGGCACGGAGAAGCCACCCAAAGAAGAGAAAATCAGTTGGGTCTCGATGCCTCCTCCGCCATGTTTTGCAAACCCACCAAGCCAGACTCAGGCACAGGGTAGGGTGAATGATAATTCGGGGTTGGTCTCTCTTCCCCCACAGGAATACTCGCCTGCAGAAGTCGAGGTAGAGAATCCGAGCACAGCACTTGTTCTCTGGCGGCCACCAGCTCTGTCTCAGCAGCTTTTGCCAGAAGATCATGACAACGAGCTGCAGTCGATCCGACTATAATCTGGCCATCGTTTCCTCTTGCCAACAACGCCATCGACGCACAGGTCATCGACATCGATTCGAATGAACCAAATGGGAGTGCCGAAAATGTGAAACGCCAGGATATTGTTGTCGAGCTTGAGTGAGCTTCCAAGGTTGAACTGCAGAAATCAGGTACCTAGGCAGTGGAACTTGTTTGTTTTCTTTCGTGTTTTTCTCTTTCCTTGTTTCTGGGGTCCAAAGGATATGGTTTTCTGGTTTGCATCCTTGTATGAATTTCAGTATTCCGTAGGTATCAATCAGGATTCAGGAACACATACTCCGTACTGTTGTTTTATCGATTTGCACCGTTTCCGCTCTAATCATTCGCTGCGATGTTTACCTAGGTACATGATCTCAATATGAATTTATCTTAGCTAACATTCATGGAGATAAAATTGTTTAACCAAATGGACACTCGTAAATATATTTCCGACGCCTCCGGTCAACGATGCCCACTGTAGAATCGGCTGGATGGCGCCCCGTAAAATCTTAGACGCTACCTAGTATACGACGGAAACCCTCTCACGACCTCGGGAGGATTGAACTTAATTCTGAACAATCCAACGAGCTTACCGGGAGAAAAAATCGCAGGTCTAAAAAAAAAAAAAAAACAAAAAGAAACCTCCCATGCGGGGATTCGAACCCCGGTCTGCACGGTACAAGAGGATGAAATCCTAATGAAAACGAGCGATGATAACCCCTACACCACATGGGACTTGAGTGAACGGTGAGACCATCTTTGCATACATGTCCTTACGAATCAATATTGATAGATGTCGGACGTTAACGAGGACACCATTTTACCGAACTCTAGTACGGTGCGCTCACCTGGCAGAATGTTGAACAGATTCCAAGGTTCTCCTTGGGAGAATTAAAGCATCGCTTATTGAAAGACTAACTACCGCCAATGCATACAACATAAAACCCACTAACCGTCACTGCGAACTGAAAAGCTAGGTACTATGTGCGGTTAACCAACAGCCTTAGACTTGCACTCTTGAAGATTCGAGGGACTAGAGCCTCCGTCTTCAGACTGAATCTTCTTCTTTTCCTGCTCCTTTCTTGTCTTTTCTTCCCACACGCTTTCCTCGGCGGAGATCATCGCATGGAACCGACCGCCCTGGCCACGGGCTAAATACACTGGCTTCTCCTTTCGCTCTGCGACAGCTTCGGTCACGAGAACGAACTTCACACTCGAGCCCGGCGCTTCGAACATGGCATCACTAAGTATCGTTTCCATCTCTGTGCGCAGGGCTCTTGCACCGGTGCCCATGGTGAAGGCGTTTCCGGCGACTTTATGTAGTGCCGGGGTCGTGAAGCGTAGCTCGATGCCCGAAAGGGAAAAGAGAGTCGTGTATTGGGCGAGTAAAGAGTTGCGCGGCTCTGTCAAGATGCGCATGAGCAGAGGCTGAGAAAGGGTAGAAAGGGCTGCCGTGACGGGGATTCGGCCAATCAATTCTGGGATGAAGCCGTAGCTTTGGAGGTCGGAGGGGGTTATGAGGTCGAGGGCGTTGAAGTAGGTTGGCTCGGCGCCAGAACCAGCTGGCGACGCGGAGGTGAAGAAAGGCAGGTGCTTCTTGTACAGAGCTTCTTCTTCGGATCCGGGGAGGATTGGAAGGGGTTGACTTGGAGAAACATTGGCGGAACCAGGGAAATCGTTTGTGTTTGAGGGTGTGCGGACGGGTTGACCAAATCCTATAGATCCACGGGATATCCGGTCCATGATCGCTTTGTGGAGTCCGACGAAGGCTCCGGAGAAGACGAAGAGGATGTTGTCTGTTCGCACATTGTATATCTCGCCTTTGGCGGCGGGGTTCGGGTTATTTGGTTGGAATGGTCCGTTGCCCAATGGGCTGTTGGATGGAAAGCTGTTTGGAGGGCTGGTTGCCCGTGGATTCTTCTCCGGCTTTGCTTGAACCTGCACGGTCGTGCCTTCTATGATCTTGAGAAGGGCCTGTTGAACTCCTTCTCCTCCGACATCCTTCCCATGGCTGACCTTGGCTGCTGCAAGCTTGTCAACCTCATCAAGAACGATGATTCCGCGCTCCGCCTGTTCCACATTATAGTCTGCAGCTGCCAAAAGTCGGTGAACACACTGTTCTGCGTCCTCTCCAATGTATCCAGCCTGTGTAAACACGGTGCAGTCGGAAATACTGAAGGGCACAGAAAGGACTCTGGCAAGTGTCTTTGCCATCAATGTCTTTCCTACACCAGACGGACCCAATAGCAAAACGTTGGATTTCTCGAGTTGTAGCGGTGATGAATCGGTGAGCTCCGGTTGCTCCAAAGGAATCGAGCCTTGGCGAGACTTGGCTGATTGAGTAGTTGTAGTACTTTTTGGAGAAGGTGGGAAATCATCTGTCGTATATAGTGTGTTAGAATATGACCGACGTCATCGGAGAACGGATGGGCAACATTACCGTCTAAGGGATGGCTCTCCAGCGCTTCTCTCCTCTGACGTTTAACCGTAGCTTCTGCCTGCTCTTCTTCACGCCGCACAGCCTCCTGTACTCGTTGATAATGGTTGTATACAGCGACACTGAGTATCTTCTTTGCGCGGTCTTGCCCCACAACAAACTGATCGAGGTACTGCTTCAGCACCTTGGGTGTGATGCGCGGGGCTCCAAAGGCCGGCGTCGAGCCCAGGGGGCCATTAGTCGGAGCACCGGGCTCATAGCTACCGGAAAATGGTTGGCTTGTGAACTCGGACCGGTTGAATTGTGACAGTGTTGGGTATCTAGATGCGCTGGACAACGGACGTGACCAGAGTCGCCGAGGAGCACGAGCCGTGCAACGGGCTACGGCTGGAAGCCGACGCTGAACAGGCCGTAGAAACATACCGAGACCGCGAGGATGAACAAGAAGTAAAGGAGTGCCCATCAGATGTGTTGGTAGCTTCTAAGGGTTCCCCGCAGGTGATCTTATCTGATGAGGTAATCGCTCCGAGCGCCGACATTCCGACATCATGAGCTCCCTCCGGTGAGTCCTTCACCGCATCACGCCTACGGAGTACATCGTATGGAGTATGGCCATTGCAGATCGCAGCTAATCTCTCTTCCTAATGCATGATTGCAGATCATAGGCCCATTTTTGGTAGCAGATTTTGCGCAATTGGGCAGATTTCTGGGAAACCATTGGGATACTCCATACTAGTACATCTTCGTAAAATGTGTATGGATGAGATATTTTACCCAAATATGGGAGACTATTGTATTAGGTGCATGAAATTTGTCCCACGTTGTGCTTGGAGTGCGAGTGGGATACGCACCGAAAGAAATATTTAATATTAAAGCTGTCATGCAAGGGGGCAAGAGAGCCCTTTTCGTCTCCAATAAACACCGTCAGCCCCAACCCCTGCCATACATCGCGTTATGGTGAGCTTGTCCTTGTTATCGCTCATTGCAGGGCTTGCCATTGCGGCTCCCGAGGCACAGCATTGTCGATGCCGACCGCATGAAGAGTGCTGGCCTTCCCATCAAGAATGGTCGAATCTGAATGACACAATCCATGGGAATTTGGTAGCAGTCCGGCCGGTCGCTTCGGTCTGCCATGGATCCGAATTTGACGAATCGGCATGCAAGGCTGTCACGGACCAGTGGCACGATTCTCGCTGGCGAGCTGCGCAGCCAGGTGCCGTGCAGTGGGAGAATTGGGAATCCTGGGCCGAACATGATCAAACCTGTTACATTGAATCGAAAAATGATACGAAATGCGGACAGGGAAGGGTTTCATTGTACTCGGCGAAAGTACAGACGGCGGAAGATATCCAGAAGGCCGTGAACTTCGCCCGGACGAATAACCTGCGACTGGCCATTCGGAACTCCGGTCACGACTATATCGGTCGCTCGACAGCCCCGGAATCACTGCAGATTTTCACCAATGGCATGAAGGATATCACCTTTGTGGACGATTTTATGCCCGCTGGTGCACCCAAGGGTAAAAACGAAGGACACGCAGTCACCATTGCGGCAGGTGTGAATTTGGCCGAACTATACCAGGCTGCTGGCGAGAAAAAAAGAACTGTTCAGGGCGGAGCTTCCCATACCGTTGGTGCTGCTGGAGGATATATCCAAGCTGGAGGCCATTCGCCCTTTGGCACTCGAGGGGGAATGGCATCTGATAATGCTCTTGAATTTCAAGTCGTGACGGCCAGTGTGAGTGAATGAAAATGCCAAAAAATGGTCGAGGAACGGTCGTGGATTCCCAGCTAACGAAAGCCAAGGGAACCCTTGTTATTGCAAACGAATACCAGAATATCGACCTATTCTGGGCCTTGAGAGGCGGCGGCGGAGGGACATTTGGTGTTGTGGTCAACGTGACTGTTCGGACACTCCCAGAGGTCCCAGTGGTAGTATCCAGCCTGAATATCACGACGTCTCTCGGAGATGACCAATTCTGGGATGCAGTGAGCGAGTACCATGGAGCACTGCCAGAACTCAACGACGCCGGCGGATCCGGCTTTTACTTCGGATATCCAATCTGGCCGGCCAATGCAACAACAGAAGTCTCCGCGATGACTTCATTCCTACTTTTTGCGGGATACACGAATACAAGTGCCGTAGATAAGCTTTATGCGCCGCTGCGGTCGAAACTTCACAAGCTCACTGGCGTCACGGTTCAATACGACACATTTGCTTTGCCGTCTGTGAACTCGACCCTCCAGCGCAAGTGGGGAGGGGAAGGAGGCGACTCCACCGGTGGAGTTGCAGCGATTATCTCGCGTCTGTATTCGAAGGACCTGTTGAAATCAAAGAATGGACCTGATCGATTGGTGAAGGCGTGGAGAAGGCTCAGATATGATTCTGGGGATTCATTCCGCGGTCACGCCGTGGGAGGAGGCGCCGTTACGACCAACGCTAAGAAGATTGACAGCGCTGTCAATCCGGCCTGGAGAAAAGCTCTCACTCATCTGGTGATCTCGAGAGCGTGGAAGACCAATGCAACGGTCGAAAGTCAGCATGCCATGATCAAGAATGCTACTGATGTCGAAATCCCTTTGATTCGTTCCGTAGAGGGCGAAGACCAGATGGGCGCCTATGGCAACGAGGCACACCCATACGAGCCAGGTTTCCAGCAATCATTTTGGGGACATAACTACCCTCGTCTGTACCAGATCAAGCAGAAATGGGACCCCGAGGGACTCTTCATTGCTCGGATAGGCGTGGGCAGTGAGGACTGGGATGATGCGGGGTTGTGTTTGAAGAAATGAGCTGGTTGGTGGGAAAACCTTGTTGTGTATAGATGGCGGTCTGTTTATAACCCTACGGTCGACCGCTTTGTAAGTTGAATGATCATACAACTTTCGAAGTCTTCTATTTCGACATTGCTGGGTATTTGATTATGGGCTGAGATTCACTATGTGATTTTGTGGCCTGATCCGGTCAAGGCCTTCCCTGGTCATACTTCGAGGACGACATTCGGGATGTAATGGGCTGTGGTTTCTTTCATCAAAACCTTTTGGGTGCGATGCCCTCGTGCTCCAGTGATGCAGATGACACTTCTTCGGATGCTACCGAATCCAATTCGCAAGTCATTCCTGCTGATCAACGTTGGTACATAACCAAAGCATGATACAGGCGTGCGCGAATTTCGCTGAAATTTGGTCTGAGCCGCAGTCGTGCTCATTTATTTTCCTTGAACACAGGTTGCTGCTCCATCGTCTGTGAGATGAAGTTACGTAGGGCAGACCACCGACTAGCCGTTGGATTTGACTGAGTTGTCTCGCCGGTGGCGGGAGCTGCAGTAGGCTTTGTGATGTTGGACATCTCGGTCAAATTTTTGTTGAAGCGGTCCCGTTCCAGTTTCTCCAGCCTCTCACGACGTTTCAGAGCGCCCGGCTTGTGTCGCAGGGTCTTCTGCTTGATGACGTTCGCTTGACTAACTGCATCGTTTTCTTCTGCGGCCTCGGGCAGGGCATCGGCGAGGGATTCGAGGTTTGCGACCAGTTTTTTAGAGGCCCGTCGACGCTTTGGCGTTTTCTGAGAATTCTTCTCAATTTTGGAGACCAGTGCGGCACGCTTGATCGTCCGCTTGTCCTTTTTGCTCGTGCGGAAGTCGTCACCGAACATGCTCGGCGTGGCCGCGCCTTTCGCGGGGGCAGTCTTTCCCATTTTTCGTATGGGCGCCTGTCAAAGAACGATAATTAACCGGCTGCAGGTGGAACAAGATAAGTAATCTTGCGTCTTACCATATTAAGCATGTGAGATCTACAGCGGAGAACAATCGGAACACGAATTTGCGACGGGAAAAGCGAAAAGCCCCGGTGCCTCAAAACACTCACCGCCTTCACCGCCTACGCACCCACTATCCCCACTGTGCGAAGCCCGATCTCAACGTTGTTTGGTGAATGCCCTACGAGCTAGACTCGACTAGCTCATCGCAACCACCAAGCCCTCTCAGAAGGACACTGTGACGTTATCGTGCTTCTTCCCACCTTGACTAATTGGTGCTGCGTGATTTTATCCCGAGAGACGCTGTCGATCCACAAGTGACATCAGAAGCCGACAATCCGGCTGCTGCTACTATTGGGTCCCCAGCACGAGACCTTTTATGGACAAACCTCTCACATTGCGTCGGGTCTGCTTTCCTCGTCTCTGCAAAGCTCCCCTACCTCGGCCACGGTTCTATCACCCGCATTTGATTCTCTTACCCCGATCGCCCCCGTCCACTTTTACTTTTAAATCCCTCTTCCCCAGATCTGGTTTCCGCAGATCATTTTCTTCACACACAATGGGTTTCCAACAAAAGCACAAGATCACTGTCGTCGGCTCTGGTAACTGGTAAGCTATGCGTCCTCAATTGGGAATCATTGACACCAACAATCTTTGTCTCAGGGGCTGCGCCATCGCTAAGATTGTTGCCGAAAATGCGGCAGCCAACCCCGAGCTCTTCGAGGAGAAGGTAGAGATGTGGGTGTACGAGGAGAACGTCGAGATCCCGCAAACATCCAAGAACTACAACGCCTCAGATGCCGGTCCCCAGAAGTTGACCGAGGTGATTAACAGCGTTCACGAGAACGTCAAATACCTGCCAGGAATTCAATTGCCCGTCAACCTTCACGCCAACCCCTCTCTGGAGGACGCTGTCAAGGACAGCACTCTGCTTGTCTTCAACCTGCCTCACCAGTTCATCATCAAGACCTGCGAGCAAATCAAGGGCAAGATCCTTCCTTACGCCCGCGGTATTTCCTGCATCAAGGGTGTTGATGTCAACGCCTCTGGCATTCACCTCTTCTCCGAGACCATTGGCCGAATCCTCGGCATTTACTGTGGTGCTCTTTCCGGTGCCAACATCGCCAACGAGGTTGCCCTCGAGAAGTGGTCCGAGACCAGTGTGGCTTACGACCCCCCTCACCTGGACTCCAAGGCGCCCACTCCCCAGATTACCCCCTCTCCCTCCCAGAGCAACTTGGTCGAGTTCCAACACAAGGATACCTCCGGTCAACTCTCCGAGGTCAAGCTCCAGGCTCTGCCCCCCAACTACCCTCCCGTTGACCACGCTGTGTTGAAGTCCCTCTTCCACCGCCCGTACTTCCACGTGCGCGTTGTCAACGACGTTGCTGGTGTCTCCATCAGCGGTGCCCTCAAGAACGTTGTCGCCCTGGCCGCTGGCTGGGTCGTCGGCATGGGCTGGGGTGACAACGCCAAGGCTGCTATCATGCGTGTTGGCCTCATGGAGATGGTGAAGTTCGGAGACACCTTCTTCAGTGCTACCATCGACAACCGCACTTTCACCGATGAGAGTGCCGGTGTGGCCGACCTGATCACTTCCTCCAGCGGTGGCCGCAACTTCCGCTGTGCCATGCACAGCGTTGAGCGCAACCTCCCCATTGAGGAGATTGAGAAGCAGGAGCTCAATGGCCAGAAGTTGCAAGGTACCCTCACCGCATACGAGGTCAACAGCTTCTTGAAGAACCAGGGCATGGAGGACGAATTCCCCTTGTTCACAGCTGTCTACCGTAAGTTTCTTGCCGTCATTTTACCATTTCATTTCTAACGGTCTCCAGGTGTCTTGGAGGGAACTATGAAGGTTGAGGATATTCCTCAGCACATTGAGCGGTAAAATCCCTGCAACCTTTCCTTCGCTGTTTGTGTTGCTTATCAGAGACCCTGCGTTTCCTTCACAGCCCTCCTTCGCGTACTTCGACCTCTCAAAATTCTGGTGGCAATGACAGTGCTCGGTTCGGTGGTGCACGACTATGATTTCAACCTGGATATTGTATAGATTTCTCATGACCTGTATTTATGAATTGCATGAATCGACTTTATAGACCTGACCGTGATCGGTATTAACTGTATTAACAGACTAGTTCAACAGACTGCATGTACTAATTCAATGGCACAGACTATATAGAAATGGCACAGACGATGCGCTTGCAGAGGTTGCAGCCAAGGAACATGCATGATGTCATCCTGCGGTCTGGGCTTTTCTCCAGGAACGAGATGAGGGGAACGCCGGGTCCTCTGTCCCCAGGTCTTTTCCTGCTTTTCTTCCCCCTTCTGCATTATATTTTATTTTTGACTTTCAATCTTCTTTTACGTTCGCTGTGAAAAGCTGGGTGAATCGTTCCAGATTCTCCTTGACTCTCACTATCCGTTGGTCTAGACCCGGAACTGTTGCTCGTCGCGATGGGCTCATCACGCCAGGTCTACCTGCTTCCATTGAAGGACGATGGAGCTCCAGATGTTCCTGGAGGCTTCATATACCTGGCCCCTCCGCCAAAGGAGGGATACGTTCTCCGGTTCATCATCGAGGGAACGAGCTCTATCTGCCGACAGGGTAGCCTCTGGGTGAATATACCCGAAGAAGGCAAGCCATTTGAGCGCCATTCGTTCCGGGAATTCAAGTAAGTCGTTCCGAATGCTGTGTCAAGCGCACCCAGGCGGGCAGTTACTAAAGGACCGCAGATTGCAACCCAACTTCAACGAGAACATCCAGATTGACATTTCTGTGACATTTGCTGGATCCTTTGCTTTCTACACAACCTTCTCTCCCCTGCCGGAGTTCTCCGTCGAGGATGTACCCACCCCTGAGCCTACTCAGACCCCGGTTCACTACATCGATGTGTCTCCAAGACTCACTGTGCAAGGGAAGGAACTGCCGCTAAATGCGCTGTCTATCTTCTCAGTGATCTCCAAGTTCATGGGCGAATACCCTACGGACTGGGACAGACATCTCCGTGGCATCGGACAGCGGAACTATAACATGGTTCATTTCACGCCCTTGATGCAGCGCGGTTCGTCAAACTCCCCGTACAGTATCTATGATCAATTGGCATTCGACAGCACCTTCTTCCCAAACGGAGAGGATGATGTAGCTGCTCTGGTCGCAAAGATGGAGAAGGAATACGGTCTTCTTACCTTGACTGATGTAGTCTGGAACCACACAGCTAATAATAGCAAGTGGCTGGAAGAGCACCCGGAGTCTGGCTACAGTGTAACAACCGCCCCCTGGCTGGAGGCGGCTCTTGAGCTCGACACCGCCCTTTTGGAGTTCGGCGAGAAGCTCCAGGATCAAGGCCTTCCCACGGAATTCAAGACGGAGGGGGAGCTAGTAACAGTCATGAACGCGGCGCGCAAGCAGGTCATCGATGGAATTCGTCTTTGGGAATTCTACGTCCTCGATGTCAAAAGCGACGTCAAGAACATCTTGGACGTGTGGATTCAAGCTGATATTGACCCCAAGCTCGTTGAACATAAGGATATGCAGCTGTTCAAGGGTTGGTCCCTGAACCAGCAAGCTAATGTTACTCGAGAGCTCGGCATTCCATCCGCCAAGCAGGTACTAGGCCGGTTTGGCCGCACCGTGGATCCGAAGTTTGGTGCCGTTGCTTTGAACGTTCTTTACGGAGATTACGACGAATCGAGCACAAACCTGGCCGAGGTTGAGCAGACCTTGACCAAGCTTCTTGACGAAGCAAACCTCCCCTTCTACAAGGAATACAATGCCGATGTCGACGCCATTATGGACCAGCTGTTCAACCGTGTCAAGTATCTGAGGATCGATGACCATGGCCCTAAGATGGGTCCTGTCACGAAGGATAACCCTTTGATTGAGACTTACTTCACTCGTCTGCCTCTCAATGAGACGACAAAGAAGCATGACCCTAAAGCTCTGGCTCTGGCCAACAACGGCTGGATCTGGAATGCTGATGCCATGCGAGACAATGCTGGTCCTGATTCTAGGGCTTACCTTCGCCGTGAAGTCATTGTCTGGGGTGATTGCGTCAAGCTCCGATACGGATCATCTCCTGAGGATAGCCCGTTCCTATGGGACTTCATGACTCGCTATACTCGCCTTATGGCCAAGTACTTTGTCGGATTCCGAATCGACAATTGCCACTCCACGCCATTGGCCGTTGCAGAATACCTGTTAGATGAAGCCCGCAAGGTCCGGCCTGATTTGACTGTGTTCGCAGAACTCTTCACCGGCTCCGAGGAGGCCGACTACGTCTTTGTGAAGCGGTTGGGTATCAATGCCCTCATTCGCGAAGCCATGCAGGCTTGGAGTACCGAAGAGCTGAGCCGTCTTGTCCATCGCCATGGAGGCCAACCAATTGGCAGCTTCGAGATGGATCTTCCGTCAGCTGGAAGCAGCCACGCCATCGCGTCTGCCAAGTCCGGAAAAAGCGACGAGAATATCACCCATATTCGACCATGCCCTGTGCCTGCTCTGTTTATGGACTGTACCCATGACAATGAGGTTCCTGCTCAGAAACGCGATGCTAGGGACACCCTTTCAAACGCTGCGCTTGTTTCAATGTGTGCATCCGCCACTGGCAGTGTGATGGGATACGATGAGGTTTACCCCAAGCTCATTGATCTGGTGCATGAGACCCGTCAATATGCCTCTGTGTCCTCGGATGCAGAGAAGCTTGATGTTGGAGCTGGCGAGGGGGGCATTGGCGGTGTCAAGAAGCTGTTGAACGAGCTTCACACCATGATGGGAGTTGAAGGCTACGACGAGACCCATATCCACCACGATGGTGAATACATCACCGTGCACAGAGTGCACCCCAAGACCAGAAAGGGTATTTTTTTGATTGCGCATACCGCCTTCCCGGGCAACGAAAGTGGTGCTATTTTAGACGCCACTCACATTGCCGGCACCAGTGCCAAGCACATCGGATCGTGGCAGCTCCAGGTCGAGGCTGGTGATGAGGAAAAGACGAAGGTCCTGGACGACGAAAAGTACTTGAAGGGTCTTCCCAGTCAAACCCGCGCCATTGAGAGCACTAACATCGAGCAAAACGACAAAGAAGTCATTGTCTCTGTCCTCGATACTCTTGTACCTGGATCCATTGCCCTTTTTGAGACTTGGATCCCGGGCGCAGACCACGCAGACGGATTTGAGAATAACCTCACCCACGGTGCAGATGAGGCATTTTCCGAACTCAGCTTGGTTGATCTCAACTTTGTGCTTTACCGCTGCGAAGCTGAGGAGAGGGACTCTAGCGACGGCCAGGACGGCATCTATGAGATCCCTAAGCTTGGCCCCATGGTCTATGCTGGTATTCAGGGCTGGTGGAGTGTTCTTGAGGACATCATCAAGTACAACCAGCTTGGTCACCCCCTCTGCGATCATTTGCGCGAGGGTCAATGGGCCTTGGAATACATAATTGGACGCTTGGAGAAGGCTGCCGCAAAGGAGGGTTATGTTTCCTTGAAGAGGCCTGCCGCATGGCTGCGTGGGAAGTTTGACGCTGTTCGCAACTTGCCCAACTTCCTTTTCCCGAGGTACTTCGCAATTATTGTGCAAGTCGCATACAATGCGGCATGGAAGAGGGGCATCCACCTGCTTGGAGACAATGTGCGACACGGCCAGGAGTTCATCCACCAGCTTGCGATGGTCAGCGTTCAACAGACCGGCTATGTCAAGTCCGCATCGCTGTGGCCTACCAAGATGGTCCCCAGTCTCGCGGCAGGATTGCCTCATTTCGCAGTCGATTGGACAAGATGCTGGGGTCGGGATATCTTTATCTCTATCCGCGGTCTTTTCCTTTGCACTCAGCGCTTTGACGATGCCAAGGAACATATTATTGCATTTGCTAGCGTACTGAAGCATGGTATGATCCCAAACCTGCTGAGTAGCGGCAAGCTACCGAGATACAATTCTCGTGACTCCGTTTGGTTCTTCATGCAGGCCATCCAAGACTACACTGAGATGGCACCCAACGGCATCGAAATCTTGCAAGAGAAGATCCCAAGACGCTTCTTGCCGTATGACGACACTTGGTTCCCCTTTGATGACCCTCGCGCGTATTCAGTGTCTCCGACCCTCCTCGAGTGCATTCAGGAAGTGTTCCAAAAACATGCCTCTGGCATGTCTTTCCGCGAATACAATGCCGGCCCGGACCTTGACTGCCAGATGAAGACCGAAGGATTCCAGATCGACGTGAATGTTGACTGGAATACGGGTCTTATCTTTGGTGGCAATCAGGACAACTGCGGTACCTGGCAAGACAAGATGGGCGAGAGTACCAAGGCTGGAAACAAGGGTGTGCCTGGCACACCGCGTGATGGCTCCGCCATCGAGATTACCGGACTCTCTTATAGCGCGCTGGCGTGGGTTGCCCGCCTTCATGAATCCAAGGCATACCCACACGAGGGTGTTGACATTGGCGATGGTAAGAAAATCCGCTTTGCCGAGTGGGCCGGCAAGATCAAGGACAACTTTGAACGTTGCTACTTCGTCCCTCTTGATCCCAATGAAGACGGCCAGCACGATGTGGATGCAAACATCGTCAACCGCCGCGGCATCTACAAGGACTTGTACAAGTCTGGCAAGCCCTACGAAGACTATCAGCTCCGCGCCAACTTCCCCATCGCCATGTCTGTTGCCCCAGAGCTATTCACACCGGCCAAGGCCCTTGTCGCACTCTCGATTGCCGACTCTGCCATTGTCGGTCCTGTCGGCATGTCGACCCTTGACCCTTCCGACCTGAACTATCGCCCCAATTACATTAACTCCGACGATTCGGGTGACTTTGCGACGGCCAAGGGTCGCAATTACCACCAGGGTCCGGAATGGGTCTGGCAACGCGGGTATTTCCTTCGTGCCTTACTGCACTTTGATCTTCTGCGCCGCAAGACGCCAGAAGAGCGAACCGAATGCTTCCAGCAGGTCACTCGCCGACTTGATGGTTGCAAGAAGGCTTTGCGAGAGAGCCCCTGGAAGGGCCTGACGGAGTTGTCTAACCAGGCCGGCGCACATTGCAATGACTCGGTGAGTCCCTCTTCAACATTTTCAAGGTTGCTGAGCTTGATACTGACGCACTATTAGTCTCCTACTCAATCCTGGTCCGCAGCCTGCCTGCTGGACGTTTATTACGACGCATCACATTCGTAAATTCCATCGACAATCATCGAACGTTGCAACATTTGGCCATGATTAATTGTTTTGAAGACAGCATACGAGAGATAGATATAATTGCATGAGAATCCAGCGTTTGGCCGTTAGCATACAATATGTACTTCACTGGAGACCAAATCCACTTAGACCCACTTGATGATCTCCGTCCCGTATGTTGTACATCACCCATCAGCTCTCCTGCGACCTTACCTGGATGTGACAGATCCATTGGCTCCTGGCCTGGCTGTACAATTCCCCGTTATGATTAGCTGGGTACTCAACAAGCTAGATCTCAGAAATATCGTCACTCCTGGCTTGCACAAGAACATACGTTGTGGAGGCCCCCACTAGTAAGAAAGCACCAACACGTCTCTAGCTCGACCTGAGTCACCGACATTTAGATGAATAACCAAATATAGAAATCTGTCTCGTCGCATCCCGTACATATATCAAGGGCTCGCTGCCCGTGTGCTCCTGGACCCGGTATGCCTCCCTGGATACGAATACGACCTGGGATAGGAACAGAAATCGGCTTTTGCAGAACTCGCACCCGTTTGAGCAGAGGAAATTGAATATTCTCTGAAGGCCTCTGCTCAAATTAACCTTTTGATCATGACATCAGACTTCAATGGACTCTGACGATCAATTGATACCTTATGATCTCGCCACTTACTACCTTGGGTATTTAACATGATGACTCATCCTATCCCAGGCCGGGAGTGCCGTCATTGTCCGACGAAAAACAAAGGGCCGTTGTCCTCACACTTGGATCAACTCGTTTGCTTTCACTTCGCTCCTGCCGCATGCCCTTGAAGACCTGAAGCTCCGACAGCCTCACGCTTGTCGATATCTAATCGGAGCCATGTCATCACTAGCACCAGCCACCGCGTCAAGTATGTTGGCTGATCGAGCCGGCGGGAAATGGGATTGGGCAGATCAGTTGGATCAGTCGCGCGATCTATACACGCAGTTTGTGATCAGCTCGGCGCTGGGCCTGAGCGCTTTCTTGACGTTCTGTGTATGTGGGAATCTGGGCGACGTTGATAATTACTGACGCGTTTGATTTTAGATCTTGCGACCAAAATGGACCGAGCTGTATGCTGCGCGACGTCGCCAAAGAAATGCCGCTTCCCGTCTCCCGGAGCTCCCTGATACATTTTTCGGCTGGATTCCCGTCCTTCATCGAATCACCGAGGAGGAAGTGCTGCAGTCTGCGGGCTTGGATGCTTATGTGGTAGGTTGGTCTTGGGGTATGTCGATTGACCGTCACTGACAAGTGTGCGCTGTGGCAGTTCTTGTCTTTCTTCAAGTTTGCGATTCGATTCCTCCTTGCCGTATTCATCTTCGCCGTTGCGATCATTCTTCCTCTGCACTACAAATACACTGGTCAATATGGAGTTCCTGGGTGGGACAACCTTCCTGGCAACGAAACGATGATAGAAGAGAAGGATAAACCAGTCACCGATCCAGGGTACCTGTGGATTTATGTTCTGTTTGCCTATGTTTTCAGCGGGCTCGCCATTTATATGCTTCTCCAGGAAACCAACACCATCATCCGCACTCGCCAAACCTACCTTGGAAACCAGACCAGTACGACCGACCGCACAATTCGCCTGTCAGGGATCCCGCATGATCTTTGCACCGAGGAGCAGATCAAGGATTTCATCGAAGGTCTACGCGTTGGCAAAGTCGAGAGTATCACAGTGTGCCGCAAGTGGCGCGAGTTGGACGAATTGATCGACGAGAGAATGAAGTTGATTCGTGAACTCGAAAGAGCTTGGACGAAACATCTAGGCTACAAGCGTCCGAAGAGAGACGGCGATACTTTGCCATTGACAAACCAATACTCTCCCGATGAGGACCATGAGCGGTCTGGTTTATTGTCCGGAAGCGAAAACGACCATACCAATGATTACTCCAACGAGAGACCCAAATATCGCTTGTGGTACGGTCCCTTGAAGCTTCGGTATCGCATGATCGACGCAATCGATTACTTCGAGGAGAAGCTGCGGAGGACCGATGAGCATATACACGCTGCCCGCGAGAAAGAATATCCTTCTACCGAGATTGCATTCGTGACCATGGAGTCGATTGCTGCATCTCAAATGCTCGTCCAAGCGATTCTCGACCCTCACCCTACGCAAATGTTTGCTCGACTCGCTCCTGCGCCGGCGGATGTCATTTGGAAGAATACGTATCTGTCTCGCCCACGCCGAATGACCCAGTCATGGTCGATTACTATTGCCATTGGTTTCCTCACTGTTTTCTGGTCTGTGCTTTTGGTTCCCATTGCCTCGCTGCTAGATCTGGAGACTCTCCGTAAGATTGTGCCTCAGCTCGCGGAATTCCTTGAGGAGCATCCGATTTTGAAGTCCTTGGTCCAGACTGGTTTGCCTACTCTTGCATTCTCGCTGTTGACTGTTGCCGTTCCTTATGTCTACGAGTGTAAGTCTACAAACCGATCTTCTCGATCTAAGTTTTAATTGCTGATATCTTTTACAGGGCTCTCAAACAATCAAGGAATGGTTTCGCGTGGTGATGTTGAACTGTCGGTTATTTCCAAGAACTTCTTCTTCTCGTTCTTCAACCTTTTCCTTCTGTTCACGGTGTTTGGCACAGCGAGTGGTTTCTATGGCTTCTGGGAGAATCTCCGGGATGCATTCAAAGATTCCACCACAATTGCATTTGCATTGGCGAAATCCCTCGAGGGTCTCGCCCCATTCTACATCAATCTGTTGATTCTTCAGGGCTTGGGTCTATTTCCGTTCCGACTGCTCGAGTTTGGTAGCGTTGCCCTTTACCCATTCCAGTTCCTTTCCGCTCGCACGCCTCGTGAATACGCCGAACTGGCCACTCCCCCCAAGTTCAGCTATGGGTTCTCAATCCCCCAGACCATCCTCATCTTGGTCATCTGTGTGGTGTACAGTGTCTTCCCCAGCTCGTGGCTGATCTGCCTCTTCGGTCTCATCTACTTCACGATCGGAAAATTCATCTATAAATACCAACTCCTCTACGCCATGGACCACCAACAGCACTCCACCGGCCGTGCCTGGCCGATGATCTGCAATCGTGTATTCGTCGGACTCCTCATCCACCAACTGGCCATGATCGGCGTCCTGGCCCTCCGCCGCGCCATCACCCGCTCGCTCCTCCTCGTGCCCCTTCTCGGTTTCACGGTCTGGTTCTCGTATTGGTTCGGTCGGACTTACGAACCCCTGATGAAGTTTATCGCTCTCAAGAGCATCAACCGAGACCAACCGGGCGGTGGCGACCTTTCCCCCTCGCCTTCTTCGACGTTCTCACCGCCATCAGGTCTCGATCGCGACAGTCTCCCGATCCGCATTGGCGGCCAGGATCTCGAGTTGCGGCTGAGGAAGTACGTCAACCCGAGCCTGATCGTCCCACTGCATGATGCCTGGCTTCCTGGTCGCGCCACTCGAGGCAATGGTGCGTCGGCCTTTGAGGCTCACCAGACGCCCAACGTTTGATATTTTCGTTCTTTTTTCTTTTTTTGCAGCGAATGCACTCGTTTGCATGTGTGACTCATGATATACGACTTTGATACCTCGTTCGCATTCCTCATTTACGATCTTTGACGTCTCTGATCTTTCCGATCACGATATAGGTGGTTTCTCTGTTTGATTTCATTCCTGTCCTACTGTATCTTCGCGCAATTGATGTTTTTTTTTTCGCGATTGTCTGATATTGTTTGTTCCATTCGCCCGTGTCCCCCGCACATAGATTCTGTACGATACTTATTTTAATACCCAATGTACGTAGTAATTTGACTCCCCGACCCAGTCTTGATTTCCAATCTGGCCCCCAAAGCAAAGACAATCGGCTAATCTGTCAGCCTCGGGGCTCGCTTGGGTTTACACTTTGCCCGCATTCCACGGCCAACGTGTCTGAGCGTGGATCCCAAGGTCAGCGCAATCCGTCATATGCCTCTGTCGCAGACAATGAGAATGTCAAACCTCACGCGCGAAGGGGATGTGCTGATTGGTGGTCCGGCCTTAGCCTCAGACATGATTCTGCGAGGGGTGAGACCGACTATTGGGCACGGGGGAGCAATACGAGGTCCGCTGGAAGCCGGCACTTGGACGGAGGGAGCATAGATTCGTGCAGGATGCTCCGTTTAGAGTCCAGGTGTCATTCTCTTTTGACGTGATATTGACAGTCCAGCTGGGTAGGATCCCATCGTTCTGGAAATTTCTTCACATTCCTGGTCCACATGGTCGGGCATTCCTAGGCAGTGGAGTGTCGGTGAGACTTCCACCCTGGACGATTGAAACCAAGTCCCAGTCGAGAAGAATGTGGAAGAAGTTGTTGACGGGTTGCCAAGCCATGTGCTGCATCCGGCATTCCTCCGAGAGGAATGTCAACGTTGCATAGATCTGAGTTGCCTTCTCTTATAGATACTCAATGTAGTTAATGTAGTTAATGTAGTTCATGTAATCAATCTAGTGAAGTTCTGAATGTCAGGTACTCAATATACTAAAAGTATTCTATTAAATAGAGTAAGGTAAAATGCCCCAAAGCCCGTGGAAATCGGGATATCCGTGAGTCTCGACGTCAGGATTTAATTTGGCCCTTACCTCGTCTCGCCCGCTTTCAGTTGCCAATACAACCCTGCCAAACATCTCTCCACTGCAACTATTCATTTTTCACATATAGCTTCGTGGCAATTCTCTGCGCTGATCAGTGGGCTTTATTTTCCCTCTTTCGATCGGGGACATTGACTCTACAGGCGATCATTACGCGATTGGTGGATAAACACTCGAGATCCCTTGGCCCTTTTGTTTCCCCCTCATATAGTGAGGAGTAAGAGCAAACAGATCGGACTCTCTCAATGCTCAGATCGCTGAGATGGCCATCACTGCCGGATACATCATGCCCGCTGTGCGATCACTATCAACTCAAGACTATACGTATGGTCTCTCACAAGAGTCAGCCTGCATGAGGCAAAGTCCATCAATACCACAAAATGAAGTCGACCATGTGCCATCAAAGGAAATCTCAACCGACTCCAATTTAACTGAACGGGAGCCATCGGCGGCGACCCGTGCGCCGCCAGAGATCTTGCTGCAAATATTCTCCCTGCTATCGCCGCGGGAATTCAATAGTGCTCGCCACACATGCTCCCGATGGATGCGGGTTAGTCTAAATGAAAGACTGATTGGACGCATGTTGAAAAGTGCCGGATGGTGGAATGCATGGCTACAGGATCACAGTCAGCCATGTGTATCAGGTCGAGACGAAAGCGATGTCTGGAGAATGAGTCGACGCCTCACAACCGAATCGCTGCTCTCCGGAAGAAAATCGAAATCGCGACCCAGGGACCGTGCCTTCGTGAAGAGCGCCGTGATCGACTTCTCGGCTCTTGTGACCACTTCAAGGAAGTCTCGGGCTATTGCACCTGGGTCGAAAGAGGAAATCAAAGAAGCGACCTCGACTTTCAGCCCAAGCAGCTGCAGTAATTATCTGCTGGTGACGACGGGCTGTAACATCCATGTCTTTCGCCTTCTGGGGCGGAGGATACAGACGAAGTCAGACTCGAGAGATGCAGACTTGGAACTCATCACATGTATCACTTGCCCCTTCGACGTTGTTGCAACCGCCATCGACGCAAGCACGCCCAAGCTCACCATTGCTGCCCTTCTCAGCAACCGGGCCGGCATGTATTGCAAAATAAACCTCTCATCTTCAAGCCCCAAACTCGAAATACCACACCTCTTCTACGACATCTGCAGCGAAGCAACCCCCCCTAAAACAATAGCCCTAAGCCCAGGCCGAGCCCTCGTCGCCTTCGGCAGCGTCTCCGGCATCGAACTACACACCCTGCACAAAGAGCGCGATGAACTCCGCAAACCATTCACTCTCCCCCAACCCTCCGAAGTGCTGCACTTCCTCCCCAGCACCGCCGAAGCCCCCGACGAGCTCCGTCTCATCTCATCTCTCTCCGGCCCACCCCCAAAATGCAAATGTCCCCCAACCCAACCAAAAGACCAATTCCACTTCCTAGCCGACGTGCAATCCTTCTCCCGCCACCGCATCCCCCACACTCCATCCCGCAGCCTCATCCGCGCAACCCACTGCCACCACTACCGTGCCGTCCCCATCAACGACGGTCTCCACATGACCTTCGTCGAACCCCGCTCCAACCTCCTCTGCATAGGCTCCGACGCGCCCATCGGCGGCCTAACAAGCCTAACCCGGGCCTTCGTCTGCATCCCGCCCTTCGCCAGCTCCAAATCAGAAAACTTCAGGGCCCCGTCTAGCTTCGCCGCAGCATCGGATTTACGATGGGGTCTGCGCGTCGCAGCTGTCTACGCAAATCGCTTGGTTCTCTACTCCATTCCAGGGGATCTCTTCAGTATTGTCCGCCGTGAACGCGAAAGACAGGTCAATGGCGTTATGGGCGATAGTGATCTTTCTCGGGATCTTTGCGCGGAAGCAGGTGCTTATATGGAGACGTTGGATGCGTACCGCTCCACGGCTATGAGGTGGCCGTTGCAGGTGCGCGGAAGGGAAATCGGCTTGGTCCATGGGGCTGTAGAGCTGTCCGTGCAGTGTGAGGGTGGTGGTGTGAGGGTTTGGGCGTTTGGGAAGAGTGGGACGGCGGAGGTGTTTGATCTTGATGCGGGGGATTTGAAGGGAATGTCTTTCGTGGTTGATGAGGATGGGGTGAAGGAGGGGAAAAAGGAAGCAGTGAAGGATGGTGCTGTGGAGTTGAGTCGGAAGAGGAAATTTGAGGAAGATGTTGCTTTTGCTGGGAAGTATGGGCCTAAGAAGGGGAGGCATTGTCGGGATGGGGATCATCATCCTGTGAGGAGGTCGTCGTCGTTTGCGGCTTGTATTATTGATTTCAAGATGCCTGATATGGATTGAGGGCTGTATATTGGTAAGGATTTCTGATGGATATATTGCAATGATATGTGTACAAATGAGTCTGAATGGGCTATTTACGTGTCAACTGGTAAGAGCAAAGCTATACGAACCATCCTGTCTTAGTGCGTTGTCACTTCACCCTTCTATATTTACATTGAGTTATTCAGCCCAGCGGCAATTTGTGGACGCTTCTCGATGAGAATACCCATTGCACTGCCAGGCTGGGATTATAATTGGTGCCCTGCTGGGCGGTTATGCACGAAAAGATCGGCTGGGTGAACTGGGCGCTAAATCACGATGCGGCCCTCGAAAAATAACAATAAGCCGGCCAGTAGAGGTTAGAAATATGTACGGAATACTTTATTCTTGTTGCTCTATCATATTCTTTTGTCTAGTTGTTCCGGATTTCCTTGCTTCTTTTCAGGATGAGACCCATTACCTCTACCTTGCCAGGGGGAATCGTGCGAAATATATGGACTTGGGCTCGGTCGTCCGTCTCATTTCGACGTCGTGAAATTGGTGAAAGCAATCAATCTAAGACAGAGCTATTCACAATTTCTACCCAGCAGTCAACTGCTTCTGACGCGCAAATCGTGCGTTCCTCAGATGAGACGCTCGTCATCCTTCATTTGAGCGACGCGACCAATAACGACAGAGATACGGGAGGCCCAAAACTTGCTCTCGAAAGCAGAAGCTTTCCGAACTCAAGGCCTGCCTGGATAAAGGGTATTGATTTATGTGGATACGCGACGGCTGGCTTTCTGTTGCTCAATGTCGTCTTCATTTCCGTGGCTGGCGCATTAGCGACCAAATACCAAGAATTTGAGGGATCGGCCAGCTCCAAGGTGATGTACGATGGTCCTTGTACTGCCGTAGGTTGGTGGAACTCGGCTCTTCACGCTGTGGTCAACATCATCAGCACCTGCACTTTGGGAGCAAGTAACTATTGCATGCAGACATTGGTTGCCCCGACCCGGGAAGAGATTGACGCTTCCCACGCGAAGCGTCGCTGGCTGGATGTTGGAGGCCAGAGCATCAGGAACCTCTCCGCTATATCGAATGCTCGACTTGGTCTTTGGGTTGTCCTATGCATGACTGCCATCCCATTTCATTTGCTGTATGAAAGCAGTCTGTTCCTACGGAGTATTTGCTGTGCTAATGCCACTTTAGTTACAACTCGTTCGTGTCTCGAAGCTTGAACTGCCAAGGAATGCGAGAATGTATTTGGAGGTAGAATTTTGCCTGGCTATAAAGGACTCATTCTTTTGACCAGCAACCGAAGTATGAGCGAGGGCGGAAATGAATCTTTCCTGGCACCCAGATGGTGCCCTCAAGAGAGCCCCTCCGGGAGCATTTGCGCCGTTCCTTTTATGAATTCGCATCCCCTGAGCACTCCGTCCCACCAATGCACCAATCTTACAATCTCGGATTGGGATACGGGCTCTGATGAACTCTCGCTATCAATGACCGAATGTGTGGCAATTGAAGGAAACTCCAATTGCCAATTGTCCTTCCAGCCTCTTATTGGTGTGATTATGATTATCGTCACTTTCGTAAAAGTCATTGCAATTTTCTTTGCCAGCCGGATTCATCGCTCTCGAACACCCCCACTGCTCACGACAGGTGATGCGATAGCCTCGTTCCTGGAAGCTGCAGACGAGACAACAAAGGGAATGTGCTGGGCATCTGCGAGTAGCATCAAACAGGGGGATTGGAGGCTATTACCGAGAATACCCGAGACCCATGGATTCACCGCGATATATCGACATCTTGATCGGCCTCAGAGATTGAGAAAAGCAGCTGGTGTGGCTTCCTGGACGATGACTTTGCTCATGTGAGAACCTTTGATTCGACAAGCAAGTTGAAGATTGACGAAACTGACACATCTGGAGTGTTCTCGGGAGCTTTGTGGGTGGATTGGTCCTCTACTTTCTTGATCCCCTAATTGGGAAACTTCGAGCAAATAAGCTCGATTCACCTTCTGGACGATGGTAAAGGTTGAGTTCTCACCTAGAAGCAAGTTTAGGCCCACGGAATATCCAGTGCTGCAAGGCATTGTCATCAGCAATTGCCCGCAATTGCTGATCACACTTGGTTACTATATTTACAACAGTGTTCTCACAAATATGCTATTTAGTGCCGAATATGCCTCATATGGATCTACTCGAAAGCCGCTTCGTGTCAGTTGGCCTGTCGAAGGTAGCAAACAACGCTCAACATATCGGCTGTCCATTCCTTACAGATACGGGATTCCAGTGATGGCCATTTTCGCAGGAATTCACTGGCTTTTCTCTCAAGGATTCAGTTACACGTTAGAGATTCCATACAATGTCCGCGGAAACTTGGTATACGAAGATAAGTGGGGTGGAATATCATCTTCATATATACCTTTCATCTGTGCCTCCATACCTCTCTTTGGTCTAGGCATCATGTTGATTGGAATGTCTTTCCGAAGACTCAAGTCAGACATACCACTCGGTGGATCTTGCAGTGTTGCTATCAGTGCAGCATGTCATCCCCTGGAAGGTGTTTGCAGAGCAACTGCAGCTCACGGTGCGCTGAAGTGAGGGGAAACTGGCCTGCCACCAGGCTGGAATGCTGGGAGAGGCAATGGAAATGAAACCCCAAGAGGCCATTGCAGTTTCTCCCCACTGCAGGCGAAAAAGCCATCTCTAGACAAGCTTTATGCTTGATCTTTGATGGCCGATTCAATGAAGACCATGACAACCAAAGAGGCTTTCCCGCTGCATGGAGACACGAGCTTTGAGCCGTACTACTCGCCGGGACAGAGTTATTTAACCGCTGATTTGGCGCCCAAAACGGGATACTATCCATAAGAGGTAGTCTGTCCATCTATGTTCCAAGCTTCGAACGCATCCATGGGTACTTCGACCATCTTCAATTCCCAAGGATATCTGCCGTGATTACCTCCTCCCCATCGCCAGATCCAACCTTGGAAATGGGTATGCCGGACACTCCAGCACGAAAGTCACCGGGTTTGCTTTCCCATCAACGAGAATCAGCTTCCCCACAGACCCAAATGATATCCTTCCCAGTGGCTGCTCCTTGTCATCGCCAAGCTTGATATAAAACTCATCCTCCTGTTCCAAACTAGCTCCTGCCCTCCGCAGTAGATTCAAAGACTTCAGAGTAAAAGTCCCCGCCGCATCTTTGGGATCTTGATGCAATAAGAATCTCTGGTACTCGGAAATCATCCGCGTATCTCTCAACTAGTAACTCTAGTCTTCAAAGTCGACCGAAATAATATAGCTACTACCAGGAAGAGCACTCCCTTGGGCATCAACCGTGCCGTGCATTCTGAAGCCAGTGGTATGATGCCTTCTCTCAGTGAACTTGGCAAAGCAAACGACACTGGGCGGTAAGGCGGGCAAACCTCCTTCTTCCAACTTGTCACAGAGGAAGTGGTCTGCTAATTTCTCGTATCGAGAATAATTTGGTTAGCTGCTTATCATTAGCATGACTCCATACCGTTATGTTGGTTACTTGATGGGCCGTACATATCATGCCCGAAAGGTATAGTTCGATTTCAAGCAGTCCTCCACGACCCTTGCTCTTCAAACAAATTGGGACAGTAAATTAGCTGAAAATCGGCTTTTCTTTCTCCTTTCCTCTTTTCTCTTGATTGGCCCTTTTGGCGTTATCGAGCATTTCGCTGGTGGATTCGTGCCCAGGTGCCCGGGAATCATTGATATCATATCTTCAATCGACAGGAGGTTTTCTTGCTTTTTTTTTTGCGGTCAGCAGGAATTCTTTTCGATGCTAGGAGCACAAATCTCGATGTACGCACCTTCACCACTCGCCAGCTATAAAAGGAAGCCACAATGGTACACCAAATAGGGGGACTTTCATGATCAGCAGGTCTCTCTGCTTCAACGCAAGGCTTTAATGAAAGACGTTCTTATCGCCAAGTGGGCTTCAACTACCCTTAGCCTCCCATGAAAGGCTCATGGTTACAGTGCTGGAGCTGGCCTCCGTGTTGTTTACCCGTCACGATCCATGACTAGCGCTAGCGGATGCCTGAACAAATGGTGATGAAAAACTTACGCTTGCTGTCGCTTTCATTGCTCGGGATTTTTCGGATGCCTTGGCTTTTCTCTCGGCGGTCGAGTCCTCTGTGGCGCGTAGTCTGCCACTGGGCATCAAGCGTAGCAAAGAAGGTACCTAGATATTGATTAGAAGTTAAACTCAGAAACCTTGGAATTCGATCGTTATCAGTGGTTCGTATACCGTATTTTGCTTTGAAGGAATCAACAGATACTTTATCCTTGACATATTTGATAGCTTCGGCCCATTCACTAGAAAGTTGTAGCCTTTCTTCGTCAAGGTGGAGGACCACATGAGGGAACTGGCCAAAAGTTAGTCAAGTGGGAGAATTTATGCAGAAGTTGAACTCACATTGTAAGTATTGATCATTTGTTTCTTTTTATGTGGCTCCAGCCTCTGAGTTGGAAGAGGTCTGTTCATTCTTGGCGCCAGTATTAGCCCTGGCGCTGAAACCAAAGAATCCCCCGCCGCTTGATTGTTCCATTAGCTTCCAAGATCTTTTTATACACAGGGGACACTAGATTCGCTTACACAGCCACCTCGGCAACAGTCTCCGAGGGTAAACTCGAAGCCATGGCCCACACCACGGAGGAATCGTTCTCGGACACAGAAACGTAGGAGTCATTTTCAACTCTATACCCGGGGATCAAGATATTTTTCTATAAAAGAGTTGTCAAATCAGTCTCTTCTCGCTTAGTGTGTTTGCTTCAGAAAGTTAAAAATACCTGAGGAATTACAATGTCTTCATTCTCCAACACAGCATCGAACTCATGAAATGGGCGAGGTCTCAATTCGAAAGCCGGGTACATGGCTCGCTCAACCTTTTTCAAACCCCCATGAAGAGGAAGTCAAGCGTAGCTACCTTGTAGGAGGGAATAGGTCTCCATGACAATGTTTCATTGCGCCTGGGTCATGTCCGTGGGGCGACTTTCAACATCAGTTAGCTGGGTGAATGGTCACATTCCAAAGAGAGGAGAAGATACACAACTTGGCCAGCTGTGGTTTTAGTCATAAAATCACCGTGATTATAGTATTTAGTCAGGATGTTTTGTTTGTCGAATGCGCTGGATTCTGATTTCTGTTAGTGTCAGTTGGTTCAAAGACTGAATAGCGCAAGGTTCTCACTCGTATCTCAAAGAACTTTCACTTGTAGCTCAACTAAAGTCTTTAGTCACATCATTCATTTCGGATGTCAAAGAACGCGACTTGAAGCAAATGTAGTATACTTGCGGCTCTGTAACGAGATCTTTTCTCTGGTAGGCTGCCGCGGCTATCAGTGAAGCTGCGTATTGAAGAAGATCAAAGAAACTTGGAGAGAATATCCCTGAGCGGACTTAGTCACCCCTTCTTCTCGCTCTCGATTTTCACTACCCCTCTATCGGGCGTTGCCAGTTATTTGTGAAAAGGCAAGCTCCCATTGGCAGCAGCACCGATCTTGTTGCAGAAGGAGGATCCTTGCCTGCAATCCATTCAGTATAAGCATAATCTCCGAGACCCTGGATTGTAATCTCGAACATACAGTTTAGCACTCAGCCCATTCTCGTTGTTTAGCATGGCACGAATATCTGACAAGTTCTTGCCCTGGACATTTTTGAAACTTCCCAGAGTAAATAATTTTTCTATTTTGGCTTTTCCAGATTTTTAATCGTAGACATAAATGTCAAAAGACTGCTTGAATGTCATTTTTGTTTGCTGTATCACTGTCAGTGTTGATACTACTAAGTCTGGCTCTTGGGTATAGCCCTGAAGTAGACTGTTGAGACTCACCTTTTTCAGCATTTCTGCTCTTTTCCTTGTCTGACTTTCTTTGCTCTTATCCCCTCTCCTTTTCTAGTGGCTCTTCGCTCAACTTGGTAAGTTGGTTCATATCCATTGTTACAATGGCTGCTTTGAATCTTCTTCGAATACCATAGAATATGATTGGAAGGTATATCCGCCACTATCCCTATATGCAATTGGACATATGGTCCATTGATGGAATATCTAGGTACTAGGTATGGGTCGTTGGATTTGCTTGTAGGGCTAAAGTGCGGCCCGACCCCGCCATTGGGCGAGGTCTAAGCCGAGGAGCCACCAGTCGTGGGCAATCACAACCACCGAAGGTCGACGGTCAGGAATACATCCATGGATTTGATATGGATATGCTGCAGTACTGTAAGGTTGACCTCGAGCCTAAAGAATGCCCCTTGCTCACGGGTGCGGTGATTCCTCTACCTCGAATATAGAAGCATGAGAGTAAATTCACCTCTCCTTTCTCTTACAACCTTAAAAGTTACAAGAATAACCATCAGAGATATCTCAAAGTCTCATAGATCTCACCCGGTGACCTCTCAGAGCGCTTCATGCTAGCATGACTTCCAATGAAAGGGCAGCAGTAGACACCGGTGCCGCTTGATGACAACAACCACGAAAGCACCGCACCCGCCATCGCCCCACGACTCCAACTTCTGCGGGCATACCAGGCCTGCGGAGGTTCCGGGAGTCTGCTGGTGAAAGCCTTCTTCACATGTGCCAGGACACCGCAAATAAAATGCCCAGCCAACCAATTCAACACTGGATACACAATAGCTGGTTCGAACAACGCGGCTTGGGTTTTATAGTTTTTTCCTTCCAGCAGCTACGTGCACTACAGTTGGCACTTAGTGGAGCATACGCGGGCTGTTGGATCAGTGACAGATTCTCGTACGGCCTTGCTGTCAGATGGGAGTGCGTCGAGCCACGATGCCTGGACCTGGATGGCAAAGACTTGACAGAATTGGAACTGCCGCTGTAGGAAAGTAGTCATTACATAGCGCTGACTTTCCACGATAGAATCAATTGCTCGGTGGTTATTTTAAGAGTACTAGCTTCTCGCTCTCAACCTTGTGTCCCGTAATGAATGGACTGTGGGCTTTCATAAGAGTAATCGGTGCCATGATATCTTATATCACTACTTTACTTCAGTCGAGTAGTCGAAAGTCATCCACAAAATATACCACAATGGCTGAAGGGATAAGACGTATGTAGCCAAGGGTTCTGCGTAGGCCTGCCAACGACGACCCCTTTGACGAGCAAACAAGCAAGGGTCTGTCAAGCGTGCTGCCTCGAACAATCCCTTTGCAGGGGCAAGGCATAGTTATCCTTTGCCCTCGACTTGTTCAAACTGTAGCGTAGAATTAAAGACAAGAAGAATAGATTTCATAGGTACCCCTGGAGCTGAAATGGTGACCTCAAGTATTTGCTACCGTCGAAGTGGAAGGGAAGATGAACACCGAGCAAGAAAGGCTCGGTTATATCAATATTTTAGACTCTTAAATATGGCATATTGCTTTTAGTAAAATAATCCCAGGTCCACTTATTTTGAGCCGAGTTTCTCGCGGCGCGCACGAACACCCTGAGCAAGAGTCTCCAGCACAGCCTCGGTATCCTCCCAGTGGATGCAAGCATCCGTGATACTGACACCGTACTTGAGGCCGGCCTTGCCCTCTGCAGGGACCTTCTGGTTGCCTAGAACAAGTTAGCATAAATATCATGACCCAAGAACGAATTCTAAACTCACCCTCGTTGATATTACTCTCAATCATAACACCCATAATGGCATCCTCGCCGGCAGCAAGCTGCTCCGCAAGAACAGTAGCAACCTTAGGCTGGTTCTTGTGGTTCTTCTCCGAGTTGCCGTGGCTACAGTCAACCATAAGACGAGGACGCATGCCCTTCGCACTAAGCTTAACCTTAGCCTCGGCAATACTGGCAGCATCGTAGTTTGGCCCCTTCTTACCACCGCGCAGAATAACGAAGCAGTCTGGGTTTCCAACTGTGCCGACGATCGAAACAACACCAGGTTTCGTCACGGACAGGAAGTGATGAGGGTGCTTTACTGAGCCGATAGCATCGACGGCCACGTCTAGGGAGCCGTCTGTGCCATTCTTGAATCCGACAGGGAAAGAGAGACCGGATGAGAGTTCGCGGTGGACTTGGGATTCGGTGGTGCGTGCACCGACCGCACCGACTGATAGACAATCGGCGAGGAACTGTGGGGAGATGGTGTCGAGCATTTCGGAGGCAATGGGCATACCCTTGTTTGTGAGGTCGATGAAGAGCTGGCGCGAGACACGCAGACCCTTGTTGATTTTGAAGGAGTTGTCAATGTCGGGGTCGTTAATGAGGCCCTTCCAGCCGACGGTTGTGCGGGGCTTCTCGAGGTAGGAGCGCATTACGATGAGGAGGTCGTCGGCGTATTTCTCCTTCATCTTCATTAAACGGTCGCAGTATTCGAGAGCCATTTCTGGGTCATGAATTGAGCATGGTCCAATGACGACCATTAGGCGCTGCTTCTTGTCTGTGCCGTGGACGACCTCGACGGATTCGGCACGCCCTTGGAGGACGGTTTGCCGAGACTTTTCAGTCAATGCGATTTCATGTTGGAGGAGGTTGGGAGGCGTCAGAGGGTTGTAGCCGAGAACTGAATTAGATTAGAAGGTGAGCCGTGGTTGATTTTTCGATTCCATTGACTTACTGCGTGAGTCTTCCAGGTGGTTTGTGTTGCCCACATTAGGGTTGTCAATGAAGAACTGGCGACGTCAGAGGTGGGACTGTTCAACGGTGAGGAGCCCTGCTTACCGACATGGTGGGGGTGTTGCACAGAGGCGGGAGAGCAATTGAGCAATTCAATGTCAATTGAAGAGAGGGATAGAGCAATATGTAGGAAGAGAGAAAGAGAGAAATCGAGAACAGGAGAAGAGAAACAAATGGTAATTAACCTATGACTCAATGGAAGTATAACTGCACGTGATCCCGGTGACCGGCGAGGCAGTCCCAATCACGGCGGCGCCTTTGGTAAGTGGATTCTTATAGATAATTTACGAATAACGGAGATGGCTTGCCCCATATCTTAAATCGGCCCCTGTTGCACCCGACGGTCCAGCTCTTGCAACCCACGAACGAGATCCTGACAGATATCCGCGTGCTGTTCTTTGACTTGTCGGATCTGTTGTCTGTATAACCCCATGCGCGCCTCTTGGGCTTGGAAAAGATCATCGAGGATCCGACCACACCCTTCTCGGTAAATCTCCAAGACACGGGTGATCGTGGCTTTCTCTGCGTCCAGTTGAATAGAGAGGTTCTGGGGCTGAGTTAGAAGACACACTTACATCATGGAAACGAAACTTACAGTGTTAGTCTGATGCAGTAAGTTGTGTGCGTCTTTTTGTGCGACTTTTAGTGTTGAGATCCATTCCATTGGATCCTCGTCTGAGAAGCGGTGTGATTTCACATCCGCCTGGCTTGACCCCGAGATATCAGTGCCAATTGATCTGTCGAACCGTCGATCTTGCCGCGCGTCCACTCCCCTTTGTCCGATGGTTCGGTGGGAAGATGGGCTGGTTTTGCTTATTGTCGATGCTTGGTCAGAGGCGGCGCCATCGGCAACCTCTTGTGAGAAGGAAGGCCTGTGCCTCGCCGATGACCAGGCGTGAGATCGGACCAATTCCTCGGTTCTAATCCCGTAAGCCAGGAAGATGTCTCTCTGGTATTTGGTCCAGGTGTGACCTCCGTTGTCACTTTCGCTGGAATGATAACTCAAGCTTCGGTCATACTGGCTTGGGCTTGTGTTGAGGTTGACGTCGTGATACTTTTCGCCATCGTAATCAACCCCGGGAATCATTTCTTTTGCTGACAAGGGGACAAGTCGAGGACTACCGTTGGTATCGACGATGCTGGTTCTCGGGGCAGACTTTGGTTCTGGTGGAGATTCAGAGTGACTTGTGACTACGGTTTCGCCCCGCAAAAGAGGCTTCTGTGACTCGGGCGTATGGTTGGACTCACACTTCTTGGTAGCTATTGCTGGGAGGTGAGCGTCCTCTTCCGTAGGGTGGCTGCCTGACGAGGTGTCTAGCCAGCTTTCGCAGCGTTTCGTGACTTGCGAGGACGTGGCCGGTTCAGAGATGATAGGTCGCAGACTTTCAAACCCAGACAGGTGTTCCATCTCCATGTGGTGGTCAAGGATGGAAGGCTCATCATTTATCAGACCTCTGCCAATTTCTACGCCAGGAGAGCTTTCAATGCTTGACGCATCGCTGTGCCCGAGAGAGCTCAAGAAAATTCCCCAGGGCACCATTCCACTTGTCGTGTCGATGGCTTCAGCCTCCTTCGTGTCATCTACAGCCGGGGAAGATGATCTGACTTCGGAGGACTTGGCTTGATACTTATGCTCGTCGACTCGAGCAGCTCCATGGCGTTCATGCTCAGTGTTCACAACTTTCGATGTTACATTCGCTGGCACATCAGAACGGTTCGTTAGGGTAGACTTCTCCGAGTCCACTGAATCAGATGAAATGACGATAAAACCCTGATCCTCGATGACTGGATCCTCGATGACTGGATCCTCGATGACTGGTCCCGGTTTAGAGACCTCCTCATCCACATGAAGCGCGAGCATGAGCTTGTTGCCAACGCTTTGTGCTCTTCTACCTCTTGGGTTGGAGAGTTTCGAGGCACGCGTTTTGCGCTTGGCTGTGGGCTCAGGGATCATTTGCTTAGACAGCTCTCTGGACTCCCGAATGGTGAGCCTGGAAAATTTGGCTCGGTGTGGCTTTCTGATATCGCCGCTGGAAGTCGAGTACGTATCAGAAGTCATCCGAGCAGCCTTCTCCTTATTCTTCAGTTCATTAAGCTGTGCCCTGTGCTCCAGGATGCTGACCATTGGGCCCTGCGATGGCCCTTTGACATCATAATCGAAGTTCAAGGATGAAACGCTTGCTGCTGATGAAGAACTTCGAATCTCGACACTCACTCGTTGGCGGTATTTCATAGCTGGCATTGGGCCATCTGCTGGAGGCGATGTCTGGTGAGAAGCCTCTGGCAGATCCACCTTGTTCTTCGTGGCCGCATTACTTTGGTCATTGGAGTGAGGGGGAACAGATGGCTTTTCTTGTTCAATGGTAGATGCGAGCGCACCTTTAGCGACAGTGATCAAGGGCAGCTGTGGGATTTCATTCGCTCGTTTTCCTGAGGTGCTCTTGGACACGTTTGGCTTCTTGCGCTTGACTGAGGTTGTCTGTCGTCTCAGTGGGCTTGCACGCTTTCTTCCTGCCTTGCCATTGTTCTTCGCTTTTTTGGGGTCCGTGTGGGCGTCAGTGGTTGGGTCATGGTCTGCCTGGTCCCCGTCTAGCGCAATGGGCGTTGGGCGGAGGTCCTCGTCCCAGTCCACCTCTTTGGGATCCCTTTTAGCTGGCCTTGGCTTGGTGAGCTTCAGTCGTACCATCTTCGATTTTCGAATTGTCGGTGGGGGTGGAAGAGCCAGCGACTTTGGGTGACTTGGGGGGATGAAAGGTTTTGCAGAGGTGCTTTGGTCTATGCCAACAGCTGTGGCTGACACGCGACGCTCTGTAGTCGTACCCATCATACAGGGCCCTCACATGGTGGATTGACTGGCAAGAGCTGGAAAAGGCGTGTTGGGTCACTTGTTTATTCCAGGTAGCTTGGAAGTCCAGGTGTAGACCAGTAGGCTGTACGAATGTGCAGAAGTAATTCATTCTTAAGTGCCAACATCCTTACACAGTCATAAGCCATTTCTTTTACACCTCGTTTTTATGTTCCTCTCCACTGCACCATGCCCATTAGCAGGGCTCATTTGTCTTCAGCCTTTCGTCGTCGACATCGTGCTTCCCAGGTTGCCAAAAGATTCGCATCGACGGCGTCGCTGAGAGTCTTCAATTGCCCGGGACTATTTCCTTGACACGCTCAAATTTATCCATTCCACCCCAGATGCGCACGAAACGAACGCCTGAGACAGCAATCACCATCTCGGTCCGTGCTAACTCCGAGCTCCGCGACAGTGCCAGGTTGCGCCGACTCCGCGATTAATAATCTCACGACGTGAACGAATTCGTCCGGATCCTGCGGCTGAAGGGTGGCGCTTTAAAATGTATCTCTACGCGTCTAATTCCCGAACTGATGCGCAGCCTCAACTTTCATACGTCCAAAATCACGCTATAACACCTCACAATGGCTAATCCGGGGAACTCGGCACCAGCGTCTGGGTGTCGCTTCGGTGCAACCGCAGCTCTAACCAAGCTACGGGGCTTCCCATCTGCTCTTTTGGGCAGGCAAAATGTCGAGATCGATCCCACTCCTATCCCAACCACGACCGTCAACCGTCGTCGGGCGACTAGTGTCGCCGCCTCCCTCGATCGTGACGAAACGCTCGCAGAGAAGATCTCCGAACAGCTGGATCATGGCGAAGAAGTGAAGGAAACAGAAGAGACGGTCTTGTACCTTGCGTACGGGTCGAATCTAGCCTCCAAGACATTCCGCGGCGTGCGAGGGATCAAACCGCTCTCGCAGATCGGGGTGTTTGTGCCTGAACTACGGCTTACCTTCGATCTGCCCGGGGTCCCATACATGGAGCCATGTTTCGCGGGTACACAATACCGAGATGGGTCGGATGATGATCTTGATGTCGAGTCAGACGTGTCGGAGAAGGCGGCGTTGATGGGCCAAAGCCAGCGGGAGTCATATCACAAGCGTCGATGGAGCGGGCCTCTCGTCGGCGTCGTTTACGAAGTCACTCTCGCGGACTATGCAAAGATCATTGCTACGGAGGGTGGTGGTCGAGGATACCGCGATGGGATCATTGATTGCTACCCTTTCCCTGAAAACTATGATTCCTCCTCTCCGGTCCCCGAGCATCCATCTACGCCAGCTTTCAAAGCACGCACACTTCTCTCGCCTGCTGCGGATGACGCTCGGCTTCGCTCGCAATCGCGGAAGGGCGGCGCGGTGGTCGCTAAGCCCGCGTTATCGTGGTGGTATACCATTGGCTTGCACTTCCGGCCTGATCCTGACTATGCCCAGCCCTCTGCTCGGTACCTGAATCTGATCAAGACCGGCGCTGCGGAGCATGATCTCCCCATCTCGTATCAGGAGTACCTGGCGCAGATTAGAACATACCATGTCACGACGGGGCGACAGAAGGCCGGGAAGACGATCTTCCTGGTTTTATGGGTGCCATGGCTCCTTTTGGTCATGACATTGTCTAGAACCTGTGCTGGACCTGATGGTCGGAGCCCACCGTGGCTGGTCGCGATGGCGAATATTCTGTTCACCGCGATGTGGAGCAGCTATGATTTGTTCTTCGCAAAAGTCTTTGGGAACGGTGAGCGGACTCTGACTGATATACCTGCCTGAGTTACTGCCACATGGGCAGTTATAGATAATTAGGAGCAGATAGAGCTAGAAGTACTGGGTGTATAGTGCGCTACCTAGGTATTTAGTCGCAATAGCGTTAATCAAATCCATTTGCATCTGTCTTCTATTACCATTCAGGAATGTCCATTTCAACCTTGAATACCTAAATGAGCATCTTGTAGATCATTTTCAAGAACTGTCAGGGCTCAATGGCTCCACAGCGAACTCTGCTATGGCCCTAGCTGTGTGAGATCGATCTGCGCGGTTGACCTCGGGAGCAATTCCAGCTTATTCCAGCTGCAAGCCGAAGCATTGAAATACGAGCACCCGGCATTCGCAAAGAGCGCAAAGATATCACTTAACCGAAAAACAGAGAGCTGCACAGTTATACACTGAAGTCTCTGTCATAATCACAAAGGAAATTAAATTCAGATGACTCCTCGAAGCACACAGTTTTCGAAAGGAAATGAAAAAAAGAATATATCTAGGATACAGATACAGGTGTTCGGGGAGCGTTCTAACAAAACACAGACACAGCGTAGATAGACACAGATAATGACGAAAGCGAGAGGCCGGAGGCCCAGACCAAGCTGGGGGTTGTGGTATGAATATTTCCCAGCGGTGCGGCCCCGGCCTCTCATATTTTCCCACTCAGAAACAAAAGGTCACGCTGCAGACTTAACGACGGGGACCGATGGGAGGGCTGTACACGATCTTGCGGGTCTTGAGAGGGGCCCACTTGTAGCGCTTGACCCAGACGGAGATGGCGAAGAGACCGGTCAGCAGAGCGACGGCCTTGACACCCATCTTCTTGCGGTCGTCCATCTCGGGCTCGGCGGACCAGTTGAGGAACTCGACGACGTCCTTGGCCATCTGGGAGGTGGTGGCGGGGGTACCGTCCTCGTACTCGACAACACCGTCGAACAGGACACGGCCCATGGCAATACCTATTCACTGTCAGCTCGAAATAACCCATGGAGAGATCCGTTTGTTTCACGTACCGGTACCGGGGAAGTAGGGGTTGAAGTTCATGCCCTCGGCGACGGCAGCACCGGCGGGAGCCTCATCGGGGTAACCGGTGAGCAGGGAGAAGACGTAGTTGCAGCCACCGTGACGGCCCTTGGTGATCAAGCTCAGATCGGGAGGCAGAGCACCGGCGTTGGCGGCACGGGCGGCCTCATCGTTGGGGTAGGGGGCAGGGATGTAGTCGGAGAGCTTTCCGGGGCGCTTCTCGATGTTGCCCTCGCTGTTGGGCTCGGTGTCGTACTCGTTGTCCTCGGCCATGGCCTTCATCTCATCGACGGTGTGCATGGTGCCGACCATGCTGCGCCATGGGACACGGGTAAGGGAGTGGCAGGAGGCGCAAACTTCACGGTAAACCTGGAAACCACGGCGGAGGCTTTCGATGGGATTAGATTGGCGGGAAGAAAAATAATGGGACTAGGGGGGATCGTCACTCACGCAGCGTGGTCGAAGGTCTTGTTGAAACGCTCGTGAACCCAAGGGTACTGAGTGGCGTGGAGTCTGAATAAATCCCATCCGTTAGCTTTGATCCTATCCGTCGAGATCGCACAATGCCCGGCTGGGTGCGCCGGAACCATGGTCGTGCTGATCTGCGGTGGTGGAATTCACTCACCCCTCCTCAGCGGGTGTCATGGCGAAGGCCTCCTGGCCGTAGAGGTGGTAGTACCATGCGGTGGAACCGGCGGCGGCGGCGGTTGCGAGGCCGGCAGTGAGTGTGAGGTAGAAGGGGGAGCTGGCGGCCTCGCCGGCGGAGGTGGAAGCGGCACGCTATGGAGGATTAGCAACGAGGTCCGATGGTGGAAACGACTTCCATAGGATTGATTGACCTCCTCGGCCAAGGTCAATGGGTTCGTACCGTGGACTTCCCGAGGGAGCGTGCGAAGGTCCGGTTGGACGCGCGCAGAATTGAACGTCCCAGCATGGCGAAATTTAACCCTCCAAGCAATTGAGAATGGATGGGAAGTGGTTCTGAATCGCCAAAGCGAGAGAGGGGTGGGGTGGGGAAGGGAAGGATGAACAGGAGAGAGGTGCTCGTTGGAGGTTGGACGTCGAAGTTGCAAGTTTCTTCGTTGATGATTACCCCTTCGTTCTGATTGGTCCGTCCGCTCCCCCGACCACAGCACCGTCAAAACTGCCACTTCCCTTGCGATCTTGCATCGCTTCTCTTCTTACAGTCTACGGGATTTACGGGGGAATTTACTGCCATCTTCAGCGGGTGTGGACGCGGGTGTTCACTCGGTCTTCTGTCGTCCTAATATTTTTGGGACTATTTTTTTTTCTCTGACCGGCTGAGCGCTTCCGAGTTTCACCGAAGAACACGCATCACCGGAACAACAGAACCGCACTGAGAGCTGCAAACCTCTGGATTCGACTTTCCACTAGTCTGTGAGAAGCTGTCGATTCCCCAGTTTTACTTCAGTCCCGATCTTCATGCCCAATTGACTGGTGTATCCTCCATACTACTAGTATGAGATCCACGCTCCATGCTTTGTGTACTCCGGACCCTTCTGCTTTCTTAGAGAACTGATGTTCTCGGCTCCAATGGCCTCCAAGGCTCAGAGCTGGGTTCGGTTTGCTTCGTAGGTATGATGGGTACGGGGGACTTCGTCGGCCAGTTGTCCTGGTCTAAGATATGTCCACCGGTGGAATATATAGAGCCGCATCTACTCCGTATATTCCCCGACCATGCACGATCCCGTAGGCCAAGTTTCACGCTGTAGACCTCTATTGACTATGACAGCCATTGAAATCACACCAATCAGACACCGCCAGCTCACTATCCTAACAATATCGAGTCAAGAATGACCTATACCGACCTTGAAACCTTGGAAGGGTTCAGTGTCTAGCATAACAATGGCATCCAAGCGGTGGGATTCTGCCGGAGGCGCTGGACCCTGTCCGTGCACGTAATGACAGTGGACTTGTAGCTCTTATCGCAGCGAAGCAAAGAGTCGAAAAAAGAGTCGAGAAGGTTTCTGATGCTGGCAATGCATTTATAAGACTCGGAAGCCAGCCTGAAGCAAGAAAGTTCGTGGTTGTGTCATACTAAGACAAGACGGACCCCCGCGGGGCCAGGAGTCTGAGGGTGTCTCAAATTACGGGCTACCCAGTGCGTTGTGTTCCCCGATGAAGAGGTCAAGAACACACAATGCCAGGCGCAAAGAAAGGACCCGCAGCCGTGGCCGGACCACGCAGAGATGTGTTGGCTTCGCTGCGCATGGCGTCAATGGAGGACATCTCCAGAGCGGCTCTTCCAGCAGGTGCGTGAGATCACATAACGTGGAGAGCAAGGTGTATTGACAAGCACAGAGATCGTATCCTCAATCCTCGACTACGTCGGCCCCGTTGATCTAATCCGAGCAGCACGGTCATGCAAGCTGATGCACGAGATGGCGTACGATGACACGCGATGGGTACACAGGCTGAAGAGAATCGGGTGTTGGGACGAAGCGGATGCCAGAAAGCACGCCGAAGTACTTTTTGGCACGGTTGCCAACATGGAAGCTGTCGAACAGCAAGAAGAGGCGGAAACGGGTGATGGGTCGGTCCCCGCTGTCACTGTTGGCAACGACCCTTCCAACCAGCTGAACAAGATGTCTGATGGATTCGATAAGATCGATCTGGTAAATACAGCATCGCAGAGTAATGCGCTGGACGATCTCAGCAACGATCCTAGCTTGATGGGTCTGAAACAGGTCAGGTCAATACGGGGCGAAGCCCGTCAGGAATACGGCAAGATCCATGCGGCCCTGGCACCTTACTATGAGGATATTGCGCAAAATGGACCGTCAACCGAGAATCTCGTGTTCACGAAATACCAAGATCCTCTGGCCCAAGCACAACTGTTGGCTCAGTTGCTTTCCTTCGCGAAATCAGACATAGAGCAAGGATGGGAACAGCGACTGGACCATCTACAGGGCACCGTCTCTCTGTTCGAAAACGCAGCCTTGAAAGAGTTCCGTCAAGCTTACGAATCCGAAGATATTGACGGAAAAATGCGAAAATACGCCCACGTTTTATGCACGCTTAACGGCGGACAATCTGCAGTCGATATCTTCATCCACCACAACCACATCATGACAAGGAAGTCTGATTTAGGAAACATCGCTGACTGCATTGATGGACAAGCTGGCACTGTCAAGATGGAGCAGACCCAGGCATTCTTCACACGCCTCAGTGTCGCTTTCAACGATGAGGTTTCCATCATGAACCGTGTATTCCCTTCCGACATGGATGTATCAACTGCTTTTATGGAAAAAGTGGGCCAGGATGTACTCTCCCCATTCCTCACGGCCATCTTCGACGAGCTTCATCGTGTCAGCATCGGCGCATATCTCACTGCAATTTCTGCAACCTTTGTGCAGTGCATGAACCTATCGGAAGCTCTGCTCCCCACAAAAAATTCCGATGCCAAATTTGATGAGTATCTTGATAATGTCGTAATCAAGATCTACGAGCCACACCTTGACTTGTACCTGGCAGAGGAGCTAGATCATTTTAAGAAAACATGCGAGGCGACCGTGAGTGATTGGGACCGGCAGCTTTCCGAGCAAGCCGCGTCGACCGAGTCTTTCTTGATGTCCAACGTGAATCGTCAAGCCGACAAACGAGACTTCCTAACATCCTTCAAAAAAGTGATCATGATGCCAGTGAACATTCTCCCGAGCTTCTCAAGCACGAAGACAGAAGAAACGAAACCGGAGACGGAGTTCAGCAATGACAATCCATTCCAGCAACCCAAGAGCCCCAACCGTTTCTCGACGATATCATCACCTGCCCCAGTGGCCGTTGAAGAAGTTCCAACTACCGAGCTGGCAGCAAAGGCGGCCATCATGAAAGTCAAGATGGAGGGTATCCGATCTTTGTTCAGCATTGAGATAGCCCTTGGCCTAGTTCATGCCGCGAAGTCCAGCCTGGAAAGAGCCGCTCAGTTTGTACGACTAGGTGGCGAGCTTGCGCTCTCAGCGAAACAACAGTGTGAGGCAATTTTCGTGACTCTGCTTCGCATTTTGGGACACCAGCACGTCATCGTTGGTTTCGACAAAGCCGTCAGCCACCTCTCCAACTACCGACCACGCGAGCAAGGAGAACGCGACCAATCCGGAGTCGAACCACTGGTCACCTTCTTGGAGTTGGTCAACGTTGGTGACCTGATTCTGCAGATGATGGACGTGTTCTACGAGCAGGAGCTGATCGGCACAAGATTAGCCGATCGAAATGACTTCATGGACCCTGCAAACAAAGAAAAGAAAAAGTTCGAACAAATGCTCGATGAGCGCGTCGCCGCTGGTTTGAACAAGGGAATCGACGTTCTCATGGAAGAGGTGGATTACATCCTAGCAACACGCCAGCTAGCCACCGACTTCAACCCTGGCGTCTCCTCAGACCCGCACCGCCAGACCATGGATGTCGGTGTGAGTGAAGTCGCCACCGCTGTGGTCGATGTCGTTTCCTCGCACACACAGATGCTAGTAGGAAGCACAGACAAGAGTACACTCGATGTCTTCAACCAGGAAGTTGGTCTCCGCCTCTTCACTGCCCTCTGCAAACATCTCAAGCGCCAGCGCGTGAGTGTTGAGGGCTCACTTAAGTTGATCAGCGACATGAACCACTACTTCAAGTATATCCAGACTCTGCGAAATACCGAGCTTCTTCTGTATTTCACGGCGTTCCGCGAACTTGTGCAGATCTACTTGGTAGATCCTTCTGATGCCAAAGAATTGGCAAACCTCATCGCCGATGCGGATCGGTTCCATGGTATCTGGCGCGTGGAAGAAGTGATTGAATTTGCGGAACGCCGGGCCGACTGGTATCAGGTCAAGCGTGATGTTGAACGAGCCATGTATGGCATTGGTTGCAATGTCATGTAAATAGATACAGATGTTGGATCATTCCGACTGCGGAGTATACGGATGTTGCTTTTAGCTGGCTCTGGAAGCATCCAGGTAGATAAAAAAATACATATTGTCCATCGCATCCAGGTAGATAAAAGAATACATATTATCCATAGGTCGATACACCACTCCGCGTCTGCACCTGGGCATTCATCCCGACCTCGGGAGGTTGTCCACGTCCACATTGTTCGAACAATGCCGGTCTGTAAAACACCCGTCATTTCCAAGGTTTGACGTCTAAATTAAGAATCAAATGGAATGGAACAAGACGAAACATAATCATAAGCGCCCAGTACAGTTCAAAGACCGATGCAGCCCTAGCGCATTTCATGCAGCCCCTAGCCCTAAGCCCCTGTGACGTTCTCGGCGGCTGCTGGAACACCAGTTGCGCCTGAAACTATTCCGATCCAACTACCAGCCTGCCCCAGTTGCATTGTCAAACATCTGCAGAATCATGCATTCATTGTGCTTATATTTAGGCCCTTCTCGCCATTTCCGGGGACCGCGAAGACCACCGCCATGCAAGAGACCATCGACGACACAATGAATCGCAACCGAGCTTGAATACCGAGAACAATAAAGAACCATTGAATGAATAGCCAAGGAACGCATTTGACCGCCGCGGCCTGATTGGGACCGGGGCATTTTTGAGCTTTCAGCTCTATTTCCACACCAAACGGCGTCGGTGGCTGGACGGCCTCCGCCACCTGAATAGGAAATCGACTGCAATGAACAGACTTGAACTTGTGACAAAAGACAAAGACTTTTACATCTTTTTCCACTTGTAAGAAAGGACGGCAAGGCTATTACTTCGACATCTACATCAATCCACATTCACCTCAACATCATACCAACTAGATCTTCGGCATCACTCTTCTCAAGGATAATATCACCCCCACATCATCTTTGATATTTCCATCCCAAAAACAAAAACCTACAAATCAATAACTCCCGAGGTCTAAAATGAGGTCCAGGAACCTCAACGCCAAAGGATGGCTGGCCATCTACATCCTCTTTACAGCTAGCATCGCCGATGCCAAAGAATTAACCACCATGACCCTGGGATCGCAAGGACATCCAACACTCAGGCTCGTGGTCGAAGCGCCCCCTCTACCAACAGCAACACCAGACCCATCCTACACCGATCCAAAAATCTTCGAGAAACAAGCTCTCGAAATATCGAACGAGTATCGCGAGCAGCACAGCGCCAAACCCTTAGTATGGAACAATACATTAGCCGAGTACGCAAAGAACTGGTCAGAAGCGTGTATCTGGAAACACTCTGCAAGTACCCCCATTGCCTTACATTCCACCAGCTTCAACCATAAGTCTAATAATTTCAATAGGGTGGTTATGGCGAGAACATAGCCGGAGGATTTCAAAACCTCTCTGGAGCAATCAGAGCCTGGGGTGATGAACGCGAGCTCTACGACTTCGATCTCCCAACCGGCTTCGACGAAAAGACTGGTCATTTCACACAACTAGTTTGGAAAGCTTCACGTCAGATGGGATGTGCTGCTTTCAACTGTGGATATCAATATGACAGGAAGAAGGTGGTGAATGATAGCCCCGAGAAAGACGGGAATGGAACGACTGGTTTGGTTAAGCGCGAGGGAAAGGGTGAAGACGGACCGAGGCGCGCGCAGGGCTGGTATCTTGTTTGTGAGTATCAGCCTGCGGGTAATATTTACTCGAACGGCACGAAATTATTTAAGAAGAATGTCATGCCTCGAAAGGTATCGAAGACATCTAAGACTTCGACGTCAACTTCGACATCGGCTACAGCTACAGCTACAGCTGCTACTGGGGAGCATTCTCCAGAAACGGGTGGTGCTTTCAAGGCTGGGTTTGGTAGGATGATGTTATTCATGGGAATGGCTTGTGCTGGGCTGGGACTTTAAGCTGACGGTATGGACGTCGTTGGCCTGGGATTTGTGAGTGATAATTTCGTGTTCGTACTGTATCCTCAAGGGGTTGATATACATGGGCGTTATTTTGGCGGCGAAGTGGTTGGAAAAGATGTCAAGATACAGGTCCTTTACTAAGTCTACAGATTTTCGCTAGTTGAATAGGGCAAGGTTGAACTTCACTAGGAACTGGTTTCGTAGCCATCTCTCATGCTTATCCACATTGCACATTTCGTCGGACGCACCGATCTATTGAATTTTGGAATGTCCCGATCCTCACAGGGCTTGCCCAGGGGACCTAAAAGAAACACAAGGGGACAGAAGGCTGGGCGCGAAACGCCAGCGTCGAAACAAGGGGGAAAAGAGGAACAAAAGGAAACACATTATTTGCGAAAATAGACACTGATTCATCCAATGACCTCCTCGGTCTCTTCGACAATCTCTTCGACAATCTCCTCGACCACGGAGTCGCCCTGGTCCTCGACAACGGGACGGGCGTCGCGGGCGGCCTTGGGTGAATCTGCGTCTTCGGCGAATCCAAGAACCTCCTTCTCCTCGGCCAGAAGCTCCTTCTCCCGACGGAGCCATGCGAGCCACTCGCTGAGCACACGCTTGCGGGTCTCCACAACGGCGGTGTTGGCAATGTCCACGGCGTACTTGTCCTCCTCGTCGAACTCCTTTGAGTACTCACGGAGGTTCTTGCGCACTTGCTTCTGCTCCTCCTTGCTGAGGAGAGTGGCGGGGCGCGGGCGCCAAAGGAACTGCTTGAACTTTTCGGTGGGGTTTTCGGAGAGGGTGGTACCGGAGAAGGTGTGCATGTTCCAACCGTTCTCCATCTATGAGGTAGTTAGTATCCGAGGATGAGTAAATCTTGATCATGTCTTACCGAGTGTGTCCAGACACTGGCGCTGCTGACAACGTAGCGACCAGTGGAGTCCCAGTCGATATCGGTGACACCGTAGTGTTCGGAGGTCTTCATGAGCTGAAGGTTAGCGGCAAGATCCTTCTCGGCCTCAACCTTCTCGCCCTCGAAGTCCATGTCCCAGAAGTCCATGTCGAAGCTGGTCTGGGAGTGAACAGTGGCGACAACGACGAAACGGCCCTTGGGGGACCAGTAGATACCGTTGCTGTTCTTCTTATCGACGGTGCGGACCAGCTTGAAGTTGCCGGTTTGGTGACCCTTCTTCTCGGGTGCGAAGAAAGAGACGGAGGTCTTAGGGGCGACAGCAGCGCCTTGGGCGGCCTCGCCGTTTGTGATAGCAACGAAACGAGCTCCATTGGGCTCCCAGGCGAAGTTAATAACGGTATCCTTAAGGCTGTCGACAACCTCGACGGGAACACCCTTCTCGCGAACACGGAAGATCTCAAGGTTAGTGGCCATGGACTTCTTAGACTTGGAGTGACGGTCGACCTTGACACAGACGTATGCACCCTGTGATTGCCAGTGCAGCTTGACATCGGAGACGTTGAAGAGGTTACGAGTACGGACAACCTCCTTTGAGGGCACGCTCATCATACCGACGCGGGCGGGGTTGCTGCCAATCTCGGGGGTCCAGAAGCAGAGCAGTTGCTCGTATTGCTTGACACCCTCACGGGCGACAGTGGCGGGAGACCACTCGAAGTCCATGACACCGTCGATCTTGACAGAGGTACGGCCGAGGAGGTTCATGTTGGGGAGCTCGTAGATGGAGATAGACTGGCCCTGGAGCATACGAGCGACGTACTTCTCATCAGCGGACCACTTGAAGGCAGGCCATTGGACCTTCTTCTTGGGTGCGACGTCACCATCGATGGCGACGGGAGCAGCAAGATCGTGGGAAACGAAAGAACGAAGGGGCTTGCCGGTCTCGATGTCCCAGACAATGATGTTCTTGCCGTCCTCCTCGTAGGTCAGGACGGGCTGGCCTTCCTCGACCTGGATGGGGCGGGCGGACCACGTTGTCAGGTAGCCCTCAAGCGGGGAGAACTCGATCAACTGGACGAAGGGGTGGGGGAATTGCTTTTGCTTGGAGAAAGACTCGCCTCCCCAGAGTTGGACACCCTGGGGGTGGACGGAGGCGAGGAAGGTTCCCTTGGGAGACCATTGGACGAAAAGTTGTGTCCAGTGAGCGCGATCGACGACGTTCTCGGGTGTGTTGGTCTTGTTGTTCCAGAAGACGCCGACCTTGTCGTTGCGGTAGAGGGCGAACTGATCACGGGCGTTGGCATCTCCCATCCACGAGCGCAGGTGCTCCTTCTCCTTGAATGGCTCCTGGGTAGGGGCCTTGTATTCTTCGTCGACGCGGCCTTCGCGGCCATAGCGCTCGATATCCATCAACTTGTTCACGGCCAGGGTGTGCTTCTTATCGAGGGGAACGCCGTGCAGCTGCTTGACGGCGGCACCAGCCTGTTCGGGGGTTGCGTATTCCACGAAGGCAAATCTACCAACAAAGATTAGAAATTGTCCACTGGGTCCTCCGTTCCTCGCTCGACATCCGATACGCACCCTTCGGTCATTTTCTTGTCGTTAACGGGCATGAACACCGCATCTTCGGAGGTGCTGCCGACGGAGTTGAGTTTTCTCAATAAGAATTTCACGAGCTTCTGTCGGCTGTCTTCGGGCACAACGGGGAGGCCATCGATGACGATAAATGTGTCCAATCCCTCCTCCATCTGAACTTCATATTGCGCCTTGAGATCTGGACAACAACGGGTTAGAGAGGGGCACACAGACGAGAAATCTTGCACTCACCAGAGAAGTCAATCTCCTCCTCCTCTTCCTCGTGGAGGTCCTGCTCGGACAGGGTATCGAAACTGGGCGCCATAATGGGTATATGATAATACCGAGGGCGTCTATAGGTTCCGGAGCAAAGATAGATCGGTGTAGTCCGCTGTTGGATTTTCGGGCAGAAACAAATCGCGGACGCCAAGCAATTCTTTGTGCGGACTGACATAAGCTCAGCGTGCATCGATTTGCTCTGTTTGCCTAATTTGCACTGTTTGACCAATCCCACACATTGGGACTAGTGCTTTTGCTGTTGAACGCTGCAGGGTGCCCGCCTGCCCAGGTTACTACTTCCAAGCCTTCCCAGCCCCAAGGTTGTCGCAAGTCTGCGATACGGCACTATTAAGGAAAAGTTCAAGTTCATATATATGGGGTTATCTTAAAAAGCTATCCATGGTGCTCTACCTAGGAGTCCCATATGAAAGCTGTGGAGAGTACTCTGCCTTGATATGGCAAGAGTATTCAACGGCGCTCAATTTCTTCTTAGCTTCAGAATGAGAGACCGACTGAAGACTGTATGATAACTGATTTCTCGTACTCGAGCTATCCTCTGCATGTCTTACTGCGAGCACTTTGTAGATCGGCTCTACACGTGACTGCTTACATACGGTTTCCCCAGCTTGAGCGTCAATCATCATAGATGTCTCCGGAGAGGCTCTCAATTGGATTCACTTGACACTCTAATGCATGTCATATGCTCAGCTCTTTATCTGACTTACCCTTTGTCTAATATCGCTCATAGACCAGCCTTCCTGCCCTCATTCAAGCCCTAACTTTATCTCTAATGCCCCGCCGGTCTTAAGCGCCAGTGCGACTTGAGTATAGCCCACCTGACAACTTCGAGCTCTTCTTCGACCAGCGTACCCCATTGCACACCCCGCAACATCCCCAATTGCACCCACCAAATCTCACCTCGGCCAAGAAGGACGACTCAAGGGACCCAACCTCTGTGATCTACTCCAGCCAAGATGTCGTGTAAGCTACCTCGGCGTTGTCCCGATCCCAACAGCCGACGCTTCCTCAGGCCTGCTAACCGCTCCGCAACCTTGCGCATTAGTATCCTTAGAGCTCCGCGACAAATATACTGCAATCATTGATGATATTTTGGCCAAGAGCGACCTTACCACCATCTCCGAGAAGCGGATTCGCAAGGGTCTTCAGGATGTCGTCGGGCATGATCTTACTCCGCAGAAGGTCAGTCAACCGTGGCAAGATTTGGCGCATCACCTGAAAAACCCGCACCGGGGTCGTCGGCAACGGAATATGACTGACATATGAAAAGGCTGCCATCAAGCAGCTCATCATGGAACGGTTCGACCGATATGCCGACCAGGATGGCCTGGGCGGGTCGCCCGAGGAGACAGCTACAAGCAACGGACAGCGCGACTCAGCCTCAGCTGCAGAGCGATCCCCGCCCGCTTCCTCATCCCCCGTGAAGCGCCAGGCCTCCAGCGACGGCACCTCCGAGCCCGCGAGCGCGTCGCCGCCTGCCAAGAAACAAAAGCCCGATGATGATTTCGATGCCGATGCAGCATTTGCCGCGAAACTGCAGGCCGAGGAAAATTCGCGCGCTCGGCCCACTCGAGGAGGTAACACCCGCCGTGCAGCACCTAAAAAGAAAAGCAAGGCCAAGACTTCCAAGAGGGTGAAGGCCTCTGATGATTCGGATATCGGCTCTGGCGAAGAATCCAAGAAGGAAGTTAACAGGAATACCGGATTCCATGTATGCAACCAAAATCATGTCCATCGATCTCCCTGTCTGTTCTAATCGTCGCACAGAAACCACTTAACCTTTCTGAGCCACTGTCCGCACTCCTTGGAGAAGTCACGGTGAGTCCTTATCCTTGAGCAACCTGGCGCCCATACTAACCAATCCTTTAGCTCTCACGGCCACAAACAGTGAAGAAAGTATGGCAATACATCCGCGAGAATGAGCTCCAAGATCCCAGCGACCGTCGCCAAATTCGATGCGACGATGCCATGCGCGCTGTCTTTAAACAAGACCGCGTTCACATGTTCACCATGACCAAAATTCTGAACCAGAATTTATACAACCCTGACGAATAGCCAGGGCTCAGGGCCATTGCTGTCATGCTGGAAGAACAGGCTCCAGTCCAAGTCCTGTTTCTTAACGATTCTCCTTGGTCTTTCTTGATAGGTTATGTTTTTTGCGATGCATGGGGATGCTGGCGCGAGTTTTGAGCACTTTACATCCACCATTTTTGTTGAATTTCCCAATCTCGACTTTGCTTCTGCCCTTGAATGTGACGTGGGCCTTTCACCGTTGCTATACCCAGGTGGCCTCTAAGGTCCTCGATTCAACTACAGGTCCTAGTTCAATCTGATCTAGATAGATGTAGAAATTGGCATCTTCAAACATAGGGCTGCACTCCTCCGAAAGAACGATTCAACATGTCAATAATGGATGTGAGTTGCGGGTTCACATTGTAGACACCCAGATGTTGAGCCAAGGGGCTATCATGGCCACCTTAAACCATGGATACTACAGCCTGAGCAAGGCCTTCGCGTCAGAAGTGAGAGGTGAGACGGGGTCGCAAACCCGTGGACAAGCGAGAGGCTGACAGCTCGCAGGTTTACTCCTCCAATGCGGCGTGCGGGATCAGTCAGCGACGTATACGGGCTTTTTTTCCCGCGGTCTCTCCCCCACCACTCCCCCACAATTCCAGAGCTCTGCAGCGTCAATAACCTGGCCACTGGCATCAGCCTTGTCCGAGACTCCCTGTTCATCCGCTTGTTTCCCCAATGGCCGACAACCAGACCCCTGAAGCACCCAGCCAACGTGGTGGACGTCGCCGCGGCCGCGGAGGGGCAGGCCCCTCTGGCCGTGTGGACTCTCAGAACAATGCCGACGGTGAAAAGCGTTCCAAGCCTCGTACACGAGGCAGTGGTCGGGGTGGCGGAGACTCCGGCCGCCAGAACCGCAAGAATGAGCAGACCAGCGATAAAGACACGCAGCCCAAACCTACGGTGACGTCGGCGACAAAGAAACCAGTGGAAGCTGCCACCGATGACGCAGATGATGGTGAGGTCTGCTTCATTTGCGCCTCACCTGTCGAACATACCTCGGTTTCCCCCTGCAACCACAGGACGTGTCATATTTGTGCGCTTCGACTGCGCGCACTCTACAAGAACAAGGCTTGTGCTCATTGTCGGGTACGGTACATCCTGCGGGTTATCATGGAACCTCTGAAATCGTGGTATGCTAACAGATTACTCAGACGGAATCGAACTTTGTTATATTCACGGATGACCCTGCACGGCGATATGAAGAGTTCCAGAAGAAGGACTTCGCTCGGACGGACGAGAACCTGGGGATCGAATACGAGAACGATGAGATCTTCGGAGACACGGTGCTTTTGCTCCGATACAACTGCCCAGATGAGGACTGCGATGTGGCTTGCTTGGGGTGGCCAGATCTACACCGCCATGTCAAGACGAAACACAACAAGATGATGTGGTACGTCGTGCCCATTAGGTAGAATGGTGACCCTTGAACCACTGGCTAACATACATTCAAAAGTGATCTATGCACTCGCAACAAAAAGGTCTTTACACACGAGCATGAGCTCTTTACTGCAGCGCAGTTGCGCAAGCACGAGAAGTCGGGCGACGACAAACCTGGAGCCATTGACCAAAGTGGTTTCCGAGGTCACCCCGAGTGTGGTTTCTGTCGTCAGAGATTCTACGGTGACGATGAGCTCTACGCCCACTGCCGTGATAAGCACGAACGCTGCCACATTTGTGACCGTCGCTCCTCCCACCGCCAGCAACAGTACTATATCGATTACAATGCCCTTGAGAACCATTTCTCAAAGGACCATTTTGTTTGCCTTGACAAAGAATGCTTGGAGAAAAAGTTCGTCGTTTTCGAATCTCAAATGGACCTGAAAGCCCACCAAATTGAAGCCCACCCGGACGGCCTATCGAAGGATATCCGCCGGGACGCTCGAATGGTTGATTTGGCCGAGTTTGACAACATGCGCACGCCATTCCAACAGCCGCGCCAGCGACGGGGAGCTGGCCGAGGCCGCGACCCCAATGCCGAGCCACTGCCACAGTCCAGTGCACAGCCATTAACTAGGGCCGAACTTGCATATCAGCGTCAAATGGCCATCCAGAGCTCACAGTCTGTTTCAACACGAAACTTCGGTGGCCAGCTCACCCGCGAAGACGTTCAGCCCGTGCGTGCGCCTGAACGCTCCGCCGCTGGCACCCCCGTTCAGTCCCCTCCTATGTCACGCCCCCAACCGCTTCCGACTGCAGCATTCGAGAACCTCAACCTTGCTGCCAACTCTGGACCTTCCACTCCTCAGGACCAGGCCCGCCGAATGCGCCATGAAGCCGTGGTTCAACGCGCATCCAACCTTCTTCGTAACGATGCCACCAAGCTTGGCGAGTTCCGCAGCAGAGTATCAAGCTTCCGCACCTCGTCAATCTCAGCAACCGAGCTCATCGATGCCTTCTTCTCATTGTTCGACACCTCCAGTACGGAACTCGGCAAGCTCGTCAAGGAACTCGCCGATATCTACGAAGAAGAATCAAAGCGCTCCGAACTTTTACGTGCCTGGAACGATTGGCGCGCCATCAACGAAGACTACCCGGCACTCCCAGGTCCCGGTGGCCTCCTTCCAGGCGTATCTCCCAGCACCATCAACACCGGTGGCAGCCGTGTTCTTCGCCTGAAGTCATCAACTGCGCGATCCTCGCGCTCTGCCGTCGGCAAAAGTGGCTCTCTCCCAACTGCACCATCCAACCCCTTCCCTCCCCTCTCTGCCGCAGCTGGTTCTTCGCGCCGTGGTAAAGCTGCCGCCGCGACACCCTGGGCTGCAGCGCCCCCACCTCCTCCCGTGGCCCGTCCCGTGGCCCGTCCCACTATGCCAACCCCCACCAGTTCCTACTCAGCGCCATCCTCCAGCCGGACTCCTGCTGCTCCAGCTCCCAGAAGTGCCGAGGCTTTCCCGTCTCTTCCTGCCGCGCCTAAGCCCAATGTTCTGATGGCTGGTAAGACGCGTGGCACTGTTCGCTGGAACACGAATCTTGGCCCCGCCCAGAACGCTTGGGACTCAAACCCTAGCTCAGGCACTGCCTCTCCTGCTGAGCCTAATTATGACAATGAAGGCAGTGCCGGCAAGAAGGGCAAGAAGAACAAGGGAAAGCAAACCCTGTTCCATTTCGGTTGATTTGACGCCGTTCTGGAGGTTTGTGCTGAATTTGCATTTGGCGAAATATTCCACTGGCGGCGCATATAAATGATCTCATGTGTCGGGCTAGGTCTTTCATGACTCTTTTCTTGTACCTAGCGACTACAGATAAAATGTATTGTACAGAAGTAATTCATAGCATTCTCATTATCTATGCGTGGTATCATACACCAGTAGATTCTATAGCCCTTCTCTCTTCTGTGGCATAGGAAGACGTGTTGAAAGTCTGGTGAATCAATAACATGGAGGATCGTTCACTTACTATCCGCACCTTTTGGTATGCTCAAATCAGCTGCTTATCATCCTCGACGCAATGCCCAGACTCCGTCGCGGACCAGACGTCGATGCTCGCCCGAGAAGCATGCGCACCCACACTGGCACGTGAACTGTTTGAAACCAGCTGTGAATGATCTGGTTCATCACCCGCCAGCTCAGATTCATGCTCAGAAGCAAACTCCGACTCACTTCCGTCGCTGTCGTTCAACTCCATACCGCGATTGATAGCAGTCATGCGCAAGGCGAAATCGTTCTGCAACTGAATTAACAATGTCCGAAGAGCCGAGTCATCCATAGTCTCCCGACGAGCAAGAAGTAGTCGTTCCCGGAGTGAGAGAAGCAACTTCCGCTTTTGAGCAATAGCCACGGCTCGGGATGAACTATTCCGTCGACGAGCCACTCGATCCATCGCTTCTGACACCTCTCGCGCCTTGGCCCAAACAGCCGAAGGCAAATCAGCGACTTGCGCAAGAGCAATTCCGTAGCGACGATCAGGCACTGGACCCTCGGCGATGCGGTACTGCATTGTCATTTTGGATGTATCGGACGCGATATCAGCGGCAAGATGGAGGTTAATAACGCCACTGCGTTGAGCAAGGATCTGAGCTAGATCGTGGAAGTGCGTAACAAACCAGACAAGTGCATTGCTGGAGATGAGTGCTTCGGCTAAGGCGATGGCAATGGCGAGACCGTCTGTAGTGCTTGTCCCGCGACCAAGTTCGTCAATTATAACCATGCTGCATGGCTGGATATTACGCAGAATGAAGGCCATTTCGCGCATCTCAGCGGCAAAGGTCGAGACATTGGCGTCTAAATCATCTGATGTTGCAATGCGAGCGAAGAGCTGGTGGGAAACTGGGAAAGAGGCATACTGGGCTGGAACGAAAGAGCCAATCTGCGCCATCACGGTCGTCAGTGCTAGAGAACGGATGTAAGTTGATTTGCCGCTCATGTTGCAACCTGTTATTATCTGGAATCGGGTTTGAGGTGTGGCGTACGCGTCATTGGGGACGAACTTGCTGGAATGAATTTGCTCGCGGATTGGATGCCGTCCTGCTTTGATGGCAAGGGTGTCTGTGAGCTCGGGTCTGATGTATTCGTGCTTTGTTGCTAGTTTTGCGAATGCGCCGAGCATGTCGAGCATTGCAATTGCTTCGCTTACTCGAAAGAGGCCGGAAATCTCGCTGCATACGTCGCGTAGCAGTTCTTGGATGGCACGGTTGCTCATCTTGATCACTTCGCTGTGCGAATCGGTAATCTTCTGGTTGAGCTTAACAAGATCAAGTGTCTGGCATTCGATGCGGTTGCGGTTGCGATACACATTGATGAAAATGTCTGGCAGTGGGCCTTTTTCTTTGGCCGGAATGCAGATGTAATAGTGCCTGGCTGTGTCATACTTCAAGTCTAAGACTATGTCGCAGGTTTCTGTAATGCGTTAGATCAATTTGCACAACCTTGACTGGAGCTTGCCTGATAATTTCTCAATCAGCTCCGTGGCATCGGTGTTGGCCTCCTTGTACGTCTGACGAGCAACATCAAGCAGGCTATTGACGCCGGCCTACATACCCTTAGTATAGCCGAGATATATCGACTATGGATAACTCTTACCTTCACACAGTAGATGCGTTGGTTTCTCAGATCAAGTGGCTTTGACTGGTACGTGACATGCTCGTTCAATGTTGTTTCGATGAGCTCCTCGATTGTCCGGTGACCTTCTGGCGCACAAAGCTATATGGCGTTAGGAGGAACCAGGCTCCTTATCCTGGATTAGCACTTACTTCGCGTATGGTGCGTAGCAGGGTGCTTTGTGCCGTTGCCAGGGCCTGGAAGATTGTCTTTATAGCAGACACATAAGTCTTGAGCATGATCACATTGTTCACTGACTGCTCGACGTATTGCACCGTTTGCTTGGTAGGGACCAGGATGATCTTGAACCACATTAGCGCGGCTCTGTCGCATCATTGGATACTCGAGGACGCTACCGCAGTCAACACCTTGTCGGCATCAATGAACCCTTTGAGAGCCTGTCTAACGGAAACAAACATATCTTCCTTGGTAGTGAGATCTTCCACGGCATCATATCTTGCTGTTAGCTTTACTCGTTCTGTTGAAGGCTGGAGGATGCTAGCCCGGAGCAATCTGGCTCCCATAGGCGTCAGTGTCTCATTGAGCAAACCAAACAGACTCTCCTTGGACTTGGCATTCTGCAGATTTTGGATGAGCTCGAGTGATACAATGGTTGCGAGATCAATTGTCATAGATCCTTCAGACGGCTCGAATCTGATCCGTAGCGAATGAGGGGTGAACGATCGCTGAAGCTCAACCTCGACATACTTGAGGACCTAGTTCAAATGTAAGTAGTCCTTTTAATCATATCTGGGTGTTCATACTGCTGCAAAGCAACAAGCTGCAAAGTAGTTGCCGCCCAGTGTCACTTTGAGCGAGTCAACCTCTTCCTGAAAGGAAAGCCGTTCCACAAATTCGTGGCCTGTCTGTTCGGACCACCATCGGCGGTCTAGGAAAGTGAAGATGGGGTCTGGTAAGTTCTCTTGGATGATAGAGCAAAGTTTGGACTCCTTGGCGGTATTCATAAATAGGATCTCGCTCGGCTCAAAGACACCAATCTTGACGATTGTCTTGACATAAGTTTGACTGTCGCATATCTGACAGAGCACTGCTTCGGCCGTTGCGAGGTTAATGAAAGCCAGGCCAATAGTGGACGAGACGCCCCGCGATTCACTAACAGCGCAAATGATGTCCTGGGATGCGACGCTGGTGGCAGTGGTTGTTGGCCTTGCCGTTGGGTGTCTACTGGTCGCTCTAGAGACCAACCGAGCTGTAGGATTCTGCGAATCCAATGAATTGAATGAATATTCGGACATTTTGCCAGTCACTGGGCAGTTATTGTGGTCGAAGTGTCCGCCGTGGAGGAACTGATAGCGATAAGCGATAAGCGTCGAGATAATTTTGCCGTCAAAAATTCTCTCTTCCCTCACGACGTCAAATTCCCCCATAATTCAGCCATGGCGACCTTGTATCCTCCCCCTAGCAAGCGCCAAAAGCTCGCCCAGGCCGACAGGGCCCGCGAGCAGCAAGAACTTGACACCATCCCCTCCGATCTGGGCAGTGTCCGAGTTCAATTCTATGATCAAGCAACCGGACAGCCCACCGGGCCTGCAGTCTCCGTCCCAGTCGCCGATGCCAATGTCAAGAACCTCGAAACTTTGTTGAACACATTACAGGGAAATGTAAGAGTCTCGCCCTATCACGCAATATGAAACACTTGGGATCAATGGTTCTGACAGCGATCTACAGGAAGATGATGAGCGGGTACCGTACCGCTTCGCCTACCACTCTGAAAAAGAAGGGCAAACAATCGATATCCTTCGTGATGTATACCACTCTCTCCTTGAGCCTGGAGTCAAGACCACCGAAGACACAGTCTCTCTGTTCTACACACCGCAGGCGGTCTTCCGCGTGAAAGCCGTTTCACGATGCGCCGCCTCCATCGCGGGACACGGCGAAGCAATTCTGGCAACCTCATTCTCCCCCGTCAACTCCTCCACCATGGTCTCTGGAAGTGGAGACAACACCGCCCGTATATGGGACTGCGACACCGGAACCCCGCAACACACGCTCAAGGGCCACACCAGCTGGGTGCTGGCCGTGGCATACTCGCCCAATGGTGCGATGATCGCAACGGGCAGTATGGATAACACCGTGCGATTCTGGGATGCGAAGAAAGGCACTGCCCTGGGTGGTCCGCTCAAGGGCCACTCGAAGTGGATCACGAACTTGGCTTGGGAGCCATACCATGTGCAGGAATCTGGACGCCCGCGTGTGGCGTCTGCGTCCAAGGACTCCACTGTGCGAGTTTGGGATGTCGTCTCTCGAGTAATTGACCATGTGCTCACGGGTCACAAGTCCTCTGTGACCTGCGTGCGTTGGGGTGGTACTGGCAAGGTCTACACTGCTTCCCACGATAAGACTATTAAGATCTGGAACCCCAAGGACGGTACCTTGCTACAGACCCTCTCGGCTCATGCCCATCGCGTTAATCACCTTGCTCTTTCGACTGACTTCGCTCTGCGCACTTCCTACCACGACCACACCGGCAAGGTCCCTGAGACCGAGGCCGAGAAGAGAACTGCGGCAAAGAAGAAGTTCGAGGAGGCAGCTACAGTGAACAACACCATCGTCGAGCGATTGGTGTCCGCCAGTGATGATTTCACAATGTATCTGTGGGAGCCGTCTACTTCAAACAAGCCCGTTGCACGCATGCTGGGTCATCAGAAGGAAGTGAACCACGTTACTTTCTCGCCTGACATGGCCTACATCGCCTCGGCTGGTTTCGACAACCACGTCAAGCTTTGGAACGGCCGTGACGGAAAGTGAGTATATTACCCTCATTTCACTTGACATAACTAACCGCTCCAGATTCATCACGACTTTCCGTGGCCACGTGGGCGCCGTCTACCAGTGCTGTTTCTCCGCCGACTCTCGCATGCTGGTGTCCTCGTCCAAAGACACCACTCTTAAGATCTGGGACGTACGCACCGGCAAATTGCGCATGGATCTTCCCGGGCACCGGGATGAGGTCTTCGCTGTTGACTGGAGTCCCGACGGACAAAAGGTCGGCAGTGGAGGTAAAGACAAGCAGATTAAGATTTGGCGAAACTAGATTCGCCCGCTTGTTTAAAACCTTTTCTTTTCTTTTTCAACGGCTGGTCCTCATGTCCATGCTGTTTTCTCGGAGCCGAGCGATATCCAATGCTGCTTGCAAGAACCTGACGACCACAGATAGGAGCCCGACCCGGGATATCAACCGTGGGTTCGCTTCCTGGGGTTTCTATCTCTGTTGAGGCAGATGCTCTTTGGCTGTCACGGCCAATTATGACGTGAAACAGAGGGCGAACTGCGAGCCTATTGAGCGTGGATACTCGATGGCACCTATACCTGATGACCGTCCTACTGCCTGGGGCACAAAATAGACACTTGATGTATTTAGCCGCGTCTTATGAACATTCTTTGGTATTTGGACTGATCGTAAATAGCATATCCGAGAGATCCATGGATTCCCACAAAACCACAAAGTCATCGGGAATGCCGAGATCGAACAATCAACTCTGAACCGTGGAATCTTCACGCCAATCTCCGAGGCTTACGGGTACCAGTATGGGCATTTCTAATAGTACCAACAGTCCATGGAATAAATCACATCATGCATTAAAAATCCAATGCTAAATACAATCAATATCACATTAAACCATCAGGCATCTAAATGTACTGCCAAGCAGGAACATCTCCATCATAATCAATAGCCAAAGCGGAGAAGCCAAGACACTCATCAACATCACCCTTAGGAACCGTGGCATTGTTGATAGCCGCAAAGACCTGCCAGCGCTGGTCATCAGTCGGGCAAGCCATGAACCCACTCGCGCCCCATCCGTTGAACGAGTAATGAGCCCAAGGCTCATCGGGGCTATACTTGAACGGGCCGACGGCGGAACCAGCAGGGATGTTGGCGGAGTGGGCCTGAGTGAAGCTCAGGGCGCCGTGGGGGTCAATGTAGACTTGTTGGCCACCGGGAACGTTGACGTCCTGGGATTGTTAGGTGCGAACTCTGTTGGTTATTGCGGTGGGGACATACCAGGGAGCCACCGCCGGGGGTGAAGACGGTTTCGTTGCCGGGGGGGCAGTGGGTGACTTGGGTGGGGCAGTAGGAGGCAGTTTCGCCGCCGAGGTAGAATTTCTGACCGGCGGCGTTCATCTGCAGGTAGTGGATTGGGGAGGCGGAGCGGACGGACATCACGCTGAAGTTGGGGTTGGTGCTGCGCTCGCTGGCTGGGGCGGCGGCGGCCAGCAGGGGCAGGGCGAGAAGAGCTGTGTACTTCATTGTTTGAGATTGTTTGTGGAATTGGAAGTGGGATTGTTTGTGTCTGAGGGATGGGAGTTGGGGTTAAGGGGTTGTTTATATAGATTTACGTCCGGAGTAGATTGCATCTTGAAGATCAACTGAGTACCGTGGGTCGTGAGATTGTGAACTGTCGGAGGGACCGAGGTGGCGAGGGTATCATTGGCTCGAATTTTGAGACATTCAGATATTGAAGCATTGAACTCGCTTAACGCAGTCTGCATGTAACGGTGACTACCTCTCAACCCCAAAACTGAAGCGAAGTGAGACAATTCAAGGTCAAAGAACATGCCAAGACGAGAGGTTTACTTGAAAAAGTGGAGGAATCGTGTTGTGGTTCGGGTAGTTTGGGAGATCTGCACTCATGTCTCACTTCTATACTTGGAGCACCCTTTCCTTGGCTTGTATCATCGCTTCGGCTCAGTCCGCATTGTCTGCGTCAATGACGCATTGCGTCCTTCGCTACCATCTATAACTCATCCATAACTGTGAACGTGAATAGACACACTGCCACACTGACCCATGGCACGGAAGTATAGAACCCTGAACACCCGCTCACATGAGTCTCATCAGACAGGAATACTGGCTCAAAATTCAGGTCTCGCAATGAGGTCCTCGTGCGAGCTACGTTGAAGGAGGCGATATCTTTGACTGCATGATCAATGAAGTCACCCGTTTAACGTCGCACATTGTCTGACGCGACTCGGCGGAAGTGCGGCCGGCCCAGGGACGGTGTGACGGGGTTCAGGGTCCTATGCTTGTGCTTGTGCATGGGAAACGGCACTGCAGTGGAAGACCTCAGACAGGGCTGAGACAATTTGGAGGGGAAGTAGGATTTTGGAGTTGCGTCGGTGTGGGGATGGCTGCAGATTGTTTGTGGTCCTATAATAGACAGAACTATAGACAGGGGTTGGGGTATTGAGAGAATACCTGCCAGTCATCGAACATTCAAGTTGAATGGTTGAGATCTCGCTGAACAGCACAATAGTATCATATATCAGTGTCTACCTCAGAAAGTATGGATTGAGTACGCAGCAATAGGATTGGATATCGAACTTTTCTCTAGCCTAAGAATGACAAGACATTCGATTCGCCGAAAGTATGTACGCGCGGGTCAGCCGCGGAGGTATGGATAAACACGACCAGAGGCCAAAAGCCAAACCAGAGACCAGATTTCCTCCCGATAGCAAGATCATATAAAGCGCCAGAAACACCGTAACGCGCCATTCCCACGCGCCATTCCTCCGTCTTAATTTATTGACCCGAAAAAGGAAAGGGATAAGGGATGAAAAGAGAAGCAAAAAAGAGAAGCAGCGCACGTTTTAATAGTCGCCTTCGTCATCGTCATCACCGTCGCCGCCTCGGCCGCGGGGCTTCATTCCGTCTTTGCGGATTGGGATCTTAATGCCTTGCAGGGCAAAGCATTTGCTGAGCTGGGTGCTCTCGATCACACCGGGGAACTTCTTGGCGGAGAAGACTTGGAACGGTTCCGAGAAGACGGAGGCTAGGACGGGAGCGGTTCCGTGGTTGATGACGGGAGCGCCGTTGGTGGTTTCGGAGGACTGCGTGCCAACGTCGACGAAGCTCATTTTTAGCCTGCAGGTGGATTAGTGATTGCTTCGCCATGATTCGGCGAGAGGAGCTTACCGGAAAGTGCCCTCGGTCCGAACGCTCAGGTCTTGCAGGATGAACCACACGCCGATCTTGTTGTCGGGATCCGTCAGGCGGAACGCACTGGCGCTGAGACTACCGATCAGATTGCGAGTAAACATCCCGCCGGGCCCTCCAGTGACGGGTTGTGTAGCTGGCGACATGGCTGGTGGGGCTTGCCCACCGGGGTAATATTGTTGGGGGTAGGTGACCGGCTGGCCGTATTGATTGGGGTAGGCCATCTGTTGACCTCCGTAGTAGTTGTTCATCTGGGGATATCCCACGGGGTACTGGCTTTGGCCGTAGCCGCCGTAGGTGGGCGACATGCTCTGGGGCGGGGGCGGATAGGATTGGGACATGGCGGTCGAGATGGAGGGAGAGGAGGCGGAGTGTTTGACCAGGTTGACTTCGCTGGTGCCATCGACGTTCCACAGGTCGACGGTGAGCACGTAGAAAGAGGTGTCGATCTCACTGGATGGGATTAGCAAAGACGTCGGACACGACTGGCGTTCCACATACTTGATGTCGATTTCTTTATTGGTCAGTTGGTCGCGTACAATGAGACGAATGCAAGGCGGGGGCGTGATCGGTCTCCGATCCTGGGTGCTGTTAGAGCTGAGAAGCCTGACGGGCGGAAAAATCACCCACCTTGTCACCAAATCCACACATGCGGGCTCGGATCGGCTGCTGGACCACCTCTAATGACCAAATGCGACCTCCGTATTCATTCTGCACGGGCGAGAGGTGGTCGGCCGGCCGTAACGTGTTCGGCCCTGGCGGATACGAAGGCGTGGGGATGCGATCCATTGAGAGCGGAGGCGGAACAGGATATTTTCGGTCTTCGACGGCGTACATGGTGGGCGTGAGGTCTGGGCGAGACACGGCTTCGACAGATGCGATGGCAAGTCTCGTAGCTTCCCTGGTTGTTCGAGAAGGAACTGCGACATGCGACCCCGCGATGGTTCAGACGTCACAGCTCGAGCATCGACGGGTCGACAACGGTATTGGCGTGAAGCAGAGGATTAACCAATTCGTAGTCTCCCAGGCGCGAGGCGGAGATCGAATTAGGCGGAGAGAGGGCGGAACCGCAGAATGCGCAGTGGACAGAGTGAACTTGTTCGGTTAGAAACTGATTTTCCATGAACCGCACGATGACGCTGTCAAAGGGAGAATCGCTAGTCATCCACGGATTTGCCGACTCCACCAACTTACTCAGGAGGATATAGGATTAAAGAAAGAAAATGAGAGCGGAGAAAGAGTGACGTTGGCAGATCGCAAATCCTCTCGTCCGCATTCGGGGGTTCCGCAAACGGCCTTATTCCACCATTTTTTCCCCATTGGAACCGGACTTGGACATTGTGAGCTATAGCGTCGGATCTTCGCTGTCTTAGTACGTCTACTCTACTCTAGACAACCCATGGGTCTCTAATGCCCACACCCTGGGCTGACCTCCGAGGGATCAGGGGCTTTGCCATCGCGTAACCCGACGAACTGGGTTCCTTGCAGCGAACCTCCCACTTGGGATTTCCGACGGAGCGGTAAGCTGTCACCCCTGCAAATAGCGCTTATGTGAGACCCTCTATCACATCCTCATCTTCAATTATTGTCGGGGGTACAGTGCTTGAACGCGGGCTCGTTGATCAGAGTACTCTTGAATTGCTACATTCCGTATATCGCGTGTGGAGTACTAGTACACCGTACTGCGTACTTTAGTGCTGTACAGACATCGCCTTTGGTACATCAACCGGGAACCCCGGCTTTGGGGAGCTCCACTGGGCGCTCAGATCATCTTCACGGCATCAGAGTCATCCCGTGGACCCGCGGACACTCGTGAAACTGGCAAGTCATGAGCGGGCTATACGAGTAGAAGACTCCCCACCGTGGGGTATCCTGTTGAACTGGCCCTTGGGGACTACAGTACTTGACTCTCTGGGGATTCTGACTCGGATCTGCACTGTCAAGGGATCAGATGTGGCCCGACCCACTGCATAACTAGTGTTGGGCAATCCTATCTCCTGGTGTTGTCCACTCCGTACGTATGTAGCCTTCAGATCAACCTTTCAAATTTCCAATGCAGACCTCTTCAGACAGATCCCAAGATCCAGGGATGATCCGTGCGGATTTCCGGCTTCACTGAGAGCACAAGTCGGCGCGGACCAGACATGAGGAACCTTCACCGCAAGTGTTGATCGTATCGTTTCTTCCAAAGACACTGGGTGTGGATTTCGCACCAAACAAAGATCAGGGTCCTGCCGCACTCTAAGCCCATCGGACATCAGAAGAGAAAATCTCACGATATCTCACCCCGCTCCCGTTGTCGCCAATCACCTGTTTTTCGTCTCACCGCTATCTCGACAGGACAACCTAGCTCCATGCAGAGTCAATGACAGGCGGGTCAAACATAAGCTGGACCCACTCGCGTCAAACACTTGGTTGTGTGATAGCCCTGTGAGCATTGAAGTTTGTCGACATCTTTAAGGCGTGCGAAGGGCTAATCCTCGGCAGTTGCGTCAACGCCCATTCCCCAACCCCGCCCGGTGGCTTTCATTGCCTCCGTGCTGGGGTCGTTAGCGGGAGATTGCCATACCGAGCAGTGCTCTGGCCCGGCACTGGTCTCATAACGGCGTGGCTTGGCTGCTTGCACCCTGGCAACCCTGCAAGGTTCGCTGGGGAACTTTATCTGATCTATCCCCAGCCCGAGGATCATATCATTGAATGCGGTTTCCTAATCTTCAATATAGACACCGTACAACAAGCGCACGAGCACTTTGTGGGACCGATAATGACATCGGGAAGATCAGAGGCCCAAGCGGTCTCGCTCGATCTAGCATACAACCCGAAAAGCCCTGAAGTGAAACAGCCATCGAAGCTTCCAACTGCATATGCTCCAATCTTATCCACCATTTGTCAGACAATTGTGACAGATCAGCGATGACTTCAGCCAAGACAAAAATATCAGTCCACCTTCAATTCAAGCGCAACCACAACAGCCAGATGGCCAAACACACAAACCCAAGCTGATATTGTCCTTGGATAGAAGCCGCCGCCCCAAGCTCGGTGTTATACCGGGGCAGAGTACAGTAATGGGCCCCAATGGTGCTGCTCTGCTTCGTCTGGCAAAGGGTGAAATTCCCCTGCAGCCACCGACTAGCCTCGACGTCATGGCCTGGTTCGGGTAGGTCTTGGAAAAAGCGATCAGGGATCTCGCACCATTGTGAGTTTTGAGATTCCGAGTGCACGGAATTGGGCGAGCAGCATGATTTGAGGGCTTGACTTGCGTTTCGTCCGGCTTCTCCGTCTTCAATATAGTACATGCAAAAGTTGGTTGACCTTTGCGTTGCACTAGGCAGAGAGGGCAGAGTTTGTACCGTTTCGGTCATTTTGATCTGCTCATTGTTTTAGGGTCATGATGTCAAGGCTAGTTTCTGCTGAGGTGCATTGGCTCTACGCGGCCCGAGCTTACCTGTGACGAGGCTGGTTGTGAAGGTTGTTGTTGCTTGAAACCTTGGAATTGCTGAAGCGGTCGTCTACTCGGATCGTCACGATGAACCTGCTACCACTTATAGCGGTCGTCTACGGAAGGGGCGGAAATGGAGCAAGAATGGAACCTGGATTGCTAACGACAGCCCAAAGGCCCTAAGAGGGCAGCCATCATGTGACGGGAAATGGATGTGCTCGGGAGTTCTTTTCGTTACATTCCCAGGTTGGTTTTAATTTCAGGGTCCAAAAAAATCAATTTCGTGAAAGCTCCACCGTGGGGGCCAAATTTATACTCTGAACAGCCTCTAGCACGTGTGGTTCAGCGACCCAACTTAGCGAGGCTGATTTCATTGATTTAAGCGTTTCGAGTGAGCTTCCAAGGTCAGACGCCTAGGTCCAGCGGTTTACAAGTTTGTTTTGTAGTCTGCCCGGTGGCTGGTATTGAGGTAATTGATCTTTGTCGTTAAGCAAGCCGCCCATGTGTATTTGTTTGATCATAGAAGCTATGCAGTCCTTCGATTGCGGTCTGTCTATGTCAAGTATCTTCCCCATAGCTATGATTTATCCACAGCTGGAGACAAATTTATAATTTTCTAGGCGCGCAACGTGGGCACTAACGAGAAAAGCTCACAGTGACCTCTGGAAGGTCATGATAGCACATCAGGAGTACAAGAGCCTCAGACAGCTAAGTGGCTTGAACGTAGTAGTTTTTACAGCCCGGGGGTATGCAGTCCATATGTGCACTAGTAGTCCTAAACAGGGATGAAAGAGGAGAGAGAAAAGTGAAAGGAAACCAGGACCCATATGTGTCCAAATCGGGAAGGTGGATATTCATCCGTGGTGCCACGTGACCTTAGCAGAGCCTCACCGCGCATCCCGTCTTCCCATTCTGGATCTCAGCACTCCGAACCCTGCATATATACTAGTATGTCTTGCTCTGCTTATTACTGTCACCCGATCTACTCACCTGGGCAATGGAACCTTGGGAAGTCAACAGAACGGTGTCGACTAGTCAAGCTCAAGTGTCTGCCTTTTCGTTCCAAGGTTCCAATGTCGGTTCCGTGTGTTTACTGTTTGCCCGGGTGCACGAGACAGATGACTGGTCTCCAGGGCTCCACCACATCCATCCATGGATGGATACAACCTGCATGTGTAAACAAACTGCAAAGGCATAATTGAAGTGCCATCTAAATTTGTTTGTCCAGACTTGAATCAATCCAGCAAGCAGGCCATAGCTATAGAGAAGAGTCTTCCAAGGTTTGTCATTGAATTAGTTGGATACCCCAAGGTGGACATGGTCCTCATATGACATCATAGAGTGAAATCAGAATTCTACATAAGACTCACGTAGGTATGCCCCAAGAGTCAGGAATGCATTGAACCAAGATAGATTATTGTACTCCGTGTTTGGAAAGGCTAATGCCGTGTGTATACATAGGTTGAGCTGTGGGGCTGCAGTGCTTCTCTATCTATTCAACCGTCTCGTCCCTGATACTAGGTATCAGATCCCCGACCCCAGTTTATTGAGCAAACCCCGTAGGGCCCTTGCAGAGATTGCCCCACGGACCTCGGATCTATATGCGCGGCGTGAACATCATCTCGCATGACCAGAGTTACTCAGCTTGGATGCTCTCCAGGGCTGGCTTTGATCGTCAGGGCAACATGTGGCCCGAGCGGACATTGGCTCCACCCTTCATGATCATGACGATGCAGGGGTATGGCTGGATCATACCATCCAACCCCATTGTCGATGACAAGGCAAGACGTTGTAATTGAAACCACATGGTCTCGGCAATTATCTAGTGTATCAAAGCGCAAGGAGCACATTCGGCTGTAGCCTGTTTGACAAGAGGCTCGAATGACAAACGAATCACCCACCTATATTTCTTTTCGGAGGCTGCTCTGGGCCTAAACGATTCCAATATCACGAATGGAGATTTATACCGTCACTTGGTGTAATGCTGTCAATGATGACCAGTCACCACCGTTTGTGACTTCGGGAGGGGTGCCCAGGTGAGATGTTTGACACAGTCTACCTGATTGGGTACCGAGGGCGCCTGGTAAACCAGTTGGATTTTGAATTGACGAACTGGCTTCAACCTTGGAAGTATCATCCATGGATGTTTTGGAGTACCTAGGTACTCTACATCTACGAGTCAGCGGTATTCTGAGTCATCTCGCAATCAAACCTTGAAATCCGGAAGTTTCGAAGACAAGGTGCACACCAGGAGGCGTTCAGCTGGACACAGTGCTTTGTTTGGACGAGCCTTCTCGCCCGGCGTGCATTACACATTTCCAAGTTTGTCTTAGATTCACTTATCCTGGCCTGGCAACAGGAAGGAGATATCTCGCTGGCGCGGTCGGGCTTGAAGCTCGGTCATTGGATATGACATTGAATTTAGCAGAAACGGATAATGGTCGCTGCAAATCGTGGGTCTAAAGTCAGATAATGAGTACGCCTGAATCGGGGCGTGTACGGTGAACAGATCCTCGATGTAAGGCGGCCTGTTGATCGTGAGACATAAAATATGGATGAGGCCACCAAGGCCAAGAACACTAAGCTGATAAGACCATGCAGTACTCTCCTGGGCCGTGCCCTGTTTGAAAATGAGAAATCTTCAACATGATAAGAGCTCACTCAGGAGTTTTTTATTCCAGCCAATAGGAGCTGATCTGACACAAGATCACGAAGTAACGAGATACAATAGGCGCTCAATCTTGGATGTCTCCCGAAGTTCATCTTTTCATCTCAGCCCTGGCGCCTAGTGGATTCTGAGATCACGGATATCCATATCCGCCCACGGAGTTAACCCAAACACTCCGTGCTCGCAGTCTGCGGCAGAAAAATCCTCTCGAGGCCCCTGAGCCCAACATTTGAAAGCAGAGAGCAAGATTTGAAGAGCACCTCCCTATGTGGGTAGCTCCATAGCCGATCCCTCAATCGACCCAGTGAGGTGGATGCGCTAGAATCAGTGCGCCGAAGGGACAATGTTGCCATTGACAAGCAATATTTCGCACCCCAGTACAAATAGTATCCAGTACTACTCCGTACGCGCAGTTGAGACGCTCAGCTGAGCGCAAAGTGCTGTATGGCGTGAGCAGGAGGCTGCAATAAGTAATAGAACCGCAACAGGGATCGTGCAGTGGATGAGTATATGTGGAGCGATCGCAAAATCTCCTGTGACGGGTCCACTCCGATTCCGGCGCCAGGAGGGCTCGAACTGCTCAGGTAGCCACGTCGCTACAGGCGCTGAGCGCCGGGCGATCTGCCGGACGCAAGGAGAGGTTTATGAGTCTGTGGATTGAGCCTGAATAAGTACAGTATGAGTACTCCGTGCATACTGAGTACAGTAGAACTAGTATACTAGTAGTGGTGGAATGACTGTAATCGGTATTGTATAAATACTGTAGCTACTCCGTCGATGCCTTCCCAGGTTGAAACTCGCTAACGAAATAAATTAAGTCAGAACCTAATCTTTTGGATCTCGATGGATTTCGATGGATTTCCGAAGATCTGATCAGCGTGGATCTTCTCCGTATATGACACATACATAGGCGGCTTGACGGGACGATGGATCTCATGGGTTCCTTCACATGGTTTCAGGGGGAGAACTTCTGTTCAATGTCCAATCAGGGATACTTTGAAGCTTACTCTGTTCAAGACGCGGTGAGAGCTGAACCGGCTTTGTTTTTTCTGTACATAGTATTTGGATTGCCTAGTCCGTACGCAGTGGTTCACTTCAATTCCAGACCGAACAATGCCGATATAAATCAGATGAAATCCCCCATTGTCCCTATACAGTCGAACTATCTATGTGTCTCCGGTTTTGTTTCCATTGAAGTACTAGTACACATGACATCAGACGCAGGTCAGCGGAATAGTCGCTAGCCCGGCGTACTCCGAGTACCTAGGTAACAGTAGACAGAGCTGTAGATACTGAGCTGAAGGGATTAAATCACTCATCTGACAAGTACATGGTCTATGTGTACTCCGTACGGGATAGCTGTACGGAGTATAGAGTACTCTGTGCCACCTGGGCTGTTGTGTGGTCATCTCGTCGGCCGTGATTGGCTGAATGGCCGAAAGAAAAAAACCACAGAAAAACCAATAGTGTATCCCTGGCGAGTACTCCGTACGGAGTACTACAATGTCCTACAAGGCTCCGTTTACTAGTCATAGTATGTCCGTAAGAAAAATGTAAGCTGCAGATCCAAAAGTACAGAGCAATTCCATCGGCCCACTTTTGCCTTTTTATTTTTGCTTCACCTTTTCTCCTTTTTTTCATTGCAGTATTTGTGAGTCACTCTTATAAATTGGTGTGTTCTCCCACACCCGTGCACTTCTTCAATACCTTATACCTTAATACTAATTGGTTAGCTTCTGACACAATGCCTCTCGTCAACACCACCGAAGTCAACGAGGACACTCGTGGTATGTGACACCGTTCACCACACACATCACAATTAGCTGACTGGTTGTAGTCCTCGGATATGACCCTTTGTTGTCGCCCTACTTCTTGCAGAATGAGATCCCCGCGGTGAGTCGCTCTTTTTTTTTCTCTCCCACTTCTGCACCCCCGCTTTCGGCGCAGCCCACTTCAAAAAAAAAAAATTGCCGCTGACAATGGCAACAGCCCGCTCGTGCCACCGAGGCCGTTCGTTCCGGTCGTAACCAGGCTGTCGAGATCATTGAGCAGCGCGATGACCGCCTCCTCGTTGTCGTGGGCCCCTGCTCCATCCACGACCCGGACACCGCGCTCGAGTACGCCCGTCGCCTGAAGGAATTGTCCACAAAGCTCGAGAAGGACATCTGCGTGATCATGCGCGCCTACCTCGAGAAGCCCCGCACAACCGTCGGCTGGAAGGGTCTGATCAACGACCCGGACATCGACGAGACCTACAACATCAACAAGGGTCTCCGTGTCTCCCGTAAGCTGTACACCGATCTCACCAGCACCGGTCTCCCCATTGCCTCCGAGATGCTCGACACCATCTCCCCGCAGTACCTGGCCGATCTGATCTCCCTGGGTGCCATTGGCGCTCGCACCACCGAGTCCCAGCTCCACCGTGAGCTGGCCTCCGGTCTCTCCTTCCCCATTGGATATAAGAACGGCACCGACGGCAACCTCACCGTGGCTGTCGATGCCATTGGCGCCGCCTCACACCCCCACCGCTTCCTCGGTGTCACCAAGCAGGGTCTGGCCGCCATCACCAAGACCGCCGGTAACGAGCACGGATTCGTCATCCTCCGCGGTGGCAGCAAGGGTACCAACTATGACCGCGCCAGCATCAAGGCGGCCCGCGAGGCTCTCCGCGCCAAGAAGCAGCGCGAGATCGTCATGGTCGACTGCTCCCACGGTAACTCCAACAAGAACCACCTCAACCAGCCTCTTGTCGCCAAGGAGGTCTCTGACCAGCTGCGTGAGGGCGAGACCGGTATCATCGGTGTCATGATCGAGTCCAACATCTACGAGGGTAACCAGAAGGTTCCCCCCGAGGGAGCTGAGGCTCTTCTCCGCGGTGTCAGCATCACTGATGCCTGTATCAACTGGGAGATGACAGTCGACGTTCTCGAGGATCTGGCCGCGGGTGTTCGTGCTCGTCGTGAGATCCTGAAGTCCCAGACCAACGGTCACTAAATCTGGTGATGCGGTTTTCTGTTCCGTGACGCTGGCATTAGTACTGAGTCTGTTTTGTGTTTCTCTTTCAGCGGTTTCTTTTGTAACTTTTTTTTCTTTTCCTTTGTATGAGGGTGTCAAAAAATATGAGGTTCGGTTTCTGAGAAATTCATCAGTGGGATGGCCACGAAAAATAGTTTGGAGAAAGGCATCTGCCCCTTAGATATCTTTTCACAAATTCCAAAACGTTTTTCCAGGGCCAATTCTTTCTTCTTATGGTCTTAGGGTTTTTTTTCGGTCGCTCCACTGGGCGTCGATGGACCAGTCGTGGTGTCTCGAACTGTGCCCGGGAAAGCGCTCTGCCGGAGATGAAAATGGGTCACCTCCCTATTTCAGACTTAGTGCCCTCCTGGGGGAGTTGTTTCGGCTATCGTCGGTCCAGTTCAGTCAGATACAGATCAGGATGAACTTGATAGGGAGTATGTGGGGTTAGATATCTAACCCTGGAGTATACTGCTACTGGACTGGTCTCATAGTGCGGAGTACGAGTATACAACACTCTGCTATGGATGTTGTGAAGTGTGCTACTAGGTAGACTAAAGATCAATTGAGAGCAGATAGAAACAGATCTATGTACTGTACACGATATACATTGAGACCCGCCCGATCGCCTAGAAAGCGTGGAGGCAGGCCAGATAGAGTGGAAACACATTCCAGAGAAAATGAAGATATAACGCCGTGAACCCCCGGGGTGGATGGAAGCAGGCCACAACGACCGTGGCTTGCTATGCAAGTGAAAAAAAGGTATTGTGGATGTCGAGAAGTGAAGATCGGCAGAGTGATAGATGGGTCCATCTGCGTGTTTATATTGCCCGTCCAATGTGCGTGACACGGTCATATCAACACTGCATGCTGCAGATAGCGCGCAGACAAGCAATACCCATCGTATCCAATTTGTACCGCCGTTCATATGATTGCGTCGAAGCCGGTCATTAGTCCATCTACCGCCCAGTCAACCAGGAAGTCCAGCCCTTCGTCTTGGTCTTGGCAGCCTCCTCCACATTCTCAGCCATAACATCCAGTTGACCCGGCAAAGGGGCGCCAGTCTTCGCGGAGGCGGCGTCAATTGCCTGCTTGGCCTGCACAGCCTCAGTAACGCTGCTGTTCTGTCCGCCCTCTGCCGGTGAGGCGGCACCGCTATCTTCCGTGTTGAACTTCTCGAAGAGGAATCGCTTTGCCTTGGCCCAGGGCTTCTGTGCCTTTTGCTCTTCGCGGTTTTGTTTCATGATATCGCCGATCTTCTCCTTCTTCACAAGTTCCTCCTGCTCGACAGTTGCGGTGCCGTTGGTGATAGCGAGCTCGGCCTGTCGGAGTGCGTCGAGCTCTCTTTCGATCCAAAGTTCACGTTGGCGACGATTGTACATAGTCAGGGAGACAAACGTGTAGACTGTCAGAGCAGCGCTGACACCTAGTAGCCCGGAGAGTCAGCTTCGGGCCCAGACCATACTAACATGTGCTGCTTCGACAAAGCTTCGAGTCGTATGATGTAACAGCTCGCTCAACTCAAGACAGAAAACATACCGGATGCAGCAATCAAAGAGTAAACCAGTCCCTTGTGCGCTTTATTGGCGAACTTCCGGCCAAACTCGATCCATCGATCCGCGCCGCTACCCGCAGCCTGTGCCTTCCTCGTGGCCCGAGCCTGGGCTCGGAGTCTTTCCACCTTCTCCTTGGGCGTCTCCGGTTGTCCATTGGGGCCGAGTTGTGGTGATGCGTTCTTGGACTTCTGTGCGGCGAAGTCGGAGGCTGCGTACGCGCCGCCAGTCTTGGAACTGGCGTAGGGCCCTGTGGCCGTGAACCGCGTTGCGTCGGCGGCTGATCGGGACATGGCGTGTGATTCCCAAAGCAATGGAGCTGGTATAGACAGAGTAATTGCTGAGAAGCCACTAGAAATTGAAGGACTCCGTTGTGGGGATTGAGCTGGGCGACGTTGTAAGCCGGGGGATTTGAAGTGGTAAATTTTCACGGGTTGCGCCAAGACATTCAAACCACCTTATGATATATGCACCTGCGCACTTCCTGTGGTCTTTTCTTACTTGATCTTTTCGTTTGACACTTGACTTGGTCTTAGGATCATTGCATACATTAGTTCCTTCGTCAATCATCTATCATAGGGGTTGTCCTCTTGGAATTGTTGATTCTAAGTGATTTGCATTTGACACCTAGGTCAACATGACCGGGAATAGTTACAATGCCGCGGACTTGAATTCAGTCCTGCAGACACTCTCAAGTCTCGCTCCTCAGGCACAATCTCAGATCCAATCTCAGGCTCAGGCCCAAGCCCAGCCTCAACCCTCTGCCTATAACACATCCCTTCCTACCCCACAAAAGAGGCCTTATTCAAGTACAAACACACCCGCACCCCGAACTCAAGATCCACGCCAGTTGCACTCAAAACCACCATCAACACGCCCAGCCTCAACTGGCCCGGAATCATCAACTATCACTACATGGCCCGCAGCGCTCCGTCATGTCATGCGAACCGTCAGTCTAAATGAAGAGACACAATTGCGGATCCGCGGAATGATCCGGAGCCAGCACCGCCATGAACAGAACTGGTTCGATGCTCGCCAAGCACTGATTAAACAACAAGAAGGGCGTCCTCAGAAGCAGCGGGAGTTAGATGCAGTGCTGTGAGTCTGTAATAGTCTATTAAGAATCAGGTTGCTAACGACGACAGCCGCTCGATAGGTGCCCCTGTCAAAGAAGATGATGGCTCTGTGGGTTTTATCATTTCATCCCTTTCTGGCCTTTGTTTACTGACCATGTCGCAGACCGAGAAAGAGGTTGCAGCAGAACTCGCGAAGTATGACCTCAAAGTCCATACTGCTGCTGTGAAAATGGCGGATGCCCTCTCTGCTGAATTGCGAGGGATGGACATTCCCTTCTTTACAATACGCAAAGATCTGGTACAAGATACCCCCCGGAAAGAAGAACATGGTGGCGTCGGTCTACAACGACAAGCTCAAACTAGTACACCTGCAGCTCCCTCACCAATCACCAAGTCCGAGTTAATGGCGTTACAAAATCGCATGCTTGGGCTATTGGAGGATCTATGCAAAGAGTGAAGAACTGCTCAAGCTACCATGATCTAAGGTTCATCTCATGGTGAATACAAATATCATATTTGCTATCCAGCTCAAATACGATCGCACATACCAGAACACAAGAGATCAAGGGTTCTTGTCAATAACCTCCAGGTTCTTAATTTGGAAAAGTGTTGCTAGAGATCGATTAGCGTCTGGCAAGGATAACAAAAGCAAACCGCAACATTCACTGGCGTGGTCTTGAGAACACGCCAGAACACCTTGGCCGATGGGGGAACTTACTTCCTTCTGGACCCGGGCTTCCACTGCTTCCCTCCATCTGCAGGTCGATGATCAAGTGCAATGGCTCGCCAACCAGACCTCCAGCGTACTGAGTGGTCACCAAGGACCCATCAAGATAGAAATTCACGCTGACATCGGCACCATTCTCATCCCGCAGCTCAGCCTTCACGGCGTGGAACTCCGTGGGCGACGGATACTCCACATCCTTGGCCTCAACCTCGCTGGATGAATTGAATGTGTTGAAGCTGATATCCCCAGAACCTTTCCACTCTGCAATGTCAATCTCGGGAGGCCACGAGTTCACGCCATTCAGCCAGAACGCCGGCCAAGTGCCCTTATCCACTGTCGCGATGAAGTCGACCGAGAAGTCTAGCCCGCCTCCGGCCTCGACTGTGAACTGTTGTTTCGCGTACACGGTTCCAGAGTCCCACGCGTAGTCGGAGGCACCGGTGTATGTCGCGTTCAACGTCAAGGTCCCAGCAGTTGAGATGACGGCATTGGATTCTTTCATGATCGCCGCGCCATTGTGGGTGTCGCCCCATGGATAGCCATACTCAAAGTACTCTGTCAAAGACGAGGTGGAGTCGAAACACGAGGTTGGAATCAGGGTGCTGTCGCGTTTGGCGATGTGGTGACCTGGCAATGCCAATGCCAGGCCTGGGAGGGCAGCGAGGATGTATGAATGCATTGTTCTGCACCGTGACTCTGGTCAAATTGCTGGCCCCAGCTGTAGCAGAATTGTCCTCAACTTATAGCCGCCCATCTTGTAAAACACTCTATTGCAGATAGAGCAAGATCGGCAATGGCCTGATATTATCCGTAGAGCTAATGCAAGTTACCCTGGACGAATAATTGTCCGATGCTTTAGCTGTGGGATCGACGAGATTCAGGGCCCTCTTGTCGTAGTGGCCCTACACCGGAACTGTGAATATTCACTTAGTCGACACCCCGCTCGGAGACGGATACTCTTTAGGAGATGGATTTGCACCCCACCGGAGCTGAGTGTTACATCCCTGGTTTGTGAAGCATTTCATTAATATACGAATACTCTGCATCGGGTGAATTTCCGAGACTTGTACTCGTGCGTGTTCTAAGTCCATGAGGGCGGTTCCGAGCCCACCGTTCGATCTATATGTGCATAAACACAGCATCTGATCGAAGACCATCCCGTTCCAAGTTTCAGGCGAATCAAGAGTTATGACGGTCGATCACCCGTGTTTCAAGTGTTGAAACAGAGCAAATGGGGTCGATTTTTGGAACACTTCTACTATGTAGTGTCGCAAGGCAACACTTCCTCGCCGATGCTAGGAACTGGCTTATCTAGGCCCGGTTAGTAACTGCTCATGCATGCTACGCACATATGTAGTAGATTCATGGTCTTACATACAAGGCATTCTGACAGCGACCTACACTTGGCCATGGAAAATGAACAACATACTTAGCCAAAGCTATCAGTGGAAGCTCTTATACTTCATGCAAATCAACAAGCACATACAAAGTGAACAGAGGTCGAGGGAGATGACGTGAAACGCGGGACATACCGCCCGCGTCAATCGCCGACCGTTTCTTCCCTCAACATGACTCCCAGAACAAAATCAAACGGGCTCGCCTCGCTGGCTTGTACCGAGTGCAGGAAACAGCATCTAAAATGTGATGCCGGCAAACCATCCTGTGCACGATGTGATCAGAATGGGCTTCCCTGCCAATATCTCCCCTCCCGACGAGGCGGCCGGCGGAAATCCCGACAAGAGAGTCCATACTCCCGTCCAGTGAGCGTGAGTCCCTAGTTGCATGGAAATTCTTGGTATTTTTTCTCGTTGAAACGAAACTAAATATTGAATAGACGAGATTTCAGCCTGTCCCCGTATTGCCAATTACCCCTGCGCAGTCCACGGGAAACCCTCCAGGAGAAACGCAACTGAGGATCCCCGCTGAGGCAGGTTCTTGGCCAGCGATGCTCCCTGGAAACAATGTCCAGCGGCCTATAGAATCATTGAGTAAGCATCCACTCTATGATGAGCGTTTGCCCCGTGTCTACTACGAGAACTTTCATGTCGCCCACCCGATCCTGGTACCAAGCTCCATGTACCATGATCGAAATTACCCTCGCTTCCTCCAGCTAGCAGTGCATTTCGTGGGCTCTCACTATATCTCTTCGGTGTCCAGTCAACCCTATAAAGAGCAAGTCCTCGCCGAGCTGAAGACCAGCCCAGACCGATCGGGTTGCATGGTCCAGGCTTGGCTTATATATTCCATCGCTCTATATGCGCGCGATGAATGGGAAGAGGCACAAGAGGCGCTCTCTGCCAGTGTCGATATTGCTTTAGAGCTCGGCTTGAACCGCTGGTCATTTGCTTCGTCTGCGAACCCTGAAAGATCCATTGAGGCCGAGAGCATGAGAAGGACGTGGTGGGAGCTATATGTCACCGAGATCTTCATGGCTGTTCCTTTCAAAACCACCTCCTTCCGGTGCAGCGCGGTCTCGCCAGAGGTTGGACTTCCCTCCGAAGAGATGGCTTATAATAGCGGTTCCGAGGTTTCGAAACCTCGACTGATGATCGAGTTCAAGCGAAGGATTCTCGCTGCAGAAGATACTGTCTTCTCCTCTTTCAGCTACCGTATTGAGGCTACTACCATCTTATCCCGCGTCCTTGTGCTGAACCGCATGCGAGACTGCCACCGGGATCATCTCCAAGCCGTCGAGAATGCCCTGGTAAGCTGGATAAATCATTTGCCTGCCAAAAAGCTCGACATTGTCGATTCGTACGGAAACGTCGACGAGATGATGTTCCAAGCACACCTGACAATCTCCTATGCCGCCATGCTCCTACATCTCCCTCGCAGTGATCTTCCCGCTGTCCTATCCCAGTCCCAACCAGACGACAGATTCTGGTCCGGTCTAACAGGCCAACTATCGTCAACCTTCAGCCGCTTAGTCCACAGCATCAAAGCCACCGAGGCCTCGAGACGCATCTCCGACTCCATCTCCATCTGTCCCAACGTCTCAAAACACACCCCATTCATCATTCCCGCCTTGGCTCTCTGCGGCCTGATCCAGCTCGCCACATCAACCAGTCATTCTGAAGAATGTTTCGATCACCATTGCAATCGAGTCACCCTCATTCTCGGATGCCTCAAAAGCACCCAGCGGACCTGGAAACTCACCGAGTCCGTCTACCACAGCCTCCGATCTTCTGCATCAGAGGTCCTATCTGACTCCATGGCAAAATGGAATACAGAGCCGATTCATCGCTTGACTCCCGCAGCCACAACTCCCAGCGACAACCGTCCAAGCAATGCCAACCCAGTGGCTGCCATGCCGGACGGTCACGACTTCATGCCGCCGGACTTCATCCCTGCTTTCATTGATCCATCTTGCTACAACGCTTCCTTTTTCAGCGCCATCCCTGATTTCGATATTAATTAAATCAGCTATCCCCGGATTATCCCCTGATAAATCGAGTCCGCCAATGGCCACCTTATCTCCAAATCGAAGGTTTCTGCGGAAACCAGCCAACCTCGTCATGCTGCATATATTGCATATTGGGCTTGGGGACATTGATCTTCACCGGTATACGTCAGATAGGGATATAAACATGATCTATCAATAATGCTGCGTACTTTGAGCCAAACGCCGATTGACGGTTCGCCGATTGTGCCATCCCTTGCTTGTGATTGGCCGGGGCGGCATGCTCCACTCGGGCATTCATTGAAAGCGCATGTACGGAGTACTCCGTACTGTACATGTCTTGTGCAACTGGGCTTTAAATTCCAAGGCCATTCTCATATCTCGAGGACGTTTTCGATCAAGAATGGCTTGTTACTAATGTCTAGACCGACACAATACTCCGGTACTCCGTATTGTCGGCACATATTATTCCAATTGGTCGGACTCGTCCCGACGCGCAGAGTATGCTTCACGCCCACTATACTGTACTGCGATAGATGGGACGGAACCGAGTCCAGATATGGGCATACATAGGTTTCACCGACTATTTGTTCTCCCGTGGCTTTACTCCGTACCAATTATCCGGGGATACCCGTATATCGATACGGGGGCAATGTGTTGATCGCCGAAGAGAAAAGACTGCATTGGCCTCGGGTTGAGCTGTGCTAGCATCTAGTCTTACATCATAAATCACACGAGAGTTGAACGAGCTGCATGTTCTATTGCGACTGAGGTCATGGCGATGGCGTTATGAGATGTCAAAAATCATCAAAATTGGCCGTTTCGAAATTGAGAAATTAGCAGGATCGTTCTGATTTTTGAATGAACAAATTTGGAACATTTTTGGGATCCCGGCCAATTATCGTCACCAGCGCATTAGACTATAACAATAGAGTATGTTGATTCTAACGAGATCATTGCAAAGCCCGTTTGGAATTCATGTTCAACGTCATCCCTGATACGTTCAGGCCTCTGTACATAGGCGAGACTGAAATCGGTCTGGGGAGCTGGATTGCCAGGCATTGGAGCAATCGGCGATTGAGTCCCATTTTTGCGACTCAAGATCACACGGGGAGTTCAGGGGAATGAAACACATGCATCAATCTCAGATATTTATCACTCGCTGTCCGCTAATTCAAATCTCGAAATCAACTCTTTTGTTTTTCATCTTCCACAATGCCTGCTGTCGTGCCCATACTTCCGCCTAGCGTCCTCCCGGACTACAAGCACTATACCCCCGAATACAACCTTGACGACCTCGTCCGGGACATCAAAGCATATCTAGGAACCAGCGGGGGCATTTCATCCGAGGAAGTGGATAACGAATACTTAATCTCGCTGGCGCACAAGTACATTTCAGATCCGAATGACTGGGCCCAGTATTTCTACAACGACACAAGCAAAAACTACACCCGCAACGCCATCGAGAACATCAACCAGAAAGCAAATATCGTATGTCGCATGTCTGTTCAAAATTGAATTGAAATTGAAGTTAATCCCCATCTAGCTCCTCCTCGTCTGGAACCCCGGGAAAGGCTCTCCCGTCCACGACCACGCCAACGCCCACTGCATCATGAAGATCCTGGCCGGCACTCTCCAAGAAACGGTCTATCGGATCCCGGACCAGGCATCCGAGCGGGCCCCGCTGGAGATCAAGTCTGATACGAGACATACCATGAACGATGTGGCTTATATCTCGGATGACATCGGGCTACATCGTGTCTATAACCCGAGTAGTGACCAAGTGGCTGTGTCTTTGCACTGTGAGTATACCTAGGTATAGAAATGGATTCGAACTGACTGGAGTTAGTGTACACTCCACCCAATGCCGCCGACTATGGGTATAATGTCTACAACGAAGCGACGGGCAAGGCGTGCTTCATGCCTCAGGCCAAGTCTGTGTCGAAAGAGTGATGGATATTCATTGGAATTGGAGTTTGAGCGTGGCGCAGGCGTCGACGTTAGGATAATTAAGAATAAGCAATATTAAAGAGTGGAGAGTCGGTGGTCGGAGGCCCCATTCGCCGCGAACGGTCGGCTTTTGGAGATGCGATGACATCGGCACTCGGCGGGCTTAGGCCCCGGATTTTGTACTCTTATAAGAGTCAATTGCATCGCAGATTTCAGATTTTACAATCAAACAAACATGTTCCGAACTATTCTATCTCGACCCAAGTCCGTCTCGGTGCTCGCCGTCGGGTCCGGCGCATACTTCGCCCAATCCTTCCTGTCAACCGCCCACGCCGAGTCCAAAGAGGCCCCTAAAGCCTTTGCAGGTTTCGGTTTCACCACCCTACGCCTACACAGCACTACAGATGTAAACCACAACACAAAAAGACTGGTCTTCGAATTCCCGGACCCGACTGCAACAAGCGGACTCTCCCTGACCTGTACGAATCCATATACTTACCCCATGTTCCCCATATTCTAACAATTCACAGCTGCCCTCCTCACAATCACCCGTCCAGAAGGACGATGGCTTCCCGTACCACGCCCCTACACCCCCATCAGCGACCTAAGTAAGTGACCAACCCGCACAGAGCTCACCCCAATCCTAACACCTTCCAGACCAAGCCGGCTTCATCGAATTCATGGTAAAGAAATACCCGGACGGCAAAGCAAGCACGCACATCCACTCCCTAGTTCCAGGCGACACACTCACCTTCGCAACGGCGCTGAAAGGACACGCCTGGACACCCAATCAAGCTCGCCAGGTCTACCTCATTGCTGGTGGCGCGGGCATCACGCCAATTTACCAGCTTGCGCAGGGCATCCTGAATAATCCGGCCGATCAGACGAAGATCAATCTCGTCTTTGGAGTGAATACTGAGCGGGATCTCTTGCTGAGAGAGGAATTGGAGAGTTTCAAGGCTCGGTTCCCCGATCGGTTTGAGTATACTTATGTTGTGAGTCATCCCGAGGGGATGGGTGAGGGATTCCAGACGGGGTATATCACGAAGGAGCTCTTGGGTGGTGTATTGAAGGATGCTGAGGCTAAGGTCTTTGTCTGTGGTCCGCCTGCGATGGAGACTTCGTTGGTGGGATCGGGTGGTGGGATTCTGGCTCAGCTTGGCTTTGAGAAGAGTCAGGTTGTGAAGTTCTAGAGTATTTCAGTTAATCGTGTATTATATCTTTCTTTGACTATTCAAGACTGGGTTCGAAGCATATTCCGATATTTGCGTGTCGTGAGATACACAAAAATATATACTTCGGGCTCTACGTACACCGAGGCATACCTTATGTAGGTAGGTAACCGGGCTTGGAACCGTTGAGCTTCAAGATTCCACGAGGGTACCTAAGTACCTAGGTATTGGGACTATCAGATCGAACTCGGAAGGAGTCCCATTTTTCTGCTTTGGCCATTCTCCCAAGCCTCAAATTTGCGACGATCAGATAGCGGTCTACTCCCGACCTCGGTCCGTACTCTTATGCTTATTTGAGTGGTCGATACGGCCTAACCCCGGAGGCAGACCGGTCGATCTCAGGTGCTATCACATTGGGAGTGTGGGCCCTGGAATGAACTAAGTATCAACAAGCCGTTTCATCGGGCAGTTTCGACTAAGCCAACGGCACGAACAGTGGATAGACCGATGATCGATTCCCAGAACGACCAGTCACGGATATATTCCTCGAACAGGCACTAATGCAAGTCCAAAACAATGGACCAACAACCGGGGTATGAGGAAAAGTGGCACAAATTGAGAGTTAACAGTATATACAATGTAGTCTGTACAAGATATTACAAGGAGATCACAGCTCAAATCCCCAAACCAAAAATACAAAAAGAATAGTAGATCGTTCAAGCGCAGCTTGGAGATCCCGTAACAAACAAACGCCAAAATGGGGGTATGATATGCATGAAAAGGCCCGGCATCAACTGTGCCTCTTTTTTCCTTTGTATCGACATGTCAGTCCTCGGGCCTGGCCCGGTTCGATATGATGCAAATGCGAAACGATATGCAATGCTAACCATGTGAAATGGAAGATGGTCCCTACTCGCGTCCGGTGGAGGTGAGTCGGATTTCTTCCGTCGGAAGACCCTCCTCGGAGGGGACGTGCTGGTAGCTGCGCTTGCGGCGGTCGCGGACGGATCGCCAGATGGCGTAACCGGCACCACCGAGGACACCGACGACCAAGAGGAAGACGAGGAGGCTACCGATGCCGCGGATGATGTCGTAGGCCTTGTAGACGGCCTTTGCGACTTCCTTGGCATCGGCGTACTGGGCCGCTGAGTGGTCGCTGGAGGCGATAGAGCCGGTGGAGTTGGAGGTGCTGTCGTTGATGAACTCAGTCCCTTTGTCGCTGGCGCTAGAGCCGGAGGATAGCTTGCTGGCATCGTTGGCAGCGGCAATGATGGACGGGTCATCGGGGCTGGGGCCGGAAGTGGCGCCGATCCAGCCTGCGGAGATCCAGTTGCTAGGAATCTCGGTGCGCATGACCTTGGAGGTGTGCATGACATTGCCCTCGGCATCGATGGCTTGGGCTGAGACCCAGTCCATGTAGCCATCGGCGATATACATGGTCTCGAAGTCGGTCTTGTTGGTGGAACCAATGTAGACCGGGTCGCCGCGATCATAGGACTGAGCATAGAACTTCCATTGGACAACGTCCGTCGCACCGTTCCAGCTGACGTGGATAAGGGTCGTTGTGTCCTTGTCATCAGTACCGTATACATTTGCGACCAGGTCCGGAGGAGCGACGGGGCGACCGGTGAACTCTCCCTTGAAAGAGCGGTATGTCGAGTAACGGTCCGATGTGAAGCGGGCGGTCATGAGAAGGTCACCGTTCGAGGCATGCTCGCTGGAATAGCCGCGCTCGCTCCATCCGGCGAAGTAGTTGCCGTTGGGCAGGGGGCGGAAGCTGCCCCGGAGTCGAGTGAGACCACTGTCGGGGCGGTTGATGCGGCGAATCACTCGGGCTGTCATGGGGGTGACAGAAGTATCCAACTCGATGATCAGGCCAGAGGAGGTGTTCTCGTCGTTACCACGCTCGTCCGAGGCATTATTCAGCACCGAGATAACGTGGTGGGTGCTGTTCGAGGAGACAAACTTGGCATCGTGCTGCTTGGAGAAAGTGAAGTCTTGGTCGAAGTTGCTCTCTGCCCCACCTAGGCGCCAAATGATGCTGCCATCCTGACCAGAGATCAGGTAGAGGGTATTGGTGAATCGCAGGGAGATCAGGTAGTCACCTGCCTCGTTTTTGTCGACCGCGTTGATGTGGACGTAATCCCAGCCAGGCTCACCGGTAGCCACGCCATCCGACGCGTGGAACATGTTCGATTCGTGGAGGGCGATCTTGTCGAGCGAGTCCCATTGCACCAAAACCTCGCTCGTCGCGACGTCCAGCTCAACGAATCCACCCACCGTGACCCAACTCTCTTCCGTGGGACGTCCAAAATCGGCGAGGTTGACGCGCGCATTACGGTAGGTACACGCTAGAGCTGTCTTTCCACCTTCCAAGATATTGAATTCGTGCATGTTGAAATCGTGCAGGTCGTTAATCACCTGGACCTCCTTCTCCACCTCATAATGCTGGCTCACCAGCGCGCCGTGGCCCTTCTTCGAATGGTCCGCAGCCCATCCCACCACAAACGAAAGGTGTGGTTTTGAGTCGATGTTGTTGACCGGCTTGAAATCGAAGGTGTTCTCGTTATCATACATGGGCGAACCAGCCCAGATCAGCATCTGTCGACGAGTCAGCTCGTGCTCCGCGTCCGGGGTTCTCCACATACACCACTGTCATCATAAATATAAGGACCGACTTGATATTGCTGGTACTTTTGTGTGGGGTGTTCCGGGGAAATCTGGCCGTACGGCGCCACGAAGATATACCCGGGCGCCATGCGCTCGCGGTCGTAGTGTTGAATCTCCCATTTCAAGGCTCGGACCTCGGGGAGCTAGACGAGGGTCAGCACTGCAAAGGCCTGATATTGGTCCTGGACCTACCGTCACAAAGGACATCAAGTCCGCATCGTGGCGCGATGCGACGGCATTGCTTGACAGGAGAAGCAATAACGCACCCCAGAACATAGTGAAGGAATGGATAGGAAGATCGACCTCCCAGAACAGCGCAAAAGGGAATGAAGGGAGAACTAAAAAGCCAACATCGGAGCGAACAGAGTGCAAGTCCAATCAGACGCAACGTCAGGAAGAGAGGAGCAACGTAATTATGGAGTCTTGGCATTGTTTCGGGTGGAGCAACGCACACGACGCCCTACGCCTGTCCACGTCGACGCCGGTCCTACGAGGCTGGTCCACAGCGGAGTTCCTCTCCTCTCGTATATTTTCCCGTCTTCGTCCTACTCCTATCACAGGCTCACATTGGCCGCTCAGACGTCCGACTCGGTCTTGTTTTCCTCAAATAGCCCACTGGACGCCGGACACAATGGTTCTACTCACGTCCTATTTATTTCTCCGGCTGCCGTTTTGCCGACGATAGGTGGGCATTGATCGGCCAGGGGAAGTCCTTGGCACGTACTCCGTGGAGTAGGGCGTTCTGGGAATAAGGATTGACACGGCTGGTTCTGTTAGTGCGAAGTGGAATCAGAATATGTACTCCTTTTATTAGAATCTTCGGCCGCTCTGCACAATAGTATAGTAAAGTACAGACTCTCATCCCCACGAAAAGCAATAGTATTCCAAAGTTCCAGATTCACGGCAGTTAGGCGATCTGACAGAGATCCACCTTGGCGTACGGAGTACGAAGCACGGAGTTCCACACTTGGGACACTCGGATGTTTGATGGACACGCAGATAATCTACTCCGTACTAGCACAGTGCAGTAGATGAATTCTGCCTGCATGGATTCTGAGGAACAGTCCGATGTATGTAGTTCGCGCTCGGATTCTCCATACGAAGTACGTTCGGGATTTCCAGTCCGCGTATACTAGTAGATGCAGCGTCAACAAAGTTTTCGGACACCTGCCGAGTCCGGATCGTCTCCAGGGGGTGATGAGAGACTGCTTAGAGACTGCTTAGCGCAGCTGAGGAACAAAAGTCAAAAAGAACTCGTGCTCTTGAGAGAAAGCACAATGAGCAAAAACAAAAATAAGACGACACCTGTGTGATTCGAACACACGCTCCCGAGGGAATTGCCTTAGCAGGGCAACGCGTTAACCACTCCGCCAAAGTGCCGTTGTTATTTAATTGCTCGGTGTCTTTGTGCATTATGTCCTACTATTTTAGTTCTATGGCTCAATCTTCAGATCTGCACGCTACGATCCTGACTACGCTCGGAGGGGTAATCTAGCCTGGGCTCTATATTAGATATCACAGGCCTTTAGACTAACAAGTTATAAATCTGATACCCCAAGCCGAGGTTGACCACCTGGGCAGTGTTGTACAAGTGGCACTGCTGAACTGGGCTGACCTCATATGTATCAAAGTATCCTTGGCAGCTTCTATCAGTATACTTCCAAGACGGTCATATTCTATTGCCAATTACATAGAATAGACATACTAGTATACTGCTAGTATACTGTACAGTACCATAGAAGCCAGAAGTCTCCGTAAGTAGTCCCATAAACCCCTAACCCAAGAAACCGATCTGATCTCCGATCGAATAGGCCCTAAGTACCCACGTAAACAAGCCCCGCAGCCCCTCTACGCCCCTCAGCTCTTCCATTGCATTCTGCTTCTTCTCTTTTCTGGTCAAACGAATCCTCCTTTTCTCTCTACTTCCCTCTACCAGTACTATAACCACATACCAAGATGTCCTACGGCAACCAACAATACGGCTCCGGCTCCGGCTCCGGCGCCAGCTCCAACTACTACGACCAAGGCCAAGACTTCTCCGGCCGCGACAACTACAACCAAGGCAACCAGAGCTACGGCAACGAAAGCTCCGGCTACGGCCGCGAAAGCTCCAACTACAACAACCAGGGCCACCAAGGCTACGGCAACTCCAACTACAACGGCAACAACGGAGGGTACAGCTCGAACCAAGACTACGGTCGCGAAGACCACGGCCGTCGCCACAGCGGTAACTACGGTGACGACGACTTCAGCAGTGCGGCTTCGCATGCGCAGGAGCACCACAGCAGCGAGGACAAGTCGCTTTTCAGCTCGGCGCTGAGCTTCATCCAGGAGCGGAAGAGCAAGTATTCTGGCTCGGAGGGTGAGGTTGATGAGCAGCATGCTGTGAATGCGCACCAGGCTATGTATGGTGGTGGTGGTTCTTCGCAGACTCATGATTCCAGCACTGTTGGGGCTGGTGCTGCCATGCAGGCGCTGAAGATGTTCACTGGTGGTGGCTCCGGTGGTAGCTCCAGTGATGGTGGTATGGATAAGAACAAGCTTATTGGGCTTGCTATGGCGCAGGCTGGAAAGCTGTGGGATGAGAAGCAGAGCAGTGGTGGTAATGTGGTGAGTCTTCGTTCTTTCTTGGATTTGGATGTTGGATCGGATACTAATTTGATTTGTTTCAGTCCGGTGATAAGCAGTCTGCTGTCAACTCTGCTGCTGAGATGGCTTTGAAGATGTACATGAAGAGCCAAGGTGGTGGTGTTGGTGGCACTGGAGGCCCTGGTGGTGCTAGTGGTCTCCTGAGCCTTGCGAGCAAGTTCCTGTAAATAGCTACCGAGTACATGTAGTTTGAAGAGACCCAGAATGATATGACTTTCTGATTTTGTTCGCATGAGACGGTATATAACAAAGTAGGCTTTGGTGGAAGCTTGAACTTGGAACAGGAAAAAATAAAGAATTCGCTGACCTGCACATGCAATGCACATGCCGCAGTCTCGCATGAAAATACAACGCAAATAAAGAGGCCAACGCTAAGCGCAAATGTCACCGCGACCGACCATAAACAATTCGCATCTAATCTACCACTCGTCATCGTCATCATGTTTGCCTTGCATCGCACTCTGTCGGGCGCGCAGTGCTTCGGCCAAGCCACCCGCAAGGCTAGCGTTCGATGCACTGTTCGGGGTACCGCGACCGCTGGCTCCGGATGAGTCGCCGGAGTTCATGCTCACGGCGCTGTCACGAGGAGCAGGCGGGGGTGCGGGTTTGCGACCGGCCATGTTGGGTCGCTTGGCGGGAGGAGCAGGCGGAGCGGGCTTGGTCTTTGCAGCGGCGGCAGCTCCAGCTCCGTTAGGTACGGGGCTTGGGGTTGCGCGGGGTGCTGCGGGGGGAGGGGGAGGTGCGGGCCTAGGCGTGGGAGCTGCGATGACCTCCTCGAGGTAGGCCTCGGGAGTCCATCCTTGAATCGAGGTTGTCGTGTTCATGCACAACCACCATCCTGATAAAGTTAGTCACGATTGAGGGTAAGTCTGAGTAGGTGGCTTACCATTTCCTTCCTTGGACATAATCTGAACAACTTCGCCCGTGCGGATAGAAAGCTCATTATCTCGGTCGCTGTTGAAGTCATACTTGACCTTCGCAGTGGGTTTCTGGGCCGCCGGGGGTGCCGAGGGGGGAGGAGGTGGAGGAGCTCTCACGGAGCCGGTAGACTCGTTACGAGAGTGGGCTGCCGCAACGGCAGCGACAGGCTGAGGCACAATCCGAGGCTGCGCGGCGGGTTGGGGTGCCGCAGCAGGCTGTGGGGTCGACCGAGGAAGCGGTTGCGCGGCGGGCACAGGTCTGCGAGCAGCCTGAGAGAGCTTCGAGGGACCCCCACCTGGGCCACCGGGTCGGAGGAGCTTGCCCTTTGTGACGGGCCGTGCAGCAACGGGCTTCGGCCGAGGAGTAGGCTTCGAGACAGAGCTGGGAGGCTCACCGGCACTGGTATGGATTGTGCTACTTTTGTAGCTGTCGACATTGCCGGCAGCTGGATCCTTGACTGCCTTGACTGTTGCCAGCTTGCCAGGCTTTTTGTTGTATTCAATGGTCTCTGCAATCTTCAGGTTGAGAGAACCACGTAGGACGGTAGAGAGATGGGTGAAGAATTCAGTCTTGAAGACACAGTTGACCAGGGGATCGGGCTCTTGGGCTCCGACAACAAGTGAGAACCAGTCATCCTTGAGGGTCGAGGTGCTGACAGACTTAATAGCCCCAACAGGAATGGTCCGCTCTGCCGAAATGGCAAGCTGGTTGTTGACGATGCTTTGTGAAATGATGTAGACATGGCGGCTGGTCAACACAAGAATCCGGGGCTCCGGCTTACTGGAACGACCGAATTTGGAGACCAGTACTTCCGCACGACAGGAGAATACAATGTCCTCTGAGCTACTAATGCCTGCACCATTGCGGATCATCTCACCAGGACCACCGGAGTTTCCAACGCCGAGATAGTCACCCAAGAAACGACGAGAACCGAGCAAACTCATTCTGCGCCTTTCCTTGCGACCCTGGAGCAATTTGTGACCTTCATCACGAACCTTGATGAACTCGAGTCCACCGGTCATGCGACGCCAGAAGCGCTGGATGCGGATCGCACACTCAATGCGATACCGGAGGTAGTTTCGCCAGGCACGTTGGATACGAATGGCCATGTTGTGCCAGTACTTGTCTCGCATGGCTTCCAGGGCAAACAGCGTCTCGGGGGTCTTGACGAAGACCTTGGTGATACCCATCTGGTATTCCTCTGTGGGAATGCGGGTGTCCTTCAGGATTTGCTTGGCGCCTGATTCCACGTCACCAGTCCATGTGTAGTCACCGGCGTAAGAAGTCTTGGGAGAAAGGAGGTAGAATCGCTCAGTGAACTTGTCAAAGGTCTGACGATAGGCGAAACCGGCACGTCGAATGCGAACGTTCTCTTGTAGACCAAGGTACTTGATCTGGTGCAGAACATTGCTGTGGTTGTACTCCCTAGGGGCCTTGTTGTCGTTGGGCTTGATCGTGCGGATGTAAGAGGGTTGTGCCTTCATGAGTGTAGCCACCAGGTCGTTGGCAGATGCCTTGATCTTGTCACCCGCGGTAGGCGGGCGACGCTTGTCATCTTGGTTCACCTGGTTGGGGAACAGCGTGTGGACGAATGGGTTGCTGCTAGATTGAGCAAGGTTCAGCAAATCCTTCAATAGCTGGTCCTTGTTCTTATCGGTCATTCCCTCAACAGCGTAGCTCACATCACCGGCGTAGTGCTTGATGATGAATTGGCCTTGGCGGCCCTCGAAGTTGGGATTCTGAGACAAGAAGTTGAGTCTGCCGACGAAAGTCTGGTCAGCAGCACCGGGATCGGCGTGGGCAGTCGCACAAGCGTCGTTCAGCGCAGCAAAAACACCAGGAGGACGCTTGTCCTCGATCAACGAGCACACGACCTTGTTGTCAAAGTACTGAATAGGGGTCCACTTGATTTGTTCACGGGCATATTCATCTTGCTCTGCCTTGAGAGTCAGTTGAATGAAGATCTGCTGCAGCTTCTCGTTGACGTAGTTGATGCAAAGTTGCTCGAATGAGTTCTTCTCAAAGATCTCAAATCCGTAGATATCCAGAATACCGATCGAGTTCGTGATGGATCCACGTGCGGTGAGCGATTGATTGACACGCTCAACGATCCAGTCAAACAGGTTGAAGTAGATCCCCTTGGACAACGCATCTCGGACGGCCGATGCTTGCGTTCTGTTCAAAGGCACTTCATAGACAGATCCTCTGCGTCCTCCACGCGCAGTCTCCATGAGACGGATCGTAAGGGCCTTGTTCACTTGCGCAGCGTCAACCTCCAGCAAGTAGGCAACGAAGTCAACGACCGATTGATCGCTGATCATAGCATTGCCTGAATCATCCTCGCTGAACTGCACGTTTCCGATCCACAGGATGGCGGCCAACATGCGGAAGACGTTATCCTGCTCGGCGTCGCTCATTCCAATCACCCCCATCGCGTCCAGTGTATCCTTGAACTCGGCAACATCGTCAATTCCCGGCACATCGAAACACTTGGAACGGCTGGTATAGAGGTAGGACTGTGGTTGCTGTAGGCCGAAGCTGTCGCGGTACTTTTGTGGGGCACCCTTTGTGAGTTGGTAGAAAATGTGGAAGTTTCGCTCGTTCGTAATTTGGCCCACGACTCGTGACTTCTCCAGCAGGTAGTTTGTGATGTTAGCTCCCACCGGTTCACCATTGGCGTTGAATTCCAACTCCAGGTACTTTCCGAATCGCGATGAGTTGTTGTTGCGGAGGGTCTTCGCATTACCGAATGACTCCAGCAACGGATTGGTTGCCAGCACCATCTCCTTGGTCTGTTGAATGGACGAATCGTTGCCGCCGGACACACTTGCGATGTATTGCATGATCCGCTTGGCTGCCTCCGTCTTTCCGGCACCGGACTCTCCTGAAATGATTACACATTGGTTGTCCTTGTAGGACTTCATGTTGTAGTATGCGGATTCGGCGACTCCGAATACATGAGGGGGGACTTCGAGGCGGTTCTTGCCGCGGTAGGAATCGAGGACACTGTCGGTGTAGATGCCCACTGGAATGGATTAGCCAGATGGCCCCCGTGCTTCGATCGCGGAGCTACTTACAGTCTCGGAAGGGGTTCACGGAGACCAACACATGGCCGATATAGGTCTATCATTCTCCCGTCAGCCTGTACTCGTGTTCGCGCACAACCCCGCAGTCCTCGTGGGAGAGGGATCCCTTACATAAATCTCGTCATGTTCGAACCGGAGCTTCAGGTTGTCGTTAATGGCCTCGTTGGAAATCTTGCTGAGGAGGGTAAGATCTGAGACACCGATCTCCTTCTTCTTGCTGCTCTCAAAGGTGGCCTTCTTGACTTGCGGCTTGCCCCCCGCCTGTCGGCCATCGCCCACATCGGCCACTGCTTTTGAGCGACCGAAGCGGCTCTTCTTCTCTCCCCCAGCGGGGCGTCGTGACTGACCCTATACCGGAGCCGGGTCAGTTTCAGGTTCCGACCTTATCTGGTCCGCGCGGAGTCAACCTACCATGTTGTGTCAATCTCTCGGGATCTCGCGCCCGAGAATCGTTCAATCTGACCTGTCAGCGGGGTCGCGTAGTGAAAGGTAAGTCCGCAAGACTCGGACGTGTAAGAGCGAATAGTCTAGAACCCAATGCTGTAGGGAGGAATGAAAGTGAGGGAGACTTACGTACTCGTCAAACGGAAGCAAACAGCTGCGCCACACCTCTCGGTTGCTGCCTCAGGGGGCGAATTGGGTATCAAATCAACGGGGCCAATTCGCGGCATTTACGGATCTCAAGGGTCTCGCTGCATTCTCATTGCTCCGTTTCGCCCGCATTTTTCTTTTTCGCAACGAACAGCCACGCGCGTCACGTCTTGTGGCTCGTGCAGTCAGGAATAGAAGCATCGACGTCATTGGGCTTATCCCTGTGCCTAACTGTTCATTGGAGCCTGTTTACTACTGTACTTTGTTCGTGCCCTAAATGGGGCATCTATGGATGTTTTATGTATAAACTCTTGGGTAGTGATAACTTGTTCCAAGACAGTCTTTTGAGAATATATAGTACATCAGGGGTACTACCTGGTAATTTATACAGTCGTCAACATTGAATATGTTCAAGCTTCTTCTGTATGTCATTTTTTGATGATACCTGAGCATTATTCGGGCATTCTCTATTTACCAGACCCGTCGAGTGCAAAATAATATACATAGAACATCACAGCTTCTCGTCGTCACCCAGCAACCACTGCACATGCCGATACGACACCCGACCTTGATCCTGGGACTGCCGATGGCCAGCCTGAAAAGTTTCCGCAAACATAAGGCCACGTTCATAATGTTGAACGCCCATAATGCCCTGGGGGCCATCAAGGTCCCCATAGTCCACCTGGGCATCGAAGACAGCAGCGTACTGCAAGTCCGGCATATCGATATGAACGGGCGTAGTAGGACGAGACTGGAATCCTAGCTCACCATTCCAGGTCATGTTCTGAATCGCGATCAGCGTTCCATTGGTAATGATCAAATAATCCCAAGCTCCGTTCGAGATCAGGACCCGATTGGTCGCTTCAATGACTCGGGGCAGAATGTGCTCGGTGGGATTCGGGGATTCATCATATAATTGCTGTGGTCCCGGGTCGGCACCGACAAAGACGCTCTCAATGCTGCAGAGCTCCCAGTTGATATCCTCGGGGACGTGGAGGGCTTTCTTGACGTCCGTGCGGTTGAAGTAGGATGTGGGGCCTGGTTGGTAGGAAAGGTCGGTGGGCATACCCAGGACATCCCACAAGAGTGGGCAGGTCTGGCTGACCTTGGAAGGACTCCAACATGGGTTCGGGTTGTAGGCTTCGCTGTAAATCATGTTGTAGATGTCGCATTCGACGTCGTCGTAGTCTGCGAACTTGGTGGGCTGGACCCCGGAGGCCGGGAAGGTGAGGTACTCGTCGTAATATTCTTTATAGCCGCATTGCTCGTAGGTGTCCTTGAGATCTGCCATGAAGGATTGGTTGAAGTTGAACAGCTCGGCATGTTGTTCAACGAAGGGGTAGGCGGGAAGTTCGGCTTGGACGTAGTCCCACTGGCCAATGCATGCCTCGTACATCATAGCTCCTGGTATGTGTGAGTAGACTTGACCGAGTGCGGCTGTAGTGTCGGGTCTTACCACTCAGATTGAAGTGTCGAGTATCGTTCTTGTCGAGCATCGCGGCAGAGATATAGGGCACGTAGCGTCCCGCATAACTTTCACCAGTCAAGAAAATCCGGAAGTTTTCAATCTCGTATTCTTCTTGAAACTCTTTGAAGAACTTGATGAAATCGGCAGCGAGGTCCTCTTCGCTAGTAGCAGTCGGCGTGCCGTTGGAGAATCCCACTCCAACCGGTTGATCGACCCTGGACGCCGGTCAGTTTATGTGCACCCCGGTACGTATCGGTTTTTCACCATCCACTTACCATAACATATTGGTCAAGTTCACCCATGAGTACTCGTTGATGACCGGTTCGTAGGTACCGGGTAACCAGGAAAAACGACCATTCTCCTGCAAGAACCCCTGCATTGAACTGCATCCTGGTCCACCATTGAACCACACCGTGAGGTCATTACTAGGCTCCCCAATCTTTGGCTGGAAGATGTAGAATAAGGACGTGTTATCGCGGGCGGGCAGAAAACCCGAATACATCTCGCCCAGTTCATAGTGGACGTCTGGTAAGCTCTCCACCACATGGGCTAAGGTTCATCATTAGTTCCAATTAGAGTTCAAAGGGGAGGAATTGAAGCGTACGCTTGGTTCTGTTTGTGAGGAAGCGATAGTTCGAGGTATCCACCGGCTCAGATGCAAGAGTATGTTGCGCACGATGCGTCCGAGTAGAAGGGCCCCGGGCAGCCAGGCGCTTTGCCTCTCCCCCACAGAGGAGAAGTGACGTGGCCAGCAATGTAGCGGTTATAGATCGAACAAACATTTCGGCTGTGTCCAATTGCTGGAACTCCGGAGCGACCGCAATACTACTGGTAGTACAAGTACAAAATAATCCCAGGGACAGAGTTGACTGGAAGCGGCTTCAGTCTACAGTGCAGTACTGGTTGAATTTGTCAGCCAGGGTTTTCAGGACGATCAGGTCCCTTTTGATCGTCCATGTCTTGCACCCTGAAGTCCACTTGGAGGATCGGCATTGCCAATGGCCGCCAAGTCTGTCCGAATGGGGCATGCTCGGCAATTTTTCCAACTTACCTAGCTCTGTATTCGATAGAATTGAAGTATTTGAGGGCAACTAGTAGGCTCAAAATTCACTAGTCGCCTGCAGCTACTAGCGGGAGTAGTCGAAGACGAATAAAAGAGGGCGAAGTTGGGATTACCCGGAGCTGAGCCGGATGTATTACTCCGATGCAAATACTCCGTAACCCTTGCATGGACCCACGACGAAAAAAGCAGTCTACCCAGTCGGCCGAAGCCGCTCCAAGTTAATCTCGTCTAATCAATCTACTTGGCATTCTCGTTGTGTGCAGATCACGCCATTCCGTTGGGATGTTAATACTACCAGTCGTACAACACTACTATGGAGTACATACAGCAGAGTACTGGTACTGCCTCGATGAATTCTAATGTGTTGTCAACCTTGGAAGGAGGAAAATTCAAGCCCGAGATATTTGCATTGTTGGGTTGAGTACTAGTAATTTTCATGATTTTGGAGTGTTGGGTTTATGGATTGGTCGTGGTCGTCAAAATTCGCTCTGACCACGGGTGCTGCGCCCCCAGTATGGAGTATAAGAACGTCAGCTGAAACGACCAAAGGTCTCGGCAAGAGCCCCAACAAGCTAAGCGGGCACTAAAGGCTGCATAAGAAACGCCTCTTCTTGGCAATATTTATGCTCCGCTGTGAGTGCTAGGCACTTAAGGCACTATCTCGGATCAGCATAGAGATCTCAGATGACCTCCCACCAAAGCGTGTGATGGATAACAATGGAAACATTGCCTGGGAGGCACGCCTCTTTCATTCCTCGTTAAGTTAGTTGTTTCTGAGTCCTCGAGAATCGGGAAAGACAACGCAGTATGTACTGTAGATATCATGCGATCAAATGCCGCACAGATCAAGCGTCGATAAATTGTAGGCTCGGAACTAGCCCTGGCTTGGACTAGGATGATTTCAAGTTTTTTTAGCATGAGTTGGGGCAGATCTGGAGTACGCAGATGGCTCCACAATAAGTAAAGCGCCGTGGGAGGCCAAGAGGATCCATTCACTAGAAGGTGGAAACTGTCCGGAGTAGCCGGCTACATCCAGAGGCCTAGATATCCGTTACCGGAGAGAATAAACACCCTTTGAAAGGTCCGTCTGTGGCATTGTTGAAAATGAATCAAATTTCAATTAACAAATCCATGGATATGTGGAGCTCATCGAGGCTAATCATCACGCTAATAAAGATGTGATTTTACTACAACGCCCCGATGATTCACAAATCAATACCAATATCTTGTCTTGAATTTCGTAGAATCCTTCCGGTGGACAAAATATGCGCAATCACTGATACCTGCCCACTGGCTTGCTCATTTGTGAGGCTTCGTGAATGGGCTTGAGGGCTTGGCGCCTGACTATACAGCTGTGTTAGCAAAGACCGGTAGACCCAGTGAGCCTGTAGCACCAGTAGACACTTACTGCAGCTTTGAGCACAGAGGTTGAACGATCAAACGCGCCAGGAGGCTATATACCGACGTGTGAGTGTGTTGTATAATGATGTATGGGAACTCTCTGTGTCTCGCTCACCGAACAAACCATGTCGGACGAACCAAATAGAGATGGCGAGGATGGACTAGGGGCTAGAGCCTATAAAAAATAACCTGTTAGTTTTAAAAAGTTGGCTGATGATACTCCTGATCCGACTTACCGGAGTGACCACACTGGAACTGGGGTCATGCTCGGAGCCGAGTCCAAACATCGATTTTCTTGTTTTGGGCATATTCAAGGTCGTCTGCATTTTAACGTGTAAGCTTCTTGGGGACACGCGAAAAGGACTCGATTCTCGCTCACAGGAGCCACCGAAGGCGATCTATCACTAGGTCCGAAACTAGTTCCGAATATAGAAGATTTTATCTCGGTCGGGGTACGAAACTGTACGGCGATGTGTCAGTATTACAAGAGTCCCACCTGGGCACAGGAACAATCCGAGTTTTGCCTACCAGAGATGGTGCGCTGGGTTTTCCGAAGAGAGACTCCCGATTGGCGGCGGTATCATGAGCCTGAACATGAGCCTGAACAGCAAGATTTGAGTCATTCGGCGTCGCCTCGGAATGATGCGAATGTAACTCACCTGAATAAATGGACTAGCTGTGCTGGCCCGAGGAAAATCACCGGGGGTTTCAAAGAAAGACGTCCGCTGGACGGTAGTTTCCGGAGTCTATACAGCGAAATTTGAGTGAGTACAATCCACCCCAGAATCATACGGATCTAACCCACCCTGGCAAAAGGACTGACCGTGTTCGCCAGAGAGACACTTGGCTTTCCAAATAGCGACTCTTGCTTCATGGTAGCCCTAGGAGCCTATAGCAAAGTTCAATAAGTTCTCGTCGCCCCGGAATGACATGAATCCAGCTCACCTGAGCGAAGGAACTTGTCACGTTTTCCTCAGTATGGCGTGTATGAGACAGACTCTTCATGTATCCCTCGATGCAGTCCGTGAAGTAAGATGCATCGGAAACAACGATCACGGGGGGTGCATCGGCGATACTAAGAGACAAGAAGTGATGCAGTGCATTGAGCGACTGAATCGCCTCGGCCTGCTGTTCGTGTGATGCGGTTGAATCCATCAGATAGATCAGGACGCCCGTGGATAATTGGTTGGCTTCAGTGAATTTTTGAATGTTCACGCCTGTCTGGCGGCGGCTCTTCACCTGGAAATGATCAGGCGAGAGGAGTAGGGCGTTGACCGTGACAGTCCTCACTAGGCGAGACGAATCGAATGTCTGAATTGGAGGAAATTGGTACTTCAGTTCGAAGGTGAAGTCGCGTTGCGATGTGTCGGGGAGAGCTTCGGTTACGGTTCCCAGTGCTTTGATCACCGGACCGATCCTGGGCCATTCCTGACGGTTGCGAAGCTCGGCGTTGTAAATGCCCCGCAACTCGGGGATGGGAGTGGGAGCCATGATGGGTGAAGTAGGTAGAGGAGGGAGTGAAGAAGCTAGTGGAAAGCCTCGCGTGAGGGCTGACCCTGTTTGGAGTCGCGCAGGAAATGTGCAAGGTGGGGGTAGAGGAGCAGGTTCGGCAACTGCGTTTAAAGCAGTAAGAGGAGAGCTCAGGGAAACCGATCTAGCAGTTGAGAAGAATAGCCCCGGGGGCATGGTTGTTGATGAAAGTCAGATGAAGTGTGAGTCGGACTAAAGCATGAGAAGAAAGAGAGGGGGGGAGAGAGGGAGAAGAGAGAGAAGAAGAGTTGAATTATGTAGAATAGCAAGTATGTACTGAGATTGTAAAGAGCGGGGAGGATCCGATATGTAGTCGACTCCGCTTACAGAGTCACCAAGACTGCTGCGAGCCAGCAGGGTAACCCTCAGTCTGTCCAATATGTAAGGGTATCTGGAGTAAAGCAACAGTGAAAAGCATATGCACGCCAGCCGTCTATGACCGGATATCGCTAAGAGAAAGATGAAGCAGACAATGATTACTGACTCTTAGATGCAGACGATGTGCCCTGAGCCGTTGGGGCAGCAGACGCATCTGAAGATTGAGTTGTTGACACAGCCTTGTCGGCTGTAGGCTGAACATCAGACGCGGGCTCGGGTGTCTTCTCAGAACTTTGCGCAAAGGTAAAATAAGAGGAGACACGCGACAGCCAGCCTTGCGCGACAGCCGGCTCGTCCACTTCAGGGGCTTGCTCGTAGATCTCTGGGGCCAGGATCCTCTGCGAGCTCATCTTAGGCATGTCACCATGCTTCGCTCGGAGCTGAAGAAGCTCTTTCTCCAGTGCCACCAGTGCCCCACGCGCAGCTTGCTCGGATTGTTCCAGCTCGGCCAGTCGACCTTCCACACCCTCTCTTCGAGTACTTTCTTTATTACGAGAGCGCCAGGACTCAAACAGGATCAGACCTCCGGCGACAAGGAAGAGGAATGATTCGGAGATGAAGTTGGCGCCGGACTCAATGGCTTTGGATTCGGACAAGGGTCGGATACGGTAGTGTTGTGGTTTGGCCGCTTCTTCTGCCGCAGCCTTGGCCTTGGCCTCAGCTTCCTCCGCGGCTTTGGTTTCGGAGGCATTCTTGACAGTGGGCATTGAGGGTTTGTGCTTTCGGGCTTCAGCTTCGGCGGCAGCCCTTCTCTGGGAGGCTGCAGAGTCACGGATCGATCCTAACCGGAGACGCATGTCGAATCGGTGGAGAGCTTGCGCCATAGAGACGCAGATATTGCGAAATCGTTCATGTTCGCGGGCTTGGGCTTTGATTTGCGACTGTGGGGGTCAGCTGCACAGTTCGAGGACGAGGGATGGGAAAGCCCGAGCTTAAGTTAGGCTTACAGCAATAGGTTTGGACAATGTCCGAATAGCCAAGGAGGAAAGCTTCAATGTCAGCGACATGGCTGTGGACTGGATGTTCAGCTTAAGATGAGTCGATCCAGGCACAAGCTTGGTCCCGCCCTGATGACATAAGGTAAGATGTGAGTGGCCAATCACAATGAGGCTCTTGTATGCGCTGCCCCAGGTGCTCTCCAGGGCTCTGTGCGAGTGCGTACTTCGTACTCCGTACTTCGCTCGTTTTACACATGCCAGAAAACAAGCTCAAGCCAAGGCATTTCTCATCTTTAGACTTCCCGTCAACCCCACACAGACCTTTCACGACTGTTTCGCGATCTACAACCCTTCCCGAACCCACACCTCGGAGGACTCCGAGGGCGTGCACGATACCCCGTGCGCGCCGTACATACTTACAATTATGGCTGGAGAGAATGCATTGAGCAATGGCACAATCTGCAGCCAATCACAAACTGCATGAAGCCCAACCCCAACCTCGGCCTTCAGCGACGCGAAGGATTGCGTCGCAATTTGAATCAGCGCCTTACCCAGATAAGCTAAATTAGCCTTCCTCATCCACCAGTCCGATGGTGTGATTGGTTGCCGTCCAATTCAGATTCTGGGTAGTTAGCTCCGAAACATTTTTCTATTTTCCTTCCTGCAACATGGCAGGGGAATTCCAGACCAAGACTGGTCAATACGTCCAGGATGTCGAGCAACCAGCGACCGCTTCGGCTTCAGCTTCGGGGTCGGGGTCGCGGGACGCTCCTGATCTTGGAGGAATCGTCACCCAGCATGAGCATCGGAGCTTAATCCGGGGTCTGGGACAGCGTCATATTCAAATGATCGCTATTGCGGGCGCAGTGGTATGTGAGTCGCAATCGCAGAGTGAGAATTGAACTGATCGCTTTGTAGGGCACGGGTCTCTTCCTCGGCTTGGGGGGCTCAATCGCTACTGGCGGTCCACTCGGTGCTTTGCTCGGATATATGTTCGTTGGTCTGATTGTATGCAGCATTCAGTTCGCGCTGGGTGAGGTCGCGGCGTTATTGCCCGTTACCGGTTCCTTTGTGCGACATGCAGAGATCTTGGTCGATCCGGCGCTGTCCTTCGCGATTGGCTGGAATGTCGTCTATGGGTGCTTTCTCAGCGTGCCTAGTGAGATATCTGCCAGTGTGGTCCTGATTCAGTACTGGACGGATATCAATGCGGCGGTTTGGGTCACCATCCTCATTGTGGTCTCCGCAGTGGTCGCATTCTCATTCATTCGCGTCTACGGCGAAATTGAATTCGTGTTCGCCATTCTCAAGATTCTTTTGGTCGTCTTCGTGGTCATTCTGGGTCTCGTTATCGACCTGGGTGGTGTGCCAGGCGTGCCTCGGAGAGGGTTTCACTACTGGAAAGACCCTGGTCCCTTTGTCGAGTACATCTCCACCGGGTCCTGGGGTCGCTTCCTAGGCTTCTGGGCAGTCATGACCAATGCGGTTTACTCTTTCGCAGGAGTGGAATCGTTGGCCATGGCGGCCGCAGAAACGCAAAATCCACGCCACAACATCCCCAAGGCCTGTAAGCGAGTGTTCGCGCGAGTGTCCATCTTCTACCTCGCCGCAGTACTGGTCGTGGGTATGGTGGTTTCCAGTGCCGATGAGCGCCTCGGCTCCGACTCCGGCACGGCAGCTACGAGTCCATTTGTCATCGCTGCTGGTGACGCTGGCATCAAGGCTATTCCATCTGTTGTGAATGCAGTCTGCTTAACATCGGCGTGGTCAGCATCTAACCAGAGTATGCTGGCAGGAACGAGAACTCTGTACGGTCTTGCCATCAAGGGCCATGCTCCTAAGATTTTCCTGCGCACGACCGCGTGGGGTATTCCGTACCTCTGTGTACTGGCGCAAGTGCTTTTCTCTCTGCTAGCTTACATGTGCGTTTCCAACGACGCCATGAATGTCTTCTGGTGGTTTGTTGATTTGACCGCCGCTGGTACTTTGGTCTCATGGATTGCGATTGCATGGAACCACATTCGTTTACTGAAGGCCATGGACAAACAAGGCATCCCGGCTTCTCAGTTGCCGTGGCATAATAAAATCACCAGTATGTTGAAGTTGAACCTTAAGACAAATGCCGATGCTAACGATACGATCTCAGGATTCACTTCATGGTTTGCATTGATCTCTTGCATTGTTATCCTCTTGACTGGAGGCTTCTCGGTATTTACAGCCGGAAATTGGGACCCGGCTTCGTTCGTGTCTTCCTATCTGTGAGTCACTTTACGCGCCGAAGATCAACAAACCCGACTAACAAGATAAATAGTGACATCCCACTTGTTCTTGCCGCTTACGGAGGATACAAGTTGATCCGTCGAACCAAGATCATTCCACTCGAATCTATACCGATTCAAGAGGCATTGGATGAAGCCAATGATGACCCAGACAACGTGCCAATCAAGAGGGATAGCATATGGGCAAAGATGAATATCTTCTGGGGCTAATAATACTAGCGCGATGAACGTGGATCAGATCCATTTATTCAACATTTACATCGTGATACCTCTTCTAATAATATATACCCATTCAACCACTCCAAGTTGTTAGGTTCAAGGCTCCAATAGCCCGAGGTCACTAGATGTTTTATAAAAGTCAAGTCTGTCTGCCGACCTCCCCAGGTGCTCGTGAGATGCGACATGCACCTTGGTTTGGAAATACCTAGGTATTCTGCGGATGCGAAATCCAAGGATGCTGCGATCTGTCAGGCCGACTGAACAGATCCATGAATATCTATACAGGTGGGCACCTGCCCAGCTGCGTACATACCCGTGGACATGACCCAATTTTAGGTTTGCTATTCGGGTGGATATACCGGCCAGTCTGGCGAGGGCATGTCGCCCGCCAGTGCTTGTACACAAGGGTTTTCTCGGGGCACAATTTGCGGTTTTACTTGGACTAGGTACCTTTCTTTATCCGCCGCTATGATCTTCCTGTCTACTGCCATGGTTGTTTCCATTGAGTGTCATGCTCTGTTACCTACCTAGGTATAGATCCAACTGGCTCTGTTAAATAGAACTGCGAAGAATATAGAAGTGAAATGTCTCCTACATACACAGACCACTTAAAATATACTAGGTAGGTCAATTTCCCCTAGAATAGGTACACCCCGATGTATGCAGATCTATACGCGGGCAGACCTCTAGCTGACCCAGACACCGAGCAATCTCCATTAATTGTCAAAATATGTGCCCAATATAATTTCTTCCTACGTACAAACAATCACATACGACCACAGGGTGTGGAAAACAGGGCTTCCCGTCCGCTCAGCCGTACTTAAGCCACACGCCGGTGAGTTAGTAGTTGGGTGGGTGACCACCAGCGAATCCTCACTGTTGTATGTTTTTGTTTTTTGCTGCTTCTTTGCCCTCTGTTAGCTGTTTGTTCAGTACTCGTAGTTGGCCTGTCACCGTAGCTTTGGCTGAAGGATACATGGATGGCAGGCAACCTTGGGAGAAACCACGGGGGAAAAGTTGGAATTTGAGCCAATGAGAAGAAACTTCCATGTTTGAGGGTGCTTCAGATCCAAGCAAATCCACCAGGTGGGAAGATCAATGGCCGAATCTGTCTGGGTAGGAAGCCCCGGGGCCCAATGCCAAAGTTATACACATGTGGAGGAGAGCTCTTGGAGCTGGCATGGAGAAGAAATATAACTAAGTGTCTTGTTTCTTTTGTCTTTTATCTATCCCTGGGAAATACCGGCTCACATCCCCAATTGGAATTGAGAGTTCAACTGATACCGACTGTAAAAGTCGAAAATAATCTCAGTGGCGTTGAACACATAGTGACCCATGGGGCATTTATCCCGTCCCATTGTCGCATAGTCATCATTCGAGTGTGTACAAGGCCAGCAGTGGCCATTGTCACCTTCTCGGTAGAATTCGACAATGTTCGTCTTGCCATCACAATCCCAGCCAGCACGCTTGACCAGCGGGTCTTCATGAATCGTCACATTCCGTGCCCATTTCTGATCTTTGTCGCACCCATTTCGCTCGGCCCAATTATGCAGGACATCAATTATGGGGACGATCTCGTCCTCCACGTCTCCCTCAATCGGGGCGGTTTGATCCACTGTGCCATGGAAGATGAGGAAGGGGTATCCTTCGTCCCGTTTCGCAGGCTCGCATGCACCAACGCCGGGTACATCGCCGGTTTCATGCCAGGCACCGCTCACCACCGAGAAAGCGGCAAAGCGACTTCCGACTGTGGCATTGCAGGCGATGACGGCAGTGAGTTCCCCTCCGTTTGATTTGCCGTTGGCGTAGATTCGACTCTGATCGACGCACAGGCTCTCTTCCAAATGCCTGAGAAGCTCGTCGGTAAAGTCTAGATCGTTGGGATGCGAGGTGTGGGCGTATTGGTTGGATAGCCATACTCCATTGTCGGTCTCCGGGTAGACGGCAATACCGTCCGGGTTGAATGCTGGGTTGGAGAATTGGGATAGACCCTCTTGCTCATGTCCGTCTTTGCCGGCGCCGCAGAAGGAAAAGTATACCGGGGCTTTTGTATCGTGTTGGTAGGTGGAGGGGATATGGATTCGATAGGAGCGATCACTGTTGGGTAAGGACAGTGTCTTGCTTGATCCGGGGCTTGGGAACTCATCGGGAATGGCCTTCCCGCAGCCCGATTTCGCCGAGCCAATGCCAAAAAGGGCAGTCAAAGTGAAGAGAAAAGAAACATGCATTTTCCGACTCGTTTTTGGTCACACGCATTGCTTTGATTGGGGAGGAATACTTATATAGAAGCAATTAATGACGCCATTTGATAGACAGGGGAAGTACTTTTGAATTTGCGGTTCCCATATTTGAGGCCCTGTTCTGATTCTATGCACAATGGACTTTGATACGATGCACGCACTCTGCATCCAGATGTACTCAACTTGTTGCAGTGGATGTGTGGTGCTCTAGTTCGGCGGATAGCCAAGGTTATGGCGGTACGCGATCCCCAATGCGTCAATGATATGCGGTTGATCATCGCGCATCAGCGGAGCTACATTTCCACCTCGAGTTCTTCTCATCCCTTACTATTCGCTACAACAGTAACCAATTCACCCCCTACCAACTGTACGCATCAAATGACGACGGGCATCGGTAAAGTCGTGACGTCGGCCAAATAACAAGTGCGGCGAAACCAAGCTACCCGCTGTGAGCTTCAGGGCTGGTCGAACATCCAAAAATTGAGCCCTCGCTATATCCTGATACTGGGCCGCTGCCCAGGTACAGACTTCATCACCGCTTATGATAGTACAAACTAGGCAGATTGATTGGTTATAACATTACAGCATGGAGAGGTGACGGGTTGATACGATACTAGGTATCAAGCCTCAAATGCTCAAGTGCTAGATCTGTTGCTGAGAAACATCATGTACATCATTGAACCCCCTGTTTTTAGCTAGACTACTATAGAGCGAATCTCACAGCCTGGAGCCTTCCAGGGCTGGAGTGGGGTCGCACATCCATGGGTCTACGAATGCTCGTATTTGTGTACTCTATACCCCGAACATCCGGTTGGCCATCCCCTAGGTATCCAAGGAGCCACCCATGGATGACCTCGAAGATAATGGTACAGATTCCGAATGCTTCCAAGGTTGCTAGCACTAGCAAGCCGTACCTAGGTACTGTACATATTGTAGGAAATCATACATCTCTTTATCTCGCTGTCTAGAAGATTTTCCACCTGGGCAACGACTCATCATTGAAACACGCAGTGGGTTTCAATCTGCATGCAGGAGATGGTATCCATGGATGGCTATTTGCTAGCTCTCGTCGGCGTAATCTCGGGGTTCCTGGTTATATCAAAGCTTGCGATAGCCCTGGAGTATATTCATCGTCTCATCAACGTATGAATTGTGAGCAAGAGACCTCGGGATTTATTTCCAAGTAAATTAGATCAAGACCCGTTCACATGTTTTTGCTATCAAAGTACCCAAGATGCTTCAAATCATTACTTTGTGGATGGACCGTGTGGCATCACGGCTCAGCTTGACACAGTTTTCTTTGGTTTCAATTAAATTATCTACCTAGTAACTTATAGAGTGCGTGCTCTTTCCAAGACTCTAAGGTTTATATTGGAACCTACGATTAAGTAGGGAGAAAAGGATCTCTTCAACTTGGTTGGATAGAAACAGAGACGAAAGAGCCCTGGAGGGAGAAGGGAAAACTAACTAAGACTAGGGCTGAGAGGGGAGAAACCCACTCTCCAAACAGTTCAGACACGACCCTCTAGTCGGTAGTAGAGGCCACTACGTAGTACATGTATCCTACAATTGGGGGGGTCTACTCCTTCCACGCCGTCATTGCTACCACACCTTTAAAATTTCCTGTATGAATGCAATTCGTTGAAGATTGGAAATGAATCATACTATTCTAACTTCATATCCTGGTGGGCTCAAATTTGCTCATGCGCTTGGGCACTGCTGCTGTTGTGCTCAAAAATCCGAGTTATTGGAAATGTCAGAACGTGGCGACGAGATGTTTAGCTCCGTCCCAGCAATCTTGACATCCTTTTTTTCCACTCGTTTCCTCGCGTAGTCCCTGCACTGTATCTTTCTCTGGGACTTTATTGTACAGATGAGCTCAAGGTTTCGTTTCAACTGAGCTGTCTTTCTTGGATGCGCCAGATCATGAGCCCAGGCACTCAAGGAAGTGAAATGAGGGTGGTCACGGTATTCTCCGCTTGCTAGAAATCTGTAGAGAAACCAGGATCAGTATATGGTATACTTCATATTCTGTAGTATGGCAGTACCCACTCTCGGAACTTTCCCCAGAAGTGATCAGTCCGACGCCATTTGAGCGGATCTCCAATAAAAAGAATACCACCATGCGGCCAATATTTCAGAAGGCACTTCCAGAGAAGCCAAGATGCATCCGCTGGTACGGGGGTGGCTTGAAAGGGCTCAAGCAAAACTTTTCTCTTCCATCCCAGATGAATAAGCCCTAAACTGGGTCCTTTGAAGTCTCTCTCGGCTATCGACACTCGATCTTCTGGCGAGGAAGCTATATCGGCAATTGTGTCCCTCCAGGATAGCCCGGTCTCTTTTTCCCACAGCTCAATAAGCTGGTTCCCCATATGAGCATTGTCTTGGCAGTGATGAAGCCTGCATACTGGAAACGTGGCCAAATTCTTGGAGCCCAAAGTTCCTGTCTGGGCCCGACAAGGAGTTCCAGACTCATCTTGAATGTCAATGCCATGGGGGGTACTAGGAAGTATTAACAAAGTCTTTTCCTATAGTTGACACAGTGATCACTCACAAAAAGATGAACTTTCGCACCCCGATGCTATTGTTGCGGTCTGATAGAGGGGGACGTAGGGTGAAAGTGACGTTACGCCGCTCACCTCGATTCCAGTAAATAGCGAAACTACCATTTCTCCAGGCATAAACTTCAGCTCCATGCCACCTTTCGAGAAATTGAGGAGAAATCCTCCCCTTACTTTTCCTGTGTGCGTCTGCCATTTGTAAAGGTCGCAAGCATTCACATATGGCAGACGTCAACAAGCGCACTGCTTCCCCGGGGGTTCTCTCATTCAAGGGGGCCAAAAAAGGGCGAATCCATGAGACCTCAGGTTTGGAGGACTCTGTCTGAAGGATGAACGTACGTCCACAAGCAAATTCCTCCTGTGGGGCGTGTTGATCTCTGGATTTAGATGGTTGGCGGGAAGTATCTCTTCCCTTCGCGTCTCTGGTATTGTCCATGACAGAGCTCACAGTGGCATTGGCAAAAAAAGAAGTTCCTTCTGCTATTCCACATGCCCAAGTCCACCACAAACTTTTGTGCTCTCGGCGAATGTGGTTATGCAATTCCGAAATATTGAGATCCCATAGATTGCGAACTTGTTGCCTTCGTTGTGCTGACATAGGAAGACCAAGCGCAAAACCGATAAAAAGAAATCTATCCTGAGAAATAATAAGTCATTGAATCTTCAAACCTCTTCCAGGCGCGATGAGCATATAGAAAGTCAGAGGCCCACATACTGTAACTGTTCTCGTTGCAATCCCGAGTCTTGACCGTCCTCTAAATGTAAGAATCGACTGAGATCTGGGGCCTTCGGAATGAAGCTTGGCTTTCAATCTATCAAAGCACTTGTAAAAGCCACTCTCTAGTAGCTTATTTTCCACAGTTGCCAGTATGTTTTGGCACCACACCTTTCGCGTCTGGTTTCGGAAGGCCTGTTCTGTCTTAATGCAAATCGTGACAGTGAGCAGGAGTATCCAAAGTGTCATGTCAAACACCTTGCTGAAGGTTCCAGGATTCCGACAGAACCTTCCTTTTCCCGGGTGAAAACATGCAACTTGAATGAATGGAGTATCTTCACAGTTGACTAATTCGAGCTTGCCAACCTTTTCTGTGAATAATTGGGTTGCGGGATAGCCAAAGGGGTGATGAAACCCGGATTTGGCGCTAGAGGAAGCCTTGGTCCCCAACGTGAGAATTATCATGGGCTTGGTCAAAAGCACATATCTTTTTGCGAACATCACTGCTTGTTAGAGATCTTTACCTCCTGCTTGCAGCCATGGGCACAAATTGATGAACGGTAGGACGCCTGCTGAGATCAATGCGCTGAGATCTTTCTCAAATACTGGTTTGCCTTGCTCCCAGCTCCACAGTCTCTTCAAATAATTCTTCATCAAAGTAGCAGAATCACTGCTCCCTTTGAAGAACTCCTGTGCGTTCCTCCAAGCATCAAGACTCATCTCAGCCCCGACTGTCAGGAAAATGACGAACCTTTCGCGGAACATGGCAGGTTGCGCTTGTCGGATAATTTTCGATCGAACGTCATTTGAGAACTCCAACGCCAGTCTCGTTGGGGGGCAAACTGAAAGTTTGTGGGCTCTATTGTAGTTTTGTATCTCTGTCGCCCACGCTATGATCGGCTCACGCTCTAGAAGCTTAAAACTCGAGGAGATGAGAAATGAGAAACTGTCAGTTTTGAGGTTGGCAAAGGCCATTTTGTGGTCTTCCGTTGGTGCGAACGACCAGGCTTCACAAATTCGTTGGTTTAGCAAAGAAGATAACCCAAGAAGGGCAATCATGGCTTGCTCTTTTTGCTCTCCAAACTGCTGTAGGCAAACCCCTGGAACTTCGTATAGCATCACGGCGTCGATGGCCAATGGATGTGTCCTTTCTAGCGCCGAGAGAAATTTCGAAAGAAACCCACTCTTGATTGATTGGAAGGCAATGTCGTGGCGATGGCGGAGAAGGGTAGATCTCTCCGTTCTTCCCACGTATCGAATATACACATTGTCATCCGACTTCAAGAACTCAACGCTTTCTGACCAAGCCAGAGTAGTTGCGGTCTCAAGCCCAGCTTCGCCAAATAGGGAGATCACATCCAAAAGTTGCTTCACGGTAAGTTGAAAAGACCTCACATAGAGTATCATCCTCCGCTCTTCCTTTTCGGGTGGTTGATTGTTTGTAGCGACTCGCAAGTTGAGCATCTTCGACAGTGTATGGTCTGTAACATGTATCGGATTGTGGATTATCCCCTCCCAGTCAATGTGATTGTTGTGATCTTTGGGTACACAGTGGTTGAGCAAAGCCGGTATTCACCCCGCCCATTTCCAATCGATCCATCAATATATCAAGGATGGCTTTACGGAGACCACGTTCACCAGTATGTGAAAGACATAGAGACGCTTCTGAGTATCGACGATTCCAACGAGGGTGTCTTCGATTTGCAGACTGGTCAGCGCAGGCGAAGCCACCGGTATGGCTGTTGGATCTTGGGCGCGAACTCATGACCGAAGAAAGAAAGTTGGTATTGGAGGGAGGAGAACTTTGTAGGCAATGAATATCAAATGTTCGTCGAGGGCAGAGGCTGGGGCCATCCGACTGTTAATTCATCTTGGGTGAATAGAGAAAGAAGACAAGAGAAACGAGAAACCAGACAGCCGTAAGATGGCTAACAAGTGCTCCACGTGCTCGGGTTTCTCCAGAGGGCTGCTCAACTTCAGCACTTACTATGATGTTTCTCATTCTCTCTGTGTGTGTCTCTGTCATGGCCTGACCAACAAGTCAGTCTCGTGGGTTAAAAATTCGCGCCTCGGGACCTCGGAGCTATAAACTAAACAATAGCTGGCCATATTTCACGGGGTCGCAAATGACGAATGGACTGAGTGAACTACAGTCATCGTGATTCTAAGCTCCGGAGGGGCGTATTGTTACGGCAATGAGCAGGATATTTCCGAGGCTCCCTTCATCCATGAGTGGCAGCAGGGAATGCCTGTGGGCCTAGGCGCCGCTTTTATTCAGTGTGCGGGCTGAATCCATAGTGAATAGGGAATTGCTAAAAGAGATGAAAGAAGGGCAAAAAGACTCGGGAGAAAGGGAAAAGGATAAGAAAAAAAAAAAAGAAAAAAAGAAAGTGAGGCTGACCCGTCTCGACCAGATAACCTTGCGAACTGGAGTCGCTGTGATGATGTTAGTGTGAATTCAGAACATTGGAATTGTAAATGGAAACGTACCACGCGCTACCAATTGCGCCACAGCCCCAATTTGGTGACATATCGGCCGTCAATTGGTATTATAAGCCTACAATACTTTCTGTGTAAACTTTCGTCTTGGAATTTACTCTACGCATCGCAGATGTCCTAGGTTTATTTTGAGTGATTAAAAGGACTCACATTCTGATTTCCATATCAGGTTGTAGAAGTCTTGATACCTGCTTGTATGTAGTTCCAATGTAACCGACAATTATGGTCTCGTCTCCAGTTTCATCTCTTTCCGATGTTATATATTTGCGTCACACACGAGTCTTGTCTACGATTTTCAGATCTGCTTCCAAGGTTGGAACTTCATCTATGCGCATATCTACTTCCCCAGTCGGAGATCCTAGCAGCCATCCCACTTGACACCAACATCCATGGATTCCAGCTATGATACCAACTTTGGAACGAGGGCGGTCGTTTTTTCTAAAAGACGTTTCGATGTTACTTCCATGGTTTGTTTCTGAGCCCTATCTGGGTTTTTATTCAAGGTAAAACTTGGAACTGGGTCCACGGGTTAATGGTGAGCGAGTCAAACATAGAGGCCATCCGGGGTCCCAGGTAGACCTCCGCACCAGCCCAGGAAGTCCAGAGCCCATAAGATTTTTCTAGGGGTTTATTGTGCCCCAAACATTACAAACAAGCTACTCCGTAGTTATTGGATTCTTCAAAAACAACCTTGGAATGCAGATCTCGGCGGTACATTCGAGTATTGAGAACTTTTGAACACTATGCGGTAGACTATTGTTGCACGATCCGTGGATTGTATGCCCAGGTGCTTAGTATTGGGGAAATAAGACAGCCTCTGAGTCTCAACTTACCATCCCAAGGCTTCGACATGTAGATATCCATAGCCTCGGCATCATTGGTAGTATGATCAGAAGCTTCCTGGGTTGCTTAGGTGTGCCTAGATGGTAGTGGGCTCTGGGCTGGGTTGGGCCCGAGATGCTGGCCGCGAGCTCAGCCCAGGTTGGGCTTTGGGCTTTGAGCGTAGGGCCCAAACCAGCGCACTGCGGAAGTCTGGTCCCGAGGTTGGAGAGTTGGGATCCAGCGTCAAGCTATCAATCCCACACTTCCAAGGTTCCAGCCACTATACTAGATCACGGGTATACCGAGATGGATACGGGTGTGAGAAGTGATACCTAGTATATATTAGAGACAGCCATCTTGGAATTACTGGTGGAGAGGTACTGGGTATCAATGGCCTTCCAAGGTTGAGTGTGCCTGAGAGCAACTTTGTCGCTTATTGGATACCTAACAAGCCCCATAAGCGCCTCCATGACAGTTAGCTGTGTAGGGGAGAAAAAAAAAGTTTCACTCCATTACCACTAGAAATGAAGGGGTAGGTAATGAGCATTATAAAATGTGCAAAAAAAAAGAGATGAGGCTGACCCGTCTCGACCAGATAACCTTGCGAACTGGAGTCGCTGTGATAATGTTAGTGAAAATTCGAAAGTCTAAGAGCGGAAATGTAAACGTACCACGCGCTACCAATTGCGCCACAGCCCCAACTTGGTGAAAGATTGGCTCACATGTAGTATTATAAGCCAGCCCAACCTCTGTCACTAAAAAGATTTAAAATTCTGAACAAACTGATACCATAAAATTCAATATGTAAGAACCATTTAGATATCTTAATATGATAGCCAAAGTTAACACATAGGGCAGGTGTACAAAAAACTAGCAAAAAAGAAAGTTGAGGCTGACCCGTCTCGACCAGATAACCTTGCGAACTGGAGTCGCTATTGAGATGTTAGAATCGTGTTTGAATGATTGTTGCAATCAGATGAACTTACCACGCGCTACCAATTGCGCCACAGCCCCAATTTGGTGAAATTTTGGCGGATTTGACGGGTTTTGAGCACCTTCATGTCCAGACCGAATGTTCCCCTTTGCCAAAATCTACTCTTCAACCTTCCAGAGTTATTGGCCTCGATAGCCTTAAAGAAAAAGAAAGAGAAATATCTCGGAAGAAGATATCATGACTCCGCATTCCCGCATCTTGGCACCTGCGCATGACCAGAAACGGAAGCATCGATGTAAACAATGGGCAACTTGGGTAGATGACCCTGGAACAAAATATGTCCACAGGTAATGGTTGACTCCCCTTAATAAGTTGAGACTGTCACATGCATCGAGATGAACACTTATGTACTTCGAGGGCAGATCCACATGGCTGCAAATTCACAGGCTGTCTTTGTCCAGGTGGCAGTCCTTGTGTTTATACCCACCTCTAACCAGCCGCGGCACCTTGAAAAGGCCCAATCCAGCCGCGCCCAGGTGCTCCAAGGTTCTCGGTCACTTCAATCTCGTCCATAAGCACTTACGTCCGTACAGATCAAAGAGCCCGAGAGCCCCGAAAGCTACGTGGGATGGATGTAAGCCATGCCAACCCATCTACATAGATAGAAGTTACTCTGCCATATAGCCGGGCCTTGGAGTTGCCCAGAGCTAAGGTAGCTACGGGGCTTTTCCGATAATCGCAGTCTCAAACGTAAGTGACAGCCAAGGCTAGATTTTGCGGATCAAATAATCGATGATGTTGCCGATTGGTCCACTCGCTCAACTTGGTCATCCTGACAGACAACATTGGAGCATATCGAGAGCCCGGTAAGACCGCTTTATATGTCCAGAAGTAAACATCAACTTCACGACAAAAGGCATTCTAGATTTTCATCTGAATGAGAAAGCGGCCTTAAAGAAGAGACTGTAATCTTTGCTCGCCTTTGGACCGGATATGCGACCAGGTGCATGCGATATACCGGGATGTGAGTGGATACAGCCCTGGAGAGATAGGCACTGCTGGACCTATACAAAGCCTCCTCCCGACCGGAGGCGCAAGAGTGACGCAATCTATATTTCAACCATAGAAAGTCGTTGCATGAAGGGACAATTTAACAGGAAAGAAACGGATTCGGTACGCATAAGATACCACGGAGGATTTAAGTCACGATACTGGCAGTGTTGGCAGTAACACAGAAGATAAAGAGAGAACAGATGCCTACAGACCCATGCACAGCAAAATCAAGGTATGTTTTACAAGTGATGAGGGTTGAACGTTTGAACGAGGTTGACGGAAGATCCCCATCTGCTTGCATCTAGATGTGCGCTGACCGCCTTCGAAAAGGAGTCCCGCTTTCACCTCTCAAAGTGATAGAGGGAAAAAGTAGAGCGTATACCTTTCCACCAAGTCTCCCTTTACGCTGGTCCGATGTGGCTCTTCCGAGTCTTCTCGTCGGCCCTGTTCCTGGCCGTCACCGTCTCGTCCATCCCACTAGCCTTCGACGTGGGCGGCAAGACATGCGGTCTGGCCTTTTCGCTATCCCTCGCAGCCTTCTACTTCCTGGTCTCACTGCTAAAGCTCTCGACCCCTGATCGATCCTGGTTCCGATCCTCTATTCTCGCGGTCATTCGCTTTACGCAATGGGCTATCATTCTAGTCCTCCTCATCTGGTCCCTGAACCGCTTCTCCGACCTGGACGATAACAGCTCCTGGGTCGAGCGCACTTTTAATTGGAAGAGGGCGCAGGATTCCTCCGTTCATGAATGGATCTTTGGTCGCGACGGTCTGATGGAGACTGTCGCTCTGGGAAACTGGGAGATCCTTCTGAGATGGTCGACACCCGTTTTCCAGCTCGCGGAGGGTTTCTGTAGCTTGTTGGTCATCCAGGCTGCGGGGCAGATCACTCGCTGGTTGGTGAATCGCGGCGGGCGCAGTGATAGTTGGATGGTGAGTCTTGTTTCGTAAACCCTTGTACGAGGCCCATACTAACACGCTCCAGATCGGTCTCCTCGTCTTGTCCGCTACCATCATCTCCAGTTCAGTCTACTTTTTGTGGCGCGTGCTACAATTCCCGGAGATCTCCAACGTCGATGCAGCTCTCATCGGTGTCTCCGTCACATGCGCCGTCATCCTCTGCGCCTGGGGAATTGGCAGCGGCCGTGGAAATCCAGTCGAGAGCTCCCTCCTCTTCGCCTACATCGTGCTCTGCATCTACCAGATCTTCACGGACTACCAGCCCTCCCACCCGGTCGAGCAGATTCCATCGCCCGCCCAGGCTGGCGATTTCCCGCCTTTCCCTCCTATCATCATGGCCTCGTACACAACGCTCATGCACGCCCTGTCGCTCCTCCCATCCATCATCCACGCCGCCTTCAACGTGATTACCGCCGTCTTCAGCGCAGTTACCCCATCTGTTCTTATCTCCCTCGCCTACCGCCTCTTGGTCCTCTACGCATCCACACGTATCATCCCCGCAGTTCGCGAGTCCGGCGCCCGCGCCCTGTCCCAGGAAGCCTCTATTGACGACTCCGACGCTGCAGGCCAGGTCCTAGGCTTCCTCAGTTACTTCGCCCCCACCATCCTCATCGCCGTGTACACCAGTCTTCTGATGCAGCACTTCTCATCAGCATCGCAGGCCATGGGAGGCAGCGGCGAGTGGTGGAGTAGTCAAGGGAGCGGCGGCGGCAATCTCTGGCGGTGGATCAACCTGGCGTGCACGATCGCCCTATACGCCGTTGAGCTGTGGCTCGGAGAGCACGACGATCTCGACAACGGCCTGGCTGGACACTGGAAGACAGACTGAGCGCAACACGGATGGCCTATTTGTCTCTACATCTCCCGCGCCGCCCTCGCTGCGACCAACACGTAAACGCCAGCTTGGATTGCTGGAACGAGCCCCGATAGCCCGGGAATCCGACCCCGGCTCGCTCAAACTCCCATTGCTATATGTTGGGTTGTGCAACCCCCTTTGTGGAGGGGGGGCCTGATATGTGCATTCATTCCCTCCTTGGGATACGCCTTTTCACGACACCTGAACTTGCTTTTTCTCTTTTATCTGCCCCTACTATCTGTGTCTCCTGTTCTTCGGCACTTATACCCTGTCTCGCTTGGGCCTTGGAATCCCGGGTCCATTTCCTGTACATAGTTTTCCTTCAGATGAAATAGATATTTCGATTGAACGATCATAGTGTTACCTGATACGTGTGGAGTCCAAAAATGGGGCCATTATCTTTGGTAGATATGAACAGTTTAGATGGCTTATCACATGGAACATGGAATTCCTTCGAAACCAGGACCCGACCGAGAGAACGATGAATCGTAGAAGAAACGAGAAGAGAGAGAAAAAAAAAGAGTCAACGTTAAAATGAAGAAGTAAATCCCAATGCCAAGCTGATGATAAAATTGATAGAAAACGAGACACTGCAGTCGATACTAGACCCAGTGGAATAGAGTATCGCGTGCCAACCCAAGCGCCAGCTTTTGAAACGAAAGATCAAAAGACATGCATACAACCCCTCGCTCACCTCTGAATGGGCACGCCCTCCCTCGCAGCGGGCGGACTCACACTCAGCTCCTGCTCCTTCTCATTCTCAGGCTCACCCTCGGAGAGACTCGAGTTGCGATGCAAGTAGCCATCCTTGACGGGGCTGCGGTTCTGGAAGCCGACCGAGCCTGGATGTCCGCTGATGCTTCCGGGGATTTGGCCTTGGGCGCTGCTGCCGGAGTTGGGCGAGGTGGCTGTGAGGTGGGGGATGTTCTCGGGGACTGGGTGGCGGGAGCCGACGTTGGTGACGCCTACGTCGGAGGCTTTGCCGGCTTTGCTGAGGGCGTAGTCGCCGGAATCGAAGTACTTGCGCTCCTGGGGGATTGTGAGATGGGTGAAGGTGGGGGCGGGGTTGTGTGCGGTGCATTACCTTGAGCTTGTTCTGGAGGACGTCTTTCTTGGTGGGCATTTTGCCGTAGAGGCGCAGCAGGCGCTGCTCCTCGGGCGTGAGGGACTGTGGATATTATGGTTAATGACCCGAGATGCACGATGGAGGCGGGGTAGGGGGAGACTCACGCTGATGTCCACTTTATTTTGCTGATGGGGATTCATGGTGCAGAGAGAGGAAGTAGATAGTCGAGGATGGAGGGGGGAAGTAGTTGCGAAGGTTAAAGTGAATCGCTAAGTGGAGTGACTTTGGAGTAACTAGATGACGCTGCAAGGCGAATATTCCACAGCCGAGTTTACCTGGACTATCGCTATTTCGTTCTGTTATTTGATTCGTCTATCCGTTTATTCTCTGTATCATATTCCACAAATACTGCAGTACACGCTTAATTCCCATGTCCATTTTCGAGGTTCTATCTACTCTGCACCAGTACAGAGCAAGTGGTACTACTATGCTATTAGGCTGTTGCCAGATTCTCCTTCGATTCTATAATATAGCCTCTAAATCGATAATCAATCTGGGTTTCTCTGTATAAATCTCACAGCACCCCGAGAAAAGACTTTCGTAACGCTGAAGTGCTGGAACGTGTGGGCCGAATCTTCACCTCTTCCCACTTCGTCTCTCCAACATACATAGACACCAAAATGGCCCCTACCTTTGTAGTCGAACACCTTGATCCCGAATTGGGACCCTGGTCAACTCTGGAATATGCCTGCATCGCGCGCGAATCCCACGCCCGCGGCGCTCGCTTCCTACTGAGTTCCGTCCCCGCCGAACTGAAGATGCCCGCCGATCTGGCCGCCACCCAGGGATTGGAGGTCGAGCAGCGCAGTGTCGAGGAGATTTTCGCCGATCGCAAAGACAAGGTCTGCTTGCTGGATCCCTCGGCAAAGACGGAGTTGAATCCTCAGGACGGCGAGACTTTCGATGTCTTCCTCTTTGGTGGTATCTTGGGTAAGGGTTTTTGATGCGACAGGCTGGACATCCCGCTAACGTGAATTTTTTTTTTCCACAGGCGATGACCCCCCTAGAGGTTGGTCCAAGTATTCTCGCTGAAGACGAGCAAGACTAATTGATTTAGATCGCACTTCGGAATTGAGGAAGAAGGGCTACGTTGGTCGCAGATTGGGTCCTAAGCAGATGACCACTGATACCGCGGTGCGCGTAACCCGCATGGTGGTCCACGAGAAGGGTGAGTAACGAGTTCCCCAGAGATCGAAGTCATGCTGATGTTGGTAGTCCCTCTCGAGGAGATCCCCTACCTGGACTACCCTGAGCTGCTGATCAACGACCATGAGCGCACTGAGATGCCTTTCCGCTACGTGAAGGATGCCGATGGCAAGCCCATCATGCCCGATGTGAGTGAAGCTAGGTATCTAGTGTTCAAGAGACCGCTGACAGTCGCAGGGAATGGTGGATCTGATCAAGAACGACGCTGACAAGTCCCTTGACGACTTGATGTAAGGATCCGATCCTAAAATTAGGTGATGCGTCCGCAGTTTCAGCGTCGCCCATAAAAAGAACAGACCGAATGGCTCCTACGGTAATAGGTAGCGCAGAGATAGACGTTATACACGATAATGAACTATCACGAACTCAGTAGTCAATAGACGCAATCAATAGACTGCAGTCTAAAGTAGCTGTTTGTACCTGACCAAAATTACAGAAAAGTTGCACAAAAATCCCACATAAGGTGATTGCTCGGCTAGTAATTACCGTACAATTACGGACCCCCTTCGACGTCGTCATCCCGATCTTAGAGTGCCTAGGCATCTTCTTGTCCTTTCTGTTTGTTCTCCCAATGATCTCTTGATTGGAGTTTACGAGTCCCTCCCGGGACAAACTTCTCTATTACATCCCCAACATGCCCTCAATACCATTCTCGGCCATCAGATGGCTGATTTCCACATTGTCATTGGTAAACGTGGCATCTGCCGCGTTGAACGCAGCAGATTACTATGTGCACTCCTTACCAGGAGCTCCGCAGGGGCCCTTCCTGAAGATGCATGCCGGGTGAGTGAAGCTACACCATTGACCGAATCCCTCTAATGCCACCACAGACACGTCGAAGTGAAACCCGAAATCAACGGAAACCTATTCTTCTGGCACTTCCAGAACCGCCACATCGCCAACCGACAGCGCACCGTGATCTGGCTGAATGGGGGTCCAGGATGTAGCTCTATGGACGGTGCGTTGATGGAGGTGGGCCCTTACCGTTTGAAGGACGACCATACACTGGAATACAACCCGGGCCGGTGGGATGAGTTTGCGAACCTCTTGTTTGTCGACAACCCTGTGGGAACCGGCTTCAGCTATGCGAGCAGCAATGGCTACATCCATGAGCTGGACGAGATGGCCGATCAGTTTATCGTCTTCATGGACAAGTTCTTTGAAATGTTCCCCGAGTTCGAATCCGACGATGTACGTACACCTTTCGCTTCGTTATGGAATTGCGCTGATCTTTCTAGCTCTACTTTGCGGGTGAGTCGTATGCTGGCCAGCATATCCCTTATATCGCGAAGGCCATCCAGGAGCGCAACAAGGCCGTTAAAGAATCCGGAGAAGGTCACCAATGGCCCCTCAAGGGCTTGCTTATTGGCAATGGATGGATCTCGCCGGAAGACCAGTACCCCTCGTATATGAAGTACATTGAGAGAGAACGTCTTATCGAGCTAGGCTCAACTCTTCATGCCAACCTGGACTCCCTCAATGAGGTCTGTCTCTCAAACCTGGAGACGCCCGCTGCAAAGAACAAGATCAGCGTCTCGTCTTGCGAGTTTGTCCTTGAATCGTTCTTGGACCTCACTACGGAAGATGGAAAATGCATGAACCAGTACGATATCCGCCTAAAGGAGGACTCTTCGTGTGGCATGAGCTGGCCACCAGATCTCACAAACATTCAGCCCTATCTGAGACGGCCAGATGTCATTAAGGCCCTGAATATCAACCCAGCCAAGAAAGAAGCTTGGCAGGAGTGCAATTACAAGGTTGGCTCAAACTTCAAGCCACAGACCGTCCCCGCCGTCAAGCTCCTGCCCGATCTCATCGAATCGGGAATCAACATTCTCCTATTCAGCGGTGACAAGGACCTTATCTGCAACCACATTGGCACCGAGACTATGATCCACAATATGAAGTGGAAAGGCGGGACTGGCTTTGAGACAAGCCCTGGTGTGTGGGCCCCGCGCCACGACTGGACTTTCGAAGGCGAGCCGGCAGGCATTTACCAGTATGCCCGCAACCTGACCTATGTCCTGTTCTACAACTCCAGTCATATGGTTCCCTTCGATGTCCCGCGCCAGAGTCGGGACATGCTCGATCGCTTTATGAAGGTCGACATCGCCAGCATCGGTGGCATGCCAACAGATTCCCGTATTGACGGAGAGAAGCTGCCGCAGACATCGGTCGGTGGTCAGGCTAACAGCACGGCGGCAGAGAAGCACGAGAAGGAGAAGCTCAAGCAGACCGAGATGAAAGCCTACACGAAGTCTGGAGAGGCGATTCTCGTCATTGTCATCATCGGTGTTACTATCTGGGGATTCTTCATTTGGCGCAGTCGCCGTGCGAACAAGGGGTACCGTGGCGTCAAGGATGATCAGCTCGATAGTTCGCCGTTGAACCGCTTCGCGAAGCGTTCTGGAAGAGACGTCGAGGTTGGTGATTTCGACGAGGCGGAGCTAGACAACCTTCATTCTCCCGATGGAGAGCACTATGCTGTTGGCGATGCCAGTGATGACGAGCATGAGCATGAACACGAGAGAAGGTGATCTGTCGGGCATATGCCAGCTGTGAGAATATACATGAAATCTAGAATGGAAGCTTTTCTATGCAATGCATTTATGTACACCAGACGGCGGTCCATTATTGTATGGTCCAGACCTTGACACTGCCGTCGTCAGCCGTAGAGACAAGAACCTCTTCCTCCTGGGAACCTCGGTCCGCCCTCTTCGCCCAAGCAACATGGTTGATCTCGTAGATTCCATGTGCCCCATCCTTGACAGACAGAAGCGTCCACTCGGATTGCGCCGCCGACGCATCCGCAGACTCCAAAATTCGCTCCTGATAAAGCGCAATGCGCCCATCGGCACCAGTAGACGCAACGAGGCCACTCGTCTTACTCCAAGCAACCGCATAGACCGCCAATTCATGCGCCTTGGGAAGCAAAGCCTCCTGCTCCCAGATCTCATCACCGCCAGCAGGCCGAATGATACTCGGAATGCCAGTTGAGGCCGAAGCAAGCGCCCCAGGCTCACTGGAAGCCTGAACCTGCCTCTTCCAAACCCTCACGGTCTTATCGTCCGAACACGAAAGCAACCGCGGCCCCGAGCCCCCTTCAACCTCCCTCTCCCAATCGACAAACCAAACCGTCCCCTCATGCCCCTTCAGACAAGCAACTTGTCCCCAATCATCCAGATCCTCCCTCCAGATCCGGATCGTATCATCATAACTCCCACTCGCAAGACATTCCTCCGAAGGATGCCACGAAACACACTTGACATCACCGCCATGCTCCTGCATCACAGCAACCGTCTCGAAATTATTATCACCATCATCCAGATCCTCCCAGATCCAAATACTCTTGTCCCGCGAACACGTCGCAAGAAGCATCCCCGATGCCGACCACGAAACAGACTTGACTTCACTGTCGTGGCCATCGAGAAGGACAGCAAAGCGCCATTCTTCGTCGTCGGCCTCGTCCCCGTTCGATTCCTCCGCGGCAGCGTTCCCGTAGTTGTCCCAGCGTCGCCAGATCCCGACTGTGGCGTCGAAGCTGCCGGTCGCGAGGACGGATTCGCCTTCAATGTGGGGCTTCCAGGCTGCGGTGCGGACGGACCGTTTGTGGCCGCCTGTTATTGTGGAGAGGAGGGTGAAGTTGGTTAGGGAGTAGATGCGGACGGTCTTGTCGCTGCTGCAGGTTGCGAGGAGGGGGAGGGTGGGATGGGGCGCTGTGAGCCAGGTGCGCTCTTGGGAGGGGGGTGTGAGGTCGCTTAGGTGGGTGATTTGCATTTTGGAGGGGTGGAGGGGTGGCCTCTATTGCAATGAGGTGGAACTAAGTAGAACGTAGAGTCGACGGGCGAGGGGGAGCCCTGGAGGATTTTTGGGTGTGGGGTTTACTGATAAGAGATAGATATGTCATACTTCCGAGGTGCGGTCGACGGCCCCGGAGAGTATACGGAGTACGAAGTACGGAGTAGACGGACATTGTAGCAATTGACAAAGAAACAGTCAAAGGTGGCATTAAAATCTATAACAACTCCGGCATTATAATCTAGGGACTCCCAACTGGGTAGTAGACAAAATCATCATACAACTCCTTACAACCCCTCATAAACACCGCCATGGCAAAGCCAATCGATTTCCCTGACCTTCTCTAACTCTTCAACCAACTTTCCAACTTCATTGACAAACTCTGGCATACCAGCAGCCGCGAGATTCTGACTGGCGGTGGTGGTAGCACGCACGCGCTCATTGGCACTTGACGCACTGAGGCGAGAGAGGACATGACTTCGTAGACGCGAGAGGATCAACCGGGCAACAGGATCCACGAAGCTGGGAATTGTCTCTGAGTGCGAAGGCATCTCCGAGGCCGATGTCTCAGTTGTCACGACCAGCTGTGGCGATGCGGCGAGACAGGCTGTCGCGACGGGGGAGAGGACTCGCTTGATAGTGCCTGCTAACTGGGCACTTGCAGATGGAGGCATGGGGTGTGTGGATTGGAGGATTGACTGAACGCGATCTGCACTGATTTCATTGAAGTCTAAGGAGAGGATGCGGTCTGCCTCGGTTTTCCATTGGGAGCGGGCGTCTCGTTTGAGTAGATTCTTCGCAGTGAGGAGGATGGAGGCAGTTGCGACGATCTGGAAGGCTCGTGCGTGGATCCGTTCTAGCCGGCGCCTGTCTAGACTGAGGGTTTCGGGGATGAGATCTTCGGATACCAGGGCGTTGCTGAAGACGGTGTCGGTGAGACCTTGGGCGTATACTCTAGCAGCTGCTGGATGCGGCTCGCCCTGAATGCCTTCGGGGTCTCGTTTCTTCATTTCATCCACTATGATCTTCCGGTGGATGCGCCAGAAGCGGTGGGTCTTCTGGAGGCTGATTGAGCCGTCGGCCACGCCGCGGTCGAATGTGCGCTGTTCGTAACCCGGTGCTTCCTCAATGAGTTGGGGAGCAGCGAGTTGGATCATGAAGTTCGTTTGATCAAGGGAGAGAAGATCGATGATACTCATTAGTCGTGCTAATCGGTCAATGGCGTCCCCAGAGGTGTCTTCGATGTAAGCTTTAACCACCGGGTCTCGGTAGGGAGCGCAGAGACGGGGTAGGATATTGTTCATGAACTCGAAGAAATTATCATAGGAAAAAGTGCCTGCCTCGCATTGTCCTTGGACCAGCTTTGGGTCCAGGACTTCACTTATGATCACATACAGCGAGTTGCCACGCTGAAGGGATCGGAGGAGGCGATCTTGGATGACTGTAGCCATCGCAACGGTCCAGTTCGTACCATGTCCGGCTTCGACGCTCGTTCTCATGGTTTCACACATCTGCTTCATGATTTGCCTGCGTGGCTCGGTGTAAGGTGCTTCTTCAATCTTGAATTCTTTATTGACCAAAAGCTCATGAACCAGCTCCCGGTTCTCGGGGAGCGGGGTCAGGATCTTGGTGAATCGTTCGTGAGGAGATGTCCGCTGCTTGTCCAGCTCTTGGAAAACTGCAGCATCAACGTTGTTGAACGACTCGCTCAGAGGTGAAGTCATACTCTCCGTCAAGACTTCCGTTGTGGGAGGAGCCGCCTCGGCAGATCGTGGAATGGCTTGCTTCGAGGCCGCACGCCTCTTCTCACGCTTAGCCTTCTTCAAGGAGTCGCGGATCAACTCCATATGGCGTTCAGGTCCTGCAAGTCGCTTCAGACGGGCAAGCAACAATACTTGGTTCTGACGGATCCCCTGCCTGTAGTCCTCTGCAGCACCGCCAGCCTTGTCGTTTTTGACAGTCTGCCAAATCAACTCTAATTCGACAAATTGCGCAACCATGATTTCAATCAAGACTGTCGAGTCATGGGACTTCCAGGCATGAAACGCAGAGAAGAACACATTGTGTGATTCACACAAAGTCTGGAGATCCGCAGTGATGACTGAAGGCGAGCAACAGCCCGATGAAAGGAGTGCCGTTACCTGATCAAAAACCACCAGCAGCTCTCGAGCCTTGGAGATCAAATCTTGCTCTTGATCTCCGTTACTGCTCAGGACCTCCTTTGGGTGAGTAACGATCAGATAGCTACTGAGAAAGGTGCGCACAGCGCCCCTCTCCCCCAACGGACCACCCTCCATGTCCTGCAGCCCGCAGAGCCGCAAAACCTTCGTCATCGTATCCAGCAATTCCCCACTGGAAAGAAGCGCCCCGACCTCCTCGAAGCTCATCTCCCGCACGCGATCCACGGACAGATTCAAGGTCCGGAACTGTCCCATTACCATCTTCGCATGGTGTGTTCTCCAGACGCGCTGGATCTGCCGTGCAGCGGCATCCTCCGTGATCGATTTCATGACCTCCTTCGACATCTTCTTTTCTTCCGTCGCAGGCAAGCTGCTTGTCCGCCGGCGCCGATGAGTCTGGTATGCTGCGCGTCGCTTTTCCGCCTCGGCGAACTTCTCTGTCATTTCCAGCCGCAGACGGGCTTCCTCTGCGGCTTTCTTGTCGCGCTGATCTTCCGCCTTCTTCTTGGCCCGTTTGACCTGATCTTCGCACTTGGCGGTAATGTCAGCCAACAGACGCTCGCGCGCTTGCTGTGCAGCTAGAGCTCGCTCTTCGATTTGCAGGTTCCGTGTTGCTGCTTTGGCCAGCGCGGCTCGCAGCCTTACTTTCTCCGCATGTGACGCCCGGTCTGCGAGCCTTGCCTTACGACTTTCTAGAATCGAGGTACGGCGCAGATGTTGGGCAATATGGTCTGCGCTTGGCGAGCCGGTGGAGGCGTGGGAATGTAGGGAGGAGATTGAGCTTCGTCGGGACGAGGAGGAGCGCCGGGCTTTGCTGCTCTTACGGTAGAATCGGGCTGCGATGTGTGGAGGAAGGTTGAGGATTGTTTCATCCGAGATCATTTCCACATCCGTGAGAGAGTCGGTGTCTGAGAGAGGTGTTGGCCCGGCGTCTGGCAGTTGGATTTCGATGTCGGAGTTGCGACGGACCATGGTAGACGGTCTGGACGCGCTTTCGGCGGGGCAAAACTGATAAGGGTTCAGGGCTGTAGCTTGAGGATTCACGACGTCTCCCCCAAAGCTGTTCACTATAAAAAGGCAGAGGCAAGGATAGGAAAAGGGGTGTTCTAGTGGACTCTCTGAGCTGGGAAATCGAGCAACGGATGCGAACGGATCCGTGCTTCGTTTCAGAGATCAAAGGGAGATTAACGGAGAAATATGAGACATGGGAACAGAAACCCCTGAATTCGATAAAGAGACCTAATGATAGACAGGCAGAGCCTTGGACGATTACTGATGCGAAGATGGAATCCGATGGCCGCATGCAGAACCCGATCTCAACACCGCTGATGTAATCACGCGATTTGGCCCCGAAGCACTTGGGCACTGGAGATCATCACGATTTCGTCGGTGTTGACGTGATTTCGATGTCGACTACAGTAGCCCCATCAAATGAAAAGTTCATTACGGAGTATATAGACGTCAGAATTGACAAAGGCTGTGAAACCTAGGCTTCCATGTTGCCTGTGTTTCAGGCCTTGAAATAGCGATCTACATCCATGGCATGTATACATACAGTACACATGGCTTCATATGTGGGGTATACTTGTTGACCAGTAGCTGTCTCGGCATCCATGGATGACATACAATGTACTAGTACTACCTGTACATTAGTTAGTGTACTTGACAGTAATCCAGCACTAGAATTATTCCTAGTCGAACCGATCTGGATCCTCTCTCACGCTTCCTCTATTCTTGCCAGAGCCTCATTTGCGCCTGAATTCTGCAATTGTTGCTCCAGATGGCGTGCTCCTAATGCTGGAGCCCAATGGCACTGAGAAATCCAGTCAACCGCTGTCTCATAATATTGCTGTACTGTAGGTGCCTTTCCATGCAAGTGCCCATGCAAGCGGAGAATATACCCCAAGTGGGTCTGGAAACTGATCGCCCTGAAGGGCAGTGGGGCCCCCTTTCTCTTGATTAGACGGTGCTTCCTAACATCCAACCTGCCGCCTTATTTGAAGCATTTTCTTTAAGGAACCATCTGAGACGGAGAGTGAGATTTGACTGCATGATTGAAACCAATTAGGAAAGGTCTTTGGCCTGGACATTGATACTGTCTCATGATTTGAGCCCTGTGAGATCATTCTCATAAGAAGCCATCCCCTGTATTCAAAATTGTGACCTGTCACTTGACAATCGCCCCGGAAGCTGAAAGTAGACCTTGGTGGCCAATTTTTCTTAATGGCCAACCCCGAACTCTGGAATAGGTTGCATACTAGTTGGAAACGACAGAGAGCTCTTTTTTCCTGTATCTCCTCGATTTCACTAAGGGGAGAGATAATTCAAAGAAGCAATTGAATCCGTTGGCAATCGAATGTTTGCCTGGGTTGAAGTACTGACCTTGAAACCTGGGGAAACTACCTCTCTTTGAGCCTTGGCGCTTAATTGAACTATGATGTGATCAAATATCTTTCGTTTTCCCCCATAGATCGCGCAAGCCCATAGATGCAGCTAGAAACCCCAAGATGCCAACCACAGTGGCCGGTATACCTATACCACCGTCCATAGCCCAGTGAATGCACAGCGGGGTCAATGTAGTTGTGATGGCCAGATCTTTCCGCCATTCTCGATAAATCGTTTTCGTCTCGGATTCCCATACCTTAGACTCCTGATCATTGTCCGGAAGATTCGACGATCCCTCCCGTTTCAAATCCGAGATGGTATGCTCAATGTTCGAGGGAGAATATTCACGCCATAATTTGAAGAGCTGGAGGACTACGCCCCCCAACAAAAAACGAGCACTCCAGATATACCATTTCCTGAGATTCCCATACTTCTCGAAGGATTTCGATAACACACCCTTGGCGCTCAGGTGAGCCATATTTTCCAACAATTGATACCAGACAAGCATGAAAATCTCTAGACGCGCAAGAGCATGGACCCAGGGATCTCGAGCAGGGTTCCGATTCAATCCCATAAATTGACTGGCAACTCTTATGAGACCAAACAATCGAAGGGTTTGTCTTGTATCAGAGGCCAGAGATGAGATAGCAAGAATGTCTGAAGATCTGACGAGACTCATTCGCACCTCGGGACGCCCGTGTCGTGATTTTTGGGGAGCCTCAAAGGGTAGCGAATGATAAAAGCTATATGAGGCGTACTCGATTGTTGCCAGTACTGCATCGGTCCCGGCTGATGTCGAAATGAGTCTGATAAAATATGCTCAGCATCTCCACCTGGGCAGCTCCTGATACTGAGTCCGATAGTCGGCATCGAAAGCTCTGCAGCGATATGGGTAGAGGGCATACTCACGCATTGAACCGGTCGATGACATTGGAAAGTCTCGATATCGCTGTGCGTGTCGAATCACCGAATGGGGTATCTTTCATTGCGGGGCTCAGTACTTGCGGGTTCACATACAGAATGGAGGACCATTGGAGCAGAGGATAAACGAAGCATCATTACAACCCCGGAGTGATGCAATAAAGGCCATGGAGTCGATGCGCGGCGAAAGATCGGAGGCTAAACGGGGGTTGGCGCAGTTGCCCTTTTGGGAAAGCGGGCCAATCTCGCTTTCCTCTTTGGGTCATATGTCGCATCCTCGGCATTTCCTGTTCCCCGCGAGATATACTGTGTGTCTCTTGGTTATTTAACAGGGTCAAGTCTACATATTCATCTAACATCCTACTATTGCAGCTATAATTAACTGACAATCTACATCGTACACTTTGAAGCAATGTCTGACTTGAACGGAATCTCACTGAAGGGCAAGACTGCCATTGTCACCGGCTCTTCCAGGTAAGCCTGCTTCAGACCCATCTGTATTGATCAATGGGCTAACCACAGCCCAGGGGAATCGGCGCCGGTATTGCGATCTTGCTTGCCAAGCGCGGAGCCAACGTCGTGGTCAATTATGTCTCTGAAGGGAGCAAGCAAAGAGCCCAGGAAGTCGTTGATCAAATTCACAAGATTGGCACAAAAGCCATTCTCTGCCAAGCCAGTCTCATGAAGCTGGATGAGATCCCAAGGCTGATCGAGGCGGCTTTGAAAATCAGTGAGACAGGAAAGATCGAGATCATCATTCATAAGTGAGTTGACTTTCCTCGTGCCTCTCACCGTGCCAACTGCTAACCCATATACAGTGCTGCCCTGGGCCTAGAGGCAAACCTGGTAGACACCTCACTTGACCTGTACACTACCCATTTCGATTGCAATGTTCGGGGACCGATCTTCCTGACCAAAGAGGCTCTCCCACATCTACCACGCGGGGGCCGTATTGTCTTTATCTCATCTGCTGCTGCTCGTCTCGGCGTTGCTGGACATACTGTGTATGGCCCCACTAAGGCAGCTAACGAAGCCCTGGTCCGCGTTTGGGCAAAGGAGCTGGGTCACTCTCATGGAATTACCGTCAACTGTGTGAACCCGGGACCTGTTGCGACTGGTAAGAGATATGATAATATTTTCTGGTACTTTTGACTAACGGCTCTGTGTTAGACCAATGGTTCCAAAGCGACGAGCAGTTCCTAAAGGATATGCAGCCGATGATTGATGAGACACCTGCCGCTCCCCGGGTTGGGGAGGTTGATGATATTGCTCCTTTGGTTGCTTTCCTTTGCAGTGAGGATGCTAAATGGACTACTGGATCCGTTCTATGCGCAAATGGCGGTCTTTACAACTAGCGCCCCGACTTGGATGGATATTCGGAGACCAAGCTTTAACTCCGGAGATCTAGGTGGTTCAATCAAATGTACAAAGTTAGAATCATTTAGAAACTGCACAATTATGAACATGATGTCGTTTGAACAAACTGCAATAAACTGCCTAGGTGTCTTCTAGTCAAGCTTCCAAGGCTGAAACAAGGTGTCTCCCGAGGTGTGAACTGCATTCTGTCTACCTAGTAGATCTATAGTATTCGATTTCATCTTATCATTTTCTCATCTTCCCTGAAGCTGCTCCTAGATGAAGCTGGGTTGATAAGTATCCCGCATACAGGTATAAACACCTAGGTAATTTTGTTTGTCAATGGATACCAGCAACTGGAATGAGCCTCATGTCGGGCTGCTGCTCAGAGGAAACCCTTTAACAAAGCCTAGATCAGCTTGTGTCAATTGACGAGACTGCTAGTTCACATAGATTCTAGATTTGTTGGTCTCAAGAATAATTGCAGCTTATATTGAAACTGGAATACATGGATCCCCTTGTTCATCAAACAGAATGATTTCAAACCCTTGCCCTAATACGAAATCTCAAAGCTATAGTCATCCTCATAATGCATGGCCCAATAAGTATCCCAGATCTTCTTGGTGATTGGACCGACCTTTCCATCCTTCACAGGCCGACCATCCAAGCTAGTAATTGGCATGATTCCACCAGCAGTTGTGGACATGAAAATCTCTTCCGCATCGTAGGCCATTGAAATGGGGACAAGTTCAACTCGGATTTCAAGACCATTCAATCTAGCAGCATCAATGACGCTCTTGCGGGTGATACCCTCAAGGACTCCTCTGGCGGGGGTGTACAGAACGCCATCCTTGACTAGGATAACATTGAATCCAGACCCCTCAGTGAGGTTGGTGTCACCATCCGTCAGGAAGGGGTAAGTTGCCCCACGGTCGGAGGCCTCGAAGAGTCCGCGGGTGAGATCACCCCATTGGAGATTCTTGACGGTCGGATCCATTGAGCCAGGAGGTGTACGTCGGACAGTGCGCGCGATGATGGCGCTGCCTCCACCGGGTTGATCTTCTGGCTCCATGACCCAGACGTAGGGTTGAATGAACATGTATATGTTATTGGTAATATCTTTTGGGTCGGTTCCGCGAACACCTTTCAGGCCGCGAGTGACGATGATCTCAACGAAGGCATCCTTGATTCCGCTCTTGGCTACCATATCAACGAGGATACGTTTCACTTCCTCTCGTGGAAGGGGTAGCTTCAGTCGCATTTTCGCACAACTGTTGTCGAGGCGAGTAATATGGTCGTCGAGACGGAAGAAGCGGCCATCCCACACCGCAGGAACATCGTAGGTCAGATCGCTGTGCATGAAGCCTTGGTCTAGGATTGGAATGCGAGCTTGGTGAAGTGGGGTGAGCTCACCCTCCACCCAGGCGACGCCGTTGGCAAAAGGATTCTTGCTCGTTGCGAGCACGGCTTGCCGGGAGTGGTAGCCCTCAAACACTTTTTGCATGGTAGTCATGGTGATGATTGTAGTGATAATAGCTGGAAGTGAATTTGCAATATATCAAGTCTTATGCAAATCAGGCATCTTTAAATGCAAACAGGAAGACCCCACGATGTTCTGAAAGAGGAAGGAATGACAGGACGAGGAAAGCGCGACGATGTGGCTGTCCCGCCTTCCTAATTAGGCAATCAACAACTTCCGAATCGGGTAATCCACATGTGCAACAGGAGATCCATGGCTCGCTCCATCAGCCCGGAGACATCGCATCTTGGCATTAACTGTCTTGCGCATCTGTATACATAACCCGACAGAGGAAGATGGCATTCCCTTCTCTCCCAATCGTCAATTTGCATTTGATTCACCATGTCTAAGAATATCGTTATCATTGGGTATGTGGATTTCCAACAGTATTCCTTACTATTTTCTGACGACAAACCAGAGCCGGCGTGGCTGGGCTGACCACGGCGCTGTTGGCGTCCAAGAAGCCGGGCTATAAGATCCATGTTGCAGCAAAACACATGCCAGGGGACTATGACATCGAATATGCCTCTCCCTGGGCTGGCGCAAACTACATGCCGTGGGTAGACTGCAGGCCCAGACAAAGTTGACATCGGTATGACTGACTGAATCGCAGAGTCTCCGTTGGCGGCACCCGGCCAGCGAAATGGGACTCTGAAACGTGGGGTCCGCTTGCAGACCTAGCGCAGAATCATCCAGAAGCAGGTGTTCATTTTCAAGGTGAGAGATGGATTATCCTCGCTCATTGAGAACGAGCCTTGACATGAAATGCTAGAGTGCGAGATACACAGCCGCACCAAAGACCTTGGCTCTGCAACTGCCACATGGTTTGCGGACCTTCTGTCCTCCAATCCGTGGTTTGCAAAAGTTGTGCCGAATGTAAGCTCCCATTCAACGAGCAGGAAAGCGACCTGTGGCTAATCAATGCAGTTCCGGGTATTACCAAAGAGCTCGCTCAGTCCCGGCGTCGACTCTGCCACGGCCTTCACATCTGTCTGTATCAACACGGCAATTTACCTCCCATGGCTTGTATCCCAATGCTTAGCCAATGGTGTGACATTCCAGAGAGCCACGTTTGGACATATTCGTGAAGCCACAGCCGCCGGTGCTCATCCACGCGGACATGTCGATCTGGTCGTCAACTGTACGGGGCTTATGGCTTCTAAGCTTGGTGGCGTACAGGATGCTACAGTTGTGCCTGCACGAGGACAAATTGTGATCGTGCGAAACGATGCAGGAAAAATGCTCGATGTCTCTGGTACAGATGATGGCGATGACGAGGCATGTTACGTGATGACACGAGCTGCTGGAGGAGGTACAATCCTCGGCGGCTCATATCAGAAGGGGAGCTGGGAGTCTCAACCGGACCCAAACCTTGCTATTAGAATTATGAAGAGAGCCGTTGCCATGTGTCCCGCGCTGACGAATGGCAAAGGCATTGAGCACCTAGACATTATCAGGCATGGCGTCGGACTACGGCCTGTTCGTGAAGGAGGTACTCGAATTGAGAAGGAAATGATCGGGGACATCTGTGTGGTGCATAACTACGGTGCTGGGGGTGCTGGCTACCAGTCATCCTACGGATGCGCCAACGAGACGGTGAACCTTATTGAAGAAGCACTTGGACCTCGCTCAAGGCTGTGAGGACGAAAATCCGTATCAAATGGTCGGATATCTGTATAAAAGCTTGGCCAGTTGCAAATTCAAAATTAACGTTGGGGAGTTATGCGTTGAGTGAGGTCCCAACAGAAACAAGCAAGATCTGGATTAATAAATAGACAGTTTCTCATTCTATTGAGTTGATTTTAAATGAGGACTAGTGGGAAATATCTCGCCTGTCATAACTTGTAGGCCGATGTGGGCCCCATAAGGTATAAAGCTGAGGGAATCCCCGCTTCCTTCTCTTTATTTCTTGCCATCGCAGTCAACATGAATGATCCATACTCTCGGTTGCTACAAGCTCTCTCGGCTCTGAATACTCCTGACAAATATGATTCATTCAAAGTTTCCAAAGCCTCTTACAAGCACCTCGGAGGCTCTTCCATCCATACTGATATTCTCATTCCTTCGCGTTTGTTATCGACCAAGGCGCAGTCAAGATGCCCCGTGATGGTGCGAGTACACGGAGGATTTTTGGTGAGAGCTTGTTCTTCTACTTGGTGGCCAACCCTACGATTTCTAGTGTTGATTGAATTCCTCCACAGGTCACGGGCTCTAGTCACTACCCTCCTTGGTTTGCAAACTGGACATTAGACTATGCTCTGTCAAAAAACGCAGTGATATTAGCCCCAAACTACCGTTTGCTACCAGAGGCCAGTGGGAAAGACATATTAGAAGACCTGGATGATTTCTGGCGATGGCTGCGCAGCCCAAAGTTCGTCGAGGTCATCAAAGCTGCCAGCTCCCAGCAAATAACTCCCGATCTTGATACGGTTCTCGTGGTAGGGGAGAGCGCAGGTGAGTAGGTATTGGTGTTCATAATGAGACACAGGCTAAATACACTTCAAGGTGGCTTTTTGGCCATGCACCTGGCACTTAGCTACCCATCTGAAATACATGCCCTCATCGGAGCTTATCCAATGCTCGATGTGGAATCGGAGTTTTACACACGAAAATACCCGAAGCCCATCATCGGCGTACCTAACATGCCCAATGAACTCATTGAGCAACACCTTTCAGCACTACGAGCCACTTCGACACCCACTCTGGTCACTGCAGCAGATCCACCGGACCGTCTGGAACTGGCATTTTCGATCTTCCAAAACGGTCGATTGCTCGAATTCTTAGGACCGGAGAACACCAATCTGTTTCCAATGAGAAGAGCACAAGATCTGGCAGCTTCTGGGAGGCTCAAACTTCCCCCAACTTTCATTTTCCATGGAAGACAGGACTCGGCTGTGCCATTCATAGGCTCGCAGCGATTCTTTGATATGGTGCGAGAGAAATCACCCGATACGTTGATTGAACTGCATGGAGAGGATGGGGACCATGGTGTGGACTTTGAAGCGACTCTGGAAACAGAGTGGTTAAAGATGGGGTTGGAAATGATATCGAACGCGTGGGTTGGTGCGATGAAAGTGCATTCCAATCTTTGAATGTCGCCCATACTTTATCTAGATATTATCAAGGCATTGATAGTACGTCACTCCACAATAACACTCATTTATGGCAATATCCTTATATGAGAGGGCCAATCAGGTTCCTGAATGTTTGACATTAGTTGGGTTTGAGGGAGCCTGGTTTTCTGCTCCGTGTGCGTGTCAATTGGCATCCAACCCCGAGAATAGAAGCATCTAGTTTGAAGGAAAATAGGTTGCTGAAGGATTTGATCCCCCCAGAAAGGGATGTTAGGTCCATGCGAACAAGGTTAGGGCTATTAGTATCATTGGTCAACCGGAGTGCCACGGAGTCGTGGATACGCCAGGCAAGGGGCAAAACAACGAAGAAATTACTCAACTAGGAAAGAGAGAGTAATCTTCGGGGCATGCAAGCTAGTAGAATCCATAGGCTAGAATTGTCTATCAGATTGGTGCAAATGTAGGAGCCTTGGAGGCCAGTCTTATCTTCTCCGCAGTCCGGGGTAAGTCGAGTGGATCTTGTCATCTACACCTATCAGCGATGTGAAGCCATTCCGAAGATATCACTTTATTATCGTGAATCAAGCTAACCTTGGAAGTCAATCCCCTCACACTGTGCAAGGTGTTTGGTTGGTTCGGCGCAAGGGAACCTCTCGCGTCCGACAAGTACGTCGGTATTTTCCATTTTAAAATGTAACTCTTCCCTACTTGGGTTGGCATAGGTTTTAAAAAGCGTTTTCTTCATCTTTGTATTCCTCACTTTCCCCTCATTCCGATATACCATCACTTCATGATGGATTCTTCAAAAGCCCAGTTGGATCGACAGACAGACCCAGACCAGAAATGTGATACCAAGGGTCTAGGCGAGTTCATCGACTTGGATGAGGCCGTGCTTCGGGCTCAAGGCCGTGAGGCACAATTGGGGCGTTCGTTTTCCTGGCTGGGTGCCCTTGGTTTAGCATTCAGGTGAGACCCCAAAGGCCGACAGGCGGACATTTAAAGGCTTACTAGCTTTACTACTAGTATTGTCAATTCCTGGTTGACATATGCCGCTTGTTTCGGTGTGGCATTCAGTTACGGGGGAGGTCAAATCGTGGTATACAGCCCTATTTTCTCCGCTCTTACGCAGTGGATCATGCTACAAGGCGTGTCTGAGCTGGCATCTGCATTTCCTTCCTCCGGCGTACGTTTATCCGCCAATTCTCGACTTTAATTATCTCTCACGCTTCGAATAGGGTCAATACCACTTCACCTATATCATCGCACCGGATCGGTTCAAGAATATCTCAGCCTTTGTCGTCGGGGCCATCAACGTCGTCGCTTGGTGGGTGAATACAGCATCAGGAACGATATACACCGCAATATCTGCTTTTGGGATCTGCCAGTTCTTGCGTGATGACTTTGTTGGCACCCAGTGGCAGGTCTACCTCTGTTATCTGCTGCTTATATTCCTCACCTGTAAGCACCATTCTGATCAAGAGAAGGCATACGCTTACCATACACCTGGCAGTACTTCCTCTGTTCATTATCCCTCAGCGTCAGATCGAGAACCTAACAAAAGCATCAATGTTTGCCTCAATCCTCGGCTTTGTGTTGGTAGTCATTATCTGTCTGGTCATGGGCCGAGGCCAGTACCATCCCAGTAACCTGGTCGAATATCGATCGACAAGCGGTTGGTCGCCTGCTCCAAGCTGGTTACTCGGTATTGGAAACGGAGAATATGCATTCGTTGCTGCTGGAGCCTGTGTGCATATCGCAGAAGAGATTCCTCAGCCAAACCGCAGGATCCCACTGGTCATGTCTGTGCCTGAGTATCACACTCGAGTTAACATCCAGCTAATATGCTCTCAGAAATCTTACTATTTTCATCGGTATCCTAACCCTCATCCCCTCAATAATTGCTATGACCTGCGTACTTCAAGACATGGACGCCGTCCAGAAGGCTTTTCTTCCAAGCTTGGAGCTATTCTATCAAGCCACCGGTAGCAAAACTGCATCAGTTTTCCTGCAGGTTTACCTCACCATCTTATACTATTGTTTGTTGGCTTTGAACACTTGCATTGACCGTTACTAACCCTTTTTAGCGTGCGTTCCAAGCCAGTGGATTACAAGCAGTCGGATGACTTGGGCCTTCTCTCGCGATGTAAGTACATGAAAGATTGGCCTCGAATCTCGCTAACTAAATAGCAGAATGGATTGCCTTTCTCTCAATACTGGGCAGAGGTGGATGAGAAAAGAGCCATTCCAGTACGGGCTCTTCTCCTATCTGCTGGATTTTGTGTCATATACGGTTTGCTATACATTGCCAGTACCCAAGCCTTCAACTCTATCATCAATACTGCGGTCTTGATGCTTAACATCACATACACTGTCCCTCAAGGGATTTTGGCCACTCAAGGGCGGCACCGGCTTCCAGCTCGATATTACGACCTAGGGATCTGGGGATATGCTGTGAATGTCTTCTCTGTGATTTGGCTAATCATTAGCGGCATTTTCTTTTGCTTCCCAACAAGCAACCCGCCAACGATCGGAAACATGAATTAGTGAGTTATAGCCGCCAAGTCTTCACAAAAGAAACAGAACTGATATATGACAGCAACTCGGTCGTTCTGTGTGGCATATTCGGCATTATCTCCCTTTGTTGGCTGGAACGACGCAAGAAGTTCACTGGTCCCGTCATAGACTGGGAAGCCTTGAACATAACACAAACTGCCAACTGAATCATACGCCCGATTTTGGATGATTGCATCAAGGGTTGTGCAGGATGGAAGAGTCCTTAGGAGTATTTGAACCCTCCTCCAGGTGTAATGATCATTTACCTGCTCACTTTGGATACATGGCATCTTCAAATCATATTTATCCGAATAACAGCTGTGTCTGTCCTTGTCCATTGCCAGGCGACTTGGTCTTACCATCAATGACTTCACCCCACCATTTCCCCGTTGTCCACATCTCATCCAACAATACCGGCGTTGAGTTGAACATGCCGTAGCGACTCTTTTCGCCCCAGTAAGAACAATAATCCTTCACAAAATCGCGCATGGCTTCATCCGATGTTTCGCTGCCTGCCAAGAACACGGGCAGAAGAAGCTGTTTCTGTGTTTGTGATGTTTGTCGACAGCATCGAATTGAATCAATCGTCTGGCGAACTAGTTTATTGATGGCAAAATGACGTTTCTGTCGATCACTCTTGAAAACACTTTCGATGTACAAAAGCAAAGTGAAACGCCAGGCCTCTGCACAGTAAAAACGATCCTGTTGCTCGTGGAATTGTTTTTCGGCTTCTGTATCTGACATTTCTGGATCACTTTCGACTGGCGAGATATTGTTGGTCCACGCCGTGACTTTCTCTTCGATCGCAATGACGGATGCGATGTTGAAGGATAACCACTTCATAGACCGCGCGATTTCGCTTTGTCGAGCCAACTCCGCAAGATGAAATAGATGAACTATCAAGTCACCGGGGCATCCGGTGAGATCAAAAAATGACCAATTATCTTTCCTCTCCCATTTGATGAGGAATTCCAAATAAGAAGGGTCCATGATAGGGCCGTGCCGAGATATCAGTGCCAGTGTAGCGTCCCACCTAGGGCTTTCTTAGCAATGATCAATGCGGAATGCGCACAGAACTTACCAAAGCAACATACCAACCTGAGATCGCACACGGGGAGTGGTGAGAGACATCGGCCCCCCGCATACTTGCAGCATTGTATGAGCTCGATGGAGGTGGGTGGTCCATTTGCCGGCGGCGGAAAGCGTACACTGGAGTACATTCCACGTTAGCTATGGTATATGATGGTTAAAATTGTCATCTCACATCAAGCGTAAAAAGAATCAAAATAGGCTCCAAGAGGCTCAGCTTGCTATGAGCCTGCTGGTGCTGTACAGCCTCGTCTAGCAGTTGAAGGGCCTTGCGGCGATGTTCATCTGCTTCAGTGGCCCAGCTGCCAGTGAGGCGTCGCAGGTGCTGGCAGCATAGAGCTAAAATGGAATGAAAGAGTAAAAGAGACCCCTGCGAGGTTTGACGTTGGCAGCGAAAAGGGTTGATGGATATGTCGGATGTCAAGGGAAGCACGCAAAACTCGTAGTCATCTATCGGCGATCAGTGGCTGATGGGATACAACAAAATGAATCACTCGAAGTGAGATTCAAGTAACTTACACATTTGCAGAAGCCACTCGTGGTCGTGCGGCGAGAGTCCTGCAGGTTCGGGATCTGCTGGAAGACGCGGGGATGTCCACACCTGGGATGTGCTTTGATCAACACCCTGCGGTGGTCCATCTTTTGGCGTAGACACCAGAACCTGGGGATCAATATCGGTCGGCAATGAGTTGAATTGGACCTCATCATCATTTCTTGCATCGGTCAGTCTCTCGGTGCCGGATGGTGGTGTTTTGGACAGAGATATAAGAGCAGACATGTCAGTTAAGTCCTGACCGAGATCGAAAAGATTTGTAGACCCAAAGATGTTAGGCATGAAAGAGTCGAAAGCCCAGAGGTCATGCAAAGGGTCCGGATCCTGTATTCCTAGAATGGAAATTAGACTCCCTCGCTGCGGACCCAGGCCATCGCTGCTCTGAGATCTTACCTGCAATGCCCAACTCATGATCGACATGATCGTAATCCGTCGGGTCCAGACTTGTGATTCTTGGCATGGTTTCCGTATTCTCATCTTGTGCCGATCGAGCTCGGACTGAGTTATGGCCCCGACATATCTTGCGCTTCTTTGGCCGAGAGGCACCTCCAATGAACCGAAACCGCCGCGGGGTCGGTCTTTTCGACGACGGCTCTGGACCATTGACTACGTCCCCGCTGAAGTCCCCCGTTCCGTTTTCTCTATTCACGGACGGGTTATCGGACCACATTCTTCGGGTGTCCCAGGACAGCGGCGTTGCAAATCCGCCGCATTTGCGGCCATGATCGAGACATGTTGAGCACCGAGGGCGGCGACGGTCGCACTGCTCATTTGCCGCCGCACAGGTATGACAATCCGATCGAGCAAATGCCAGTGAGTTGGTCCTCTTATCCTTGCATGCGTTCTCCATCCTGGGCTATAGTGGATCGGATTGGGGTTGGAGGGGATGGTGAGATGGTAGGATGAGGTCCGAGAGTTTACGTTTCTGCGAAGCGAGACCAAAGATGGGGAAACTTGGAAGTCCGAGGCATTTCCTGATTTGAGCGATCCATTTTACCCCATGGGGGAGCGTGTTCCTTTACTTGATTCGTGACTCATTTTCTTTTCGCACTGAAAGCACAATGTTTACACAGATCAATTCTATTGCCAAAAACACTTGAGCTCAAAAGTACAATGGTTTCAGTGCTCTAACTAATCCTGGCGAACCAGATTGCGGTAGGGATTATTGGGATCTTGCTCCTCTTCCTCCGCAGACTGAATCGTCTTCCTCACTCGGCATGGACTGCCCACGGCCACCGAATATGCAGGGATGTCCTTGGTCACAATAGATCCAGCCCCAATGGTCGAACCTTTTCCAATGCGCACACCAGGAAGAATTATGACGTTTCCACCAATCCAGCAATCGTCCTCAATGAAAACCGGGTGACCGAACTCGACGAACTTCTGACGGGAGAGAATGCTGGTATCGTGGCCGGCAGTGAAAATACTGGCGCCGGTGCCAATTTGGACTCGATCGCCGATCACAACAAGACTGGTGTCTAATATAGTGACACTGATGCCTGGTCAGTGATAGCGCCAATGCCTCAATGTGTTCAGATACTCACTTCCAGTTGATAAAGCAATCCTTTCCGATAATCACGTTGCAGCCATAGTCTGGTAGGAAGGGCGGCTCGATGAAGGTGCCGTCGCCGACTTTACCAACCAACTTTCGGAGCAATTCGAGTCTCTTCTCAAAGACTTGATCGTAGGAAATGGTTTTGGTGTCGAGATTATTATAGTCCGCTGCAAGACCACGGCATTGGTGGCGCGCTTCCAGCAATTTGGGGGTATTGGGATTGTACCTGCATTGTCAATGATTCCCCTCGCTTCAAAGGCAATGGCGTTCACCTACATCATCCCAGAAATCATGCGTTCATAGTCCTCGCATTGTGGAATTCCTCGTAGATCACGGGAAAGTTCGATGATCTCGGGGCGTTTCGCGGTGGCTGCCATTTCGTGGTGATTGTCAGAAATGATAAGAAAGGAAATCAGAATGTCAGTGTAGAATATTTCTATCTCATTTTTGGTGAAAGACACGGAGGATTTCCTACTCCACGTAGCCTTTCAACTTGCCTTCCCAATGCGGTATAAGAGGCAACCCCGAAGATTCTCCGCTCTGATCCACCCGGGGAAACCGATGTTTAACCGCTTCACGGTGGATTGTTACCGTAGTCTCAATCATCTACCCCGTAATACCGTCTATATTTACTGAAAGCAAAATATTCATTCAGATCACAAGGTCTGGGTCTGGGGAAAACGCCTGCGTTATGACCATCCACAAGGGCAGTTGACTGGAACTAATGCAACAAACGCTAGTGGCAAATGCAGACTCAAACTCAGTTTCATCTCTATACTCTTGTTGATTACCTATGTATTTGACTCAGCTTTGCGTAACGTTTTACCTTGAGCCTTTTGCTTTCAAGGTTATTTGCGAATAGCTAATAGGGCATTGACAACATGTATACTTGAACGTGACTGTAGTCTTTCCGTGCCTTGAGATAGGAGAGTAGATTGAAAAGTGAATAATTGATCACTACTAAAACTTGGACTTCACCGTCTTTTGTTCTGTCTCCATTTTCTCCGCAGCAATTTCCCTCGCCGCCAATGCCCCTTGCTCCAAAGCACCGTCGATAGCGGCTCTCCAGCCATGGGCCCAATCTGCGGAAGCAAAGAGAACATTTCCATGGCGGCTCTGTAACACATCTTGGTATTTGGACATATACTCTGGGGACCACCAGGCAGGTCCGCCTCTTGAATAAGGGTCAGTCGCCCAATTGTGAAAGATCTAGCTGGTCAATCAAATTATGCGCCTGAGAGATTGGAAATTCTTACCATTTTCTTCACCTCCATGGGATGTAGCTTCTGGAAGGCATTGACCGCTTCTTCAGGGTCCCGTTCAGGAATGAAATTGGTCCCCTCATTCTTTCCAAAACCAACAATATGAGCATTGCCATTGGTAGTGATTCCATCCCCATATCCGAACATCAAGTTATTCGGGTATCGCATTCCATTCCAGGATGCCAGCCCGGTCCCCGCCACCTCGGCGTGAATCTTGGTCATGAAATTCACATGTCCAATGTTGAGTGCTTCTTGTCGCTCTGCTGATAGTGGGGGGTTGAATTGAATCGTGCGTAGTACATTGAGAGGAATAGTGCATACAACACGTCGCGCCCGAAATGAGAGCCCCGAAGTTGCTTTGACCTCGGAGAAGCCTTCGTGGTTGTGGATGGACTGGATAGGTGTTTTGAATGCATAGTGCAAGCCATGATTTACGGAGTCTTGGAACATGCGCCGTGCTAATTCGGATTGACCTTCGCGGAGCTTATAGGTAGTCCAAATCGGGCCGAAGTTATCTGTGCTGTATGACATGAGTGCGTGGGAGCGAATCATATCCCACAGACTGGTGTTTTCCATACTTCCTCCTGAGATATGAAGCAGCAAGGCGACAAGAACGCCAGATTCTTCGTTCGTCAGCAAGTGCTTAATTTCCTCAAACCTGTCCTGACAGGACATTTTGTCGTAACTCTCTACCGTCTTTCTGTCGACGAGAACATTGTCCAAGGCTGCGTGGGGAAGGGGGCAGATGCGTCGACAATTGGCCCCGTCCACGTTCACGAAAATATTCCAAGCTCGAGAAGCAATCTGACCCCCTTCCTCGTGGGTAATCTTTCGGGGGTTTGCGCCTAGATGAAATGTTGAGCAATTTGATCGCCGTGTTGGAGATGTCACACGTTACCAGGAACGTTCAGCGTGTAGTAGTCGTTCTCATACTCGCGATGGTGTGTAATCAGAAGGTCACGATCCATCTCATATCGAATCATTTCGGTGAACAAGTATGCCATGTGGTGCGTCACCCATGTCCCACCCATTTCATAGAGAATGCCTGCGGTCATTAAGTGTCGGCCGCGCATAGAGACGATGGAAGGGCTCCTTACCATCTGATTCAACAGTATAGGTCCGTCCGCCAACTCGGTCACGGGCCTCGAGCATCAAAACTGACAGTCCTGTGAAATGGTAAGGGCTGTTCTGGGAGTCAATGTCTTTGAGATTGACATACTACGGTCAGTCATTTCACGGGCAGCCATGAGACCAGTATACCCAGCCCCAATGACGATAGCATCGTAGATATGACCAGCAGGTGCGTCTCTTTTCTCGGGGGGTTGCATTACGCCCCGGCATTGCAAATTGCCCAGTCGCACCCCAGTCGCTCTCGTCCATGTAAACCCATCTTGAGTTTTCGTTGTAACCATTTTCGAAGAGAAGGGATCAAGCTTGGCACGAGAAGATTGAACTGGGTCCACATACAAGTCGAAGTGTCAGAATTGTGGACTTATAGCCGCCCGAGAGTGAGATCCACCAGTGGACTCGGACCCCAAGGAGTAGGTTTTTTTCCTAATCGGGCAACCGAGAACATCAAAATGGGCAATCCCTCAGACGTGGCATGATTTGACCCAAATTCACCACATCCAGTAACATGGACTCCAAAGTGATATCTCTGGTCCAAGCTTGGAAGTCTGGAAGTTGTGGAAAGTCAGGTGAGTGCTCAGTAGTGTGGCTACCTCCAGGGCTCTCTTCGATCAATATTTCTTTCAAATCTTCGCCTATTCCAACTCAAGCGCCCCTAGCCTGTCCTTCAACATTGATCGCTCTGTCCAAGGTGACTTCGAATATCAGAAAAATGCCGTCCACCACCTATCAATACCTCCCCGGCCCAGTGGGGGACTGCTTAAAGCCGAGCTCCCTCTCAACCACTGCCACGATCCCAGTGTCGCCTACAACGTCTCTTGTGGTCACCACAGGCCATCTGGGCTTAGACCTGATGACGGGAGAGCTTATAAACAGCTCAGCTGAAGCTGAGTTCAACGCCATATTCTCCTGCCTGCATGCAGCCCTACAGAATGCCGGAATCAAAGAAGGGCTGCATCAGGCATATAAGCTCGTCAGCTATCTAAAACATGCTGAAGACGAATCTTTGATGCTCCGCATATTTCAACAACGGTTTCCTGGTCACACCCCTACTTGGTCAACCGTGATTGTCAAGGATATCAATGTTCCTAGTATGCGGGCCGAAATTGCAGCTGAAGGGGTGTTGTACTCCTAGTCAATTTGAGATTATTACCTATCGATGGTACACTATGTGAGCTCACGGTAATCGTGTTTCTGGGTGTGCTCTTGTGGAGGAGCACTGTATCTGTTTGGAAAGTGTGTTATACAAAATCATAATTGAATTATTTTCTCAATATGGCCCTGGAATGTATCAAGTGCAAGGGTCGAACTTCGCTCACAACATCTCTGGTCAAGCTATCGAATTCTCGATGGCCCTGGGGTCAACTACGTAAATTGTGTAATGTCTTAGTACACCAAAGCCTTCTAGGCTCAGGCTCTAGGGAAGACTATATTGACTAAAACCTCAGGAATTGATGTCACATCCTGGGCTGGACTAATTTGCCGTGACCACTTTAACAATCTCCTCAACCACGTTAGGGTCGGCCAACTAAATCGAGGTCAGTATCCTGAAAAAGTCCCAGTATATGGAAAGTTCTCTTACGGTTGATATATCCCCAAATTCTCTCTCGCCAATCAGAGCCTTTCGCAGGATCCGACGCACAATCTTTCCACTTCTGGTCTTTGGAAGATCTGTCACAATAAAGACTGCTTTTGGGGCCGCAAAGGGCGCAATCGTCCGGCGTATGTGAAGAATCAACTCGTCTTTAATATCAATAGGGTTCTCTCTTTCTTTAAGGGAGACAACCGCGTTGATCGCCTCGCCAGTGAGGTTGTCCGGGACTCCAATTATTGCCGTTTCTGCCACAGCAGCTTCAAAAAGGTCAGCTTGCTCCATGCCGCATATGCTTGATAGTTTCATATGAAAGGCGCCACTCACGGTGCTCAAGAAGGGCGCTTTCGATTTCTGAGGTCGAGATTCGATGACCTGAGACATTGATAACATCGTCCACTCGCCCTCTGATCCAAACATAGCCATCATGGTCTCGATAGGCACCGTCGCCAGTGAACTAAACATGTGTTAGAGTTGCAGTTTTTATAGGGGTTATATGGCGTTGCTGGGGTCAATCACATAATATCCCTTGTAAATGTTGAAGTATGTGTCCATGTATCGGTCGTGATTGTCTTTGATAGTTCGAGCCATGCTTGGCCAAGGTTGCTTGATTGCTAGAACACCCACAACGAGATTCCCTGTAAGCTCTTCGCCACTGACTGGATCAATGATTGCCAGATCGATTCCAAAGCATGGAAGAGAGGCACAACCCGGTTTCATCGGAGTCACACCGGCTAATGAAGCGACAACGTGAGATCCAGTCTCGGTTTGCCAATATGTCTGGTTACTGTCAGTCACGGCATCTCAAGACAAATAGGGAACCCAAGGCTGGATATCTTACATCAGTCAGGGTCGTTTGATTAGATCCAAAGAAATTGTGAAACCATTTCCAGATTTCCGGTGCGATCGGCTCGCCAACTGAGCCAAGTATTCGCAATTGACTCATGTCAAAGCATTCGATTTCCTCCTTCTTGATTTTGCTTTTCAAAAGTCGCAGGGCGGTTGGTGCCGTATAAAAATGAGTCGCAGCGCATTTTGCGACAACTTCCCAGTACCGTTTGAAGCTAGGATAAGCCGGCGTGCCCTCAAAAATGATAGTCGTACACCCGAGTACCAAGGGGGCATAGACTGTGTATGTATGACCAGTGATCCATCCAATGTCTCCACTGCAAAAGAAGCGATCTTTTTGATGAATATCAAAGACATACTTACCGGTAACCGCGGCACCGAGAAGATATCCTGCAGTGCTGTGCAGCACGCCTTTGGGCTTCCCAGTCGAGCCAGACGTATACAGCAAAAAGAGAGGATCCTCTGACTGCATGGGCTCAGGCGAGATATAAGCAGGATACTTCTTGACTTCCTCATCCCACCACAGGTCTCTGCCAACAGTCCAAGGGACATCACCACCCGTTCGTCTGAAAGTCAGAATAGTCGATACACACGAGCAATCTTTCACAGCATCATCCACCACAGACTTAGTATGAATGACCTTTCCACCTCGCCGGCCTTCATCAGTAGTAATCACCACCTTCGATTTCGCATCAACAATTCTGTCCTGCAGAGCACCCGCAGAAAACCCCGCAAAGACAACCGAATGCACAGCCCCGATTCGAGCACACGCAAGCAAAGCAAGAACAGCTTCCGGGATCATAGGCATATAAATAGTGACAATGTCGCCCTTTCTCACGCCCCGGGCCCGCAAACATCCAGCTAGTCGGGAAACATGTCTGAGCAGCTCAGAATACGTGATACTTTGACTGCCATCCTGCGGATCATCTGGTTCATAGATGATTGCCACTCGATCTGGGTCCTGGATTGCATGTCGGTCGACGCAGCAGAAGGAAGCGTTCAGTTGTCCGCCCAGGAACCACGCGTTATCACCGTTCTGAAACGATCCGATACGGGTGGTGTGGAAGTCTTGAGTGAAGGAAAGAAGTTCGCGTGCTTGTTTGGCCCAGAATGTGTCTGGAGAGCGAATCGATTCTTCGTATAGAGTTCGGTACTCTAGAAATCCATTGAGATGGGCTCCATGAGGGTGTTTTGCTCGCCATTTTGAAGGGACATGAACAATTTCCGAGGTCATGGTGCTTGAGAATCCAAGGTAAGCTGGGATACCGTAGGTATGAGGCGCAAGCTAGGTAATCAAACTCAACAGAGGTTCCAAGGTTGAGATTGGCAATCGATTGTTGGCAGAAGTAGCCATGGCCGTGGGGACTGTAGCAAACGCTCCTATGTATCTCCGTGGCCTGGGGAGTATGGAGCGCGCACTTGCCTGTTTCGGCCTCGTGGTCCCACCTTCCTAATCAGGTAATATCCTCAATCCGCCGGCCTCAGGCAAAAGCACCCGCGATCAAATTGGAGTTGGTTCTCCATCTGCGCGATCCTCGATTCATTGGTATTTGCTCCCACATCGGGATATAATTCGGAGCCTGTCCCAACGTTGTGCTTTGATAGCATCTCCAAACTTGAGCCAACATGAGCTCCACAATTTCCACAGCTGCCACCGATGAGGCTCGCTCCGTGATTGACAGTTATACAGTCGGCGATACCCCACGGATAGCCGGTCTGGTCTACTGTGCAGTGGACAAGAGTGGAGAAATCATATTCAGCCATGCGTCGGGCAAAACAGGCATCGGCTGCTCTCCCATGACGCTTGATACGACATTCTGGCTGGCTTCCTGCACAAAGTTGATCACAAGCATAGCTTGCATGCAGCTAGTCGAGAGCGGGGCGCTGAGCCTAGACGACAGCGATCAAGTGGAAACAATAGCACCAGAGCTGAAAGCGGTCCAAGTACTCGAGCGAGCTCCCTCCGGTGAATTCCGTCTGGTACCGAGGCATAGAAGCATCACGTTGCGCATGCTATTGAACAATACCTGTAAGATGAACTCACTACTTTCCAATGTCCGTGATTGTTGACTTTGACAGCTGGGTTCGGATATGCCTTTGAAGACTTCAACCTGCGTGACTGGTCACGGCCCATCGGTATGGATGATTTCTCAGGGAACATCAACGACGTTCTCCACCGTCCACTTGTGAACCAGCCAGGAACCAAGTTTCAATATGGTGTTGGTGTGGATTGGGCGGGAGTTCTCGTGGAACGAGTCTCGGGAATGGACTTGGAGCAGTATTTTCACACCTTCATTTTGCAGCCTCTTGGTATCGAGAGGATTTCATTCTATCCCACCGCGGAAATGAAAAGTGCCTTGGCATATATGCATCGACGAGAGAAGGATGGCTCCCTGGGTGTCACCGATCATCTTTACCGACGACCTTTGCTTCCGAGCAAATCGGAAAAGTCTCGCTTTTGCATGGGTGGCGCTGGTTGTTTTGGAACGCCAATCGAATATTGTCGTATGTCTGAACCCTATCAACATATAACAGATCTGATCGTCTAGGCATAATTGCGACTCTCTTGAACGATGGAGTGAGCCCTAGTACAGGCGCGAGACTTCTCAAATCAGAAATGGTGAAAGGTAAGATATAGCCCTGGATTATTCCTCCAACAAGTATGTTCTTGCGCATGCTGATCTATGCAGAAATGTTCACTGATCAGATCCCCACCTTGCCACGATACTGTAATGAGTACACTCCGACGGGCAAGCCAGAAGTTGCGAATTCGACACCCCTCACTCCTTGCCCGGACGACTTGACCGAAGGATGGGGGTTATCCTTCTCCCTAAGTCATAGCCAAAGTGCTACGGGAAGGGCCGCAGGGTCGGGATCTTGGGAAGGAGTCGCGAATCTGTTCTGGTTTGCTGATCGCGAAAATGGAATTGGGGGAATCATCGCCTCCCAGATTCTTCCATACGGTGGTAAGTTATCAATCTTCGAGTGGGAAACCTCAAGCTGGTTGGCTAATCGATGTCAGATCCCGATATGGTCGAATGCTCTGAGTCGGTGGAAAAGATTATATACAGGGAGATCCCAAGATGATGGCTCACACTACCCACAAAAGCAAACATCAGCAGGAGGAACCCTGGAAGACATCATCCTCATTACCCTGTTAACCCTGTTCATACCTAGACACAATGAGAGAACAAGTGGATAATACCGTTGACTAATTTCGAAGATGCGAAGCGGCTCAAAGTCAGCCTGGAGGCCTCCGAAAGAACCTTGGAAGGTCAATGCCGAACAGAAGGACGTTGGTTCAAGGATGCGTGTTGGTCTCGTATATGAGCCAATCCCCAAGGTTTTGGACCCTTGGAAAAGCCCCGGAACCTAAATCGTAAACCTTGGAATAGACTTTCAATTAAGCTACGTACACTGCATGTGTTTAACAGTGCCGATCATGGGCATATGCGAGGCACTGTGTATTTGGCAAGACTCCGTTGAGCCATTGGACCTGGTGATTCACTATTTGGTTCTTGTTGCGTCGAGCCTGCATACAGGGAAGAGTGAAGCTTGCTCTCTGATCTCCCGCTACGTTGTGAAATACATCACCATGTCGTCAACACTATTAGACTTCAAAAGTAAATCGAAGATCGAAGATCGAACATGAAAAAGGTTGTATGGTATTGGAAATGGGAATATAACTGCATGCGTAAATTCGCATGAAAAGAACAAAGCTTTGCATCATGGCACATGAAATGTAGGAATCCAGTCTAAGGAGTAAGTCAAAAGTTCGAAACCACCCAACCATCGACATTGCATGTCGAGGTCTTCTCAGGTCGATCGTAATTCAAACCGACATGACAAAGGATATCAGAAGTCCTCTAGCCTGAGACCCGAAAATTGCAACCATCGATGGTCGAAAATGGGTACATGCGGAGAGATGGTGGAGAGAAAAAAGAGAAAGGAAGTCTATGAAAAATGGCATGACATCAAAAACGCCGGAAGAAACCTTCTCAGGTCCAGATGTGTTTTTTGAGTTTCGTGAAAGCGTGAAAAGATCGACCAATCAGGATCTTTTGTGACTTTACTCAATGGCGGAGGCACCGTCACCGTGGGTGACAGGGTTAACCTTGGGGTTCCACTTGAGCTTGAAGTCCTCACCGAGCTCCTTGGCGAGGGCAGCCTTGACAGCCTCGAGGACGTGGGGGAAGACACCGAAGTTGGCAGGGGAGTTGAGGTCGTTCTCGCCACCCTGGAAGACACCGGTGCGGACCAGACAGGTGTTCCAGCCGTACATGTTACCACCGATGATGTCGGAGGCGGGGTTGTCACCGACCATGTAGATGTTGTCGGGAAGGCGGGCCACGCCGTGGAGCTCCTCCATCCAGGACTTCATGACCTCGTCGGCGTAGGTGTAAGTAGCACGCTCGGGCTTACCGTAGACAACACGCTCGAGGTCGACACCGGTGAGGGTCTTGTACTGAGCCTCAATGGAGATACGGAAGGCACCCTGGGTCAGACGGGGGAGACCCTTGTGCTCAGTGGGCATGAGGAGATCGCCCTGGGAGAAGTAGATGGGGATGCGGGTAGCGACGGGGTCTTCGGCCTTGGTGAAGATCTTGCCGTCGTCGGCAAGGAGCAGATCCATGATGAGCTGCATATCGGTCTGGTAGTCACGGGAATCGGCGAAGACCATGATAGCGTCGAACTTGGTCTTAGTGAAGTCACGAGGGCGAGCCTCAGCCTTCTCCTCCTCGGTGAGAGTGGCCCAGGGAGAGATAGTGGGGTCCCAGGCGAGGAGATCCTTGGGGTGGACAACGTCCTTGAAGCCGTAGTTCTCGGCAACCTCGCGGATCTTGAAGCCGTCACCACCAAGGACCAGGACAGTCTCGTAGTACTCGGACAAGGCCTGCATGGGAGTGTGGGACTGGATGAACTGGTCGGTGGAGATGGGCTGCTCGAGGATCTCGGAGAGCTGGGCGCAGCGAGCCTCCTCGGTCTTACCACCACCGTTGGTCAGGAGAATGTGGGGAATGCGGATACCCAACTCGTTGTCACCGTTGAGGATCTTGAGGGCGACCTTGGCCTCCTCAATGGCGTGGTTACCGTGTGCCAGCACACCGTCAATGTCGAAAGCGAAGGCCATGTTCTTGGCCTTGGCGGTCTTCTCCTTGTTGATGTCCTGGACCTGAGAGGCCAGGATGTCACGGGAGACGGAAGGAGCACCGCTGCCCCGCTGCACCGATGAGAGACGGGACATGCGGGGGGAGCGGGGGATGGGCAGAGAAGTTCCGAAGGAGTTGCGGGAGTTGCGGCGGTCCTTCATGGAAGGAGCCAAGCTCAGGTTGTGCATGAAGGAAGCGGCATCACTGATGGCGCTGCGGGTGGCGGGGACCTCAATGGTGTTGCCCTCCTGGCCGGGGATAGCAATGCCGGAGCCAGAGCGAGGCTGAGTGCTGCCGCGGGGGTCAGCGTTCAGCTCAGCGTCGTCGAAGCGAGCCATTGTGAAGGTTGTGGATAAAAGGAGTAGAAGGGATAAGGTTCTACTGGAGAGTCACTGAAGGCAGGACTCGAAAAAGGATTCAAAAAGGTGAAGAAGGAAAATGGCACAGATAACAAATTGGAGGGAGATTCAGAGAGTATATATACAACTATCTCATACCGGATTCAAGACAAACGGAAAATGGTGTATTTGACCATTGCGGTTACGAGGGATCCACTCACCGGGTACGAGTAGTATCATCATTCCTAGGAATTATCGTCATCATTTGGCAACCAAGATATCAATTGCGGGTGGACTATGAAACCGACGGGTTTGTACAGAGTACCTGCGTCATTGTGGCTGACACCGTGTCTGACCATGTACCCAGTACGCGGGATCCATTACTTCCGTGGCCGACTGAATCAAGCGCACAATGATTGGAGGAGGAGGGGCTGGCTAGGCCGAGTTTGAAGCAACGCAGCACGCCGAGTGGGTAAGAAGAGGTCTGAGACGGAGGGACGATTGGCTTGGAGTGCAGTTCGCACCGTGGGCCGGCATGAGATCGATGGAGCCGATGACGATCGGCTCACAACGCTCCCCCCCGTTTCGGTCGGTGATGTCATCTCGGAGCTCTGAAAATTACTAGCGGCAATTTTGCGTCTTTTTTTTCATTTGATTGCTTTTTTGTCCGGTTTGGGTATTTTATTGTTATTATTCCGTAATTCCTTTTTTTTTTTTTTTTTTTTTTTTTTTTTTTTTTTTTTTTTTTTTGGCGTAAGATGCTTTCATTCCCGATTGAGCCTTTCATGCCCAAAACACAGCATTGGGTAGTGACAGATAGGCTCACTACCTCCGCGACTAGGAGTATTCTGTCTAGCATTGTACTAGTATGTACTGATGGTAGAGAACGCAAGGTTCGTGATCGACGTCAAAGGAGGGGTTGCGGCTTGCCTTGGAGGGGAGGCCAACTTGATGATTAGATAAGTTGGCTTGCCCCTCCACCCCACTTTCCATCGTCATTGCCTTCCAGCTCCACCCACTCTACTATCTTCTATAGCTCAAGCTCTTCTTCCTTCCTACACACCACTATACACAATTATATTCACTATGTCGTCTGGACAAACTCTTACTCTGAGCAATGGCGTGAAGATGCCCGCCGTCGGCTTCGGCACCTTCGCCAGCGAGGGCTCCAAGGGCGAGACCTACGCCGCCGTCACCGCTGCTCTCAACACCGGCTACCGTCACCTCGACTGTGCCTGGTTCTACCTGAACGAGGACGAGGTCGGTGATGGTATCCGTGACTTCCTTAAGGCCAACCCCTCCGTTAAGCGTTCCGACATCTTTGTCACCACCAAGGTCTGGAACCACCTGCACCGCTACGACGACGTCCTCTGGTCCGTCAACAACTCTCTCGAGCGTATGGGGCTTGATTACATTGATCTCTTCCTTGTTCACTGGCCCATTGCTTCCGAGAAGGAGACCCAGGAGAAGCCTAAGATCGGCCCCGATGGAAAGGTACAGTAACACAGCAACGAGCAGCAAGGTACCCGAGCTCACAGATTACACAGTACGTCATTCTTAAGGACCTCACCGAGAACCACGAGGAGACATGGCGCGCCATGGAGAAGCTCTATGCGGACGGCAAGGCCAAGGCCATTGGTGTCTCCAACTGGACCATTCCCCAGCTTGAGGCCATGACCAAGTTCGCCAAGGTCCAGCCCATGGTCAACCAGATCGAGATTCACCCCTTCCTGCCCAACGACGAGCTGGTCCAGTACTGCTTCTCCAAGAACATCCTGCCCCAGGCCTACTCTCCTCTGGGCTCCCAGAACCAGGTCCCAACCACCGGTGAGCGGGTGGCTGAGAACAAGACCCTCAACGCCATTGCCGAGAAGGGCGGCAACACCCTCGCCCAGGTCCTCATTGCCTGGGGTCTTCGCCGCGGTTACTCCGTGCTCCCCAAGAGCTCGAACCCCAAGCGTATTGAGTCCAACTTCAAGATCATCGAACTCAGCGATGAGGACTTTGCGGCTGTCAACGAGGTCGCCAAGGGCCGTCACTGCCGCTTCGTCAACATGCACGATACCTTCGGCTACAACGTCTGGCCCGAGGAGACTGCCCAGGGTCTGTCCCTGTAGATTCGACTGAATCTATAAGATTAAAATAATATCCCCAACTTTGGGGCCCAAGTGGGAATGTGATCACGAACGGACTACGAACTCTGTCGAATGAATAGAACATACCATTGATCTCATAACTTGATTCTCACGCGTAAACTTAGCTCTCTCCATTCCCTTGTATTTCATCCTTTCACCCGTACCGAACTTGCCCAAATATGCCTTCGGGATTCCGCCGACTATACCATTCGAGATGCCAACTTTACACACCGGTTGGCACAGCCCTCCGATCCCTCAACCCGCCAGGTTCCACGACCCCTCCATAGCGTCTGAGGGGTCCAATAAATGAGGATGAAACCAAGCAGTTCCAAGTAAGATTACCAAAGCCGCGGAAATTTGCAAATTTCGTCCCAGCAACGACCGTACGTACTGAACCGTAATTTGCATCTGAAAAATGGTCTGGGACTCCAGCCAATCAGAACACAGACCCCCTCCAGTGATTGGACTATCAATAAACACCTGGGGATCTTGCAGGGTCACAGCGGACAAGGTTGCAATGTAAATACCACTCTGCCGAGGACTAGTACAATAGCATGCAATTCAGACAATGCCTCTCCTATATGAGTATAGTAGAATGGATCAGGAACGGATACCATTTCCACCCTTCCAAGGAGCAGTGTGCTCCGAAATGCAGACGATGTCATCCCGCGTTGACCTGTGGCTCCCGAAAGCCCCTGCGCCACTAAGGGGCTTAGCGTTGCCGCTTACCGTTTCGGGACTTGGCGCCCTGTAGCAGAACCCGGAAGATGTCGGAGTGACTGGATTCAACACCGAGACGCCGAATAGGGTAATGCGACTGGTTTCTCGTCTACAGTGTGCATTGTCTGAGGTTGTCCGGAGTAGAGTGTTTCGAGATTTGACACTTGGCCTGGGATGTGTACCGTGGACTCGGGACTTGAGAAGGCGCTCCATGGCCTGATGTATAGTACTAGACCTACGGACTTGCGGAGTATGCAGTATGCAGTACTCCGTACTCCGTGCTATACTATTCTGGATGCCACATATTCAAAAGTATAGGAGAACCCATTACCTAAGATCCCTAGTATTGCAACTTTCAGCCTTGGAAATTACATGCATCGTACTAGCGTCCGCATTGGATGATCAATGACGGAAAGTACTTGCTAAAGGCCTCAGAAATCTGCTAGTGGGACATTTAATGCCTCAATCGACGGTAAACTCTACGTGTTGCGCCTTGAATCTTTTGCCGGTGGTTTCGGCTTCCAGCGCGCTTCCGGTACCGATCGTGATCGGGATCCCCGATTGTTGAGCCGATGAGGACAAACTTCGGGGGAACCTCGTAGACTGACATCTCCATCCTCGTACATCCTGTACTCCGTATTCCGGACATTGGGCTGATCTACCTTACATCGTACATCGTTGGGGGTATGTGCATATATGGATACTGGAGTACATGCAGTATACAAGTTCCATGCGAGGCCAGTTGCCATGTGATACGGCTGCCAGACAGTAGAGTATAACTACATATGAAAAGCCCTGGGGTCATCGGCGTTTCGCAGACTGCTCTAGCCTTGCGGTTTGCAAAATATCAAGACCAGGATCAGCATGGTACCGGCTATCCATACAGGTATCAAGCCACATGGATCTCAATGCAGCAAAAGATTGCCCATGTCTGGCTCTCTTCAGGGCTGGGATCATCTTGAACTTCGGCCCAAACGCGCTGCCCGCGAAACCCTTTGTCAAAGCGGCTAGCTGCATGCGCTAGCCGTATACGGGGAGGAACAGACTCAATAGCAAGGTCGGAAGCATCTCCCGAAAGTGAAAGGTGAGCCTGGGACCCTAAGAGACCCGAGGCGCAAGGCGTGGCGCAACGGCACAGACGTCATTCTGCATGGGGGTGAACCGTGCAGCTACACGATCTTATCTTTGATCAGATGAAAACTTCCATGAATTGGGTAAATAATGCAAATAAAAGAGCACAAAGAAGCAAGTTGGTATCTCAAAAGACAGGCAAACTCCCTGAGCGATATATAAAAGAGCGACAGTACGGAAATCAGGGTATCGAGGACATAATTAGAAGCATAAGCAGAGCAGAATCAGATCTCGGCGCCATTGTCGGCGAGGATCACGATCTCGACCGCACCCGCCGGGCTGGGGTGCACCCAGCGCTCGCCTGGAGCATGCTGTGGGAGGGCTCATCTGTGCCTTTAGTGCTGCGGGTGGGAATGCCGCTGACGAAAGGTTGGTCCGTGGGCGTTTTAGCACCCTTGGGTGGCGCAGGAAGCTTAGACAAGCTGGGGGACTTGGGGGTAGCCTTGCGGCGGCCCTTGATGGGTGTGGAGGGGGCTGCTTCCCCCTCGGGCACCGAGGCTGCGGGTGGCTTGGTGGTGCTGCGGCCCCCGGTCTTGACAGGGGTGCCAGATCCCATCTTTCCTAAATCGCCCAAGCGTCTCACCCGGCGTGAGCGCGGGGTTGCGGTACTAGCCTGAGCGGTTGGATCGCTGGCGGTGGCCCCACTTGCTCCGTCTCGCTCTGCCTTCTCCGTCTGGCGACGGCTGCTGCGCTGAGCAGGCGTGGCTTTCTTTGCTGGACGCTTGCTCTCTGCTCGTGGGCGAGGTGTGGTGCCGACATCATCTTTGCACTGATCGGCTTCTTCGTCTTCGATGTATTCCGGTGCTTCTTTGTACTCTTCATACTCAGCCATGCGCTCCTCATTCCAAGACACCTGCTTCTGCTTCTTTGAGCTGGTGTTGCCAGATGAGGTCGTATACTGATCGGCGGCGGCTTGTGCCCCGTCCTCGGTTGACTGCTGAGCGAGAGCTTCCAAAGCGGCATTGGGGCTCACGGATTTGCCTTTGTTGAAACGGGTGTTTCGCTTCGTTGCCAAAGCCATCTGCTGGGCATCAGTCCGCTGCAGGAAGATAAACTCGGTACCTTTAGCGCGGCGGAGCGAGATCGTGTTGCGCACAGAAGATGTATCGGGAGCGCTCGATGCTTTGGCGCGAGTGCTTCGGCGACATGCAGGACTCGAGGGCACTGGCTCCTCCATGACTTCTTTGTGAAGGATCTCTTCCTGTGCCTGGTTCTCGTTGCCAATAGTCGCGATCTTTACGTCATGCTTACTCGGCGATAGTTGAATCTTGACTGGGGAAGGCGAGTTTGTGGTCAGGTCTTCCAACACGCGTCGCGCCCGCGGCGTTGCGCGTTCGGTTTCGGGGGACTCTTCCATGCTGGAGGACGACTCTGCTAGGTCGGCATCCTCGGGATGCGTGGCCTTGGCGGCGCGCTTCGCCTTGGCCCTCGACAGGAAGTCGTTGAGCAGCTCTGCATCTTCACCGTCCAGCGAACTACGCAGCGCAGATCGCACCAACTTCACTTCCTGCTCCTGGGTGAGGTCTTGCACGGGTTCTGTAGGGGACGTAGCGTCGCCCTTGTCATCCGTTGCTTCCTTGACCGCGGCCGGCACCGCTTGATCAGGGGAGTCGGATTGTAGATCCTCAGGGGTCTTGTCGTCAGATGCCTCCGAGCTTGCATTTGCGGCCTGAGCATCATTGTAAACAGGTGTCTTGACAGACTGCCACATATCGCTGAGCGGCTGGGGAGAATCGTTCATAGCAACGTCATTGCTAGCCAGCTGGTTGCCAGTAAAACCAAAGACTTGCTGGGTGTTATCATTGTGGATGCTGAAGTTGAATTCGGGCATCTTGCCTGCGAGGCATTAGAAAAAAGAGTCCACGATAACATCAAGTGGGACAATCACTTACGGGGCTTGCGAGCGGCCTGCATTTCCCATTTAGTTTCGAGGAACGACCGACCGCGTTGTTCCATCTCGGTCTCTTCCTCTGCATCAGCGGGGTCCACACATCGACGCTTCACGCCGCGCTGGTAGTCTGAGTTCTTAGAGGCCCCGATGGCAGTGTTCCTGGCTTCTGGTTCGCTCTTCATGCCGCCAAAGGGGAAGCGGATGCGCTTCCACAGCTTTCGCGACTTGTCACCAGCGCGCACAGGGGTCGAAGGCTTGCGATCCCACAGTCGAGGGAGGGCGCTCAGAGCTTTGATTGGAGTGAAACTAAATGAGCTCTCTGCTGGAGGATTTGCGATAGCGCTATATTACGAAAGGCTCGGCGTTAGTGTCGATAATGTATGGCGGTGTGGACCAGAATGATAGAAAGGAGGCAAAACACAAGTGCAACAAAGGCGTGAACAAGACAAGATTCCAAGTTCCCGCGAAAATCAAGGAGAATGGGGGAGAAGACATACCCTTTCTGCGCTGGCGAAGGAGGGTTCTCCATGTTGACGCGTGTGGAATGTGTCAAAAAGAAAATCTGTCGGAATCCTGGAAGGAGTATGTACAATCCAACTGATCAGAGTGGATTAAGGCGATGCAATTAGTAGCATGTAAACTGGAAATACAGCCCGCTATACAGTGTCGAAAAGTCGTGATGGATGCGAAAGTGAAGCGGGATGTTAGTTTTGCTTTGTTGGCCGTGGCTTGCCCGTTGCCCGGTCAACCCGGCCCTATACTGTTATTAGCCCTACTGCTCATGCTTTGTTGGTCTGCCATTGGCTTGGGTTTATGATTTAGTTGGTAAACTGTATTCCATGCCTGTACCCGGCGTGGACACGTTTATAGATTCCAGGTAGATGTATCTCGCCGTTCACCCACTCCCAGTGGCCAATACGCCGCAGGATATGTCTCTATCCCGGTGACATATCCATCGACCGCCATCATACAACTGGGCAACTTAGTACCTAGTTACCACTTAACTAGCCATGATCTCTTATATTGAAACATGCATCAGTAGCTGGCTTGTTTCTAAGTTCACTCCGAGGTCTGTACAGTGCACACAGTGGGAGTTTCTCTACTTTCCGAGGCCAATATACCGAAAGCCTGACATATAGTTAGACGTGGAGGACTTCGTACTGTCTGCCCCGTTTCCTACTAGGTACCTACATACCTATTTACCCACCTAGGTAGGTACTGACCTGTACCAAGTCACCTAGGAATTTCTACCCAGTATATACAAGCCCTGAAGGTTAAAAACGAAATTTCAAGGTTGGAAGATGGGAAGTTGCTCCCGAGGTCTAGTATAACCGTGGAACTTCCAAGGTTCAAGGTTGGAAGTCCCGTGCGATTGATTGATTTGAAGAGGTATTGGACAGTGATAAGTAAAGGGAACTTTGGAAGTTCCTTCATTTGATTATCCTCGTTAATATATCTATGGGTGCCCATGCCCAGGTGCCCAGGTGGGAGCTTCCAAGGTTTGGACTGCCCTGCACTGCATCAGTTAATACATAGGAACTAAGGAAGCTGTCTAGCGTGGAACGAAACTGAACGCCTCAGCCCACGAACTTGATCATATCTCATTAATCATATCATGCGACGCTAGCAATTTACCCGATAAAGCCTGCTAGAATCACCGAAGCTTCTCATGCAACTCTGTTTCATCAAAGGGGTCTCCAAACTCATCTATACAGGAGTCCCGTAATCAGCATACGGCCCAGAAAAGCCCATTGCTCAACAGAGAACCTACCGAGAGAGAAGTCTCTGTCAACGACAAACTCCATAGCACGCTGGAAGTCTTCCTGCGCGCGCTTGGTGTTCCACGATGCCAAGGTGGGCTCGGCCGCTGGTCCCGGTCGGCTCTCCAGTGTCCGCTGTTCGACAGATGCGCCTGGTACTTGGGTGTGGGAACCTGGAGGGGATATTTCTGATGGGTTCATACTGGAGGACGGGGGCTCGGTGCCGGTGGGAGTGCGAACGCCGGCCCTGGCGCCCTCGGGGCGAATGGAGTCGACGGAAGAGGTCATCGCGGAATCGCCGTCTTGATCTGGATGATGTAGTTAGCGGATGATCTTGCGGAGCTAGAATGAGATGGGCCCATATTGCACCAAATAGGCCGCATCACTTACCAATAGCCATGGCTGAAAGTTGATGGATAGCGCAGAGGTGCCTGGCGGGGAACAACAGCTCGGGCTGCGACAGGCGGTGGCCTCGGGGTTCGCACCGCGAATTTTTCTTCTTCCTTTCTCTGTCAGCTATATATCTCCTGCACATAAGGGTTATTCTTTTATTTGTTCCTGCAATACCTGACGCTTTGTTTCTCTGTGTCTATTCTTTCTACCCTTGAAACCGAACTATTCGTGTGCAATGAATATCAACTCCGGTGCGGTTCCCGACGCCTGGGAAGATTCGTGGGAAAACCAAGCAGATGTATGAGCAGAACCTCCATGGCCCATTGGGCCCGCATTGAGAGTCGACAGCGCCTCGTAATCTGGAAAATCACGTACTGATGGCCACTGTCCAACAGAAACTAGACTCGCAGTCTACCCCGCCGTCCGACAAGAAAGTCTCATCCAAAGTGACCAAGGCACAACGCAGGGCACAGCAGGCAGAATTCAATCGACAGCTATGGGCTGAGGCGTAAGTCTGCGATCTGCAATCCATTCGATTCAAAGACTGAATGTGTCCCAGCGATTCCTCAGAGACATTCCACTTCGCCGAATCGCGCGCCGACGTCCCTCTCAAGCAGGATATTAAACCGGCAGTCAAGCTTCTAAGTCGAAAACCCCAGCTGGTCACCAGAAATTCATCCTCTTCGGGTACAATCGATGCTGCGACTGCGGGACTTGGTCAACTTGGGCTAGATGACGATGACGACTCAGAAGATGAAAAGGCGCCCGAGCCAACACCCGAGGAGCGCCAGGCGATTGCCATCAAGAACAGAGAGGAAAAGCAGCGGAAGTACGAAGAGGTGCGTGAACGTCTCTTTGGGAGCCCGTCCGCCACCGCTTCTGGTACGTCGTCGCCTGGCAGCACGACCCCGCCTCGTCAGAACTCAGGTCATTCTGGGGAAGGTCGAGGGCGAGGAAAGGGCCGTGGTGGAGGCAGGGATCATCGCGAGAAAAGAGACTCTTCGTCGGCCCCCAGCAAGTCTAAACATCTTTACGACCCATCTATATCGGCCAAGCCAAACGCATCCTTTGGACGTGGTCGTGGCCAGCTCGAGCGAAATGGCTCAGACCCTCTCGCTCCGCAGCAGCCACTACGCAACCCGCGAGGACCTGATGCAAGTGGAAGAGGTGGCTTCAATTTCAACCGCGGCGCTCGAACAAGCTAAACGACATATTGCCATGATCCCCTTTCTACAATGCTTGTGTGTTCAAGTTTCAGAGCTCAGGGCAGACTTCGTCCTGCGTTGATCGCATTGGCGAGCTGTGACGTGTTCGGGCGGTTTTCTGCAGTATGGGGAGCATCAGTACGCCGGCAACGCCTTTGAGAAAGAAAACAACACGAGCAAACTCACGGGCATAACGCTCATAACTATCCAAGTACAGATCATCCGTACTAGTCGTCGCTTGGACATGCGGATCGGTCTCGATGGCATCTACCCAAGCCGCCAACCTGCTTCCCTGATCGGGATCTGGCCAACCCCGATAGGGTTTCAGGACTCGCCTCAGACGAAGAATCCAAGGGGCAGCCTGGATGTCTACAAGAGACATCTGCGGGCCCATGAAGAAAGGTCCTGTGGAATGTGCTACTTCAAGTAGCTGCTCCATGGATACCCTCAGCTCCTGTGCCTTTTCCAGCTGCCCCTGCTGATCCTGCTCTTGCAGGACCCGATAGAAACCTGGCACGAGATGCCGGTTGACCTGCACTAAATCAGTACTGGATTTTCGGAACAGGTACAAATCTTTGACCTACATGGTCAGCCCACAAGCGACAGTGGGCACGCAGCTTTGGATCTGCTGGGAGCATCGCTGCCCCCACCCCGAGGTCCTCGAGCTGCGATTTATTGGTTAGTTTGTGAAATGAGACTTGGACTGGGTTGGCTTTACATATTCCAACAATACGTTACTCTCATAGCATCCCCAGTTGTCATGTCGCAAAGCAGGAACAAGCCCCCTGGGATTCACCTCCAACAGCGAAGCGGGCTTTTGATACGGGTCCACCTCGATGTATTGATAGGGAATGCCCTTCAGCTCCAATGCAATCCACACACGCTGCACAAATGGACTATGAAGCAGATCGGATCAGAATTGGCTTCTTTCAAGGTTGTTTCAAGACAAAAGCATCTTACCAAAAGCAACTTCCGTATAGTTTGAGATTGACCTCCTCGGAGTGCTTGACAACGGTATCGGCGGCCAGGCCCGTTGCTTTTGTATGATATGTTTTTGGGTCCGGTTGAGACATGACTCGGTCCTAGGATAATTGATTAGATCTCATGTACGAAGTTGTCATGAAGCAGAAACTGCATCAGCGCGTCGAAGATCCAAAACTTGATAATGACGTAGTCACAATCATGCGGGGCTGTATCTTTGCCAATTGGAACCTTGGAAGATGAACATACCACTCTCGTTCTTCTGTCCTTTTTATCCTTCATAACAGATCGCTGGACACTGCTTTTCTTCACGCGATCGCTTTCTTCAAGCGTATGTTGATGACCTCCACTGATCCCGTCGTCCTTGCCATTAGCACCGTTTCCATTCACTCGCTGAATGGTGTAGTATCTCCCACCATTTGCCCCGGGGTGGCTAGGAGGCAAGCCTGTATTTGTCGGCAGCATGCCAAATGTCTGAACATTTCGGATTGCAGGATCGCCGCCCAAAGAAAATGTATACATGCCAGGTACGCTGGACGGCCCAGCTTCAACTGACTGATCCACGTCCAGTAGTTCTGACCTTGGGAAGTATTCCATTACCTTGATTTTGACATGGCAGAGATCCCTTTCCCGGGCCGTGCGCTTTCGCTTCTTTTTTTCTGGGTTGTCGGACTTGGGTGTACCTGGAGGCCGGCCCTTCAATCGACAGTCCCAGTAATGGGACACAAATGGTTTGCGCTTGTATCGCTGAGTTGACCGATGTGAATAGACATTGTCCACATGGGGGAAATACGTATTGAATCTTGGAAAGGTGACAGGACGGATTAGTTCAAAGCCGGCAGACAAACACTATTAGATGTCTACGTACTCATCCTCGCTCAGGGTGATCAATTCGTCGACATTGAACAGCCTTTCCCTCCAGTAGTCCAGGTTAGGAGGGTCGGGTATCGCCTTGAAGCCTCGCAGCTCGCCAGGTGCAACCAATGCAGTCGGATCAACAGGGTCGGTGTTCATCTCGACAAACTCCTGCTGAAACGCCTGGGTAGGTGACTGCAGCATTGAAAACCCGTCATTATGCGCTGGATGCGCGTGGTTCACCATAGCGAGTCCATTTTGCGACAGGGACGCTGGAGGTAGCATCTGGCCTGCGCCAGAGCCATGAAACGATCCCGCGGAAGCATTGAGCAGCTGTCCATTCTCAAAGTCGTCCCCATAATCTCGGCGTTGCTGCAAACTGTCCCGATTCGGTGGCCGCCCTTGCTGGAATTGGGAACTATCATTGCCAGGCTGATGCGATTGATGGTGATTTGGTTGGGCCGCAATCACAAAGTCGTGTACTGCCTCACCTGGCAGTCCAGGGCGAATGAACGTATTTGCATGTCGCGTAGTTCGCGGCCGCGTCTCGGCAGGACGATAAGCAATGAAGTTATGTGACCCCTCGTCGAAGGGGACCATATGAGAAAGATTGGGCTCCGTCATACTCAAGATGGCGATCGCCCAAGTAGCGACAAATAAGAATATTAGAGTTGTGGGGAGGGGGTGCTGCTTTTGAAAGGGGGACGTCGCGGCTGAAGCGGCGTTGTGGGGTTGCGAACCTGGGAAGCTCGGATCTTTTTGGATTTCTGCTACAACAATACTGGTACACTCCAACGTCGCCATTTCCAATTGATGATTACTTGGAATAGTCTAATCTCGGTACATAATTGTATCTCCTCAATCATAAACTTCAATCGCGGGACATGTAGACTCAGAGACTTTTGCCTCCATGCTTCTTTGCTGCTTCGGAGTTCTTGAAAGGGTACCCAGTAGTCCTTTTGTCCGCTCCAGTACGACGACTGATTCTTCCATTGCTGCTGGCAAAGAGCATGCACCATAGCCCAATGGCTGCGAGACCGGAATATCCAGCCACCCCGATAGCAAACAAACCTTGTCCGCCAGAAACGTACCAAGTGTATGCGTAGAAAGCACACGCACTATGGAAGACGGATGTCACCATCAGAGTGGGTACGGCGTACGGGGCTTTGGGGTCACTTTCATCTGTCGAAACGGACTCTTTGATGTCGGCAGTCAAAGGAATCGAGCCCGTCAACATCACGGTCAGAACAGCGATGGTAAGAAGACTGAATCCGAGACACCGGGCAAAGTAAAGCTCCATGGCTATAAGAGGCGATGGTCAATGATCTGTCACATGTGTTGTGATCTACATGGGGTCACTCACGGGAGGCAGGTCTGGTCTCGTCTAGTAGCATGGTCACAATCATGCTTGGACCGGCGATGAGAGGTAAGCTTTGGAGAGACAGCCATCCGGCTGTCGAATAGGTATAGGCGTGGAAGACCTTTGGAAGATGTCAATTCAAGTTTCAGTGAATCGTATAGCAGTTCACAGCTCGAAGGCTATGGCTGAGTGTTGACTCACATCCATGTTGATCTCGTATAGTGTGTAATGGCAATGCTATGGAGGGGCGATTGAAGTCTTGACGGGGGAGAGACCGGCTTGGCGGAAAGAAAAGCTCCCCGTCTTCATTTTAAGGCTGAAGCATTGTAGCGTATGACATCATAGCAACAAGAACATCGGATCACATGATACGGTGTATCACCCCGGGGCCGTTGACCTCCAGGGCTCCAGGGCCGTCCAGGTTTGCCTAAGACATGGGCAATTCTAAATCTCACCTTTCCTCGACGCAATTCATATTTGAGGCAATAGCTACGATCGACTTGGAAGTACGAACTATGTCTCCGAGGGTTGCCGGGTTGTCTTGGATGAACGTCAACTTGGAACTCACCCGAGAACCGCGAGCTTAACCCGTACGTTGGCATCCCAAGGGGAGCCTTGTTCTTAAAGGTATAGAAGGATTCAAATTCATTTCATACGTGTATTTTAAATGCAAGAAACAAAAAGCGCCCCGATCCCATAAACACCCAAAGTCGCAAGGTCCTCTGAACCCCAAGGAATGCAATCAAATACCGATGTCGGTTTAATGACACTTCACTGTTGCATATTGCTTGCACGAAGGTATCTGGTGAAGCTGTTGTCTGAGTCTGACGGAGCACTCTGACCGCCTGAAAGTGCCTCTTTGTAACGCTGGGCGAGGCCCTCATCGTTGCCAGCATCAGGACCCACATAGTCCTCGTAGTCGCTGTCGTCCTCGCCATCTGCCAGACCGCGCTTGATGATTTCATCTTCTTCATCTTCAGCTTCACTGACAGTCTCGGGCTCCGCGCGAGTTTGCTTGGGGGGTTGTCTGCTTGACCCCGAGACACTCATGTCCTTCATGAGCTTTCCAAGCTCAAGCTCGCGCTGGGATTCCTTCTGCTCCTCCCGCTCCTTCTTCTTGCGCTCCAATTCGGGTTTGTAGTCGCGCTCGAACTCTTGACGTTTGGTCTCAACAGCCTCGAAGAATTCATCAACGCCGTCGCCGGTCATCGAGCTGACGCCGACAATGCTCAAGTGACGGTAGAACTCTTCCAGCATCAAACTCATACTGTTCAAGAGAGAACCCATATATCCACTACCGGAGCCAAAGCCACCGGCGCCGCCTTCAGTTCCAAATGCACCGGACTCTTCCTCCTGCCGCAAAGCCTGCTGGAATGCATCGAAATCAGTCATCCATTCCTTGGCAAACTCAGCATCCTTGACATCGGTTTTGTTGAAGACCAAGATCATGGGAAGTTTAGTTTTATACAAGATACTGCAAGCGTAGAGCATGTTACTCATAAACGTGCTGGTGGAGCTCGCGCGGGGTGTATCGATAACGTAGGCAATAACCGTGGGGAAGGATGATGCAAGCGTCTCAAGAAGAATGCTACCGGACGCACTCCAGACAAAAACTTCGATCTGACCAGGCGTATCCACCAAAATATGTTCGATTGGCTTTGCGGCGGGATTTTCGGGGTTCGGGGCTGTACGCTTCTCCAGGAGAGAGATGATTTGGTCGACCTTGGTGGCGAACAGATTCAATGAAGTCAAGATTCCTCCGTTAGGACCCAGGTTGTACTGCTTCATCACTTCCTTGTAGTTGATCGAATCACGGATGTCGATGTTGCTGTCGAAGGGCACTGAGTGCACCGCAGGGTCCAGGTTGAGCACATATGGGACAGTCTTCTTTTCATGGAGATGAGAGTTGATTCTCTGCATGAAGGTAGTCTTTCCAGAGCCTGTTCAATCCCGCAACATATATGATTAGACTAATTCAGCAAGCGGGTGATTGCAAATCCATACCTGCCATGCCCACGCAGACCACGGACACCGGAGACGCCATGACGAAGAATTTGAACGAAGGTGATTAAAGAGAGATTATAAGAATGCGAGTATTGCCACTGAGCCAGTATGTGGAAATGTCGAAATTGCGCAGGAGGGGAAGGATAAGCTCTTTTTTTTTGCCCGAAATCTTTTTGTCGCGGGGAAGCCGAGATCTGCGACTGGACCGCCCGGCACTTTGAAACGTCATTCCGTTGGTCCTGGGATTCTGCAACCTCCACCTCTCAAAGCGCAATGACTTTGGAAGATTTCGAAAAGTCCCTGGCAGAGGGTCAGGAGCGACACGCAAAGTCTGATCGCGAAAGACACCATCATGATCGGCGTCACGATCGCGATCGCAGCCAAGACCGCTCGAGACAACATCGCCATCATCGTTCAAGCCATCATCGACGACACTCCTCCAGATCCCGTGAACGCGAAAGTAACCGAGACCGTGAACATAGGCGTCGCGACGAGGATGGCCACCGACACAAGCGCTCGCGTCGCTCTAACGACGAAGGAGAAGATCATGGCCACAAACGGCGCCACCGCGATACAAAAGACGATGAGCCATCTGCGACTCCAGCTGTGGCTCAAGCTGAGCCTAGCAACCTGAAACGAGACTCATGGATGGAAGCGCCTTCGGCTCTGGACATTGATTATGTTCATCGACCAAACTCTACGCGACAGGAGGAGGAAGCCAAGCCAAAAATGCTCCACGCGGGCTACGAATTGAAAATTCATGATAAAGAACTCAACAGTCATCTTCGCGATCTCAATGATGGAAAAACACTTGAGGATATCGAGGATGAGCCTGCCCAGCATGAGGTTGACTACACCTTTGGAGACTCCGGGTCACAATGGAGGATGACGAAGCTCAAAGGTGTCTATAGGGAAGCAGAAGAAAGCGGCCGAGCCTTGGAAGAGGTGGCTGCCGAGCGATTTGGAGATATCAGGTCCTTCGACGATGCTCGGGAAGAAGAAACCGAGATGGATCGACGCAACACCTACGGCAAGTCCTACGTGGGCAAGGAGAAGCCCAGCGGTGAACTTTTCCAGGAACGGAAGCTTCAGAATGACGTTCGCCGAGCCCCGCTTGAGCATGTCCGTGATCCGGAGCAGGAGCTTCATGCCGAGGGCCAAGGCAAGAAGGTCGACACTGCACCCCCTCAGAGGACCACCCAGCATCTGGATATGACGGCATTGAATCGTCTCAAGGCCCAAATGATGAAAGCAAAACTCAAGAAATCCCCAGACGCTGCGCAGCTTGAAGAGCAATACAATACGGCGGCCGCCGCTATGTCGAACCGCAAGGAATCTGACGTTGTGGTTCTGGATGTTATGCACAACCCCATGCTAGCAGGCCCAAGAAATGAGGTCAAATCTATCGACACCAAGAGAGGCCGCGAGAGAGGCCAGGTGGAAGCAAATGAGGACATGACCATCGAAGACATGGTACGGGAAGAACGCAAGACTCGAGGTCAAGCTGGCGGAGAAGGCCGGCGGTTGGCTGACCAAATTGGTCGAGACTCCAAATTCGAAGTGAGTCCGACTACTTTTAAGAAATTTCATTCAATATGCTAACCTCATACCACAGAATGACTTGGAGTACATGGATGACAATGCGTCCAAGCTAGCCAAGCGGGTGCATAGATCTGAAATCGATCTCAAGAACAACACAATCAGCGAATTCCACAAGATGAACAGGATCCTGGACAACTGCCCCCTCTGCCACAACGAAGATAAGGGTACACCCCCTCTCGCCCCCGTGGTATCTCTTGCAACTCGCGTCTTCTTGACGCTCCCCACCGAGCCCGAAATCAGCGAGGGTGGTGCAACCATCGTACCAATCCAGCACCGGACCAACCTCATGGAATGTGATGACGACGAGTGGGAAGAAATTCGCAACTTCATGAAGAGCCTCACTCGCATGTACCACGACCAAGGCCGGGATGTAATTTTCTACGAAAACGCGGCCCAGCCGCAACGGAAGAAGCATGCTTCCATGGAAGCCGTGCCTTTACCCTACAGTCTGGGAGAGACTTCTCCTGCATTCTTCAAGGAAGCCATTCTTAGCGCTGAATCCGAGTGGTCGCAGCACAAGAAGTTGATCGACACTCTTGCCAAGTCAAAGCAAGGCCTGGGTCGCTCCGCTTTCCGCCGAAGCTTGGTGAAGGAGATGCCCTACTTCCACGTCTGGTTCGAGCTTGACGGCGGTCTGGGTCACATTGTGGAGGACGACAACCGCTGGCCCCGCGGAGATCTCTTTGCCCGAGAGATCATCGGAGGAATGCTGGATGTTGCGCCAGACGTCGTCAAGCGACAAGGACGGTGGAATCGTGGTGATCGTAGAGTCGATGGATTCAGAAAGCGATGGAGGAAGTTTGACTGGACTCGCGTTTTGGTCGAAGGGCAGTAGTTCCAGCGTAGATCCTGGAACTGTTCATATATGTAATACAACCCTGTGGTTTTAGAATAACCCCATTTCTTCTAGGCGCCAAGATCGTTACCTGCCTTATCTACGGAGGAAACACTTTCCGGGTCCGGAGAGATATCAAACGTCTGCGGGGAACTCACCCGAGAGTATCGGCTTTTCGGCCGATTCCCAGTTTATGATTGATGACTCTTCGCTAGTATTAGTCTCTTGTATTCCTCGCCACTGAGAGCTCAGACAGTCCCGGAGCCTCCAATCGGTCCTCAACCTCTTTCTGTGCCCAGGTGAGTCAAATGAATGTTTGGAGAAGGCGCTTCGGCATGTTCCGATCCGCTGACTGCATTTAAAGGTCGAGCCCTGAGTCGTTCATTCTGAATCTACTCCGTACAACATACGCATTACGCTACTAAATAAATTTCCTTGGTGACAATGACTTATACCAGCGTTAAACCCAAAGTGCTCCTTATCGGAGGCATTGAGCAGTAAGTATAGCCTGTACCATTTACGACAGAAACTGGCCTGGATGTGTTTCTGACTAAAACAGCGCGCAATCAGCTTGGGATGCATTGGGGCAGTTGGCAGAGCTGGTAGAACCCAAAGCAACCAATCGAGCCGAATTCATCAAAGAGTGCAAGGACGGCAAGTTTGACGGGGTGATTGCGCTGTATCGGACGATTGGCTCCGTCAACCTCACAGGGTTAGTAGATGAGGAGCTGTTGGGCGTGCTCCCCAAGTCGCTTCGATACATTGCGCATTGCGGTATGTATTCACTATGTCGACAACCAGGGCTTGATGTGTATTGATTTGGGATCTGTATAGGCGCGGGCTATGACCAAGTGGACGTCCATGCCTGTAGTGCGCGCAGTCCTCCCATTCGGGTATCTAACGTTCCAACCGTTGTGGACGATGCCACTGCCGATGTGAACATGTTTCTCATACTTGGAGCGTTGCGCAACTTCAACACTGGCATGAACGGTCTGCGACAGGGCAAGTGGCGTGGCAACCCATCACCACCTCGTGGCCATGATCCTCAAGGCAAGGTTCTTGGAATCCTGGGAATGGGTGGCATCGGGCGCAATCTAAAGAAGAAGGCCGAGGCTTTTGGCATGAAGGTTATCTACCATAACCGCCGTGAGCTCAGCGACGAGATGTCCGCCGGGGCTCAGTATGTTTCATTTGACGAGCTTTTGTCCATCAGCGACGTGGTGAGCTTGAATTTGCCTCTGAACGTGAGTGATATCAACTTCTATTGCTGGACAGGGCTGAAGCTGATCGTTCGAAGAAAAACACCCGCCACATTATCAGCAGGGCCGAGTTCGCCAAGATGAAAGATGGGGTGGTAGTGGTCAACACTGCCCGAGGCGCCGTTATGGATGAAGCCGCTCTGGTCGAAGCCCTGGACAGTGGCAAAGTCTTCTCGGCTGGATTGGATGTATTTGAGGAGGAGCCCAAGGTTCATCCAGGACTACTGAGCAACCAGAACGTGATGTTGGTGCCACACATGGGTACTTGGACAATCGAGGTGAGTCCTGAACAACCTTGATATAGGGGGCGCATCAACTGACCAGGCATACAGACCATACGTGCCATGGAAGAATGGACGATCGAGAACATTCGCATGGCTCTCGAAGTCGGATCACTGAAAAGCCCAGTCCCAGAGCAAGCTGACCTGTAATTGCCTTGGGTGATCAAATATACATAGATAACAAGACAGTCAGGCAATAAAGTCTTATATTCTCTCAAGTCTGATTTGTTAATGACCGTGAGTCTCCTGGCTTTTTTGAAATGGTCCACGGGTTGTTCAACCCTTGACTTTAGGTCAAGATTGATGTCCAAGGTTGTGTCAAAACAGGCATCCCGAGGTCATTAGTACCAATGAGCTGAATGGAGTGTTTCAAAAGAGCTCATGAAACACGAGTGGAGCAAGATGAGTAAATAATAGCATGTCGACGGAGTATGCAGTAGTCAAGCCCGAAGCCGCGGCCTTAGGCGGAGAGTCCCTGCGAGACCACCCGTTGATCTTATCACTCCTACACCTTTTCTGTCCAAAGTCATGGCTGAATACTGGAAATCCGCGGTAAGTGAAACAAGTAACGAAATTCAGCCTAGTTCACTGCTAATAGCCCTACAGCCGCGCTTCTGGTGCAAACAGTGCAAGATCTTCATTCGCGACACGCCTTTCGAGAAGACCCAACACGAGGCCAGCCCAAAACATCAAGGCAATCTGAGACGGTTCCTCAACCAAATCCACAAGGATAATGAGCAACAACAACGAGATTCACAGCGAGCAAAATCCGAGGTCGAGCGATTAAGACAGGCTGTCAACGGCGGCTCGACAGATAAAGGTGGCGCCGCGCCAGTGAAACGAAATGCGCCGCCAGCCTCAAAACCCGCGCAAAGGCCTGCCAGTCTTGAAGAACGAAAGAAGCAAATTGCGCAGCTCGCAGAAATGGGAGTCGCTGTCCCGGAGGAATACCGAGCCGACATGGCTTTAGCAGGCGAATGGCAGACCACCTCAGAGACGAGGGTCGAGCCTCGACAGGGATTAGAAGGCCCTACCAAGTCGATTGGAGTGCGCAAGCGCAAGCATGACGGAGAAGAGGACGAGGACGAGCCCGCGCCAGAAATGGTTGTTAACAAAGGCTGGGGCTCCCGGCTGAAACAATATCCTGGCGCTCAAGACGACAGGGATCTGGATGACTTGCTTGCATCAGCGAAAGATATAAAAATGACCAGAACGTTCATACCCAAGCCGGAAGTTGTTGAAGACGAGACCGCTCCCGAGGAACCTGCACGCGTCACCGTGAAAGAAGATGACCCTCCCAAGGTTGAGGAACAAGTGAAAGTTGAACCAGGCTCACAGCCCGAGGCAGCGCCAGAAACTGAAACGAAAGAGAATTCCCAAAACGAAGACGCTGCCCCTAGCGTTGTTTTCAAGAAGCGCAAGGCGAAAACAATGAGGAAGTAATCCTCTCGCCCTGGGACGCTACGAAACGCACAGAATTGGCGTTTATGCCAATATTCCAAAAGACGCTTGAGTCAGAGCTACCGGATCTGCGGCATCTCATGCTTCGTCCTCTGCTATGTTCCAAGGTTGGCCGTGTCAGCGATGTCAGCGATGTCAGCCACGGCCCACCCAGGTGCCATTGCCCGGCTTCACGCAAGAGGCACATTACGCTGAATCTGTTCACGTTGCCAATTGAACATGCCCCGCCCTCAATAGTCTTTAATTAGGCAATTTGCAGCCAAGACCGCTCAGCTGGTGCCGGGTGAACTGGTCAAATTTATAGATCATTATGAATCCCCAGTATTCCGACTGTAAGGGGCTCATAAGCATTACAATTTATGTGGAAATCATACAATCAACAGTGGCACTGTAAAGAGCTAAGTTGAATAAAAATACAGAGCAGTAATGAAAAATCCCCCCAAAAGTGTCGTAGTGATGCTGTAGAAAGCGGTGTTGCCACTATAATTTTTTTTCGATCGCAATCAAAGCGGAGAGTTTCATCGCCGGAAAGGAAAGCTCCTTTAGCCTCATTCGCGCTTTTCATGACCCTCGACATCTGGATCTGCACAGTTCCTCAACTCGTGCACTGATCAATTTAATCTCTCTACATTTACCTGGTGAGTCCTTTCAATTCCAGATGTGATTCCCGTGATCCCCGCAGCCCTGCCCGTGTGTTCGACCGTCTCGCGCCAGACCCCCGACCACCTCATGCGATACCATGCCCGGGATCTCCAGTCTCAAAAGAGCTCATTGACCTCCCGGTACCCTCCCCGCGATATATGCCTGAAGTTTCGTGGAGGTTCCGAGCAAAGGTGGCTGCATTTGAGGCTGGTCGGCCACTGCGAATGCGACGTACAAAACCTGAGTGGCCGGCAGAACACCGCAACCTGCAATCCCTGCGGTACTGTTGGACGGAAAATATGGAGAAAACTCATAAGAAGAGTTCTCGCAGCGCTTGTTCTCGGCACTAGAATCTCAACATGGTTTAGACCACGGTTCAATTCGAGTGCATTTGCACTTGCCTCGTGGAGGCACAGGGCCTGCGCTACTCCGGTGTTTCTTTTTCGACTGGATTTCCATGAGTGAAACCGGGGACTCAGTCTTCATCGTTTTGGGCTTTGCTGCGGGGATTTCTCCACGAAATTGCTGCTGGCCGAGCGAGCGCTTTACTGACCAAAGTTGAACCCCACAGATTACTGGGAATAAATGATTTCTATCTCTCTATCCGTCCGACCTGGTGTGATCACTTCGCTCAGCGATAAACCAGACGACCTTTGACCGTGAATAATCGAACTCCCGGCCTCACGCAGAGAGGCTTTTTCAGCCTACTGGCTAAACTCCAACTGATTCTCTCATCCGATCGAGCACACTTTTATTGTTGGGGTGACCGCAACATCCAATATGGCGGAGCCGACGGACTCGAGCGCCCCGCCTGGCGAAACGCCCAATCCCGCGACTGAGCCGAATGCGCCAGCCACCGAGACAAGCCAACCATTGCCCCCGAGCGAGCCACTCCCAGCGACGGCGCCGGAGAGCCTTCCAATCGAACCTTCGGCCGGAACTGAGGCAAGCCAACCACCATTGCAGACAGAGCAAGCCACCGCAGAATCAAATCCCCTCGCCGTAGGCCCACCGCCAGCAGGTCCACCACCATCAGAGCTCATACCGACCGACCAAGCACCGGCGGATCCAACATCAGCAGAGCCTACACCCGCAGAGCCCACAGCAGTAGGGCCAGTGCACAATGCGAGCACGTATCATCCCACAGAAGAGCCCATGGAGGTAGGGCCAATACACGATGCGAACTTGTATCATCCCTCAGACGAGCCCACCCAGTCAACACAAGAACCCGATGCGACCCTACCGTCAATTGAATCATCCCTTCCTCCAATTGATTCCTCGATCCCAGCCATGGACACTTCGGAGGCTTTTGGAGACTCCGAGCTGAACTCTTTTGATGCGCTGCCTTCGATTGGCTCAACTACGGGTCAGGACATGTCACTACCCTCGATTGACACGACGCTTCCATCGCTTGATCATTCTTTGCCAGCAATCGGAATTGACGATATTCCAACTATGGACGAGCATGAGTTTCGCGACGACAGTCATTTAGACCACCATGACTCGAACTCGGGCCTGCATGACCCTACAGGTAATGGACATGACCCAAATCAACACTCGGGGACAAATGGCGTATCGCACTACCAACCATCCTCTAATGGAACCTATCAATATTCGCATAGTCCTGCCCAGTCACAACAACCCGGAACACCGCAGGCACAGACCCATACCCAGCACCAATTCCAGGCGCAGCCGCAACAGCACTATCAACAGAACGATATGTACCACAACTCTGGCGCACAAGGACAGGTACCACAGGCGCCAATCGGATCACCACTGCCAAACAACATGCCCCCAATGGCATCTATGGGACAATACATGACTGGCTATCCGTCGAACATGGGGCAAGGCAATGCGCAGATGCGATATCAACTACCGGGCGACCCAAACAAAATGCTATCTGGAAATAGACATAAGAAAGAAGTCAAGCGACGTACAAAAACCGGCTGTCTGACTTGTCGCAAACGAAGAATCAAGGTGAGTCGCATATATGTGACCTTGGTAGTTCGCGGGGCGGAGTCTCGCTTGTGCCCGCAGACCCCGCCGCATTTTGTCTTCCGCGCAAACCCACCTCCCCAACTCACTTTTTTACATCTTCACGATTCGATCTCTAACTTTATCTTTAGTGTGACGAGGCACATCCTGTCTGCAGAAATTGCGTGAAAAGCAAACGCGAGTGCTTAGGCTACGACCCGGTGTTTCGCACTCAAGCTTCAACGCCATCGGCTATCCAGCCAGCTCCCAACCCTCCTCCATCTTTGGTGGTCAATCCCCAGGGTCCTTCTACCACGACCCCAACAGCACCTTCTTACCCGTCCGCGCCCCCGGGCTACATGCCCGCCTCCTCTCAGCCATTTGCACCCTCTCTCCATTCCGAATCGCCTACTGCCTCTGTTGAGCAGCACGCGCACCGAGCTTCCATCGATCCTTCATTAAGTGCAAGCAGCCAGCCAACCCATACCGAAATGCAAAATACTACCGCGCCCCGCCCTCAGGGCTCCGAGCCTGCATACAAAGGTAACCCTTATCCACTTGCAGGTGGGTCACGACGCGAAGCTAATCATTGTATGCCTGCAGCCAAGAATATCTACATAATCGACCTTTTCTCCCTCAGAGGAATTGCCCCTCCTCCTCCACATGCCATTGGTACCCTCCCCCCTGGCCGCCTCGAAGAAATCCAGGCGGTCTTCTTGGCCACCTACGCACCGGCTATCGACAAACTCCTCGAGGTCCGATGGTACTCCGATAAGGCTCTCTCATATCTTATGGCCGATTCCCAGCTCATGGCGGAATATTCAGCCTTGATCGACGCCTTCAACGAATGGAACCTACAGGATGGCGAAACCCTTGCGCGGTTAGAGAGCTTCGAGGCCTCGATCATCTGGAAGAGTATGGCACTGTGCCGTAAGGTACCTGATGGAGAGACTGGGCAACAAGGGCGGGACTGGAACTTATGCGCCGCCTGCGCAAGGCTCAACGTGGTCGAGGCATTGCTCACATGGAACCACCTCGACACAAATCCCCTGTCGCGGGAGCTTGTCATGGATGCTGCCAATCCCCCGAATACCCCAGACCAGTTCCAGGCCCGCCAGCTTGACTTCTGGGATCAGGTGGGAGAATTCCTCACACTATACGACAATGAAGCGAGCTCCGCCAAGCAAATTGATGACACGCTCAGTCGGTGCCGACAACTGCTGGATACATACGAGAACCGTGATATCATCTACTCGATTTCTGTTGCCCGCCACCTGGGTCAGCGCTGGGCCGACTTCCCCAACAGCCTGCCCAAGGTGGGATACACGACCGAGAAGGAATCAGGGACCAAACTTTTCGTTGCTCAGAAGTTCCTTGAAGAAGAAGCCGAGGGCAAGGGCACTACGCAGATCTACAAGCGAGTCTGTTGCATGGCAGTCCGCTCTTGGTGGGTCGCCCGTGGATAATCAAGCCTCGAAGACTAGCCCTTTTCCTGTCATCGGCCCTCTCTCGTTCTCTCCTATACTCTTTGCATAATGTGTTCCCAAGGACCATTACACCATTCTCAATCTTGCTTTAACAAGATCTCTTGTTCTTTTGCGCTCGACCAAAAAAAGCATCATGGCTACGGCGTTGTCTTTTCTGCTGAATGATATGATCTGAAATATTTTCCCTCTTAACGTGTCTTTTCTTTTTTTTATATCGTTATTGGGGCTTGGGAACTAGGCAGGGGATGGGCAAAGTACTCAGGCGTTCTGACCTTTTCTTCTCCCTTGAACGTGTGGACTATTTGCTTCCACGCGTTTTGTATGCATACATCTGTTTCTTGCGGGAGTCTCATACCCCGAAGATCTCCTAGGCCACGGCCTGAGGATTCATTACTTTATACCAGTTGGTAATCATATAAAACAAAGGAAAAAAATTTCAAATTCCCAAAATATTGTATTAGATCGAGCAAGTAGTGATATGGACCTAGGAACTATGAAAGCCCGACCTTTGCCGCGGAATGGTCGCATTCAACACGGACTCTGATATCTCCCACTTGATCCTGGAATAGGAATCCAATATCCCTGGTCGATTCCACTAAATTGACCTCCCGTCGCACAAATCTGCGCTCGTCAGGACTGTCACCATCTGGACCAGCTGGAGTCGAATCAGGCTGAACCTCATCATCGCTCTCATCCCAGTCAGCAGCTTCATCAGCAGCTTCCTTCTCTATAGGGTCCCACTCGTCTGTCTCCCAGATCAATCTGAACCCAAACGCTGGAAGTCCAAAGAGCCGAGACACCAGCGCTTTAACCTGGTATGTGTCGAACGAGCCAGGGATCTCCTTTATCTGAACTCGATCATGACATGACTCACCATTGCCACTATCCTGGACTAAACGGAACGCCATCTTGACTAATCGCGCCGCTACGGATCGCGGATGAATCACCCGCGTACCGGAGGCATCTGACACGGCCGTCCTGGTGATGGTTGGTTCGACGTATAGATTGCACAGCTCGCTGTAGCGTGGATGCGTGGCTAGGATGGCGGGTTCTTCTGCTTCCGTTGTTGCGGAGAGTTCCTTGCCGATGAGGGAGAGGTAGTACATTTCTGCATTTAATCGGTCTTGTGGTGAGATGGTGCTGTAGTTTAGGGTTGTAAGGGTTGATGGGAAGCGTGAGAGGGTTAACATGAATGCTTCGTCGATGGTCATTGGTTTGGAGTCCGATGCTGCGGCTGTGATGGATGGTGGAAGGGGCGATTGGTCAAAGAGGGGATTTCCGGAGATACGGAGGGTGGTCAGGCCTGGGAAGACGGTAGGTAGTTCGTTGAGAATCGACCAGGAGCCGATGTTGTTGCGGGAGAGATCGAGAGAGCGTAGGGTTGGGGGGAACTGAAATTTTGAGGTTGTGTCCTGGATTACGGTGCTGATGGAGTTCCCACGGACAGAGAGATGCTCTAGGTTTGGGAGTGCAGATAGGTGGCGCAAGGCTGATATTGAGGTGATCTCGTTGTGCTCAAGAGTCAGTGTCGTTATTGTGCTTGGGAGTTCACACGATGTCTCAGTGAGCTGATTTGCGGATGCAGTTAGAGATGTCAAGCCCGGGAACCGTGATGCAACTGCAGCAATCTATAACAGCGTTAGGGATAGCCATTGGTACGTTGGATTTGAGGGCATACTTCATTCCAGCTGAGTAGGGTTTCCTCTAAATGCAACTCGGTGATTCCCTCGAAGACCAAGTTGTCCTCCAAAGGTTGCAAACGATTGCCACTTTCCTCAAGTCAGATATACCCGTGAATCATACCAAGACATTTGTAGACTTACTTCAACCTCAACCGCTTCAGGTGCTTGAGCTGGTTGCATATTTGCCAGACGTCACGCCAGTGAGTCAGTAGACTTCGACCTAGATCAAGTTCTATGATCTTGGGACAAGTCAGGCCAATCTGTTGAGCTGCATTGCTGTCTGGATCATGGTCCTGCTCATACGATGGCAAGACTCCCACAATCCTTAGGCCGTCAAGTAGAACAATGCGCAATTCTTGGAGCTCTGCGAGTTGTCTCCGAATCTTGTCGAAGCCAACTTCCTCAACGACCTTCCCGCTGATTTCAATTGCATTTTTCTGGGTTGTTGATCCAGTCAAGTCATTTGAGGAAGCATTCTGTACCGGCTCAGAAGCATACTTCTCCCGAAGAGCTTCCAGAAAGCTCCGGGGCTTGTCTGATGGTCTGGAGGGACGGACAAAAGACCCCGCGGTGAGTTGGTTGCTCTTGCCTGGGAGAAGAGGTTAACGAGATGACTCTCACGAAGAGACCCTACTTACACGAGAAATAACGTATTCCCTTATGCTCTCCTGAGTGCTTGCCACGAGTTGCGTCGTCCCATTCAACACCTAACCAGTCGCCGGTGGTTCCTTGCACAGTGCCAACATACCGGACGGTGCACAAATGACCATCAAACGATCGGCGTTGGCCTAGGCTCGAGGAACTCATCACTGAGGTCCAGCCGAACCTTTTATGTATGTTTGTGATTTGAAGTGAAGCCCCTCAAGTTTCTACTGATCGATGCAACAGCCCGCTTACTAAGCCCGACGCTCTCCCGGTCCTGAGGTTCAACGCCCAGATTGGATCTTCATCTGCTCGACTATCACCAAAATGGATTACCAGGTACGTGAACCTCATGGTCCGCAACAAACCAGAACATTCCAGGCTAACAATATCCCTAGAATCGCGCAGGATCCAAATTCGGCGGTGGTGGCGTCGCCTCCCAATCCGCATCCAACGCTGACCGTCGCGAGCGATTGCGCAAGCTTGCTCTGGAATCAATCGACCTCGATAAAGATCCTTACTTCTTCAAAAACCACGTCGGTAGTTTCGAGTGTCGTCTATGTTTGACCGTCCACCAAAATGACGGCTCCTACCTCGCCCACACCCAAGGTCGCAAGCACCAAACGAACCTCGCCCGACGAGCCGCGCGCGAGCAGCGCGAGGGCAAAGGCCAGGATGCCGCTGGCATGCATGGATTCGCTGGTGTGCAAGTCAAGAAGCAGTTGATCAAGATCGGCCGGCCGGGTTACAAAATCACCAAAATCCAGGACCCTCTGACGCGCCAGCAGGGATTGCTCTTTCAGCTGTTGTATCAGGAGATCACGCCTGGTGTTGTGCCGCGTGTGCGATTCATGTCTGCCTACGAGCAGAAAATTGAGGAGCCGGATAATAATTACCAGTACCTGGTCGTTGCGGCTGAGCCTTACCAGACTTGTGGCTTCAAGTTGCAGGCCAAGGAGATTGATCGCCGCGAGGGTCAATACTGGACTTGGTTCGACGAAGATAGCAAGGAATTCTGGGTGCAAATCATGTTCAAGACCGAGCGTGAAGAGCGTTTCAGTGGTGTCCCCGGTCTGGCGCCCATGCAGGCTTGATAAAATGTTTGGGGGAAAGTGATTGCTTTGTACTCCATGTCGCCATATTCAAAAGACGGTTGTTTCTACGGGGAGAAGATCTGGGCCAGGCGTTTCGGTGTGTTTTTATGTGCATTTTCATTTTATTTGATCCTCGAGCGACTCGCTTTTATGACAATTCACATACCAGTGGCATATTTGCCATGAATGGCACTTTTTGTGCTTATGAGTTTTAAAGACTCTACCTAGGTAGTGTTCCAATACCAGTTCACCTCAAAGAAGTTGTTTCATTCGTTCGGGGGATGCAGACTATTTTACGCAGTTGATACATCAATGTTGCAAGATGGCGACGGCCTTCTCGGTCAGGTTGCCCTGAGCATGTAACGACGGGTAGTATGTATTGGTCTTGAGAAAATGCAGGGCGTATGAGATCAACAAGTGAAATCAAAGACGGGTCATAATTTGGGATAGGGGGAAAAACAACGTCGCGCTGATATGCTCAATGATGATGTGTGATGAGACATGAAAATGGACTCGAGCTTTTTGTATCTGATCATCAAATGTATACGATGAGAGACCAAGGAATCAAGCCCTGCTTGCTTCCAAGTTTCTCCAGTGACAGAGGCCAGTCAGTCTCGAAGCACAAGAAGCGGGTCTAATTACTCTGGAAGGCATTGAATGCCTTGTAGGTGTAACCGATGAAAGGCAGACTCATCTCAGCCTCTTGCGAGTCGGGCATGGCACGGGCTTGCGCACGGTGAATAGCACTGGTGTCTTCCTGAGGGATCTCATCAATTGGGAAGTACGACACATCGATGTTAGAGCTGAGACGCGGCTCGAAGGGAGCGCGGATTCCGCGCAGCTGATCCCAAACGACACCTCGGAAGAATGGGTGGTTTTTGATCTGCTGGGCACCTCCGTGCTGGCCACCGTCACTGCCAATACGGTGGTCTGGATCACACAAGAAACTAAATTTACACATTAGCAAGCGTCCGGTACCACATAGCCTGAGCCGGGACTTACCTTCGGATCAAACCCTCGGAATCGCGCGAAAGAACCAACTCATCGGGGAAGTACAGGCAATCCCTCCAGTTAACAATCTTGCGGTAGGTGTCATTTGTGTCTTCGGCACAGAATGGCGGCCAGCCAACAAGACATTCAAACATGATCGCACCAACAGACCACCAATCACAAAGATAGGTGTAACCTTGCCCGTTGAAGATTTCAGGAGCAATGTAGTCAGGAGTTCCAACTGTAGAATAGGCCATCGCACGGCGAGACTTACGCCAGGTGTTGATCTGACCTCGGTTCGACACGGTAAGGTTAATGGCATCGTTAAAGTATCCAGAGTTGCGGTTCCGGTCTTTGGACGTAGAGTTCTTCAACAGGTTTTGATAGTAGGCATTATCGTGGGTCTTCTTGCCTCCGGTCGAAAGACCGAAGTCAGTGAGTTTGACGTGACCGCCCCGATCGAGCAGAATGTTGTCGGGCTTGATGTCACTGTATATTTGAGAGTCGTAAGTATGGGAGGACAAAAAGCGACGACTTCGGGCGAACCCAGGAAACTAGATTTAACTGACCGATGAAGGAAACCAAGCTTGTGCACGGCCTCAATAGCCATAACAACCTCAGCCATGTAGAATCGAGTAATATCCTCGGAGAAAATTTCATACTTGATCAGCATGGTCATCAGATCACCACCAGGCAAGAATTCCATCAGCAGGTAAAGGTACGCAGTGTCCTGGAACGATGCGTGCAGTTTGACGAGCCAAGGATTGTCCTTTGAATCAGCCAAAATATCACGCTCGGCACGAACGTGAGCCAGCTGATCCTTCTTGAACATCTCCGTCTTGATCAACGACTTCAGGGCGTAGATCTTGCCATCCGTCTTGCGCTGCACGAGCTTGACCTCTCCGAAAGCACCCTTTCCAATGATCTTGATAGTCTGGAAGTTTGCCGGCGTCTCCTTTGTTCGCAGGAATCGAAGGAAATCGGATTCTCTCTTTGAGATGGCATCTGCGTCCTGGCGCTTCTTTTCAACGGGGACATTGGGTTCGCGGATCGTTTGGTCGAGTTCCGCGGATCTACAGATTGAATTGTCAGTATGCTATCATTGCAAATGATGGATTCATCTGCAAGAAATATCGATACATACCGCATGTTGCGATCACGAGCTCGCTCGATGTTCTCGTGGAAAAACACTGTCACCAGCTCCTTCGCAGCCTTGCCACGCTTGTGCACATTTTCCGAGTACCGGTCAGGGAAGCGCTGCAATTCTTCATTCTCGGAAGGTGGGCGAGGACTGCGGGGTACTGGGGGAATCAGGTGTGATGCTTGGCCAGGTGCTTGAGCGGGAGAGCCGCCAGCGGTACGAGGTCGCTGCGCTGGGGACGCAGCACGGTTGTTGAAGAATCCTGCGCGGTTTGCATTGAGGTCCTGGTTGGAGAATTGCTGGATCAGGCCGTTGGTGCCGTCAGGGTAGCCCGGGCGTGCTTGGTAGGCGGGCTGGGGTGATTGCAAGGCTTGTTGTTGCGCATACTGTTGTTGCTGGGCATATTGTGCTTGCTGCTGCATCTGAGGTGGGTAGTTGTTTGGCATGAAGTACCCCGGAGCGTAGGCTGGGTTCGAAGGATCGACATAATCCTGGGCCCCCTGAGACTGATAGATGGGCTGGGGGAAAGCGGAGGGGGTGGTGGGATAGGCGCGATTGTTGGCGTTGTAGTTACGATCGTAACCGTAATTCATGTTGTTGCGATTGTTGGGATCCATCTTTGCGACCTGACTCCCCAGAGGGTTTCAAGCAGAAGGAATGGAAGGTGGATGGAGGAGAGAAAGAAAGAGGGCGGGGAGGTTTAAAGAAGCGGTGGCTCAGGAGGCAATCTAGCCCCCCCAATTATGTAGTCGACACCAGTCGTCCTGAAACACCGTGTTCCTGTGTTACTTTGGATCGTCCGTTTTACTGTCCGATATGTCTGGCATAATTCGTTTGGGGCACTTGAAACAGTTGCCAGGTTGCTAGCTATGGAGGGGGTACTACATCAATTGCTACTAGTACTATTGCTACTCTGTATATGGCTCCCCTGACAGCTCTCAAGTTCATGACACCCATTCTCTCAAACCAGTCTTCAGGGTACGAGTATAGAAGAAGAGAGAAGCACTCCTCGACACTTTCCTCTAGAATTGCCCCCAAATCAAGGGGGAGGGGCAGACGGACAGGTATGCTGGGCTGTGCACGGATGCGAGGATTCTAGTCTGGGCTGTCACTTGACCAAGGACGAGGTAGATTTCTGTAAGCCGAGCATGTCACAGTTGACCGGGAGACTTTGCAGCAATCAGAATTGGCATTCAGCGTTGTCCTTGTCCTGAGGACTTGCAGCTGCGCCAGTCACCCCCCTCGTGAGAACGATGCGCTTGCTATCAGACCCTGGAATATGAGCCCTGTCAATGTGCTGTTCAAACCATCGGGGCAAAGACTGCAATATCAACTCCGCTGAATCATCTATCTTCAGCGATTGAAAAGTGCATATGGAGTAGTGAAGACGGTCCTGAGACGGTCCACGGCCTCGGGGATGTGATACAAGGTCACGTGGATCGGGGCAATGTATATCCGGGGCATCGAGATAACTTTTTGAGGACATACCCCGGGTGGACTTGGTTAAGATACAGTCTCCCCACACCTATATACAGCATCAATGGCAGAAGCTCCAAGCTCTGCTGCGCCTGCGGGCGCCAGCAAGCCTCCTGTGGCCGAGAAGCCGCCCAACCCCGTATTCAAGATGATGGGTATGTTTGTGTTTCCCCGGGTTTCGATGGTTGACCGTGCTGATACTTCTTGTGGTCAGGTCTGCCTAATATGCGCTTCAAATTACCCTCTCGCAATTGGATGATCTTCCTCACAATCACCGGATCCTTCGCTGGCGCAGTCATCTATGATCGCCGAGAGAAGCGTCGCGTACAACGAAAATGGTCGGAGCTCGTGGCTCACATTTCGAAGGAATCCCTAGAAACCACCCAGATGCGCCGCAAATTGACCGTCTACCTCTCTTCTCCCCCGGGAGATGGGTTGCGCGTGGCTCGGGACCACTTTAAGGAATACGTCAAGCCCATCCTGGTCGCCGCGGCACTGGATTACACTGTTGTTGAGGGTCGGCGCGAGGGAGATGTTAGGGCCGGTACGGCGGAGAACATTCGCAAGCTACGCCGCAAGGCTGGTGAATCAAGCTCGACCGTCGAGGAACCCAGCGTGGAAGCCGTTGTCACTGCCGTCCGCGACCAAATTGGCATCACCGACGAGCCTGGCCCTAAGGGCGACTTGGTCATTGGCCGACACACCTGGAAAGAATACATCCGCGGTCTCCACGAGGGCTGGCTCGGTCCTCTAGATGCGCCACCGCCCCCCGAGGAACCCATCGTTGATGCGCTCGATGCCCCCGTCGCGGATGAGGCCCCCATTGCAGACCAAATCCCCGCGGCCACCAGCCCAGAGATCTCAAGCATCGAATCTCTAGAGTCCTCCCTCGATTCCGACAAGAAAGACGACACTCCAGACCCCAAGGCCGAGGAAGCCAAGAAGGCCGAGGAAGAAGCCGAGAAAAAGAAGTCCGAGAAGCCTGCCGGACCTACTCCCGCATACATCTCCACTGCCGATTACTCGTCCGCCAGCATCCCCCCCTCTCTTCCTCAATCATTCGACAGCTCTGTTCCGGTCGAATTCCCTCATATCCTTGGATTCCTCAACACTCCCATTAGAATGTACCGCTTCCTCACACAACGCCACCTAGCCGAGAACGTTGGTCGCGACGTCGCAGCCGTTGTCCTCGCGGCTAACGCCCGCTCATACCGCGATGACACCTTCAGCGCGGAGTCCGAGCCCACTTCCTCCGCAGACGGCTCATCCTCAGATCTCCCTTCTCAGACCCACGAGCAGCAGACTGTCCTAGATGTTGCCGAGAAGGAATGGCACAAGTCTGTACGCAAGCGCGAAGAAGACGGCAAGGAGCGTGAGTGGCTTGATGATGTTGTTCTGGATCAGCGCATTGCCTCGCGCATGCAGCGTGCTCTTCTCTCGCCCGAAGATGAGGCGCGCTCTCAGCGCATTGGCGAGCTGCAGGAATATATTCTTGGTGAAGAACGACCGGCTCATGTGCCCTTCTGGAAGCGCATGTGGATCAACTATGGCTACGGCGAGAGCGAGGAGGCTCTGCGCCGTAAGCCCATCTTGGGTAACATCGATGGAGAGGATGGGCAGTGATAACGCCTGTCTGGTGATTGTTTTAGCCATATCTTCACGATTTCCGGTTTGTTGATTTGATAGAATGATTAAGGGATGGTTGATTCCCTGGCATTGAGCACGGCACGTGTTGGTCTGTTTGTTTTGCATATTGTGACTCCCTCCTCGGCTTGTATAATAATGGCGCTGTTTAATCCTCTCACTAGAAATGTACATGTTCATCTGATCTTGAATAGCTAGAAATCTAGGGTTGTAATAAATTATGTCTACTTTTGGCCCTTGGTCTCAAGGCTGGCAATCGATACTGGTACATTGGACTCTCCCAGCATACGTCTGCTGTAACTCCATTGAAATTTTGTTGAATACCAGAGTCGTTCTCTTCGCTTGTCTTCCCCAAAATCTGGTACTCGTTCTTCCATCACAGTTGTAGCTGCAATTTCTAATATAATTGCACAACACATCATTGTAGCGGAGAAATCATTCGCAAATGATGATTTAGTGAAGGTCTGAGGTTCCACCCAGTTCTATCAAATCAGTTCAGATCAAAAACCGAAGACTCGGGCCACTTCTTGCTGGCCTTCTCGGCATAGGCAGTCTTGTCACTGCCCCACTCGTTCAAAAGATCAAAGGCAACAGTAGCCTCGTTGATGGTGATCTCAGGCAAATCAAGAGTAGCGAGCAGCTCCTTCTCGCACTGGGACTTGGATTCCGCCTTCAGAACCTGGCGGGCAGACAGAGCAGCCTGTACGTGGGTGGCGCTTCCTTTGTTGGATGAAAGGTAGGACTCGTTCCACTCTTCAAGGTTCTGGGACTTGGGAAGAAGCTTGTCGAATTCAGCATTGACAGCTTCGGCGACCTGCTCAGGGAGGGGCTCGGAAAGACCATCAAGGGTCTTGCGGAAGCGAAGCAGTTGGAGGTGGAGAGTGGGGTTGGAGGGATCAATAGCATGAGCGGCTGCGAGGCACTTAACAGCAAGAAGGTGCTTGTCTGTGTAGTTGTTAGTAAAAGGCCAGGGTGCTTTTTGGTAAGTGTAGACGTACTTCTTCTGCTGTAGACCTCAAATCCAAGGCATTGACCCTCGATGTTCTTAGGGGTACATTCGAGCAAGGGGGTCAAGAATTTCATGGCATCCTGCAAAGGATCTTGAGTCTGGACCAGAGCGTTACCCAGAGGATCCGCATCTTCCTTCTTAGTCTCTCCGTCAACACTCTTAGCATTTGCGGCGGCGGCCTTGCGTGCCTCGCGCTTGTCAGATTCAATCTTCTCCAGGCGCTGCTGCTCCTTCTTTGCCTTCTTGAGGGCCTTCTTTCTTTCATTCTCGTCGGTAGAGTTGAGCCCATCAGGGCCGCCGGGGATGGGTCCATATGCGAGATCTGGCTGGTCGTGAAGGAGCAGGTAAGTTTTGACGGCTCCGATGGCAATTCTCGTGTAGAAGGGGTGCTCGCGCAAACGGTCCTCCCAGCGAACCATATCGACATAAGCTCTGATCATACCCTTACGGAGGGAGAAACTGTGGAAGTCAAACTGGTCCTCCGCCCAGGTCTCAAAGATGTTGTAAACGGAGTGGAAGCGCTTCAGGGCAAGACCAATCTTCTTCTGTCGAAGGAACGCCTCCGCATCTTCGGTCAAGAACCAGGTGCATTGCATCTCGTGGAGATCACCCAGTGTGCCGCCAACGGTCTCGTTGCGCGTGAACTTGCTCATAAGCTCCAAGCCCTTCTCGTTCTCGTTGTTTCTGAGAACGTACTTGGCGGCCTTGGTGTTGCCGTGGCGATCCTTCTCGTCCAAGAGTCGGGCTTTCTCCATCTCTTCGGCTGCCTTGATGGGGTTACCATAGTGCTTCCAGATTCGGGCCTTGGTCATTTGGTATTCCACGGCCTTGGGGAGGAGCTCGATGGCCTTCTCAACATTCTCCATGGCCTTAGGGAGGTTGCGGCTGAGGTGATAGTTGTAGTGTTGGGCGAGGAAGTAGTATATGCAGGACAGATATTCGTTGTTGTCTCCGTTAGCTTCCGCAGAGCCGTTACTTTGTTGGCTAGAAATTTTTTCTTCCACCAACGCTTGCACCGTGTCGCGCTTAGCCGGGTTGACGTAGAGATGCTTAACGTTCACGAATAGTGAGGGAACGCGCTTCTTCAACATGCGCTCCAGATAGGCATCCGCTGCCTGCTTGAAATCCTCTCCTTCCAAGAAGTCGAGGGGGATGCGGCGAGCAGCATCACAGCGGGGAAATTTCTCGACCCATTCATTGTATAGAGCCTTCAATGCCTTGTGATCATTTTCAGGGATGGATTTTGCCAGAATCAAGCCATTGTAGTAGATTGAGTTGTCCGGGTTGCGCTCGAGGAGAGCAGTGTATGCTGCCTCCGCATCGGCCTTGCGGTCAAGGCGCAGCAGATAGTCCGCCTTCATTTCCAGAACGGCGAGTGGGTCGGTGCATCGGTATCCAGTGGCCTCGAGGTGCTCCAGGGCTCTCTCGATGTTTCCAGTCTCTGCAATGATCGTGTTCTTGTACAGGACAGCCTCGGAGTTTTCCATGTCAGCTACAGGCGGCGTGGCACCCTTCAATGTCTCTTCGTAGGTAGTCAAGACCTTCTCGGCTTCTGCGAGATCTCCGGCCAAATGGTGCGCGATAGCGAGTGCAGTCCAGTTTGAGCGAATGCCCGGCCGAGCTTGCAACATCGAACTGCGGCTCTGGATGTATCCCTGGTAATCCCGCATCTGCATCTGGAGCAAAGCCAAGTCGCGCTGAATGGGCTGCGACTCAGGCTCGAGACGCAGCGCAAATCTATATGCCTTGATGGCCTCCTCGTAGTTCTTCTCCTGGCGGTAGAGCAGTCCATAAACGTGCCAGGTGATATGCGACTTCATGTCATTTCGGAGAGCCTCCTTGGCGAGCGCGAAGGCCTCCTCCGATTGTCCAATCTGGCTCATGTTGAGAGCCTTCATGGCTTGAGTGTCGCCATGGGTGGGGTTTTTTCGAAGAACCTGGTCTGCGGTCTTGATGCCTGTCGGGAGACGTGGTTAGAAGAGCTTGGGTCAGGGACCGGTTTGAGGCCAACCTTTCTTATACTGTTTCATCTCGAAGTGGCGAACCACCTGACGAAACAAGGACTGATCCTTGGAAGGCAATGGTTGCGGCATTTTGGGCGATGCTGGCTTGACTTGTGCGAGTGAGGAATCGATGTGTGCGGGGGACGACTTCTCCGAGTTCAATCTTGGCGGTGCGAACGTGCCGATAAGCCCACTATCGTACTCAACCGTCACTGAACTTCCAGCTTGTTCAGCTCGCCCTCGGCTGATTTATTATTTGAAATTTGTGAATGACTTTCGTTCTTTGCACTTTATCTAGAGCTAGTTCATTCTGCAACTCAATTTAAGCAATGCACATGTGGTTTACCGTGTGACCAAAGCTTCCAACTGAACGTATGAGCTTGAACACAACTAGTACCTACGTTTATGCAATACATCTGGCTATGTATAGCCTTGAAGTGTATATGAAAGTGCCAATGGAGTTTGATATAGCTATATTCCAAGGTTATGAAACTTGTTGGACGTCGTGCTCACTCTGGGGCATCCGAGGACACTAGTTCGGGGTTTAAGCAGGCTCTCAGCGCAAGAAGTTGTCATCTTATAGGGGGTCTTCGGGGGCTGGACATCAGAGACTGAAAAAAGGAAGCCTAAATTCCATCTAGGTAGGGTTGATCAAATATCATAAAGTTTTGAAATTATCAGAAAAGTCATATACAGATGAGATCCGATTCACTCAAGGGAGGACCTGGGGAGAGAGAAAGAGTTGAGATATGTACAGAGGTGTCCTGAAAACTGCAGTGAATTTACACGCGGTATACCTTTATCATAGGGTCTATTTCTGGTGAGATTGGCGCCAGTCATTGAGCGCCTCTTCCCAGGTAGAAGAGCCAGTACATTTCTCTGAAACCATCCCCCAAGTCCGGGCCCGGATGATTTCTTCGATCGTACGCTCATTGCGGATGAGATTGGCAAGCGACTCGGTACGTGCCTCTCGAGGGAAGAACCGGGCAGAGTAGGGGTCGAGGCGCTCATTGACTTCTCTTTCCCGGTCTCGTGCGGATTCCGTCTGGCGAAGGATCAAGTCTGGATCTTCGGGATCTGGACTTGTCGCCACACCGGCGCAGTAGGTAAGAACATCTGATCTGGTCTGCCAGGAAGGAAACAGCACATTGTCCTTGAAGCTTTGGCAGGCGACGGGGTTGATAGTCTTCCGTGACCCGGGCTCTGTCTGTCGCACTGCGGTTGATGAAGGGTCGAACCCTTCTTGGGCAGGCGTCATCAAGGCATTCAAGTTTTGCGTAATTGAGTCATCAATGGTGGATCTTGATAGTCGGAGGAAATCTGCAGGGAAGGGCGCGGTGTCAACACATATCTGTCATACGATGTCATATCCAAACGTTACCTCTGAACAATCTTTCGTCGAAGCAAAACCGAGGATTCAGCGTTGGAGCTGCCGTTGATGAGGTCTGTACCATTCTCCCCGAGTGTCTTTCCTCCGTATTGTGATTTGACTTGACCCAAAACCACTCCAGCTTGTATAAATGTCGAAGATGCTAGGAACGGATGTTGTCACCAAGATAACGAAAATCGCATCCAGTAATTTCGCTTATAAGCTAGCGACTTTCTTGAGAGTGAATGCTGAACAATTCCATGCACTGTAATGTTGCGAAGATTGACGCTGGACTTGACGAATGCTGATGAGGACGCAGCTCAGCTCCCCATCGTCATGCCGATTTCGTCCTCTTCTGGACTAGCGTGCTTTTGCCACCGCCCTTGACCGGTGGATGTTGGCAGTAATTCACTATCACCACGTGACAGCGCGCGCTCACCAAGACGCGCCAAGGACAGTCGGGAACCAGCCGAGGTGCATCTCAAATCAAGGAATATCACTGTACATATTCTCACTGTTCTGATTCTGATACCCTTTCGTTTACACCTCCACTGTATCAACATGCCCGAGCTAGCGGAAATCCACCGCATTGTGCATTTCATCCGCCAGCACCTTGTTGGAAAAACACTGTCCAAGGTACAAGCACAAAATGATGACATTGTGTTTGGCAAAGTTGGCACCAGTGCCTCCGAATTTCAAAAGGCGATGCAAGGAAAGCAGATTATGGGAGCAGGGCAACAAGGCAAATACTTCTGGATCACAATGTCTTCCCCACCCCATGCTGTGATGCATTTTGGAATGGCTGGCTGGTTAAAGATCAAGGATGCCGACACTTACTATTACCGGTCTGACAAGCCTGCCGACAAGGAGTGGCCGCCCAAGTACTGGAAATTCCTATTGGAAACCAGCGATGAACCGAAAACAGAGGCAGCGTTCGTGGATGCCCGCAGGCTTGCGCGCATCAGACTGGTGGATTGTCCAGCCGATGATATCCGAAACCACACTCCTCTCAAAGAAAATGGGCCGGATCCTGTCACCGACAAGGATATCGTGAATGAGGCCTGGCTGAAGGAAAAGGTTGGGAAGAAGAAAGTGCCAATCAAAGCCCTTCTGCTCGACCAAGCCAATATCAGTGGTATTGGCAATTGGATGGGGTAAGTGATCTTTCGGGCTGGTCACTTACGCGGAAGCTAATTGGTCTTAGTGATGAGATCCTCTATCATTCCAAAATCCATCCAGAGCAGTACAGTAATACTCTGAATGATGACCAAATCAAAGAGCTCCATGCTGCTATCCATTATGTCTGTTCGACATCTATAGGTGTGCTGGCTGACTCGGAGAAGTTCCCAGAGCATTGGCTCTTCAAACACCGATGGGGAAAGGGCAAGAAGAACCAACCGGCAGTTCTTCCGAATGGTGACAAAATCACTTTCCTCACTGTCGGGGGCCGCACAAGTGCCGTTGTTCCGGCAGTACAGAAAAAGACGGGTGCAGTTGCTAAAGATGTCGATGAAGATGCTGCCGACGGTACCCCAGCGAACACGAAACGGAAACGTATAGCTCCGAAGAAAGAAAGCGACTCAGAGGCGGAAGAGACGCCCAAGACCAAGAAGCGAGGGGCATCCCCAAAACAATCAATCAAGAGTGAAGAAGAGTCGGAAGAGGAGAAGCCGAAGCCAGCTGTCATCGGCAGAAGACGATCGACTCGCACAAAATAGAGTGGAAAAACTACATATGCTGATAATCAATCACGGGATAGGTGAACCAGATACCTAGTACATTTGAGCTTTGATGACTAGCTATCGATGAATACGTGGGTGAACTAATGGTAACGGCTCAAAGTCGACAGAACGATTCCTTTGAAGTTTGGGTTGTGCTACAAGCCCTGGAGGTCCACGGGTACCTAGGTAGGTATCCATCTCTGTTGCCCTCGCGGGAGGTCTTTCTTACACAGTGTGTTTAATTCAAGAATATGTGTTTCGTGTATACTAGCTTTGGAGATATCACGGCATTCCCTCATTGTGCTTCTACTTATGCCCGAGTAAACTTGTCCAGGCAATACCTTATGTAGCTATCCAACCACAAAATAAATCTTAAAAACGTTCACAGAGAGCTGTAGTGCCCAGATATTTCTGTAATCCAATTCGATGGTAATCACCTCAAACTCCGGGGGGGAAATGACATACTGTGAAGAATTAGAAAGCCGAGTCGAGTAATCATTCATAGGCGTTATCGAGCGCTGCCTGGAAAGCCTTTAAATTGGGCTTTGCCTTGGTTCGATCAATGACAGCAAAAATGATCTGTTCAAACCAGCCGGTAAATTCCTCCTCTTCGAGAGCATCACGCCACAAGTCAGTGACTTCATCGACAGGATGGCCAAAAGCTCCACACCCAAGAGCACCAAGGACCAATCGACGGTGGTTGTTATGTGCAGCCGTGCGCAAAACCTGTAGCAATTTGTTGTACATTACACCTCGAATTGTATCATCAGCGTACGTGGTCCCATCATCCGTCAACTTTGGTTGACTCTCGGCAGCCATGCTGATGACACTAACAACCGGAAGTTTTGCCGGCATTGTGAGTTCCGCGAGGAACTTGAAATCCATTGAGATATTCTCGCGAAATATGATCACATGAGGCGAATACGCGCAATCGAGCGAGCCCATCGGAAAGAGCTTCTTTCTGAGAGTTCCACTGAGAGTACTCCGATAAAACAGCTGTTCCTCTTGCGCATGAGCTCCATTTTCCCAACCGCCCCCAGCCCGGTAGGCATTAGCATGGTTGAGCACGCAAACCGGCATGAAGTCCGACGTGTTTTCGAGGAATTCTCCATTCATCACGTCGATGGCGGCATCGTACGTATCAGATTCCACGACCTGAACCACGGGGTTTTCGATATTTGGGAACCAGCTTACATCCTTGGACAAGGGCTTGGTGTTTGTCGGGGTCGACATATAGGCAAACTCAGCCCCCTCCAGGGCTTGTCGGGCGATGAGTAATTTTGTATATTCCTTTGTTGCTGGAATAATCTTCTTCACGATGTCTTTGTTCGTCCAAAAAGCTCCTTTGGTAGGTTTTTGGTTCACAAGCATGTCAGCTAGAGGATCGGGCACATCGTCCGAAGTGTTGGCCATAGTGTCTTCGAACAAGATAATTTCGGACTCGGGAGATATATCGGGGCCTTGAAGATACAATTCATCCAAATTTTCGGTGATAGCTTCTCCCCCTTCGCTATCGTCGTTGATGACAGGAGACTTGTCTCCTATAGAAGTCAGATTATCGTGGAAGGAAGAATTCGAGGACGCCCAGAAGCTCATTGCATTGCCTTAAATGGGACTGCATATCGAGGATGGAAGAGAAAGATCAAAGAGTACTTATGTCCCGAGGTATTGACTCGAACAAGATGAAAGAAAGTACGGAGTAGAGCGACAGGAACTACTCGCGGACCAATCGCAGTCCAAGTTTCCCCGCATAAGGCGGTGGGCTTATCGCCACTATGACAAAGCGCGCGACATCGTTGGTTGCATTACTCATTTCGGGGTTTGCGCTTTTCAAGTCTTTTCTTTCATCCCTCCTTTGGTCCTTTGGTTCTTTGGGAAATTTCTTTGTCCAGGATGAGCGCGATTCTATCGGCCGACGACTTGAACGATTTCATCTCGCCCGGAGTTGCATGTATCAAACCTGTGGAAACCCTGCCAGAAAAGAGCAAAGAAGTATGTCTTTGTCGCTTTAATGGAATGCGCATTGCGATGCTGACTCTCTAATTATAGAATGTCTATGAAGTGACAACGGAAGACAAAGTCCAGCCCGAGGACCTCCCACCGGCGCAGATTTCTTTGACGGATTGCCTTGCATGTTCTGGTTGCGTTACATCTGCTGAGGCGGTCTTAATCTCACTTCAGTCCCACGCTGAAGTCCTCAATACGCTTGACGCATACTCAGAAATACCTCTGGCGCACAGCAACCATGGTACGGTTATCAACAATGCCGAAGATTCAGGCGAGAGCAAGATTTTTGTGGCCAGTGTGAGCCCGCAGGTCAGGGCAAGCTTGGCCACAACTTACGGAATCTCAGAGAAAGAAGCGGGGTACATGGTCGACCAATTACTCAGTGGGCCACAGGGCCTGCGGGGTGGAGGTAAACATGGCAATGGGTTTACGTGGGTGGTAGACACCAATGTGATGAGAGAGGCCGTTCTCGCACTTACCGCGGACGAAGTTTCAGACTCGCTCAATCACAACGAATCCTCAGCTACGAGCGAAGAGGAGTCTTCTATGCCAAAGCGCCCGATTTTGTCTTCGGCGTGTCCTGGATGGATTTGCTACGCCGAGAAGACACACCCGTTCATTCTTCCACATCTCTCCCGGCTCAAATCTCCCCAGGCTTTGTCGGGAACTTTCCTCAAGACTGTTCTAAGTAAATCCCTTGGGGTTCACCCTTCTCGGATTTGGCATTTGGCGGTGATGCCATGCTTTGACAAGAAGCTGGAGGCCAGTCGAGAGGAGCTCACGGACGTGACATGGCGCCAGGGGGATTCTTCAGGATCCGAAACCGCGCCCGTTCGTGATGTAGACTGTGTTATCACTGCCCGTGAACTCCTCTCTCTGGCTTCATCTCGAGGATTTTCACTCCCGAGTCTGCCTTTGAAACCCCTTCCGTCATCTCTAAACTTGCCTTTCCCTGAGAAGACTCTCGAATCTTTCGTCTCATTCAAAAGAACTCAGTCAGAACAATCACCTGCCACGGGCACATCGGGAGGCTATTTGCACCACGTTCTCATGACTTTCCAGGCCCGCAATCCAGGCAGCCAACTTGTGATTAACCGTGGACGCAACGTCGATGTTGTTGAGTACATCCTGATGTCCCAAGATAATCAACCAATCTTGAAAACCGCTCGCTACTACGGATTCCGAAACATTCAAAACCTTGTCCGAAAGCTCAAACCGGCACGTGCATCAAGACTCCCTGGCGCAAATCCTGCTGCACGACGCCGCCTGCCTGCCTCGCGCGCCGCCGCATCTAACGGTAGCTCGGGGTCAGACTATGCCTACGTGGAAGTCATGGCTTGTCCTGGCGGGTGTACGAATGGCGGGGGACAAATCCGAGTGGAAGATGCCAGAGCGAACCTTGGCTCCCCTCAAGGAGATTCGACCGCTGAATCTACTAAACCATCGCCCCATGAGCAACGCGCGTGGCTCGCTCGTGTCGATGAGGCATACTTCTCTATGGAATCGGACTCTGAGTCAGAGCTAGATCTCCAGTCTCAACAGACTTCATTGGAAGCCAAGGAGGCCATGATCCATATGGGCTTGGAGCGCTGGTCCCAGTTCATGGACATTCCTCTTTCCAAGCTCGCTTACACCACCTATCGCAAGGTTGAAAGTGACGTCGGCAAAGACCAGACCTCTGCCAACGATACTACACATGTCGTGGAGCTTGCTGGCAAGATTGGTGGTGGTTGGTGAGATTGCTATTTTTTTTCATGTATTTGCTTTTTTAAGAGGACGTCTGTGGCTCTCTCTTTGCTCTTATTTGCATGGCGTTGGCATTTGGTTTTCCTGCATGTCATGACGGGTGATACCACATATTATTTTTATTAGAATTATGATCAATGATACATGAGACGCTGGTACTATACAGGGATCAAAACGGACCAAAAAGCTCCTGATCTCAATACACCAATTTCTAAACTCATTTCAGGCTGTAGCTGTCACGAATTGTATATGTACTTCGTTTTACTGACGGCCTCGGCTTCGGGGCTTGGCAATGACTAATCTCACCATCGAAATCGTTACGTAATCATCTAAAATCCCGCGCTTCTAGAAAGAAAAAGTATCTCAGCACAGCGATTGCAACCCATATCACACCTCTCCTCCTACGGGATCTGATTTCTTCCAGCGCAGCTCAAGCCTTTCCACAACCCTCACCTTCCGCTCCAAAATGTCTCGCGAAACCTACCAGGTCCCCTCCATGGGCTCCCAGAACACCTTCGATGCTCAAGGCGGCGGTTACGCCAGCGCTATGGCCGTCGACAGCCCCTCCGTTGTGTACCTTTGCGGCGAGTGCTCTGCCCGCGTGCCTCTGAAGCGTGGCGACCAGATTCGCTGCAAGGACTGTGGTCACCGCGTGCTGTACAAGGAGCGGACCAAGCGGTAAGATATCTTAACTACTGTTCTTTTTGCGCTTCGTGCACGAGCTGACCTGCTGTTCTTTCTTCTGCCAATAGTATGGTCCAGTTCCAAGCTCGGTAAATGACGGCTTCACTTGCTAGACGGCCAGAGGAAAATCGAGGTCTCGGACCTGATGCGAAGTCGAAGGAATCTCCCGAGATCTTTCTATGGCCTTGACGAATCATGCATATTTTGGCGCTTTGGAGTTGAATTGTACAAACTAGCTTTCTTTGTCTCTGTCGGCGAGAAGGCAATGTCCCGAGCTTGTTCTTCGGTCATAATTGAACTCGTGATTAGGGCAGACTTGAACGATCAATACCTACAATCATGCGCGCTTTGGCGAAAGAACCTTGGAAAGAAACATGAAAAAAAAGACATGGCCCTCCCTTATGCATTGGCCTAAATGACGAATTAATCGCCCTTCCTAATAATACAAACATGGAGCAGGCACTCATGGTAGAAGATTTGAAGCTATCCAACATCGAACCCAAACAAGCACCCACAAAACTTTGTCCCGAAAAAAAAAGTTGACATCAAGCCCCTACAAAATTCCGATGCAGTAGACGATATATCATAGAAGGTTGGTGACCTCGATGAACTTCTCCAAGCAGTCCAGAGATTGGCCACTCTCAATTGCCCAGCGTGCGCGACGCACACCTTCCTTCCAGCGACCACCACCGGGACCACGCTCGGTGATGACTTTACCGTCGTCACCTGGGCCCATGTTGCTAGTGTCGGACTCGCAGACGCCGGAGGTAACGAGCAGACCGGCCACGTTCATGAGCACGAACTCCAAAATTGGGTCGTCCCGTGGAAGCTCATTTCGAAGAATACTCATCAGCTTGGCAGCGTTATCCTTGGGCATCTTTCGGCCTCCCACAGCACTGAGGGGGTTGGTGGAGAATCCAAAGTCTGAGGGGTGGAGTTGGAAGCTATCCATTTTGACGAGAGTGCGAGGGATATCTGTCTCCTCGTCACTTGATTCGTCCCCATGGGCGCCTGACGCATGGTAGGCGGGGTTCGGGTACTCGGAGAGTCTCCAACAGTTTGTCTTGCCAGCACAGCTAATCTCGTCCATGTCTTCCTCGCCGCAAACGACTAGGACTTTCTTTGCCCCTGTTTGTCTGAGGGCTTCCACGAACACTGGTCCAAGGCTCTGGTAAGCAACACCAACAACACGAGCTTCAATAGCCCAGTCTACAGGGTTTGCCAATGGACCCATGAGGTTGAAAATGGTTCTGATGCCGAGACCCTTCCGGACAGGGTTGGAGTACGCCATTCCCTGGTGGAAGTTGGGAGCAAATAGGAAAGAGTAGTTTGTTTTGGCGTAAACCTCGTGTAAGTTCTCGTTGGTGATGGCAGTGAGATTTGGTGGTATAGGTACGATGGCATTGAGCACGTCTGCAGATCCAGAGAAAGATGTCTGGGCACGGTTGCCATGTTTGGCGGTCATCAATATAGGTGAGGCAACAATTGATGAGGTTGTAGAGATGTTGAAGGTCGAATGAGAGTCTCCGCCAGTTCCGACAATATCGCACTACATATCCAGACCAATTAATATCGTACCAACTCGCTGACACAGGGATTAGCTTACCAGCCCACCCGCATAATTTCCTTCCTTGAGTGCACGATCTTTGAGCACTTTCTTCAGAGGACCCTTCGGTACTTGAGAGGCAGCATCACGCATACACTGGGAGCATTTGGCAATCACATCTGCCTCTCGATCTTTGCCAGTTGAGTGCAGCAACGTCAGGAGCGCAGCTGCCTGGATGTGAGATAGGCCATCTTCGAAAATCAGAGCGAACGCAGAAGCAATTTCTTCTGCGCTGACAGCGGCAATCTTCTGGGCGCTCAATTGAATACCGTCCGCGGCGGGGTAGGCGAGGCGCTGGAGAAGAGGCGCGATTGAGACCATTTCGGTTCGTCGAGGGGAGGGACCGGTTGTCGCCATTGTGATTCACTTTTCCTCCAAAAGAAGCAATTAACAATAGTCTGTACTGGAGAAAGATATACGGATCCAATGAGGTCACCGTAAGCCGATCGATCATATCCCCAATGAGTCAAAAGCGCCCACATCCTTATACAAACGGCAGAACCTCCCACCGCCCCAATGGCGCTTGGCCCGTTCGGGTAACAAAAAATATCACTCCGATTTGCATCTTCCGGGGCTGATTCGACGCTGTTGTATCATATCTTTCTGTCCGGTTTCGACGCATTGGGTTGTGAAAACTCCTAACATCCTCCAAGATGCCTCCACGGTTAAGAATCGCCTCGCTCCCCCACCATATTCCTCGATGCCAATATGAACACCGAATTGCCAGGAGCGCAAGCAGCGCTGCTCCGGCTGTCACGCCCGCTGCGTCCATTGAGCAAATGACGCATTCACCAGCACCGGTGTCGAGATTTCCTCCTGCCCAGCCGCCCTCGCACCGTAACCCTGAATACCGTCGGTCGCAACTCCTGCGGTCATACACCTCCCTTATCCGCACATCTCCTCTCATGGTGATGTTCCAACACCACAACCTCAAGTCCATGGAATGGGCCGCCATCCGCCGTGAACTAGCGAATGCATTGAAAAAGGTCGACGACAAGATCGCCGCCGAAGGCCGAACAGCCCCCGCAATCGCTCCCTATATTAAGATCCAGACCATCCAGACCAGCATCTTCGAGGTCGCCCTGCGTATAGTCGAGTATTTCAAGCCCAACGACGCCTCGTTGGCCTCAGGAAAGGCCCCCAGCGCGACTGATCCCCGGACACAAACCTCCGCGGAGCTTCCCGCGGTGTCTGGCTCCAAGGATGACCCTGCACTGACACACGACTTGTCTCGTACCGCCCACAACGCCGTGAAGAACTCGAAGGGCATGCACGAGCTTTCCCCCCTGCTCGTTGGCCCCATCGCTATCCTTTCCATCCCCACCGTCTCGCCCGAGCACATGAAGGCTGCGCTGTCGATTCTCACCCCCAAGGAAGCCGGCTTCCCTGCCCCTACCCGCAAGGCCAACCCGGACTACCACGACCCCATTGTCCAGAACGGTCTGCGCAAGATCAACTTGTTGGCTGCCCGTGTTGATAACCAGGTCTTCGATATCGACCAGACCAAGTGGGTTGGTAGCATCGAGGGTGGCATGGACGGCCTTCGTAGCCAGCTTGTTACTGCTTTGCAGAGCATGAGCTCCAGCGTGGCCACCACTCTGGAGGGTGCTGGAAAGAGCGTGTACTTCACACTGGAGAGCCGGAGGAGCGTTTTGGAGGAGGAGCAGAAGGGACCAGAGGGCGACAAGAGCGAATCGTCCTAATCTGGTCATGTTCCTTTCAATTCACTTTCCTGTATAATACATCACATTCTGCGTTTCTTCATCATCCTCTACCAATTACTTAAGAATCAATGTATACTTGGAACCTCAACTTTGAAATTTTGACTGTTCAGATTACCACCGTGTGAGACTATGACCCTGTTCCCTGAGTAATTGAGCATCGGACTCCGCTCATCATTGACGACTTTCCTGTAATTCGACTACTCCTTCCTGAAACGCAGCTTAGCATTCATACCTACAATGCAGCGCACCAGATCCCAATCGCCATTCAGACCAACCCAGTCCGTAACGAGGATACCGGTCGAGCAATCAGCATCTTTCTCCTTGCCCCGACGGCAGATGTATGCCACAACAGCCGGATTCACCTTACCAGCCACCTTCTCAGGCCAAGTATTTGTCTTCCAGAAATTACTCGCACTCAAGAAATTGATGTAGAAGGGGAACGCCTTCGTGGCATGGGCGTCAGGCTGCACGCCAAACGGATACCGGCAGCAGCTGGCCCGATCAATCTGCTCAGAGACATACTGGACCTTCTTCTCGATATTCATGCTTTCCAGCACCTCGTAGAAATCCTGAATGCAAAGCTGGCCACTGGGACACACCGAATGAGCAGTATTATCAGCCCAAGCGGCAGCATCAATACCCCAACCATTCCCACCATGCTCGCCCTTCAGCTTCTCCTGCAGATTGAATCGGCGCAGAAGAACAATCTTGCCACGAGCTTCACCCACCGTCGGGATCTTGGGCCGCACCCACCACCGACTCCCTGCTTTGGCGTAGTGGTCAGCCAGGATCCGCGAGAGTTGCTCATCAGTAGCTGGGCCGGCGCCCTCGCGCTTGACGGAGATGATTAGGGTTTCGGAGGGGTTCTCCTTGAGGAAATCATCGACTTCGTTCATGAGATCGTGGAAGTACTTGTTCCCTGTTAGCGAGATGGGGAAGACGCTGTGGACGAGGATCAATTCGTGCCGGTCCTCGTGCTCGGGGTATTGAGGCTGGACGCGGATGTCGAAGAATCGCACACCGTTCTGAAGCTGCTCTTTAGGGCTGACGGCTTGGCAGCGCACTGAGGGGGGTGCAATGTGGCAGGTTGGAGAGTTGTGAGTGCCTGGGATGGAAAGGGCCGAGAGGAGAATGTCATCGCGTAATTCGTGCATCCAGGCATTGAGGTTTGCAGAAGAGAAGATCGCCAGGAATGCTTCTTGGGCTACATAGATGCCTGTGAAGCGGAATTTGGGATTCTCGCTCAATGGCTTCATGGTCTCGGCCTCGGTAGATGGGACTGGAGCTTGGATCTGGTATCTTTGACCCTCGGCCTCGAATACGAGACGCGCACGCTCTTTGTCGGAGTCGATGAAGGTTCGCAAGTCGGTCTTCTTCGTCGTGAAGGGCTCGACGCGAATGTCCATATCTTTTTCCTCAAAGGGATGGCTGTCATGCTCAATTGCTGCGACAGAGTCATTGCGAGTCTGGTTGGTCAGGACCTGGGTTAGGTTCCTGGCCATGGTACTGAAGGCATTGAAGCCTCCCTTCTCCGGTGCCCGGAAGCGCTCAATGCGCTTCAGGACGATTGGAGTGGAGGTGTTGTTGCGCAGTGTAATATGCTCGGCAACCATGGTGTCAATCTGGAGAATTGGAATGGCTTCAGTGTGAGGTTCTCAGATTCGGTTGCCTAGAGCGCCGAGATCGAAGTGGGTTACCCCTCCGATCAGCGATCCCCGGGGGCTCTTGGCAATGTCCTGCAATGCACTGAGCGGGAACGCACAGCCTCCCGGCCCTGGATACATGTTGTGCTGGTACAGGGCCTAGGCCAGGGTAGTATTGTCCCATAGTCATAGTGTCCCTGATAGACTTGTTATCTACTTTATTTACTTCATTTCCACTTTTGACTCCCCAATCTCTCTATACATTGACGCCGCAGCGAATCTGATCTTATAGATGTTGAGGTCATCGACTTCCACGGTCGTCAACTGGGGAACCTTGGAACCAGTCCCAGCCACCCATGGATGCTAAGTTGATATTTCCGAGGTTCTGATGGACATTTGAACTGCATTTATACAAAGTGATCTAAATGGGGCCCTCTAGTCTAATGGTTTAATGATACAGACTGTCTCGAGAAAGCCCTTTTAGTATGGAACCTGCTGGTGGAAATAATCCATCATGAACTTCACTTGCTTGGGCTTAGCAATGGGCACACTCTTGAACTTGTTACCAAGTTCCATGACAACCTGAGTACCGTTGGCACTGTTAGGGCTCCACCGCGGCAGGGTCTTGCTGCCATTGTAGGAGCCCCCGTTGTTAGGGTTGAGGGTCTTGGCGAAATTGGCCCAGTAGGCGGACATATGCTCTTGAATCTCATAATCGGTCTCGGTGAATGGGTAGGTGTCGTCGTTGGCGTAGAGAGCATTGAGCGCGTACATAATTTCAGACTGGTGGAAGGCTCCTTGGTCCTGGCCGGGGGGCGCGTGGGTCCAGTAATAAGTGTAGAAGTCCGAAGTAGCCGATTTGTACCAGTCAGTGGCATAGGCCCAGGAGCCAACGAGGGAGAGATCGCGAGCGGCAGCGTTCCAAGCGCGAGAGGCAATGGTTTCATTGTTGTGGTCCGGGTAGAGCTTGAAGTACTCGCTGGAGAGATTGCCATACTTGAGTCCGCAGTAGTATTCATATTCGGCCACGGTGTAGTCGGTGGTGGTGGAGGCACCAGACTCATCTTTGGTGTTACCAGTGACAACAGGGACATCGTTGGCAGGCCCATTGATCAATGTCTCAAGGTAGGTGGAAGGAAGCACGTAGTTGTCAAGGACGGGCTTGAAAATCAGAGGGTAACCGGCGGACAGCGCGGTGACCCACCAGATAGAGCTATTGGTGACTCGATCCGAAGCACCGTCAATCAAGCTTTCCATAGACAGGGTCCGCATTTCCGCGATGGTGGAAACGTTGTGAGACTTGATGTAGGCGGCACTGTTGGAGATAGCAGTGGACATGTTGACGTAGGAAGTGGCCAGACCGGCCAGCATGGTGTCATAGGGGTATCTGATCCCAGACTGCGAGATACCACCAGTGAAGTAGCCAGTGAAGAGAGGACTGTTGACTGCGTGGTACACCTGAGAAGAGCCAAAGGACTGACCGGCAATGGTAACACGGTCAGGATCACCGCCAAACTTGGCAATGTTCTTTTGCACCCACTTGAGGACCTCCAACTGATCCAGGATACCATAGTTTCCAGAGGTTTCATGGCCAGTGGTTTTGTAACCTTCCTCGTTGAGCTCAGGGCTAGCAAGATAGCCGAAGGCGTCATCACGACGATTGAAGCTGACGAGGATCACGTCCTTCAGGGCCATGCCACCTCCATGCCACCAAGTATTGTCACTGGTCTCGTCAGAGCCCTGGTTCCAAACCATCACGGGGAGCTTAGCATTGGAAGTCTTGGCGTTGGTCCAGATGTTGAGGCTCAGACAATCCTCGCTGATGTACGACTGAGAGGATGTGGGACAGGCAGGGCCGAACTTGGTGGCTTTCAGAGTCTCGTTCCATACTTCACGGGGCTGAGGGGCCTTCCAACGGTTCTGATATCCGGTATCAGCGGCGAAAGGGATGCCCAAGAAAGCGGCAACGTTGGATTCGGCGCCGTTAAAGTACGCGTCCAAGGTCGATTGGTTGAAGTATTGGTATCCCTCAACGGGACCGTAGGAGGTTTGTATCACCTTGTCCCAGAGCTGGGCTTGGACGACACCAGCCCCGAGGACCAGTGAAGTAAGGGTGTTCACTAGCGGAGCCATTGTAGAGAGCAGGAAGCAACTGAAGACCTGAGGAATGAAGATGAGGTATCGCCATCCCGTTTATATAGATGCCCTCACTTCAGGCACACCATATTCGTAGGCCGTTGAATTCGGTCTTAAGCACAACGGTAAATCCATGCCGGTACGTCGTCTGCACGAAGTTGATAGTTCGGGTCGGCCTCGGTTTCTGAATTGGGAGATTCCCAGGACGATCCTCCGTTTTAACTCTTCCACGCGGACTCTGCCGAATGATTCTCTCGCTGTTCCTGCATAATGCATATAACAGGTTTAACGCTAACCCGCATCTCCGACTGTGGCCTCGGACTTGACAACCAAATGGAGCCCGACTCTGCAGCTTCTAAATCGTTGGTTCCTCGGACTTTCAGTGATCGACCGGGAGAGCCCTTGGATTTGATCGAAATTGTTCAATCGCATGTATCTGGATTCTTTGGTATGCTCGGCTTCGGGATGTGAAACAATATCAACTTATAGACCTCATACAATGCCTTTAGTGCAGCGTCATGAGTGGAGATATCAATCTCGAAGTGGTACGTACCAACACACCGAACTATACGACATCTGGCAAAAGATAGCCCTATGGGATTCTTGATTCATTCGAGCTTGCAGTGGTGATCGCCCACCTCGGCTACTCAGGGGATTCTTAAGAAGAAGTCATACGATGGTTTTCTCGGAATCATTGACATCCATATCACTACTCCATTATGCGCTTTTCGATCATTCTGGGATATTCATTGATCAGCCTTAGTGCTGCTTCTCACCTTCATGCTAGAAACTCACTCTCTTCATGTGATGAGGCGACCCTCAATACGACTGTCGGTGCCTACACCGCCCAGGAGGGCGACACCCTGGCCAGCATTTCATCCACCGTCAACCGAGGCATGTGTGATATCGCCCGTCTGAACCGTATGGCCGATGCACTTCTTCCGTTGACGACTGGAGAAGCTTTGATCATCCCACCTGAAACCTGTCAGCTCGATAACTCGACCTGTCTGATCACCGCCCATCCGAATGGGACATATTCCGATTGTGTCAAGGGTGGACCGCACACCTACTACACCCTCAAGGGGGACACCATCCGCTACGTCGCCCTCAAACTCAACATTACCATCGACTCACTCTTGGCCACTGCCCAGGGGCCCGACAAAGATGCCGATACAGTGCTGGATGAGGGCGACTTCCTCAAGATCCCGCTCTGTAGTCCCAGTCACTGCTCTTTCCATCCGTATACCTTCACGTATGGTACCTATAAGGATATTGCGGAGAAGTCGGGCTCGACAGTTGGTCAATTAATGGCGATGAACCCCACGTATAATCACAGTGATGTGGCTCGGGGTGAAGGTCCTGTTCTTGCTGTGGTGAGAGATTGTCACACTGTGGGGTCTAATGTCACCGTTATCTCTTGAGTGAGACATGGACACAATATCTCAGGTCAATTTAAATCCTCATTTGTACCTGCGATGATTTTCCCGTACAATTGATGCACAGTATATGAAGTAGCTACACAGTGTAAATAACCATGGAAAGTCGGCTGATTTGGATAATCGGCTCTTCTGACTCGAATTCGCCAAGGTTGGCCTGAGCCCTCTCATACGAGTAATGTCGCTTCGAATTTCCAGAATCCCTTATTGAAATAAAGTACGGAGTAAGGGCATATTCTGGAAAGGGTGCCAGGGCCCCTTAGCCGAATACCCGTTACGGCCTGCTAGTTCCGATCTACTCTAATTGTGCGACCCACTGAATCGCGACTCTCGAGACGTTTGAGCGTTGGATGTAACACGTACACGTACTTCGTACTTCGTATGCCCAGGTGTGCTTAATGCAAGCAGGCCCAAGAAGGTCATTGCACTGGGGAGTAATTACCTTCTACCTATACCCGACGATCTTTAATAGTCCGCTTTGCGTTGAAATTGCGCATCATTTCCCGTTGCAATTCCTGGTAAATTTAGAAACAAATCCATACAATGCGCATTGTACTATTTCGTACGGAGTCGTGGATTGACCACACGTTCGATTCGCGTTCGATCAATATCCCCACCACGATCTCTGTACGAGATCAGGTTGCGTTCTGCTAACACAGCACATGATTCTTAGGGCACTACTACTTTCTACTGTAGTATAATGGTACACTATAGATTAGTAGCAGGTCCCCGAACTGTGTCGGAACAACGCAGCCCCGAAATTATGACCCCCTGGAGCCGTCAGCCTCCCGTGGTCTAAGACCTTGCGATCGTCCCCAGCCCAATTCTCTTCCTACACTGGCTTTCTCCTGTCGCGAAGGGACTCCTGTCATTGGCCAATGGCCTGTCGAACGGACAATATGCCCTCAAAGACAGCACAGCAGCCCCGGTTCCGACAGCCTAACTCCCTTCGTGTCGCCCCCCACCACGTATTAAACGACCCATAAAAAAAAGGAACAAAGGAAAAAATAGGAAAAGCCCAGGGAGCCAGGCCCTCTCGTGGCATAAGCCCCGACATTACACGTTCCCCGTTCTTTGTTGAGGGGATAAGATGTCCCCGGAGCCGTTTTTTTTTTCTCTCGATCTCGACGCTGTCTCACAAGTGAAACACCGTCTGGCAGCCTTGATGATTTCATTGCCTTGACTCCCCTTCAATATTCCTTTTTGGATGAAAGAAATTGATTTTCAATATAAAGTAGCCTTGCATACGCCAGCCTTTCTCCAGCCATGCCTCTTTAGGCGGTTTCCGATCGTGATTTGATATCCGACTATATGAATTCGTGCTTCAAAACATCTTAAATTCCACTTACGCCTGATCTCGAGGCTTGTTTATCCGTGGAGCCACACCTGGAACGACTCTTGACTTGCTTCCAGACCATGGGTTCTACAGAGATTGGTGTGGACGGGCCCGCCACGACTAAAAAGCTGGAGACAGTCAACGAGGAACCCAGCTCATACCCGTCTCATCCGATTCCTCAGCTGCAAGGCCCGTTCGAAGAATCAATAGTCGAGACCGACGATTCGAGGAACAACAGAGTCGTGAACATTAGCGCGCAGACACGGCGGCGCGATCTATTGGAAAATGATAAATATGAGCGACTCTGTGGGAGGCGGTGGCGCCAACAGGAATCCGAGAAGTGAGGAGATGACGGCCGAGTGCAAGGCTTCATGCTGACCGATGTGCAGGTATCATCCATTTTGGAAATTGATCTCGCAGATGATCTTCGGAGTACATCTTCTTGCCAGAGGCCAAGCGAGGTCGGAGGCTTCGGTGATGAAGATCCTCCAGAACCATGTCAATGAGCTGGATGGCTTTTTGGAACGGACGACTGAAGATCAGATGATTGTGCGACTAGATGTGCACACGCGAATCCAGTATCTGAGTCTTCCTCTGTCCAACCTGGACGTTTTCGACGAGATGCTGGTAGACCGAGGCTTCCGCCTATCGATTGTCGCGTACAATGACCAGATCGAACACTCGATTGACAGATTCACCCAAGCCATTACGGACTCCCTCAAAGACCTGCAAAAGGCAAAGGAGGCTATGGGCGCACTGTGGTTCTTCTTCAAGGAATTGAGCAGTGGAGAATGCTTTGCGTCGGAGAGCCTGCAGGCTTTCTACAAGGCTATGATGGAAAATATGGAGGGATGGATTTCCGCCATCTCCAAGCTTCGGCGACAGGGCACTGCTCTCCAGAAAGCCCTGGGCCAACTTGGTCTAGCGACCACAGAGATGCAACGGCGTGTCGGTGTCGCTAGCCGAAATGATGTGGTGAGTTGGTTGAACCCAGTGTAAGATCCGTCACTGACTGTCCCAGCGATCGTTCATCAAACAAAGCAACAAGATTGCCAATCGAAGCAAGTCTGTCAAACAGAGGCTTTTCGAGAGAAGGGCGTCGGCAATCCCCGAAAAGCCGCTACCTCTTGATCCATTCTCTAAACCAAAACGATCTCAGACGACCAAGCACCTTGAGAGTCGTCCGACTACAGCGAAAGTCCCGGAGACGCCTAACCCAGCTGCCTCCAGAGAGGGTGCTCGACGCATCCTCAGCCGAGCTAAATCATGCAGCGCGTTAGCAACAGAGACCAGCGCGGGCGAGAAACCACCACCAATTCCCTCCACATCCGTGAGGTTAAAACGCAGACTCTCCAGGCCATTCTTGTCGAAACGGTCGAGCGAGAAGCTCGAGCCTCAACGACCACAAACAGCACCGCAGCCATTAAGACCATCACGCAGCATCTCCATCGAGCAACTCCGCGCATTCTGCTCGAGCCGCCCTCCAACCCGACAATCAATGGTCAAATCACCCACCCAGGCCCGCCAGGAAACCACCGACCAACTTAATGGACGCGACACGATGAAAGACCAAATCTCCCAGTTCCTCAAGACCGACCGCGTCGTCGATGCCTGGGACAGCGTCTCCAAAACCGCGTCCTGCTGCGCCCGCCCGATCAAACCGAAAGATTGGCCCAGCAGTGTCTTCCGAACTAAATCTAGTACTACGCTCGACAAGGGCGACACCCTTTCCGGGCCGGACCTGGAACGGCAGATGTCGTGGGTGCAGGAAACCTTCGACGTGCTGCCTACGCACTCCTTCAAGGCAAAACCGGAAACGTCGCCCCGCATCCATGTCCTCTCGGTGCAGATGACCTTGGATGAAGAAGTGGCCGACCGAGAGGCGAGTCTGGATTTGAGAAGCGAGGGATCCATTACGGCGTTGCCGGCTGTGCCGCCGCCTCCCATTCCTGCGGTATGGCTCCATTCAAGTTCGTACAGCGTATAGATTGCTGACATGAGATAGATCGCACTGGAGCATCGATCCACACTGATCGACTGCGCGCAGGGTTGATCTTAATTGGGTATGGAGTATATAAACTACTAGCGTACGGAGTATAGCGCACGGAGTCAACAGGTCTACAAGTACGGAGTACAGTTTACAGAGTTAATCATGCCGAATACCCATGCACAGCCTGCTTTTTACGCCTTTTGGGCTCGTCAGCCCTGCACTGTGGATCTGCTCGGTGGCGCAGTCTATACGTAGTTGATCCGCGCACTGTATATACATGTAGTCCCCCGTACTCCAGGCTCTCCGTTAAAACCACCTTGAGCTCATCATCTCTTAAAAAGTCACAAATCCATCAAATCCATCAAACATCATCAAACCCCATCACACCGATCACTGAGCGCCGTGAAGCAAAAAAGTTGAACTGCAGCCTAAACTGCCAAGGACCCACCGCCCCCAGCCCCCATTGCCCATTGAACTTCTTGCTGGAGGTCTTCTTTTCCCTCATCACTGCAATCATGGCGATTCTATACCCTCGATATTGGTGAGTGCGACAAGCCAGCAGGGAGAGACCAGTACTGACTCCCTTCCAGTTCCAGTTATTATGGCAACGACTGCTACTCCACGTGGGACTCTTGGGGCCGCTGGGTAGCCTTCGCCGTGATTGTCGGCGTGGCATTTTTACTCTTCTTCTCTTTCGCGTAAGTCATCCTCATCTTGGTCTGCTCAGAGATCCGCAACTAACCCAGCACCGCAGTTGTTTCAACGCGCGCCGCCGCCGAAGCCACGGCCAGCGCCCTTTGACAGGTACTGGATGGATGGCACCTCCTCCAGGACCTCCTCCTCCAAACCAACCAATCTACCAACCAAACCCCTACGGCGACCCATACTACCAGCAGAACGCACCTCCCCAGTACAGCGCGAACCCTCAAAACTACGGCTACTTCGGAGCGCAGCAAGCACCGCCTCAGCAGCAAGGGATCGAGCTGCAGCAGCCCCCGAATGCTTACAATGGTGGAGGCTATGCGCCTCCTCCTGGCCCACCTCCCAATGGAAACAAGGCTTAAATCTTAGACGATTCAGGGTTTAATGAGTGCGGCTGGGAGGACCTTCCCATGCTGCATGTGTGGAAGCTAATGGTTTACGGCGTTATCTCTCGGCGCGAAGCATGGATTTCTTGGTTTTTATCTCAGATACCCACCTGGGTGGACGTCTTTTTCTTTTATAATTCCCTCATTGCTTCGGCTTTGGGGTTCTTGGGTTCGAGAAAAAGGTCTCGGAAGTGTAGCCCGGGGTCATGAAGTTCTGATTTAGCTCGTGCATTGTTTTTATCTAATGACATATCTTGACATACTGATCTACTGGTCTAATGGTCTACCTCAAACCATTTTGGTTTTCGATTTCTTCAAAGCCACGAAGTATACTCCGTAGTCCGTCCTATACTGCAGTCGGCTTGAACACACCTGGGCAGCTCCGAGAACCACTGCCGATCCTATATTGCGTCAGATCTCGAAAACAACTATCCAATTAAAATCCCCAAGACAAACGAAACCAAGTAAGGAAGAAAAAGCTCCCGACCGTTCAATTGCACCATGGCGACCGCTTAGTGCCCCGAACCACATCGCGGGACCGCCCAGCACCAACCTCGCGACAACCACCATGGACATCGACGACATCCTCGCCTCGGTCGACCACGGCCCAGGCGCAAGCCCAGAGTCCACAGCCCTCGATCACCAACTCCTCACCCGCTTCTGGGTCGCCGAACGCGCCGTCTCCGAAGTCCTCCCATGGCCCGCACCACTAATGGAGCGCATGATGGACCGCGTCCGGAATCAGGTATGTCCAGTCGCAGAGAATAGAAATATCCAGTCTAACAGGCCCCAGATTGAAACAATCGAAGACCTAGCCGCTTCATCTGGCGACGCGACAGTCCCTCACACGCATAACCCGAACCTCAACCTCCGACTCTCAATCCTCCAAACAGACCTTGCGCGCACCCAATACCTCATTCGAAGCTTGTTACGTGCGCGACTGGCCAAAGTCACTAAATACAGTATGCATTACCTTGTGCGGCTCGCGTCGCGGGATAAGAACCCCTCGCAAACGCAGTCGACGCTCTCGTCGCAGAATCCAAACCAGCAGCCTGAGGACTCGGTGCCGGACATTGCTTCGTTGACTGATTTGGCGCCGCTTTCCGAACCAGAGGCTTCGTTTTTACATGCTCATCAGACTTTGTTGGCTGGGCACTACGGGGGTTCGTTTATGGGTGCGTTCCCGAGGCAGTTGAGGAGGTTGGATGATAATGCTGGTGGGACGAGTATGGTGCAGGGGCCTGATTTGCGGGAGGTGGTCTTTGTACGGTGTCTTGGGGCTGAGGTTCCGGTACTTTTGGAGGAGGATGACGACGATGTGGGTGTTACTATGCGCATGGGGGATGTTTGGGTTGTTCGGTGGGAGGGTGTGAAGAAGGCGTGGGCGAGGGGCGAGGTGGAATTGTTGTGATGCTTGTGGTTTTGGTTTATAGCGAAGTCATTGCTGGCGTTTCATGATATACTTATTCCTATACTCACCTGTATACACATGGCTGATAGAGCCTAGGGCTTCTTCTTTTGGGAAATCTATGGGAATATTGCTTGACATCATATTGGTTCTGTTCATTTCATTCCAGGGACGCCGATCGCTAAGCTCAGAATAAATACGAAAGCTATTTGGCCAACCACCGATGCGAGGATCGTAAGATCGTAAAGTAGAAGTGTCGTAGATGTCTATGCGACGTACCCGTAAGTAGGCGGCTCTTCGCCGACTCGCTCCAAATATTCACGGTCAATGAGACTCTCAATACGGCGCTTGATCATGTTGACATCTGGGACAAAGCGAGCAGAGAGTTGAGACAGGGTTTCCGTCATCAACTGGGAATGGGTGAGAGTTTTGCGTTGTCTAGTAGAGGTTAGTTTGTCATGTTGTGAATGGATGGGAATATAGCTCACTTCATGATTCGAACGAGGGCGGCCTCAATACTACCGCCACGCTCATCGTTCATCTTCTTCTCGGTGTCCTTGCGCTGGTCCTGATTTTCGACCTTATTTGCGCTGCCGCTGACGACTCCAATGCGCACCTTCACGAAGGGACTGTGGAAGTCATGGTTGAAGGAGAATTTATCAGTAGGTTTGACGTCCTTACTCATAGGATCTTTCTTCAAGACTCGCGTCTTCGGGGCCACTGCTAGTGACTGTAAATTGCGGGTGAGATCATGATCGGGGATCCGCGAGCGTTCCTTGATCGCATCGTATGTGAGAAACTCTCCATCGGGAATCTCGTTGAACAGCAGGAGAATGACCATGGCGTAGGTTGAGACATTGAGCTCGTAGCGTTGGGTCTTGCCAGTGGAGCGGACGAATGTGGCTCGCAGATCCGCAGTTCCCATACTGGCTTGCCATGAAAGCTTGCGGCCACTGTGTTTGTCGAGATAGAATCTCTCGAAGCTCGACTTGAGGGTGTCGATCTCCTTGGGATAGATGCACGGTAGCTGGACCGCTCCATCTTTGGTGTTGGTCATGAGTTCCATGGGCCACATTGTGCTAGTGAGGACGTTGATCTCCAAGTCCACGGGTTTCTGGTCAGGATCACCATTACGAGCGACATGCTCTTTGTAGTTGGCTGTGAGATCTTCTGACACAGTCATATCCTTGAACATAGATTCAATACGCTGTGTAAATTGGTTGCCCACTTCCATCTTCATCTTCGAGATCATCTGTCTTTCGGCATCCATGCTTGCAGAGCGCTTCATCAAGAGACGGCGGGACAGATGTTTCTTGTAGTATGATTCGAACAAGTCCTTGTCTTTGATGTACCGCAGCATCATGATGCCGTTATCCAAGAGGACGTCAACCTCATTCTCGGTCTTTCCCTTGATTCCTTTCTTGAGGTTCTCATCAAAAAAGAGTGATAGGTATTCGGAGCTTCTCGAGTTCATGTTGATGAAGTTGGAGAAGCTGGCTCCAATTGAGCTCTGAAGGCCTTGGTCAGAACCAAACGCCTTCTCCCAAACGCCGTCGAACTTGGTCTTGAGGGCAAGAATGTCATCAACCCAACGAATCGCTGAGACGGTTTGTTGGTTTTGGGGCTTTTCCTTGTCTTTCCCCTTTTCTGTCCGTTTCTCGCCTTTCCCGTCCTTTTCTGACGACGGCGCTGCTGCCGCGGCTTGGGGCAGCACGATGGATGATTTATTGATTTCCTTGCCCATCTCCACGATCCGCTTGTTGAGCACGTTTGTTAAAGCTTCTTTCTTCCTGTCTACCCTTGCATTGAGCAAGTAGACATTTTGCAATCCCTCTAATTGATCGTGGTCGAGCATGTGTCTGACGCCGGATTCCGCGAGATTGACAACTTCCTCAATGTTGCTGCGGATTAAGTGCTCGTCGAGCAAGTCAAGGACCTTTGGTTCTGACACCACTGCCAGTGTATAGCGACACCGTTCTCGTTCTTCCGCGACCCGTTGAGTGGCGACCCGACAGAACGTCGTAGCATCTCCAATCTGCAAGAGACGCTGTCCTTCGGCCTGGTAAAACTCCTTGCTGGCCTCGAGGAAAGCCGGCTCAAATATAGTCAGGTAGAGCTTCGAGCTCTCTTCTTCCGTTGAGGTTTCATAAAGACCCTCCAGCATTTGGATACAATGCCGAATCAATGGCCGTTCGATCATATGGCCAGACCTCTCCAGCGAGATCATGAATAATATGGTTGACTTGAGCATATCGGTGATTGTGAGGGAAGATTCGGGGCGAACGGATGAACGAAGGATGCTGTCGCGGAATAACGCCATGCAGGTAACGTATATGGACGGTTTGGAGTGGGCTGTGATTATCATACGGTCCTGCACAAGATGTGAGCAACTGGATTCATCAGAGTTCTTTGTGAGTTGTCTTACCATATACATCATAACATCTGTCACCATGCCCATGCATAGCTGGTGGTCCTCCCAAGCATCCTTCAGAGCGGCCAGGAACTTCTCACCGGCTTCTCTCCTCTCGCTCGATTGGTCCTGGGCATCCGTTGAACTCTGCGCTCGCAGAAGACTTGCAGAGATTGATTCCGTGATGAGCTTCTGAACATTGGTTTGAAGCCAACTTTGCTCCAGTTCTGTGACCTTTTCGTAAAGATCATCACCCCGCATCATCAACACAATCTTGTAGGCATGGCGATAAAGCTCCTCGAAGGAGAGACTCGAGGCATTCTTGGTGTTGATTTCGTTTAATGACACGGACAGAACCTCCCATATAGAATCGAAATCATCGGTTCTCGCATGCGAGAATCCCTAGAACTATAGTTAGTGAGTAGCTTCGTTTTGTGTCCCACGCCCACTCACCCTTCGTGGAGCTCGAATCTTGTGCCGCGCCCTCATCGCCGCCATTTTGAAGGTAGAATTGTTAAATCACAAGTTTTTTTAAAAGAAAGTGACACGGTCCGAGATGCAAGAAAAGTGGCAGTTGGAGAAACCTCTCCGCGGAGGCATCTCGGAAATTCAGTAGTTCCGTAGAAACATCGTCATTGCCTTTTTTCCCTGCGCTTCGGTCCGACACTCTTTCAAGCTTTTGTCGACAAAGCCATCAGTCATCAGTCTTCGAACCCCGTTTTCAATCCTCGTCAATCATGCGCGCTTTCACCTCAGGGCTCCGCCCATTCAGTGCCTTGTCGCAGCACATTACACGCTCCTCGCGCTTCCTCTCTACACAACCTCTGCGTTCGCGCTCACCTCTCTCTTCAGTCCTCCCTCACTCACGAATCTTCGCTCCAACACAACTTCGCTACAACTCAAGCACCCCTCGTCCCCTGACCGAGGCGCCGAAGAGCCAAACTGAGAAAGAAGCGGAGTGGGAGGCAGCGAACCAGGAGCGTCGCAAGAATGAGGAGGCCTACCGAATTACTTTTACTTGCAAGCCATGTGGCCATCGCTCTGCACACCGCATGTCAAAGCAGGGTTACCACCGCGGAACCGTTCTGATTCAATGTCCTTCGTGCCAATCGCGCCACGTTATGAGCGATCACCTCGGAGTATTCTTTGATAAGAAGACTACTCTCGAGGATCTACTGAAGGAGAAGGGTCAGGCGTTGACCCACGGCCACACCGATGGAAACCTCGAATTCTGGGATGATGGCACAGTGAAGAGCTATGATCTAGAGGGCAAGGAGAAACTTGGATCTCCCGAAGAAGAGAAGAAACTGGGATCCTCCAGCGAGAAGTCGGATTAATTGCGTCCAAAATGACAAGCATACATAGATGCTTGATGGATTGTGTGCATACAACGGTGTCATGATATTGGGGTTGCCTGGTCGAAATGTGTATATTATAGTGAAAACTCTCCGCTCAGCATGGCAGGATCCAGGCATTGAGGCAAAGGATGGATACCCACAGGGCTATGTATAATAGAGATGAATGACCCAGTTTGGAGAAAAGTTACATACAAAATTTGATGTATTTTGTACAGAATTGCTTCGGAGAATATATACATTGCACGTAATCAAACCCAGCCCATAACGCCAGCACTTTTAATATGCCAATAACACCGGCTCATGAGACATGCAAATAGATGCCAACACTTTTCTACCAACCGCGTCTCTTTCCACGGTGCTCCAAGCCCTTCTCGCGGCGCTTGTCTCTCTTCCGCTCGTTCTTCTTCATCTTCTCACGTCCGTACTTCTCGGGATCAGCAACGGCATCGATGCGACGCTTGGCACGTCTTCCTTCACGGCGTTCCTTGATAGCCGCCTGCACTCTAGAGATCTGCTCAATGTACTCGGAAGGACCGAGCTTCTTCTGGAGAAGATCCAAGACCTCGTGGCAGTTGGAAACAAGAGACTTGTACGTGTTCTGGAACGTCTCGTCCGATGAGCGAGGCGCTGGGATGGACGGATCGGTCAAATGCTGCAGGGGAATCAGGATGACGCGGAGAGAGGGACGGATTTGATCAACATCGACATGACGAATCAGAGCAGCAAGAAGCGTGACCGATGAAGTCTTGGGGATAAGGGCCTGTGGCCGGCCTCCGATGGTTTCCCGGCGCAGAAGTGATGAAATCTGCTTGAAGATGTAATGGGTCGCAGATCGGTTGGACTCAACCTTGATCGCATCCTGAGCCTCTTCCTCGGCATCACTATCAGCATCCTCATCCTCGGACTCGACATCCTCGTTATCTAGCTTGGGCAGCTCCAGACCGTTCTGTGAGCAGCAACGGCCAAGGAAGACGGTGTTGCGCACATTCTGCATGGCCAGTTCTTCGGTAATACCAGGAGTGCGTAGACCACGAAGACCAGCCCGAAGAAGCCGAAGCATCGTAGGCTGATCCATCGATAGCCCGGAACTTCCAACCAGAGGAATAGAAGCGTATCCCTCGGCAGCATTGGTTTTGGCCAGATCGGCCATCCACAAGCCGACAACGTTGGCGGCGCAGGTCTTCACCCATGTGTGAGGGAAGAACAGGGACTCTTGGACAGATGACCAGATGGAAGAGCACTCTGGGCTCAAAGCAAGTGTGGGGGTTGTCTTGCAAAGCTTTGTAAATAGTTGCAAGGCAAAGTAGAGAGCTTCCCAGTTGCCATTCTCGGTGTCATCAAGCACAGGCTGCATCAAACCAGGAAGAATGCTGACGACAAAGCGAGCCTGCTTCTCTTTCCCATTTTGCTCGGACTCGAAGTAGATGCGCATGGCTTGCAGTCCAATACTGCACAGGGCCATGTTGTCGGTCTGCTCCAACCAAGAGCGCAATGGAGTCAGCATGGTCTTTGTTTGCTCCCGGTCTGCACGGTTGAAGAACTCTCCCAGCAATGTACCTGCCAACTCGCGACATTCGGGCGATTCATCATTGGCCATAGCAAGGACGATTGGCAGGAAGAAAGTACTGATGATGTCCTGAGCCAACTCCTGACCTGTCTTGGAAAGAAGCGTATGCATTGCCTCCATAACGGATTGACGTCCAGACTGGTGCTTGTAGTCGAGGTTCTTAGAGAAGAACGCAAGTTGCTTGGTCCATCGGCTCTTCGCCTGTGGATACTCAACAAGGAAATGAACGTAGGTACCCCGGGCAAGATCACGCGCAGATCGGGTCTGGTTGGTGACCATCATGGTTGCGATTTGGTCCATCAGCTCATACATCTCTGGCACAACAAGCTTCCGTGACATGACCGCTCGGATGAAGTTGAATGTCACACCCTGGCGATCTGGTTCTTCGATGTCAGATGCCAGACGTTTAAGGAGATAGGCAAGGTGGCCATCACGGAGCTTGGTATCCTTGCGCTCACGCAACATCGAAGAAATCAGCTTCAGTGAAGCTTGTGCCGCTTCAGAGTTGGTGCTAGGGGATTCTTTAACAAGCTTGACTGCTTCAGTAAAGTAGACATGCGAGTTTTCATCAATCTCTGAGAGCGGGAGCTTGATAATTGTAGACAACAGACGGAGCGCAGAAACCTTGACTTCCTCCTGTGCCTGGACAAGGGAATCACCGATGATGGGGATGAAACCAGCCAGGTTAGAAGCCGTGAGCAATGAGTTGAATTTGTTGAGAATCGCACGAAGCACATCAAGCGAGAAACGTGTAAGCTTGTAGACGTGTGAGGATGTCGTACCCCTGTTATCACCCCGCTTGGCTCCTTGCAACCTGACCAGGAAACGTTCCTCGGACCGGGACTTGGGGGCTGCCTGAGTCTCTTCTGGGGCGTTTTCACGGTAGGATTCCTTGATGACTTCGTAACAGAACACCAGCAAGTCACGGCTTTCGGCATCTGGGTTTCTCAGCAAGCCAATGCCGATTCTCCGCATCAATTCATCGAGTTTCTTGACGAGACTCGAATTGAGCTTCTCCCCCAGGAGTGCCTGCAAAGGCTTGATCAAATTCGACAGTTGGCTGATGGTTGAGATCTTTGCGAGGAGCTCCATAGAGTCGTAACTCTTACTACTCTTCACTTCAACCATTTTGCTGGTGTAGCCTTCGGCGTCCTTTTCCTGGCCAACAGTGCCAAATGTGTCATCCATCACAACAGCGACCAAATCCTTCAGACAATAGTCCAGATCTCCCTGCTTGAAATGATCTGTAGTGTAGACCAGCATAGAATGGACGGTGAAGGAGAGAACGTGAAGCTGGTAGCCTCGCGCAAGAACGTTTCGAAGTTCCTTGAGAATGTAGCCGAAATAGACGGGACCCAGAAGAAGCGCAAGCTCGTTGAGTGTCTTCCGTGCTGTGTCGCGGGAGTCCTGTGCTTTACTCTTGAGAGTAGTACAGACGTCCAGCAATACGGGCGGCAGACGAATAGCCAGCTCCTCCTCCGGAAGGATCATGAGAAGCTTGACAGTCGTGATCGAAGCGGGCAGACGCAAACTCATCTCCTTCTCCTGCTTGTGATGAATGTATTTTGTGAGGAAAGGAATGAAGTTTGTAGTGAGTTCCGTTGCAACCTTTGCAAGCGATGGAACGGACTTTGCGAGAGTGCACATGGGCTGTTCAGTGATATCCATCTTGTCCTCGGTGGCATCGCCATCATTGTCCTGAGCAGATGTGGCCTTCTTTCGCTTCATTGCGCTGGAAAGAGCATCTGACATTCGACCGAGTAGTCTGAGGATGTTCTTCTCCTTTTCAGGCTTGCTCGCCATGTAACTGCGGTATCTGCGGAAGTTGGCTCGGAACTGTCCCCATTCTAACCACTCTGAAAGAGCACCAAGGGTTGCAACACCTTCAGCAATCAGGTTGTGGGCGTTCTCATCGGCGGCATCTTCGAATACGAAATGTTCAATCAAGGGAATGAAGATGGAACCCAAGTTAGAGGCTTGGATGTTGCCCTGGGCGGCATCTCCAGCTAGACGGCGCAAGGCACGCTGTCGACGATGCTGCTGAATGTGGAGAATGTTGTTGAAGAATGAGGCTTCTTCATCATCTCCGACAAGCAGGACGTGCATGTCTTGCACAGAGGGTCTGGTAGGATTCATTTTGACGAAGTAACCAATGACAGTAACGACCTCAGAGCGAATCAGCTCGGACTTTTGGCGAATACCGTACTGCAGTGATGGGAAGAGAACATCGTTGATGAGAGCCTCGAACTCGGCATCCGGTTCGGTAGCTGTCCGGTCAATGAACCGTTTGAGACCAAATGAGGCGCTAGATCGAACAGAAAGCTCCTCTTCATCTCTGACATGGAAGAGCATATTGTAGAGAAGGGGCCTCCATTGCTTGGCCGTCAGGGTTTCAGATAGCTCGTCGGTGATCTTCCTGAATGCGATTAGACGTCTCTCGTAATCGGGCTCTAGCCTCTTTACTGAGCGAGAGTTCAAGTCTTCACACAGGACTGCCACCTCCTTCAGTTGCTCGTCGTGGGTAGCAAGAGCCGTGAACACTCGGGACAACACCTCTCTGTTCGCATCGTCTTTGAAGTAATCGAACATGGAGCAGACAGCGTCAAAAACTTGCTGAGCAAGCTCAGCGTCTTCCTTGGGGTCCCACAAGGGCAGGAAATGCTCGAGAATCTTCAGCAAACCAGATTTAGTTCTAGGACTGACGCGGTCTGGTGGCTGTCGAAGCAAGTATGTCGTAATCCCGATGAGGCGGGCAGTCTCTTGGGAGCTTTCGACGCAGGGGGCAATCAACGAAAGGGCATTCACACCCGAGTAGAGAACAGGCTTCGAAGGGCCTCTCTTGAGAAGGCGGCCAAGATGGAACAAAGCATGCTCCAAGTAGGGAGAAAGAACCTCAGACTTAATCTGATCGGGAGGGAAATCAGGCATTTCTTCGCTATCCTGCAATTTCTTGCCAGTAGAGTGTTCTACCAAAGGCACAAGAATTTCATCCAACACAAAGTTCTTGACCTCATCACGGGCTGACTCTACCGCGAGACAGTCAATGACCTTTGTCAATACCTTGTCATTGTGCTGCACCAGATAGAATGTAGACCTAGGGAAAGAGGCCCAGGTATGGAACAAGCGCAGAAGACCCGAAACACCCTGAGCTGTCTCAATAGGGAACTGGTCAAGTCTGCCATCAATCATCTCCTTGAAAATGATGCGGACATAAGGTGACCAGTCATAATCAGGAACGATCGAGAAGACCAGGTTGAGGCAACGGATACATGTCTGACGAATGCTTTGGAATACAGCCAAGAGGCGTTCGTCTGTTCCCTCGTCAGAGATCGCGCGACAAGCTCGCACCAGGCAGTAGATGACGACATCCATAGTTTGCGGTGCAAATTTGGTCATGCGGGTTTGCAAGGACTCGAAGACAGAATCAATAAGCTTGAGCAGACCCAATTGTCTCTTGGGGCTTGTCAAATCTTGATCAAAGGCAGTGTAATCGATATCATTGTTGTCTTTAACGGGGTGCACACTGCCAAGAGAACCAAATGCAAGCTGAATGAAAAGACCAAAGTCCTGCTCCGAGAGGTGCGAAATAGTTCGAAGAATGGTCTTGCGTCTACCGGCTTGACCGGCAGCAGCTGAACCAGCCTTTGAAATCATTCGACCATACAATAGTCGAAGAAGTATCGGAAGAAGGACATCCCGATGTTCATTCTTGATCAGGCTGTCTTCACTGCCGACGTGAACGAATACACCTAGTTCATCCTTGAAGCGAGACTCATCCAAGAGATTGAGCAAGTTCTCCTGGTACGGGAGGACATTGGGATCTTTCCAGGTAAACAGAACCTTGAGGGCGTGGCGCTGCAAATCGGAGTTACCGTGGCACAGAAGTCCCAAGATTGCTGTGTGAACCTCAGGGGCCTTGTATAAGACAATGGGGTTGAGGAAACGTGCGAAAAGAGAAAGCATGGACAATCTGTCCCGGAAACCCCAGCGGACCTGGGCGTCACCAATTTCAATATCTTCGGCTTCATCGTCATCTTCGTCGTCACCCTTGGCCTCTCCAGATGGAGGGGCATCATCTTGGTCATCGCGCAAAGCCCATGACAGGAAGAGCGGTACAATCTGGCGCGATCGTTTTTCGGCAACTCCTGGAACGGCATTCAACACGCGCAGTGCATGGGTTCGTGGGGTGGCAGGAAGGATTTCTGCGACAGTATGGTCTTCTTTGAACTGTTGTGACAGGACGCTCTGGGGTTCATCTGTGCCCTTTGCGTTCGCGGCGAGGACCTTTTCGACCTTTACCACGTTGTAACACTGGAAATGGCTGTTGACAAAGGAGCTTTCGTCATCCTCCGCAGTAGGTTCACTGGGCGCCTCGGAGTCCCGCTCTTGCAGCCACTGGATAGACAGATTTGAGACAATTTTTTCACCCTCCGGGTGCTCGCTGATAGCCTTCAGGGTGGCAGCGGAGTCGTCCCATAGAGGAGCCAACTTCTTTGAAAACAGACCAAAGCAGAAGTATGGAACAATGTTGGCCATCCATCTACGGTGAGCAATCTGGGAATAGGAAAGAGCGAGTTTTCGGATATGCATGGAGACAGTCCGCACGCTGTCCATGGTGAGCGGACTTTGTTCAATGTCGATGGAGAGATCCAAGGGCATGGGATCTTCTTTCACGGCGCGAATGACCAATTCTCGCAGTATTTGAAGAGAAACCAGTCTGAGCCTGTGCGATGGACTAGCCAGGTTCACAATTAGGTCTTGCGCGAAGGCTTCAAGAGCAGGGTGTTCCAGGTCTGTTGTGTCTGGGAGTGATGTAATGAAGGCAAGGGCACCCTCCAAGAAGACTGGCAGGCGGGAGAATTTTGTAGCAGTCGCAAAGATAGGTTGCAAGAGATTGACATCGAGTTTACCAACTTGATTGGCAAGTTCAACGTAAGTCTTGAATCCTTGTCCGAGGAAGAACAAGAGACCATTTTTCTTGTTGGTTCCTTCGACCGCTCCATCCTTGAACGCCAGAACAAGATTGCTGTGCAATCTGGAAACCATCTTTGACATCGTAGCGTTGTCTGCAAACATGGAAATAGCCGCGGGAAGCTTTACGAGTGCGTTCAAGAATGCCTCGTCCTTTGCAGGGTATTTCAATGAATCATTGATGCGTGCCTTGAAGGTTTCCGGGCAGGAGATACATCCTGGCTGCGATGGCTCGGGGGTGATGCAGCCAGCCTGGTGTAGACGAAGGAGGGTGTAGCAGGTCTCTGATTCAGAGTTTTGCCATGATGAATTAATGAACTTTTGGAAAGGAGAAAGAAGCAGGCTCTGGAATCGCTCAGAGCCCCACTCAGCAAATGTCGTACAGAAGAATAAGAAATATTTTGCGAGCGGGCCAGTGGAGACCAGGTCCATGATAGTGCGGAGGGATGGCAGCAGCTCGTCCATTGGAGACTGTTGGAAGGCATACGCAACGCTTGTCAATAGTTTCGTTATCGTCTCTGATGGGACATCAGATGCTGCAACCTGCTGTAGCAACGATATGTGAATCTTATGAATGATTTTCCAGTTCTGGATTCTGACACCCTTACGGGTCGTCACAAGTAAGAAAACGATACGGCAGCACTCCGGAAGATTAGGGTTTGGTGTGGATTTTGAGCGCTCGTCGATATATTCCTGGACGGTATCGAGAATCGGACCGAACGTTTCGGGGGTCGTGGCGTGAACAAGACTGACAATCAAGCCACAGACAACTTCCGCGGGGTCGCTGCGGTTCTCACTGGTTGGCGGGATCTGACGCAGAACACAATGGAGGATATCCATGCCGTTGGAGTGAAGACCGTTATTGACTCCCCTAATGGCATCGGAGAACATGTTCATAAGTCCTCCCCTGTAGCTCTCGGTGTCTTTGTTGTCGTCGGCAGTCTTCGAGATGTCGTCGAAGAGATATGATACGGCAATCTCGAGGGGAGCGTGATTCTTATAGTAGGTGAGACCAGCCTTCCTGATAAGGAAGGACATCGATTCAGCGGCGAATCTTGCCACGAATGGCTTTTGTCGCTCTTTGCCAAGGTATGGGGCCATGATACCCAGCAATTGTCGTAGATCCGGTACCAATAATCGAGAAAGGAATTTGAAGATCCATGCCAGGCATGTGAAACTCCACTCAACTACCTCAATGTCGGGGTGTGTAGCCGCAACAGACGACACCAGTGTCACTGCCGTAGCGAAGTGCTTCTCAAACTTCACTCCCAAGTCCCGAGCGAATTGTGCAAGCAAACTTAATAACGGTTCCATGGAGAGTTGATCCCTCTTCTCAATGAACTCGACCAGGAGTCCCATAATCTTCTCTTCGTGGTAGACAACTTGCGCAAAACTCTCGGAAAGAGGGTTCACTCGTCGTACGAAAGTTGTGAAGTTATCTGAAAGGTTCATCTCGAACCAATGGTCGAGGGCCGACCGGAAATAAGACGACGTTTCGACTTCATCTTCGCCAAAGCTGGCCCGGCGCACGCGGTGGATCGGATCGATTTTGAGCTTCGAGATGCGTGATGAGAAGCCCTCGAATCGATGATTCTTGGTTGTTTCGGTGCCTGACTTAAGGCGCCTGACAGGCTTTGCCTTTGAGCCTGTTCCCACCATGTTGACGAGTCAGACAGGCAGTACTTGGTGAGAAAGGTCCTGGTCGCTTTTTTGTCTGATTCCGCATACAAAAAAAAGTTTAGGATGCGGATATTCTTTCTTCCTGACCGTTATCGGGCATGGTCACGTGTTGATAAAGAGCTCTGCGACTCGCGATCGTTCATGCTGCCCTTAGGCGTTGAAGCGCAGACCTATTTGCGTTATAGACGCTTCAACTTTGTTGGTTTTGTGTTATTTCTATAACTCAATGTTGACGTGTCGGTATTGACGTATTCTCTCACCAAAAATCCCCCACGTTGCTTTTGACTGCTCTTCTTCGTCAATCTCCACCCACGTCAATTCCAGGACTTGGAGGTCCTTTTATACGGGCAATGGCACCCAAATGGTAAGAAGCTCCGCTTCATCATTGAAGACTGGTTATTCACCCGATATCTAGTATTGTTGTGGGCGGCCTGAACGGCCAACTACGACCTTTTTTCACCAAGCTCGGGAAGCTGCAGCCCAAGCAAAATTTCTCTTTTGCAATCATTGTTGGTAACCTCTTTGGTGATTGCTCAACCGAAGAGGAAACTTCGGATGTCCATGCACTCCTCAAGGGCGAGATAGAGGTGGCATGTCCAACCTATTTCAGTCTCGGAAACCGCCCTCTCCCACCTCAAGTGGTCGAGAAAATCGAAGCCGATGATGAAGTATGCTCTAACTTGTTCTTCCTGGGGAAGCGAGGTAGTCTCAAGAACATGGAAGGTATTCGGATTGCTGCTCTTGGTGGAACTCTCGGGGAGTCGAAGGGGGACTCCAAACCAGAGAGCAATGCCGGTGGCAAGTTCCAGCCAACATATAGCGAGGCCGATGCGCGCGCACTATTCGGAATTCACAAAACGGATATTCTCATCACCAATCAATGGCCCAAGGATGTGCGCCTTGGATCGGGGCAGAAAGTCTCTGGAGATGAAAGCGAGTTGCCATCCGAGCTGCAATGTCTCGCCGATGTCTCTGCCACCCTTAGACCCCGATACCACTTTTCAAGCTCAGACGGCGCCTTCTTTGAGCGTGAGCCTTTCTTCCACATGCCGACAGAGGAAGGGGGTGGTTATCAGACGACACGATTCATTTCACTGCCGGCATACGGATCACGGAAGGACGCAATGTACGCCTTCAGCCTAGACCCCACAGCAGCCCCTCTTGTCAGTATCCCTCCTGGCCATACTATCTGTCCTTGGTCAGCGGCACAGAGCAAGCGCAAGACGCTCCCCAGCCAGAAAGAATCGTTCCAGCGCTTTGCTCCCTCAGACGTAGACAGAGACCCTGGTCATAAGAGACGCCACAAGCAACGCGCTCCTCCTCCAGGTCCAGATCAGTGTTTCTTCTGCCTCGCTAACCCCAACATCGCCACTCACCTTGTCACATCCATCGGTGATCACAGCTATTTGACTACTGCGAAAGGACCCTTGCCGTCAGAAAAATTCTTCCCCTCTCTGGACTTCCCAGGCCACACACTCATCATACCCTTCGAGCACTCCCCCACCATTGACTTAATCTTCGATCCTGAAACCCGCGCTTCAACCTTCGCAGAGATGCAGCGCTATCGCGAATCTCTCAACCAAATGCTCAACGAGCAATCAGGTGGTAAACTCGCCTCTGTGACATGGGAGGTCAGCCGAACAAACGGAATTCATACACACTGGCAATGGCTCCCAGTGCCCGTGGAAAAGGTCCGCGGACGTCTCGTAGAAGCCGCATTCCAAAAAGAAGCCTCCAACCTGCGCTACGAGAAATTCAAGACCATCCAAAGCCGCGAAAACATCGATGAACACGGCATGGACGATTACTTCCGTCTTTTCATCTGGACTCCCCCGAGTGCCGAGAGCGAACCCAAAAGTGAGGGTGAAGCGCAAGATTTGTGGTCTGCTGCTGGTCACAAGGGTGTTTACAAGACTGAGTCTGGCGAAGAGAAGATCACAATGATGCCCATTGGGCCTGAGACCCGATTTGATTTGCAGTTCGGTCGACGTGTCATGGGCAAATTGCTGCTGTTGGATAAGCGGCTGGATTGGAAGGATTGCACACAGACAGAGGAGGAAGAGACAAAGGACGCGGAAGCTTTCAAATCAGCGTTCAAGAAGCATGACTTCACTTTGGAGATGGATGAGTGATCCACTTTCCTAGCATCGCACTGTCATCCTGATTGACTTGCTATGTTACGGCTTGACCCTGTGTCCCACAATACGGATGGATATATGGCATTTGTGATTTTCTGGTCAATCGGTCCTTCTTGTGGGGCCTCTAACATACCCCATTTGGGTGTATGTTTGTACTTTATGCTGACATGTGAATAATGAGTCCGGGCTGCTCAGATTGAGCCTCGTCCCAATGTCATAATCCCTCCAATGTCCAGGTAAACCGCGCCCTGCAAGTTCAGTGGCCGGGGTGAGCAAGGTACTTCTAGATTTGAATTTTTGCTCATAGCCCAGACCAGCATGTTGAAGCCTCATAGCAACCATCTTCCGCCCTCTAGGGATTCGCAATCTGAAATCAGGCATCCTTGCATGGTGGTACGGAAACCAAGAATTGCTTGCTAGAAAAAAAAGTCTTCAATTCCAGGTCTAAGCTTGACATGGGGGGTATGTATGTAAAGTAAACGAAGACAAATACAGCCCGAGAATGGTATCAAAATCGAAAAGAAAAAAAGAAAGCGTCTGTTCATGAAAACCTCGATCCACGAGGATGCTCAAGAGCACTCAGAAGTTACTTGAGGCATTGAGGTTAGGCTTTTTGCCACTTTGCAAGAGACTCGGTGGTCGGGTGTAATCTGGCTCAGGGGTTGTGACTGCAGCGCCGTGCGGGTTGTATGTGGCGTACTCGGTAGTAGGAGCCGAGAAAGCAGGGGGTGGAGAAGTGGCACCAGGCGAGTAACCGCGGTAAGCAGGCTGGGAGGTGTAGGTTGGTGGATAATGGCTTGATCCGAAAGAAGGCTGGCGCTGGAAGCCTGGTGTTGGGCTGTGGTCTTCTGTGGATAAGGCCATGGGAGCAGGATTGTATTGCGTGGTCGGGTTATGGCCTGCGACAGGTGAGGGGGATGTCATGGCATGATAGCCTGCCCCTGCACCGTAGTTGTCACCATATCCTTCTTGGTAGGAATGGTCGTAAGGATTGTGGGGGGCCATGGGTGAAGCCAGACCCGGAGAGCGCGGGGCATAAGGGTCTGGGGTGCTATATGCGAGTCCTGGGCCCGGTGACCGTCGTGCATAAGGGTCGACCGCTGCGGCCGGTGGGACTATCCCAGGGGAACGTCGCCCGTACGGGTCTTGGGTCGCAGCCAGGGCTGCCGCTGGGCCTGGCGATCGGCGGCCGTAGGGATCTTGTGCTGCTGCAAGGGCCGCCGCTGGTCCCGGGGATCTTCTTCCGTAGGGATCAATACCTCCGGGGGAAGGCACACCAGGCGAGCGTCGCGCATAGGGATCTTGGACTGGGGTCAATGCGGGGCCGGGTGACCGGCGGGCATAAGGGTCAGTAGGTGCGAAACCTCTGTAGCCGTTTGCCATGCTAGCGTTGGAGGACTGATCCGAGAACGCGGCGCCAGGAGTCCCGGCGCCCTGCTTTCTATCTGGGGGGTTCAGTGCCGCCAATTCGACGTCTTCGTGGTGATCCTGGTCCTCGACATGCTTGTCTTTAGCCCCTGCCCAGGTAGGCATCTCAGGAAGAGCATCCTCATTGACCTGGACTGCGGGGGATTTTGGCGCATCGAAGCGGGCAGTCTGCTCGGCACCGCGGTACGATGGAGGAGCTGGGGGCGCTTGGTAAGTTGGATTGGGGGCAGGTGGAGGTGATTGATGGTAAGTTGGCTGATGGAAGGCCGGGTCGTCAAAATGCTTTGGCGTTTTGTTCCTGCGTCTGCCAGATGGACAACAGCAGCTACAGCAACATTTGCAGCACTGATAACCGCAGCAAAGACAATTGAAAATGCATGCTAGCACCGCGAGCAAGATCACGGAACCAACGATAATACCAACAATAACGGGCCACCTGGAGTCATTAGTTCCGAGAACGACGTATGTGCACTCAGTATGCGCAGGTTCTTAGGTGGAAACTCACTTGCAATATGACTTGGCCATGCACTTATCCCAACTCGAGAAGGTTGACGGAATCGACTCGAGGTCGCTGGCGGTGTCTCGCGCCCATAGCTTTATGTTTGCGGGACTCATGGTTATGAGAAGTATAGGTCGCAAAGAGTCATCCGAGTATTACAGTGATAAGAAAGCCGTCTGCGGTAGTATGCTTAACGAGGTAGCGGGAACCACTGCGCAGCGGTGCAAATGTGGTGTACTCCGTCGTTCATGCGACGGCGGGTCGGGGATCGTGGTGGGGCGCTCAGTGTCTTAAAATGTTGCGATTCCAATGTAGCGATCGTGAATGTGAAAAACGGCGAAGCGGACTGCTCGAATAGCAGAAAGCAAATGAATGGCAGGCAGCAGAGTACCAAAATAGCAGACAGGTAAGATCTGACCCAGCGGATCCCCAAGAGTCTCCAGATCCCACAGGGCGCAGTCTGAAGGTAATGTCTCGGACGCAGAAACAGAAAAGCAGAGACACACAGAAGATGAAACACACAGGGGAACCGAGTAAGGGTTGACAGAGTCTCCATTAGTTGTCCCCGCCTCCGCCTATCACAGTCCCGCGGGAGACGACAGACGCGCATCGTCATTAACGATACATCCACCGTTTGTCGATCCTTCTGCAGGTACGGAGGAATTCTACACACTGGTAATATCTGCTAAATCACCTTACTCGTGAGCTATAGGACAATCACATCTTAGGTGAAAGGTGGGCCTTGGCTCTGGAGTACTCTTGATCAGTACTGGCCGATGGATCATACCTACATAGTCGACGGCTATCTCTCCCCACAATTAACGGGTTAGCGTACAGGATTCTTGGAGGTACTAACTGCAATTGACCATTCTGCACATTTGAATTCATTCCCCACAAACTGCACACCGTTGAGAATAAAATAAAAATACCCCGCGAGTGCATCAATGAACCTAACCCTGGAAGACCCGTGGACAGCGAAGTATGTACCGGCATCCACCACCTGGGCAGCGGCAAGGGATGATGCCCCATGAGCATGGACCTCGGGAGGCACCTGGGGAGATGCATGCTCCCACAGTACTACTAGTATGTATCTCGAAAGCCTGGCTAAGTACGGAGCACAGAGTACCCAGGTGGATACTCTTATTTCCCCGTAATTATGTGCGGAGTAGATATGTATGTACAGCACACAATCCAGCAGTACCTAGAACCATTGTGATTCCAGGGCTCAGAGGTGTCCACGGGTGTCTCCTCCGCAGTACAGTAGACCGCTACTAGAAACCTTGGAAGGTGATTCCCACCCTGGAGGCCCCAGGTTCCAATAGAAAATATTGAGAGGACGGCAGGACCTCGGGGGGTAGGTGGGAGGAAACCTTAGAATGGTCCCAGGTGCAGAGTACCTAGGTAAAAAGCGAACTTTCCAGTACCGTTCAACTGAAAGACCAGCTTTATGAGAGGTCGTGGTGCCCACCCGGGCAGATGATATATCGGTGGAGGCTAAGGTCAAATTGAAAGACCTCGGGACAGAGGGGAAACCTTGGAATGTACCTACCTAGTAGTATGGATACTTGGGACCTTTCTATAAGGTCGTCGGGGTTTGTACACGGCATTTAATTCCAACCTTGAAGGCAACCTTGGAAGGGTATAACATGTATTGTACTGTACTCCCAAGGTCTACAATTCGAGTTGGTTGAATGTGTACAGTATGGATATGGTGGATATATATGTGCGGCCTCGGAAGCCATATTCGGTGTGGGGCGATTTCTGATACATCAAGGATTTCATTCCATGCTAACGACACTTGCCACACTAGAGGCAAATCACTTTCAATCTGTAGAATTTGGGTGAGGTCCGAAGTGTGAGAGAAATCAAGATCGAAGAATCTTCCATGGTCGCTGCTTTGGTTTGCCTGAGCAAATCCTCACCGTGACATCTACCCAGACCAAAGGATTTTACTACCAGGGAAAACGGATTTGAAAGTATTTTTTTCATTCTCACAAAGGAAATCAAACATATTTGTAACTGGTGTCTCCTGATTACCCAATTCCAACCCATTAAATCTCTGGGAAAACATCCAGTGAGAATTTCCCGACATAAGCGGCGAAACCTCGTATGTACAGCTGCACAGTCTCGAGTCGACATAAGATCCTCCTCACACACAAGGAACCGATCCAAGGGGTGTTATTAACAGGAAGAACAAAAGGCATGCATGATGCAATGATTAACAAGACGACAAATCGAGAGCAGAAGGCACAGCGAGGAATGCAAATTCCTGAAACTGTACAGAAAAGGCCAAGTGGATTAAAGGGCGATAAGAGTCAAGGAATGTGTTCAAGAAAAGGAGATGCCAGAGTAAAGGCAAAATGTTCGATGGGGTATCTGGAGCCCCGAGGTATCGAAAAGGAAAATCCGGCGATGGTAATTGGCCGTTTTCATGGGCACTTGGTGCCAGGTCGTGATAGAACATAGGAAAATAGGCACTTGGATAGATGGAGTCCGGGATGCTCATAGCCCGAGGTTGATCGTGGGCGATTCGTGGAGTGGTAAAGACCACTGATAGGAAATGATGGGCGGAGCGAAAGGGCCGCCAAAGAGAGGACGATGCCGGGCATCAAAGTTTTGTGAATGCGAAGCGAACAAAGCCAGCGCTATCGCGGACAGAAGCCTGATCACTGGTGATCTGGCAAATGCAAGTCAAGCATGCAATGAGAAAGAAGAAAAGGCTGGGAAAAGAAAAGAAGAGAAAACCGCCGTAAAACATCATGGGATGCATCAGCCAAACACCACGCTCCAACGAGAAAATTGAGGAGAAAAAAATAGCAAGATCGAAAGAGCTGCCGAGTGTGTTGTTGTTTTTTTGTTTTAGTAAGAAAGCATTCTGCGTCCTGGAGTTCGTTGGGGAACTGGGCTCGCAGAGAATGAGCTCGCAGAGAATGGCGAGTCTAGGAAACGACTTTTGGGGCTATCGCCGAGGCGGCAGCGGCCAGTCGGACTATCTTCCATTTGGGGTGAATGTTCACCGAAGGCGAATGTTTGGGCACGGTTGAGCTTGGAGCGCTGCTTGACCTTTCCGAGGCCACGCTCACAGGCGAACTCATGCTCCTTGTCGGCCATCTCAACGTAATTCTGGGGGAAGCAGAAAGAGCGGTGCTCGGCGAAGAATGAGCTATATCCACCATCAAGGATGTACATGTCGGGATATGTAAGGTTGGGATAGGTATCAACATTAATAGCACGGTCCTGGTGACGAAGATACTTGGCCATGATGGGGGCACGGTGAGCCGAGTATTCACAGTGCAGTACCAAAGCAGTACGAGATTGTGGGGCGTTAAATAGCTCGCTGGCGAGACGATCCTTGTCGTTGAAGTTGACTGCACCATTGATGTGACCACCCTCGTACTCATACTCGAAGCGGCAGTCAATGATCAGGATGTTATCAAACTGGTCGTTAAACTTGCCATCCATGAGCTCCAACAGGGTGCTTTTGTCGATGCGAGGCAGTGAGTCCGCGCGATCCTCAGGGATGAAGTGAGGCAGCTTCATGCTGGGCGGGCTCTGAATGTCACTAACGGACTGGACGGGTGTATTTGTCGCTACCTTGGCCTCTTTATCGGCAATAACATCTGCAGGGTGCTCAAACATACTCAATGATCTCCGGCATTGCTTGCGGGGACGCATCAAGGGGTGAGAGGGTTTGCGGATCGAGCTGGGTGCGGGTGAACCGCTGGTACGGGCATGGAATGGGGGTCGCAAACGCGGGGGAGCCAAGCGATCTGAAGAGCTGTTGCGGGATACAGAGCGCTCGCGTGGAGGAGAGTCACCGAACATATCCTCAAGAGAAGTAGAAGTACTGAGGGAAGTCTTGGTGCCGGTACCGAAGCGGAAAGGTGGTGCCTTACTTTCTGGCGCCGGACGAGTCATACCAAGTTGGAACGATTGGGCCTTGCTTCTGGCCAAGCTTGGACGCAGGAAGGTAGGACGTTTGCGTCTTGAATCCATGTTAGTTTCCTTTCTTCCATCCGTTGGCACATCTACTTACTCAGGCTGACACAGTGGTGACTCCATCGGGGAGGCTTGGAGAGGGCTGGGCACTGGAGAAGCGAGAGGAGAGACCATCGGACTGCCTTCTGACGTAGGCGATTGAAGTTCAATCTCGGTCGTGACGACAAAGGTAGGCTTCTTATGCGGGAGTGGTGACATTTCCATGAAATCCATACCGGGTGCTGGTGAAGACGAGGGGAGAGGAGGGGTGGTCATCATTTCATCTATATATTATGTTAGCATAGGCTCTGGGATGAAAGAGACCAGCCTTACCATTAGAGTTGGCCTGGCCAAGCATGTTGGCCGTGAACAAAGACCGCCGGGGTGTGGCCAACTGGGGACTATATATAGAGTTAGTACACCTTTGTTCGTGCCATCTGAAAGAAATACTCCACACAAAACGTACCTTTGATCAATGTGGAAGTTCTGAGAGAGATCTGCAGCCAAACTAGCAGTAGGTGAAGATCCACGGACCGGCTTCATGTTGAAGTAGTCCGAACTAGACTTCTTCATTGACAAGTCCTTGAAGTTGAAAGGGTTTCCACCAAAGCCAGACATGGGATGCAAAGAGTATGACGGCGCATCTGAACGGAAACAATGACCGAACATCACTGACGGAGGCTGCATAGCAGCGAGAGGCGACGAGTGTTCCATGCTCCCGACGTCCAATTGCAACCGGACCGGCGAACGTGGTACAATTGGATAACTGGGCCCTAGTCACAGAGGTCTACCCAGAGCTAGGTCCTACACTGAGGTCCGGAAAAAGTTGACTCTCAAAAAGGTCTGTCTCCACGTTTGCAATTTCAACGTTATGGGTCCCCACGATCTCCGTGACAACCAGTCCACCCGAAGAAAAAAATTTCCGTTGACCCTCCGTAACGAGAGTCGAAGCTGCGATTCGAGGTCGAATTAAAGGGCCATGGCACGGATTCGCGATTTCGGGATATTTTGGAAGGTTGTATGTCGGCGATTGGAGGGGTCGGGGAAGCTCGTGGGTGCTGCAGGACTGAGGGGAAGTCCAACAATGAGGTCTAAATGGACGAAAGCACCAAACCTTTTGGATGAAGCGAAACCAGAGTGAGCCGTGAAATTGTGGAATGTCGACTGGATATGAATAAAGAAGAGAGGAAGAGAAGCAGGAACAAAGCGGTTTGAAGAAAGAACTGAAGCTGAAGGGATGGTCTTGTTGCAATGGGCAACGCAGGTGGGGAGGATCACCAGTACTGTATTGCGGCAACGTAATTATGGTAATCTGGATAATAGGAATTTGACATCAGAGTACTACTGTACAGGTCTAGCAGACTGAGACTGTAAGATTTGATCCGCGGGCGTGCCAAACAGCTAGGGTTTCCTAGTATAGAGGAACCTACTACAGGTATGGTATTATTACATACAGTGGGCCGGCCAGATGGGGAAATTCTTTTAATTAAAGCATCAAGAATCGCTGCAAAGGGCAATGGAAAATCTAAAGAGGAAAAAGAAAAAATGGATTTTAAAATCCAAAGTCAGTGCAGAAGAACGATCTTCGGTATGCAACAAGATGGAGAGCGTGTGAGAGAGGAAAAGATAATCCCATGCTCTGGCTAGGGGCCGAATACCTTTCTGGGCTCCGGTTGCCGGGGCTCCCTTGCCGCAGCAACCCAGCGCCTATCACAGCACATTCGCTGAGTTCAGAGCAAAGGGAGGACTTGGCTTCCAGGGCTGCAATTTCTTCCCCCTGCTCGCTATAGGGAGCGTATGTCTTTGAACTATATATGCAATCTTCTGTACGTCGAGAGTCAAAAACCACGCTATTCCATGTCTCTTCCATGGTTCCTCTGTATAATATCCGTTTGGTACCCACCGTATGGAAACGAATGGTTTTTTTTCTTACTGATGATTGTCTGCTCGGTTTCACCATCCCGTGTGTCCCGTCAGAGGAACAGGTGAGCTGAAAAAAACGGAGTCGAAATCAGATCGAGTCTAACGAGATCTCCACTTTCGTTCCACTTCGGAAAAATCAGAGCTTTACCTTTGCTGCACGCTGCAAGTGATTCCGATCTCCAGGCAAGGGATTGAATATTGCAGAGCTTGTTCTCCTACGTTGGGGCTCAAACGTCACCCACGGGCATATTCCCATCCCCATCCCCATACCCCATACATATCTATAGAGTAACTTGGCCAACGCGCAGCGTTCTCCGGAATATGTATGGAGGTCCTGCGGTGATCCTCTAGCGAAAGCGCTAAACTCACTAGAGGCTCCGATAAGAGAGAGAGAGGACCCATGATCACATTCAATGGCAATGGAATGGTTTACCGAGGTGGTGATTGGCTTGCAGTGGGATCTAAATCTACATACCCCATTGATCTGGCGTCATCTCCGAGCTCGCAACGAACTTTGGACCCCGGTTAGGCGATACCAAAGCCGATCTTGAGCATGGAATCTGCTCTCTGCGACGTCGTACACATTGGGGTGATCCGGGTATATCGCCCGGTGCCTCCCCTTCCCTGTTCAGAGCCCGGCACGTAGCATTGAGCAAGGAATGACTATCAAGATCTTGGACGATATTGCTGTCTCCCCATACATACCCGTGCTGCCCTTACTTGCACCCGCATTCTCGCTGATCAAGGGCCCGCGTCAATGTCGCGCATCCCTTCCATGGCCCCTTGGATTGTTTTATTTGCTTAAGTCTATTGAAACCTTCGTAGTTCCTGACTTCGTCGCCTGGGTATCTGAAATCTCGACTTCGAATCACCTCAGCGACAATGGAAGGGTATGGTAGAACATCCGTTCCGCTGGCGACGGATTCCGAAGCCTTCGCGGTACGACGTCACTGGTCGGACCCGACCGCGAAGAGCGATTATGACCGAGACAACCTGCTCGGGCAACTCTCGTTGGCCTAATTAACGCGACACGCTACCGTGAACGGAATGGTTCAGCGAGAGTGTGATGGGGAAAGATCAACAGAGCTTGTTATGAATCGATCCCCTCGGATCTGGGAATTGCACGCGACGTCGAGCTCAATCGCGAACACCACCTCGAATTCGCCACCTCCAAGCGGCTCTTAGATGAGATGAAACTGCTAGTCGCAGAGCTGGCCCCTCGTCCACCAGTCACAGTGGATATCCGGCTCCGACTAACTCCTGTACCCCACGGAGCTATTCTTGGGTGCTTGAAACGACCGGGATATCGGTCATCCCAGACTGTCCGATAAACCGAGCTTATGCCCTGATCCTTGTCATTGGCCGCATCCCTATGCAGCTCTCGCAAGGCTGTCGCTGTAACACCATGGTCAACAATGCGGTGAGCACTATCATCCTCCCGGGCCTCAGGCCTTGGCCTCTGAGTCTACGTCATGAATCCAATATAATCGTGTGCACCGTGCACGTTGGTAAACCTGCTGAGTTGCACCATGACGTTTGATATGGCATCTGCCTCAAGCGCCTCAATGCAGTTCGCAACCGTCGCGGTTTTGATATATCACTGTTGATCGGTGTTCGAGCCGAGAACGTGGGCATTCGCAGACGCTATCAGGAAAATGAACCGTCCGACCGGCTGACAGGCCCTGCAGTCGGTCGCCCCGATCCCTCCCACTGCGCCATGCCAGCTTAAGTGGGGTCTTGTGTGATGCGTCAATTGTATGCGATGGGCCAGTCGTATCCGGTCTCCAGCCGACTCCCTGCGGGGTTCATCACACTCGTGGATGCTGCGTCTAGACCTTTTCCCCTCCGTCTCAGGTTCTCCATCCAATGGTGATGTCAGATCTTCAGGTTTTGTTGTTCGCGCGCCGGTTTCGAAAAGGTAAACAAAAGCAACCTCTCGCGAAAGTGATGCGTTGTCCCGTGATCGTGGGATGACATCAACTGGTCTGGTATCGCCGTACGTCTGTACGTCTGTACGTCCATACGGTACTTCGAAATACCCGTACCCTCATTTCCCCTGATCCTTCTATTCTTCCGACTCGCACCGATCTGCGCCGCTATTGAACTCCCCGGGCTGCCATTTATGCGCCGGCGCCTCATCGGCTGCGTGCCTGTCAGCCTCCTAACTAGCTCCCTTAGCATGCTGCTATTCACTCTTAGTCACTCCACCTCTGAATACTGTCCCCATATCACATCCGTGGATAGCTCCCGATCTTCCCTAGATGCTGGATGTATCCAATTTAGCCGCAGTGCATGGATCACTCCATACAACGGAGACCCTCCGATCACTTATTGCGGGAGCACATCACACTATCAAAAATCTCTTTCCTTTTTGTCATTTAGAGTACTCCGTACCCCATATGGACGCTGGAGTCCTCGTACTCCGCTCCTATCGTGATCACCTAAGCTCTGCCTCGTAGCCTTGCTCCGCCTCGTATTTCAGCTCAGCTTGCCTAGCCTGTCTAGCTCGCCCCGACCCCGTCCTAGCGGCCACCCTCCGCACGCCGTCGGTTTCGCTTCCACAGCGATGCTCGTTCAGTAAATCTGTAAATTCTCGAATCGTACCAGTCTATAACCCAATTTTAGCCTCAAACTGTACAGTGTGTATGTACAGTCCCATATGAGATGACATCTGCAGCCCCTGAAACTCAGGCTGCATCTATCACAACGGTTGCCGGGACACTCAACTCCACCTTCACGCCAAACTCCATACATTATCACTCCGAGACCCGTTTGAAGTAGACAGACGCGGTTTCGCACGAAATCCGCTCCCACATGTCATTTGCACGACGCAATTAAGCTCCAAAAATCACCTAAGTCCATGCAGGTCCCCACACTCTTCCAACACATCAGTTCTGACACAGAGGTAATTTTCCCAAACACATATATAAACTCCAATGCTAACTCCATAGTCTATGCATATTGACACCTCTGCTACTCCGTACAGATCATGCATCTACTTGATATGTGTAGATTGTGAGGCATAGTCGGCCATCTCTCGTGGGAGCGTCGGGCGCAGTGTACTAATATAAATAGATGGAATCCTCCCGGTTGCACTTGACAACAGACAATAGTTCAGCATCTGGAACTTCGGCCTACGGTCTCGTTTTTGCGATTCGTCATTAACCCCTGAAAAATATTCAATTCGGGCCTCCGTTTGCCTCCGTTCTCTTTGACAGCTTCGAATACAATGTCTTGGGTCTATTGAAATGATGGTAGGCTGGACTGCCTGATCTGCTGGTCTGGAAGATTTTGGGATGTGTGGCCTGCGGCTTCCAGGGGCTGCGTTTTGAATACTTCGAGGCTAAGACTTTGCTTTTTTGATAGGAATTTTCGCTTTCGCTACGGATGTCAAGAGATTGAAATCCAGAATAGTTCTCATTTGCTTTGATTCAACTTTTTTGCTCGCTGCGACACGAGTAGATGAAGACTGAGAGTACCTAGGTAGTGCTCAAGTTTTCATAGATCAAGATTTCAAGGTTTACAAGGTTGGGATATATAGTACGATGCTTGGATTTGTTCAATTCCACGAAAATGATTGACTCCTTCTCCAGACCGAGACCTGAGTTTCTGCCATCTCTCTTTACCCTTGGATCAAACTAAAGAACCATACAAAGCAACAAATTTTGTGCATTTCAACAAGACCTAGCCTTGGAAGTGCCACTTGGGTACTTCGTAATCCACCCGCGGAGCAGATCCTTATCAGCTTATCGACCAACACTAGTCCGAATAAGGCTAAAGCATAGATTTTTCTGAGAGACTTCAACGGCCGCAAGGAGTTTCGAACGTGCTTTTGGTCAGTAGATCACCCTTGTCTCGACCTGAGTGCGAACAATTTGCTACATATCGCCTTTTCAATACCCATAATCGCAGTTTATCCCCGCCATGGGTTTCAAGCGCCGTCGCGAACCTCACAATGTCGATGTGAAGCTGGTGGAGCTTTACGAAGACCTCGCCAGCGAGAAAGATGACATCCGGTTGAAGGCCGCTCAGGGGCTCGTCTCTCAATTCACTCCGGATAAAAACCCCGCCGACGAACAGATCAAGAAGGTGCTCTCGCGACTCTTCCGTGGTCTCTGCAGTAGCCGCAAAGCCGCCCGCATTGGCTTCTCGATCGCCTTGACCGAGATTCTTACACAGGTTTTCACTTCACCAAGGGAGACGTCGCGATTCGGCTTTGCAGATGCTCTCAAATTGTGGGAGTCCCAGTCAAACTCATCTGGCAGTGAATCAGGACAGGTTGGTGGCTCACGATACCCCGATGTCGCATGCGTTAACTGGATCCTTTTCTGTGTATAGGAACAACGCGATCACCTCTTCGGTCGGCTATTCGGCGCCGAAGCCGTTATCAAATCCTCCGTCCTCTTCCAGCCCACAGTGCCCTTCGAGCACTGGTCACAGGTCATCGATCTCGTTTTTGAGCTCGCACAGAAGAAGCCATGGATCCGCGAGGAATGTGGCTGGATTATCTACCAGTGCATTTATGACCTCGCCGGCCGCAAAATGGACAACAAGTATGTTGAGGTGGCACTCGAACGTCTTTGCTCACACGACTTGGCACGGTCGCCCGAGGGAATCTCCATCTGGCTGGCCGCGAAGGACATGTTTCCCGAAGCCACTTTCCCAAGCAAGGTTTGGAAACACGATGACCCCCTCGATACGAAGGAGCGCAGCAGCCTGTCGAAGATTATGAAGGAGTCGGGTGCTGGAGCAAGTGAGAGCGAGAACAAGACAAATGCCGCCAAGTCTTCTGGTGTTTGGAACTCCAAGCTTCACTTCGCTTGGGACGCCGTTTTGTCGCGAACTAGCCTCGAGTCGAAGGAGAAATCAAAGAAGTCTCGCCTGAGCTTCGCCGATTTCTGGGTCGAGGTTGTGGACAGTGAGTATTTGCATCCTAGAGCTATCCAAGAAACACTCAACTAATGCGCGGTCACAGATGGACTTTTCGCAGCTGCTTCATCCGATGAGCGTAAATACTGGGGCTTCCTCCTTTTCTCAAGACTCATCAACGATGGCGCTGCCCAACAGGCCTCTCACACGTTCACCAAGAATCTCATGCGCTGCTTGGCCAACCAACTGGCTGTGGAGGACCGGTACCTCCACCGCATGGCTGTCAAGGCAGCCAAGGCTATCCAAACCCGTGTTTCCAGGGAGCCCGAATTTGCAGCAGTGGCTATCCGCGGCTTGATGGGAACCAGTGGCACACTCAACTTTGACCAGGCTACCAAGACGAAGACTGTTGAGAAGATTGTGGCTGAAGCCAACCATGAGGCTTTGGAAGAGATTGTGCCCTTCTTTGAGAAGCTCATCCAGAACCCTGGAACCACAGACGAGAAAACCTCTGCGACCAACCGTCAGTTCGTTGCTGGCCTTCTCCTCTCAATCGTGCGCTCAAAAGCATCTGCCACCGAAGGTGATTCCGAGAATCTGCAGGCAAGCCTTGAACAAATTCTGTCGGTTTTTGTTCGCTTCGCGTACTTCATGGATACCGGCAAGGGACCGTCTGCCCCCGAGCCCGCCCTCTCATCGGCAACACAAGAGATGCTGCGCAACCGCATCAACTCTTGCCTGAACAGCCTCATCTCAAACCAAAAGTTCGCCGCGACTCTGCCCTACGCCGTGGTCAAGCAGATTCGTGATGGAGCCAAGTCCGGCGAGTACGGAAAGTTCATCATTGAAATTGATGACAAACTCCAGGATTCTGTCAAGGCTGCTTTCAAGTCCCTCAAGAAGCTTTCCGGAAAGGTAAGAAGACACCGTATCCTACTATTTTGATAGTAAAACTTATTGTGACACAGGAAAAGAAAGAGAAGGGCATGGCGGCATTCAAGCTGCTTTACTCTCTGACTCTCATGCAAGTTTACAACGGAGATGCCGACGCAGTCTCCATGCTCGACGAGTTGGAGTTCTGCACGACTAAGTTCCTTGGCGACAAGGAAACCAAAAAAGAGGACGCTGGCGACGCATCAGATGCCCTTGTTGAAATTCTGCTTAGTTTCGCATCCAAGCAATCGCAGCTCTTCCGTCGTATGAGCGAGCAAGTCTTTGGCGCATTCGCTACTCAGATCACCGAGAATGGATTGGAATCTCTAATTTCAGTAAGTACTCTCAGCAGGTCTCGTTCAACCAAGGATCTGACCATAAATAGATCCTTGAGGCCAAGGAGAGTCTCGCTGGACAACAAGAGATGTTCGACGAGGATGATGGCGAAGGCGAGGAAGAGGATGGCTCCGATGCTGAGATGATGGATGTCGATGAGGACGAACTCGACAGTGATGTCGAGGTCGTTGAAGCCGGCGATGCGAAGTCAGACTCCGACTCCGACGATGACGAAGAAGAGGAGGAAGAAGAAGACGAAGAAAACGCACAAGAAGTCGCCGCCTTCGAAGCCAAATTAGCTGAAGCCCTTGGCCAGCACGGCGCCGACGGCGAAGGTGAAGACTCCGACGCAGACATGAACGACGACGAAATGGACGAGCTCGACGACAAATTAGTGCAAGTGTTCAAGGCCCGCCAGCAACAATCCTCCCAGCGCAAAGATAAAAAGGATGCTCGCGAGAACATGGTCAACTTCAAGAACCGTGTTCTCGACCTCCTCGAAATCTTCGTGAAAAAGAGCCACTCCCGCCTTTTGGCACTGGACCTCCTCCTTCCCCTCCTCCGCCTGTCACGCCGCTCAAGCGTGAAGCAAGTCGCGACGAAAGCAAACAACGTCCTTCGCGAGTACACCAAGGTGTGCAAGGGCAACGCGTTGCCCAAGATTGAGGATGATGAACAGGCCGAAGCGCTCTGGGAGCTTTTGAAGTCTGTTCACAAGGAGGCCAGCCACAGTGGACCTATGGGACACGCAAACGCTTGCAGCCAGGCTAGTTTGCTTGTTACTAAGGTTCTGGTTGCTCATGACAAGGACGCTATCGCCGGGGTGGTGGATGTCTATGCTGCCACTCGCAAGGACCAGCTTATGAGTAAAAAGTGTCATGTGCAGCCGTCGTTCTTCTCCGAGTGGAACAATTGGTGTGTTTCTGCCAGCAAGCAGCTCAAATGATCTTATTCGCTTCTTGTTTGAGTATATAGAGGGATGCTCGTTATGTCAATATCGTTATGTTCAAAAACCAAAATGGATGAACTACTCTGGTCATGTCCTGCGCAATGCTATGTCTTTAATACTATTGTCTTTTCCAAGGTTTGTCCAGCATAGCACATACCTAGGTAGTCGCAGCGGTGACTGAGCTGGACTTGACTTCAATTCTGTACATCAATGGACGATCCGTGGATGTTTGTATCTGTGACGACGTCATAAAAAGCTCTATGTAGTATGTACCACTTCAGAATCCCGCCATATATCGATGCTCATTGGTCTCCTCCAAGACCTCCAACCTCATACCAACCCCAACCACCCCTTCATTGCGTGGCGCACTCAACATGCCGAAGCAAGGCTTCCACTTAATTCCCTCATCAACTCTCCGATATGACACCAGCGTATCCCACGGCTGCTTCTTATGCGCAACTGCCGTCGTAGGCTCAACATTGGGTACATGACAGCGGGCACAGCGCGCAAGAACATCTAGATCGAGCGGCGTTCCACGCGCGGATTCAGGACCGCCCGCGCCCGTAATACGGACCAGCTTCCACGAATCCTCACTCCACGCCTTCCCGCCTCTAACCACAATATTCGGTCGGAAGCGCTCAACAGTAATTGGATCAACACCCTTGTTTTCTAGACGCTGATTGAGCTCGCTCAGCGAAGACTCCGACGCAATGAGCACGGGGTGAACGTCGGGGAATCCCGTCGTCTGGACGCGACCCAGGATACTGGGGTCACCATTGCCTTTCAGCACGCGGGGCATAGGACCCTTGTAGACGAGCGCGACGCTGCGGCCCAGGAACTCAGAGAAGTGTGCATTGATCGCTTCACTGTAGCGGTAACCGTCCGTATCGATATCCCAGATGTGAACCTGATCGATGGATGTGTTCTCTGCGAGCCAGTCTGGGGTAGGGTGAGATGGGATACGAATTGTGTGGAATGATTCCTTTTCGGAAATGTCGGCTTTGGGAACAGTGATGATCAATTCATGACCATCTGGGCTCAGTGCTGTGCCGATGCGGGTCATGTTCGGGATTTGACGGATGGTCAAAAAATTGTTCTTTGATGTATCGACGAGCATCCAGCGACGATCAAGATCGAGGCCATGGCTTTTTAAAAGCGTCTGAGTAACTTCTAGGCCGCGACATGATTTGATGGGATAGATGCGTAGCGAGGTAATCTGGGTAGATTGTTTACGAGGCCATTTAAGAACTCTGCAAACTGAACTGGACAGGTTGAGGTGGTAGATCAGGATGATCGGGATTGGGAGAACTAGAAGCAGAGTTATCACTAAGACTGTTTGCGACTCCATGTTCAATGTTAGGGATGTTAGGGTTAGCAGAAGCTTTTCGGATGTAGACGGTTACTTGCCCAGGTGGTTTTGCCAACCCGTGCCGCCCCCGCACTATAGAGTGGGGGCGCTGCTCGGTGGCATAGTAGAACAACGTACTTTGCTTGGGGATGTGTGCTGTAATATTATAGGTTATATGGAGCTTAGCTGAACTAGGAACAAAGCTAGCTGTGAAGAAAACAAAACCCAAATGAGATTTGTATGATTGGAACTTGGAGTATAAATGCTGGTGTTAGTACGGAGTATTGTGCACGTATTGATATGCGATGAGAGAGATAGCGCAGAATCGCAGACAAGTCCAGAGGAGTGAGCCGTTCAGGCCGAATAGAACACATGGAAAGCTTCAACCTATGGGCTGCTCAACGGAACACAGATCAAAAGCAGAAGCATCACCATGGTATGCGATTGGAGAGATCATGTATGCTTCTTGTCGGTCCAACATCGGATCATTGCCTTAATCAGGCCAAGTGCAACCTCTCGTCCTTGCTCAATATCCGCGTCCTCGGAAGACCCGGGAACATGGAGGAAGAGTATGTTTCGGTCATGACCCTGCTGTAAAGCCAATGACATGCTGGTGTAGAATATAAAGTCACACAAGTAGTGACCTGCATCCTTCGAGATTTGGAGATTGGAATTGGGAGCAAACGAGCGCCATACATCTAGGAACTCCTCGTCGGGTTGGTAGGACGATTTAGATGATGGGTCTTCTGTAGCACGACCGGGAATTAAGATGGGGGGAAGGCCCATTTGCCTCCATATTTTCTCGCCATCTTCCCAGCCCGCACGTCCGTCAACGTCAGTGATTAGATAGTCATCGCGATGAGCTAGCGTTTCGACGGAATAATGTGGTCGCGGAGATGCGATACCAATGTGGATGATAAGATCAGGTCTGCGACCGCCATTCGAGGCTGCAAACTCTTCCAAAATCAAGGGTAAAGTGTCTCGAACCGCAGAGTATGCCACAGTGATGGGCGTGGGGTGTACATGGAGTGAGACTCGACGCGTAGCGTCATCGGGCGATGAGAAATTGAAAGATGACGGAAGAGAGGAAGCGATCAGATACGAAGCATTCACGAGGTTGGTTTTGAAGGGCTATGATTGAGTTCCATGTTAGTGTTTGAGCGACAATAACTATGCAGATCACTTACTCCGAAGCCAGTGATCAGGACGGAGATCTCGTTGGGAGATGCCGAAGACTGGGGTGGGTTATTCTCTACCGGAGTAGAGTGCAAGGGCGGAGCCGCGGCGCCGTAGTCTCCCATGATGAAAATGGGTATTCTCGAAGGATGATTTCGAAGTGAAGTTGCGAAGGCGACTTAGCGGGGAAGACAGGCACATGAGCATCGCTGAATGCGGGGTCTTGGCACAGTGCACCCATGGTTTCGATCTATGAATGCGACTTGATTCTTTTGCCTTGAGATGCGATCAAAGTCCATTGAACAATATTTGGATGGCCATACTCTGATCGTATTGAGAATTGAGATCATGTTAGAGTAGATCTGCTCCACTCATGATCTTTCGGGTAGCCGGGTTCCGCTACTCCGTACACCTAAATTGATTACTCCGCCGATGTAGACCCCGGGGCCATCGGACGACACAGAGACCAGCAAATGAGATAGCCCGGAACAAGTTGGTTCATAGATTCCGAGTCGGAGTGAGTCATCATGACTATCCATGACTTTTCATGACAACCGACGTCAGGGTCTTGGAGGAAGGGGGTGAGATTGGACCAGAAGCCCACCGGGAAGAAGACATAGGTACATCCGAGGACCCATTTGCTTGGAAATGATAATCACCTTATTCCCCAAGGAAGCTCCGTGCGAGACGTTCAGAATCAGACCATTTCCTTTTATGGATACAATTAGTGTCGGCTCTCCACACTTGTTCTAACCGACGTAAGATCTGCAGCCTTCGTTCAGAGAACGACACAGCATCCATGGATCTACTAATACCACGGTGGCACAGGCTCGCGCTGACGCTGAAACCACGTCCAACTTTGTCAAACAGGGTTGAAAGGCTAGTCTGCTCGCCGTTGTAAGGAATAGTAAGTACTTATGTACTAGAGTAATACTACAACTACATAGCACCGAGGCAAGAATGTACTTAACTAGGCGGTGGATCAAACCCTAGTGGCGCCTCTACTAGTCCTGTAAGCCTGGTTGTGGCGCCGAACCTTTTGTTACCGTTGTATCACGAAGTCGTTCAAATTTCCTCTATAGATACGGGACGCACCAATATGGCCTTTTGCATGGATATCTCGTCTACTGTACTCCGTACTCCGTACGATGAATGCACTTGGGTATTGCCTGCATCACCAAAGTGGATCCTGGACGGAACAAAAACCAGTGAAGAATTGCCTCTTCGGGAAGGGATCGCTGATTTTGGCTCTCGTACTCGCATTTCTCGCACTTCTCGCATCGACTGCGGGTCACAGTAATTACTTGCCGGGGCTTTGACATTCCGGGAAAGAGCTTGGTTCTGAGAAACGCTAGACGGGTGGCTTTGTAGTCTATAAACTCGGCTGGATCAGATCCGATGCATGGACCCCCTGGATTCGAATTCCAGTCGAAGTTCCGTGGAAAAATGCCCAAGGCCTGACTGGCCAATGTGACTCGCTATAAATAATAGTCCCCTCAATGTGTCAAATCAACTTTTGAAAACCCGGGGATCTTCTCCTAGCGCCTCACTTTCTAGTATTGACCATGGCTGTTCTCGCCGAGCTGCTCAACAGCCCCTATGTGGTACAAGGGGCATGTGTTGCTTTACTGGTGGTCTTCATCACCTTCATTTGGGACGACATAGTGGACGAGATCCCACATCGCCGCGTTCCACTGGTGGGTAGAACATGGTGGGAGATCACCAACAAAAAGGCTAGGGCACGTTTCGTTCAGTCAGGTCGCGAGTTGATTGCCGAGGGCTTTGCAAAGGTCTGTCTCCAGATGATGTCTCCTTTCAAAGGTTGAGTGACACGAATGAAACCTCGGGGCACTGACATGTTATCAAAGGGAACCAATATCTTCCAGGTCATGGGATCTACACAACCTTTGATTGTGATGCATCCAAAGTACATTGATGAGATCAAGAATCACCCGGATCTGAGCTTCACCGACGCAATCAAGAGGGTGAGCTAAGGATCTAATTCCAACCTGGCATGCACTAATTGATCCCACAGAGCTTCTTCGACAATCGGATCGCTGGCTTTGAGCCATTCCACAACGGGACGTCAACTAGTGTTACCATTGAGGTCGTGCGTACCAAGCTGACCCAATCTCTTGGTATGGACAACACCGCTGGAATTTGGATAGAATGGGCTAATCTGGTTCCTAGGATCTTTGTCAATCCCTCTTTCTAAGGAGGCTTCTTCGATATTGCAAGAGGCGTTACCACACACCGACGGTAGGTCAAGCAACATCTACCTTCCAAGGGTTGGAAGAGGTCCCACTCACATCCCTTTTAGAATGGACACCATACAGTTTCGCTCAAAAAATCCCGTTTGCCGTCGCGCGCCTCTCGTCGCTCATATTTGTGGGTGAGACCGTCTCCCGCAATGACGACTGGATTGACATGTCAGTCAACTATGCGATTGACGCATTCGTGGCCATGCGTGACTTGCGCACTTGGCCATCCGTCTTTCGTCCGGTTGTTCACTGGTTCCTGCCGTCCACTCGAAAGCTACGCAGTTATTTGTATAATGCCAACAGCATCATCGAAGAGGAAATCAAGAAACGCGCCTTGATCCGGGAAGGCAAGCTCCCAGCAGAAGACCCGCCTCATAAGCCCGATGCTTTGGACTGGTTCCGTGAGACTGCTGAGGCCCAACAGAACTTTACCTTCGGCCAGAGCCATGCTCAGGTTGGACTGGCCCTGGCGGCGATTCATACCACATCGAACCTGCTTACCAACATTATGTACGATCTCGCCGCATATCCAGAGTACATTCAGCCACTGCGCGACGAGATATGTGCTGTGGCCGCTACGGATAAGGTGCTCAATAAGACCAGCTTGCTTAAGTTCAAGTTGATGGACAGTGTCATGAAGGAGTCGCAACGAACCCACCCTCTGGGCTTGAGTAAGCGATTCTGCTCACGCATTGGAAATACTATTGAGAACTAACACTGGATAGCTTCTTTGAACCGCTTCGTTCAGCGAAAGATAGTTCTTTCTGACGGCACCGTACTTCCCAAGGGCGCAAATATTGCCGTCTCCACCAGAACCCTCGAAGACGACGATGTCTACCCTAATGCGGCTACCTACGACGGCTACCGGTTCTTGAAGAAGCGGCAAGAGCCGGGTCATGAGCACAAACACCAATTTGTCACGACGACCTCTGATCACTTTGTTTTTGGGCACGGTGTCCATGCTTGCCCGGGCCGCTTCTTTGCGACGATGGAAACCAAGATCATCCTCATGCACTTGGTGATGAAATATGATTTCAAGTTGAAGAGCGAAGGTCGACCTAAGAATTGGGAGAACGGGTTTGGGTCTATCACTGACCCTACGATTGAGATGTTGTTCCGGTCTCGGCAGCCCGAGGTCGATTTGTCTTTCTTTGGAGAGTAGTGGCCCCATGGTGAATTTTAATTCTTCTGTTGGTTCATGTTGACCATGCTGGGATTTTTCTGAATGTGATATATACATGCGAGACAAGCTGGCACTTGACTCTCACTTGACTTATGCGAGTTGAGGGATCTGAAACAAGGAGCTCACCTCTTCAGTGGCAATTCGAACGTCATGATTCAAGACCCTCGGCAGCCAGAGTCCGGATTTCTCTTTAGAACCACGAGTCCTGCTTTTCGTGGGGATGAAGTTACTTTCACTTTCATAAGTTAGGCCTTTTCCTCCGTCCAGGTCGACTCTCTTGTGGGGATTTACTCCAAAGTGGTGTTAGAATAGGATTGTCGGGTTAATCAATAGATAATCTATGTATATGATATTTGAACCCCGGAATTGCCGAGGGTTCAAATATCTTAACAATACAGTCAAGAACAACCTTGGAAGCCTGGCTCTGGATCGAAGACAGTGTAGATTCAACGTTGCGTTCAAATAAACATAAGCATATACACTGGGAACCTTGGGATGTGTGTAAATACCATCACCTGACCGTGTATAAGATACCGTAATATTTCATCAACGTGTCGAACGCGTCGGCGCGTCAGTGGAGCACAACGAGCCTCTCGCAGCTCGCAGGTCCACCTCCAAATGGGGTTATATGGGTCGGTGGCCCCTTGGGCCCCGTGTCTCCCGTTCAGGGCTCCCAGACCGCACAATGGAAATGGGCTGATTTGGGTTTCTTGGGTCTCTTTGAGCAGCACAAACCGATTCACGACCATCCAAGGTTCTCTTTCTGAGGTACCCGGAAACCTTGATGGCTGTGGAGAAGATCCGTGCAGATGTACGAAGTATACCTCGACTTCCAGTTCCTCGTTAGCCCTTGCAGATGCCCAGGTAAACGGAAGACGCGAACTGATCTACCATACATCAAACCTATCGAGTAGCTTGACTCGATCTTAAAATAACCCGGGAAAGATACCAGCCCCTTCTTTTGGCGACTCGTACTTTGGAGGTATAGTTTGTGTCAAAGCAGGTATTAGCAGGGTACTCTGTCCCGGCCACGTCTCTAGACAAGTCTGCCAGCACTGGGACTCCTACCCTTACCTCTCGAGACCTCGCCTGCATGAAGTAAGGTGATGCCCAGTGACTCGGTATAGGTAAGACTGAGGAAAATCTAAACAAAGAGTCAACTGAGTAGAAAAGCAAGCCAGTACTGTCCTGTAACGAGACCGCAATTCGTAGTAGTTAGCGTAGTAGCGCCAGGCCTAAGATTTTCGCAGTGGATACTGTGCAAAGTACCGAGTACCGTGTCCAAACCGCAGTTCACCAGCGGGCCATCAGGTACCCAGTACCCCCTCTCCCGCAGCGCACCCACGCCCAACCTCTCTCCCCCGTTTCTTCTCTCCCTGACCTTCTTTTCTTACCACCCACCCTTTCTGACAATCGCGACTTTCGTGCTCGTCTCTGTTTTTTCACAGAGACCTGTTTCTTTTGTGTTTTACGGGCGTTGGGCTCTCCATTCCAATCTACTCGGGATGGAGCCGCAGATGTGATCTGGTGATTCGAGTTCCAAGTTGCCGCATTCCACGCCCATCACGCACCTCCGAGACCTCGGGGTTTTTCTTACCTTTTTCTTTTTTTTCTCCTGCTACCTTGTGCTCTCGTTGCATTTTCCTTTTCGTTTCCTCTCACGACTCACGACCTTGACGCGATTTTGCGCGCCTCACAATTCGCGATTTCCGATCTAAACTTCCGACACGCGCCCTCGAGGCCCTTCGAGAAGTCGCATTGACCCACATTCTGCGGTGCACAATACTGCAGGATCGCCAGCATGGCTCAACGTCAGCTGTCCCGGACGCTTCCCAAAAACTTCACCTTTTCACTCGACAATGAGCCCAGGACTCCCGAGCGACGCAACACCATCGTAGACGTGCCGCCGCCCCCTCGTCACTCAATTCACAGCTGCCGTCTGCCCCGAACTCGGGCGCGCGCTGGTACTAATGTTTGCGCACGCGTGGACATGGACATCTTCCAGTTCCAAGGATCCGATGTTCCATTGCCCTCGATCGAATTCCCGCAAACAACTAGTGACTTCAAGGCGCCTCTTCCTGGCGATGTTCTCAACGATGAAGGCCTCCTTGCGCCTCCTCGATCGCGCATGGAATTCAAGACGCCACCTGCGCAAATCCGCGGTACGCCGTTAGACACGGGCGACACCGAATCCAAATGGCCCTCGTGGGACCAGACACCCGGTCCCCACGCCATCAAGCGCCCGGGTTCAGCTTGCTCAAGTATGTCGAATTCCTCCATCGAATCAATCGAAACCTTCGCGTCGCGACCATCAGTAGGAAGTTGCACCAGCGTGGAGAGTGATCTGTTTGATTCATACTTCCCTTTGGAGATACCCAAGGAACCCGAGATCGAGTCGCCCTCACGGCCTCAGAAGCAACATGTCAAGCTGAAGAAGGTTGAGTACTCTTGGACCCGCGAAATGGACAATCATTTGTGGAATACCTACCAAATTTACCTCCAAGACCCTACCATGACTCCTTTCAAAATGACACCGGGAAGCATTCCTCCTCTTGGGGTTACCTCGCGCGTTGCGCGCCGGGCTAAGAAGACTTGGGATAAGAAACGCAGTCGCCTTGGTCAATCTGTGTCTATGACCTCTGTTGAGAATACGCTTGGGGCCTCTACCCCCAAGGCACACACTGAAGGATCCCAGCCACTGTGGCCGAAGTCCGATTCTAAAACTCGACGACGACTCAAGTTGTTATGTCGTCGCAAGTTCTCTATCTCTCCTCACTATCAGCGCATCATGCAGTCGCGCACCCCCGAGCCCGCCACGGGGATCACGGAGATCTATGGACCTCCGGTGGACTCCCGGGTTCAAGACTTCGCCAACAACTCGGCCTATGCAACTCGGGACCTTGGCGTTTCACTTGTCAGCTCCCAGCCGACACCACTTGCCCAGGTTACACAAGATGCACCCTCGACTACAGACTGGTTCAACAACCCTGTACCTGACAACGTCCCCGCCGCTGCAGCCAAGACTCCCGTTCATCATCTTCGTGTTGGATCGGCCCCAAGTATTCCGCGCCTGGGATCGCCCTTCGTCTACAATACATGGGCCCCAGGAAGATCAAACCGTCACGCCCATGGTCTCAACCACCCTCGACGCGAAACAATCCACGCCCCTGCTGGTCGCGCCCGCTGCAACACGTACATGGATCAGTCCATACAAGATCCCAACGACGTTTTTGCCAGAACACCCCAGATGAACACCAATCCATCCGAGGAAGAGGTTGATCGTCGCCTGGAGGACTATGTCCGCGACAACAAATTCCAAAACATGGGTCATGGCCGAGTTCGTGTCCGTAACCGCGGTGCTACTACCGGCGCCGTAAACCCACGCGACATGGATCAGCTATTCTCCCCACCTTCTTCACTCAACTCGGGCCCGATCGAACCCGAAGAGACCACTCCTCTCGGCAAGCCCAACAATCCGTTGCTAGACCTTGGCGAAAACATCAAGCGCCTTGGCTCACCTTTCCGGATTGAAGGAGGGTTCAAACGCCGCGAACCTCTATCTCGGCCTGCGCCTGCACTTTCTGATCCGTTTTCGAGCGGTGGCCCATCCTACGTCGCGCCCCATGACGCTGCGTCTCCTATGCATGTTTCGCCAGCTCAGATCCACGAGAAAGCATCATCGCTCCCATACAACGCCAACGAGGATGGCCTTTCCGACGCCGAGCGAATTCGTCGGCAAATCTTGAATATGCCTTTCACGCGCAATTAGGTTGTGCTTTTGCTGTCCAATTCTCGAGTATCCGTTCTCCTGCGGCGTCGATTTATTTGCGAGATTTTCCCCTTTTTGCATAATGACTTGAACGAGATACCGACAAGGTCCCGAAGCGGCCTCAGCATTTATTCTTACGACAGCCCCCGCATCTTCAACGACCGTAATGACATGTCTCGGTGATCCGAGTCTGCTTTCACCCCCTTTATCGCGACACGAAAAAACAAACGAAAAAAATTGTGATGGGTTCTTCACTTTTGTTGACATTACAAACAGTCCACGTCTGGCAATTGACTCACCGCAATGGCCTTGGAGCAGCCGCACTGGACAGTTTTGTTTCGAAAACATCCAATCTTATTGGCAACTACATTTCAGGTGCAACCTCTTCAATGCGAGGGCACCACTTCCATTCACTCAACCTCATTTCCTTTCCTTATCTCCCCTTGAACTTCCCAAAATACACCAAATGTCGGAAAAAAATCAACCCAGAAAACCCCCCCGAAAACCCTATCTGACGACAATTCGCGATCTTCTGCGACCCACATTCTCTACCACATCTTCTTACTTTCCTTTCTCTTCTCTTGGCTAGTCTGGACCTCCTTTTGGTCAAGGCTTCAATGCCCTTTTCCACAGCCTGAGGAGTGACCATGGCTAGTCACAATTTACCTATCGAACAACCCGTCACACACGACCCTGCCTTCAGACTGAAGTTCGTCACTCAGCCTGGATGGCCTTCCACAAAAGCGAATGTGCAACGATACATATGCAAATACCATAGACGAACCGATACGAAACGAACGCGTGATATCGCAACTGAACGACGCTGAATATGCAAGCGAGGTGTTTTTTCATTTGCTTCCCAAATCTCCTTAATTCGCATCTCGGAGACCTCGCATTCTCGATATGATTTTTTCCGATTCACGCCTTGATTCTGCTTCATGATTCCCATGGCGAAATTTACTGGGTTTGCATCTGGAAGCAATGTTTTCTGAACTTTTATTCTTTACTCTTCTTCACCCTTCTGCGTTTCAACGTATGGATGTCTGTCTTTTTTTCGAGCCTTGCCTTGATCTTGATTTTCTGGAGCTGTGAGAGTTTGGCCGTTATTGATTATCTGGTTCCTGCAAGGTTTTTATCCCTTTAGAGGAATATCTTTGGCTTTTGGTCCCATCGACCTGCCAATCAATTATTCTCATCTTTTTCTTTCACCCCATTTAGACCCGTATGTTGTGTATCCAAACAGGGGAAGGTCGAAACGATCTCGGTCGTGCGCGCCTGTAACGAACTCGAGACCCATACTTCGGTCCGATCACCCCGATGCGACTAATCCCGATGGGCTTAATATACCGGCCCCACGATTCGGAACATCCCGAACTATGGTACTAGTACTTTCTCTAATTCGAAGCTTGAGTGCCTTCATACTAGGGTTTAGCCTGGTTGACGAAGTGCAATTACAGCGTGGAGCGCGTTCAGATTCATTATTTGGTAAAATCTACAGATCACCCTGACATTAACAAGTGGTCCAAGTTGGCCACTGAAACACCTAATCCGGAAACAACAGAACAAAGAAAACTATGGGGTATAAGTATAGACAGATGCGTGAAACAACATGACTCGATCACTTCTCCAACTTCTTCTTTCGATCCGCAAGCAACGCTTCAATCTTCCTCAGTTGCAGCGCGAGTCCCTTCTTCTCGGCATGGTCAAGAAGCCACTCTTCCATACCACGACGAACTTGACGCATGGAATGCACAACCGGGAGTATAGGCGTGTCGGCATCGGCGCCATTCTCCCGCTCAATAGACTGCCAGCGTTCAGCCCCGGGGTTCAGCAATAAATCAAACACACCGGCCCAAAGATCGCGGTCCCAGTATCGCTTGAGGGACTCGCGGATGCGGTAAGTGCGTGGAGATCCAGCTAGTGCGTTTTCGTCATTGACAGGGGTGGATTCGATGTATTTGCCGAATAGAAGGACGTGGATAACGCCGGCAATACCGTAGAGATCAATCTGGTAGGTCCAGGGGCGTTTCTCGCGAATTTCGTTACATTCGTGGGTGACCTTTTCCCAATCTGCGAGGAATTGGACGTTGGGGGAGAAGGCTTGCATGTCAATTCCACGTCCGAAGTCGATCAAAGCAAGACCCTTCTGTTGCCAGCCATGAGAGCCACTAGGGGCGTAGTGGATGCTCTCGCGGGGGTCTGCAGGGGTCTCATCTGTACCGAGGTCGAGGAGAGAAAGGGCCTTGGTAGGTGGTTCGTTGGTCGGCTCGTCGAGGCGAACAAGACAATTGTCTGCTTTGATATCGCCGTGAAGAACTCCATTCTCGTGGAGAGCCTCTACAGTACGAAGGAGCTCAACGGAGAAGAACATCGCGAGAGCTTCTTCAAGGCCGCCTTCGGCAGTGGAATTGGTGTTCAGCGACTCGTTGCGCACAATATTGACGAGGTCAAGCAATGTGCCCTGTCCTCGGTAGTCCTCCACTAAGAAGCTCTCTCGCTGATGAACGTGAAGCTCGTGTGCACGAACAATGCTGTCCGTGACTCGAGAATTGTCAGATTGCCGAAGACGCTCGTACGCAGTGCGGATCATGTAGAATTCCCAAGCGCTCGAAGGTCCATTCTCGACCTTGACAGCCTCGAAATGAAAACGAGGTGTGTCGTAGGCATTTGGCGGCCTGATACCTCTTGCGTTAGGACCTGCGCCGCTATCAGAGTCTGAATCATAAGATTCCAGACTGTCAACACTCTCGGCTAGATAAACTGGAGCATATGCACCGGCTCCAAGCTCACGGCGAACGATGTAACTTCTTTCCGCCCCCGGAAATTCAAGGATCGGCGTGTCAAGCTCATCATCGTCAGCGCTTTTGGACCGTCTGGTGTGAGTCTTCACAAATTTGTGGATCATTGAAGCATAATTGCTGTCTTCGACGTGCTCATTATAGCCAGTGTACGCTGCGAGAGGTGGCTCTAAAGAGTTGAGAATCGTGTTCCGAATCCCCTTGTCTGTTGGATTGCACTGTGAGTCCCTGATTATAGCGTCCCGCCTCCGCAACTTGGGAGCCAGTGCTTTGAAGGCCGTCGGGCTAAATGGGACATCGGCTGTTGATCCAACCGTGAGGTCTCGGTATGGCGTGCTACCTCCTAGTGGGCTGTCGAGCAACAGGTCTGCAGCTGGCGATCGGGGCTTGGAGGGCGTCTTTGCGTTATAAATGCTGTTGCGAGCGGCGGTCATAGAAGGTATAGAGCACTCCGTGCGCTCCACAATGGGTGTCATGAAAGGCAAACGGTTCTGAGCCATCACTGCAGGGTCGCGGTAAGTCCCCCAAGGAGGAGCGTAGTCCTCGGGCATTTCTGGCATGAAGCCTTTCCTATCTGGTGTCCCAACGGTGGGACTACCTGGCTCCTCAGCGCCGACAGAATGGGAGGTAATTTCAGCATTCTCGATACCTGGGATATCACGGTCAGGGTTGAACTCTGTCCAATCGCCATCGTCACCATCAATGCTTTCGGCCCGGGTGGTGTTTGCATAGTCGGTATCGTCGTAAGATTTATGGAAAGTCTGAGTCTCTTCATCGCCGAAGTCACTCGAGGCTGCAGAGTGATGTCCCGTTCCTGTGCTGTCACCGGTGCTGGCAGCGTCGTCATCTTCATAATCACTCTCGCAGAAGCTATCGGCGTCCTCCTCGGTTTCCGCTTTCAATGGCTGGTTGAAAATGCTGTAGATCTCATCGGTTGCCGCACGGGTGTGCATAGTCATTGTTGGCTCCCGGGTACTCTTTCGCCGAACCTTCTTCTTGGACGGAGAGTCGAAGTTCATCTTGACTGCAGAAAGTGTGAGTTCAGCTTAGCTAGGTCCACAATATTATCCCCACATACCTGTTTGTGTCTGCGAAGATTCCCCCTTGGGCTTGGTACGATGCGATTTGCTGGGCTTAGCTCCGTGGCCTTCATCGCCTGGGTCTTGATATTGGTGGCGTGTGTCTATTGATAGATTCTGACCGAGATGATCTGGCAAAGACTCGGAGGGATCTTGATGTCCGGGAATTTGTTGCAAGGCTTGTTTCTCCTTGCGCCATGTTTTGTCCATCCATCCACGTTTGATAGCCCTGAGCTCTTCGAAACTCATCTCATGGGCAGGGTTTGAGCGATCGGGGTATACTGATTCGAGGTCGACAAATACACGCTCTCGACGACCCGTCCGTGGGTTCACGGCCTCCCTTACATGATGTTCAGGCATTTCTCTCGGCTGCATTGGTTTCTTGGAAGGAATATCTGGATTTGACTGCATACGTAATAAATCACCATAGGTTCATGCCATCAATTAGTCCTGTGATCGTAAATATGTGGAGGTCTGAGGAGGGAGGGGGCATCCTGGGTTGGAAACTCACCTGATCCCTGAAGATAGCCATCTTTTGAACTGGGGCGGCTTTTTTGCCTGCTTTCAAAGTTTCTCCTGCCCAGGGCTTCGCCTCCACTTCATTCTCCTTCTTCCGATCTCTGACCGACCCGATACTTTCCCATCCTTTCGTGGTTCCTCCAGTTGCAGGTGCCGGCGCAGCTGAATCGGCATCCGAGAAGATGGCCATCTTTGGCTTTCCGGATTTCGTCTTTGGGGCGGCGCTTGGTTGAGGTGATGACCGCGCAGCCTGAGGATCAGAGCTCTCTGATGGGGCAAATGGATCCCTCTTGACGCCCAGTGCAGGACGTACCTTTGGGAGAGCGGGTGAGGATGGACCGGTATCTTGCTCTCGTTGATCGTATCGTTGTTGGAACTCATTGTATTTGCGTGCCAATCTCTCTACCGGTCGTGCCTCGCGGTCCATACCCAGCCTGTAAACTTCATCGGCCTGGGACCAACGACCAGCACCCTCTAGCCATCCGGCAAATTCTTCGTAAAAGAGTGCTAAACTCTCGCCGATTTTGTGACGAGCGAGGAAAGCGAATGTTTCGCGCGGGGCATCCGAAAAGAGTCGAACATAGTGAAGCCATAAACGGAGATAACGAGGGTCATTTCTGTAGTGTGATGACGAGAGGAATGATTTGGTTGCCCGCTCCAAGAGGGGCAGTAGACCGGATTCGGGAGTTGCTTGTGCGGAGGGGTATGCGTTCAAGGTCCATTTCACGTAACGGTCGTAAACGTCGAGGGGATCATCCGATTCTCCTATTGACTGTAATTCACTTTCATATTCCTGGCGCATGGCATCGTTGATAGTTCGTGTGCCATTTGGTGACGGTGAGGGGATCTTGTCGCTTGTGTTGCTACCACCTGAAAAGATCCGGGCGAGCTCTCGAGCCGATCGGCCACCAGGTAGAGACTGGACATTTTCCTTCTGTGCCTCGATAATATCGAAATCAACCAGCTCTTCGGACGCCATGGCGGTATAGTTTGGCGGAAAAATGTGAAACACCAAGCGATGGAGGGCACAATGGAATCTGTTATCGATAAATACCCTCGTTGCCCCGGCGATCGTCACGTGGCTCCGGTTCCCAGGTTGCGTAATGTGAGCTATCAACCTCAAGCGATGGGTGACCTTCTATATGCTGGGGTTTTATGTATCGTTCTTCTTTCTTTCTTTCTTTACATTCTATGAAGCTCAGAACTGCCCCTGATCTCACGCTGTGCAGACTTCGCATTCGACACTAGTATCTCAGCCATTGACCCACTTCCGTCGACGGCTCGACCAGTTGAGGTTGGACTAAACACATACTACCCAGTACTATGTGCTGCCAATCCCCGGAACCGCCAGAGCGCGAGGGAGAAGAATCAAAGTCGTCTCACAAACGCAATCTCAGCAATGGAACATCTGAGCATTCACCAGCAAGACGATCCAAGCGACAAAGGTCAACTATCAATCTGAAGGAACAATCTGATTCCGAGGCTGAGGATTCCGAGGCTGAAGTTCCTGCCCCTACAGCCAAGGGAAACAAAGACGCAAAGCCCACTCCAAAGGCTTCTGGGAAAAAGGCCACCACCAAGAAAGAAGCCAAGCAAGAGCCTCAACCTAAGAAGACGAGGAAGACCAAGAAAGACCAAGAGGCCGAAGCCATGCCTTTGGCACCACGAACTCAAGGGTTGCGCATGTTTGTTGGTGCTCACGTCAGCGCTGCAAAAGGTCAGTACGGAATATACGGTCGGCCCCAGACAATTATTAATTGAAGTTGAATCAGGTGTATTCAACTCTATCCACAACAGCGAGCAAATTGGGTGAGTCTTTTTAAATCTCTCAAATAGAGACCTACCTCTAATACTTCATCAGCGGAAACGCATTCGCTCTGTTCCTCAAGTCCCAGCGGAAGTGGGACAATCCGGCTTTGCAAGACGAACATCGAGATCAATTCCACAAACTCTGCGCAGAGAAAGGCTACGATGCATCCAAGTAAGAAGCCTTACTTCTTTATGACCAGGCCAGACCACTGACATCTATGATATAGACACGTGCTTCCCCATGGGTCCTATCTCGTCAATTTGGCACAAAGTGACAAGGCCAAGGCCAAGCAAGCATATACCTCATTCTTGGATGACCTCCGTAGGTGCGAGGCACTGGGGATCAAGTTATACAACTTCCAGTGAGTAAACCGCCAGTCATCTGAAAGCAACACTAACCCGCCAAAGCCCAGGAAGCACCAATCAAACACCACTTCCAGAAGCGCTTTCTCGACTTGCAGAGATGCTCACGCAAGCCATTACGGAAACGAAGACCGTGATTCCGGTCCTGGAGACTATGTGCGGTCACGGTAACACGATCGGTGGAGCACTATCCGAGTTCCGGGATTTACTTGCTCTTATTCCAGCCGAGCACCATGCCCGTATTGGAATCTGTGTCGACACCTGCCACAGCTTTGCAGCAGGCTACGACCTGTCCTCGCCCACCGGCTTCAAGGCTTTCCTCGCGGAGTTCGACGAGTTGATCGGGATCAAATTCCTTCGAGCTCTGCACCTGAATGACTCCAAAGCACCGCGCGGTAGCAAGCGTGATCTGCACGCCAATATCGGCACCGGATTTCTCGGCTTACGTGCTTTCCACAATGTCATGAATGAGCCTCGGTTCGAGGATCTACCAATGGTCTTGGAAACACCTATCGATCGGACTCCAGTCAAGGATGAGGAGGATAGTGAAAACGATTCGACCAAGCCGAAGAAGGGCAAAAAGGCTGCCGCGGCTTCTGTTGCTGATCCGGGTGTTTGGGCGCGTGAGATCAAGTTGCTTGAGTCGTTGATAGGAATGGATCCTGAGGGAGAGGAGTTCAAGGCCCTTGAGACTAAACTCTCGGAGGAGGGCAGAGCCGAGCGCGAGAGGCTTCAGGATCAGCACGAGAGGAAGCTTGAGGCAGATGAAAAGAAGAAGGCCAAAGGGCCTGGAAAAGCGAAGGGACAGAAGAGTCTTATGGATATGATGAAGGGTGATGCAAAGAAGGATTAGAGGATGTGCTGTGCCATATCTTCGTGTAATAATAGGTATAAGATGCAAGAAAAGCAAACTACGTCGTTCATGCTCAGTGTAACAGTGACATGAAAGGAGAATTCCATTGATGGTATCAATTGAGCTAAAGCCAGATGTAGAGCCGCCATGCACACAAAACGTCGTATCCTGGCCATTCCGGCAAATGGCAAATTCTTATAAGTAGACATGATGTTTCAATCACTGCTTCGGATAGGTCACAGACCCAACATCGTAGACATATATGAAGAACTTATCACATGTACAGTATAGTAAAACCAACGAGAAGTAGGTGTGGTATGCTAGTGCTAGGTAAAATGTTGGTTTCTGGTAGGCGAAGCTGACGAAGTCGATTGTATGGCCGGTGATGCTTCGCGGGTGGAGGCATGAAGCTGAGGAAATCCTGCCTCAGCCATGTTTGTGATAGTTGGGGGAGCGGACTTTATGGGCGTCGGGAGTCCATCGTCCTCTGGGATGGTGGTGGAAACGGAGAGGCCATGTCTGGCACCGCTAGCGCGGACTCGAAACGAGCGGCGTTGCTCACCGGCTGGCGAAACTTCTTCGTTAAACTGAGTTCCAGGTGCCGGACTGATGATTGTGGAGTCCTGGGGCGCGACTTGACGATAATCACCTCGCTCACCACCGCTGTAGTCGGCTTCGCCTTCGGTCTCGGACATCGGGCTCGACTCGCGGCTCCAATCATCCTCCTTGGGCTCGGTCTGCATTCCGGCGATTTTCATGTAGTTGTAGGCTGCGATACTGCTGATTGTCACAACCAATCCGGTAAGGTTGACCGCAGTCAACTTATCATGGAAGATGATGCCCGCTGCGCTGATTGTTACAACTTCTTTGAATATGCCGCAGATACTCAACGTGACAACAGAAGAACGCTTCAAAAGCGCGAACTCCGAGGATATCATGCAGAATGCAAGAACGCCAGGGAAGATAAGGAGGAAAGAGCCCATCAGATCACCATGCACGCTAGCGAGTTTGAGATATCCTTTGTAAATCTCGTGCGGTCCTTCCACGGACAGAGCGATGGTGATCAGAGAAATGAACATGATGGGAGTAAGCAAGAAAAGAGTGGAGAAAGGGTTCGAGGTGGCTGGATGACGCAACAGGAGGATCTGGGTCAACCCCCATCGAAATCCCGAGAAGAATGCAGATGCAATGACGAGCGAAAAGCCTACTGCATTGAACGCAGTTTCTCCAGCCACCATCATCACAACACCTATGGTCATTGTGGCAATGATGATGATGAGTTTCATAGATGGCGATTCCAAACGGAAAAGGAAGGCGAATAGTAGCACAAAGGCCAAGGCAGATGATTTGCACATGGTCAGGAAAGTAAGAGAGATGAACCTCAGGGACATGTTCCCAAGGCCAACGTCAAGGGAGGTGGCTGCACCACATGGAACGAGGCGAGTAAAATAAAAGAATTTGGATATGAGAGGTTGTGGCTCCTCGGGGCCATCGATGGGAGAGGTGGTCGCAGACCTTGTGTGTTGTCGTGGGCGAAGCGATGGGAATATCCAAAGTATTAATGTAGCGAGAGAGAATTGAACAAGCATATGTAAGCTTGTTGTGAAAAGAGGGAAAGGAAAGACGACGTCGCTCTCGGAGAACATCCATTTGTTATACTGCAATCGAAATGGTCAACATTGATTCATGACTCTCCTTGTTCACGAGAGGACACTTACTACTGAGATGGATAAGGAAAAGAAGTACCACATCAGGATTAGCGCGCCATTGATGAGCAGCCTCTTCACCACATTGCGATCCGAGAGGATCTCGCGAATGTTTCCCTGGCCCTTGACATCGGCGATTCGAGCGTCCAGCTTGCGGCGCTGTCTTCGCCGCCGACGTCGCTGACGTCTTTGGTTTGTGGTCAGTCCGGTTTCCTCGTCATATTGGTCATCGTCCGAGCTGATCGGGTCCAGCTCCAGGCTCTCGGCGGCGGACGAGTGTTCGGACGCATCAGTATCCTCGGCCGTCAAGGGTTCTTGCTCATCGCGCTTGTTCGATCCATCCGTATGCGACCACAAACCCTCATCTCTTCGATCTGTTGGAGGTTGTGATCGCCCTGTCCCGGTAAGCATGGAGCTGCGCCGACGATGGTGGTTGCCGGGGGGCCCCATGGTGGCGGGTGCAGTGTGGATGGATTAATTCGAGTAGAAAGGAGCGGTGAAAACGAAATTTGACTGCCCCATGGGGGTGGAATGAACGAGAGAGGTGTCACACGACAGCCCTGGGGTTGGAAGCTGAAGCTCGAAATGCTGACAAAGAAAAGGGAGGGGTTTGCAATGTTTAAGATCAAAGGGAGTGACAAAAGCAGAAAAAAGCAAAAATAGGACCGAAAAGGCCAAAAAAGACCAAAAAGACGAAAAAGGAACGAGTACGAGATGATCAGAAGAGAACGAGATTGGACGAAACACTTTCTCCTGGTCAGGGCGGTCGCTGGCCACTTCGCCTCTCTCACTGGTCCCACTGGGCTTTTCTGTTCCCCACTGTCCGGTCGATCCGGGGTCAACATGAACAGAGAAGCAGAAGGTCTTTGGTTGCCAATGCCATTGGCGGATTCAGACCTCCGGAACGATGGTGATTGTTCTCACATGGGTTTGTTGAGGCAATACCCTATCCGCGTGGCTCTATGTTGGCAAGGGCATGCGTATGAACTGGACAAAACACGGAGCCAACAGCCAAGGGGGTGTTGAGAGCCTCTCTGCATCGTGGCTGAGCTTCGCAAAGCTTCTCTCGAAAAGCCCTACACGGGCTGGCATAGTGATGACCTCAGATTGCACCATCATCATGTCGTGGTGTCTTCCATCAGTTCCGAGAATATATGTCGGACGATGCGGATGATGGAGCTCAGCCTTTGACTTGAGACCTCTGTTCCCGACCTTCTTTCTCTTCCATTGATCTGTGTATCGGTGCCGCAGGCTAGCATCCCCTCTGTTCTAGCTCCGTGGTGTCCCAACCTTGAACCAGGCATTGGAATACATCCCATTGTTCACCGACGTCGCCATCATGACCGAATCAGCGTACAACGCCATCGAAGACTATGGCTTGATCGGGGACATGCACACTTGTGCCCTGATCAGCAAGGCCGGTAGCTTGGATTACATGTGCTGGCCAGTCTTTGACTCTCCTACTGTCTTTTGTCGCCTGTTGGACGACAAGAAAGGAGGCTTCTTCGCGGTGTCCCCCTACAAGACGGTTGTCGATGCCCACAGCAAGCAACGATATCTCCCTTACTCCAATCTCCTCGAAACTCGATGGACTAACGAGGATGGTGTTGTGACTATGCTTGACTATTTCCCGGTCACCCCCAAGAAGGGTGCCCAGTCGGCTCGAATGCTATCGGGGTATTGCCCCTGCAATGAACCGGGTACCAACCGCTTCAAGTCTGGATTGCAGCACTCCGGCCTGATCCGCAAACTGGAGTGTAGTCGTGGATCGATGGAATTGCAAGTAGAGCTGTTCCCGGCCTTCAACTATGCACGAGACTCGCATAACACCCGTGCAAAGCTGGAGAATGACTTGTGCAAGCACCGACTTCAGACGATCCACTTTGAGAGCGAGGAAGAAAGGCTGCAGGTCGAGATCTTCGCCGATTCGCGCGAGCCAGATAAGCTGGGCTTCCCCTCGGCATCTTTCAAACTGGAAGACCGCCCGGGTTTGAAAGGCCGTGGACTGGTTGCTTGGATCCGTCTGTCGGAGGGCCAGACGGTGAACTTGGTTCTCCACAGCCCCGAGAAGGCTGTACCCAGCTCGGCCACCATTGCTGCCTACCTGTGGAAAATGGAGGAGGAAACCTCCGACTACTGGACCAACTGGACCCGGAAATGTGCCTTCCGGGGTCATTACCGCGAGACGGTCGAGCGCAGCTTGCTGATTCTGAAGCTGCTGACCTACAAACCAACTGGTGCCATCGTCGCGGCACCGACCTTCTCGCTCCCCGAAAACGTGGGAGGCTCGCGCAACTGGGATTACCGATATTCATGGGTGCGTGACACAGCCTTCACGCTGTACGTGTTTCTCAAAATGGGCTACAGCCAGGAAGCGGAAGCGTACGTCAACTTCATCTTCGACCGTATCTTCCCGCATGCCGCTCAGGATCTCGACCCCAACAGTAAGCGGCCCTTCTTGCCGCTGATGTTCACCATCCGGGGTGAGTACGATATTCCCGAGGTAGAACTTGATCACCTCGATGGATACAAAGGCAGCAAGCCCGTTCGCATCGGCAACGCCGCCGTATTTCACACACAGTTGGACATCTACGGCGAATTGTTAGACAGTATTTACCTGTACAACAAGCACGGGAACCCTATCACCTACGACCAATGGAACTCAATTCGTCGTATGGTGAATTATGTCGTCGGTGTTCGAGATCAGAAAGACATGTCAATCTGGGAGTCTCGTGGCCAGATCCAAAACTTCATCTACTCGAAGATCATGATGTGGGTGGCTCTGGATCGGGGAATTCGTTTGGCCGAGAAGCGTGCCAGCCTGCCATGTCCGGATCGTTTCGACTGGATTAAGGTGCGCGACCAAATGTACGATGAAATCATGACCAAAGGGTACAATGAGGAGCGCGGTCATTTCTGTCAGAGTTACGAGAGCCGAGATGTCCTCGACGCCTCTATCTTGATTGCGCCCTTGGTCTTTTTTGTTGCGCCCAATGACCCGCGTTTCATTAGCACCCTCAAGAGGATCTTGGAAAGCCCCGAAAAGGAAGGCCTGTCGAGTGCCAAGATGGTCTTCCGTTATGACCATTTGAGAGCCAACGATGGTGAGGCTTCTTTGTGGCCCTAGAACCGTTTTAAGACAAGGATGTGTGCTAATATTTTTGTTCTGTTACACAGGCGTGGGAGGGGGCGAGGGGGCCTTCATCATGGTGACCTTTTGGCTTGTTGAAGCTATGGCCCGCGTAGGTGGAAATCACTCAAATATATGATCCCTGCTAACTTACTGGCCCCCTGGGTACATATAGGCCGCCAAATACGATGTGCCTATCCCGAACATCTGGAAACTGGCACTTTCGCACTTCGACAACATTCTGTCCTACGCTAATCACCTAGGCATGTTTTCCGAAGAAGTGGCTATCTCCGGGGAGCAAATGGGCAACAGCCCTCAGGCATTCAGTCACCTGGCCTGTATCAGCGCGGCAATTAATCTGGAGCGACTTGGAAGAGTAGGAGACTAAAGGGCTGTTTACTTTGGAGCCCTCGCTCCAGGATTGATGGCAAAACCTCATAGACTGACTTGATTTGTTTTGAAAATTACTGGTGTAATCCATCTGACAGGTTTGAAATTTAGATCAAAATAGTATTACTTCTTTATTATGCAAGTGACTCTTCATTCCAAGGTTGTTGTCGGTTAGAGTAAAGTGAATGAAGGAAACAAAGGAAATGGTCTTAGACTGTACCATTTCTGATCAAGTTTCACGAAGCTTACCCTCACAGTTTCAGAGTTCTTCGATTCTCTCCCCAGCAAGGCCGTGGCACTATACTCCGTACTGAAGTCGTATGCTTTCGATCTGCAGAGACGCCCCCGGCACCTCCAGGGCTGCCCAGGTGGGAGCCTGAGGCCAAAAAGCTTACATAAAGCAAACAGGTGATCAATCACTTGGAGGTTACCTACACCCCAGACGCTCTCACTGTTGTTGCCCCGCTTGGTCAAAATAAACAAACCCAGTTGGAAGCGTTTCTCAGCGTCGAGCTGGAGATGTACTTCACTCATACGCCGTGCTCCACTCTTGTTGCGATATCACGCTAGGATGGCGGGCGCCACCTTGGATTGGGCTGATAAGCCAACTGCCGATCTGGCCATGTCCTCCGACGAGGAGGACTCTGCTTCCAGCAAAAGCACCACCTCAATGGAACCCGAATCTGGCGCCAAAGCGGATCTCACCCTGGACCTGAGGAAGTTAAGCTTGAAGCAAGAGGTCGCGAACCAAGCTACCGAGCAGGTGTCCCCATCAACTCCCCGCCCCAGTCAGACCCCACTCCAGCCCGAAGCGGCACAGCCACTGCAGTTACTGGGCCTGCCCTTGGATGTCTTGAAGGAGATTATCAAGGAGGTAAAATAGTCATCCGCGCTCAGTCTCGGCAGATAGCTGACGATTCCTACATAGGTCACGCATACCAATGACTTAACCTCGCTCGCCCTAACATGCTCTGCCCTCCATGCCCTAGCTATCCCGCACATGTACTCGCGTTTCGACATCGTCTGGCCTGAATCTCTGAACCCACCAGTTGACGACTACTCGGGAGTGGATGCACTGTCATACGGCTTGTCTACCTTGGTTATGGGCGAGGATGTGTTTAATCGATCGCCTCTACATCAGCACGGCAAATCCAAGAGCTGCCAAAACTGTGGTTGCGACAAGTCCCACCATGGCCCGGAGACGAGACTGGACGACCTGGACGACAGCGGAGCTAGATTCCGATCTCGTAGAGGCAATCATTACGCCCAATACACTCGCACGTTCTCCATTGGAAATGGCCCAATCAGCTGGGTACAAGAGTACTCAGTGACCAAAGAAGTCGGCAAGATGCTCGGAACATTGGTAGCCTTGGCAGTTGCGCGAATGGTGAATCTTGAAGCCTTTATCTGGGACATGCCGACAGGGGTGGTTCGTGAGATTTGGCTCGCGCTTGCATCGCTAGCAGACCGGCCAGGCCATGACTGTCGCTTGGAGCGGATTTGGGTGCGTTGGCATGATAATTCAGAAAATGCCTTGCGCAGTTCGTCGGCCGCAGCAACACGATTGTTTCATAAGTACAAACACGTGGAGCACCCTTCGTTGTCTGTATTGCCTCCGCTCAAGAGTGTCGCTGTTCTTGACATAGATGAACCCGCTTATGTGGAGGAACTGGCACTTCTCATTGAGAAATCGCGCCATTGTCTGACAGAATTGCGGATTGGCATTGCGGATCAAGCGCACCTGAAGCCTTGGCTGCTTTGCGGCAAGGATTCCGAGGGCCCACCAAGTTGGCCTAGAACAAATGGCATACTAGGCATCTTAACACGACAGCAACCGCTCAGTGCGAAAGAAAACACTACCGTCGCGTATCCCGAACAAGTTTCAACACCATCAGAGAATCTGGTGAATGCCACACCCAGATCACTTGATAGTAGTGACAACAGCGAAGAAAAGACTTTGGGCATCGAGCAATCGCACGCAAGTACTCTAGATGACAAGAAGAGCCCACCAGGCTCCGATTCACCAAGTCGAAACCATCGTGCACCCACCCCTTTCTCTAGTTTCAACTCTGAGATGCTCAGTCTGAAAGTCCTTGAGCTCGAACGTGTACCGCTCTCTGTGTCAACTTTGCTGCCAGCCATCGATTGGACTAAATTGACAACGCTCACCATAATGCGATGCGAGGACAATGAAAAGCTATGGAGGGCTTTGCGACGAAAATATGCTCCTCCCGTGATGTCAACAAAACGTACTGCTCCTGCTGGACATCGAGAGAATGTAGCGCTATCCGACTTCTCATTGAATTTGAAACATATTCGCACCGACACTGTTTCACCATATCTCATGCTCTTTATCAAAGATGCACTCGCTCCAAACACGCTGGAGAGCGTTCTTCTGCATGAGGCTCCTGGTTACGAATCATCCGTCCAAATTGAAGCCATCTACCGCCATATTCTGCGGAGACATCGTCAGAGTCTGCGAAAAGTTCTGATCGACGCCACTGATCGCGCAAATCCTTCCAGCACACGATCACACAAGTGGATGCTCAATCATGACATGATTGGATTCGTCACCAGTGGAAAGATGCTTCAGCTCAAGGAGCTAGGAATGGCGATGCACTACCGAGACTGGGTAGGTCTGTCGTCGCATGATATCGAATATCTGCTAACAATTATCTTCCGCAGCATTATTTCCTCCAAAGACTGCCTAGCATGCCCCAGCTCCGAGCGCTGTACCTCCCCCACATCCATCACACAGTTCATCGCGATCTCAAAGAACTGGCTCTCCAGGTGCTGGATATCGTCAGCATTCGTCCAGATCTCAAAATCGCTTACATCGGCCTGCAAACGAAATGCTATCAAATCCTTGAAGCAAGAAGCGACGATAACCCCTTGGACTTCGATGATAATCCCACTGCGGATCAATCTCCACCGCATAGCGATGACGAAGAAGAAGGCTGGGTCAGCCCTCAACAGAACCATGACACGGACGATAGCGAAGATGACGATGGAGGCACAGCGGGGGATAATCTCAACTCCAGCGATCCAGATGACTACGACTCGGAGGCGGATGAAGAGCAGAGCGCCTCGCGGATCAGGTACCGATTGCAACAGATTCTATTTTATGACGAAAAAGTATCCATTTTCAAAGCGCGACACGGGGTTCTGTGATTCATTTTACTTGCGCCATATGGGCCATTTTACGGCGTTGGGGGAATACGAGATACCATGGCTAGTACTTCGCTTTTCAATTTAACTGGGTAGACGCAATACCAGCTCCACTCGAACATTATGTCCTTGTTTTCATCAGGAAATCATGTAGTAATTCCCATCTACTTTCTTTTTCGACTGGCTAAGCCGGCTTCTAGGACATAGTGTTATAAATGTGAGTGGACTTGAACGTCCAGCCACCAAGCCATGAATATTGCTGGGCCCCGAATTGAAATTATGTGTACAGGTTGGTCTGGTATTACCTTATAGTTACATAGAGTAAATAGAGGACAGGAGCATGATCCTTTCAACTAAGGGTTGACTGAAGGAACATTTGATCAGTTGGGCCGACATTGCAAAGTGTGATCGATTCATACAGGTATGATCAAGAAACGGGGCAAACGGAAGAGCATCCTCAGAAGATTTCCGACATCTGGTCGGGAGCCCACCCAGCTAAGGTAAAGGCCTAGTGCCCCCTTCCTAGCAGTTGTACAGGGCCTGGACTTTACCGTCCAGCTCCCCCGGGGTGGCCTCAATTCATCACAGGACAGAAGCAAGAAGGGGAAGGGGAAGGGCAAGACAGAAAAGAAAGGTCCTCAGAAGATTTCCGACATCTGGTCGGGAGCCCACCCAACTAGGGTAAAGGCCTAAGGCCCCCTTCCTAGCAGTTGTACAGGGTCTGGACTTTACCGTCCAGCTCCCCCGGAGTGGCCTCAATTCATCACAGGACAGCAGGGCATCAAGCACCAGGCAAGATGGATGACAGAGGGATGTATGCCAGAAGGCTGGACTGCAACAAGTGTTGATGAACAAAGAAGAACGTGAGTTGGTGAAACACAAGTGAAAGATGGGAGGTGGGCAGAAAGGGAAGGGGGGCAGAGGAAAGTTGAAGAGGGAAAGGAGAGATGTGTAGAAGAGAAGAAGAGAAGAAGGGGAGAAGAGGGAAAAGGCCTCTATTTATACCCCAGGGCCTGAAGCACTGGGAAAGAGCACCCATGAACTGAATCGGGAAAGAGCCAACAATGACAATAAGTTCTATTGGAAAAAGTCCAACAATACCTCAAGTCCTATTGTTCTGAATAGTCCACCTGGGCAGCTCTATTGACGATCAGCCCTGGAGATAAGCATTGCTTATTGAGCCTCACCTGGGAATCCATGGATTGTCTCGGATCTGAAAACTTTATTAAAGTCCCACCCATTCAACTTCCCTTTGAAAAAAATCCCATTCATGCAAAATGTTTTTGAATCAAATTATGTACTTTCATAATCATCTCTTGAATATACAATGCCTAGGTGAATTAAGACCCACAAGAGCCCACGCTAGCTCCATATAACGCCTATGTATAATACCCATGTGCTTTTGATATCCCACCTGCAGCCGGGCCATGGTCTACTTCCGAATCTCCGTTGTCATCTCAATGACAACCGTTTTGTTGATATTCGTCCCCTCCAAGATAAACTCCTGGGAGCTATGCTCATCATCGCGCGGGGGAGGCATTCTTGGACTCGAAATATCAACCGATATCCCGGGGTGATCCGCATCTCGCGCATCCGTAGAAGCCAGCTCAAAAGCTCCGTCATTGCGCAACGTCCGATGAGGACCTGACCTCCCGGGTCCGTAATCTCCGTAGAGAGTGCGCGACGCTCCGCGATTTTGTCCGTATGAGCGAGCATATGAAGAGCTTTTGAAAATGTTGTTGAACAAAGGGCGCAGTGACGGCGCAGAGGCCGAGATGATGGCGACATTGACTTCAATCTGTGACCAGATGAGGATTTGGATTGCGTCGAAGGAAACGTCTTTGGTGGTAGTATATTTGTAGAGAGCGTTGAGGCGGACGATCGAGGCTGCGGATGCAAAAGCTCCTGTAAGGAAAATGGCCACAAGGGCATCTGGGTATGGTCAGTTGGTGGCCTTTGGGGTGGGTTGTTGTGCTGACATTTCCGTCTGGTGTGGAGGTTAAGCTTGACCAGCACTGGCAGAGGCATGATGAGAATTATGATGTCGGTCAGAATGTTGATGCCGGCGGTGGAGAAGTATGTCATCGGGAGATTGTTGCAACCTTTAGGGAAGCTGGGGTCCCATGCGCGCCAGGGCTTGCTGTGACATTCGAAGGCCTGGTGGATCAGTAAAGACCTTAAGCACATGGTCATTTGACTTGGGTGGGCTAAGCAGTAATCTTGAAACTCACATTGACGAATACGCAGATAATTGTGTAAGCAAACACGAACAAGCCAACTGCCATGGTAGCCATCCTGAACTTTTTGACGGCAAAGATGCGATAGTATTGTGCCAGGATGCTGAACTTGACCATTCCCACGGAGAGTGGATACACAAGCTGGTAGACGTACCAATGCTTGAGTGTCGGGACGAGGACCTTCTCCAACGGTAGGTCGGTCAAGTGACGACTTTGGTCTGGGTCAGTAAATTTTTGAAGCAATACATCAAGGGGGGTTTGCGGATTGGCAACCTACCCGGTGCCCATACTGACATGGAAGCCATTCATAACGCCCATGCCAATGGTGATTGCTAGCCCCGTTACAATCAAATAGTCATCTGGTCCCACCTTGTGAATGAGAAATACTCGGCAGTAAACTCTTAGCAAAACGCTAATCGTCGACAGGAGCAGTAGCAAGATCATCACCGTCAGAAACGCAGGCTGCAGCGAACCATTGCTAGCCGAGATGTATGCCATCACCATATTGAGTCTGACAGATCACACCGATCAAGGGTTCGTTGAGGTGCTGATCATTTCGCCCAAGACTGGGGTTTTCTTCTTATATCAACCGCACGAGAAACGATGGTCCACATGGGGTTTCGCCCAAGTAGGAGTAGCAGCAAGCGGATCTTCAGTACTGTAAAAGAGGGCTGTCCGAGGTATACGCTTGAAGATGTTTCATTTGTCAATTTTCTACACTCAAATCTTTATATTAACACATTGCAAATTTACCAAACGGAATGCAGAGCCCTGAGCCGAACAAGGCTAAAGAGGCTAGGATTGGACATGGTATGATCTAATCGGTGAAACCGACCGTGCAAAGCGCCAAGTAAAGCGATGGAACTAATGTATACCGCAGTCATCTAGGGCTATCAGATACCAAGCTAAAGCGGACACTAGCTTGGAGTGGGAAGGGCCGACGACGATCTCCTGGCTTCCGTTGGTGGCTAATATGAATCCACCATGCTTGAAAGGTCTTGGCGGGGGCGCAGATTGTTCTCGAGCTAATTTGTCTGTAACGATGGGTTCAAAAAGACAGAATGTACCTAGTAGACTACTAGTACTAGAGAGAACTGCGTGATGTGGATTTCCTGTCATCTCCGGTGGGATGGGCCCCGGGAGTAGTACACGTACACACCTCACAGGGCCGACCGCTGCCGAGGCTTGTTTTATACAGACTCTAAGTTGATGTTCTCCGTATGAATGCATAAGTGAAAAAGATAACCAAAGGCTCCATAATCACAGTGCTAGTAGTGGGCTTTTTTCTGTCATTGGATGATTCAAACAAGCGCTAACCGACCGAGAGCTAACAGCAACGTGGACATCCTTCGCCCCAAGTCCACCCACTCTATTTTATTCTATGCTGGCTACCATTGGTGAAATGACAAGACTGGATCCCGGCCCCTATTGTAGTAAGGCGAATGGGGACTCCACGCATGTCCTACAAATTGTTTAAAAGCTTTAGTGCCAAGCGGCATTGGCCTAGCCTGCAGGTCCGGTCTTAGGGCTTCGCTACTTACTGCCGAACTAGTGGCTGTAGCCCATCATTCGACTCCGAAGAAAGATGTTTAAAGGGGCAGGTTTCCTCTAATAAATGGTAACTTAATCCCGTGTGTTTCATCCAAACAAAAAAAATGCAGTTTGGCAAGTTAATTTCGTTGGGACTTTTGCTCCTTGGGGGTGAGAGCGCTGCTTCTCAGTGTCACAACCCCCCAGTGCGGAAAGAATGGTAGGCTTCCCTAGTCTCATTGCGATCACTTCGAATTGACTCGAGTCATTTAGGAGACAGTTGAATATGTCGCAGCGCCATGACTATATCAGTGCGGTTCACTGTCTGGCGGCGAAGCCCACTCTAGCTGGGCTTGAGAACGCAACGAATCGCTTTGAAGACTTCCAAGCAACTCATAGCAGCCAGACGCCCAACATTCATTGGGTGGTAAGAAACCCTCTCCAAGGCCCGTGTTGACCGTGCTGATCGCTGTGGGACAGGGCCACTTTATTCTCTGGCATCGATACTTCGTCGCGACATATGAGAAGAGGCTAAGACAAGAATGTGGATACCGAGGTGCCCAGCCGTACGTGAAACCCATCGATCCCATCGATCTACCCAGTACTGACCTTGCCGACAGCTATTGGAACTGGTCCCTGGACGCATCCTCAACTGACAACTCTTCCATGGCCATTTTCGAGACTGATATCTTCCACCCGACTCGTGGATTTGGTGGAAACGGAAAATATATGTCGGCGACCTCTGCGCAGAACGTTTTCAACCTGACTGGCCGAACTGGTGGCGGCTGTGTCGAAACTGGTCCATTCGTTCCCTCTAAGTTCGTGCTATCTGTCGGACATCCCAAGGGGCAACCAGACTGCCTCCGTCGTGACTGGATCCCCTGGATCATGAACTACTTCGCACAACAGAGACTTGTTGACCACGTCTTGGACCAGCCAGACTACACTTCAATGGCGCGGGCTATCGAAAACATCCCCAATTTCTCTCAGCCCAATATCCACGGAAGTGGTCACTTTGGAGTCGGTGGCGTACTTGGAACATTAGGCAACCAGGCTTTGAGCCCCGGTGGTATGTGATACAAACCTTGGAATCTCATTGCCAAGTCAGTCACTGATGAACACAGATCCTCTCTTCTACCTGCATCACGGTAACCTTGATCGTATCTTCTGGGAGTGGCAGCAAAAGAGTCTCCCAACTCGCTACCACCAGGTCGGTGGTCCTGTCAGTGCTCTTGATTATTCTGGTGTGAATGTGACTCTCGACTACGAAATCAACATTGGAAGACTAGCCCCCAACGCTACTCTCGAGAGCTTGCTCAACACCGAAGGTGATACTCTCTGCTACACGTACTGACAGGGACATAAGAACCGTGGGGGCTACAACGTAAGGCTTTAGTTTTATGAATGTGGCTAGGCTTCCTGAATTCAGCAGGCAAATTATGATTCAGGCAAATTATGGACAGCCCTGGCTTCTATGTCTGTATGAATACTGCTGCCATCATCGTCGCTACACTAATACCTAGCTTCATGACAGGATTAATGACCGTTCAATAAAGACTAGTGAATCATAAGATCGTAAATTGTAGTTGCTATAATGTAAAATAGTACAAAGGGGTATATCCGAGAGCAAATCTCAACTGATGTACACCGGTGCCTCCCGGTAATGCCAAAGAAGGTTATGCGAACTCGCGATGCGCGCTCTCATACTGCGCTTGAATAAGCTGAGCCTCGATGGCAGCTCTTTTTTCTTTCTCGGCCTCGCTGGAGTTATCCTTGAAGACATGGTCCATTTGCTCAAGGGTTCGACCCTTGGTTTCGGGTACAAAGAAGAAGGTCCAAGCTCCGGCAAGCACACAGAAAACGGCAAAGAATACATAGGCACCGTATCCGGTATCCTGGACCAGTGGTGGAGTGATAAGGCCCTAACCAAGATTAGCAGATGATGTGAAATCGGACGGCAAAAGCACCCACAATGATGAAGTTATTGAGCCAGTTGGAGCAGGTGGATAGGGCGACACCCTTGGCACGAAGGGAAGATGGGAAGATTTCTGAATGTGTTAGTGATTCCTTCAAGATCGTTCGGTTGCCCACTTACCGGATGGCATTGCCCATGGAATAGGTCCCCAAGTTGCGCCAAAGGAAAGCATATAGAACATCAAGAATGCTACACTGACCCAGCCTTCCGCCTTGTGTGCCGGCCAATCCGCGGAGTAGAGACCAACCAAAGCGGCAATGATAATGTGGGAGAGAGCCATCAGGATCGCGCCGCCCATCAATAGCTTGCGACGTCCGACAACATCCATTGTCCAGATGCTGGTTGTAACACCGACGAGCTGGACTATGTTGATCACACCAGACATGATGAGCTGCATGCTCGAGTCGAGACCCATAGTCCCAAACAAAGTGGGCGAGTAGTAGATCAAGGCGTTGATACCGACGAACTATCTGCCATTAGCCCACGTCAAAGTCTCGTATATCTGCTGTACACACCTGTTGGAAGAAGCCCAGTCCAACACCGATGTGAGTACGGCGCCAGCAGCCACTCTTGAAGCAATCTGCCCAAGAGGATATCTCCTGTAGGATCGCATTCTTCTTCCCGCCGCCCTGTAGATTGGGATGCTTCTCCTTGTTCATTTCCTGGTGGAAGCGGACCTCCGCTTGGATATCCAGAAGCTCCTGTCGAATACGTCTGTCGGATTCTGGCAAGGATCGCAGCCTAGAGAGACTTGCCAGGGCCTCCTCATCGCGGCCTTTTGAAGCAAGCCATCTGGGCGAGAAAGGTAGAATGTAGACACCAGCAGCAAGAATGAAGCCTGGGATCATCTGCAGCAAGAACGGAAGACGCCAGGCCCACTCTCCGACCATGTATTGTGTACCGTAGGTGATCCAGAAGGCGATCACGATTCCAAGCACGATACACCATTCTTCGAGCACCAAAAGTGTACCACGGCATTCAGGGGGACCTACAGAGAGTGATCGGTCAGACGCTGTAGTAAAGTGAGACGAAGAGAAACCTACTGATCTCGGAGATGTACAACGGTGCAACCATAGACAGCATGCCGATTCCCAAACCACCAATCAGCCGGGCCACCACCAACATGGGATAGCCATATGAAGCAGTCTGCAACACAGACCCAATGGTGAAGATGATCACCGCCACGATAATCGAATACCGCCGAGAGATCTTGTCAGCGATCCAACCCTGATTCAAAGCACCAATCAAAGCACCAAGCTCAATCATCGCCGTCAACAGCCCCTTGGCAAAGCCCGAACCGGGATTGGCTTCGTCGACACGCGGAAACTCGGACAGGAACTGGTCCATGACCAGGATCACCGACACGACACCTTGATCATAACCAAAAAGCAAACCACCTAACGTTGAGCAAGCAGCACATAGAAGCACGAATGGGTTGGCCAACAGTCCCTTGAGACCGGGAGGACCATATGGCTCCCGATCCGAGGCGATGTTATCGGCATGATGGGAGAAGCCCTCCACCACGGGGTCATTGGATAGTTGTTTTGTTACAGGAGTATCCTCAGCCATCGTGAGTATGGATATGGACTGTGGACTGCAGAATAACTATTCAAGTCTGAAGATGCTCTACACCGGCCCTCTGTGGATACTTATAGCCTTCATTGTCCTCGGGTACAAAGCTAAAGTCTCAGCCCCTCCGCACATCGGGACTAGAGAAGAGACCGGAGGTAAAACGCCAATGACCAAAGGCCGAGCCAAGTCGGGGGAGCAGACCTGACTTGCAGGTGGTTGAGACGGGTTGCCGCGGGGGTATAGTGTCCATGGGGGAAGATCGGCGCTATCTGGGCTGTGGAGAAAGAATAAGGCGTCTTCCATTGGTGGCTCTCGACGCATGTTTGTCTTTGATCGAGGGATTCCTGCCTACGGAGCGTTGACGGGCATCACCTCGGCCCTATAGGAACAGAGCTAGAGTCACCTCGTGGGGCATATTCTCAAAGCAGACCTTGGCATTCTTTGGGTAAATGGTTCTAGGATCATCCTTGTCGACCTTCGGCATCTCCAGGTTTCGGCGCTACTAACTTTCGGCCTCCCCCCGAGCCTGCTTTTGCTCCTATTTGACCCACTCTCGTTTGCCAGGCAGCTGCTGAGAGGGTAGCTTCACGTCGGTCCCGAAACGTGGTTTGAGTTCGATGCCAATCCTGTATTCATTGGGAAGCCCGAGTCCAAGACGCCTCCAGGATAAGCTATGCCAATCCGCGGCAAAGCGTAACCCCGCCAGTGAGAACAGGTCGCCAAGTTCCGGCAGCAAAGCCTGATCACTGATCGGGCCGTGACGTTAGGGGTGACTATGGCAGCGGATTTGCCTCGTGATGCGCGCTTCAGATGACCGAATTAATAATGGGCGTAATTCTCTGTTCCCCCCACGGGGTAAAGAATCCACAATTCCGCTATCAGTCGGAAATCGAAGTCCTTTGATATTGCGGAGTCCAATATTTGCGGAGAGCGAACTCCACTTTCAGCGGTGACTGCGCGGCAACCATTTTCCCTCGCGGATTCCAGTTCCCGACCCCCACGTCACCACCACCCCTGCTATACGGAGTATACCACATCATCCACGATGGCGTCCTTTGTGGAAGACCTGTGGTCCAGCATTTTCACCCCCGGACCCACCCCAACCCTCCTGATCGCGACCAACGTCGCCTTTGCCGCCCTCCAGGCCATCTTCTTCGCCCTTCTCCTAGCCACCTACAGCCTGCACTTTGTCGCCCTGTCGATTATCAGCGGTGGACTATGGTACTCTATCAACTGGTTCGCCGCTGAGGTGAAACTCGCCCAGCAAGCACAGGAAGCCGAGAAGGAGAAGGAGAAGTTGGAGAAACCCCGCCTTCCCGACACCGATAGTGAGACCGAAACCGAAGCTGTGAAAGAGGTCAAGGCCACGGTCACTGGGAGCTCAACACATTTGCATCCGGAGGGAGATTCTAAGAAACGGCCCACTACCGGCGGAGATGGCTCAGGCTATGGAAGCACCGACAGCGAGTGGGAGAAGGTAGATGACCAGTGAAGGGTCACCGCGCGACATCAAGAACTCTGCCAGAACCAGAGAGTCGGAGCACATCCTTGTACTCCGTACATCCACGTGCATTCTCATGCATCGCTTTTGAGTACATACGCGTCGAGAGGACTGTGTTACAGTCTGAAGTCTCCGCGTCCGCGTCCGCCAAGTCGTATTCGTATCGTTTTGTCTGATACCCCTATGTAGACATTTATTCTGTTTGAATTAAATAAACACATATATCTTGATCACTGTATCTATACACATCCATCTAGTTCTGCTAGCCCGGGGTGGTTCCAAAGTGGGAGGCGACGGGTGCAAACCCGACAAACGCGTCAAAACATTGACCTCATAGTCAACACCGAACAGTTCACGATCTCCAACGGCCCAGAATGCCCGACGTTCCCTGAACAAAATGCTGTCCACCGTTCCCCTCAATGCAGGACGGAGGCGCGTATTCGGCTCCGTGTTCTCGCCGTCACCCGCCCACTCGCTCAAGTCGGACAACCCCGTCACCTCGTTCGAATCGACCGACTCATCGTCCACAGTCAAAGCGGACTCGCAGTCAAATTCATTCGCGACCATCGGCGGGTCGACAGACACTGCATCTGCAGATGAAGAAATTCTAGATCATGCGCGCGCCGCGGCAGCTGAATTTCTTTCTGTGCCGAATCTAGGCTTTGAACTCCTCTACGCTTATCGCGACACTGATGGCAGTGAGTTACTGAAGGAATGGGACAGACTTGCCCCGCCCTCAAAAGAGTGCGCGGAGGCACTGGAATATCTGATGCGGACATCTCCATGGACGTTGTTCGAATGGTATGGCAACGACATCAGACGGCATTTCCTGATGAACTTTCGATCCGGATTGACCAAGGTATGCGCGGTCTCTCCACTGGATGATAAATACTGACTTTTATAGCTATTGGCTTCTCCTGAGAAGGACGGTCTCTTGCGCATTATCGTGGATTGCTTACAGCTCGCGCGTCGGATCTACCTCGCCCCCGTCCTACATTTCCTCGTTCCATTGACTCCCCACCAGGGGGCCTACCTTGGTCAATTGCAGCGCGCTTTTCATACAGTGGTCTCATACAGTTTACCGTGGCGGGAGGTTTCAAAACTTCTTGCCAGCGAACTCACACGCGACGCCGTGGTGATCCTGGGCATTGACACGCTAGATGAGGCCTTCGATGCGGAGATTAGCGAGGACGAAATGGAAGTGGAACGATCATACTCTGTCTCATACAAAGATTGGAGGGAAGAAACACCGGAAGCCCGCGAAAACCTAATGGCCGAGGGCGAAGATCACCGAGTAACTATTGCCCGGGACCAATTGCTAGCGTTCCTGAACGGCCTTCAGCTTGTTGGGCTTGGTGCAGACAAGGCCCAGAAGGTGTTTGCGGAGGTGATGAACATACTCATGGGAGACTTCATTCAAGCTGCATACGCTGGTGAGTGGGAGGCGCCCTCGACTGTCCCGCAGCACTTGGGCCAGTGGATTGAGAATGTCTACGCACGCCTTGCGGTCCAGGTGCTGTCCGTCATCCATTCCGATGTCGAATCCAGGACCATGGATGTGAGCTTTGGCGACGTTGAAAAGTGGCGGACGGTAGGCATCGCCCGGCTTGGAATGCTTCGAGTCAGCGAACTCTTCGATGTTGTCGTTGACTGGCCTGCGAGCAGTGGAGCGGTGGAAGATCTGCGACACTTCGTCACTCAGACCAAGCCACGGGCGTATGTGACGCATTGGTTCTCATTGAACCTACAACAGAGACTCCTGCATCCTGGTGCTTCCACTGTCGAGATCCTACAAGTGTATATCTCGGTCATTCGGGCCTTTCATTTGCTGGATCCCAATGGCGTCCTTCTGGACAGAATTGCGCGGCCTATCAGACGGTACTTGAGAGATCGGGATGACACCGTCAAGGTGATCGTTGGTGGCCTATTATCTGATTCTGAGGTGGTGGAAGGACCAGGCCCAGCTGACACGTTGGTGGAGCTGGCTAGCGAACTGACCAGGCTCAACCACCACGCCATGCAAAACAAGAACAGCGAAATAGACTTCGACGACATGAGCTGGCTGCCAGATCCCATCGACGCCGCCCCAGACTATCGCAAGTTGAAGACCGCCGATGTCATCGACAGCCTTGTCAGCTTGTTTGATTCAAAGGAGATGTTCGTCAAGGAAATGCAAACTCTCCTGGCAGATCGTCTCATCCAAAATCGTCGAGATTACCTCCGAGAAACCGCGGTCTTGGAGCTTCTCAAAATCCGCTTTGGGGACTCTGCACTGCAGGCATGTGAAGTCATGCTGAAGGACTTGACGGACTCCCGCCGTCTCGACCACGGCGTGAGGAACGACCAGAAGATGTGGGGCGACCTTGAGGCCTCCCCCACGGAGCTTCATGCCAAAATTCTCTCTCGTTTCTTCTGGCCTGAATTCCAGGATCAAGAATTCAAGGTGCCCGATGAAATTACCAATCTTCAAAAAACCTACTCCAAGTGCTTCGAAAAGCGCAAAAATTCCCGGAAACTGATGTGGCACAACGCCCTTGGCCAAGTGACTGTCGAACTAGAGTTTGAAAATCATTCGTTCAGTGGCGAAGTTACAACCTGGCAAGCAACGATCATCTACGCTTTCCAAGACTCCACCCCAGATTCCCCAGCAAAGAGATCAATTTCCGAACTCGCTGACCAGTTCGAAATGTCCGTTCCTCTTGTCCGCAGCGCATGTCTCTTTTGGGTTAGCAAGCGGGCTCTCCACGAGGTCACCAGAGATACATTTGAGGTAGTCGAAGTTCTTGAGCATGAACACGAACACGTACCGGACTCAGATTCCGACAGCGAAGCTGGAGAAGCTGATGCAGCGGCTGCCGCCGAAGCAGCCGCCGCCGCTGCCGCAAAGGAGACTGCCGAAGCGGCTGCGATGGAGAAGATGAATGTCCACTGGCAATTCATTGTCGGCATGCTCACGAACCAAGGGCCGATGCCTTTGGCACGCATCATCATGATGTTGAAGATCGCAGTCCCCGGCGGGTTCCCATTCAGCGATGAGGAGCTGAGGGAATTCCTGGGCGGTATGGTTACGAAGGGCAAGTTGGAGATTGTCAATGGGGGCAATTACAAGATCGTGCATTAAAATACGCATTAGTAGGAACATCAGCGTTGGCAATGGTGTTAGTGGTGTCGGGTCTCAGGCGTACAATACCCATGAATATACAATTTTACACGGCAATTTCTCCCGCGAATGCCTCAAGGCCTATAGGTAGAACAGAAAGAAAAAGGTATCATTGGCTCATTAATTCAAATTTATTCCGCGTCCAAAAGCGCAACAGGGATTTGATCATCAACCTGAATCCCTCCTCGCTTCTTCTCATTGCTATCCCAGAACGGCAACTTCCAACCACCCTCGTGCTCAGGCGTAGCCAGCCAGAGACGCATCAAGTGACGACGAGGCAGAGGGGGGGCATGGTCCTTGTACGCTGTGCGAGCGTGCAGAATATGCGCATTTGACAGGAACTGAATGTCACCAATATCAAGAATCATGTGCAGCGACAAACGCTGGCAAGTCTGTTCCAGCACGTGCAGAGCCTCCGTCTGGGCTTCGCTCAGGGGAGGAATGATTCCAGCATCGCTGAAGCGGCCCAGAGAGCGGACGTAGTAGGGGTCCCACCTGGCTTAATTAGTACATTTGCATGAGGGGAGGGTGGATGGTAACATACTTGGTGTATACACGGCCATTCTCGCCACGTTCGAGGTATACAACGGCTGTGCGGATGAATTCTTCCTGGTTCTTGCTTGTCTCGCCCTTGCGGTCGAAATACCAGATCGGTTCTGTGAGAGTCTTCAGGATATCAGGACGTTCCACAGCAAGGGTGTTGTAGACGTTGTGGGAGGAGACGAGGTCTGACTCGCCTCCCTCGAGGGCCTTGGTGATACAGAGCAGACCGACGATGTCGGAGTCATCGGCGTGGAAGAATTGACGGGCGTTGGTTCGGTAGATGCGAACCTTGTCGATCTGGGTCGAGTCCTCGCCAAGGTCCTTGACATGTCCCAGAACGTGGCCACGGCTGTTCTGGCTGACGAAGTAGCCTAGGTAGGTTCCGAGGCCCATGTAGGCGACGGCGGATTTGTGGTTTCCCCATTTCTCAACGGGGAAACCCTTGAACAGGATGAAGCCTTTTCCGTCAATGAGATCGGCGCGTAGAGTGTGCAGATAGCTGGCGAGGTTGGGGAGGATGAAGTTTTTCTGGCTGGTTAGATTGGGTATAGATTTAGACTAGGGGAGAAACTCACCTTGGAGATTCCGGTCAGTGGAGTCTTGGACTCGAGGAAGGCATCAGCAGCAGTGCTGAGCTCGGCGATTTGATCATCGGTGAATACGTGCGTCCATTTCTCTGGGTTGGAGCGGTACTCTTCGGGGTCCCAGACTGTGGGACCGGTGATCTTCTTGGGGAACTTTTCAAAGGGAACAATGTGATCGTAAAGAGGATTATGCTGGCCGGTTGTCTTCAGTCCATCGGGGAACAGGTTAATGTCGACAGGACCTGTCAGGTTGTGGGGGGCTGTTGGGAGAGTCGAAGTAGCTGCAGGCGCCATGGTGTTTAGAGTAGAGAGGTTATGATGTACGTATTTCTGGAGGAAAAGATGATTATATTTATAGTTGACGAACGTGTAAATCATTGCATGTCGTCTTCACTGAGCAATGAAGTGGATGTAATGGCGTGCGCGATCCAAGTGTATAGCGGAATGAAGCTCATTGGAGGCTTGGCCCTGGTATGGCGCAATTTGCGGGGTGCGATGTTGTGATGCGACGATTATTTTCGCTTTGACTCGTTTGACTAGAGGCATCTTGCATTGTACAGGACAAGCAGCATCTGCTTGGAATTTGTTTTATAAGAATTGAAGTGTTTGTATAGTTATTCAACCTGTGTAGACTAATATACTCTAGAGCTAATATAGGAGTAGCAGCAGAGAAGGGAAGAGAGGAATTCGATGGTATCTAAGTAGAACCAACTCGGCCGAGAAGAGACAATCAGATCAAAATGTGCAGATATTCTGCACTCCGTACTCCATCAAGGCGATCGCCTGAGCTGCCATTCGTGCATATGAACCGGCTCCTCGGGCCTGTGGGTGACCGACTAACATTTCCCCTTTGGGAAGGGTTCCGGTCGATCCCAAGCCTAATATCTAGATATCCAGACCTCTGTCGGGCGAGAGATGATCCCGATTTTGTTTCTGTGACAGATTTTATCTGATTTTGTGTCGCATTGCTTCTTCTCAGGTTGCAGAGTTATAATGCCCAGCCATCTGGGCACATGTCGGTACTTGCTATATTCCGACCTCCCTAGAGCGACCATCCGTTCCAAGGTTTCGTGGTCATTTGAATCACCTGGGCACTTACTCGTACGAGGCCCTCTTCCAAGGTTCAGTTGATTACCCATTTGAGTGCTATCTAAGTCTACATACACCTCGATACCCCCCTGGACAGCTTCCAAGGTTGCGATGCAGTCAGGCACCTAGGCATGTGGTCGAGACACGTTAGCCCAACTTTCGCCACGAAGATTCAGAAATGATGATTGCAACCGATTCAGCAGGTGTGTTTTCTGGTGATTCCCGAGTAAGAATGTGAAATCAATCCAGCCTGATGCTGAACATTGTGTTGAAATTAGGACCCGTCTTCATGTCTTGAATTAATCATCGAGCTATATATGAAGCTTGTTCGCCAGCAAGCCCTGGGAAGTACGGAAACACAGGCTTTGGAGTATAGGATAAGTCCCAGGTTCGGCCTGGGGAAATTCGAGAGAGAGAGAAAGCCAGAGAGTTTTCCCAGGTTGGAGGTATGTTTTAGTGTTCGGTTTCGAGAGCATGGGGAAATTCAACCCTCAGATTTGTATCTGCGGTGGTTCTGGGTGTTTGTGCGATTTCAATTACCAGATGATGTCCATACTTCAAAGGTAGCCACATTTCATTTGGAATAAACGGATGAAACTTATGTACCCCGGATATCCGTACAGGAAAAGGGACAAGCATTTGACTTGGCATTGACGCCAAACTAATGACCTTTGACCACGCGCGGGCACGGAGTCATCGATATTCAAGGCCCCGGGGTTGCTACTAGGTATCGATGCCTCACAATTTTGAGAGCAGCCGTGCCCAGGTGTGCGCTATTCCAATATATGTAGAGCTCACCTTTCACCATAAAAAGAACATTGCACACGGGTACCTACTTTCACGATCTCCAACACCGAGTGCAGCTACCAACCAGAATCCCCACCGACAAGGATTCGTTTTCCTATTTTGGCCACCCAGCTCCACCGTGATTATCCACAGAAACTCTTATCAGGTAGGAGCATGCGAGGTCTATATCTCCTTGGAATATCAACCGCTGACCTTTGAGACTTTATCATCTCCCCAGCATCAAGTCCACATGGCTCTACACGTGGCCGCGCTAGACGCGGATGTCCCTTGCCCGGCCGTCTACAAAGAGCGAGGTCTATACAGCTCGATTTTCCGATGTCTTCTACAAGACGCAGCACGTCGTCTGAACAAAACCCCGGAGCCTCACCAAAATGGACTCGCCGTGCATATCACAGCCTTCGACGCCGTAGGCGGATCTCTACCGCCGCTGGAAACCCTGCGTCGGTCCGAGACGGAGCCTCATGCCGGACCACTCGGCCCCATAGATGCGATCCTCATCACAGGCTCCGGATTCGCAGCCTACGAGAACCGTCCCTGGATTCACCAAATGCAAGAGTTCATCCAAACGGTCTACAATGACTACCCAGATGTGAAGATCTTCGGCTCGTGCTTCGGACATCAGATCGTGGCCCATGCACTCCTTTCCCGAGGCATCGAAGCCAACTCCACATACCACACCGAGCATTGGCCCGCTGGTTATGAAATGGGCATCCATCCCATCACCCTCAATCCAGAGTTCACTGCGCGATTCCCGCCACTGGCGCGCGCGACCCCATTCCGAATCCAACTGATCCACGGTGATCAGGTCGTACCCACACCTGCAGCGCTGGCCGCGGGACCAGTATCGCTACCTGCGCCATGGTTGAATATCGGTCGTAGCGCCCAGTGCGCCGTTCAAGGCTTGTACAATCCCGGCCGGGTCTTGACGTTCCAGGGCCACTTCGAGTTCGACACCTGGACCAATACCGAGACGATGCAGGAGTTTGCCCGGCGTGGAAGCTGGCCTGCCGAGGACGTTATCTCGTACCTGGAACAGATCCATCGATCCGCTGTCCCAGGGGAGGAGGATGACGATGACGCCAAAGCCGCAGCTGAGGCGGTTTTGCTTTTCCTGGCCGGAGACCGGGTGGTTAGCAATGGGCTGATGACCCCTCCGTTGGGGTGAGCTTGGACAATTCCCATGTACTAGTATGTTCGGATGGGGGCTCATTTTCGGGGGCCACATTGAAATCCCTTGGGGGCGAGTGCGGTAAGGGTTCCGGATGAGGCCACGAGGCCGGCATGAGCCCTGGAGAGCAGCTACTCAGCCCCTAGTGGCGACAAAGCTGGTTGCCTTGGACCCTGCATGAGATGTGGTATGCTGACAGGGGTTCTATAGAAATAGCACATTGTGTAGAGTAAGTGAAACGGGTGCCGAGTAAGCTTGCAGAGTGCATACGAGTACTCCGTATCCGTTGTCGAGTATTGTAATCCCGATAGCGGGGGGGTGAAGCTCCCCACACCAGTGCCACACCAGTGGAGCTCACGAGATAACAGCCCCCTGAAAGGCGTCCTGCTCTAGTACCATGTAGTAGAGACAAAAGGCAGAAATCTCAGACTTTTTCGATTCCTGCACGGCCAACCACAAACGGGATGGTGTGACCTTACCTCCAATCAAAGTGAAGATAATTGGCCCAAGAGTGGGGGTACAAGCGGAAATCCACCAATCAGGCTGCTTTGGGATGCTCTTCGGCATGTGTCGGTTGGAGACCGTTTTACTAGTAATGTATTGTCTAGTATCTCTAGATCCCAACTACTACTCCGTATACAGTGTGCAGTTATACACGATAAGTGACCTAGATATCTACCGGAATAGCTGCGATCTACAGCCAGAATATTAAAATAGAGACTCAACCCTGGGTTCAAGAATATTCCCACGTAACCTAAAGATAAAATACGGATTACACTGTAACGTGGCGCTAGTATCGCCACCCGGAGCTCCCCTCCTTCGCCAGCTTCTGGAATCCTGAGAGCTCTGGGGAGAGCTTTGGAGGGGCCGCTGATAGCGCCTATCGCGTTTGCCCACCAAGCTCAACGACTCGATGCTGGGAGCTGGATCTGATTCCTACAATGTGCGAACGAGAGAAAATATCGGATTATCAAATTGAATAGGAAAAGGGAAGCAAAAAAAAAGAGCTAAATGACTGCAGAGACCTAAAAGCACCGATCGAGCTCGGTGTTCCACCGGGCTCTCCGATCAGCCGTGTTCTGTCGGCTGTATTTGAATACCTGTACCGTATTGCTTTCTCTTTTTTTTTTCCCGGTTCTTTTTTGGGTTTCCCGTCAATGCCAGAGACATCAAGGGTCTCTTTTAGAGAACCGATTGTAGACGGAGGACATGCAACATTCCATTGTTGAAGAACGCATGCAGCCCCTCTTTGGTTATCGATACTCGATAAAGACATACCGGTTTAACCTTGCATGAGTAGTACATACAGAGAGTCCCCGAGAGCCTCTAAACTGGGCAGAGAAGAAACATTCAAGGTTAGCAGATCTCAGTATAGTACTTCGTATACCTGTACCGACCTATATAACGGAACGAGTGTTCAGGCGAAAGGTGGTAATTACCTGTAATACCAACCACTTTCACCCACAAGTATAATCCGTTCTCCTACTTCCTACTCTTTCTCTTCAAGTTCTTAGGTGATTTTGGAATTTTGCAATTTTTAGATTGTTCATACCCTGCGTGCTCGGGTGACCTCTTTGTTGAGTTCCTCTTATCTGAACATCTCCCCCCCGGGTTCTCGGATGACCTATACTGTACATGCACCATGCCTCCTCGAAGCTCTTTGACCAGCTCCTTCTCGGTGACTGATGCCAATAACGAGGTGGTCTGTCCCTTGAAGAATAACGACAGTTCCAATTGTCGGAAACGATGTCTGGGGGTAAGTGTCTGGCCCAACTCGAACCCCACCCAGGATACTGGACTTGCGCAGCTCGAGAGACCCCCCCGTACTACTCCGAATTCCAACTAATCCAATGACTCTAGGAAAAACGCTATCGCTCCATGCAGGAGCACATTCGACGTGCGCATCCGAACCACTACATTCCGAAGCTCCCGGCGACCGAGGAGAGCTTCTTGATGATGGTGAACACCCCGCTCGAACAACGAGCGCAGCTGTCTCCCCCGGAACCCGCCCAACCCAGGCGGCCTCATGGTCGGTTGGACCGTGGCCTTTGGGCCTCCCCCTCACCACTGGACAGGGATACTGACGGCTACCCACAGATGTGGCGCCGGAACGAGACATCTACGTTGCGGATGGCTCTCCCGCCACTCCTCGAGCTCTCGATGAACCCCACCCTGCGGCGGCCACAGCAGCAGTTGCGCTGGCACAATTGCACCACCACCGGCTGGCTTCGGACTGGGATACAGATATGGTTTGTCTCTCTCTGCGCTCCTCGGATGGGCGTTTGACTTGGTTTCCGTTGGGTGGTACTGACCCGCATTTCCCCAGGAAACTCATTCTGACACTGATCTGAGCCACCCGCACATGCGCTCGACCATTGAACTTCCCCCACTCCGCGATCACTTCAAACAGGAGACTCTTCCCCCATTTGCCCGCCCCCGCGAGCTGCTTCCGTCGATTCTCAACCACTCTCCGCCCGGTCGCTCGTCTACACTGCCGCCGATCCAGCGCAAAGATAAGGTCTCCCGGCCGCGCAAATCCTCCATCTCGCAATCGGCCCGGAAGCCCAAACAGGATCGGCCCAAGTCAAAGGACTTCGCGCGGCGACCAAGCCTTGGCGACCGCAAAGCCCTATCGGCAGAGCCGCAGACCGCGGCGTGGGCGCAAGGGAAGCGCTGGGAGGATTTGATTGAAGCAGCGACGTCCGCGACCGAGGCTGATGATGAGCGCTATTCAGAGGTGAGTCCTGAAGTCGAGTTTTCATTCGACTCATGGCTGATTGAACAGGCTGGTCGGTCTCCGACGATTGCCCCACTACTCTCCAACGTGACGTCTGCTCCTGGGGTGAAAAATCGGTCTTCGCTACCACCCGCGTTCCAATCCACAGGACTGCCTCCCATTTCATCGCATCGACCGTTCCCACCTCATCACTACGCCGCTTCGCCCTTGCACAAAGCATTGACCCCTCCACCGTTCGAGAATCACCGCGCCCGCGACAGCGACCTCGAGCCATTCCCATCTATTGAATCGTCCCTCGATTCCATGTCCTCAACATCTGGCACTGGCACTGGCACCGGCAGAAATTTTGCATCGTCCATCTCGGGAGTTGCGCCATCCATCAACTCCGACGGTAGCCCAACCATGAATTTGATCCCACCCATGTCTCAGCGCCAACACCACCGATTCTCAAATCCCACGCCCGCCTCTTTCCGCAACAAAGAGGTCCAGGTGTTTTGTGCCCATTGCAAACGACCCTCGGCCTTGAACGAGTGTTATGCCTGTACAGAATGTATCTGTGGAGTCTGCCGTGACTGTGTGGGCATGTTCATCTCAAGCCCACCCGCTTCCTTCAGGACCCCTGGCAACGGACTACTACACAATATGCAGCAGGGGCCGACCAGCTACCCGGGCCCTCGTGGATGCCCGCGATGTCGAACAGTGGGTGGAAAGTGGAAAGCTTTCCAGATCGACATCAAATGAACGATTTCAAGACCGCCTGCATTTTTGGCTTTACGCATTTAACGACTGATGTTTCTTATACGTTCCTTTCTCTATTTGGTTCTCGTTCCATTCCGCAACGCAGAATCCGTGATTCTGCCTCCATTCAGACCCAGTTTCGGTGCAGGATTCCGACAATCTACTAAAACCCGAAGAAGCTGGCCTTTTTGGAGCTTTTTAGTGGAGGGTTTCCATTTTCTTTCTTTCAGCATTGGGGTCCCGACGGACATGTTTGGTCATGAGGTATATGGTTGTCTTTTTCATTATTGCCCTGATTTCCTTTTTCACACGATGCAAGCTGTACTGCAATTTCATTTCTCGCTGTTTATAGAAGAGTGCCGTTTCTCAACGGCCAATCCGAGCCCACTGATCTATATATCTTCCCAATTTACTCATCCCAGATGACGCTGCTCAAGCCCTCAGCAGTTCCAACCTTCCCAGGCTCCCCAACTTGTAGAACAGCAACCTGTTCGCCCAAATTGCCGGTCTTCTGGTCCCGACGCACAATGGCCACATTCGCCGAAGCCTGGTTGCCGATCGCAACCAGATCCCCGGCCCGATTGATCACGAACGTCCGTGGGACCTTGCCATAGGCAGACGTGGAGTTTCGCACCTTCACTAATCCGTCCTTGGGCGACCGGTCAAGCACGACCATCGAGTCATTCGGCTTGTATTTTTGGTCCGACCGAATGGAAACATACAGCGCATTGCCAACGCGCTTGATACCGGCCGGCGTCGCACCCTTGGGCATCACACCCTTCGGGTACGGGACAATGGTCTGCTTCTTCTCCAACGACAGACACCCAGATCGCGAATAGGAGACATCATAGACCATCATCGTTCCCCCAATCTCATTAACCAGATACAGCATCGTCTTCCCGACAGACGCGAGCTTGCGCTCATGCGTCGCGCCACCGGTTGTCTTGTCCGTGCCGTCTGTCCAGAAAACTGCGTGTCGCGGCCCACTGCCGAATGTGACGTTCGTGCTGGGACACTCCTCTAGTTTACCCGAGTACTCATCGATAGACCACGTGCGCAGCAGGTCCGCGCCAAGGTCGGGGCTCAAGATGAATGATCCTGTGGGATCGAGGAAGACCTCGTGTGGGTGGGATGAGTCCTGCTGCGCCACTTTGCCCGGGTGGGTCAGGTTGAAGTGGAAGGCCTGAAGGGCCGGCTGGTCCTTTTTTATGGGAAGCGAGAATGTCGAGACGGCAGCGCCCCCGCTGGAGGATGTTAGTCTTCGGACTTGGAAAGGTGGAAAGATAACTTACTAGTGCGCAATTGCGAGGAACTTCTTCCCCGTACCCGCTTCGTAGATCACGCTATTGACGCCTCCGCCGACGGTGTCGGTCACTGCGATCTCGCGCAATTGGCCATCTTGCGCGGCGCGCAGTGCTGTCAAACTGCCGTGCGTAGAGGGATCGGTTGTCCCGTCCTCGTTGGAGCAGTAGACTGTGCGCGTTTTGGAGTCGAGCGTCAGCCAGCTTGGCATATCGCCGCATGTTTTGAGGGTTTGTTTGATGGTTAGGTTGTTCTGGGCAAGTTCTAGTGTATACACATCGCCACTGTAGTGGGTTGCCCACAGACGAGCTGGTGCAGGGGTTGCGGTCGCTATGGCAGTCGACGCGAGCGACAGGAGGAGGGTATTGAAATGCATTTTGGTGGTAGTTTGGAGGGGATTACAGGTGGGAATGGGACGCTTATACGGGGAAATGGACGCGGAGTGGGATGATCAACAACATGCATTGCGACCTAGGCGTCATGGGCCCGCGATGGAATGGATCGTCGCGCAGGGGCAAAGGGGGTGTCATATCCCGAGATGCTACACTGGAACGGGCTCCTATTGGTATTGGACTTGCAGACTATACACTGCCCTGCATATCTGATACTTACGATGCTAAGTTGAGAGTGGCTGAATGGCTAAGCCCTGCAGGCGCTTAGGGCTGTACAAACGCCAACTCGTTTCATCTTCAGCTTCACCCCGTTATCGGATTCGAACTCCACTTCTTCCCCGTATTGCGTGGGGGTCCGGCTGTTCCTCGGCATATTCTACCTGTCTCATTATGCTGCGGACACCGCGCTACCTCAGACAAGTGTCAAGCCCGTGTAGCAGCTGTCGTTGCGCACCAATTCCGTCTTGACACCATCATCCAGCGACACCGAGTACAGACTGCCACCCAGGTCCGCCACGTAGACAATATTGTTGACTTTGTCCAGCTTGAGCCCAATGGGCTCATGGAAATGCCGGGCAAGAATGACCTTTTCCATGTCAGCGTCTTCGCCGCCAACATATGCGCGATTCAGGGTACACCCCATCGGATGCTCCCCACGGTCCGTCCAGTACAACGTTTGAGTAGTACTGTCGATTTCAATGTCAATGGGCTCTGGCATCGTCGCCCACAGGCAGCGGATATCCGTTCGATTCTCCGCGTTCTCGCCGGGCGGGATATCGAGGCCCGCTCTAAAGATCCGACCCCGGCCCCCCTTGCTAGGCCCCTTCTGACTCCAGTACATCAACTCCTGCTCGGCGTCAATGGCAACGCCAACGCACCAGTGTGTCATTTGCTCTAGCAGGGTACTGTTGGGGTCAATGCGCCGTTGAACGATGATCTCGTGGTTATTTCCGTCATAATCGCAGCGGTGTACACTCGTGCCCTCGCGATCACAGAAGTAGAGTTGATTCCTCGACTCCACTGCCGCGATCTGCTTGGGCGTGTGAACATCCCCAATTGAGATTAGACATCGTACATGTCCACCGTCCATATCGGCCGACCAGACAGATCCATCGCAGGCAGCCGTACTGCGACCCATATTCGTCCAGAAAATCCGCTGTGTCGAAAGCGACGCGTCGATTCCGTCCGGTTGGTTCTGGCCAACCATCACGGGTGTCAGTTTCTGCGTGGCAAGGTTCAACCGTAACACCTTGCCATTCGAATGCACCTGCGAGACATCCTTGGCGTTACCACCCAATCCCACATCAAGCACGTAGATATCTTTCGCCACGCAGTGCGGGTTCGCCGGGTCTTTCTCTGCGGATGAAGATTTCGCAAGAGGCGGGTAGAGACCACCCTTTGCGCACTTCTTTCCCACACGCCCCTGGTTGATATATTCTTTGCGCAACCAGTCGACCGTTCCGTCGGACCGGTATCCCCTCTCGTGGATATAGTTGTCTTCGATGTAAGCGACTGTGTCGAGGCCAATCTGATCCATCAGCTGGCAGGGCAGTGGGCCATTCTTAAACATATGTTCCCAGAGCAAATCAATTTCGCCAGGGTCACTGACACCCGAGGAGATGATATTCATGATCTCGCGCTTGATCGCGGCCCACAGGCGATTGAAGATGAATCTGTCCACGTCAGTCATACCCAACATACACGACGGATACGTACCCAGTCGACTCCCGGCGAGCGATCACCGGTAACATGCCACATTCCCCGAGTACGTCTTCCATGTACGCGAGGATTTCAAAATCCGTCTCACCGCAGGTCATCATCTCGACCGTCCGAATCGCGGGAGGCATAGCAAAATGAATATTGAAAACTCTCTTCTTTCTCTTATCGGAGATTTTCGCAATCAGCAAACTCGACTTGATCGACGAGCTATTCGAACCGAGGATACAATCCTCCTCAGCCAAGGCATCCATCTTAGCAAACGTGTCGATCTTGAGATCCAAAAGCTCCGGTACAGCCTCAACAACAAGCCAGGAATTACTGATAGCCGGCTCCAGGCCCAAAAACGTCTTGCAGATCCCAAAGGGCGCAGTCGTGGATGACTCCAGGTCGACCTGCGATATAGAGGTTTCGACCTCACGACCTGTGATCTTGCCCTCGCTGTTCTTTATTTCCTCTCTGGCCTTGTGAATCCGCGGCATCAATGAGAACTCGGCTTTGTGGATGTCGACGTACTCCGCTGCGTCGCGGAGTGCGGCTTCCGATAGATCGTGGATATGCACATGGTAGCCGGCTGCGATGAAGATGCAGCCTATCCGGCGTCCGAGGACTCCGCCGCCGATGACAGCGACGGGGCGGTCTGTTCGTGGTTTCACCGCCATTGTGGTGAAGAAGGGTTTGGATAGAAATCGGGAGTGTCTGAGGTGAGTGCTAAATGCGATGGTACTATGTACATATGACGTAGGAAGAGGCGAGTGAATCCGCCTCTTTGCAACGTTTTTTTGGCTTCTGTCATTTGATGCAACAGTGAATGCATGCATATCTTCTTGGAAGATATGTTACTTCATTTAAACGATCGTACAATGCGGGCGTCGGAGACTAACTGCGGAAGTTGCGTCCTGCTCCGGGCTGTCAGGTACTCGAGTTATCCTCTAGAGTAACGACTACCTACCTAGGTAGTGCAACGATTTGCAGTACTTCCTCATTTCATATCTGCCATGCAGGAAATGCCTTTCTATTAAGCTTTGTAGCAGACTTGTGAATTTTATTCTCAACAGAGGCTACTTACAAGTTACGTGTGCTTCTTAGCATCGAGGTGTAAATGCATTGATATAAGTGCTGTCTATCTTTCATTCCCTCATGACACGCTAAACCAAATAAGAAACTTGAAGTCTATGAAACGTTATCCATCGTCTATGCAATTCAAAATGGAGTTGCGATCGTCTTGTAATCAGACGGCAATGGGGCCGGCACCAAGTCTGTCTTTAGGACCGATGCCCTTTTCCCGAACGGCAACGAGACCAACGATCAAGCCAAGCCCAGCAAGACCGACAGAGCACCAAAGACCGGTACCATACTGTTCAGCAAGGCCATGTCCCTTCTGGATATCGACAGCATCAGTGACAGCAGCTGAGATAGCCAAAGCAACGCCGGAGCCAATTTGGAATGCAGTGTTCAGCTGAAAATGATGTTAGAATGTTGAGCGTATACTTGACGAGAGAGAAATCTTACCATTCCACCAGCCAAGCTTTTGACCTCGACAGGCACGCTGGTTAGCACAACTGTGCTAGTAGTGACAAAGATGAATGACACGGACGAGATGCTGATCAAAGAGGTGGGAAGAACATTGAGCCAGCTATCAAGGTCAGTAGATAATCACTAGTAATGGTGATGACGATACATACAAGCTGTGTTCAGGGCTCGAAGTTAGAGCACTAGAGATGGGAGCAACAACGGCCAGAACTAGTCCAGCGATCAGGAGATGCTTCCCATTCATGTACTCAAGGAGCTTTCCTGTTCCAAGGGACACGATGAAGCCGATGGCACCCATGGGCAAGAAGCGGAGAGCGGTGTCGCCTGCGTTAAGCTTGTCCACTTCCTGTGCAATGAGCACAATGTAATAGATGACGTTCTGGTATGTACCATATCCAGCTGTTGAAAATCAGTAACTTGCACAAGCGTCACTTAGATGAAATATAACTCACTGAAGCCAATCACCCAGAGGCCTGCGAAGTTGCGAATCTTCCACAACGACAGCGGCATGATGGGGTTGCTGATGTACTTCTCAAGGATAGTGAATCCAACAAGGAGACCAACAGCTAAAATCAAGAGAACGATGATGAAAGGCTGGTCCCAGCCGTATGTTCCGCCACTGGAGAGGACGAATTGAAGGAGAATCAAACCAGCAGTGGACATCACTGCGCCAATGTAGTCCATGCGCTCCTTCTTTTGCTTAGACGGCACATCGGCGGGAAGGACGATGAATCCCAGGACGCCCAGCGAGCCGGTGATGATGACGATCAAGTAGAAGATGTACCTCCATCCGAGTGAAGAGGTCAAGAAGCCACCAAAGATAAGGCCAGTGCAGAATCCAAGGGTGCCGGAGGCACCATAGATAGAAAGCGCCCGGGTACGGTCAACACCGCTGAAGTAAGAACTGATGATTCCAATGGCGGACGGCACAGTGAGTGCGGCTCCTATCCCTTGAATTCCACGGAACACTGTGAGTTGAATGAAAGACTGGCCGAAGCCAATGGCCAGGGTCCAGACAGATAGCCAGGCCAGACCGAGACAAAGGATCTTCTTTCGTCCGTAGCTGTGGAAGTTAGGACAAAGTTCTTGATTGTTTCACTCAAGGTGGGCCAAGAACATACCGATCAGATAGAGCGCCAGCCAGTAAAAGGAAACCACCAAATGATAAGGTGTATGCAGATATCATCCATTGTAGGTCTGTACCGGAAACTTCAAAATCCCGCTGGATCGAGGACAGAGCAATATTGGCACTGGTCATAAAAACATTATCAAGAAATTGAGAGCCAGATGTGACCAGCAAGATCAGACATCCTCTCCAAGAGCCTAGGCGACCGAATTGGTGTGGAATCTTTTCAAGAATAAACGGATCTTCACTCCCAGCCGGAGATGGCAGCATGTGTGCGGGTGTGACTGCACCAGAAGACTCCGGGCTCGAAGTAACAGTAGGTTCAATAACCTTTGGGGCCTCCATAGTGGGGGTGTCAATACCGCGAGTCTGAAGACCACGCGGTCGACTGAAATAGTCAACAATGCCCATTATGATCTAGGAAAAGAGAACGAGGATGAAAACGGATGCCGAGCATAACATGCAGCAGCTCCTTACACTCTAATATACGCTCTACTATCTGCTGCTGTTGTAAAAAAATCAAAATCTTCAAACTGCTCCAGTTTAAAAAGTGGAGTGAAGCATCTCGGATTACCGTTTTGAGCTGGATCTCAAACTGGAGCATGTTCTCTCGGATTACTTTGTTGAGTATGGCATGACCCACTGTGAAGAGCTTTATCCACTGGCCACCTCGTCCCTTGCACGTGGAAGAGATAAAAGGGATTGAAATATCAGTCTGAGCTGTTGTACGCGGCCTTGATCAGCGCACTGTTAGATACAGCGCATATGCAGATGCATCTGATTTTCTGACTGCTCAATTATTGAGGGACATCGGCTGCAAAATGGCTATCGGCTTTGCGTAGGCTTGAAAACCTTAAGATATCGGCCCGAAGAGCCTTGGAGGTGTTGCGGGATCCCGGTAGGGCTAATTTAGCCGCACTGCGGTCTAGGTTTTTTCTGTGTGCCGTCTAGACAGTGAATTATACAAAATCCATTAAACAGTTTAATCTGTGCAACTATGATAGAATTATGTGGAGGCCGTTATTCCAGTAGCAAGCAGCAAGCACGACATCCACTCACCTGTTGGGAGATCATGTCGGATTTTTGGTGCAGATAGGGATTAATTTTGCCACGCCGAATCTGTGGACCGTACACCTCATGTACACTGTGTACATTGCTTGGGCAGTTTCTCCCAAAATCCATCTAGGCCTTTTGATAAGCAAGTGGGGAAGTTCATTTTGCCATTGAAAATTTCATTCTCTTCTACACATGTATCGCTTTGAGCAGTCCACGGGTTTGTGCACATCCAATAGGTGGAGGCACGGGTACTCGGTACTCCACCTTGATGTCCGTGTGTTCTGTGGTCCAGGGACTTCGACCAGTGTCGACTCCGTATGTACGCCTGGGCACCTGCCCAGGTGGGCATCCATGAGCGATGACTAACAAGGCACATTGGCATTTTTCCCGGGGTCTGAGCTTTGCCAAGCTGATCGCCAGTCAAGCAATTGCTCTGGCCAACATGATCAGCATCACTCAATGATTGGCAAAGTACGGAGTATGTGCATCTCATTTTGAAGCACAGATTGCGCAAGACTATCACATTCTTGCATCTGGTTGGGACAGAATACGCAATTCGTTCGAGTCTCGAACATCCATAGCACACATATATGTACCCGCTGCGGTTAGGGCGCATTGAGTTCTATGCAGGGGTACTTCCACTTCGCCGGTTCTACCTAGGTAATCTTGAAGTGCGGAACAAGCAGCATCCTATATCATTGTGCTTACAGAGTATATCCTGCTCAAATGGGAGGGCCACACTCACCTGGGCAGGACTTCCTTGGTCGCTTTCGTTATTGATCCCACATTTCGCGATTGGAAACCATGCGCATATTCACTACTACTTCGGAATCTGCCATTCTGGACAATGGGGTTTCTGAGACAGTCTTACCAGCTTGGGTTACCGGTACGAAGTAGAACTATAGCCCAGGGGGCGCTGTGGCCTCAGGCAGCATGGGCCCGATCGGAGTTGATCTACGTCATAGTAATGCCTGAAAGAACTGGCATTCAGGGCGCCTGGCAGGCCAATCAAAGACATTGGAGAAAGAACCCCGTCCCGATTTGGAAGAGGATCGAATGAGAAACGCCTCGCTCCACATTAATGACGTACAGGACAGAGGTTGAACATCCCCGCGATCTTCTGTACTTCCCCTCTTATGCTATATTGCAATCTACTATATTCTGCACGATTATCCTCTTCCTGGCTGATGACAGCGGGATCAGACACGACGATCGCAGATTAACTTCCCTTCTGCAATGCGAGTCGACGGCTTGCAAATAGGCAACTAATCATTGTGAGACTGCCAGAACTTCTACGATCGACTCTATCACCAATTTCAAGAAGATCGAGAGGTCCGGTCCAATCGATGACGTTCGCCTTCAGCCAAAATGTCTCGGCGCAGCAGCTGGCTGACATCCTTCCAAATGGCGTGGCTATTCTCGACCATCGATACCAACTGATATCCGTGAACCGCCGATTTCGAGAGCTTATCCCGTCTCCTACCACAAAATTTTCTGAATGTTGGTTGAATTCGGTCCACAACGACGACTATGAGCGGGTGGCCGCAGCGTATCGGGAGACCGCAGAATCCAAACAAAGGCTACGAATCGAATACCATACTCGCGACCCCGACTCAATGTGGTCTGTCATGACGCTGGACCGGCTGGAAACACAAGAGGCCAAGCCTTTCGGGTCGGCGGAAGGTGGTCTGTTTATCTGCACCATCGCAGACATCACCCCGGAGAAAAAGGCCGAACTCATGCAGAGACAGGCTGCGCAGGAGGCACGAGAGCGCAAGAAACAACAAGAGAGATTCATCGACATGATCAGCCACGAGATTCGGAATCCATTATCTGCAATCCTACACTGCACCGAGGACATCCAAGAGGCTATCTACAACAAGAAGCCCGAGCAAATCTCGATCTTGAACATCACCGAGGCGGTTGAGACGATCAGCCTATGCATCACACATCAGAAAAAGATTGTCAATGATGTTCTCACATTCTCAAAGCTAGACGCATCAATGCTGTCCCTATCTCCACGCAAGGTGCAACCCAAGCGACATCTCACCACACCACTCACAATGTTCCGACCCGAGCTTCGAAAGCAGCAAATCCAGTTTGAATACATAGCCGACGTATCTTACCACTCTTGCGGTATCGACTGGGTTCTGGCCGACCTTGATCGAATGAGCCAGGTCTTAATAAACATTCTTTCCAACGCCATCAAATTCACCGCCAAATCGGAAAGCCAACGGTTCATTCGAGTCTCCATGGGTGCCTCCATAGAGCGTCCAACTTCATACCCGCCGAATGTTGTCTTCTTCGAATCCAGCAAGTCAGCCCTCCGTAAGGATGCCACCAACACCACTGAATGGGGAGAGGGCGACGTGGCATACATGATGGTCGCCGTCAAAGATTCCGGCATTGGGATTACTGCCCAGGCCCAGAAACGGCTTTTCGAACGATTCAACCAAGCAACCCCCAAAACAGAAAGTTTATACGGTGGCTCCGGCCTTGGGTTAAATGTTTGTAGGCAATTGTGCCACTTGCATGGGGGTGAGATTGGTGTGAGCTCCCAAGAAGGCCAAGGAAGCACATTTGGCTTCTTCTTCAAAGTGCGCCGAACAAATCACACAAGCTCAGATGGTCACGGAGGCCTTGATATCTCGGGCATGGATCGTCTATGTCTTGACATCCAAACACTCGGAAACGAAATGCGCGGGATCAATGAGTCCACGGAAGACCCTGAGATCTCGCCAAGCCCCCCAGAGGATAACATATGGGAGGCAGAGCCAGGTGCCCCGAAAGACGAACGAACTAAATGTACCTTCCGTATAGCGCGTGAAGTTTCAGATTCCCAAATCAGATCGAAGAAACCAAGCCCGTCTCGCCATGGAAAGCAGCCTGACAAAAATTCCGAAGAGCAGTCTGAAAAGCAGACCGGGAACGGTCAGCGTGTTTTGTTAGTCGAGGATAACATCATCAATCGACGCATCATATCACGCAAGCTGGACGCACTTGGCTACAACATATCAGAGGCTAGTAACGGCAAAGAGGCTGTCAATGCCCATAAAGGTGGTCGTTTCGATTGTATCCTCATGGATCAGCAGATGCCCGTCATGGATGGGAACCGCGCAGCAAAAGAGATTCGCGAGATTGAGAAAAGGAAAGGCGGCCATGTTCCCATTCTGGGCGTGACTGCAAATGTCAGAGACGCTCAACGAGACGCCATGATCAGTGCTGGCATGGATGATATCATCCACAAGCCTTACGGAACCCAGGAGCTGGTTGAAAAGATCAATAAGATGATACCGGAGACGAGAAAATAAATAATGAGGCTGGCCGATGAGTGTTTTCGCGATTCCCCAAAGACGCCTGGGGTCGTACATCGGCGATGTCACTGTATATTATACCATCTTTTACCGCAACGCTCGTGATCACGCATACCCATAGATTTGGAGCTAAATGTCCTTGTTATTAAATGTACAAATATCAAAATGTTATAAATCTGTTCGCGCGACTTGACTCGAACTTCTTATAGCTCGAACACTCTATGAACGTTTCGTGAACACAAGCGGGCATCCATCCTAGTTGATGTGTTAGAAAAGAATTCCAAGAGTTCGACAAGGCATTGCAAAAGCATTTGTCTTCAAGGATACTGACCATTGGGAATAGTGTAGCAAACACTCGAATTTCCTCTGACTTCTCCGTAGCATGATGCTTCCAATCGAGCTCCAGTGCTGCTTTTCCAATCATGCCTGCCATCGAAAGGGGCACATATCTTCTTGCGAGGCAATCGTGAGGTCCTGCGCCGAACACAAGCCAATTTTTCGTTTTAGACTCCGCATCTCCGGAGATCCACCGATCAGGATCAAAGGTATCGGGATTAGGATAGACATTCGGATCATGCAAAGCTGGATAACAAGATGGAATGATCATCGCACCCTTTGGGACAGTGTAGTTTGGGGTCACCGGGAAGTTCTTGGTCGCAAGATACGGTACCATAATGACGGGTGGTCGGTGGCGCAGAAGCTCTTTGATGACCGCGTTGGTATAGGTGAGGGATTCCAACATGGGGAGATCGAACGTCTTGTTCCTATCCCCACCACGGGCCGCGAGGTTTTCCTGTCGTAATTTATCGAGAACATCGGGTCTCTGTGCGAGGATTTGGAATAACCAGGTCGTTGCACTGCTGGAAGCATCCTGGGATGCGAAGAGGAAAGTGAACAAAGTCTCTCCGATCTCCTCGTTGGTGAACTCGCGGATCATGTTTGTTGGCTTTTCTGCATCGGTCTCCCCTGCTGCGATCCTTTCGCGATATCTCTGCGATTCCATCATGTGGAGCACCCAGTGATCGACGATACACTTTGGCTCGGCGCCGGTTGCCATGTTCGCTTTGCATGCAGCGGCACATTTGGCAAATTCGACGTGGACAGCATCCGCGGTTTTCTTCCCGCGCCATGGCTTGGTGAAGGGGACGTACATCGACAGAGGCACATTAACCAACTCGAGAGCCGCTGTGGCTAGATAGAAGTCATCGGCGATCTTTTTGACCGCGGCTTGGGATATATAGTCGCCGAAGAATGTGCGACAGGAAAGGGCGCAGTTTATCTCACGGAACATGGTCATGAACTCCATTGGCTTTCCCTGGTTTGCCTGGCTGGCAGCAGTGAATTTTTCAAAGTAGTCGGCCAGCACTCTCTCCTGAACTGGGAGGTATGTGGCCATAGCTCTATTCGTGAATAGAGGTGTCAGACCTCTGCGGTATTCGGCGTGATCCCTACCCTGCAGAAAGACCCATGCTTTGTGGCCTAGGATGTCCTTTGCGATCGGCACTATACATGGTTCGGCGTATGAGGGTGACTTGAATACCTTGTGGGCAATATCTCGGTCTGAGGCAAGAACAACAAATCTGTGACGGTGATTGTAAGCGAGTTGGGCTTGGTGTGGGCATTTGGGACATCATTTGACATACTTGTGAAAAACAGACACGCAACTGAGAGGCCCGCTTGCCCATTGCACGAGATAGCCCTCAAACTTTGGGTCTAAGGCTTGTAAAAACGGTCCCATAAGTGGGATCTTGAATGGTGGTCCAGCAATGGAGCCCTTTCGCTTGATGTACATGACTAGAGGCCACCAATATTAGCTATGCGAATGATAGATTGAGATCGTTGGTTACCTTGATCGTAGAGCACCACGGCGAGTAGAAAGGACACCACATAGTGCCAGGTCGACCATTTTGAAAGGTTTCCAAGAAGTGAGATCGAAGGTTGTGAGGGATTGGAAGGCCATGCTTGGAGCAGCTCGGCATGAGATGTCGAGAGGTTTGATATTACCGCCGCCATGTTACACTTCCAGTGGTATTAGCCACAGAAGCAATTCCGGATATGGCTGGTAAATAAGTACATTGAAAGCAAACAGCGCGTCGCGATTCATCGATGGCATGATATAGTCCATGCTTCCCGATTAGGCTTAGACTCCGAATCAGGAACAACGGGGTCTAGTCCCTTTTGGGCCGTCACCTGAAGTCCACGTCTTCTGTCAACGCGAGATCGAGTCTGGTTTAGCAATCATACTTCCTCCGTACTGTACTATCAACAGACTTTAGCATCTGTCTCCCAATACCCCCGTCCCAATTTCAAAGGCGGTGTGGGGCGCGTTAGCACCGGCTCCTTAGGCTGACGCTCCGTTTGATGTTCACTATCTCGCAATGCGCCCAACTCTCCGTCGGTCGTGTGCTGCTTGTGCGAAGTCAAAGTCCAGCTGTGACCTAGGCACTCCTCGTTGTTCCCGCTGTATCCGGCGCAAAATTGAGTGTGCCTACGCGAACGAACCCTCGACGAAGTCGGCAACTTCCGGCCCGCCGGATAGCGGGTCGCGGGAGCCTCTTGAAAGATGTGATGGCTTGACGACGTATAGATTTGGACATTACGATCCATTTGACTCATATCCACCGACGAGACTTCCCAAAGAGCACGTTCAGCGTCTCATTCATGGCTGTACGTGACTCGGGTGTTGGATGCCGATTTGGCCACACATGCTCACCCCCAGTGATCTAGTTCTCAACAAAATCGCTTTTCAATACTATCCCCTTGACCTGAGTGCGACTTCCAATCCATTCTTAATATCCTGGTGGCCACTGGCGCTAGGGGACCCAGCGCTGTTTCACGTGTCTCTGCAGACTGCATGTCTCGATGAAGAGCTTCTCGCCCGAAAGGGCTTTCAGTCATCCGAACTTCTCATGGCAGACTCGGTAGCTCTGCTCCGGCGAAAGGTGGAAGACGTCTCCCTCGCTATGCAGGATGGGACCATGAACTCTGTCATCACGTTGGCAACCATTGAAGTAAGATCATGCCTCGGCTTGTGGCTTTGTGCTCTTCTTCACACTTTGGTCATATCACTGATATCCGAGCGTTTAGTTTGGCAAGGGCAACGTCAAGATTGGCCGAATGCACGTGGATGGGGTCAAGAAACTAGTTGACTTGAGAGGTGGCATCAATTCAGTCAGACAGACCAGTCCGCTTACTGCCAGGATGGTCAGCTGGTGAGTCAGACGTCAAATAAACCCATGGATCTGGGGGTGGAACGCATAAAGCTTACGAGTCTTCTAGGGTATCGATGCTCATTATGGGTCACCCTCAGTTTGAAACGCAAGACGATTACGGAATCGGGGATGGAATACCACCAATTCCAGAATGGCAATTAGGACCGACTGCCAACTGCGAAAGTGGATTCGATGTCAACGCCCTTGACATTGATCCTGCGGTTCGGAACGTATTCGTCCGCCTTCGCAACGTTATGCAGCGCGCGCAGCAAGTGCCGTTCTCAACCACTCAGATACACGACCTCACGTGCTTCGTGGTTCATCGGCTTTTACTCTCTAGCACAGCAACGCCCCTCATTTCGCCGATCACAGAAAGTATTCGATGCGCGATTATACTATACATGTTCATCGTTCAGGGGCCGACCTACTACACACACGCAGTCATATCCAACACAATCGTCATTCGACTCATTGAGCACTTCAGATATCTTGCACCGCCTACCCACGTTTTTGACTCTCTTGATGTGTGGCTAACTGCTGTCGGCATGGTTGCATCGACGGACACAGACCATCATCAAAGCTTCGTGGAAAGGGCACGTGAGATCGCAATCTCACTCCAACTCAAGAGTTTCCAGGACGTAATGGTGCATATCAAGAGCGTTATTTGGTTGGAAAAGCACCATATTGAAGAGATATTCCTTTCTCACTGGGATATCATATTCAATCTTGCAGAAACCACCGCATCACCATACCTCCTCACCTTCAGTGCTTCGCCAGATATGACAGGTGCGACATTTATATGAGAGAAGCCATGGCAGTGCGGTTTGTATCCAAGCCAAGGGCTTTCTCACAACCAGGTATTGACAGCACTACCTTGTCACCAAACCCTCCCAACCGAACTCTGCCCACAGAAGCCAGTACCAACCAGGGAAACATAACTGGAAAGACCGTATGTTTCCAGTCACTGGTGATTGCTGTCTAGACAAACCCGCTGCGTCATCGCCTACGGCGGGCACATTTGTCCTCCGGAAGCATTTTGCATGGAGCAATATCCATGTTCACCGAGCTGCACGGCACCCCGTCCCACGATATGCTTTTTTGTCATTGGGCGGTTTGATTTGATAAGCTCCGAAGCTCTATCACTACTCATCCGGATCGATCAATGGCTGCTGCAACCAAGGCAATATAGAGTTGCCGAATATTCAGCGGAAGTCAAACTCGGTGCCACACCCACAACTCGCTCGGCGTGTAAGGAGTCCACGCTACCTGCACAGCAAACCAAATACCGGACTTTCAGGGTGGGGCGCACACTAACAAGCCCGAGATCATCTGTTTCAACCCGATTTATGATATCCTAGCCAGCATGCATTGTTTTGAATAGATGAAATTCTAGCTTTAAGTGTATCACAATATCAAAGAAAAAGAAAAGAAAACAACGACTACAACACAGATCGAAAGCCGTGCACCAAGGAAATGGTGCGTGCGCCGTGAGTTTCGGCCCCCAAATCACGCCTGCTCAGCACGAGCCTTCAGATCCCGGTGAAAGACATCGAAATGAGCACGCATCTTCTTCCCAAGCAGCGAAGGGCTCATGATAAATGCAAGAAGACCCTTCAGATCCTCCGTCTGCGTAAAGATCGTCGACGCGCCATCGTTCGCAGGCTCAATATGGAATTTATGCAGACCAGCAATAGTGAAGACGGGCGGGCCCTGCCAAGAGAACAAGGTCTCGGTGTTTTCCTAGTCGATCAGCATGCGGTCTCTGCAGCCGTCCAGTCGCGCAGGGAAACTCACCTTAACTTCTGCGACGAATTTGAAGTTCTCGATGTTCACGTCGATCTTATCGCCCGCGCTCAGCTCCACGGGTGTCTTGCCCTGGGTTTTGATCTCCTTCAGCCACTCTGTGTGCCATTCTGGGTAGGCGGAGAAGTTGAGGAACTGTCGGCGGTTAGTAACTGGAGGTGTTGGGTTGCGGTGTCTTTGTCTTGGATCTACGTACGATTTCGCGCACTTTGGCCGGCGGCGCGGCGATTTCGATTGTGCTTGTGATCATTGCGTGGGTTGAGAGAGAGAGGGAAAGGGGAGAAAGCTATCGACATATGGTGCGACAGGTGCGTGGGGATTAGTACCACGTCCCGAGGTCCATCCGCGGTGGTCCCGCCTTGGCTGCAGATCAGCCCAACGCCTTTGTCGCATTCTTACTCCGTAGATGGGTGGTACTCCGTACGGAGCACGCCGTGCAGGGCAATCTGTACTGCTTCGTGCTTGGTAGATCAATCTACAACGTTCATGACGTAGGCCAACGGGCGCAATATGCACGATGTCAATCAATTTTCACCAAGGACGTCATGGTGCATCTACATCTGGGGATCGGAAATGGAATTAATGAAGATCGTTCAACTTAGATACAAGTAGCATAATTAAGTTTAACATAAGTCATGATAGTCAACTATCATCCAACTCATCCCGAGTCATATATACAGAGAGACGAATATACATTTCACAGCGCGTCTCGCATGATCAAGGCTCCATGCTGATGCGGCTGACACGACGTCCACCATTTTCGGCTCGGTCAGCAGCCAGGGTGGAGGCAAACTTGCTTTTGGCGCGGATCTGAGGTCCCTTCCAGTAGAAGACGTAGATGGGCAACACGACCAGGCAAGACAGACAGGCCAGGACGGTACTGGCATATTCGACGTGCCACTTGTTACCGATGTTGGTGTACATGGGGGTCGCGTACATGGCCGAAATACCGGCCAGCAGATCACGCGCGAACGCGTTACCACCGGTCGCTGAGGCGGAGTACACTCCGTAAGATGCGACCATGTAATCAACGGAAGAGAGATAGATGGCGTAGTTGGCAATACCGACACAGGTGGAGAAGACCATGGATCCCATCCAATGGACGTTGCGCGATTGACCGAACGAAGTCCACGCGAAACCGAACAGTCCGATTGGCTCGAGGGGTGCAAGGAAGAGGAGCCATTTGAGACGACGCTCTGGGGGAATCGCCGCGTCGCCGTGCCGGAGACGAAGTTTCTGGTCTCGGAAGAACCATGGGAAGTACGAGAAGTAACCGAGGAAGTAGGCGACGTTGATGGGAATGATGGCCCAGGCCTGTCCCAAAGTACCGAAGCCCCATCCTTGCTTGTAGACAATGGCAAAACTTTCCAAGAAGGTGAAGATCAGAGCATCGGAGAAACCGGACAGCAGAGACAGACAGAGCACAATGGGCTCGCGGAACAGCATGTAGAATGGACGCGCCCAAATCTTGCCGGCTTCCTTGAGGGAGACACGGGGGGTCTTGAGCTCATTGGGTCCGTAGATGTTGGGGTCTTCTCCGGTCTTGCGGCGACGCTTGGCTTCCTTGTCCATGATGATGGTGGAACGACTCTCGGGCATGAAGAAGATGATGGCTTGGGTGACACCACCAAAGATGAGCTGGATCCAGAAGAACCATTCCCATGAAAGGACTATTTCGAGACAGAATTAGCAACGAAGACGCGAGATATGAAGGGGGTTTTCTTACATCGCGCGATGGGACCGCCAATGACACCACCAATACTGGTACCAATGCAAGAGGACAGGACAATGAAAGCAAGCGGGAATTGCTGCGTTTCAGGTTCGTAGATATCGGCAATCAAACCGAGTGTGACACTTCCACCAGCAGTGGATAGACCACCCTACCATGTGTTAGTTTGAATCGCAATGTGACCAATTTCGCATGGGACATACCAATGCACGTGCGACTACGAGAGAGCCCCAGTTAGGAGCGAGGGCAGCAGGGAGTTGCCAGATGTTAATCAAGAACATAGAGAGCTGGAGGATGGGCCAACGACCGAACTCCTCGGACCAAGGAGCCCACAATTCACAACCAATAGAGTAGGTGACCAGGTAAGCCATCTGACCGGTGCGAGCATGTTGCTCACTGATTTTGAAATGCTCGGCCAGCTGAATGACGGCGGCCGGGTACACGGAGGTGTTGAAGTTCATGGAAACCTGGACGAAGGCGACTGCGGCCAGGTAGGACCATTTCTTCCATCGTGGCCAGGAGTATCCCAAAATTTCGTAGCAGTCTTGCTCCTTCAGCTCGCGCTTTCCGTCCGAGCGCTCACTCTTCTCACTTTTCTTTTCGGTGAGTTCGGCGGAGAGATCGACAGGATCGCTGCTCTCACTGCTGACGCCATGAGAGGACGGCCTGCTCTCGCTGTGCTCAGCTCGAGCTTCTTGTTGCTCTGGAGGAGACATGGTATGCAACAAGGGGGTTTGAAGAAGAAAAAAAAATGAACAGTGGACCTTCCCCAGCTGTTATACTCGAATTTTTGGGTTCGATTTTTTACTTTGGAATTTAAACCGGATTTATAGTGGAGACGCCGCTTAAGGTAACGAAGATCTCTACCTACACAGTCGGCTGCACTCCCTCAATGCAAGGCTAGGTACAGATACTCTCTCATTAGTATACATAGTACTAGTAGTCTTGTTTCTCTCTCTTTATTACTGTATTATTATATTTTTTGCAGACACGATCCCTGACTTGGCATCGGAAGATCTGACGTCATGGTCGAGGCAAGCAACATTGCCGAACTCGCCATTCTTTCTCTCTCCCTTAGTCCACGGGTGGGCCTTGTACTTAGTGTACCTAGTGCAGTGTCTGTTCCGACTCTGTGGACTCCTCGCTCTAGGCGCTCATTGATCGCTTCAGATCAGGTTTTGCCCTCTCGTTTTTATGCGGGCATTCCACCTACGTTGTCTATGTACCTGGGGCCCCGGGGGCCGCAACCATTACCGAAATTCGAGAATGAAGTCATCCCTGCATACTTGAGATAGACATAAAAAAAGGAATACATACCAATGAGAGCTAGTGGGGCAACCATTAAGCAACAGCCGGGCCCGCAGTCTGGGCAAAGCGTGCTATGCGCGGTACACACGCATGCGGTCTTGACATCATCGACGTTGCTATCGCGTTCATATACTCGACTCTTCCCCGTACCCCAGCATTCGAAATGCCGACCCCAGATAGGCGACACCTTGCTTGGGCTGTGATTTACTATGCTCATCCCTCTTGACACTCATGTTAGTTCGGCCTTAGTACAGCATAATGTCCACGGGTCTTTTCGAAGGCAAACGACCCACGAAAAAAAATTGCGCAGCCAAGGCTTCCTTGGCTTGATATCCACACAATTGATTATACTCCGCATGTTTTTCGTTCGCATCCGAAGGGTGGGTTGAAGGCGCAAATGAATGGCAAAAATCGGTGTCCAATGTGACTCGGTGGATGTACTGGGCCCGACCATGAGGCAACACTTTACTGTGCTCCGTACTCCTAGTACTGTTGCCACAGTCTCCATGGCTCTCAGGTATTCAACTTTGCGGCACTAGTACGATCGGCGGGTGTTGTACAACGTACCGAACTCATTTCAAAATTGTACTTCGTAGTGCATGCAATAATGTTTCATAACATTGGTTCGCAGGATCGTCGCATAACTCAACTATGTAGACATGTTGAGACCCGTTCGCTCAATAGGGTCTCCCCTTACTCCACCCCTAGAGCCCCACCTAGCACCGTGCCTTGCACCCTCGGAAAACGTCACAGCTGTGGTCAGCGCTCGGTGTTTTTTGGGTTAAACTTCCAATGAGATCTCTGACAAAAATCAAGGTCTGGTCGGATGCCCAGGCGGCCTTGGCTCCAGGGCTTCCTTGGCTTACGGTTCCCGGTCCCCGTAGGCTTTGACCCGAGAGACCGAAGCCGCCCGGTCATGATCGGCATCATTTCGGTCACCGACGGTCTGATAAGAGACCGATATTTTCCATGCAGTAATTCACTTCGAAAAAATAACTGAAAAAACGGAACAACAACAAAACAAAAACAAGACAAAATTTCAAGCTTTTGGAAGAGTGATGCGTAAAGCCCGAGGTGAGATGCTCGTCGCGTACCCATTATCATCCACATCAAACTCGAACTCAGACAAGCCGACATTGCCGTACACGAATGTGTCAAATGTCATCCACGACGAACAGGAGCCAGTAATAGGCCCAGAGTCGGACGGGGTCCCCAGCGTATATATGACGGCGGAAAATCCCATGCGACCTGAACTTTGAAGACCATTCGGTTGAAGACGAATGCTTATCGCAGAGGGATCCAAGACCTTGGCCAGAGTCATCAGGGTTTCGTACATATCGACGGAGTTGCTGATCCAGCTCTCAACATGCAGACCAGGGCGATCGTCTGCACTGATGGTGATTGAAGAGTTCGTGTCCTCCGTTACCAGCTTGTAAGTTCCGCCAAATCGCTCCAGCGCTTGGTTCCTGGCGACCGTATCGAGCGTCGGTAATAATGTATCCGCGACGATATCGGAGATCAGGGCTGTGGACTGGTGCGAGTTGTTGCTGCCAGCCACTAGAACTGCAAAGCCGGCGTTATGGTCGGGCGAGAGGCCGATGAAGCTCGAATACAATCCGAGGTCGCCGGCTTTGCCGTAAAGATCGACCCTACGCGGTGTCGAATAGCTGTATATTTCCCACGGGGCTCCCACCGAGCTACGTAAGGATGCCATGTGTGCTGATGGCTTGAGCCATCTTCTTGTGACAGCGGGATCGATCAAGGTATTGGAGAGAATTGCACGACCGAATGTTGCCATGTCGTTTGCGGATGAGAAGATTCCCCCGGCACTGGAAGATTGTTAGCCGGATATTTTAGCATCAGCCATTTCATTCGAACATGCCTCCCTTCATCGCCCATGTCATAGTTGAAAAAGCTGAACGTTTCATTGTATGGTATCGCCGCCAGATCAGGGTCAGGTGCATGAAGGCTAGACCGAGTCAAGTTGAGCGGCTTGATAAGTCGATCAACTAGGATATCCTCATAGCTGGCATCTAGCATAGATTCCAAGGCGTATCCGAGGATTTGAAATCCCGAATTAGAGTATAGCGGAGTATGCGAAGTCGCCGCGAGAGGACCTGAAGTGCGATACCGTTTAGTCAAACCGGGGGTAAACATGCAGGCACGTGGCCTACTTACGTCTTTGGAGTACTCCGTCAAAGAATTCTGAAATCGCACAGCAGTTAGCCAAAGAGGATTACTATGAGCACGTCGGAGACACTTACCTGCTCTGTCACACTGGCGAGTGTTTCCACATGTCAATTGCTCGGACTCGGAAAGTATGGGAAATCCTTGACTCTGCAGAGTGCTCTGCTGGAACCCCAGATCTAACATCCCATCTGCGATCAAAGGTTAAAGTCAGATGGTGTCATCAACAAACTGAAATCCAAAGGCAATCATACAATTATTCAAAATACCAGCCTGGTGACTTGCCAATTCGCCAATGGTCACATCTTCCCACTTCACATGATCGAGTGCATTTGCTGACTGTAATGAACTCTGATTCGCGCGGATTTCGGGTATATATTTTGAGACCGGCTCGTGGAAGTGTCGTATCCCACCAAAGGTCATATAGAGGAACATTGTCCATAGCTTTGATATGCTACCAATGCGGAAGATTGAATTCCCATCGACTTCGTTAACGCCAACAGCTCCGGACTTGATGAGGTCATCTGTGTGGTAGAAGCTGAAAGCCGAATCGGGCTCTTGGCCGGTGAAGATCTGCAGGGCAAAGGATACAGAGGGCAGATCTCCATTTTCAATAGCTTCATTGAGCTTCGAGGTTAGCTCTTTAGTTGCCGAGAGAAAGGTCTCATCTGTTGACAGCGCCGTGGGTGCGGGAAACGCTGGTCCAAAGAGAGGGCAAGCAGTTGCTTGTTGGGCGTTGACAGAAGCAAGCAATAAAAGCCAGATTGAGTACATCATTTCGGGATGGAACCTTGAAATCTTGAAATATATAATGTGGGACCTAAGATGGATTGTTGGATATCGGCATTTTTATATAATTTGCTTGAGAATAGAGTATGTTGTTTTGATGTAACAACGGACAAGGCATACCAACCTTTTTGCGGCTGAGTAACATCATAACCTTGAAATAAACGATAGTCCCTAATGCTAAACTGAAACGACCGAATATTCCATGCAAACGCTAACAGTCACATTGAATATCGACAACAGATTTGGAAGGAGCGGCTTCCAACTATTCCGGAGGTACGGGAATCACACGCCTACCTGCAGATCAGATGGAACGTATATCGGGAAAACCTCAATAATTTTCCTGGTGCTTAGAAGAGTAAGTTCCATTCTATGGGCGAGTCTCGCAGAGATATCCCCCTCCCCCCACGAGCCATTGTTCCGTTCAATCCGAGCCTTTCTACTTCTCGAGAGCTTCAGATGACTTGATGTTCTTCCATCCCGCTTCCTATCGTATGCATGCATCCTTTCTGCCTGCAGGTAGAACCCGGCTGTGGACTTCCGTTTCCGTCGTTGGACGCACATTGCTTTTTCTGTGCTCAGTCACGTCTCTTTTTGATCATCTTGATAATACAGCTGTATTTACATGACGAGATATTTTGAATTTCATAATCTACTGACTTTCCAATTAACATACCAGAGTCCATAAGTTGGGGTCTCATCCCACGCAAATCAGTTCGTACGGGCGGTCCGAGCAACAGGGATAGCCGCAAGTAAAGTGCCAAGAGCCAAATCATCTATCCCCCGCCAAGCAAATATCACAAAACTTAGCAAGTCGTGACAAACGGAGACCCAATGGGAATAAACCGAATGCCCCAACCGGAAGCGGTGGAGCTGCGGTGTCGGGTGGTTAATTTAAGCTCGACTTTGATGCCTGAGGCTCCATATACAACTTGGAATCCGAGGACCGAGAGCCCCCAAGCAACTAAGATCTTGCGGTAGACTTATTGAAAGGGCCTTCTGGGCTAGAGTTTGTTCAGAGATAGTCCTAGTTGAGTCATGGGGGTACTATTTGCTTAGTGTCTCCACAACACTGTTGACCCCGGCAAGCTCAAGAATGTGGACCATCTGTTGACATCCTGTCAGGGTCTTTTTTTCGAATTCTTTCGGCCGACGCTCGGTTCCTTTTCCCTGGGAGATGATACCTTTTATTCTTCTTCAGCCTCAGATTGGACGAATTCAATGAACGCAGCGAGGTAGACATACATTGATAACAATCGCATATTGCGGCTGGTTGTACGACACAGGAGAAGAGATGCTCTTTCAATCTTGATTCTTTGTCTCTCCTTCTTAAGAAATAATGGATTGATCAATGTCGTGCTGTAATTCTTTCAAGTTGCATCTGTTCCCGAGTAATCGTTTATTTTCAGCCGAGTCGCTTATCGAGTCGCTTTGTTCCGCCGGGTCGGCTTCGAGAGCAAAACAAGGATTTTTTTCACTTTCATAGATTCACAAAGACCATTGACTATCTCAATGGTGTGATCAAAGACATTCAAGTCACATTGAAATCAAAAATTTCCCGTTGTCGAAGCATAATAGTTCCCAGTGCTTAAATACAGCACAAACTCTCGCCATAGTCTGGCTTCATCAACATCAAATCAACGAATTGACAAGCAAACACTACTTTGGAGACTCATATAAACATATCTATTACACAAAATCCAGCCTGTTATATCGCCCGAGATGGGTGCCAACATGATCAAGCAAGCCTGTGGATGTATCGGACGTTTTTGCTTATGCGGCCGACGTAGCAGCAGGGCTAATGGCAGTCCCATACCACTACAACCAACCACCTCAGCACAAGGAGACAACCCAGCACCAGTGGCCACCCCAGCACCAGTGGCCACCCCAGCACCAGTGGCCACCCCAGCACCAGTGGCCACCCCAGCACCAGGAGCCACCCCAGCACCAGGAGCCACCCCAGCACCAGGAGCCACCCCAGCACCAGGAGCCACCCCAGCACAAACTGCAGAACAAGCAGAAGAAGCAGCCGCCTTAGTCAAGTATCACGCAGCTGGAAAGCGCTACCAGGCATGCATCGAGAATGCCGCTGCTCCAGACTGCCCAGTACAACCTATCAAACTGACATGGAAGCAAGTTCAAGATAGATATGCTGCGAGCTCTAAGCCAATGACGGGTGGTTTCACAACGCCATTTTTGGACGGCGGTGATCCCGCCCCAGCAAATATCTCTACAAAAGCAACCGACTATCAATACATGGACCTCGAACTACTGGATACAAATGTTGGTGAGTTCTTCTCACAGTACCATTGCAAGGGTACCATCATTGTTGACTTTATGAATCGAGTGGACGGTCCTCATTGGAACGAGATCGCCACGGCTATGTACGAAAACGACCTTAAGCAAAGCATCACCACTCTTAAGAACATTGTGTTTTCGAACGTCGTGAATGACGAGACATTGCCATATGTGAGTGAAATACTTTACCCTAGGCTAGGTATGAAGTGGTCAGATGCGGACGGTAAGCCATGCAAGAAGTTGGTAAGCGGTACTCGGGAATACGAGGAACTTTTGGGAACAGCTTTGGGTAAGTCGGCTGCCGCTCTTGTGATCACGGCATTCCCAAGAGGAACGAAGAAGATCAGCCATATTGTTACTTGGGTAGAAGCCGGGAAACTCCAAGTCCGGCTCGAGATCGCATAGTCCCATTGGCCCCGAAGAGAGGGATGGACTCCTTCCAAGTTCCAAGTTTTGGGAAATATATCTCAAGCAGGTAGGTACTAGGTACATTTGATCACTTCCAAGGTTAGTAGAACGTATCTTAGGTAAAAATTGCACTTGATATCTGGGTCAACTTTGGATACCCGTAGCCATAAGATCTTGGTGCTTTTGATTCCCAGAGACCCACGTGTTTATTCAGGGAGTTACTTTTCATGCGCATGCATTGGCAAATAAAACAAGGTCATGCTGGTAACATAGAGATTTTGCAGCAAATTTCTCGTAACGACGCGTCCGACTAGAAAGAGAAGAGAAAAGGCCATGGAGCCGCCAGCCCTGGAGTGCGGACCTCGGGTCCCGTGATCGGCTCTGATTGGCTGGGGCACAGCTCGGGTACCGCGGGCCCGAGAGACCCGAACGTTGCTTCCTGCAACTCCCTCACCATGGACCAGGGGGAGCAACCTCACAAGCGACAGAAATTCTCAGTCCCCAAAGCAGTACGTCCAGGTCACCAATTGATGTTCTCGAGAGAGTACTAATTGAATCGTCCATAGTGTCAGGGGTGCAAAACACGAAAAGTACGTCTCACGCGTTACCTGGCAATAGACCATGATCTCATTCAGGTATAGATACGATGCGATCGAACTATTCCGTGCTCCAATTGCCGGACGGCGGGAGTTGATTGCCAAGAAGCGGAGACCATTCGCGAGAAACGGCCTACCGCAGCAGAAACCAATGATTTGTGAGAATCGATATGAAGGATGAGTATTGCAATTACTGACATTTGGGCCTCATCCAGGCGCGATTACGTCGTTAGTTTGGAGAGTCGTCTCCAAGCCGTTGAGACCAAGCTCAACTCCCATGACCGCTCCTCACAGCATCTGGGCTCCCAACAGCACACATCTACTCCCGGATCTAACCCTGGCGTGGTCTCCATTTCTGACACTCCCATTGATCTCTACGAAGGTGAATCATCGTTCACCAGACAATCACTCGGAGCTAGAGAAGCCGTCGAGTCCATGGCCAATCCGAGTGCCCCAGGTGCTGGTTCTAATCTGAATATTGCATTTGATTCACTGAGCGGTCTTTTGAAGCCAGTTCAACAAAGCGGACAGGCCGAGGAGGGCAGTACCCGTGACTCTGTGCAGATGCCTCTATGCTTACCTGCTGAACTAGTTCTCACATTGTTGCGAAGGTTTCGCGGTATGGCCCACATTTGCATTTGATTGGACTTCATTCTTACATGTTACAATAGAGCAAACGCCGTTGTTCTTATCTTCTTACCCTATCAATGATCTGGCGTTGTTGGAGAAGCTTTGCCAACGTGTCTATTTTCCAATTCGGGATGTCTCAGCTGGCGATGTTGCAGCAATGCACGGGGTCTTTTATTGGCTTATCAGGGAGCTTCTATCGAGAAACGACGACCTTTGCAAAAAATTTGATCTTGCGACCCATTTCAAAAATTGCAAATCCAGCTTTGAAGCTGATCTCAGGAGTCACAGCTTGTTCACGGCACCTAGCTTTGAGAATGTCATCGCGCTTGCTATGGGTGTACGTATTTCCCGCCGAAGAGAAGTTCGATGACAATGGAAGAATACTGACGGTTCTCCTAGACTTTAAAAGCACAAGATGAAGCCGATCCACTTACTGGATGTCATATGATATCCACTGCCGTTCGATACTGTCAGATGCTTGGATATCATCGAGAGTCTACGTTTAAGAACTCGAAAGATGAAAATTCAAGCAGTAAGCGCCGAGTATTCTGGACCATTTATGTCTTTGACAAGACTATGTCCCTGCTACTGGGTCGTGCATCCTATCTGCAAGACTTTGACATGGATGTGAAACCACCAGCACCTTCATCAGATCCGAAAATCTGCCCTTGGGACGAGGCATTTTGTTCGATGATCGAGCTCGCGGGTATCCAAGGAGATACGTACAATAAGCTCTACTCCCCTTCTGCCATGAAACACTCGTCATCAGAGCGATTGAAAGATATCAAGAGATTGAAGCTCGCGATTGAGGAGTGCAAACGAGGCAGGGACAAGGTACTCAATCCACTCTCCTATTCTAGCCCCAAAGATTCATCGCATACTAACTCCTTTCAGATCGATTATTCAAAAGCGGATCAGCCACAGATTCATGAGTTGTCTCTGAAAACATGGGATATTCTATACTACTCAGTCTTGACCTCTATTCTGCGTGCCTATACTTCAACCGAAGATGGCGAGATCGGACACGAATGTTTCACCGCTGCCCGAATGTGCTTGCTCAGTCATCTGGAGTGCTTCCCAGGATATGCTGATTCGGGTCTCGTAACGGTTGCAGATTATGCCAACTGGTCAGTGCATCAGTCGAACACCCAGTCCCCTTGATTGAAAGAACTGACATTATGCAGGGTCCAACTGTACTCTTCTTTCACTCCATTCATCGTTATCTTCCTTCATTCCATCGCGGCTACTAGTCTTGAAGACGTGAAGCTTCTCGAGCAGGTTGTGGAGACAGTACAGAAGACTCGTGGAGTTTCAAAAGCATCAGAGCGTTTGTATAATATATGCGCTAATTTTCTTTCAGTTTCGCGTGGCTTGGTCGGAGCCCAGAAATCTTGCGTTGGTAGATATGACGGAAACAGAGACGCCCTGGAGCTTACCAATGACTCCCAAGACGGTCACTATTTCCCTACAGACCTCCAACAAGACGATATTGGTCTGGATATGACTAGATATCTCACTTACCCAGAGGCACAGAGTATGTCGGCGCTTTTGGAATGCTGGGATAGTGGACAGCCGTCTGCGATGGATCTGCTGGGAATGGACACAGAGTATATTCAATGACCTCGGGAGAAATTTAAAAATTATAATATACAAGAATGAGAGAAAGTTTCTGGAAGCTTTTCCCTGTCCTTTTAAGCCTTTTCTGTAGGTTTGGCATCGGGCTTGTTCTGGACTGCCTCATTAATACTGTCTTCTGAAGATTCATCACCTTCCTTCTCCATCTTGACTTGAGGTTTCAAGGATAGCCATTCCATGAAGATTGGCCCCAAAATCGAAAGTGCCGCAGTTGCCACACCAACATAGAATGTTTGACAGAGCGCCTTGTTGTACGCTTGCAAAGCCAGTGACAATTGATTGGGCTCCAAGTAGTCCCGGAATCCCGTTGCACCACTGTGCATGATCAAAGCGATGTCAACATCAGGTAAAAGCGATATCATGTTCGCCGACAGCTGGTTCTGGAAGATACTCTGTCCGATAGGAAGGAATATGGCGCTGGATAATGTTTGAACAAAGGTCAGAATCGAGGTGGTTATGGCTAGATCAGCGGGTGCCACAGCAACAGAAGCGACAAGTACGGCATTCTGGGCACCGACACCGACTCCAGCACACATAAGTACTTGGTAGCCAAACCAATAGCCTATCGTCGAGTCGACTTTCAAAGTGCTCAGTAGACCGGCACCAATAGATGTTATCACGGAAGATATCAATAGAAAGGGCGTGTAGTATCCAACCACTGAAGCGAGGATACCTCCAATGATCGCAAATAAGACCATGCTAATCAAACTTGGAAGATTAGCAATACCAGAATTGGTAGCCGATTTGTCTTTGATAGCTTGAAACCATATTGGGAGCTAGCATCTGGTCAGCATTGCTCCTTATACACAGAGGAGGGCGCATACATAGTATGTGAAGACAAAAGTTGTCGACGAAATGCAGCTTCCATACCAAGCAGCCCCCCACACGTTTCGATTCTTCATCAAGCGGATAGGTATTGTTGCTTGGTCTTTCTGCCACACTTGGATTCCTAGGAATGTCACAAAGGTCACACCGGAAACCACAAATAAGGCGATGATTCGAGCGCTGTCCCAGGAATAGAGCGATCCACCCCACTGCAACGCAAATATGAGACAAATGATTGATGGGATCAGGAAGATTGTACCGGGCAGATCGAATTGTCGCAATTGCCCTTTCCAATCCGGACGCTGAATGCCTTCTGCATTCGAGGGGAGAAAAATGACAATGAAAGCCATGGCAAGGCCACCAAAGGGAAGATTGATGTAGAAGCACCATCTCCAAGACAAGTGATCTGTCAATGCACCTCCCATTCTAACCACGAACTTCAGTAAGCGTAGTAGATGAATGGATGTTCGAAAGCACATACAGTGGTCCTGCAACACTAGCAACCGCATGCATACTAGAGACCAGTCCCATATATATCGGACGAATCCGCAGTGGCACGGCTGTTGCGACAATGATCAAGCATCCAGCTAATAGCCCAGCACCTCCCAATCCCGCAATGCATCTTCCAATAATAAGAGCATTGGAAGTAGGTGCCACGGCGCAAATGAGCGATCCGATCTCGAAAATAAGGAGCCCGGCCAAAAACACCCACTTGGAGGGGTAGAAAGTGTATAATTTGCCGAAAATGAGCTGCATCGCACAGGTGGTAAATAAGTAGGAGCTGCCATACCAGGCTACATCGTCGAGTGAATCAAAGTATGTGGTGATCTTGGGAATGGCCGTGGCGATGATCGTAGAGTCCTGTTAGAAATGTGTGTTAGTCACAGATCACCCAAGGGAAAGGACTGAGATACCAAGGAAACACAAAATAGAGTAGTGCACAAGGCGAGTGTTACAGGGATCAATCGCCCCAGCGATGCGACATCCGTGGACTCGGGGTCTGCTGCACCGTCTGTACTGGTGGACATGGACTCCGAGACGTGTGCTTTCATACTTGCAATGCAATTCAAAGCCGGGTTGAAAGAAATAGCTGCTCATTTTGAAAAGCCCCGGAGAGAATTTATACTCCCTCTTTGGGGGTGGGAGGCTTCGGATTGATTGCAATCCCGATGGGCGCGGATCCCGCGGGCCCGTGGAGTCCGAAATCCTCTTCCTTTTCGCCTTCCTTTTTTCCCCTTCTTTTCCTTTGTTTTCGTTTTCCTTTCACTTCGCTCAGAAATTAGCAGGGGACTTGCTGACCGGGTAAACATGTGTATCTATGTGAAGTGGCTCATTGCCATCGTAGGATTGAGATACTCTCAAACAACGGCTGCACGAAGGGACGATGATTAAAACATAGTATTGAACTCGCTGATGCAGGAATTACGGTGGATTCCATTGTAGGTACTTGATGTATGAGGAATCTTTAGGGCAGAATTAGGTGAGATCATAAAGGAGTTACACTCAGGTAGCGTCAGCGATAATGACTTCAGCGGCCTTCTCGCTGATCATATAGATGGGCAAAGCGATATAGTAGCCCGGGATTTTGGGGAAGACGGAGGCATCTACCACACGAAGGCCAGTGACACCGCGCACACGGAAATCCGCGTCCAGCACGGCTTGGGGGTCGTTGTCGTCTCCAATAGCAGCCGTGCAGCAAGCATGATGACCCCAAGCCTCCTGCTTGATGAAATCTTTCATTGCGGATTCGGTAGTAATGTTGGGCCCAGGCCACACTTCTTCGAATCCGCCGTCGAGTGGAATGAGATCGTCAAAGATGTCACGGGAAAACTGCATGGCTTCGTAAATAGCCTGCAAGTCCTTTTCATCGGCACCGTCGGTGGTAACTCCGGAGTCGAATGAATTGAAGTTGATGATTGGCATATCCCGAGGATCAGCAGATCGCAGCTCTACCGTTCCAGCATTGTTCCGGCTGCGCGCTTTCAGGGTAATCCAAGTCCAATGTTGGGCATCCTTCAATCCCTCGTAGGAGTAGTTGGGGTAGTAACCGGGGAAGTTGACTGGCGCTCCCGAAATCAACAGATCAGGCTCGTCCTCGGCAGCCGAGGATTTACGGATAACTGCAATTGCAATTCCGTTCGTGGTGTAAGTGCCTTTGAAGATGGGGTCGTTCTCGTACTGGTCCAAACAGGGATCGGGCATGGTGTACATGAATGTACACTTGGAGGTTAAAACAAAATCGGTTGCCGACTTTCCAACCGTGCCCACCTCGTAGCGGTCCTGCATGTTAGAACCAACTCCTGGAAGATCCACAAGCGTCGAGATTCCAAGCTTCGAAAGCTCTTGCTTCGGACCGATGCCGCTGAGTTTGAGTAGTTGTGGGGTGTTGAAGGATCCAGCGGCAAGAATGACCTCCCGGGCAGCGTTCACACTCCCTGGAGTGCCATCGGCAGATGTCCGGGAGGCTCGAGGATCCGCCCGATAAAGACTCTGGCCCAGCAGATAGTCGACACCGGTAGCACGGGGCTTCGATCCAGTATTATCGAACCGAACATTCGTAACCAAAGTGTTTAGCTGGATATCGAGATGGTACTTGCGCGAACCATCTGAGTTCACAGCATTTGCAGTTTTGAGAAGAAAGTCCCGGGGACCTGTGCGCTTGTATTCGGGAACATCGACGGCAAGAGGAACTTGGTATGGACCTTCATCGTAGTCACGCGTAGGAAGGGGGTTGTTGAGATCACGTAGCAACACTTCTGCCAGACCCGTCACGGTGTTGATCAGCTTGCCCAGCAAGCTTTGACCCGCGGCAGTTGCAGCAGCGAGAATCAAAGAAAGAAGCTTTTGGTCTTCAATCACAAGACGCAAGTCGGTCAAACTGGTTGTGAGCCAGCCTTCGAACCCATGACCAGCTAAGCTGCTTGGGAGGTATCGGTTGCGCTCCAGTCTCTCAAAGTACTGGCGCATGTTGGCAGCTGACCAGGAGTCATTACCAGTCACGCTAGCCAACTGTTCCCAGTCATTCTCGTATGGGTAAATAGTGCTAAGACAGTATCGATTAGCATATGCAACCACCAACAGTATACACTGCTTCAACCAACCGGCACTCACATCATGGCATTGTGGGCCGAACAACCTCCCAGAGTACCTGCTCTGGGGTATAAGATACCCAATGGTTCAGAATCGGCCGGAGCATTGCTTCCGACATGCAGATCACCTGCGGGAGTACGGTAGGTCATCTTTGAGTCCTCCTCCTGACGAGTCAAGTTAGAATAATGGTTGACAAAATAGTCCCATCTCATCGGCTCGTATTCGGTAGACTGAAGCTGCAGAGCAGGAACCATCTGCCTGGTAGCATTTCCCTGGTCATCTCCTGCGTCTAATATAAGGACCTTGTATCCGGCAATAGCGAGTCGGGCTGCGAGGGGACCGCCACCTGGGCCTGATCCTACCACCACATAATCGTAATCGGGGGTCGTGGTGGTATTATTCTCCTTCGGGGCTCGCTTGGCTGTGTGGTGACTGTGACCATCTGTCCTATGACCACTGCGTCTTTATGTCAGATTCTGGATTACCCACCCGTGAGAGATACGGAGGATAGAAGGCTCCCACTTACGAAGCAAAAGCAATCGAAAAAGTTGATAACAACCCAAGCGCTGCAAGGAGACGCATTATGGGGGAAAGATGAGGCAAAAATATCAAAAGCAAGTACGGAGAAAAGGACCCCCAATTGAAGGAAAGAAAAGAAGGAATTGATTTGAAAATGAACAACAGCAAAGCTTGTCTGGATGTCTCTTCCCGGCTTATTATAGTTCTAGTCCAGCTCGAGCTCGGATATCCTCTATGCTATTCTTCTCGACGTTACCCTATTCGACCCCATGCTATCAGGAGTGTGATCGACCGACGCCGCCTCTCCCTCGTTTGGAATTAGGCTGTCTCATGCAATGACCTGTACTCCGCTTTACAATACCAGTTTCTGTTTTGACAATGCTAGTCCAGGAGTTCGGTATTGATGGATGGGGCGTCCTCGTATTGCCCCGTTCCAGGAACTCCCGGTGCTCCAAGGGATGGCACAACAACCTTGGAAGGCCTTGTAGTCTGGAAAAAACAGTACTTCGACCAATCATTAATCTTCAATTCAATGAAGGGCATCACAGACCGCCGTGGAGACCAGCTAGTACACTCTCCCGTTCAACGTGCTGATCCGACGCCACTAATCTCAAAGTGGATCATGTTTTTGGCGAAGGATTTTGGGGTCAAAAATTAAAAATTAAAATAGAACCGCCTAGATACTATTGGAGTAGGTGAATTTCGGCATATTCGGCTCAAGAACAGCAACAGAGGCACCCCTTTTTGGCCTGTCGAGATATACCCTGAACTGCAATTCTCAAAATTCCAACTGGTCGTTGAAGATGGTCGGGCACAAAAGCAATTCCAGCTTCTATCAAGTCTTCTGGGTCATTTGAAAAACATTACATAAATTTACGATATCATCAACTCCTATGTATGTTGTAGCTCTAATCAAAGAATAAAGGGGGAAGAAAAGAAAAGAGATAAATGAATGTCTAGAAAGGGAACTAATGGTACCGCCTATGATTTGCATCTTTTTGTGCCACCCGGCTATACCGGGTGATGCAATCGAGACTCACTTGTGTTGTCTAAGTCCTCGAGAGGATAGAAGTCACGTTGGTCGTTTTTGCTTTGAACATTCACCCCTTCAAACCTAGAGCCAGTACCGCGGGAGTGAGAGTTCACGGCATAGGAGTTGGCGTGTTCAGTATCACCAAAGAGCCCAGGGGCTACACGGCGAAGCAGAGAGCGAATCGCTGGTAGACAGGCACATATGACGCCAACGTCGCATTCAATTGTACTCCAGTAGCCAATGCTCACGTAGTCCCCTTCATTCATGTCAATAGGGCCGTTCGTGCTGATGCCAATGAAATTTGATACTCACATGTCAAGTTAGTAGTGCTAGCAAAGTGGATCATCGAATTCAATCGTAAAATGCTGACAAGTGTTACGCTAGACGCAAGGTTAGCCTTTCATAACCAATTTCACGGTGGATGAGGGAACGCACAAGATTCCAAGACTGAACATGCATATCACGTAGGTCTTCTTTTTCAAGGAAAGATTGAGGTTATATAGCTGGCGCAGTGGTAGCATCATCACGATGAGATCAAGCACCATGTTCAGCACCGCTGCTGCCCATCCCTGTGCGTTGATATGGTTGCATTTGAATTCCTCTTCTCCGTCCCAACGAAGCCACGCACCAGGCAGTGGTCGACACTGAAACACAGAGATCAGGATAAAGGCAATCAAATACCCAACATTCAGTGCAATCACAACATAAGTGGCAGTGCGGAATTTCCGGTCTGGAAAGATGCGCAAATAGAAGCAGCAAATAGATATTTTGGTAAGCGGTAGGATGCTTAAATATAGCAATTCATCCCAGAAATAAATCTGCACTATACGTTAGCCACGGGAATAGAATCATGTATGGGCTCTGAGAGCCTTGGCACACTGACGTAAAGAATGTGAGTGATATTATCGAAAGGAAGTGTCCACATATCCTTGCCCAAACCGGTGTCTGCCACTATAACAGAAAGTCAGATATCAATGAATTGGATCGAGATTGAAGCACTTACAAAGGACCGAGAGAGCGGAGAGAGGAATGAGGAGACACTGCGCAAGGTAAGAAAAAAAGAAAGTCAAGTGAGAAGAGGTAACATACCATTGTCAACATCATTGTCAGATCATCCATCCCAAAGACCCCACCACAGCATCTCAGCCTTGCCACCATCCGGAAAATAAAGGCAACCAGTGCGATTATTCCCCCTGCAAGTCCTGCGACTGACACAACCTTTGTTCGATCCCGAATCGGAGCTTCACACAATGATGTTGTAACGTTCTTCGTGGCTATCGTAGTATTAGGGGCGTGTCTGACGATGATAATATCTTGGACTTACTCAATGACTCTCGGATTGTGCAGCTGGCTACCACGCATTCTTCAAGAATTGCGGTATAGTGGGTATCAACACAAAGGCACTTCTGATCTGTCGGTGCGCAAGAGGACTGTGGTACTGAAGCCACTATGCATTTCAGCTTTTCGTGGTCAGCTTTCTCCATTCTAGGTCAAGATTCAACAGTCGCAAAGGAATGACTTCGTACCGCGCATGAAGGCAAGACTGTCGCCAGCTGGTCTAATCCAGACGCAATCACTGTGGTCGCGCACAAAGCGGCTGCTACGCCTGCTGCGAGTGAAATGCGCATTATGGAGGCTTCAGGATGGTATGCATTCGAGAAAGAAAGGAGCGTCTGGAAATATCCAAGTTGGTAGTCGCTAGGAATACTCGTATCGAGATTCAGGAGGTATCAAATCTAATAAGATCAACAAAGATCTTCTTGTTGAATGCAAGAGTCTAATGCCCGCTCGTTGGAGTCTTTAGCGCCGCTCATCCCTAAATTCTTATTGCCACTTTTGCTCTCACTAGCAAGACAGCAGCTATTGTTGGGGGTTCGCAATTTACGGACTAGGTCTCCAGAGCTTACTTCGAGCTCCTCTCTCGAAATCATACAATCGTTGGTACCTAGGTATAATCGTGAACGATAACCTTGGAACTGCACAGCTCAGCCTTCTGAAAACCTTAGATTCGGTCTCGATTCAACTTGCAAATGCACATTACCCCTAATCCAACAAGTGCAGGGTTATTCAAAACTGAGCCAAGCTCACTTCAAAACGGTGGCTTAGATATAAATTAGGATCTACGTCTGATACGAGACTTTCCCCAGTTTTTGCTCATGCTCTAGACTTGATAGCTTCCACATTCCCTGCAGGCCCACGAGCGAAGGAGCCGAAGGAGCCCTAGAAGCGGCTCCACTTACAGTGCCCAGGAGCTTAAAGGGCTGTTGATCGACATTCGGGAAACTGACACATTTCTCCACTCTTAAGTAAATACTTCCGCTAAAGCCTTGGCTCGGGCCCTCATTCCTTCTATTGTGGCTAGCATCGCCAAGTGACTCCGCCATGGGCTCAACAAAATCCAATGATAGCCCTGGGCGTAATTTTCAAACCTTGCGGATGTGAGGAAACATTTCCCCCCGAGCAGGGGCTAATCAACCTGCCGTTTCAAGAAGACAGTCGAATTTCGCGTAGCTTGAACCTGAGGCTTGAATGAATGGTTCTCTTGCGTGCCTCTGCCCTCTTTGCTCGTGATCCTTCTTTCTTTCCTCTCCTTCTCTTCCTTTTCTCTATCCTATAATTCCATTCTGCATCATATTACCGAACTCGATCGAGCTTGATCGACAAGGCCCTGTCTCCAAAGGATCACGTACTATTTAGGCTTTGCATGCTGAATGTCTTGATCGACACTATCACCATTCTAAGTTCGATCTAAGCCCTTAACGGTGCCGGGAATCCCCCAAGCAGATATTATCAGCACTGTCGTGCAAATTTCCACATCACGAGCGGCAAGGCCACACGGACATAGTACCATACGCATCGGCTAAGATTTGTGTGGCTACAACCAAGTCCACTGTGTAAAGGGGGCTCGGGAAACCACTGACTCGTGAGCTCAAACTTTGAGGGCCGGCACGTTGAGGAAATACCGTTGAGTGGGCCATCTAATTTACGGAAGACAACCGAGCGCAATACAGCTGCCGTGTACTCCGTACTCCGTACAGAGCACTAGTTCGCTATTTGGATCGATCACTTATGTCTTACTCTGCATGTGCTAAATGTTTATGCTCCTTATGCCCCAGGGCCTCGGGAGAACCATTCAGGGGTGCTTAATTTATCAGCACATTGTTCAATCCGTGCCTCACTTGATAATCTGTCCATTGTCTTTCTCGACGCATACCTATCCATCACTCTTTGAATCTATATTTTCCTGCCGCTAGCTCCACATTTTGTTTGGTTCTTGAAATTGATTGCTCTAAAGCAGGGACCCAGTTCGTTCACTATGCGCGTTGCTTTAGGGCTGCTGCTCTGGCCATCTCTGGTCATGGGGTTTCCAGGCACCTCAGCCGGGCACAACGATCATTCAGCGCACCAAGCATTGCACAAGCGATGCCCATATGCTGAATCTCAGGCGCACTCTGAGACCAAATTTGACAAGCGATTCCTTCTTGATTCGATGAAATCACCCGTTGATGGTACATCGCACATTCCCAGCCTGTTTTGTTCAGCGAATAATGACTGAACATAGTTACCGGCAAACACGCGTTCCAACCACCAAATTTTGAAGCTGGTGATCAGCGTGGACCTTGTCCTGGTCTCAATGCATTGGCAAATCATGCATATATCCCGCGTGACGGGGTGGTATCGGTGGGTCGTGATGTATGGAAATCGCCTTAGCTCTGACGCTAACCTTGAAACAGTTCGCAAATGTTATCACGGCGATTAATGAAGGCATGATTCTTTTCAAAATCTCCTACGAGCTTTTATCTAACCGAATTCACAGTTTATGGTATGGGCGTTGACCTGGCTACTATTCTTGCCATAATGGGCACCGTCTGGACCGGTGACCCCCTTTCCCTTGATCCAAGATTCTCAATTGGAGGTCGAGACACTGGTGTCAACAACCTGCTTAACAATCTGGGAGGATTGCTGGGTACGATCCATCACACCCTTTCAAGGGCTGTCAATCGATATTCTAACAACGCTTCATACAGGCGAGCCCCAGGGTCTCATTGGGTCGCACAATTTTATCGAAGCCGACTCCTCCAACACCCGTGATGATCTATATGTGACTGGTAACAGCCATACACTTAACATGGATAAGTTCATGGCTTGGTATAACATGTCGACCGACGGCACATTTGACATGGACCTCATGGCCAAACGCGCCAAGATTCGTTTCGATGAGAGTGTCCAAACCAACCCTGACTTCTACTATGGTCCCGTCACAGGACTGATTGCGCGGAACGCCGGCTACATGTTCTCAGGTCGTTTGTTCAGAAACCATTCCCGCGAAAACCCAGAGGGAGTCCTGAGTAAGTTTGCCCTTTCAGGCTGTCAAATACTGTATCCATTGAATACTCACGATTCCCAGCAAAGAGTCACATCCGAAGCTTTTATGGCATTTACGGCGATGAGGGTAACTTGACTTATCGGGAAGGTTGGGAAAGAATCCCTGATAACTGGTACAAGACCCCGGTGGACTGGGGACTTGTCCAGCTCAACTTGGATACCATTGACTGGATTCTCAAGTACCCCGAACTTGGAAGGTAAGCTCAGACTTCTTCAGTGTATGGAAATGCATCACTAACATGTGGTCATGTAGTATTGGTGGAAACACGGGCACAGTCAACTCATTTACTGGTGTTGACCCTGCAGATCTCACTGGTGGGGTGCTGAACTTGACTACCCTTCTTGAGGGTAACAATCTGCTGTGTTTCGTGTTCGAGGTCCTCAAATTTGCCAGTCCTAACGCCCTAGGTGGGTTGTATTCGACACTAGCAGGGCCTCTGGAATTCGTCACAGACATGCTTTCGATTCCCTTGTTGAACCTCACTTGTCCAGCATTTAAGGATTTGCAAATGGGAGGCAAGCCGATCTGGGAAGCGCTGAAGAATGACTTCCCGGGCGCTTCGAAGAGTGGTCGTTTCTTCTAGATTTCATTTCTGCTGTTCTTTCTGGTGTAACCTTTCCAAGGCTGCGTTCCAAGGTTGCCACTTGGACAATATCGCTGTCGAGGTCGGACCCTTGGCATATTTAATTCAACAAGTCACTCTTTTTCCCTACGCGAAAATTCAAAACCACTCCGGTGAATAACCGTGGAAGTTATAGCGAGTTTTTTGAGATGGAGACTTTGGTCTATGACCACGCCACGCGAATTTACTTGGGGAAAAGAGGCTTGTGAAGATTTGAAATCTTTTGATGAGATCATGCAATATTCTCATTTATCGTGAGTCGAGGAATCCAGTTCCGTCATCATAAACTATGTACATTATTCGAAATTCAATTATAGGTGCAATTCACTTATGCAACCTCCTTCTGCTCGATATCGCGCTTCTCGTCACCCCGCATCCAGACATCAACCTCGGCGGCCTCACCCTGTGGCAAATTGCGGGCCATGGAGACAATGTCCCAGGTGGTAGGCGCGTCGCGGAAGACGTGGTTCAGGGCCTCGAGGTTGCGGTTCATCGTCTCGGGGTAGAAGAAGTAGACGGAAATAGGGATACAGGCCGAGATGACGGTGTACACAATGTAGTACTTGTATCCGATGGTATCGAGGGCGACGGGGGTGATCATGACGACGACGAAGTTCCACAACCAGTGGTTGGCAGTGGAGACGGCGGACATGGCGACACGGAGACGCATGGGCGCGACTTCGGTACAATAGAGGAAGTTACCGCCGAGGAAGCCGACGGGGTAGAAGGAGTTGAAGAGGAAGATGAACACAGCAGACACAATGGAGGCTTTGTGGTTTTCACCGAAGCTGGTGGTGATGGCGAGAACCATCATGCAGATGGACATACCAGTTCCACTGATCATGAAGATCTTGCGGCGGCCGAGACGGTCGATGGCGAAGAAGGCAATGTTGCTGCAGAGGAACTTCCATGTCATGGCGCAAGACGACAGGATGCGAGCCAGGTCGCTGGACATGTTGAGGTTCTCTTCGAAGATCGTGGAGACGTATGTGGAGATGAGGTTACCACCACACATCTGTTGGAAGAACTGAAGGGCAACGCAGAGGCAGAATCGGTAGAGCAGACGTTCATCGTCGGGCTTGTTGAAGTTGAAGATGTCCATGAGAGAGGCACTAGCAACGGAAACCTCCAGGGAGGTCTCAATACCAGAGATCTCAATACGGACGGCCTCATCATCATCGGGAAGACCCTTAAAGGCCGCCAGACTCTTGGTCGCTTCTTCGATACGACCCACGCGGACGAGCCAACGAGGAGACTCAGGCATCAGGAAGACTGATAGCAAAACAACGAGGGAGAAGAACAGTGAGATAGCCAGCGGGATACGCCATTGCAGGTCACCATTAACCTTGCTTAACCCAAAGTCAATCCAGTTACACAGGACATAACCGAAGCAAATACAGATACCGTCCACGACGACATGCTTTCCACGATTTTTGGCGGAGGTTGACTCGGACTGCCAGACAGGGACAGCGACACTGAACTGACCAACACCGAGACCGAGGATGACACGGCCCACGACGAACTGCGGCAGGCCGTATGCTGCGGTTTGCAGGATTTGACCAATGATTGTGAGGATGGCACCCAAGAAGATGGTCTTGCGGCGACCGAACCATTCACCAATGTATGAACATGACAACGCTCCGATGAGAGCACCAAGCTGGAAGGATCCAATGATGGTACCCTTGTTTGTCGAGTTTTGAGATTTCTGAGCACCGGATGTGTTGATGGTGTCGATTTCAGGGAAGATCTTCACCCAACTCTCCAAAGTGGCGAGGGGACCGAGACCGGACTGGTTGTAACCAAAGACGATGAAAGCCGGTGCTACAATGAGCAAGGCCTGCGCCAGGCGCAAACTGCTTCCTCGGAACATAGCGGATGGAGTGAAAGCAAACTGAGAGAAGGGAAGTAAGGACGAGTGGCCGGTCTGATCGGTTTATATCCCTTCCTCCCCTTGGAGACCCCGCATCAGGAATTTGGGATTCGGTGGACAGATAAAATTCCGCAGTGGATAACCCTCCACCTTAATGGTCCTAATCCGAAACAAGGTGAGTCGGCCACCCCACGACATGCCGGTGAAAAAAAAGGCGTGAGATCCCGCCCTTTCGCCACTCCCGAATGAGCTGGGATCCACGGGTTCCGTGCTGATCTGTTTCTATTGGAAGAAAGCCCGTCCCCCCGAGCATCGGAGGATACGCCGCTCAGGGCACTCCGGAGTCCAGCAGTCGGGGCGATCATTCCCTGAACGTTGAACGGTACAGAAGCACGGGGTACTAGTACGAGTTACGGAGTACGGAGTACGAAATGCACGATGGTGTGATACCCCGAATGCTCAGGGCCACCCATCTCGGAGCTGAGAGGACCATGTGTGTTCGGCCGCTCATTACTCTTTCGGGCCGGTCATGTTAGAGGCTCACAAGGCTTGTCCGACCGCCAAGTGCGCGCCAAGCCTCAACATGGTGCGTTAAGGCCCCATCCGGGGGTCTCTGGGGGGCAAGTGGACCGTGTGGGATTTGCTTCCATCTTTTTCTCCTGCACCCCACCATCTCGGTCACCTTCCGAAATGTCTCTTGGGGCGATTTCGGGACTTCTTTGTGTCGATGCAGTACCGCGGGGCCCCGGAGCCATTCCTCCTACGGATCGGGGTCGAATCTCACGAAGAAAAGAAATCGGAGTCGGAAAGTGACTGGACTTCTCGTCAGGGAGCCACCTACCTCATCGCTGCACGGTCCGGGATACTTGTCACCGAAAGAATGCCGATATGGTCTACGGGGTACTTGACATCTGGCTATATTGGCCCGTTCGGCTCACCTGAAATGCAGAGATTTACCCAACGTGGAGGAGCCCACCGGCCAATCACCTCCCTGGGATATGTGTCATTCAACCGGTCAGCCTGGAGCGGCAAAACCTCGAATTCGGCGGAATGCCGAACTACCAGACCTTTGGAGTCGTGATTGTGTTGACCAATTTTCATTACCGTCTCGGCTTATCTGTCTAGATGAAATTTCTGCTCAATAATCTATACAATGGTCACTCTGTGGCTTTGTGGTCTCAAAGGGAACGCATCCACAGACAAACGGGTGGGCAGGCTGGCCACGTAGTACTCCCCGCTGGACAGGGATTAAGTGAGGGTGTCTGCATCTGGCCCCCGATGGGTATCGACATTATTAATCTCATGATCGCACCTGGGCAGTTAGTACTATGCAGTCCGTAAAAAGTACTGGAAAACTGTCCGGCACTGAGTTGGAACTCTTGCCTTCTAGGGCTGCAGTCCCCACTTGTCCAGTGCTCAGCTCGACTCCAATTTTGTTTTCCCTTTGCTAATGCCAACCTTTTGCACATCCCTCACTCGGTCCAAACATGACCTCACTGGTGTCCCAGCGACCGGCGCTTGGCATTTGCTAAGAGTTCAAAAGCTTTTGTGGGGGTGCAGGTCCAACCCTGTCAAAGTCTTAGCTCACAGTGCCTGAATACGCGCTGATGTCCGATTGGTCGGCCCCCGAAAAGGAGGGCCGGGCGGCCCTATTGCCAAGTCTATAAAGAGTTTGCCCAGCCTTGTGTTTGGCTGTCAACACCGAGTGCGTTTTCTTTGTTGCATCTATGCGAACAGGATAATCCCCGATATTCTCCGCATTTAACTCCCAGCTGCAATGGAACAAATTCGCCGAATCTTCCCGCGTTCACCCCACGGGGTTTGACATTCATTGGCCTCGGCTTTATCGTGAATGTCATCACTGTGATCTCTATGTACATACTCCGTACGCTCCGTAGTGTGCGAGATTTCGGAGCTGTACGATTCGCCCCACTTGCCTTGCTGGCTTGATTGTCGCCGACCATCTTTCTTTCACTCGGCATACGCCAACAGCTTGACGGGTCTTCTTGGCAGTCAAGCCATATATGTAGAGGTCTCAGGTGATGCCTCTGGTCTGTGCTGTTGCCCCATGAATTCATCCCGTAATCCCAGCCTGAGTGTCTGAGGTCGGTCTCCGTTGTCAACTTCGAGACCCGCTCATTGCAAATTACAAATCCTCGGACATTGCCCGTTCTTCGTGTTTGTGAATCCGGGTTGAGATCTGAAGAAAGCCTAAATATGATCCTGCTTAAACTCAATTGCTTTGCTATCATTCTGGCTTTTTGGCTTCGTGTTCTATCCGTGGGAGACACAGGGCGGAGTCTCTCTGGCACTTCGGTATAGCCTTGTCGGAGTTAATATTCTCGTCCCTATGCCTTCGTCTGAAAGCGGACAGTCCCCCGGACAAATCGGGAACCTAAATCCGTCATACTAGTACAGCACAAGTGTTAATTCAACAGTGGCGCAATGAATGTTCGAGACCATCCAGACCATCCATCTTGTAAATCCTTGATAGCGAGGCTCGGAGATTCTAGTTACCAAAGCACTGGGTGTAGCAGAAGTTGAATTCTACGCAGAGAACTTCCCTATCAGCCATCATGTCCATTGAGCTTGAGGCTTTGAACTGGTAAATCTGGTAGATGTCCGTGGGGGTGGTCTCAGGCCTTTAGTGTGCCACTGTAGGGGGAAATTACCTAGGTACAAGACTACGACAGTGTGATGTACCTCAGTTGGCAGGCATAACCCCGATTTGAGTGTGTTCTCATCTTTTGCAGTAGATAGAATTACTAGGTACAAACTTCTTTGGGTTCTGTGTCTTTTTTCTACTGGAGTTATCTACCTAGGTAGACATTTTACCTAGCACATGCTTGATTCCAAGGTTGTTGCCCTTCCCTTCGAACGGGTAAAATGAAAGATATTAAAAATCTAGAGGTACCTAGGCAGCCTAAATTAGAATACAGTGCAGAAAATATACGATAAAAACAATAATATATAAGAAAGAGTTACAAGAAATCCGTTAAAGGGAATGAAGTACCTAGGTACGAGAATCTCTCATGTCCAGGGTCAGGATAAACCTTGGAACTGGGTCGACAGATTTTCGATGTCATCTATATGACAATGCAGACATCGGAAATTTCATGAAGAGGCCTTCAAAAGCGAACCTTTATCTGCAGGTAAAGGATGTTGCATTCCTAGAATCTCCCCCAATGAACTTTTGCCGAAGAGGATATGGGCAAAGATCTCTAGCTGTATCGTTCTTGCCTTTGGTGGCGTGCAAGGTAACAGGAGTATGATCTTTTTCAACCCATTCCATGAGCTGAGACATCGCTCCATTTGGAATTGGTCCCAGTCCGCCATAGCAGTGACCCACGCCAGGAGCTTCGAAGAATCGGTAAAAGTCGTGGGCTTTGGGGTTGTTCTTGAGCACTTCCTCATAGTAAGCGATTGTTCCATTTGGTGGAATAACCTCGTCTGCCATTCCATGCCAAGTAATCATTTTCCCGCCGCTTTTCTTGAATTTTGAAAGATTGGCATCATTTGTTCCGAGCATAGAGGAATAATCAACGTCTGAAGAGTGCAAGCCTTCAAAAAGCTCAGCTCGGGTCATGTTGTTGGTATCGTAGTCGGGGTTCTTGGCAATGAGATATTTGAACCAAGCACCTAACAAAGCACTTTCACCGATTTGGCATGTCTTGTTGTTCGTAGAACATTCGGTGGGTATATAGGCACTGCCAATTGCGGAGTCCTTGTTGAGTCCGGACCAACCATATTTCTCAGAGGCCGAGCGGGAGCCGGACCAAGCAGCCTGGATTACCTTTGCACTGGAAGAGGTGAAGGTGCTTCGGACTCCGTTGCAGGTGTAAGCCTTTCCGATGAAGTCGTAGGCAGTGATATGGCAGCTGTCTGGGTCACTGATGATGCCGTCTTCGACTCCGTCTAAACGATCACATGCTGCAACGGCTGCCTTGGTGAATGCCTCAATCTCACATGGCGATGGGTAATGTTTGTTTTCGTTCATGACTTGGGACGCCCACATCCCTGCAGGAATGAAATTCTGAAGGTTGATAGCCGGGGCAATGGCCAGGATTCCATCAAAGACTTCTGGGTACTTCTGCGCCATCAAGAGTCCTTGTCGTCCGCCACCAGAGCATCCAGCAAAGTAGGAGTAGTTTGCAGCCTTCTTGTAGTAGGATTTTGTAATCTGCTGCCCGATCAGGGCCATGTCGTTTGTTGCCTTTGAGGCATAATTTTCCAAGAGAAGCCAATCAACGTTATTTTCGCTGGTCAGAGCCCAGGACAAGTCTGTGGGGATAGCGTCTTTCCCATTTCCAGTAGGAAGGCCTCCATCGGTAGAGGCAGATGCGAATCCGGTTGCGACTGAATGTGTGAGATAGATGGAACCAAAGCCAGTACTATAGCCTCCGCCACCTAGGGCTTGGAACCTTCCATTCCATCCTTTGAGTGGGAGCCAAACTTGAGTATGGACTTTGTCGTTCCGGCCGGGGTGGGTATGGGTGACTGTAATGTTGCAAAAATTGATGGTATATTGGCCGCCTTGGTTGCTTCCAGGACCAATACTGACAGCGGAAAAGTTATGTGCTTCATTGGCTTCAATGTCGATTATCGAAGCTCCAACCAAGTCTGGTTTGTCGATAAAGGCTGGCGAACATCTAGAGGCAGATGCCATCGGGGCGATCATTACACCCAGAGGGATTAAAATGCTGAAGAAGGTCAGCATATTGGCTGAAATTTGGAATATTTTTGGAAATGTGAAGACCGTAGGCTTCATGGGGATGGGATCTGGAAGACTTTATAGATTTAGATAGAGGGTTCTGCGACATACCTACCTAGGTAGGTACCCAGGCAACAGGAAAAAGATAAATTCTCATCCGAGTTCCGATTTTCGTTCAAACTTGATTTCAAGCCCATGCCTAGGTGCTCAGGTGGATCCCGGGGTAGTCCGCCGAATGTGCGAGCATACGATGTCCAGGCTGATTTGGATTATACAGTACTAGATTTCGGGTCTCAAACTCACCTACAAAGCCACATGATGAAAAGAAAGGTTACACTCATCCTAATACTTAGCTGGGTTGTCCTGTTGATTGCCACTGAAGCTCGTACGTATCGCGTAAGTGGTGCAGACTCTCCAACTCCTATTCTTGTTGGATCGATTTCGCAATCAAAACTTGCAGATCATCCGCTTGGCAGTGCAGGCTGTGGAATCTCTCGGTACGCGTATAGAAACCCAAGTCTATTTCACTCAGGCAGACACCCACCCATATGTCTGAATTCGCGGTAATATTTGGAAGTCTAGTCGTAACAAGGTCTGGGAAGCCGAGCAACTCGAGGAATTTGAGATGGTCGTTCGGATAGAAGAAGAAACAGGGGAAATGGGATTTAGTCACATCTTAGCACAGAGAAAGAGACTATCCAAGCAAAAGTATCGCCTTTGGCCACCAACCGGGGTAAATATCACACCTATACGCGTATAGATATCGGGGGTCCACTCTACAGCTGTTTCGGGCTCTGAATGGCCAAAGACCAGACCCACTCCCTAAATGTATGTATCATCTTATAATAGAATACGCGTATAAATCATTAAAGTGATGCCTTGTAAAGAGTATTGGAGGAATGCACTCTCACTACCATAGGTAGGTATGCTACCTAATCCCCATTTTGAATTTCTCTAGTATCATACTGAGACCGCGAGGCAGAATAAATCGCCGATGAAAAACGCGTTGACCGAAAAAAAAAACCTTGAAAAAGACAAGAGAGTGTGATACCGGCGGGATAGTTATTTCTTGTGTTACTCGCTACATGTTCTGATTATTTGAGATCTATGCAGGTGGATATGCGGAGCACATCCGGGGAGAGGCGATGTAGTAAACGTCAGTGGCAAGCGATAGCTCTCAGAACAGCAGCCCCAAGGGGTTCAGGAGCTAATTCATACCAAGAAGAAGTGCTACGACCGAATAAGGAGATGAAAGAGATGTTTGCAATGACTAGTTTTGAATCCTTCACGCTTTATGGTTCGGTGTTCAGACATGGCTGTGTGATAATGGGATAATGTGATATATTCAACAATTTCAACTCACTCATACCAGGGCGCGGCCACACAATCACGAGGTCAGGCAGCATGATATGATATTGTGCATCGAAGGAGTAGAACTGAGATAACCTCGCATGCCAAGAAAGTAAACAAAGTGAGATCCACTAGGCGGTTCCGCCCTCGTGCCCGTGACCCATTTTCTGCCGGCAATACCAGAGAGGGTTCTTTTTGCGACATGACCTCACTCTGAACCGTCACCTCATTTCGCCAGGCTGTCGCAAAATACCATGGATCCAGAAGCAGATTTTATCACAACCGAGGCTCTCTTCAGACCCGCGAAGAAGCGCAAGTTCGCGCGGCGCCGTGCTGATCATGGCGCCGAAGATATTGCTGATGCCGATCCTGCCTTTGTCGCAAATGACCAAAATGACACAGCCTCAACACAACCGTCATACAAGAACACCCGTCGCCCGCGCACTGTGCGCAAAGGTGGGATTGGCTTCTCTGCCAAATCGCAACTAGGACGCGATCACAGCCAGCAACTCGCGTTGGGGTCAACAGCGGGAGACCCGGAGGAGGACAAGATTCGTGCCATGAATGAGCGCTTTACAGGCTATACCGGTCAGAGTGATGATGTTGACAGACACATGTACGAGACTCCCTTGCGACTAAATATCAACTTTGCGTGGGATGGACTAACAGGATAAGGATGGCATATATAGACTCAGAGATGGCTAAGCGCTCCCAGCCTCATGCACAAGGGCAGAATTCAGATGCCGACCAAACAGCCTCAAAGGAAATTGCGGCAAACCTCTCATTCCACGGGCAACAACAACGAGAGCCGGCATCTCTAGGAAGACTTCATGAGATCGACCTCGGTCAAGAGGCAACCCTGCGTAATATTGCGCGCACAGAAGCAGCAACTCGCAAACTGGCCGGTGACGAAGATTCGCCATCGGTTGATCACGATATAGAATCTGGCACAAGTCGTTCCGCTCACGGTGGCAAGTCAAGGCGCCATAAGCAAAGAACGGATGCCGACATCGAGAGAGACCGTCTTGTAGAAGAGGTATTACGGGAGAGCAAATGTAAGTTGCTTCCAGCCCGTGTTATAAGGCGCAGGTTCTAACCATCATATTTTCTAGTGGATGTCTATGATGAATACGAGGACGACGCGAGGACAGATGATCCCCAAGCTGCTGATGACCGAGTCGCGGAACAATTCCGGCGGGATTTCATGGATGCCATGCAGTCTCGTCGTCGGCTTCGCACCACAAAGCCAGCCGCAAAAGACGAGGGGCCTAAAGGTCCGAAACTGGGAGGCAGTCGCAGCGCCAGAGCCGCCATGCGGGAAACACAAACCGGAAAGAAATAAGTGTTCTTTTCCTTCCGCACGACTACACTCTTCTCAATGATTATACGCCATGCCTCTCTTGTGTTCAGTTAAAGCGCATCAGATACCATCACGATATTTCCAAACCATGCCATGCCTACATTCTCATTACGCTCCGATAAAATAATTCACCATTCATGCATGATTTTCTACTTCCATGCAAACTGAAGAAGAGAAGTATTGCAGACGTCAGGAATAAAAGTCACTGAGCAGTCCACTTGTACAGTCCACGAGTAAACCACCTTTAAGAAATCCATAGATAGAAGTCCTTGTTCTTGTACATCAATAGCTTCATTGGAAGCTATGTAGACTCGCTATATAACCTTGGAAACATGCTACTATGCTGCGATCATTGATGGCGAAATAATGCTCAATTGAATCCTGTGGGACTTTGGGAGTCCAAATTGCTTTGGTCAACTGGTCAACTAGCCGTGGTCGCAACAGGCTTAGTCATTGATGACATAAGATTTTTGCTCGGCGTTCACGGTCTGAAAGACCAGAGCTCCTGCACCAAAAAGACCCGCCCTTCACCCTGTCTCCAGCCCCTCGGATTGTCTGTCAGAACCGCATGGTTGCGTTCTGATTTATTACATTATCACTGAGCCCCGTCGCATGATACCCCTACAGCTCTATTCCGCAATCTAAACAACACGGCGCAACCCTCGCCATGAATCCTTCCAACCCACCTCAAGCCGCCGAGTATGGTGGAGGTAAGTGAATTTCACTTCTCCAATTAGCCGACTGCTGCTGCTCTTGCAACCTGAGTATCTCGAACCAAATGCTGATTACCACGTGTTTGCAGACGAGGTCTCCGCAATCGTCCTAGACCCTGGTTATTCAACCACTCGCGCGGGCTTCGCTGGTGAAGATGCTCCCAAGTCACTGATCCCGACCTACTATGGAAAATACAACGCCGATGGACAGGAAAAGATCGTCTATGGCGACGACGTTTTCGTTACCCCGCGACCGGGTCTCTCTGTTCACAACCCGCTCAACAAAGATGGTATCGTCGAGGATTGGGATATGGCAGAGAGGGTATGGGAGCACTCCTTCATGTCTCGGCTCACCGGCACGAAAGCGGGAAACCCATTCCAAAACGGATTGAACGACATCGCGAATGACGAGCTCCCCGCGGAGATGGAGGTTGAGTCAGACGAAAAGCCTCTATCTGATAGCCCACTGTTGATGACGGAGCCGGGATGGAACCCAGCAAAGGCGCGTGAGAAGACAATTGAAATTGCGATGGAGAAGTGGGATACTCCAGCCTTTTACCTGGCACGCACTGGCGTTCTTGCCTCGTATGTACATCACCCATGGCAATATGTCGATTGATTTTCTGACCAGATCCGCCTACAGATTTGCTTCGGGCAAGGCTTCTGCCCTTGTCATTGATATCGGCGCCTCAAACATCTCCATCACTCCGATTCACGATGGTATGATCTTGAAGCGGGGTGTGCAACACTCTCCGCTTGGCGGTGATTACATTTCGTCGCAGATCAGCGCATTGTTCAAAGCCAACTCCCCCCAGCCTATCACAATCACGCCTCATTATCTCATCAGCTCGAAGACCGCTGTTGAAGCCGGCCAAGCACCCCAAGCGAAATATAAGACCTTCCCTGCTGACAAGGCACCTGATGCGTCATACCGTGCCCTCTTGGAGGAGCGCACGCTTGCCGAATTCAAGGAATGTGTTGTGCAGGTCTGGCCTGGGCCCACCAGGCTCTCTGCCCCCGGCCCTAACGGTATCCCGAACGAGGATATGGCCCGCACTTACCCCGGTCGTCCCTTCGAATTCCCCGATGGATACAACCAGGTGTTCGGTGTTGACCGTTTCCGCGTTGTCGAATCCTTGTTCGACGCGAAGGCCGCTGTGCCAGATCCTGAGTCACCCTTCCCTCCCCCGACTCCCGCCCAGACCATCCCAGAACTCGTTAAGGCTTCCTTGGCTGGCGTTGACGTCGACCTGCGTCCCCACCTCCTGGCAAATGTGGTGGTGACTGGTGGGTCCAGCTTGCTCTACGGGTTCACTGAACGTCTGAACCACGAGCTGATGCAGATGTTCCCCGGACCCAGAGTGCGCGTCACCGCTGCCGGCAACACCTCCGAGCGGCGCTTCGGTTCCTGGATCGGAGGAAGTATCCTGGCCAGTCTGGGAACTTTCCACCAGATGTGGATCTCCAAGAAGGAGTATGAGGAACATGGACCCAACATTGTGGAGAAGCGCTGCAAATGATTGAGTTTTATCTTGCATTTTAGTGCTTTCGATTGGGTTTTTTGGGCTGGTATTTACGGGCGTTATTGCGCTAACTTGGGTTCTTGATATGGGTCTTTGAACCACTCCAGATCTGGCCTGTCTGCAAGGAAGGTCTTACAAAACTGATCTTAGATATTTTGTGTACGACTAATGCCACTTGATTTCTCGATACATTGAGAATGATCTACAGAATCCGCAAGTGTCAAGTGACGTAGGATTGGTCTACCGCACGGGTACGGAGTACGCGGGACTAAATGCTAGAGCTAGATGTACCGAACAACATGCGCTATTCTAGTCAGACTTCCTTTTCTGACATTCAATGCATACCTCTTGACTGAGAACATATCAATGGCAGCATTCCATTGGCGGAGGGGTTTTACTTTGTCTGCATTGATGCGTTGGCAGCCAACACACCCATGCAGCCCCGGAGGTGGTCCGTGTTTCATTTATATATGCCGGCCCTGGACATGTTGAGGGAATCCCCCTATTTTTACCCCATTCTCATTGCCGAAATATTCAAAATAATTCTTGAACCCAAAGATCATCGATGAAAAAGCAGAAACAAAACAGACTGAAGAACCAAAAGCGCTCATGACCATTAACGTACATCGTCAGCATGGATCCCAGAATCCATGGGCAAGAAAACAAACTACATCGTCAACATCGTTACATCCGAGGCTCAGGGCTGCGGGCTAAACACGCTAGAGTCTACAGGACATGAACACAATCAAAATATGCGACCGAGAGCATCGAACAGAGGAATATCGTGAGTCGGGAGCTGGCAACAGACCAGGCGGACTTATCGACTGGCTCGTGCGATGAGCCAGCGGAGAACGGCATCGAGGTTGGTTTCCTCCTTGGCGCTAATGCCATAGCAGCTCACCTCGCGATGGGTGACGGACTTCAAATCCATGGATTCAATGATCTCGTCCACAGAGAGCTTGTCCGGAAGATCAGACTTGTTGCCCAGGACTAGAAGGGGGATATTCTCCAGTGTGGGCTTCTTCATCAGGTCATGAAGTTCCTCCTTTGCCACTGGGAGCGCAGCACGGTCTGCGGCATCCACGATGTACCTGTTGATGTTAGCATACCCTTGGACAGCAGAACAACGACCGGAAATCCGAAACCTACACGATCGCATTCACGCCTCGACAATACCGTTCCCACATCGGCCGAAACCGAGGCTGCCCGCCCAAGTCCCAACTGGAATTCAAAGATTTAGTGACGCCGTACCTGGGAGAGGGGGACAACGAACCATTTCAAGGTCACATGGCCTTTCTGCACCCTTTTGGTGTTGAACCCGATGGTGGGAATGGAACTGCGAGCGGTTAGAACAGGGCGATGATACCGATGAGGTCATCACATACTCAATGGTGAACTCCCCACCCTGTGCGCAGCGGTCAGCACAGATTCCCAGGACCCAAAGAGAGAAGACCTACCGCCAGCACACGCAGCAGAGATGACTTGCCGGCGTTCTGGAGACCGATCATGGTGACATCCATCTCGGTGGCCCTGGATCGTTAGCAAGCGGGGACGGGCCGTGGGTTTCGACGGCCCACTTACCAGAACATCCTGAGGAGCCAGTCATAGATACTGCGGAAGATGCCAGCCATGATGAAAAGTAGAAATCCGTAGAAGAGACAGAACCCAGCTGGCCAGCAGCGGAGAGGCCAGGAGTTGCAGAGGCTGACAAAACGAAAAATACGCGGGTGGGGTCAAATGGAACTTCCAGATATTTTGTTTCGAGAAAAAGCAATATTCTCAGACCCTGCGCCCTTGGGTGTGGAGAGAATGTTTCTGCTTTCCGAAAGGCGTTTATAAAAGGGGTAACCGCCGGCAGATGTCAACTATATCTAAGTCTTTTTTGGGGATCTACGTGTACACATGACTTGCTAGGGCGCTTAGGCTCCGGGCCTCACAAGAGGGGTGTTGACTGCGCCGTTGTGCAGCCGTGGCGTAGTGACATTTCCACATTGTCCGGAATCGTCGAGTGCAGTCGCGAATTATGTGGCTTACAATGTACAGAGTACCGAGTACCAGGTGAGAGACGCTGGAATGCCAGGCTTTCGGAAGATTCGAGTTGAGCCCTACACCGCTTTTGGCGTTCTGGCTTCGACTGCATTGGGGATATGCTTGAACATAGTACAGAAAGTGATCTCATATCTGTAGTCCATATTCCAACCTTGAAAGGCAGTAGGCATGAGTATGGTGGGGAGCACAACTACGTTGGAAACAGGAGCCATCCAAGGAGGTTCGCAGGACCCCGTCATCGTATACTGGTACTAAACAGGCTATGAAATCGCGGTCAGCCTTGCCCAAATAGCTGGGCAATGTGGAGTTAGCCTTCAATTTCAGTTCCATCAGGTGGAACAAGCCATTTTGCCAGCTAGGTCCACTTGGGGAACACACGCAATACCAACTCTCCAGGGCTGTGGATAGGGATGCAGTAACAGAGCAAATTCCCTCACATCACTTTCCAACAGATACATGCTTTTCTTGACGCAGTTTATCTGCACAAATATAACTAAGCGCATGGTTTGGAGTTGTATTCCCAAGGTTGTGGCGGCAGTGGAAAATGGTTGATCTAGATTCTATAGCGAGAAACATCGCAGGTATGCTGAGAAGTTTGGCCTTGGTTAAAAAGAAAGTAAGAAAGTAACATCGGAAAGTGAAGGCCCAAGATGACTTTGCTTCATTGGTCACAGCTCTAGCTACTTCGTATAGTACGATTACGGAAATACTTACTACATGACTCGATACACTGTGCACCTGGGCAAACGAGAAGAAATTAGGCCTCGTAAGGGGCCCCTGTAGCTTTCTTTGGCTGCCATAGAAGTGACACATCTATTTACTCATACCAGAGAGCCTACTGAGAGCGAGAGATAGGAAACAAGGATCAATGAGCTCAAGAATTGGCTTGCTTCGGCCTACACTCGGTATTCCAAGATGAGAACAGGGCCATCTCGATCGGGAAAGAGGGGGCTTAAACAGTGGATGCGCGCTACCCACGACAATTGAGTGTCTCCTGTAGGAGTCACGCACAGTGTTGTCCTGTCACAAATGAAAAACACGAACTATTAGAACAGTAATTGAAGTTCGGAAACGAAGTTAGTTTACTTTCTCTTTCGGATGCAATGAGATGGTTTCTAGGGACCCCATGAGCAAACTGCCAAAGATGGAATTGGAAATAAGTGACTGAAACCATAATCCTTCGAGAGAAAAAAAACACCTGCAAAGATGTTCAAACGCCATTGACGAAGGGTCAGAGAAAGAGATATCAGTCCCACTCGAAAGCCCAATGCTACTAGGTATTCGATATGATTGATCATTTCAGCGATCTGACCAATTGGGTTCCTTTTGGCTCAGGGCTCTCTGTCAAACCACCCTGTATCTCCCGTACATGCACAGAGAAACAAAAGATGAAGCTCGAACCACTCAGTCCCGATCAGTTGGGTGACACCTCAGGCGCCCAACGCAGCTATCACCACGTGATGATAGCCGTCCGGGCTCCACCCTCGAAAAAATTCCCCAAGCCGAGCAGATGCTACTCATTCTCGTCTGGCAGCTGCCATTGTCGGTTCAATACCCTGGGTTTTGTGGCTGATATAATTCTGGGAGGCCGACAGTCAATCAGCTGGGATTTTGCACCTCTCTCAATTATATTAACGGTCCAATTTCCTGTGCCGCTCGGCATCGCAAGTTTTTTTCCTTATACCGCATCAGCCGTCTTCCAGAGCTGCACGTTTCCAACATGGCGCCCGCAGCCACCGACACGCAGTGGTCGGTCGACTACGACACCCTGCGACGTGAGAATCTGTTCCAAAACCCTCCCACGGATCACACGGCCTACCCTTCGCTGGCCGAGTCTATCAAGCCGCATATCGATTCTTTCAATGCTCTCTTCGAAGACAGCAAAATTTTGGAGGCAGGATTGAGGGATATCGGCACCAAGACCTTCCTCGACGGCGAGCTCGAGACCTTTGAGCAGAAGAAGGCTCGCCAAGCCGAAGGTCTCCGTCAACCGAAGAGGAACCGCTTGAACGTCCGCGTTCGTGAAATCTTCCTCGAGAAGCCGACTTTGCCCACCACAAACAAGTACACCACCCGCAACCGTGAAATTTATCCTTCTGAATGTCGAGAGCGCCATGCGACATACCGTGGAAAGCTTCGCGCTCGTCTCGAGTTCCAGGTTAACAATGGAGATTGGCAAGAGTCCGTCCGCGAGCTTGGTAATGTCCCAATCATGGTGCGCACCAACAGGTGTCATCTTGAGAAGGCGACCCCGGAAGAACTTGTGCGACACAAGGAAGAGTCCGAGGAACTGGGTGGTTTCTACATTGTGAACGGTAACGAGAAGCTGATCCGTATGCTGATCGTCGGCAAGCGGAATTTCCCCATGTCTATCATTCGTGGTTCGTTTGTGAAGCGTGGACAGACATACACCAAGTTCGGTGTGCAAATACGTTCCGTCCGTCCCGATCAAACATCGCAGACCAATGTACTGCACTACCTTTCCGATGGAAACGTCACTTTCCGATTCTCGTGGCGCAAGAACGAATATCTCATCCCCGTCATGATGATTCTCAAGGCTCTCGCCGAGACCAACGATCGCGAAATCTTCGAGGCCATCGTCGGTGGAGCATCCTCAAAGGGCATGAAGAACACCTTCGTTACAGACCGTGTCGAGCTTCTGTTGAGAACCTACCACGCCTACCAGAAGCACAGCCAGTACGACTGCCGATCTCACCTGGGCAAGGCCTTCCGACCCGTGCTCGGTGTTCCCGCTGACATGCCCGACGAGGAGGTCGGTACTGAGTTCCTCCGCAAGGTCGTTCTCCCCCATCTTGGAAACGAGAACGTCACCGAGACCCAAGACTGGGACAAGTTCAAGTTGATCACCTTCATGATCCGCAAGCTGTACTCCACAGTCGCAGGAGACTGTGCGCCCGATAACCCCGATGCCGTCTCCAACCAGGAAATCCTGCTCGGTGGTTTCCTGTACGGAATGATTCTTAAGGAACGTATCGAAGAATGGCTTCGATCTTTTGGCCCTCTCGCCAGAGACTGGTGCATCCGTAACAATGGTGCCAAATTCACCGATGAGGCATTTGATCGGGACTTCTTGCCCAGGATCGTGAAGAGATCGAACGAAAACATCGGTAACGCACTTGAATACTTCCTCTCTACCGGTAACCTGGTCAGTCCCACGGGTCTTGATTTGCAGCAGACATCTGGCTACACTGTCATCGCCGAAAAGATCAACTTCTACCGATTCATCAGTCACTTCCGCATGATTCACCGTGGTAGTTTCTTCGCCCAGCTCAAGACCACCACGGTCCGTAAGCTGCTTCCAGAGAGTTGGGGCTTCCTCTGCCCTGTCCACACTCCTGATGGATCGCCTTGCGGTCTTCTCAACCACTTGTCGCACAAGTGTCTGATCTCTACGGATAACTTGGATGTCTCTCACCTGCCTCGCATTTTGGTTCAGCTTGGTGTCCGGTCCGAATCCTCTGTCGCACTCGACGAGAGTGTGGTTGTCCAGCTGGATGGTAGAATTATCGGTTACTGCTCACCGAAGCAGGCACAGAGAATTGCCGACACCATCCGTTTCTGGAAGGTCGAGGGCAAGAACGATATCCCTCGCGAGTTGGAAGTCGGATACGTCCCCAACTCCAGCGGTGGTCAATACCCCGGTGTCTACATGTTCTCCCAATCAGCGAGAATGTACCGCCCTGTCAAGTATTTGGCGTCTGATAAGCTCGACTACGTTGGTCCGTTTGAGCAGCCCTTCATGGAGATTGCTTGCTTGGAGTCCGACCTGATCCCCGGTCTTTCGACACACATCGAGTTCACCCCCACGAACATCCTCTCCATCGTCGCCAACATGACTCCCTTCTCCGACTACAACCAATCTCCACGTAACATGTACCAGTGCCAGATGAGCAAGCAGACCATGGGTACTCCGGGTACTTCGATTGCTTTCCGTACGGACAACAAGCTGTACCGCATTCAAACTGGTCAAACACCAATTGTTCGCCCCCCTCTCTACAACGCCTACGGTCTGGACAACTTCCCCAACGGTATGAATGCCGTGGTGGCCATTATCTCCTACACTGGTTACGACATGGACGACGCTATGATTATCAACAAGTCAGCTCACGAACGTGGCTTCGGTCACGGTACCGTCTACAAGACCAAGGTCCACACCATGGCAGAGAATGACGCCAAGCGCTCAAGATCCAAGCGTGAGGTTACCAAGCTGTTTGGATTTGCCCCCGGTGACGAGGTCAAGGACGAAGTCCGCAACGTCATCGATGAGGACGGAATGCCGCACATTGGTGCGCGCGTCAAGGAGGGTGACAAGATTGCCGCCTGGCACAATGTCCGCTTCGATCCCGCTTCAGACTCCTTCGTCAACGTCGACGGCATCACTCACTACATGAAGTACAAGGATGCCGAGGAAGGCTACATTGAAAGCCTCCGCATCATGGGCTCAGAGAACGGAAACGAGCCTGCCCAATCCATCAGTGTCAAGTACCGCATTCCCCGAAAGCCCGTCATTGGTGATAAGTTCTCTTCTCGTCACGGTCAAAAGGGTGTCTTGTCCCAGCTTTGGCCTGCGACTGATATGCCCTTCTCTGAGAGTGGCATGCAGCCTGATCTGATCATCAACCCTCACGCTTTCCCCTCTCGTGAGTCTTCACCCCTTCTATTTTCGTCGTTCCCCTTTCTGACCAGTAACAGGTATGACAATCGCCCAGATGATTGAGTCCATGGCCGGCAAGGCAGGTGCCATGCACGGTCTCCCTCAGGACTCTACTCCCTTCCAGTTCTCCGAAGAGAACACTGCCACCGACTACTTTGGTGAACAGCTTAAGAAGGCAGGATACAACTACTACGGTAACGAGCCCCTGTACTCGGGTATCACCGGCCGCGAGTTCTCTGCAGACATCTACATGGGTCTTGTCTACTACCAGCGTCTCCGTCACATGGTGAACGACAAGTTCCAAGTGCGTACCACCGGTCCCGTCAACGCCCTGACCGGACAGCCCGTCAAGGGTCGTGCCAAGGGTGGTGGTATCCGTGTCGGAGAGATGGAGCGTGACTCCCTGATTGCCCACGGTGCCGCCTTCCTCCTGCAGGATCGTCTCATGAACTGTTCCGACGCCCAGCACACCTGGATCTGCCGCTGCTGTGGCTCCTTCCTGTCTACCCAGGTTGCTGTTTCGGGATCATCCCGTTCCCGCGCGGCCGTCAACCCCGGCGCCATTGCGGCTGCTGCTAAGGCTGCTCCTAACCAGCAGAGTAACAATGCTCATGCTGCTGGTGCGGTTGGTGCTCTTGGTGGTGTGAACGGTATTGTGCGTTGTCGTCGTTGTGCCCGTGAGGCTGTCTTTGACGACTCTCGTGCTGAGGTTTGGGAGGACGGCAATGGCCACCGCTACGTTGGTGGTGACGATGTTACCATTGTTGCTGTGCCCGGTGTCCTCCGCTACCTCGATGTTGAGCTGGCCGCCATGGGTATTCGCATGAAGTTCTGGGTGGATAACTGATCCCAGCATGTGGATGACTCTAAAATTGTTTTTGTTGTTACAATGTCATAGGTGGCGTATATTGGTTTAATGATTGACCTCATCTGTTTTTTTAGATTACTTTTTGCAAATATTCCTTCTTGTACGGACATGATTCTACTATAGAATATTACGTGTTGAACAAAAGTCTTTCTAGAAAGAAACTGTGGTTAAGATGCACTAGACTCTCAAATTGGATAGTGAGTATGTACTTAGTACCTGAGTGGAACACTGTTCATCCGTTCAACCTTGGACCTATCGATTATACACGGTGTAGGGCTGATATTTGAGGTCAAGCATATCCATCGCCCTTGAGCTCCTTCTGCACCAGACCTGTCTTTGCAGTTTTGAAGTCTCTAGTGCGCACCTTGTTCTCAAACAAGATATCCAGCTCGGCGTAAGAGCGGCCCTTTGGCTCGGGGAGTCTAAAGAATGACCAGACAAGACAGAGCAGACACAGCCCGCCCCAAAAGAAGCCCGATTTGCCTCTCCAATTCCACGCATCCACATTCAACATATAGGGAATGATGATGCCTGTCACCAGATTGAGTACGTTGTACACATTTCGCGCCAGCACGACCGATTTGATCCGAAGCCTCGAGGAAGGCATCTCCGATACCAATGAGAAGCACACCGGGCCAACCGTCGAATCATAAATAAACGTGTACACAAGCAGCATCGACCCCGTAGCCCAGGAGATTGCCGAGGTAGACGGTGCAATGGACATGAATCCAATAACAAGCAGCACAGCCATCAACAACATCAGTCCACCAACGTACAGCGTTCGTCGCCCGAAGTATGTCATCATCACCCATGAGGCAAACGTCCCCACGACTCCAATCGCATACTGCACCAACGACATAGTGAAGGATTGCGAAACCGCCAGACCAGCACGCTGATAAAATACAGTCGAGTACCCCATCAGTCCAGACCCACACAGACTCTGCGCAGCCCAGACGCAGCATGCAATCTCCGTGCGACGCAGATCTGTTCCCTTGAAGCAGTCCAGGTACGTGGTGCCTGTCTCGACGCGCTTCTCTAATGCATTCGTGTAAACAATCATGGAGACGGTTTCCTCCGGATCAAAGCCTGGTGTTTCGCGCGTGAGCCGCTTGACGGCCTTGACGGCGTCTTCACGACGGTCTTTCCGGACAAGCCACCATGGACTCTCGGGTGCGAAGTATACACCGATGAAGATGGGGATGGGCCAGGCCCATTGGATGGCGAAGGGGATCCGGTAGGCCCATTGGTCTGATCGTTCGGCTAGACCCTTTAGCACGCCCGAGGCAATGAGTTGTCCGAGGACCCAGCATAGGTTGACGTAGGTTGTGAGGTAGGCGCGCAGAGCCACAGGGCAGACTTCCGAGGCGTAGGTGACGGTGAGAGTTTGGTAGATGCCCAGGGGAATGCCCATGAGCAATTCGCCGGCGATGAGGGTCTGGACGTTTGGGGCGAAGAAGAGAATGAAGATGAATCCGACCGTGGCGGTCAGACAGGCCATCAGGGTTCTGCGGTAGCCGTAACGCTCGGAGACAAGACCGTTGATGAAGAGGCCGATGATCTGGCCGCAGGACATGGCGTTGGTCAGACCTGCTTGCCAGGAGGCGGCTAGGCCGTAGGATCCGTCGGACATTAGTTGTCCGTATTTCTCGTTGAAGGCTGGGAATGCAAAGAATGAACCTATCAGGACGACATCGTAGCCTTCCATGATGATTGCACATGAGAGGAGGAGAGACCAGCCGACTGCCTTTGGATACAGTTTCAAGGCTTGCCAGGGGGTCATGTCGTGCTCTTTCTCAATAGCGGCGTGGGCTTCGGTGCTGGTCTTCAGGTCGGAGTGGCCAGACAAGACATGGCTCTCGATCTGCGAGGTAATTGAATCATGTTTCTCGACATGCTCCATGGCGATTTTCTCGGTCATCGTCACTCGAGTGCAGAGTGCTGGGATCTCAGTCTGCTCTCTGTCGAGAATGGCCGGGTGTTGCGAGGTTATATACTTTTGGGAATAGCGTTTCTTCAAGGGTCAGGCCAGGGTTCTATTGGACACGGGCCCGGCCGTCTCGTTTCGAGATGGCATTTCAAGCGAGTTGACCCCGGATTCGCGACAGCCACCATCCCCGGATTCTCAGGGGCCAGGGGGATTGGTCTGATGTCGGCCCATTGTTCTGTTACATGTGCAACCTCTGCGAGCCGGTCTTGTGTCTGTCCTCGCAGTTAGGGCTCCCTCTCTGGTCTCCGAGGTTAGCGACGTGCCGCTCAGGGCGCAAAGTGATTGGTGAGTTCTCGGGCCGACGCCATTTCCCCTCCTTCGTGGCGGGGGACGTTCTGTTCTGTTTTTGCTTCTCGCTTGAATTGAATTTGAATGGCATTTTGTTTGGCTGGTTTGTGCATGAAGGGTTGGAATAGAATAGACGCGACGAAGTCAACTGGTCTTTGTCCGGGACAATCCCAGCAGGTGGGACAGCGTATACTGTCGGTCCGACATCCAGTCAATCAGCGTGGCCCTGCATCTATCGCGCAGGAATCTGGACTTGTCATAAGATAGCGCATGGATGATCAAAGCTGGGCACGTTGGGTATATAGGCTGCCCCTCCAGCCTGGGTCGTTTGAGATGTTCATACATATCTTTCATACACCATGTCTCCCGTTGCTGTCAGCGAAAAATGGTGGAAAAATGCCATCATCTATCAAATATACCCCGCTAGCTTCAAAGATTCCAACGGCGATGGTATTGGAGATATCCAAGGCATCATTTCCTCCCTCGACTACATCTCAAGTCTCGGTGTGGATGTCATCTGGTTATGTCCCATGTATGACAGCCCACAGGTCGACATGGGATATGATGTTGCCGACTATGAAAACGTGTATCCCCCATACGGAACGGTTCAGGACATGGATGTTCTTATTGATGCATGCCATAGACGAGGACTACGCATCATCCTCGATCTCGTGGTGAACCACACCTCGGACCAGCATAAGTGGTTCCAAGAGTCGCGCTCCTCCAAGACCAACCCCAAGCGAGACTGGTACATTTGGAAGCCGGCGAAATACGTGAACGGGGAACGTCAGCCGCCCAACAATTGGCGCAGCGTCTTTGGAGGCAGTGCGTGGGAGTGGGACGAGCACACGGAGGAGTATTACCTCCATCTGTTTTGCGTCGAGCAGCCCGATGTGAATTGGGAGAATGCCGAGACCCGCAAGGCAATCTATGATTCTGCGATGGAGTTCTGGTTGCAAAAGGGCGTGGATGGCTTCCGTGTGGACACGGTGAACATGTACAGCAAGCATCCCGAGTATGCCAACGCACCCATTTTGGACCCCAAATCGGACACTCAACCTGCATTTTCGTTGTTCACCAACGGGCCTCGGATTCATGAGTATCTGGGCGAGATGAACGAGGTTCTTTCCAAGTACGATGCGATGACAGTGGGAGAATTGCCCAACACCCATACGTTGGAAGGTGTGTTGCGGTACGTGTCCGCAGCAGAAAACCAACTGAGTATGGTCTTCCAATTCGATCTCGTGGACCTCGGCATGGGGAAGAACTATAGGTTCCTGACCACCTTACCGGGCTGGACTCTGCGGGACCTCAAGGCCGCCGTGAAGAGCGCCCAAGATGTGATCAAAGGCACTGACGCGTGGACAACGGTGTTCATGGAAAACCACGACCAGGGTCGCTCCGTGAGTCGATTTGGCTCTGACAAAACACCCGAATTCAGAGCTCGGTCGGCAAAGATGCTGGCCATGATGCAAGGCACGCTTTCAGGAACGCAATTTATATACCAAGGCCAGGAAATTGGGATGGTGAATGCGCCCAAGGAATGGACCATTGACGAGTACAAGGACATCGACAGTCTCAACTACTATCAGATGACTCGCCAGGTGACGAACGACGATCCTGTCGAGCTCGAAAAAGCCATGGTCTCGTTGCAACACCTCGCCCGGGATCATTCCAGACTGCCTATGCAGTGGAATGCGGACGTGAATGCGGGCTTTTCGTCGGTGAAGCCATGGATGCGCGCGCATGACAATTACTCTGATATCAATGTGCGCTTGCAAGAACAAGACCGCGACTCAGTGCTTTCATTCTGGAAGCAGATGAACCGACTGCGCAAGGAGTATGCCGATCTCATGGTATTTGGGGAGTTTGAAATCCTCGACGAGGCTAATCAGAGTGTCTTCACTTTCTTGAAAAAGAGCAAGAATCGGACTTTGCTTGTGATCCTCAACTTCTCGGATAAAACCCAGTCGTTTGAAAAACCTGACACTGGCAGCGATTGGAAGTTGTTGCTTGGCAATGTAGAGGATTCCCAGGAGGCACTGCAGGCGTTTGAAGGAAGGGTCTTCTTGGCTTAGAGTACTGGAGTATATACTTGCAGACATTTAGATCGTTTTAAACGGACTGTTGAATTGGCAATGACACATGTGGATCTGCATACTCAGTACTCATCTCTCACACTAGACATAATCCACAAGCCTTATTTTAGCATTCTCCAATCTATTCGTCGAGTCAATTCGAGTTCATCTGCCCTTGGATTCATCAGCGGAGAGCCGCCCCGTGCCCTGTTCGATGCCAAGCCCTCGAACATCGAACGCGGGGGAGAACTATCCATCGCCAACAACTTCAAATGACAAGCCCATCGACATCGCGAGTGCCAAGAGCATGTGAGCCCTGTAACAGGCGTAAAGTCCGCTGCAATGGCCAGCAACGATGTCAGCAATGCGAGCACCTCGACCTTCTCTGCACCTACCGGGAGAATCGCTCGGCCCGATCAAGGAAGCACACTCTGCGCCGTGGTGCCATAATCTCAAACTACAAGAGTGGCACACCAAAGACCACGTCCTTGATGCCGCTTCTTTCTTCTACCAGCCAACTCCCCGCTTCGTACTTCGAAAGCCTTCTTCCGGACTATGTCCTCTGTATATCCATTCAGCCCGATAATCACAGGCGCGGAAGTGCAAGCCTCGATCACAAAAATGAATGAAAGAGAGCATGCCGCATTCATCTACGCCTTCACAGCAGTGACACTCGATCTCACCCGCGCTTCCAAAAGCGCTTCATCTTCCGCAACCTCCCAAATAGCCGATCTCATGCGCCAATCCGTGGACATCCAACAACCATTAGTGATAGGATTTCGCCCCTCCGTTCTCCGCGCAATGACAAGCATATTCATCCAGATGTGCGCTATGAGCCTAGGCCACTACGATCTAGGCTTTTTCTACCTCCGTGAAGCAATCAGCATGATCCACATGCTTCGCATAACCGATAAAAGCGTCCTTGCAGACCTCAGCGGCCCAGAGCGAGCCCGTCGCCAGCGTCTCTACTGGCAATGTTTCATCCACGAAAGATTCATGTCAATCGTGTATTTTTCGCCGGTGACGCTACCGCCAGCCCAATACCCAGAAGAAGATGCATCAACATCTGTGTCGTTGGAAATCCAGCGCGGATGGACGCAGGTCATCAAGACATTCAGCATGCTTGATGCGAGCTTCATCAGTCTGTGGATTGGGGATCGGTCCCTGGTGACTGCGTCGTGGGTAGAGGGCAAGCACCGCGAGTTGGACGATGAGTTGTGGGAGGCCGAGGTGTCGATGTTATCGGAGTTGCAGCAGGCAGATCTGGTGATTACGAGACAGTGGATGCGGACGTTGCTGTGGCAGATGGCTATGTCGAATTGTTTGCTTAGTTCGCATGCGTCGTGTCCATCGTTGGAGTTGGAGATGCCGTTGAAATTGTCCAGTCAGCTGAGGCAGTTCTTGACCAAGATCTCGCAGAATACTATTCGTGTCCATGGCTCGTCGATGATAAGCAAGTTGCTGGAGATTATCAATACTATCGCTGATGTGGTGATTCACGTACCGCAGGCTACCACGGAGGAGACGACGGAGAGGATTGATGATATTGTTTTCATGCAGAGTGTCGTGTTTTCGTTTCATAACTTACAGGCTATGTCAAAGAGTATTCTGCTGGATAAGTTTCGGTTGATTCAGGGACGGTTCCCACATATTGAAGTTGCTAAGCAATTGGCGGTTTAGCTGGGCCCTAAGCAGGTTTGGCCTGCTGGATGGTCTGGACCGACAAGAGCATATGGACATATGCCCAGGTGGACATCTGGATGCCGTTCGGCTTACTGCTACACACCGGATGAGACCTCACGAAGAGCTCAAGTCAACCTCATCCTAGCATCATATAAATTCGAGTCCAACATTGAAGACAAAGCACATTCCAGGCATATCAATATGAATATTACACTATCATTCTCTGACGCCCGTTTACAGCGCAGACGTCACGTTGGAGAACTCGCCCTTCTCGAGCTTAGTCTTCCAGAAGATCGGGTTCATGTCATCGAATCCGTGGTGCACCCATCCTTCTTCCTTGACGTGGTACAGGTTAATGAAACCACCAGAGTAAGCATCACGGTGCATAGCAGCCAGAATAGCCCGGCGACCAAGGTTCAATGCCTCCTCCTCAGTCAGGTCGTACTTGTACTCGGCATCCAACACACCGTAGGCGAAAGTTTGACCAGATCCAACACAGAACAGGTTGCCAGGGAGACGGGTACCGTCGGAATCGATGTAGTACAGGGCGGGTCCTTCTTGAGGCGTCATCTAGAATATCGTCAGTCCTGAAGCTCTGTCGTCATGAAGCATAGACTACATACACCTGCTAACATAGTTCCCATGCTGAGTCCGTATCCCTTGTAGGCGTAAGTGAGGTTGGCAAGGATCTTGGAAGCAGCCGCAACAGTGATGCGGCGCTTGTGTCGAATTTCTGGGATTTGGTCAGCAATGGCCCCTGCCAGACGAGATACTCGTCTTCGGATAGATATTTTGACATACCGTGCAGAGTGCACTGTTGACTCAGATAGCGCAGCCAATATTGACAATCCTAAGTCGAACCATCAGCAACAGTTCCAATTTATTCAGCCCGAACTACCCCGAACTTACAGCAGCACCACCGGCCATAGTTCCCAAAAGACCCGGTGTGGGCTTGTCCGTCTTCTTGTCTTCACCTCGGCTCAACCGCGACACAGGAATAACCTTCTTGACTGTTTGACTGGCGATCCAGTTGCCGGCTGTTGCTCGTGAATCGGTACACACAATCTGGCCGAATCAGCACAATTCTGGGGGTGAACCACAAATTCACATGCGAGTAAAGAAAAGATGGACGTACAATACCACCCTGGAACCGGAAGGCGAGGGTTGTGGTTCCGTGGGCAAGCTTGATGGGACAGCTAGGGTTTGAGTGGTCATCGGTCATGGCACGCAGGAAAGCAGAGTGCTAGATGTAGATGATGGTGTTAGCCTATTGTCTTATCTATTTTCTTTGACTGATGGGAAGCATCTCTGGCTGGCAGTGCTCTCAGACAACGGCGCAAGTTGGGTTGACGTCAAGGCCGATGCATGTCCCCGAGCGAATAGCCATCCAATTCAAAGAAACACTGTCTGAATCCCCACGTAGGACTCACGTTGTCAACGGGGGGCAGGCTGAACTTCAGCGAGAGCGGAGGGACGCTCGCAGTGAGGTCCTGCTGCTCTTGCTCCGAGTACATCTCATTTTGATGAGGGCGTGAGTATTGGGCGACAAGCTTATCCATGATGCGCGGTACAGGATTAAAGCAGGATGGAAGGATTAAATGGGCTGTAAAGACGGAAAAGGGATTGTGGTGAGATAGACAAGTGATGAGTGAAGCTCCGCTGGAGCTCGGGTTTCCGCGTCACTCTGGCGCCTGCGGGTCACGTGTTGATTGCAGCAATTGGACTGGAGACCCGTCCATTGGAATTGAGGAATAATTACAAATACGAGTATTAAGGGAATTATTGAATAACGACTTAACCGACTTATAATACAAAATTTGCAGATTTCCTGAGTATCAACTCCATTGCCGTTTCGATACCAACGCCATTTGCCAAAGCGCATGCACCGAGAGGTGCCCAATCTGGGTCGCAGAGTATTGAGTGTACACGAACAAGCTACTATATGCTCTTGCCGGGTTGGAAAGACCTGAATTTCCAAGAAAATATCACAGCAATCATGCGGCGGGCTCAACCAGCATCTTGGCTGGGGGCGCACCACTCTCCACAGGGGCAGTGACATTGTTGGTCTCGATAGCAGAGGGATCATCCAATACATCGGAGTCGTGCTCTTCCACATCGTGGAGTCCGTTGACGTGGCCGGAGTGGCTGATGCCATTGATGTGAGAGGGAGACGCACGATCGGCAGCTGAGGTGATGGGCTCAACAGTGGGCTCCCATCCGCGGAGATCGTTCTCGGCATCCTCGAGAATCTGTCGAGCCTCGGGCTCGTGGTCGTACGCGAGACGCGCATCACCAGGCACAACGGGGCTGTCGTCAATGAAGTTGAGCAGACGACGAGCGTGTCGAGCCAAGATGGTTTGCTTTTCAGCACGCTCGATGACAGCTGCCAGGTGGATATCATAAGCTTCCTTGAGCTTTTGTCGTGTCTGCGGTGGAATCAACTGGTTAGCAAACATGTTCTGTATTTCTTTGAGATTGAATCAAAGGCATGGCATTAACGTACGATATTGGACAATTGCGCCTCGGCAACCAAGTTCTGCGCCTCAGCCCTAACCAGCTCATGCTCCAGAGTGACAAGACGTGAGCTCGACGGATCTTTGTACTTAAGCTTGGCGATCTCGTCGGTGACCTTCTGGCGCTGATCGCGCGACGGCTGGACGGAAGCTTCCATGTTGCGGATCTGCTTCAGGATACCACGGTAGTCCTCAAGGTTCTGCGCAAAGACGTCCTCCTGCTCACCCATCTCGGCGAGCATCACGCCAAGCTTATCGGAGATGTCAGAGATGTTGTCGTCATCCGTTGCCTCACCCCACTCGGAGAGCTGGGCAGCAATCGAGGTGCGCTCTCGGCCAGCTGCTTCATGGGCGCCGATGGCCGAGTTCTCGCTCTTGATCAACTTGGTCATCTTCTTGCTGAGCTCTGGCGCTTGCATGCCACGGAAGGTTGAGATGCTGAACCGGTGGCGGTTCGCCGGCTCTTTGCGCGAGCGGAATGATAGGTTTCGGTTCCTATAGTTCGGTTAGTGGTGTCGATCATTGGAAGTGGATATACGTACATCATGTAGCAAAGTAGGTCAAGTTAGAAGTTGGAATAGCAGAGTAGAAGCGAATGCAGAGAGAGGTCGTCTGATAAGGAGCGCCTTCCTATAGATGACGATGGTCCAAACCTTATTCGGTCGAGGAACCGCACGCCGGTTGACGTCATGACCGCGAGCTGAGATCACCTTTTCCCTTTCCGGTCACGACAGCCCTCGAGTAGAGAGGAGAATTACGATGACGATGGCCTTGGGAGAATCAAGCTGATGTTGCAGTTGGAGAGCTTCCGGCCTTTCCGATAACTATACTCGGACGGCCAAAGCAGATGATTATATAGTACCTGTGGACCCAGTATCGAATATGACAGCTCTAGAGTATGGAGTAGATGATAACTGTATAAGATGGATTTTAGGCAAATGCCTAGATACCTAGGTATGCTGGGAGCTCTGATTCATGGGCTCACATGAGACTTCCATGGAGTGATCAGAGGGTATGGATGGATCACTATGTACGGAGTAGTAACTATGAGGTCCCTTCCAAGGTTCCTGGCCCATGTCCACCTGTGCATCTTTAGATTGGTTCGCGCTTTTCCATCAATCTCCAGAATCAGAGAGCTTTATGCCATTACAAGGAACTTGGAAGTGGACCGAGGCACGCTAGAGGTTCGCCTTCGCAGCCGCCCACAGGTGGAGACACGTCTGAAAGATTCGGGTTGATAAAATGTTCCGTCCTCCCTCTAATAAAAATGAAACAAAATATTGAAGACCACGGAGAACTATCCCTCGTGGCCCATCTTATGGTACATCCCAGCTAAAGCATAGCGTTAAATCCAGGTTCCTGAGCACAATGAAATCCAAACTCCACAGACAGAGCAAACGGTCCGCTATCATTCATTAAAAAGAGACGCCTTCGTAGTCAAGGTCTTAAATAGGCTAGGAAATGTCATCGGCGTCGGGGTGGTGCGAGTGTTCATTGTCGGATGCATGGAAGGCATCGCCGAATGCTGAATTATCCAGGTCCGGCAGATCAAGTCCATCGTGTTGCTCGCTATAAGCCGCGAGAGCATCTCCCGCACTGTCGATATTGGTGAAGTCAAAGTCACTACCCACGGCATGATCCTTACTGTCGGTGTTGACCATGCCCCAATCGCTAGATTGGCCATTGGGGCCGCCGTGGAGCTGATCACCCATATCCATTTCCACATCGGCCGCCAGATCGGCGCCAGGGATGGGTTGTCCGTTGACAGATACGCCTGAGGGCAGGCCACCACCAACACCCGGGCTGCCGAACTGGTTAAGAAGGTGAGAGTCATCGTGGTCCATCACCATATCATTAGTGAACGAGTCAGGTTCGGGTTTGTGCTCGGGTTCGATTTTCTCCAGCAGGCCACCCTTTTCGACGCAAGAAACCTTGGGCTCGGCCACGATCTGCTTCTTCCAGGCACCTTCCACTTCCCGGACAATTTCGTCGACTCGGTACTTGGCCTTGTCTTCGATGAAATCCAGTTGCGGAGCCTCTTCCTCTGTGGGAATGACAATCCGACCCTCCAGTCTCCAGATCTCCGGGCCCTTATCAGTGGGGTCAGCGGCAGCCTCCCGAAGACGCAGCTCAGACTCTTTCAGCAAGGAAGTGCGGTTGAACCGCTGCATGCGACGGGCATGCTGCTTCTTCAGGTTTTCGATCTCGGCGGTCATGTCTGCAACCTTTTTTGACACGCGCTCTGCGAACTCTTCCGCCTTGGCGGGTTCCATCTTGGTGGCGTTGGGAGCATCGCCTGCCTCCTGACCTTCTCCGCCCGATGTTCCGACAGGAGCGTCAAAGAAGCCTGCGGTCAAAGACTCCAGCTCTCCCTTACGGCCCAGACCTAGAGAGACTGGCGTAATTTGTGAGATGCTATACGGCGATGCGAAAATCTCCTCCATCCACTCGTGATGTTGCTGGTAACGCATCTTGCTAACATCGCGGGGTGTCAGCAAGTCCATTGTGTCACCACTTGACACATCCTCGTCTTCGGTGGCGAAGTCCGCAGTTGCTGAAGCGAGAGCCGACGATGGCGCGCGATGTCCGCGTGGGCCCTTCGCTGCAGCCACGTTGGGTGGCACCGCACCAGGGTGGCCCTGAGGGGGGTAGAATCCAGGTCCACGGGGCTGGGCATTTGGATAAGCACCAGGCTGACCAAAGTTTTGTGGCGCCATCTGGGGGAAGTTGATGACTGGCCAGTTGTTTCGGTCGTGAAGCAGGAAGTCCTTGCGAGCCAGTTGTCCTTGACTCTGCAGGAAGCGCCGCTGGCTCATTACGCCTTGGACCTGTGGGCTGATGGGAATGCGGTTTGCGGGAGCATGGTCTTGGGGAGATGCGCGCGAGTAGTGGACGATCCAAAGTGAAGGGTCCGGTGGGGGGGCATTGGGGATCTTGCAAGATGTGATGCGGTAGCGCTTGCGGCAATGAGTTGCAACGGGCTCATTCGGAGGGTGGAATCCACTGCGGTGGAGGTACATCTCGACGGACTGTGGTCTCATGCGTTAGAAGACAGTTGAGCTTCAGGCGATATCTTGACAGAGCATACATATCCGCGGGCCTCGAAGGTAAAGACCTGTTCCTGGTCTGCCCAGAAGTATCCATCGCTAGCAAAGTTGTTCCCAAGGTGATTTAATGGCTGCCAAGTGAGCATGACTGTTCCATCTGGAGGACCGTCAAGAAAGGTCCAGTGCATCGGTTGCGTTTGGCAGACCCGAGGGGCGCTGGTCAGATATTCGACGGCAGTCTCGGTAGGCATCATGTGCATGCTCGGGTATCGATTGCGCGACACCAAATGCATATGAGGCAGCTATAATATTACGAGGTCAGCTAACAATGGAATGATGCGATAGCAACTGCGACCTTACCAGCTGCTGCGGGATGCGAGCGGCGGGGTCGTCCATATTGGGCGCCTGATTGCCGGGTGCAATCGATTCTAAGTGGATATGGGAAGTTGGGTTGGAAGCAAGCAACTCAATTGCGATAGAAAGGTGGACGGGGCGCAATGATGGGGTGTTAAGTCGAACGCGACACTAACGACGCGGGAGATTTTTGATACGGCAAGTGAAAGGGACCATACACGCTAGACACCTGTATTGTCAGGCTGCAACTCAAGTATCGTCTCTGCGGTCATGATTTCCTCTCCTCCATACATTGAGACCTTCCATGGTGACTTCCAAGGCTCAAAGTTGACTTATGGATCTGAGCTATCCAGTCTATTTATCCTGGTTACGTTTGTGACAGATTGAAGCAATTGTGCTGAATCTCATTTAGTGAACGACAATCTCAAACAATCAGTCGGCAGCAGCAACAACCATATATTTCCGAGGTCTTCCTCCATGTGTACAGCCCTTGTGAAGCAAATACAACCTAGGCCTGTGCTTCAATGGGCAGACATATTGTCGTGTCAAGCATCAAGGAACTGCCCAGACATGAGGACTCCACTCTTCGCCCAGCCCGCACACTTTATTCAGCCTCTCGCTCCCTCATTCGCCTTTGAACTCTCCACTCGCATCTCGGAGATTCGTCACCAACTCCGCGTGTGGAGGTACCCAATTATGGAGATCAATAGTCCAATAGTCAATACCAATCGCAATGTGACCTCGAGCCGAGCTTGCTGATCATTAGCTTGTTTCCCTCCCTCTGACGCATCTTGTCATTCTTCCGATTCACCTCACTTCACATCCCCAAACCGCCAGTATGGGCTTAGGCAAAATTGACCCCCCTGAGGATGTGATACAGCCAGCTCCAGACGAAGATGTTGAGAAGTTCACCCTCCCCGCACACCAGGAGAAACGACCAAGCACCATAGCCGCGACGATCGATCCCGAAATGGAGCGCCGAGTAGTAAGGAAATTGGATTGGCATCTGCCGACTTTGATGGCATTTTTCTGTATGCCTTGAAAACCTCAAACAGAGAGCTCCGTGCTCCAAGTCGGTTAGCGCGCTGATGGGCCCGTCTTCCCTAGATCTCCTCGCCGCCCTTGACCGAAGCAATATCGGGTAGGTCCTCAATGACCTCGGGAAAAATCTGCGCGCAAATATAGCTGATTCGAGCTCAATAATAGCAATGCCAAAATCGCCGGTATGGAAGAGGACCTCCGCCTCGATTCGAAGAGCTACGCCTGGCTCCTGACCATCTTCTATATCTCATACACGGTGTTCGAAGTCTTTGGATTGATGTGGAAGGTTGTTAAACCGCACCAATGGGCTGCTTTTACAATATTCTCATGGTATGGATTCCTCGCGCAACGCGGATTGGGCAGAACACGGCGTGCGGGAGCTATGGCTGACGAGCTGCAGGGGGTTGGTCGCGACGTGTCAAGCCGCAACAACGAATTGGCAAGGCATGATGGCACTTCGCTTCCTAATGGGTGCATTTGAGGCCGCCTTCGGCCCCGGAGTCGTCTACCTGATGTCATTTTTCTACCGCCGCCACGAGCTGGGTCTCCGGTGCGGTTTCTATGCCGGTGCTGCGCCATTGGCAAACACATTCGCCGGAGCCCTGGCTTACGGCATTACCTCCGGACACGCAGCAATTGCGAACTGGAGGTTGCTGTTCCTCGTCGAGGGACTTCCAGTCTGTGCGGCTGCTCTTCTGGCATACTTCTTTGTGCCAGATAGCGCGCAAGACGCCAAGTTCCTGACGGATGAGGAGCGAGAGGTTGCGCGCGCGCGCTCATTGCAACAGTCTGGCGAGCCAGAGCGCGCCGGGAAGATTCAATGGAAGGAATTGGGCGAGACCCTGCTCGATGCGAAAGCTTGGCTCACAGCGGTAGGTTGGATATCCCCGTACGCTTGAATTCCGATTGCTGATCTCGATTGCGTGGTCAGTTCATGTACTTCAGCTGCAATGTCAGCTTCTCCTCGCTCCCTGTTTTCTTGCCCACCATTTTGAAGGAAATGGGCTTCACAGCAATCAACGCTCAGGGTCTAACAGCCCCGCCGTTCTTCGCTTCGTTTTTGGCCACCATTGCGACCACTTGGGTGGCTGATCGTACTCAGCAGCGTGGACTGACGATCATCGGTTTATCAGTGGTTGGCGGCGTGGGGTATATTCTCTGCGCGACCTGCACATCAGTGGGTGCACGGTATTTTGGTGTCTTTTTAGCGGCCTGTGGAGTCTTCCCCTCGATCGCCAACATCCTTCCATGGGTTTTGAGTGAGTCATCATCCTTGTTCCTATGAGCATCTTTTTACTAATCCCATTGGCTGTAGACAATCAGGGCTCCGATACCCGCCGCGGTGGAGGCATCGTGCTGCTCAACATCATCGGCCAATGTGGCCCTTTCCTGGGCACCAACGTCTTCCCCGACACCGAGGCCCCACGGTATGTGAAGGGCATGGCCATTTGTGCTGCATTCATGTTCTTCACGGCATTCCTTGCGCTGTCTCTGCGCGTGTTGCTCATCTTTGAGAACCGCGGCCTCGAGAAAAAGTACGGGCCCCGCACCGATGATCCAAAGTCTACTGATGCCCCGGTGGCGGAGGACAATTACGGCGCCAATTTCCGTTATGTTTTGTGATGTCGCCCTTTGCTACGTTGTACATATGACTATATAGTATTCATTGATATAATCATGATCGTGGATGGCGATTTATTTTATGACTCAAGACAATACTGTACTGTAGGAGGCCATCGAAAACGGAACATGGGCAGCATGCCTAAATGATGCCCTCGAGATGCAATTACCAAACTGCCCCGTCCTGAGTGGACCCTGCCGAGCTTGTCCCACGCATTTGTTTGTCCTCGAACAACCTGCTTTGGCTTGGTGTGCATCCGATCAATTGGTGTTCCAATGCGCGCTGACAACATCACCTGGGCAGCAGCAATATCACAGCCATCAATTGAGCATTTGATGCGCAAATCATTCAGCTAACCTCTGCATAGTACTGTAAACATGCATCTCTTGGAGGGAATGCTCCGTGGGGCTAGAGGCCAGAACCCGGGGCAGAAGGCTCCGAGCCACTCATAGTGTAGGCAAAGAGTTAATCCAGAAAAGCTAGAACGTCAGAACGATGAAGGAGTATGTGATCTGCAATTTAATTCGTACAACGCAACTTTCACCGAGCACATTATCTCACCGGAAACCGGAGAGAGTCGGGTTATGACGCTGGCAATGGTGGGGTCTGGATTGACATCAACTCGCATATAAGGTTGACCCCCCCTCCTCTCTCTGCTTTCTTTCTCTTCACATCTCTGTGACTACTACACGCACAACAGTAAACTATACTATCCATCGTTCAAGGCACTGACAGAGCTGACTCTCATCTAGATCCCAAACGGAAAAGTACATACTGCCCTTCCTTTGGGAGCCATGGACATTTGGCTGGGCACATTATCCCTCAGGGATCAAGGTATCTCAGGTAACTTCTGGGTATGAGCCGGTGTTCGTTCTCGTGTCGGTGATGTCTCGAAGGTGGACTGGATCCATCTGGACGGCGTCATCGATGCGGGTTCGTTCTGAGATTATACGGCTTTCAACTTGATCTGGATAATACCAGCGAAAGGATCATGCCCTCCCCTTCCCCCTTCCAAATGCCGAGTTGCCAAACTAACCAAGCACTCAAGTCATCTAACTTGATCCCTGACCCATTATGTCTCCTCCTGCTGCCATGTTCGAGCCTGTGACTGTTGCCCCCACCGGCATCAAGGGCAAGGTCAACGTCCCCGAGACTGCGACTACTACCCTGACTGGCCAGGGCCAGTCCAAGCTCTTGGATCAGTTTGGTGGCAAATGGGATGAGTTCAAGTTCGCTCCTATCCGCGAGAGCCAGGTCTCTCGCGCCATGACTCGCCGCTACTTCCAGGACCTGGACAACTACGCCGAGAGCGATGTTGTCGTCGTCGGTGCTGGCTCCTGTGGTCTGAGCACCGCCTACGTGCTGGCCAAGGCCCGTCCGGACCTGAAGATTGCCATTCTGGAGGCCTCCGTGTCGCCTGGTTAGTCACATCCACGGGAGATCTGTAGTTGCTCCTAGCGGACATTCACTAACACGCCATGTAGGTGGTGGTGCCTGGTTGGGTGGCCAGCTTTTCAGTGCCATGGTTCTCCGCCGTCCCGCGGATGCTTTCCTGACCGAGCTCGGTGTCCCCTTCGAAGAGGAGCCCAACAACCCCAACTTCGTCGTTGTCAAGCACGCTGCTCAGTTCACCTCCACTTTGTTGTCGAAGGTGCTCTCCTTCCCCAACGTCAAGCTCTTCAACGCTACCTGTGTCGAGGACCTGATCACTCGTCGTGACGGCGACAATGTCCGTCTTGCTGGTGTCGTTGTCAACTGGACCCTTGTCACCCTCCACCACGACGACCACTCTTGCATGGACCCCAATACCATCAACGCCCCCATCATTGTCAGCACCACTGGCCACGATGGACCATTCGGTGCTTTCTGCGCCAAGCGTCTCGTGTCCATGAACTCCATTGAGAAGCTCGGTGGTATGCGTGGTCTCGACATGAACGCTGCTGAAGACGCCATCGTGAAGAACACCCGTGAGGTCGCCAAGGGTCTCATCATCGGTGGTATGGAGCTGTCTGAGATTGATGGCTTCAACCGCATGGGCCCTACTTTCGGCGCTATGGTTATGAGCGGTGTCAAGGCTGCTGAGGAGACTCTGCGTGTCTTTGACACTCGCAAGCGTGAGTGCGCTGAGTAAATTCGTGCACTCAAGCATCAAATCAATGTTCTTCCTACGTGCCCTTTACGCCCCATGCCCATGAATTCCTTGGGAATGGACCTAGTTTTATGATGATGATCGTTCCACAAATGCACTACTCTCGTTTTGTGCAATATCTCGCACTACTGTAGACGATTACAGGCAAAGCATGCTCGTATTAAAAATTATGTCTGATAGCTGTCCTCGTATGTAAAAACATAGCTGTTGACCATTTGCATCCATGTGATATAACTTGGGATGTACATGTGGTTCCGGAGGTCCAGGTAATGATGGGATCAGTAAACCGCGCACTTTGCCAGCTGTCCAGGTGTGGAATTTGCAAGGAGAAATGCTCAGGTTCGATTATAGTATGAAACCAAAAGGTCGATTAATCCTTCTGGTCATCCTCAACTTTTGCTGAAAAACTGCCCTCAGCAGCTATCACCAGTCTCTGTGCATTTCGTACCTCCCACTCAAACTCTTTCAAAGCACGTAGCTCACTTGACATGAACAATCCACCGATCAAGCCATCCAGAACTCCAGCGGCGAAATTCAACGTGCTGATTAGGATAAGCAAGAACCCAATATAGGTGCGGTTGCCGACCCACCACACCCCGACCATGCACCCGATCGAGATGACGATTGATGCAATGAAATGCGCCATGCGCCAGCGGCGTTGTGAGCGTTCTCGGTCAACATACTTGTGCGTCATTCCAATGATGTGATCGTAGGTTTCGGGAGACAGGGCAGCATTGGGGGAGACTTGTTTTGAGGATGTTGTGTGAAGGGTAGGAGAGTTTGCAGATCCGGGTGCGGCATCGGAGTCGGAGTCAGACTCTCCATGCCCCGTTGAAGATCGTGTAATGACAGCTTCAACAGCAAAGTGATCACTCAGCGAGCAGAGGAGGGTGGGATGGCGCTGTGTCATGGAGACTTCCACAGATTCAACAGACCAACGCGATGGTGGGAACGCAGGTGGATAGCCACCATCACCGACAAAGATATAGTCTAGACGCTTGCCACGTGGGTCCGGGGTGTCCTTGTCAATCACAATATCCTCGCCCTTGGCCAGGCGCTTGCGCATATTCTCAGACCAGCGCCATGTGTTGAACGACCCATCACAGGTAGCTCCATTCTCAGAGAGATTGAACTCTGCGGTAGGAACAGGCCTATTGCGAGCCTTTTCAACGGGATCAATTGCTGCCGCAAGCGAGGAATCAGGGTGGATCTCGCGCCAGGCATCACGCACAGGACTCTGAGCTGTGATTAGACGATGGGCGAAAGAGGAAGGAAGCATGTTGAAGTCACCCAGACCGATGACTAGATGACCGCGCTCAGCAGCACCTCGCATAAGCTTGGAAATTTCCCATGCCTGTGCGGTTCGGTGGCATATGTAGGAGTCGTTTGGTTCGCGCTCGTATGGGGCGTGTAAATGTGTACAGAACACCTCTGCCACATCGGCAGTGCCAGGGCCAAATCTGATTCTTGCAGAGGCCACACCTTTGCCTACAAACCAATCGCCCCGGAAGAACGCTGTTGGCCGGCCGTTCAGTGGGTATCCAAACATGCTGCTTTCCTCAATAGGCCACTTGGACAAAATTGCCAATCCCGCGCCGAATATGCCTCCATAATAAAACTTTCCATATGGTAGTAGGTGTTTGGTTTGTTCGCGAATGCTTTCAAAGTCCCTATGCGTCCAACATTCTTGCAGTCCGACTATCTCTGGTGGCGGGCTGGCTAATGCCAGCTGCCGCCCAATCTCCGACATGCGTTCATGGCGGTACTTGGCAATGTACTTCAGACCCCAGCAGTTGAGTGTGAGGATTCGAATATTGCCAGGTGCTTCAGGTGGGATTGAAGAAGACATTGAGCTTGCTTACAGCCCGAAGATACTTTCAATGTCTCGAGTGGGCGTACATGTAAAGTTGCGGCCATGATGTAATTTTCGAGCTGTATACGGTCATGTGACAGAGCGAAATCCAGCCCTGGAGGTACCCTTTAGTTCGTGATGGGAGATCTTCACGTTTACGCTGCTTCTTTTTCACGATTTCCGACTGGAATCTATCTTTCATCATAGTATATCGCTCCGACTCTTGCGGTTCTTCTGTTACATGTGACATATCCGTCGCCATGAACGTTACAAAAGCAAAAACGCGTGTTTTGATATGACGCAGCTAAAACTGACCGCCTTCCAATGGAATACACCGCCTTCATGATATACGCGTTTTAATGATTTTCCCATTGCATCGCCGGACAATTTACCAAGCCGCCCTTTCGTCGCAATTCAACTCGCTCGATTGAATGTTTCTAAGAATCCCTTGTATTCAATGAGTCATTCAGCCTCCCAGCCTCGTCGGCGGGAGCCTCGCGCTCAATCGCCTTCCGAGTCTTCCTCCGACGAACTCGCCGCGGGCTCCGAACACGATGAAGCCGAACGCCGTCGAGCGAGCTGGACTTTGCAAAAGGGCTTCACCCCTCAGCGCCCTCAAAAACCCGGACGTCGCTACAGTGAGTCAGAGAGTTCTGACGAGCTAGCTGTCGATGCTGGCGAATACTGGCGTTCTTCGCGCAAACACAACCGTCACCGGAGCCCTTCACCCATCACCCGCCCTAGTAGCCAGGACGGCTCCCAGCGCGAATCACATACTACCGCCGATGATGATATGTCTGGCTCGGATACGCAGGCCCCTGCCGCCGACGAGTGGGAGGGTCGTTCTTCTACGCCTGTTCCTCCCCCACCACCTCCCAAGCCGGAACATCTGAACTATAAGGAGAAGTTCGTCTTGCGCGGCCACTTGCGCGGTGTGTCGCAAGTTCAGTTCTCGCCGGACTGTACCATGATCGCCAGTGCTGGTATGTTGCATGCTCGACTTGGTGCAATAGGATGACAAGCTAAGTGGGGGCCATGACAGGTGCCGATGCGGCAGTTAAGATTTGGGATACTGCTAGTGGGAGACTCATTCACACTTTCGAGGGACATCTTGCAGGTGTCTCAACCCTCGCGTGGGCGCCTAATGGCGAATGGATTGCCACTGGTTCCGACGACAAGACGATCCGCTTCTGGAATGTCAACACTGTAAGGGCCTCATGGTTTTTGAACCTCGTTCTTGGGGGCTTTACTAAAACTTTCACAGCTCAAAGCACACACCAAGGTCTTCGACGGTCACCATAACTACATTTACCAGATTGCTTTTGCGCCCAAGGGTAACATTCTCGTTAGTGGCTCCTATGATGAGGCCGTATTTATGTGGGACGTTCGTCGAGCTCGGGTGATGCGTTCCTTACCAGCTCACTCCGACCCAGTTGCCGGCATTGATGTTGTACATGACGGGACCCTCATTGCATCATGTGCTTTAGATGGCCTCATTCGTATCTGGGACACTCACAGCGGCCAATGCTTACGCACTCTGGTCATGGAAGACAACCCACCAGCGACCTGTGTCAAGTTTTCCCCTAACGGCAAGTATGTGCTAGCCTGGACTCTGGACGGCTGCGTCCGAATGTGGAACTATGTCGAAAGTCGCGTTCTCAAAACCTTCCAGGGGCACGTCAACACTAAATACAGCTTATCAGGAGCCTTCGGTCTCTACGGACCCTTGAATGAAAAGTTTGATCCACCTCTGTGCTTTGCCGTGAGCGGCAGTGAAGATGGTGCTATTCTGTTCTGGGACATTGTTAGCAAGAAAGTCTTGCAGCGCCTTGATGCCCATCAAGACGCTGTGCTTTCTGTTCATACAGGAAATTTAAAGGGAAAGCGCATGGTTGTGAGCTGCGGGCTGGATAGGACTATCCGTGTCTTTGAAGAGGTTGGCGAAGACCAAGCCGAGTTTGATAACGATTCTACACCTGTTCCCGAGGTGCTCGTGCAAAATGATACCCCCATGCATGACGCCGAGGGCGACAATGCTATGACCGATGCCGATGCCGATGCATCCGCTGTGCCCTCGACTGCCGCGACCCCGGCTGAAGATGTGACGATGACATGAGCTTATCTACTCGGGTCTATGAAACGATTCATTTTTTTTTTTTTTTTTTATCTCTGCATGGGCGGTTGCTTTTCGGGACAAGGAAATTAAAAATACCCCGGTGTTTGGTGTCGTCCAAATTTAGGACATATTGTGTTGTTGTTGTTGTTGTTGTTGTTGTTGTTGTTTTTACCCCCTCCGCTATGCTTCTTGATATGGAATATGATTATCAATTCCATATAACATCGCGATCATCGAATCGAAACATCGAATACATTCCTATCTATGGATTTTCTTTATATTCATACATACCAATGGATACTTCGGCCCATACCTATTCAAAAGCGCCTCGTGGGTGCACTTGATCTGAAAACCTTCCAATATTCCAAGGTTCCAAATTCCAAGTTTCTCTCGATCCATGGGTATCCACTAGCTAGCTAAGTATAGACCTCGGGGTGAGTTCAACAACGGTAGCCAATTGTCAATGTCCACGGGTATGTCCAAAACATATACTCCCGAATTGGGATCTGGTTGCAACATGGGAAGCAACATGGGAACGAGTCAAGCCTATGGTCCTAAATTTCCTGCTGGCATCCTGGAGTACCTAGGTAGCAGTGTTGATGAGTCGGCTTCGGACTAATCCCAAGGTCGAACATTGGAAGCAGGCAGGAATTTAATCTCCAATGCCATTGAAACCCATATTTTGACATCGGGAGCTCATGGATGTGGGCTTGTTCTCATGCTAACTCACACAAAACTTAGCACATACCTTGTTCATTTTCAAGGGTAGTCTGCCCCAGTACCTAACTGGTTTTCACTTCGGGTGAATGAGTCTGAGTCAAGGTAACGCTTTGATGTGAGTCTCCGCTGCTCTACAAACCGCTGATGGTTGTCGAGACTCTTGTTTGCTGGTGTATCATTAAATGAGCCAGAATTCCATCATCCGCCTTTATGGTCTAGTTGGTTATGACGTCGGTCTCATACCTTTAGTATATGACATTCCTGGTAACAGGATTGATATCCGAAGGTCTCCAGTTCGAACCTGGATAAGGGCATTTATCTTTTTTGCTGATTGTAATTTTTACAGTCATCCATGGATACTACCGAACCGTCAAGGAAAGGATCCTGCTTTGAGAATGCAATGCAAATTATGATAAGAATGGGAAATGTAAAACTGAAAGTTTTAGAGGGCTACTACGGAGTATAGTATAGTACACATCCATTCATGTAAGAAATATTCGACCATCAGAAGCTTATTTTAGACCAATTGCTCACTATCGTGCCTGGAGAAATATTCATACGGAGTTAATCTTGATCCGATAGTTAGGCCATATTTAAGACGACCTCGGGAGTACTAGTACATCGGAACCGTTGCCACGGGAAATACAGTACACATGTAGTTCTCATAATTTACCAGTGTTATGAAGGACTTGACTGCTCATTAAAGACAATCAAGATGAAACCCTGAAATGAACCGGCGACGATCTGAAGATGGAGGAAGTTCAAAGGTTTTCGCCCGCTCTTCAGCCGTTACCGGGAAGGATGAAATTTCCCTAGATTATGTCTGGGCAGTCAGCACTCCGTAAGCGCTCGGTGGACAATGGCGATCATCACAGTTGATCGCGTGTCATAGGTCTTCGACAAGAATAGATATCTGTCACAATATAGGGCGGTACCCTAGCGCTTGGCTGTGTCTCACGTTGATACGAAGCATCCACTTAGGTCTCATATTCATCCAGCGCACATTCACATCCTCAAGCGACATTTGTGCGAGACGCTTGGGATGTGATCCCCGTTTCCCAGGGCTCGTTTGCATGGGAGAAAGTACGAGTCAGCAAACGAAGAACATTATGTGTCCATTTACAAGTTCGTAAGGGGGTTCCACCGAAGGCTAGAACTTGGGTTTCCGAGGATCTTGGATCGACATGGCCCTAGTGTGTGGCGATTCCATTGCTTGACTCTGAGCCTGTGTACCTAGGTAGCCCCTCGCGGGACAACGTCATCTAATGTACTCGCCAACAAAAAGCATTAAGGGGAAGTACGGAGTACAGTATGTAAAGTATACATGCTTGCGAGGGACTGCAAAGGCATGATTACTCGAGTCTCAAATCTGCAGGTTCCACTTCTGAGTGCAAACCGTGTAATCTAAATTATAGACAGAAATCCCTTTATTCGCCAGCAGGAATATTGACCAGCCGTGTGGCTGGTTGTGGCGTTATTTTCTTTGTCGTACGCAAAGTGGACCGCATACGAGTGGACAGCGCAGGGCCGGATTTCCGTGGTTGAGTGGCCGGGAACTCTAAGGCAGAACCTTGGTTGGGATGGTGGACAACCCTGGATCCAATCGTCGGTGCGGTGGTAGCTCACCGTTAGCTCCGACTGTTTACTTCGTTGACACTCCTATTTGGATCGAGGGGGGAAATCGGAGTAAACAGTAGGGCCATGGAAAGGAACCTTGGAGCTGTGAAATAGAGATTGAGATAAAAATATCAACATCCAAATACTAGTAAAATTAATGCCAAATAGTAGCATACCGGCGGGGTCTAGACTCTGAAACAGAAGAGCCAATCACCCAAATTCAGGGGGCCCCGAGCCCAGGAATCGTCCCAATTCTGTACATTCGAGACTTTCCTCCCTCTTCACTGATCATCACTGGCGAGAGGGGGACTGACATTCGCTTTTTGACCCTCAATTGCTTCCTCTCTTGCTACTGTCACTCATTGCATCTTGATTCAGCAGCCCCTGGTGCCAAAAACCAGCATCCCACACCAATACTACCGGGCGCTTCGTTTTCGCGACCCTTTCGACTCGTTCCTGACCATCAACTAACATACCATTCATTTTTTTTCTCTCGCGGGTTGACCCTGCCCTTTTTGCTGCGATTCATCCACCGTCGCCCCATACGTTTTAATCCGACCGACTACCGCGATCCTCTTTTGACCCCTACCTCCTTGATGAATATCCGCTCCGCTGTATAAATTCGATATTGAATCAACACACAACTGGGAGATCCTTCTTTGCCGCCCAAAATGCGGAACTACCTTTGGGCTTTGCTTGGTTTGGCCGCCGTGCCCCAGGCTTTAGCTGCTGATACTCTTTCCACCAGCGGGTTCAACCTGTGCATGACCGACTCAGCAATCAACGTCCAAAAGATGGATGTTACCTACACACGCTCCTCTGGGGTGGTTGTCTTTGACGTGGCTGGTACCAACGCGAAGCAACAAAAGGTCACAGCGGCCATTACAGTGACTGCCTACGGAAGAGAACTATACAAGAAGGAATTCGATCCCTGCGGCGACGAGATCCACGTGGATCAGCTTTGCCCTGTCCCCAAGGGCACATTCAAGGCCAGTGGCTCCATGGAAATCCCTTCGGAATATGCCAGCCAGATACCCGCTATCGCGTTCAACATGCCCGATCTCGATGGTCAGGCAAAGCTCGTCCTCAAGTCCAAGGGAGACAGTGCATCCAACGTCGCTTGCATTCAATCCGAACTGTCCAATGGCCATTCCACCAATGTTAAGGCTGTCACCTATGTCTCCGCGGGCATTGCAGCAGGCGCTCTGGCACTTACCGGTGTCTCTGCCGCCGGCGCAGCCGGGGGTGTTGGCGCGCCATCGCATAGCCCTGGTTTCGGCGATGTAATGGGCTGGTTCCATTCCATGGCTACCAACGGTATGCTGAGTGTCGCCTATCCAAGCGTCTACAGCAGTTTCTCTAAGAACTTCATGTGGAGTACCGGTATGATTCCCTGGCCTGGTCTACTGAACTCCATTGACAGCTTCCGGAGCTCTACCGGTGGCAACACGACTACTGAAAGCTATGCTTTCTTGAAGAACGCTTCTTTGTCCGCCAGTGCCTCGTCTTCCAACACCACTAAGCGAAGTTGGGACTACTCGATCGAATTTGGCGAGCTTGTTGCTCGCTCGATCGATGCATCTGCCGATTCGGATGTTTCAAACAGCACTTCAAGCAGCGACGATGAGAGCGGGAGCACAAGCAACGTGGACAAGATCAAGCAGATCTCCCAGGAGCTCATGGTCCCATCTGCCGATATCTTCATGACTGTTCTTTTAATCTTCGCCATTGTAATTGCTGTGGTCGTCGTCGGAATTCTTCTTGTCAAGGTTGTCCTTGAACTTTGGGCGCTATACGGACGATTCCCACAGAAGCTGACCGACTTCCGAAAAGACTACTGGGGTATCATGGCACGAACAATCACCAACATGATCTTGGTTCTTTACAGCATTTGGGTCCTTTACTGTGTCTACCAACTCCGCAAAGGTGACTCTTGGGCCGCCAAGACATTGGCTGCGATTACTCTGGCTTTGTTCACGGCGCTGCTTCTGTTCTTTGCTATCCGTATCGTCTACATGGCTCGCAAGTATAAGAGAGCCGAAGGAGATTCCTCGGGTCTGTACGAGAACAAGGAAACCTGGAAGAAGTACAGCTTGTTCTATGACAACTACAAGAAGGATTTCTGGTGGATTTTCATCCCTGTCATTGTGTACGCGCTGGTCAAGGGATGCATCATCGCTGGTGGTGAGGGCCATGGCCTCTTCCAGAGTGCAGGCCAGCTTGCCTGCGAGGTCCTTCTCCTGGGACTCCTAGTGTGGAGTCGCCCATATGCCACCAAGGCCTCCATGGGTATCAACATTGCTGTCCAGGTCGTTCGCGTTCTGTCCATTGCCTGCGTTCTGGTCTTTGTTGAGGAGCTTGGCATGTCCCAAACCACCAAGACGGTCACAGGAATTGTCCTCATTGTTGTTCAGTCCACCCTCACTGCTGTTCTCGCTATTCTCATCACCGTCAACGCCATCATTTCGTGCTGTCGCGAGAATCCCCATGCCAGACGCAGAAGGGAAGCCGGTAAGTAAAACATGCTCCAATGCCAGTCAACTCCCTGAATCAAAATGCTGACATTGCTTTTCCAGAAAAAGCAAACCGCGACATCGACGATTTGACTCCCTTGGACGCTCGGGACTCCCTTCTCATGGAGCACCCCCAGCGCAAGGAATACACCGAGATGAGCCATTTCAACTTCACCGGTCCCTACGAGCCCTACCGCGACCAACCCCACCGACCAGGGTCTCATGGCAGCACCGAGCACCAGCGGCTAGTTGGCAATGACTATGGTGTGGCGCACGGTCGCAGCACCAGTCCGGACAGCCGAAGCTCTATTGAAGGCCGCCATCCCACGAAAGCCGGGTATGGAATGGCATATTAAAACATCCACGAAACAAAAAAGAACAAAAAAACAGAAAACCTACGAAAACGTCACCGAATCGCCATGACGTTACCATTCTTGCTTCTCTCTCGACTTATTACCTTCCAGCCCCATATTCTTAGATCGGGCACACGCGTTTTGCGTTTTGGATAGATATTTTCTTTTTTTGACGGTTTTTAGCGTGCTTGAACACGGTGGTTGAGCCTTCGCACTTTTCGCCTCATGCATTTTCTTGTGATATCACTTGCTCCATTCATTCGATCTGTGTCTATAAATACCTCATTCTTTTATTACCCTATCTATCATTTAAATCACCATTTGCAATTGACGAAGATTCCATTTCATCTTGAGTCAACATATTCACATATTTTTCCCAGGTTCTTTTGCGTAGAGTTCACTGGGATATGAAATGGATATTGAAATCCAAGTGGTCCACGGATGCAACCCTGGATACAACAGCTTGGGGGTTACTGGGCATATACAATCCTTGCCCAGGTGAGGTCCACGGGTGAGTGCCCAGGTGAGCATTGTAAGCGAGAACTTTGGAAGTTTATCAACCTCGGAATGTATATAGATCCATCGAACCCATCTTGTCCGAAGGAAATCTCCAAGGTTCTTCCTCCTTTTCTTCGTCTATCTCTCTGTTTTGCTTCCTTTTCACCTCCCCTCCGATCTTTACCCCAATTCTTGTCACTTCCTCAACCTTCCTCGGCTTCTTGTCTCCCGGAAGCTCGCCCACTCATTCGCCATGAGCGATGGACCAGAAGCCCTCGAGGTCTAGGGCTTCGCCAATTGTCCAGGGAACTGCCAGGGTATCCCTTGATCAAGCTGTTTGACAGTGGAGTCACTGCTGGCCTGCACACAAATGATAATGCCACAATCACAGACAAGCAGAGGAACCTTAGAACAACAGGCTCTATTTCATATACCAGGGGGTTTGACTTTTACAGATGGATCGTTAGGAAAAGCGAAGATGAACAGTATCTACTATCCCTACATAGGTGATCTATGTTCACGAGTGTAGTGGCATAGAAACCTTGGAATCTCTCGAACGTTTTAACCAACAGCCTTGTCATATCCCTAGGTAGGTATTGGGACCCGGCACTCCCCGTGGTTCGCGTGACAGGACATACCTAGTACCTAGGTATATGGATTCACAATTCAATTAAATAACAATGCCAAGTGATACAGAAGTGAGGTGGCCAACAAACCTTGGAACTTTCAGCCGAGAGAACGCTGTGCGGCCCTGGTTTAAACTTTAGCTAAGTTATACATAAGTAGTTCTTCTCGGGGTAACAGCTAATTTTGTAAGTGACATCTAAGTAATAGCTCATTGGATGAAGCCATGCATACGTTGATTTAAGCCAGGAAGACCCTGGGAAAAATCACCAAGACGTGGACTTCAGATGGGAAGAGGTGAGAATAAAAGCCGGCTTGCAACCTCAACCGTCACAATCTCTGAAGGAGTCTTGTCCGTACGCTAGAGGAAGTCAAACTCAATTTGTCCGTATGGTAATCTAGTATGCAAGACCTCAGAAGCAAGAGTAAATGGGCAGTACCTAGGTGAGAATAGAGTACGTATCATACTAGGTATAGACATCGAAACCCAGGGCTGTCAGTGCCCAGGTGAAAACAATACGAGAAAATACATAGTAGGGTATCCGATTCGCCGACGTAGAGAAGACATCCCACGGGAGGGACCACGGATGTTATGAACCTGGAATTGACCTAGGTAATGAGCTATCTAAACGGGAGGAGATTATTGATATTATATATGTAGAGGGATTTCTGGCTTTGATGCGTAGAATATGAACACCGGGGTAGGACCCCGGGGTGGTTAACGAATATGTACTAGGTAAATCTTGGAAGGGCCACAGGTTAGAAATTTCCAAGGTTGTTCCCTATCTCAAGTACTAGTAGGCCAAAAAGCCACTTTGCTCTCACAAATGTGAGAATATCCCAAACTCTGCATCACATATTCACATACTCCGTACACCCACAAAATATAGATGATTGTCACACGACGGGCTGCTAGCCATGCGTTAGTCCGACGGTCACATCATATAGGGCCGCGCACCGCAGAGTTGCATTCTGACAGTCGTACCACGACAGGCTATTCTCACCACACTGCCCAGGTGGTAAACTTGCACCTACTCTCCCAAGGCTTGGACCATAACCGCCCTTGGCGCCAGAAACGGCTAGTTTTCCGCCCGCAACTTTGGACGCCCGCCATTGGTTTTTCAGTTGAGTATTACCTACTCCGTACTCCGTAGGTACCGAGTGATATAAAAATTTGCTCAAACTTTTATTTGACCTAGGCTCTCGTATCCCTGATATGGGATGAATCTTTTCCATAGTTATACCTAGGTACACTTCTGGGGCATCATTGTATTACTAGTACGGACCTCGAGACCTCGGGAGTACAATCGGATACAAAACCCTCAACTCATAGATCCTGACCATTCATCTCAAAAATGATACATGAACCTAAATCCGACTAAAATACTACCTGATCGGCTAATGGGCCAAGGAGACATTGACCCAAGGCTGGCATCTACCGATCAAAGCGATTGAGAATCTGAGCCTGTTCAGGTCACAAGATGATGAACGCCAACATGGCAGAAGAATAATTCTGCATTGTACAGTATTGCATTTATCCAATCCATGGCTGTAATCCCCTTGAAAACTCCAATTGTGGAACCTGGCATGGCTGTGGAGGGGCCCGGCTCCCCAGGGCCATCTCGATCAATTATGAGCCACGGAGTATATATCCAAGATAGCAACCTTCCAATGTTGGAACCCGTGGACAAGAAACTGCGTTCTCAGACATGCAATTCGATAACAGGTGCGAACTAGTAATTCAATACAATACTGATAATTTATTGCTGAGTGCTGGATTCCATGTGTAAACCTTGGAAGGATACAAGGACAGTAGTGCTCGATCATGGAGTCCTATTGTACTAGATGCCCCGATTTCACGTTCTAGAATATATGGGAATAGCACTAGTACGGACTCAAACTAACGGTACTTACTGTATAGTATAGTACAGTAGTAGTCTAGGATGGTTGAGGTCTAGCGAGTCTCATTGTACATACTCCGTACAGTACCAAGGGTGGATCATTTGCCATCAGGCCCCACATGTACCCAGCAACCTTGCGATATCCCGGTCTCCACCAGCCCCGCCAATCTTGGAATTTTCCAACCCTAGGCCACAGGCCTCGAGTCGGATTCTTCTTTCACTCACCACCCCGACAAAGACAAGGCCGGGCTTTCCGCACGAATGTCGCGTCCGGTGTCACTGCAGGAGGCCCAGAAAAGCCTTCTCAGCTTTGGTTCGACCAGGGAACGCGAATTCTACAAGTAAAGGTGCCCCTTTACCTGGGTATCTTCCAATCCAGTTAACCAAGAGTCGCTTTTGCAGGTATTTGCCGCAGCCCGCATACCCTTTACCACATTACAATCGTGATACCTCCTCCGCAGAGCACAAAGCCCGCTCGACGTCGGACGCGTCCCTTTCCGCCTTTGCTCAGCTGGGCGTACTGCGATTAGATGCACAACGATCCACAATTTCGCTTTTCGGTCGTCATGAGGAGCACATCCTGACCGAAGCAACCAGAACCCTCAGTCTGCGGGATGACAGCGACCACGAGACTCCAGATGAACTCTGGGTGGGAGCCTGTACAATGTCTTACGAACGCAGCCTTTGCGCAGCGATCGCGAGCATGTCATCGTCCACGAACAACTCTTCCTGCCCAGTCTATATGATCCCTGATTTGACACAAAGTGATGACCACAAAAATCATCCCGATGTCACAAGCTACCCCCATGTCCGCTTCTTTGCGTCCGCTCCGATTGTCAGCCCGAAAGGAATCGTGATCGGCGCCTTCACAATCCTCGACGATAAACCTCGACCATTACTTGACCCTGGCCATCAAAAATTCTTGACAGACATGGCTGCGACTATAATGGACTATTTGATCATGAACCGGTCCAGGAGCCAACACCAGCGAAGTGAGCGGATGATTATCGGGCTAGGAAGCTTTCTGGAAGGGAAAGGGAGCTTGCGTAGCTCCTGGGTGGATTCAGACGAAAGTGGACAGAACATTGTATCAAATGACACCATCGAAGGTCGTGTCAACGCGAAACAGCAGGACAAACAGCGTTTGGAAAATGCGGCTCCGGGCAAAAAATCAAATGATCGTCATGGTGATTTACCTTTCCGCCCAGGTCGACCCATTTCCTCGCCGAAATTGAAAGCGAGCGATTCTAGAGAGCGACAGGGCTCTGTGCCAAGACCAAGGACCAAGATCGCACGGCCCATGGGGGATCATTCAAAGCCTCAGAATCCGGGATTCACTTCCTCTGGCAAAGGCGCAGCGGGTAAGGCTCCATCGAACAAGGAGGTCACTTCAAGCCAAATTGAAGAAACCTTTTCGCGTGCGGCCAACATCGTTCGCGAAAGTCTAGAGGTTGAGGGGGTCATTTTTTTCGACGCCAATTTCCGTGGTCAAGCGGCACTTGTAACAAGCAACATCTCTGATGGTGAAAGCAGTCTGGATGATTCTTCAAGTGAGACCGAACTGAAAGCAAAAAAGGCGTTAGCACAGACTGAGATCCCCCAGCCAATGTCTGAAGACACTGGAAAAGCAACAAAGAACCCGTGTCAAATCCTTGGGTTCGCCACCTCGGACGCCTCGAGCATTAATTGGGAAGCCACTGGGGACCAGAACTTTGCATTGTCCGAATCCTTCCTCGCTGGACTCTTGCGCCGATATCCCAGTGGCAAAATCTTCAACTTCGATGCCGACGGATCCATATCATCCGACGAAACTAGCGACTCTATATTCAAGAGCTTTGCTGCCAAGAGGTACAAAAAGACTCGAAAGTCAGCCTTACGACAGGATGCTTCAACCCTTCTCAATATAGCTCCTGGTTCTCGAAGCATTATATTTTCACCAGTCTGGGATTCCCATAAGTCTAGATGGTTTGCAGGGTCATTCGCATGGACCAAGACCCCCCAACGAGTCTTCACCCTTGACGATGAAATGACATTCTGCTCCGCATTTGGTAGCTGCCTCATCGCGGAAGTCCACCGTCTCGGCGCCCTATTTGCAGAGCAAGCCAAGTCCGACCTCCTTGCTGGCCTGAGCCATGAGCTTCGATCTCCACTTCATGGCATATTCGGCACTGCAGAACTTTTGAGCGATACAGCGATAGATGCCTTGCAACGAGGATTTGTGCACACTATAGCATCTTGCGCAAATACCTTACTTGGTTCCATCAACCAGCTCCTTGAATTTTCTGGTATCAACGACGACAATCACAATCGTGGTACGAGAGCCCCTCTTGATCGCCAGAATTCATCAACAAGTCAGTTTGGGCCCGAATCTAGCGTCCAAGTAGACGCCATTGTGGAAGATACCATCGGAGCCATCTTTGCAGGTTTCTGCTTCTTCCACAGCTCGCGCCTCCCCCTGCGGGGCGGATCCAGGACCAATGCAGGCTTGCCTGGGCGTGTTGATGTCATTCTTGACATCGAAGAGTCATCAAGTTGGACCTTTAACACTCGCCCTGGTGCGCTACACATCATATTGACAAACATTGTTGGCAACTCTTTGAAGTACACCCAAGAGGGTTATATCCTTATCCAGGTCAAGACAACACCTACCACTTCTGACGAAGATGGTACGCCAGTGCGTTCTGCACTCACCATATCTGTCCAAGACACAGGGTGTGGGATGGACCCGGAGTTTCTCCGGGACGGTTTCTTCACTCCCTTCAAGCAAGAAAATGCCCTACTACCCGGGAATGGTCTTGGTATGAGCATTACACAAAAGACGATTGAATTCTTCCATGGGGATATTGAAGTTGACTCTCGGAGAGGAGTTGGCACTCATATCCAAATCTCTCTTCCACTTGAAAATGCACCAAAGAATGTAATCTCTGATGAAGGCCTCGGCCATAACACACAAGCTGATGAGCTTGCTTCCGCGAGAAGTTTGATGCGCCTGAAGACCGTTGGAATACTAGGCCTTGGGCCTTCCGATACAGATACATCCACGTCTTTGTCCTTGCAAAATATATGCCGCGAGTGGCTTCAGATGGAGGTTGTGATTGTCAACCCTTCGGAATCGAATTTCCGCCATTGTGATTACTACATTGCGTTCCATGATTATTTGGATATTGGCAATCTTGAGATCAAAGCTATCGCACCTGGTCCAGAGTCGCGGATCTCATCTCCCGTCATTGTCATATGCCCTTCTCCAAGGGTTGCTCACTCGCTCCTCCTAGCAGCCCAACAAAGAGGAGATTTAGAGGTGTTAGAGTTCATCTCTCAGCCCTGTGGGCCCCGAAAGCTGGCAATCGCACTTGAAGCTTGCGCGAAACGCCAGGATACTCGCATCTCCAGATCCAACACCCCCCTCAGCTCGGCCGTTTCATCCGTTGATATGCCCAAGAGGCAAATATCCTCGACTTCCGCTTCCACCCAAGGACCCAGTGGCTCACCTGGGCTTCGGTACCCGAGTACAATGAAATCAATAAGTAGTGGCCACACAAAAGCTTCCGGAAAGTACAAGCCTCCGCTAGCAGATGAGGATTACTTTTCACTCGTGGCCCCTGCACTAGCCCCCTCGCCAGAACCTGGGAGGTCACCTGAACCCCAGAGCATGGACCAGTTTCCTCCGACCCCACGGGGCTCGTTCACAGTCTTGCTTGTGGATGACAATCATATCAATGTATCGCTGCTGGCTGCCTACATGAAAAAACTAGGTCTTGATTACCTCACTGCACACAATGGGCAAGAAGCACTCGACACGTTCAAGGAGTCTTATTCTACGATTAGCGTCATATTGATGGGTAAATTCCACTCAACAAAGTTGAAGACGTGATGAAACTGGTATTGACTGACATCCTTTAGATATTTCCATGCCGGTGATGGATGGCCTGGAATCCTCACGACAGATTCGTGCCTTCGAGATGTCCTTGAAATCGCAGAATCATGTACCAATCATTGCTTTGACTGGTGTCGCCCAAGCCGAGGTCCGACGTGATGCAATAGGATCGGGTATGAACATGTTTTTAACAAAACCAGTGCGACTAAATCAAATTGCAACAGTTATCGGGGACCACACGGGCATGATCTTGACCCCTGGCTCTGTTGGTTGAACCCTAGTGGGTTGCTAATATGAGGGGACCCAGTCAGTCAAAGCCCAGCAAGGCCACAAACGGATCAAAAAGAGTCAAAATCGGCTATCGGCTCTTCCAGAGGCTGCTAAACCTTGAACTTCTGCACTGCCGTAGCCTCGCCCAGGCCCGATCCTCTTCGACCCATCAAAACCAGTCCAACTGTTTACGAATGCCACGAAATATAACTTAATCAATCCTTTCCTCTCCCAATTACCCCTTGAGCTGATAGAATACCTGCATAGCATCCATGGATTATTCATCTTAACTCATTTCCCAGTGAATATGGGCGAAGAGCCCGGCATGGCGCTCTACTCTTTCTCCGTGCCCGGCGTGCCATCCCAGAACTTGGAAGGCGGGCGTCTATCGAGCTATGAAATCCTTGAACATTCAGGAGATGGATGATCATATGAGGCTTAACCTGGGAGCTATCTCAACAAACACAAGACCGCCTACCCTAGCCGTTTGAATAAACAATCCTCTCTCCGGGCTTCACGCCCCGGTTAAAAAAAAAGATAAAAAAGACCTACAAAACACACGAAAGAAAAGAAATCGTATCTGATGAACAAGGAGACCGAATCAGAGTCTGCGGGGTATCCACGGAAAACACCTTAGCGCTGGTAGGGGTGGTAACCGCGGTGACCACCACCCCCACGACCACCGCCACGGTAGTTTGCACCAGGCTTGCCAGCGTTACGGGGGCCGGTGGGGGCATTGGCGGGAGCCGCGCTCTGGGGCTGAGGGGTAGATCCTAGTAAAGCGCATTAGTTTCCGAACACAAATCCAACAATGGGGTTAAGAGTAGTGAAATATGCAGAGCTTTTGAAAGAACCACATAACACCACCCTCAATTAGTCGCATACCTGAAGGTCCACCTGGAGCGTGGGGCTGAGGGACTTCATCGTACATTCCCTCCCAAGAGGTAGGGCCTCCCTGTTGCTGGTAAGGGGAGAAACCGCGAGGGTCCATAGTGCGATGAGCCTGCTGCTGTTCATACTTCTGCTGCTCGAATGCAAGTTGTTCATGTGCGTTATAGCCGGGTCCGGGCTGGCGGGAAGCAGCCATGGCGGCAGCGTTAGGGCCGGGGCTGGCGGTGTCGTTTCCAGCTGCGGCGGCAGGGCCGCTACCCTGATTGGGCTGCATCATAGCAGGGTTCATCATGTTTGGCATGGCCTGCTGGGGCCCGGGGCTCTGGGAATTGGGACTCATGCCACCCTGTTGCTGGTTGCCCATCTGCTGTTGCTGGCGCATCTGCATTTGCTGCATTTGCTGCATCATGGCGGGGTTCATCATGGCTGGGTTCATGCCCATTCCAGGCATTCCTTGGCCCTGGGCCATCGTCTGTTGCATCATGGTGAAGTATTGCTGCATCCGCTGCCAGTACTGAGCCATCATCTGAGGGGTCATGGAGCTACCCTGTCCCTGCTGAGGGGCCTGCTGCTGACCATCATTCTGGTTTTGATCGCGGAATCCTCCATTGCGCTGGCCACCACGCTGATCGTTGTTGTCACGCAGGTTACCGCGGGGAAGAGCCTTCTTGACTTCAATGGGCTTTCCCAGGATGTCCAGAGGACGAGAGAGGGTCTTCTCGACGGCAGCCTCGCTGTCAAATGTCACGAAACCGAATCCACGAGGACGACCGGTGTCCTTGTCAATCATAAGAGTGGCGTCCACAACGCGTCCAAACTGCATGAAGAAATGCTTGAAGTCCTGCTCAGTTGCCTCCTGGCTAACACCACCCACGAAGATCTTAGATGTCTTCTCTTGCTCGTCACGAGGAATGGCACGCTTAGGATCGATCTGTAGTCTGGTCAGTGAATCGTTCGTGATGGAGATGCCGGGTAGTTTCTTACAATCTTTCCATCCAGATAGTGTTCTTTCACCATAACAGTATTGACGGTCTTTGGGTCACGGAATGTCAAGAAGCCAAAGCCACGAGAGCGACCACTAGCGCTATCGCGCATAACAGTGCATTCTTGAACCTCGCCGAATTGAGAGAAGTAGTCACGAAGGGATTCTGGATTCAGACAAGCCAATTGTGTTAGTCTAATGCAAGTTGGTAAATCAAAGAGATACATACGATCAGTAGTTTCCCAGTTCAGACCACCGATAAACATTTTGCTAAATATATATGGATCCCCGGTCAGCGAATGGCTTTCAGTTAATAATCTGGGCCAGTTATATATGAAAGATACCCCCAGAGGGTATCTTGTGGATATATCAAGATTGAACATCCATTGCCTGGGGCAAGATAAGGGCACAGGACGGAGATGACACTGGCGAAGAGGTGCCCTGGCTAGAACATTGAGTGTCGGAAATTTGCTATCCACGGGCTAATGGAGTCTTCGTGATTGTGTGTGCGTATCTGCGTGCGCGCGCGCGAAGAGCCTTGCACCCCCGAAGGTCATGGAGTCAATCGACCAGACAAGGCTGCGACTCGTACCCGAGGCCTGGAATTTGTGCCTCATAGTCGTTGGCTTGACACCCATGGACGAATCTAACGTCGAGCTCGCTGATTTACATGAGCCTGGGTGCGAATATCGATTTCCACCTCTTTCCGGTCTGCTCAAGCCGAAGGCAAGCGCGATGAGAAGCGTAGAGGTGCAAGTAATTCAGTCGTAAAAAGTGAATTGTCACTGTCTGTCTGTCTGACCCGCAAAACCATTTGCCTTCACAGAGTCCCAAGCTAGATAGCTACTTCTTGCTCTGCCCTATCAAGGTATATCGACAAGAGTCTATATAGTATCGGCTGTACTATATATGGATGGCTTGTGACAAGAGGTCCATGGTAGGCGATGAGTAGCGTCGGGTTGGTGGACGCCAATGGTTTTGGATGGTTTCAGCCGGTGGCTTTGAAACTTTGCTTGATCTGGCGGAGTTGACGTTGAAGTGCGACCCGTGTAGAATGCAGGTATGGTATGGTTTGACGCACTTGGGCGGCCGCTTTGCGTTCAAGCGCAACTGCTGATTGGGCGCCAAGTCCACATTGTTCTTCTTCCTCCTCGTTGACAAGGCAACTTGGCCAACCGGTAAATTATTCCTCAGATAGCCCCGGGACATCCCAATTCAAAGCCGAAGGCCATTCTTTTTCTAGCCAGGAAACTCTTCCAGCACACACAATTGTAGTCGAACCCGTGAATAGCGAATGGCAACACTCAAGTTCAGATCACCAAGGCACAGCCTCGATGCCAGGTTGGCACCCCATTTGGAGGCCATATTCAAAAAGTACGGTGGAGAATTCAATTGAAGGACTTACCCGTCTTCTTTTATTCCAGTTCCATGGGATTCAGTCTCAGCGGGGGCTTCGCTGGCCGGCGGAGCCCCATAAGAGCCTCCAGAACCATTGTTGTAACCATTGTCATACCCAGAAGATTGAGCAACGGGTTGCGACTGGTATGTCTCCACTGGAGCGGCCTCCGTACTCTGTCCGGTTGCTACAGCTGGCGCAGCTGGGGTGGCGACAGGCTCGGCAGGCTTGGAGGTCTCAACAGCCGAAGTGGTGCGGTTAGTCGATTCATCGGCATCATAACTTTATTGAGAGAGTTGTGTTAGAGCTTTGTAAGTTGTTGGGTAAGGACGGTAGGAGCAAAGCACGTACAGATCCGCGAAGAGATCATCACCATCCTCTGGGTCAGCCATTATCAAAAGATAGTAAGTGTTCAAGGAATATGATGGTCACGCGAAAAATTGCAACCCTAATGCAGAAAGTGGTAGTTGGTCGTGAAACACGGAAAATATGGAGAAGAGAGGAAGTCAACGGCCGAGCAATTCGCACGTCGACCCGGCTGGGCAGGTGCTTATGTAACGAAATGCGCCGGCCCCGGGGCGGGCAGGTCGCCTTTGGGGTCGTTTGGCTGCGTATCTATAGACCACCAGCTCTTGGAATTCAGGTCACTTCTCATGTTCAATCCAGTCCTCTCATGATGATCTATTAACTATTATATCCAGTCCTTTGCATGGCCTGGTTCGTGAAACGACATCTATACCACACCCCGCACGTCTGAGACTCATGAGATCACAGCCCATAACATATTTTGGTAAAGATGGCAAACAAGAAAGGGCCGCAGGTAAGTCTTTCTCCACGTGTCTGATGAAATCGTCCACGGCAATTGAGCTGACGGTCCCTAGGAAATGGTCCAGGTTGGTGCGTGCCTTTTGCCTCCCCCTACATTCTAACAGCCATAGCTTACATGACCTTCTTCCGCGCTTCTCAGATAAATCAGAGTAAGTTGGGACCCTGCTTATCTCTGCGACTGAGACCTGCCCCATGTATAGGGCCTACAGCGTACTGACATTCGCTCAAGACGTGCCGAATCGCCCTTCTGGGCTGGTCGAAGTGTGTCTCTAAACCAGGGAGCGTCGAGGGTCTATGGACCAAATACCGTGGTTGGAGCTTCATATTCACATGCCAGTCTTGTCCAGTATGTCTCAAGTACCGAATGACTTCCTTGCATGCGGAGTATAGACAGGCATTCGCTAACCAATCGTTCTTCTGGCAGACCGACAACCTCTCACGCGCGACCCAAAACCCCCACAAAGTCATCTCCTGCGATCTCCACGTCGCACCTGGGTCGCAGGTCAGGAACCTCAGTAGTTTCGCCTCCCCGACAACCATACCCCGGAATCATGACCGAGGGGGTCGACGAGTGGGGTCGCGACCCCGCCGATGAGGATGACGACGACGACGACGATGAGATTGTTTATGATGATGACGAAGATGAATTCGGACTTCCAAGCCTTGCCAGTATGAGAAGAAAAAAGTCCGCGCCATTGAAGCCGAAGACAACTACTTCCAGCTTAGGGGCCGGGGGTAGCTTCTCAACATTGGGGTATGGACTGTCCGCGAGCAACAGACAACGGGCGGATAGTGCAGATATCGCCGAAGAGCGTGGCGCTCCTATGTACCCGGCAGCTAGAAAGGGGGAGGGCAAGATCCTTCGGCCTCAATATAAGGATATCCTGCAAGGTATCTATGATCCCATCGCGCAGAGGCAAGACCCATTCCTTTAACAATTACTAGATCCCGCGAATGCTTTGAACCTCATCAATCACTCCCCTCCGCCGACAGATGCTTCTCCGAAGGAGAGAGACATTCACTCGAGTCGCATCACTCGAATCAACAAATTCAAGCGCATTCTACAGGCCAGCACAGTGTCACCCACCGAGTTGCGGGATCTTGCATGGTCAGGTGTCCCGGAAGAAGTGCGGCCAATGACCTGGCAGCTGCTACTCGGATACCTCCCCACTAATAGCGAGCGACGCATCTCCACCCTTGAACGAAAGCGCAAGGAATATTTAGACGGCGTTCGACAGGCCTTTGAGCGAGGCAGCGGCGCGAGCTCTGCAAACCCTCCAGCTTCAACCAAAGGCCGCGGCAGAGGCCTGGATGAAGCAGTTTGGCATCAGATCAGCATTGATGTTCCGCGCACCAGTCCTCACATTCCGTTATATGGGTATGAGGCTACTCAAAGATCCTTGGAGCGAATTCTTTACGTGTGGGCTATACGGCATCCTGCCAGTGGGTATGTCCAGGGTATCAACGACCTAGTGACGCCTTTCTGGCAAGTCTTCCTTGGCGTCTATATCACCGACCTCAACGTCGAAGAGGGCATGGACCCTGGCCAATTGCCCCGCAGCGTGTTAGATGCGGTGGAGGCCGACACTTTCTGGTGCCTCACTAAGCTCTTGGATGGCATCCAGGATAACTACATCTATGCCCAACCGGGAATTCACCGACAGGTCAGAGCGCTTCGTGATTTAACAATGCGCATCGATTCGGCCCTAGCGAAGCATCTCGAGCATGAGGGGGTGGAGTTCATGCAATTCAGTTTCCGATGGATGAACTGTCTGCTCATGCGGGAAATGAGCATTAGGAACACGATACGCATGTGGGACACTTATATGGTATGTTCTAACACCCTGATCTTCCTTTTCGATACTCATTGCTACAATTAGGCCGAGGAGCAGGGCTTCTCCCGGTTTCACCTTTACGTTTGCGCTGCGTTTCTGGTCAAGTGGACCGATCGATTGGTCAAGATGGATTTCCAGGTATGAATCGTTCACTCAGAACACCCGTACGAAGCCGCAGTTCTGACCTACATGTAGGAGGTGATGATGTTCCTCCAGGCATTGCCGACCAAGGACTGGACCGAGAAAGACATTGAGCTTTTGCTGAGCGAAGCCTTCATATGGCAAAGCCTGTTTCAAGACTCGCGTGCCCATCTCCGACCCGCTGGCGACGATCCTCCTGAAAATGGTATCTTTTATTGATAGTAATCATAATTCATTATCCGAATTACACGGCTTCCATATTCGGATGTTTCCCACCCGAGGCAAATTTATCTGCCCCGTTTCGATCAGTTGAAGTGAATGCCCTTCTGGTTGAATGCCCAAAGCAACTTCAAGAAATCGTTCTCATCGCACATTCTCGCGCGCTTGTCTCCAAGGTTGGTGTCATCCTCAAGGACACTGCGGACTTTCTCGCGGACGAGCTCGGCGACCTTACCACGCTTCTTGCGTGAGGCTCCGTTCTTCAGCGCTGCCTCAAGGCGGGCGTTGGTCTCCTCTTTGAAAAAGTCAGGAACATCGTCATCGTCCATATCCATGACCTCATCGGCTGGCTCGGCGACTTGCTCCTCCTCATCGCCCAGATCCATCGCAGTGTCATCATTGGCGACTTCGGCTGGGCCATCCTCTACAGGAATGTCGTTCTGCGCACACCAAGTTCGATAGTTTGATTCGAGGAGGTCCATGATGCTGGTGACACCAATGAAGCTGGAACGGAGAGTCTTGTTCTTTCGCACAAATACAATGCGCAGGAGACCATCCCACTCTTCATAGCTGATTTGTGGCCGCGGGTTCTTGGGGACCATACGAATAACGCTGGACTCGACTTGTGGTGGGGGCTTGAAGTTGTTCTTGCCAACCTTCATGATGTGGTCAATCTTGGCCCACATTTGCGCATTGACTGAAAGTCGGCTGTAGAGTTTGTCACCGGGTTTGGCGAATAGTCGCAGTGCGAATTCACGCTGGAACCTGCAAAGAAGAATGAAATGTCAGCCGTCAATAATACAAAGATTCCCCAGGAAATTTGTAAACCCATAGTGTAGACATACATGAGAATACAGGAACGAGGCGCCGGGGAGGTGGCCAGGAGCTTGAATGTGAGTGGAGAAGAGATCTGGGAGGTGTTAGACGAAATGGTCCATCTTCTGTTGTGGTGCGCCCATACCTGATAAGGAGTATTACTGATGCAGACATCGAAGTATGGGAGCTCGGTCTTCATCACATCTCCAAGAATGACATCCAGACGTTTTTGGTATGGGGTGGATTGGAAACGCTTGGTGACTTCAGCAGCCATACGAGGATCCAGTTCCACCGCAATACACTTCTTTGCCTTTTCTAGAATCTTGGCGGTCAAGTTACCAGTACCGGGACCGATTTCGAGGACGATCTATTGACATTGTTAGTGTTTATAGTCCGCTGAGTGACCTTTGTTGTAACCCACGTCACTTTGCTTGAGCTCAGCCTTTTCCACAATCGCAGCTGGAGATCCACTGATTAGCCACATAAGCCGAATTAAAAGTGAATGAGCCCGTACCGGCGATACCAGGGTTCTTCAGAACGTGCTGGCCGATATCAGTGTTCATCTTGAAGATGCTGTGAGCAGCCTTCGTCTTGGCAGCAGCATCTGACATGCCCTGCGAGGCGCCATTGCGCTTGGACTTTTGGACCTTGGGCATATTGAAAGTTTTAGCCCCGAGGAACTTGTCGCAATCAATAAATTGGAGAAATTCTGCTGTAGGCGCGCCACCATCAATGTGGGCGGACAACTTTTTTTCTGATAAGATTGTCGGCCCCGGAATTACTTTGTCACGCCGCCCGCCCATCTTCCGCGACCTCCAATTGTCTCCATCGTGTTGTGCCCAATATGGCGTCCGGACGAAAGGATTTCCTGAGCCAGGCACCGCCTGAGAACTACGTCGCTGGTCTTGGTCGTGGTGCGACAGGCTTCACCACCCGATCTGATCTTGGCCCGGCGCGCGAAGGACCTACACCCGAACAAATCCAAGCTGCCCTCACAAAGAGAGCTCAACAACTGGGAGCTGCTGCACCCACTGCCTACGGCAGTAACTCGCGCGAGAAAGGAGGAAAAGAAGATGAGAAAGAGGAGGAAGATGAACGCTTCCAGGACCCCGACAACGAGGTCGGACTCTTCGCCTACGGACAATTCGACCAAGAAGACGATGAGGCAGATCGCATCTATCAAGAGGTCGACGAGAAGATGGACAAACGCCGGAAGGCTCGCAGGGAAGCTCGTGAGAAGGCCGAACAGGAAGACTTCGAGCGCAAGAACCCAAAGATCCAACAGCAATTTGCGGATTTGAAACGAACACTCGCCTCCGTATCCGAGGAAGACTGGGCCAATCTTCCGGAAGTCGGTGATTTAACAGGAAAGAATCGACGAGAGAAGCAGAACAGCCGACAACGATTCTATGCCGTCCCGGATAGTGTCCTTGCCGGCGCAAGAGACTCTGCCCAATACGGAACGACAGTCGCCGAGGATGGCACACAAACCACTGCCGAAGGGGAAGGGGCTGAGGGCGCAATGACGAACTTTGCAGACATCGGTGCTGCGCGTGATAAGGTACTCCAAGTCAGGCTGGACCAGGCTGCCTCGTCTGGAGATGCAACATCCGGAAGCGCCACAAGCATTGATGCCACCGGCTATCTTACCAGCTTGAACAGCTCGGAAACGAAATCCGGGGAGGTCGAGATGGGCGATGTCAAGCGTGTCCGAACCTTGTTGGAATCTGTTACTAAGACCAACCCTAAGCATGCCCCCGGTTGGATCGCTCTTGCTCGTCTTGAGGAGCTTGCCGGTCGAATTGTTACCGCCAGGACTCTCATGGCCAAAGCATGTGAGCTCTGTCCAAAGAGTGAAGACGGATGGATGGAAAACATTCGCCTTAACGAAGGCCATAACGCAAAGGTCATTGCAGCAAACGCCATCAAGAACAACGATCGATCTACGAGACTTTGGACCGAAGCCATGAAACTAGAAACGGATACTCGCGCCAAGAAGAACGTCCTCCGACAGGCTATCCTCCACATCCCCCAGTCGGTGCAGATCTGGAAAGAAGCTGTCAATTTGGAAGAAAACGCAGCCGATGCGCGGCTGCTACTGGCAAAGGCAGTTGAAATCATTCCTCAGTCTGTAGAGTTATGGCTTGCCCTGGCGCGTCTTGAAACTCCCGAAAATGCCCAGAAGGTCCTGAACGGTGCCCGTAAAGCTGTTCCTACCAGCTTTGAAGTTTGGATCGCGGCTGCTCGACTACAGGAGCAAATGGGAACCTTCGAGAAAGTCAACGTCATGAAGCGTGCTGTTCAGTCATTAGCTCGTGAGAATGCCATGCTGAAACGAGAGGAATGGATTGCGGAAGCCGAAAAATGTGAAAAAGAAGGCGCCGTCCTTACTTGTGGTGGTATTATCCAAGAGACTCTCGGATGGGGCCTGGACGAAGACGACGATCGGAAGGACACCTGGATGGAGGACGCGAAAGCTAGTATCGCCCGTGGCAAATATGAAACTGCGCGGGCAATCTATGCGTACGCTCTTCGTGTCTTCGTCAACCGCCGATCAATCTGGATCGCAGCAGCCGACCTGGAACGCAACCACGGTACCAAAGCAGCACTGTGGCAAGTTCTCGAGAAGGCTGTCGAGGCTTGTCCTCAAAGCGAGGAGCTTTGGCTCCAACTTGCCAAAGAGAAATGGCAGTCTGGAGAGATCGACGATGCCCGTCGAGTCCTTGGCCGTGCCTTCCACCAAAACCCCAACAATGAAGATATCTGGCTTGCGGCCGTCAAGCTCGAGGCTGACGCGAATCAAACCGATCAAGCTCGAGAACTCCTGGCTACCGCTCGCCGCGAGGCCGGTACTGATCGCGTGTGGACCAAGAGCGTTGCCTTTGAGCGGCAACTTGGCAACACTGACGATGCCCTTGACCTGGTCAACCAGGGCTTGAAGCTCTTCCCCAAGGCTGACAAGCTCTGGATGATGAAGGGACAGCTATATGAAGCACAGGACAAATTCCCACAAGCGCGCGAAGCGTACGGAACCGGCACTCGAACCTGTTCCAAGTCTGTCGTATTGTGGCTGCTCGCTTCGCGGCTGGAAGAAAAGCTCGGTGCAGTCGTTCGAGCTCGTTCTATTCTTGACCGAGCTCGTCTGGCCGTTCCCAAGAACGCCGAACTTTGGACCGAAAGTGTACGTGTCGAGCGTCGCGCCAAGAACATCACCCAGGCTAAGTCTATGATGGCGCGCGCTATTCAAGAAGTCCCTTCGTCAGGCCTGCTGTGGAGTGAGAACATCTGGTACCTTGAGGCTCGTTCTCAGCGCAAGGCTCGCAGTTTGGAGGCTATGAAGAAGTGCGAAAACGACCCAGTGCTTTTCGTCGCTATAGCGCGCATCTTCTGGGGAGAACGTCGGTTGGACAAGGCTATGACATGGTTTGAGAAGGCTATTGTTTCGAATAGCGACTATGGAGATGGTTGGGGGTGGTACTACAAGTTCCTTCAGGAACATGGCACTGAGGTTCGTGATTCAGGCTATCCATCATTTCGAGAGCACCCAGCTTACATTCTTACCCAGGAAAAACGATCCGACGTTGTGACGAAATGCATTACGGTGGAACCTAAACACGGCGAGGTCTGGCAGTCCATTGCAAAGGACCCGGTTAACGCACACAAGACCACGGAGGAAATTCTCGATCTGGTTACAAATACCCTCAACTAGATGACATGCTCTTCGCGATGTGCATTCTTAGGCGTTTGGGAGGAGCCAAAGTGCTCAAAGGATTTAATCAGTAACGTGAATGTACAATGTTTCTCACTCTTGTATGTAGAGTTCTCCAAATGTGACTATACGAAAGCTCTTTCCAATACGAGAGGACTGCAAGGCTCAAGAGCAATATAGAATTATTCATGGGTATCGAACAAGTATGACACATCTTCCCAACAGGGAGCAATGGTCGTTGTTTCAGCCTTCTGGAACGTTTGTTCCGTTTCTTCATGGTCTCTCTGTCCTCATTCGCTCCGCCATATCCGTGAGGACGATAATATACATCGCAAGGCCACGCTTGGCATGGTCAAGGGGGGGATGAAAATTGAGATAGGAACAAGGCCGAGGAAATCGAGAACAGATGATAACGACGTATCTTCAAACTCCAAATCAATATGCAAATCATGCAGGACCGCAGGGATAGCCTCCATTGGTAGTACCTAGACGCCGTGAGCCACCCTCCATCCAGACCGAGAAAGGAAATGAAACAAGAAGTAAAATGGTAACGGGTAATGTGGCAAGGTGTGATAACGAGGAACAGCAAAACAAAGGGCGGGGGTATATAATTTTCACGCGGCCATAGACAGACACTCATCGAGCAATCCGCTCAACTGATCTCGATCACCGAGAGTGCCTCCCTCCCAGTCTAGCAGAGAGCCGTCTTCGTCTTCATCCAGGTCCATCTCATCTTCGGCCTGTTTGATGTGCTCATGGGGCTCGCCAACCCCATTCTCCCGACGATCTTGCTTTTCGGTCTCTAACTCATCTTCGAAGTATCCACCCATGATTTGGTCCACGATCAATGGCATGTGGCCAAGGACACCGCCACCCAGTTCCAGGGTAAGGCGGAGGTCCCTCACGCCAAGTGGTTGTCGCATGCTAGCCTCCCTGGCTTCAACCGGGAGTAAGCCCGTGGCAGCGTCCTTGGCAATTTCACCTCTTGTATAAGCGAGCTCCTCAACTTCGAGTTGTTGTCGGTACTTGCGCATCATCATGTTATTTATCGTACCCGACGGTCCGTTTGATCGTGTGCGCGAGAATACGGCAGACAGTACTTCCTTGACAAAGGTTTCTGTCGCAATCGCCATAAATTCCGCACAAGAGAGACCAGCACCGCCGGGCAGAGACTCTTCGTAACATATAGGAACCATGCGGGAATGGATCGATTCTGAATCGGGGAATTCGCCGGTTTCTGCGGCGAGGGGCTGGGCATAGCGCTTTCGAATTTCCAGTTCCCAGTCTGTCACGCAAGAGTATAGTTAGCAATGGGAATCCAACCAGGGGCCTCGGTGATGGGGTTGATATCTTGACTCCTGGGGTTTGGGCGTTATCTTACTAGTCTTGTTGAGGCCTCCGGCGCTTGCGGGGACCTGGCTAGGCAATTTGATCTGCTTTGCTAGATGGCTTTGTTCTAGCTCTGTAAGAACGATCTCGTTGGGATCTCGCTATGAAACGTCAGCAGTGTGCTTCTCGGGGGCCAAGCTGGATGTTATCGGTTGCAACCACATACTTCTGGAATTCCTTTTATGCGCCGGCGGTCCCTCGGAGGTAGCTGCATGACCTCAGTCTTCAGCCTCTGCTCTGCAGCATCCCCGGAGACAGGTTTTGAGGCCGTTGATGGTTTATCGTTAGCCGATACCCAGTTTGCGACGCCATGATCGGGGAGGTCTCGCGTGAGGTTTCCGATGAGCGCGCAAACGAAATTGTTATGGAGGTGTTCGTTCTTTGGATCGGCGCATAGAAAGTAGTCGACTCGCGACGCGTATTCATTCTGGTTGAATTGTCCTAAAACCGGGAAAGAGGTCAAGAGGTCAGCGAACCGAGGCCGATGGGAGGGAGAGGAAATGGCTGGACAGCTTTGGCGAGGATCGAGCAAGGAGCCCCGGGGCAGGCTTCGCACGCGCTTGATCACATACCTAGTAAGAAGAGAGCTGTGGCTTCCTTGTACTCGGCCCACTTGTCTCCGATGGCGGCCTTCAAGTCCGTGTACACAGGCTCCAGCTCCAGCCGTGGCACCGATATCAGAGCCCTAGAGCTCTTTAATGATGCTGGGCCATTGGTCGCCGTGCCTTTGATTGTGTTTGGAGAGTCATTGCGACTTAAAGCCGCCGGATCGATCTGCATGATTGCAGTACTGAGAGCGCGACGGAGGCCGAAGGGCGGCAGGGAGGATTGGCACCTACGCCTTCATGAAGAAGGATCCAAGGGTCTAAACCAGGGATAATGAAAGTGAAGGAAGTTTCATATATGAGACCGACGAATTGATGATGGAAACTGATGCGGTGCGAGACCTGGCGATGGGTTTGGGTGGAAGGAGGTTCTAACTTGCGGTTCCCCGCCAGACGCCAGAAACGGATACATCGAAGGCTCCGAATTCAGTTACTACGGCCTGCGTCAACGCTCTCCCCCCGCTAATTCGCGTTCATTTCAAATATCAATAGACTATTTTTTCAAGCGAGCTGTACTACGTCTTCACTCAATACCCCAAATAGTTGCCCGATCTCCGCAATGATCTCTGTGATCTCATTTGATAATTGGCCCGTGACCAGAACTAGCATCGCGAGGCGAAAAGATCAGTATTGGCGTGTGACAAGAAGAGGTATTACTCACCATATGCATACAGAAGGGCGCAGTCCTCGTCTGTGGTCTGCTGAGAGGCTTCGTGATCTAGACGATAGCGATAGATGCGAGCAAGCAATCGATCTCGAGCATGCTCGATGCTGGGAAGCACATCACTCAAGGGATATTCGAGCTTCATCGAAGAAGCCATGACTGCAGGCGAGTTAGCTCAAGAGACCCAAAGAAAAGCAGATCCAGACTGTAGAACCAAACAACGGACCTGATAGTAGATGGCTGACACGAGCAGACAGCTGCTGCCGTTCTAATGCCGTGTACCGGAGGAGGCTGATTTCACCATCGGTGGAAGGATCGTTTTTCATCAACTCGATGTTCATAGTATGGAACGAGTTGACCATGCTGCGCGTACGCCGAACAATGTTGGCATACGAGCTTGCGGGAAAAGCGCTCTTCAATTCAAACTCAGAGCTCGCGGCACCTTGGAGAGACTCCAACCGAGCAAGGAATCTTTCGATCTCCAGTTTCTCTCTTGGGGTCATGTATACAACGGACCTTCCCTCCTGGGCCATAAGTGATAGGGGGTCGCGTTTCCAAACGAGACTCAAGTGCAGCCAGAGAAGACTCAGACTCTCCTTGAGTCTGCGCCTTGCACTGATGGGCCAAATCATTCGGGTGATGAAAATGCCCCAGACACATCCAGACAGCACGGCAACAACCCGATGGAGAGCAATCTCGGTCATGATTGGGTGGGAGCCACCCTCATCTTCATCCATGGCTGCCTCCCTCTGGGCGAGAGAGTACGCATACAGTACGGATAGATTGTAGGTGAGCATGATGAACCGGCCCATAGGTCCGTTCCCTCGGACGATCGTTATGTATCCGGTCCAGATGGCCATCAAAAAGCCCAGGAAAGCAAGACCAAAGACGTTTGCCGCTGTGATTTCCCAGGCTGCAATAGCACAGAGCGCACCTAAACAAGTACCGAGGAATCGAGCATATCCTGTCGTATTTGAGGCCCCAATTGTCATGGAGCAAACCAACATGTAGGATAGGAGACCCCACTCTCCTCGCCAACGTCCATAGAAAGGGCGCGTTGAAGGGAGAAATGCAGGCAAGGCATATATTGCAGCCCCAGCTCCCACCTTGATCGCATATTTTGTGTCATCTCGTCGAAAGAAGCCGAGCCCTTTCCACAAGCGGTATCCAAGCCTTCGTTTCATTGCTTGTTTCGGCGAGTTCGCTATAGATTGAACGGTTACAGGCGCTCTGTCATGTGCAATGAGGCCATCTGATGCATGTCTAGCATGTCTTTGAATGTTTTGATGAAGTGGAGGTGCGCTAGAAGGCCTGGAGACTGGTTCTGCGATATGATTAGTACGAGCTACATTATGCCAAAATGGTTGTAGTTGAGTACATACCTTCATCAACAAGCTTTGCTTTGCTGGCTTGTGCATTTTTCGTCCACCGCCATATTTTGAGCCATGACCAGGATCGTCCATTTGGACGCTCTTCAACTTCCAATTGCAGCTCATCCAAAATTCCTAGCATCTCTTGAAGCTGCTCTCCAAATTCCAGGAGAGAAAAGCTGAAATGCCCGCAACTGGCTGAGACCTCTTCCAGGTCCGCCTCAGCCTCGTGAGTCTTCAGCTTCATGGTTTCCTTTTGCTGATACAAAGAGGCAAGTGTCTTTTGGCGCGACTCTTTGTAAAGGTCAAGAGCTCGATCAAGGCTGATACGTAATCGGCCATTTACCGACACCTTGTAGTGCGGAGCAGGACCAAATGGAATCTCCTTGAAAATCTCTTTCAGGGTGAAAGCCAATGACCGCTGAATCATTTTAGCATTTGTTCCATAACGGGATCAGCGGTTAGCTCTAACTTACCATTGATGGGCCCAGGTGAGAGATGAAAATAGTAAAAACATCGGCCGGGAGAAGTGCGGGCCTTGGAGTTGATTGCGCACTGGCATTTCGAGTAGAGGCGCCTGGAGATGTTTCTTCTTCTGGCCGCTCAGCGATAGGCTCTAGATATGAACTCTCAGGAAATGACCATGAGCGTTCAAGGGGTGTGAAATAATCGGCATTGTTCACAAGCGGGTGCTCATCTTCCGACGATCCAGACTCTCGGGCAATGGTCTCACGGATCAAGCTGAATTGAAGAGAGGCTGCATTACGCAACCCTCCCATGTTATGCGTGATGTCCTGCACCCAGCGGACCAACTTTTTCTCAAGTCTGTATTCCCTTTCAGTGCCAGCCACAAAGTGCTCAAGCTTAGCCTCTCGGACAAGCCTATCAAGCTGACTGTAGGCCTTTCGGTGCCTGGCTTCTGCGTCCAGAAATTGCGCCGAAGCAAGCTCCTCCTCCGAGCCACTCAAAAAGCTCTCGGTGATGAGTGCCATCATGACAGCTAAGGTATCCGTGACCGTGACAAGGTTCGATCGCAGCTTTTTTCGGGCCGAAATAGGGAATATGAAGAACGATACAGCCATCACAGCCACCACACCCATGAGAACCATCTTCAAGACTTGAAAGATCTTCGCAAGTGACAGATCGCCACTCTGCACGGCACCTTCTTTGGTTAAGACGGTAATTGTAGACAAAGCAGTCAGTGAGCAAGCGACGTTCACCAAAGGATCCCCTAGCCGTTGCTTGGTCCAACCGACAAATCCAAGTCCACCCCCGCAGAACACAATCAGAACCACAGCATGACCGAGGGCAGGTTGATTCAAGGTATCTTGGAAGAACATCTCCACGAACATGCTAGTGATTGTCAAGAAGGCCGAATAGCAGAACGCCAGAAACGCGCAGATCAGAGCCTTTACCATTCCCCCCTGAGATCTGGCAGGGTGGAAGTAGACTGTGACCGTTGCCACCATGTGTTTTCCATCCTGATGGCCCAGCAAGGACGAAATTGCGGGAATGAATGTTGCCAGTGATCCGAGGAAGTACGCGAGACTGTACTTCAAGACCCCGATGCCCGCCTCGGACCTGGCAAACTGGTTCGCCTGGGTCCCAGCATTTCTTAGCCGACGTGACAGCGCGGCAAAATACCCCTCGTAGTGTCTGGAGATTTCGTTTGTGAGGAGACCGCGCCGTTCGTCATCATTCTCGGAGGCAGACACCGCGTTGCGCAGATTCACGAGACCTTTTAGACGCTGGCCAGTTTTGGGAAGGACAAATGTTGCCTGACGAAGCTTCACCGACAGTCAGTATACGAACACAGAGCGCCGTTGGGCAGGGAATGCAAGTACATACAGTAGGGCGCGAGCGGCGGGAGCTGCTTGGAGTTCCGGACGCCATTTTCTCTTTTTGAATTTCAGGTTGCTTTCACGTCCTGACGAGTCATTGTACGAGCCCCATGGTAGAGAAGATTGGTCACCCTTGCTCCAGACCTTGAGACGCCAGAGATCCTCGTGCGGAGGTGCAGAGCTCTGCAGGACAATTTGTTGGCTGGCTACGATTGGCAGCGGTTACGGCCACCCTCCCCACTTGGCATCTCCACGCACCTCTTTGTTTTGTGTGTACTATTGCACGAAGTACCTACAGTAGCTCTTCATGAGACACTTTCGTCCGAATTTATAGAATTTATAGACAGTTTAGGCTCGGCAAATCATTCGCAATCTTCAATAGCAGTATGTCACATTTATTGGAGGCCCTCGACCTTCCAAACCTTCACCGCGGCATCAGCACCAGCTGAGATGATCTTGGAGCTTTCTGCAACCCATCCAACGCCGTGAACACCCTCCTTGTGGGCGTTTTGCAGCTCGATCCAGTCACCAGGCTTGGCCAAGCTCCAAACAAAGATGTTTGTGTCGAGAGATCCACTCACAACATGAGATCCGGCTGCGTTCCAGGAAAGAGATGTGATTCGTGCTGTGTGTGCCGTCCAGCGGTCTGTCACCAAGCTACCATCTGACACCTTGAAGACAAGAACACGTCCTCGCAAGTCACCGACGGCCAGGTGAGACGCGTCAGGGGAGAAAGCAAGACAGGAGATTGGGTTGCGAGAGGCATTGATGTCCGCCCGCGGAGACAGTCTGGAGCTGGAGATGGCGCAAATTTGAACCGATCCGTTCTCTCCACCAACAGCAGCCATGGTACCGTGCGCAGCTACAGTGGTGGCTGCAAAGTCCGTCTTGTAGTCTCCAGTCTTTTGTCCGTCTTGGAAGATTTCCACGCTCTCGGACTCACCGACTAGCACTGTCGTGTTACCGGCCGCAACGGCCTTGGGTTGCCCGTTGAGCTTCGAGGCGCTGCCGGTATAAGTCTTGGCGTTGGCATCAATGGATCGGAGAGTGTCGTCCCAGCCGACGCTGTAAATTCTACCAGATCCCTCTGATGTTGCCGCAAGCCCAGCGACATAGCCAGGGTGGGAATCACCTTCAATCTCCTCCGCGTAGCCAGTGGCCACGTCCCAGTTGCAGACTCTTCCATCAAAGCTGCCCGTCCAAAGAGTCTCTTTGTTGTCTACGGTGGTTTGGTTCAATGAGGTGATGCTCTTCTGGTGGCCTGAGATGACCTGCCGGGGCTTGGGGGTGCCCTCGACCAGATAGTTCAGGTCTCCGCTCAGAGACAAACTGATGAGCAGGTCATCACTCCTTCCATGAGGCCAGACAACACCGACTTGGTGGTCACGAACAGCCATAGCACCCTCTTCTCCCAAGGTCCAGGTCTGTGTAGCTTTGCCAGCCTCTACATCCCAGATCTTAACAGTTCGGTCGGCACTTGCAGTCACGAACTTGCGGGAATCCTTGGCCCATGAAACTCCAAAAATGCTGCCGTTGTGCTCCCCTTCGCCAATTTGGCCCTTGGTCTCTCCGGTCTTACCGTCGTAGAGCCAAATCTTGCGGTCTGCGCCAACGCTGACCAAGTGCGAGCCATCCGGACTAAAACCAACGCCATAAATATAGTTGGAATGCTTGTCGGAAATTCCGTTGTTGAACTTGAAAGGAGCACCATGGTAGAATACTGTCTTCCTGTCATCACCGGCGGTAGCAGCACGCAGAGGTCTCTGCTGCCTGATTGACACGGTGTTGAGTTGTTGCGTATGACCGTGGATTTCGCCAACAGTGTTTCCACTATCCCAGGTGATGCAGTGCCCATATCTCTGCTTACCATCACCGACAGCAATGATGCGCTGGGAGTCACCATCCCAGGCCAAGTCATTGATTCGGCCGTTCACGATGCTGTATTCGCCCTTGGTGATTCCGTCACCGACACAATCCCACACCCTCACGATTCCAGCAGCATCACCACTTGCGACATAGAATCCAGAAGGAGCAAATCGAGCGACGGTTGTTTGGGCCTTGTGCTCGGTGTACTGTCTGGCGACTGCAGGGTCATCGATTGAGCGCAAGAAGATGGATTTGTTCGACTTGAGGCGGTTGAGTTAGGGTCGAGTCATATAATTTGATTGGCTTGTGGTGTTAATGCACATACTGCGTAGGCCAATCGCTCGCCTTTGGCATCGGAAGAAAGCTGGGTGGGCTGTCCACGAGTGGTAGACGGACTGGCCGCCCAAATGGACTCTTAGAGGGCTGTGAGAATCAAGAAGACAAAGAAGTAATATAGAGACTCACCGTTTGTAAGTGACATTGCTGCGCCGTGAAGCTTTACCAATGAGTTGGAGAAAGACGGAGGGGAAGTTGTTTATCGACTGACGTACTCGGGCCACAATAGCGGGGAACACAGCCACGCCGACACTGGACTCGTGTATACATAGGGGGAATACCTAGGTAGTAGCCATAGGTAGTGGAATTTCGGATAGGAACCACTGGATGCAGTTTGCAATATCTCTAACCTTGAATTTGGCTTGGTATTTACTGATGTGTCCCCGATAGGTCGAATATTTAAATGGAATCAATGCATATCGCTAAGACTAATAATACACGAAGCGTACCTCTTCAGGCAGCGGCCCGTACTTGTACAAAGACACGTTCAACCCAGTCTATATGTAAGACCAACCGAGCGGGAACTGCTTTAGAAACCACTGGAGCCACCAGGTCCCTCCATACGAGCCCGCATCTCGGATGCGAGGATTTCCGGGTGTCGGTGAACACTGGGCATAAGACCAATTCCAATGGCTCTGCGGAGTGCCTTGGCAATCTTGCGCTGGTTTACGGGTCGCAGACCTGTCTCTGATCGAGACTTGATACGGCCCATGTTGGTCATGTATTCGGACATAATCGCGAAGTTCTGTGGCAATGGAAAGGTGATCAGTAACTGTTTGCCAGCCAGGCACGCATCATGCAAGCCTTGACACAAGTGCTTTGAGAAAACCTACCTTGTACATGTCCAATGGCTTCAAGTTCAATGCGTCAAAGGCATCTGTGGAAGGACTCTGGCGCTTTCCCCATTTCTTCATCTGTGTCGGGCTAAGGTCGTGGGGGGCATAGATATCTCCAGCCTTGAAATCACGAGTATGGTATTTCTCAAGAGCTCGGCTCTCACCCTGGGCCTTTTGGTCCTCAAGGAACTTCCCGCGGTTGGGTATCCGACGTCGGTCCATGAATCTGTCATCTATCATACCATGTTAGAGAATGGTCTGGTAAACTGATAACTCCCCACATGAAATTGAAGAGGTCAAAAATTTTGACACGCTGGGGTTCACCTACTTCGCGACTTCACGTCACGATGCGAAGTGAAGGCACTCATGGCAGCAGTCGAGCTCCAACGACAGGCTGACAGTCCAACGCTGGTGGTGGTGGTCGCATTGCGCAACAATGCTGTCGAAGAAAGAATTGCCGAAGACATTGTGGCAATCAAGTATCTAGCGACTGTAGATGGTTGCGCGAGATGGTACTGGAGGGAAGCCGGAGCCAACGCGGAGTTGAGATCTTTTTTTGCCAAGACTTCTTCCCGTCCAGTCAACCTCCAGATCTCTCCGCGTCGAACTCCCTCTATTTCTTATTCAATGCATTAAGAGCTACATCGGACTGCGCATACTTCTCTGATTTTTGCTCTTCCTTTTTCTGGGCCACAGGCTCGAGCTCTCCCACCCATCATGCAGTCCAATCTCACAAGGCCGGTGTTCCGCGCAATCATCAATAACGAACCACTGCGGTTCTCGCAATGCCAGCGAACTCGCCTTATGCGTACCATTACCCCCATGCGGATACGACCTGCTATGCCTAGCCTCTCTTACACCTCCCGGCGCAACCTCTTTTCCTTCACGATGGGCCAAGACCCTGATCGTCGACCAAGCACTCTGCCCTCCGAGAAAGGCCTACAGCCAATGGCAGATTTATTGAGGTCACTCAAGGATAGAAGTCGAGCTCCCCCAAGCTACCTTCTTGCAAAGGCATTCCAAACCTTTTTCACGACGCGACTTGAAACTCCTGGAGTGATCACTCACTTCCATGCGCGTACGTTGATTGTCACGTGGAAACATCTCAGGGCCCTGCAGAATGACTTGGACGAACAAGATTGGCAGAATGTGTTCTCGACCGAGAACCTTGAAAAGATCTTACAGGTGCTCTCCGAGTGTGAGTGTGTTCCACAGGCTCGTGAGACCGTGGTCCGTCTCGCCCGGTTCGCATACCAAGAGCTCAACCTTGATCACGGATTTGGTCCGAATAAAATCAGTCGACCGGCTCTCTCACTCTACATCAACATCCTGGCTATGAATGGCAATCCCGAGGATGCTAGACATACAGTTCTCAAATTCTGGAGCTCAATGAGCAGATCAAGACCGTCGCCATGGCTCACTGTTCTCAAAGGATTTGCGATGAACAATGATCTCCGACAGGTTCGCAACATTGTCGAGGAATGGGGAATCCACGGCAACAGCTTCGATCAAAAATCCCACCGGGAGATCATCGAGTTCCTCATTGAACACGATCAGCCCAATGCTGTTCAACTTGTCTATGCCTGCCCAATTACAGGTGGTGTGCAACCATCTTTAGACACCAAGAAAGCTGTCATTGAATATTTTGTTCTCAAATCACACGAGCACGCTGCCACAGAAATATTCAATTCCATTCAAAATGCGCCCAGCGGGGATGTTGTTGGCATCATCTTGCTTTGGGAAGCGGCCATGGGCAGTAATGCTTCTGACCTTGCGCAAAAGCTCGAGTCATGGACTTTGAGCACCCCTGCGCTCAAGGATGCCATTACAATTGACGTGGTCAATACCCTTGTTCGATATGCTAACGCGAAGCAAAACCCGCAGTTGGCTTCGGAATTCATGTCGCTGGTGGGTCAATGGGGGCTCACACCGGATCATCAAACCCACATGCTTCTACTAGAGTCTCACATCCAGGCTGGCGATGTCGAGCAGACTTTGAGACTTCTCGAAACCAACGTCAACCCAGCGTCCCTTGCCGGTGGTTCCCTGCCGCTTGCAAACAAGCTCATCACGATGCTTTGTCGATCCGAGGAAAAAGACGACTTGTTCCACCAAATCTCATCCCTTCTTGACCCGCTATTCGAAGACAACGTCCGCCTCGAGCCCGAAACGGTTGCGGCCCTGACACATATGCTTCTCTATCGCAATGATCTAGATGCAGTCTCCGAGTTGCTCCGTCCACGACTGGGCACATATGAGGACGACCAGAAGGCACCAGTGCGCGATGCAGTCACGTCTTTCATTTTGGATATGAGCCAGTCCGACACGGACACGTGGAATGCATACGAGTTTTTGAGAATCGCATTCCCATACACGGGAGTCGCGATCCGCACCAAGATCATGACTGCGTTTTTCGAGCGCCAACGGAGTGATCTTGCCGTTTTGGTGTTTGGACACATGCGTCAATCTGATGACTTCGGCCGTCGACCTAAACCCGACACTTACGCACGCTGTTTCCAAGGACTGGCCCGCACGGCCGATGCCACTAACCTGGAACTCGTGCACAACATGTTGAAATTGGATATCGAGGTGGACCTCACCACTCGGATCTTGAATGGATTAATGATGGCCTATGCGGCGTGCGAGATGCCAGATAAGAGTATGGCAATCTTCCGCCAGATCCTTCAGTCTTCAGAGGGTCCTTCGTCAAAGACTATTACGATCTTCTTCAAAGCCTGCGCAAAGCACCATAACGGTGCCCAGGAGGCCATGAAGTTGATGAGTAAGGTCAAGAAGCTGGAAATCGATGTGGATCGTGCTCTGTATTCAGCTTATATGGAGGCGCTAGCAGCGCAGTGCGAGTTTGAACTCGCCTCTGATGCCATCAACAAGATGCAAGCCGAAATCGGGCTTCCCCCCACAAGCAACACGTAAGTATTCAATCCCTTCCGCATAATTTGCGTGCTGTCACTAACCACTATTCTAGTATCGGATTGTTTTACAATGCTATCCCGTACCAATACTGGAAGGACGAGGTTGAAAAATGGGCCAGGGAGAAATATCCTGAACATTGGCAGCACTTGTTGACAATGAATCGCACCGAACACGAGGAAGGGCCGAAGTTTGATGGCATCTCAAACAATGTGACAGTGTAATAATAGTTATAGATAGTCAATGGATTTAAATCATACCCATCTTTCAAATCTCAAGTTCTGTACTATTAATTTCAGCACCGATGAGGTTTACTACCTAGGTACGTATGTATGTATGTACTTCAAGGTCTTTTAAGCCAGGTGGTAGCTAGGTTCAAGGTTCCACCTGGACAAGGTTAATATACACTGATTTGATAACCCAAGCTTGGTTATACTAGTATGACGCTTTCGTTTTCTCAAAGACCGCTGATGCAGATGCAGATGGTACAATAGAAGAAACACAAATATGCAACAGGAAATATGCACCAAAGAACCAAGGTTAAAGACTGAAGATTCCACTCCTCTTCTTCCCATAAGGGTACACAATCAAAGCCGACACGAACAAGCCAACCGAGATACCAATAGCAGTCTGAATCATACCATAACCAAGGGAGGTAAGTGAGCTATTACTCGTAGCCCCGGAATTGGTACTGGTAATGTTACCAGACTTGACAGCCTCGGCATACTCCAAGCCAGAGATGATGGATCCACTGGACGCAAGACCAGACGGCACAAGTGTGAAAATACCCGGGATAATGGCCGCCGCAGCATGGCCGTGCCATACTCGACTATACAGATTGGCCAAAAGACCGATCGTGAATGCACCAATGGTATTAGCGACTTGGTTTGCGCCGAGTTTTTTCGTGCTGAAGTAGTTCGCGATGTACCCGCACACGCCCATGGTGATAGTAACGGGGAGCTGTTTGGCCTTGGATTGGTTGATCAAAGCAGCAAAGAGGCAGAAGAGTGCGACGAATGGGAATCGTTGAATGTATTCATTCCCCCAGACTTCTGGAAGGCCAGAGCATGTCGATGCTGTGGTTGCGTTTCTGTCCATTAGTCCGTAGATGGTTGTGCCGACTGTCACGCCATAACCGAGGAATAGGGAGTAGATGATTGTGAAGACCATGCGGATGGAACCGGCGTTCATTTGATGGGACTGGAGCTCGAGACTGCTGCTGAGAACCGCGAACCCGGGAAGAATCATTGCGATGGAGGACTGAGCCATTGCCGAGAAGCAGAAGATGGGGGTGCCGTTGCGATGGATACTGCCGAATGCGCGGGCAAGGAAGGATGTCAGAATTGCGGCGGATACTTCAAGGACGTTCGAGTAGGTTGCTGAGGTGGGGGCGAGGACATGTTGCATCAGGCCTACTAGACATCCAAGGATGAAGATGATGGGAAGGTCGACTGGACGTGCGCTAAATGAGTAGGGACCGACGGCCACACTTGCCAGTCCGGTCAAGCATACCAGCATCCAACGGTTGTAGCGCGGCTTGCGCTGCATGATTTGGTCCAGGTCTTGGGTCGCTTGCTCGACGCCAATGACATCGTGTACGACGTTTTTGTACACATTGTGTGTCTCGGCGAGCCGGGACAGGTCAAGTCCCTGGATTACGCGAATGATTTTGACCTCCGCAGTCCGAGTCAGAGGGTCATCAAAGGACATGAACATACAGCCTGGGATGTAGAGGAATTGAGCCTTGATATCCAGCACGTTGGAGGTCATTGTCATATACTCCTCCAGTCTGTGAGTGGGAGCACCATATTTCATCAACGCTCGGCAAAGTTGCATGATATACTGCTGGCGTGCCAGAAGTTGTGCAATGTGCACAGTGAGTCTGACGTCCTTCTTGCTCTTGCGTTTCTCTTTCTTGCGCTGTTTGGGGTTCACGGGAGGCGGTCCTGTAGCATTAGGGACACCGACTCGTCCCATGTCCATGGATGCTTGAATCAGAGAAGAAGTGTAGCTGTGATTTGACTTGGTGGGTTTGTGGCCATTGTTGTACCATTTCAGCTTGTCTTTCTTTCCACCTGGAGTCGCCGTACCGGACGGTGCAACGGACGGTGCCAGAGTCTCCGTATCCATGTCTGTCTCTGACGACGTGGAAACGAGGCTCATACGGCTTGCTGTTTGCATGTTGTTGGCGTAGACACGAAGTAGCTGTGACAGAAGACCTCCTGGTGGACCACCAGTGCTTGCCATCCCCTCTGGGGTGCCCGGGGTCGTGGCACCGGAATGGGGCTCTTCGATGCGAGGTGGTCTCGGGACGTTCTCTAGCCCCAATCGTTCCACCAACAGACGCGCTTGCGCATTGAAGTCGGTCCCGGGCAGCAGCTCCTCTTCATCGGTTGCTTGCCGAGCCTCATAGCTTCGGATATCGTCGGTTGCCCCGTAGTGCTCCGGTAGCATCGGGGCATCTAAGCCATCTGCATCTCTCTCGGGGGGGCGGCCAAGCCTCTCTGCGATGGTGGTAGCACGGTTCCGAATCCGCTGGCTTGCAGTCCGCCAGCGTTGGGATGATGAGATACTTGGTCCTACACTGGCCTCTTCTGGGGCCAGTGTTTCCGAATTGGTCCTTTTGTTCAAACTGTGCTCCGGATCTGTCCCTTGGCCCCCCTCAGCATCAGCAGGGGGAAGGGAAGGGAACTTTTCCGAGTCAGACATGTCGATTTCAACGGCCAAGGCGAGTCCGGAAGTGTGCGGAGTTTTCAAAAGTGATCTTCTGGTGGAGAGTGCAAATCAGGGGATCAAATGGGCTCGCCCTCGGCTTGTACAGCAGCTCAATGCCCAATGGTCCTCAATACCCCACAAACGGTCAGACTTCATATTCCGGGGAAAAGAAAGAGAAGAGAAGACCCAGGAGGGCGGGACGGTCCTTTTGTTTGACATGAGGAGAACCCTTCCTTTCATGGTTAGTATTGAGACCCACGTCGCTAAAGTGGGTTGAAGTCAGGACCATATGAATCTCGGAACGCGTCAGTCGCAGACGAGTTGGCAATTTCAAACAGGCTTCGGAGCTGCGATTTGCTCGATTCTAGATGTCAGGCCATGGCCATGCATGTCCAGGTGTATACGGGGTACTCCGTACTCCGATTTGTATACGGAGTTAGGAGCAAGGAGTCCGCATTGCATGTCTTGTAATCTATTGCATGAAATTCACTAATTTCACTAATTTCATAAACTCCAATAGACCCATTCATTACATCACATTAACAATTAAAACAAGCTTCTCCTGTCCTCCGCTAACCCGCACTAATTGTTCGATCTCGCTTTGACGTGTTTTCGCTGCACAGCCCTCCAGGGTTGTTTTTTTTACATACTCCGTGTATCCAGTACAATATGCCTTCCAAGGTTGTTTTATTCTTATTTTTACTTTATGTTTTTTAAACCTATAATTGTACAGACAAAAAAGGTCACTTGAGATGCAAAATTTTCTCCGGGACTGCGCCTCTCTATTATTACGCAGTGGGCCTTCCGAGGTCCACTTAGGGGAGTTTTATGCCATTCTAATTCTGTCAAGACTAGGCCGATATAGCTCTAGCCTCCGTAGAATGCACTCATATCCATAGAGTACTAGTACAGTACTCTACTATATTACTCTGTATGGAATAATAATATATTGACCTCGGAATTGTGTGCCTGTCTCAGGTACGAATCGCACCGAAGTATGCAGTACACTGCAGTGGCACGATGGCTCAGGGGCAGCGGGGTAATGCGCCCCTCCTAGGTAGCAACTGATATATTAAGGCTAATCCCACTAGCACCTGGACTCTGACCCCGTTAGCCAAGCATAGATAGAACACGGTGGAAAGTACCCAACCTTGGAAGTAAACATACATATCCGGTCTACCCGAAGTCCCGTAGTAAACAAACGTCTACACCAACAGCCCTGGAGATATACTATACTACCACGCGACAATCCCTCCAGAATCCCCCAGCCATGCCTAAACACCCCCTCACGGCCCCCGCAATCCCCATAGCCCTACAATCAAGCCACCTCCTCTCCCCACCTCCAGACCGCCTAACAAACACACCAACAACATTGTCCATAACGAAAGAAAGCCACACCCTGTACGTGCATCGACTGCGCGCGCACGAACCCTCCAACAGCCCCGAGAAGCAACTCCTCTTCACGGCCCTCGACAAACAATGGCCAACAGGCACCCGAGTCATCTACGCCCAAAACACCCCCGTCCTCGTCCTCAGACGGGCCTGGTTCTCCGGCCTCCGGAGGTGGGGGGTCAAATTACCTAAAGGCAAGGGATCCGGAAGAACAGATCTACTTGATGCCTCAATGCCATGGACAGATGGGAATCCCATCGCCCGTGGCTTCAGACTTGATATACGCTTCCGCAATGCCCTGGCTAGTCATCGGGGAAGAAGGGCGACGATATCGACCGATCAGCCACCGCCGTATATTCGGGTCGATAGTCACGCTCGTTCTATAGAGCCCCACCTCGATCTAGTGTGGGATCCGAGGTCCAGACATGAGGCTCTGCCGGGGTATTCGGCGCGATTGGGCGGGAGTGCGTTGCGGGATTTACTGGATGCGGTTGAGTCGCCTTTGGATCCGGCGCCGGCAGCTGGGTTTGAAGCGCCTGCCAGGCGAAGTGTTGGAGTGGAGAGGGGGTCCGGGTCGACGGTCGAGCTGAGAGCGATGCAGATGGCATCTGGGACGGGGGTGATGTTGGGGAATCATATGGTGATGTATATCACGCGGCATAATGCGATGGATTACAGCAGATCGAAGTCAAGATTGAAGCCGAGGTGGGAGGTGGAGGTTGCGGAGGGTGTGGATTTGTTACTGGTGAGTTGTCTGATTCTATCTGGGTGATTGAATTGTTGGGGTTTGTTGCTAACGATCTTCAGGCAGTGAATGTGGTGCTGATTATGACAGAGGTGGAGTCGTCCAGATGAATTGGTTACATTTAGATGATTTCCTGCTGAGATACATAGAATAGAACTATAGACAAGCCCCACCCGGAGCGAATCTAACTACTAGAATCATTTCTACTGTCAATTGCAAGACGTTATTCAACGGAAAATTTGCATTTCTAAAGAATCCCCCGAAAGGTGTCTCATCTCTGTGAATGCCCTGAAAACTTTTCTAACCATACATTCGTCAAGGAACAGATCTTGTGTTCCGAATTAGTAATATCGTTGAATCTCAAATCTCATCAAAGCAAAATAAGTCACTAGACTCGCGCTGCAACAAAAATGCAAAGGTCCAAAGCTTAAGCCTGGATCATGGACATACGCTTGGTCATGAAGTCGAAGAAGGAGAACTGGCTAGGCTGGTTACCGTACTCGTAGACGAAACGGCTGGCCAGGTAGCTACCGAAGATAGCACGCAAGTAGTTCTCGGGGACCTGGAAGCCATTAGTAAAGACCCGAGAAAAGAATGAAAAGAAGGTGGACTTACACGTTCCAAGATAGTCTCAAGACCAATCTTGTCCAACAAGCGACGGGGGAGTGCGTCACCCAGGACAGAGCGGCGGAGAGCAACGTTGTCCCAGAGCTCAGTCATCTGGAGCTCTTCGTCGAGCTTGGTGATGGCCAGACTGAGACGGTCACTGAGAACACTGCGCAGGACACCAGTGTTCTCGTGTTCACGCCAGATGGCCTCGAACTCAAGTGCGGCGTTCTGCTTGATCACTTCCTGTACTTCCTTGACGTAGGACTGGTAGAACTCGGGAACAGTACCATCCTCGCGGATGCACATGTGCTCGACGAACTCCTCGTCGTTGAAGGAGAGCGAGGCAAGGACCTCCAGGGAAGAGGAGGTCACACCACCCTTGTTGGCGGAGGCATCCTTGTACAGAATGCAGCCGGCCTTCTCGAGGCGCAGCTTAGCGTCCTGAGTCATGAAGAGGTTGGCGCCCTCAACGATGAAGGGGATGATGGACTTGTTGTCCTTGATGAGCTTGCCGACAGTGGACAGATCAATGGACTCTGGGCGACCACCACATGGGACAAAGACATCGAACTTCTCCTGCGAGCGGAGGTGGTAGGTGTTACGGAAGATCATTCCATTGTGGACAACCTCACCACTGGGAAGCTTGATGTTCTTCTCGTCAACCAGGACGCGGTAACCATCGGGGGAAAGTTTGGACATGTCAAACTCGGAGATCATGGCACGCTTCTTGGCCAAGCGGAGGAGCTCATCGTGGTTGAGACCGTTGGGGTCGTAGATCACACCGGCTCCATCGACAATGGCACCGTACTTCTCGTTCGCGAGAAGAATCTCGTTAGATCCGAGATCACCGTCGGGACCACCGGTCTGCAGCTTGAGCTGAGTAGCGGGGTCGATTTTCAGCTTGCGCTGGATACCCAGAACGTATTGACGAACGGAGAGGGTGGTCATGCCGTAGGCATCGTGGGGGATACCACCCAGCTTGGGGCTCTTTCCAGTGAAGAAGGACTTCCACCAAGGAGCGCCACGGCTGCGAGCGTGCTCGGTAGCCCAGTTGACGAGCTCGGCGGTGTTCTCATCGGGACCCATGAACAGGATCTCGTCCTTGCCGTGCAAGTCAACGATGGGGTCCTTGATACCGGGGCTGACGGGGGGCAGAAGCAGATCCAGAATACTGTCGATGTACTTCTCGAAAGCGACCCGCGCCTTGTCCTGGTGGTCAGCATCCAAGAGAATGACACCCTTGGCACCGCCTTCGGGGATATCCTTGTTCTTGCGCTGTTGGGTGTTTGCCAGGTTGTAGTTCTCATCAAATAGGGAGCGCGCGTTGATGTTGTACGCCTCGCCGTTTCGGCTCTTGACGATTCGAATACCACCACGGGCAATGTCACGGAAGCGCAGGTGGAAACCGCGGAACTCGGAACTGATGACCAAGAACATACCATACAAGGGCTGGGGGTACTCGTGCTCAGGCAAGAAGTCCGGCTTCAAGCGGAAGCTGAGAGCCACCTTGGTGGGGGTGAAGAAGTTGGTCTTGAGGATGGAGGCATTGAACACGCGGAAAGAGGTCATGACCATCTCGTCGTGCTCGTTGAGGGCGGTTCCGCGGATCAGCTGCTTGAGCTTGGGACCATCGAGAACCTCATCGGTCTGAATCCGCAGGTAGCTGAGAGTGGGAAGGAAGTCATCGCTGCTGGGACCTTGGGTCTGGACGTAGTGGGTGTTGGCAAAGTCAAGGTAGAGCTTGTGGATCAACTCGGGGTATTTGTTGATGATCTCGAAGATGTAATCGGCGGTGAAAGTCTCAGTACGCAGACGCTTCTTGATCTTTGAAAGCAATTCGGCGTGAACACTGTTGTTGCTATCCAAAAGAGCAGACAGAGAGGTGTACTCTGATCCAAGACGGTTCAAGAATTGTTGCACGAACACCCACGCGCAGTGTGCGTAGATAGTCTCTTGCAAGCTGAGACGGCCACTGGCAAAGTGACCCTGGAAACGGTTCTGGGGAATGCAGTAAAGAAGGGAAATCTCCTTCATGATCTGGTGGATGGCGGCCTCAATGGGAGGGAACTTGGCCGAGATCTCAGAGTTATCCGAGGGGCGCAAGTAGAGCGAAATCACAGTGATTCCGTTGGAGAAGTTCTCCAGGTACTTGCGTGAGCTGGTCAAGCGGTAGTAGTGGTACAAGTCTGACAGGGCACTGAAGAGACCCATGGCGGATCCTTGACGATAGGCAATCACCAGACGCTTCTCGCGGCTGCCTTCAATCTCGAACATCTCGATGACGGGACCAGAGCGGCCGACGGCAGTGGTGATGATTTCTTGGTAGACCGCCTTTGTGTTGGGGGTGGCCTTCTGAAGGAAGCGCTTCTCGCCAATGATGTCGATGTTGGTCTCATTAGGTGAGGGGTTGGGCTCAACGAACTGGCACTTGTACACAAAGTAGCAACGGAGCTGTTGTCCGTTGTTGCCCGGCAGAGAGCTGGGAGAGCGGAAGGTCTCCACACGGTAGCTGTTGGCACCCTTGGAGTGGTTGACATACTTCTCATCGATGCGCTGCTCGTAGCGAGGGCCATCAATCGAGGAGATACCGGGTCTGCTAGTGTCAATGTACACAGCGTGATCCTCGGCCTCCTTGTCCAGGCGAATCTCCAATTGCTTATCATCCCGAGCATATGCGGCAACCTTGGCGGCGTAGAGGGACAGGATCTGGGTCACAATGGCATCGACGGACTCAGTCTGGAAGTAGGTGTCATCAATGCCAAGCATGTTGTAGAACCAAGTGGTTTCGGAGATGACGAAATCACTGGGGAAAAAGCCCTTCTCTTCGAGCTGATCCATGACTGCAAAGCAAATTAGCTATTTTCCACGACCCCGCCTCGATTCCACTGACCCTGTTCCATTTGCTTCTGCTTGCCCTCAAAAGTAGCGGCAATGTAGCCCGGATCTTCCTCCGACAACACACGGTGTTGCGGGGTACCGGGAATACCCAAGTGGGTAGGCTGTGGAGAGGGCTGTCGCAGGGCATTTCCGACGGCATGGTCCAAGTGCTTGTTGTGAGGGGGGAAGCGCTGGAAACCGATGGGAGTACCGGAGCCAGAGCTTCCATCCTGGCTGGCGAAGAGCTTAGGCTGAGGCCGGTTAGGCAAGCTCACGCCGTTGCCATTGGGCTCCAATGGCGGGGTGGACACGGGGGACGACATGGTGTATATAAGATGAAAATCTTAACACGTAAGAACGAGATGAAGGTGTCTTTTAAAGCGGGCATTAGCTGAGATGAATCATCGAAGTAGGAAACCTTGGAAGATAAGGCGGGATCGGAATGCTCTTATCTGCGATAAGCGGCAAGGGAAGGTGACTTACACTAGAGAGAACGATCTATGGTCGCCATTAAAGGTGAAGAGGAAATGAAAAAGGAAGATGTGAAGCCCTATGAAAATCCGGGGAACCCTGGTGTTTTATACTTGAGAGCACAGGAGTCTCCTACCCAATTCCATGGATTTCGTCGACCCTGGTCTCGTTCTATTATTACATATGATGTCCCGCAATGGCGAGTCTTGACCAGTCATAACCGATGCTAGGCGGGTTGTATACAGCATACTGTATAGAATACTGCTTTTTCGATGAGCTCCACTGGGAAACGCTCACTCCCCTTTCCACCTTTGACTAACAGCCGGCGATAGGCGGGCCCTCTGATTGGCAGATATCGCCCCTCCTTCCGAGCTGAAGCCGAATGCGCCAGGGAAAAAAAGGCCGCTGCGTCATGCGGGCCGAAACAATTGCCTCAAAGTCTGGAACGTGGCTACGTGGGACACTGTACGCAATACGCTGTACATACAGGATTCACCAGGATTCATGGAAGTCGCCTCCAGCCCTGAAAGGCACGGCAAAGGGCAGGTGACCATAGTCACCTGAGTGTCTTGAAGCTCGAATATGGGACCTCGACAATACAGCAATACAACAAGAACTAACGCAATAACGCAGTAACGCAATAACGCAATAACGCAATACTATCCTCGAACGTGGAATGCAGTGTGTCATGAATCCTCCGACCTTGATCACGAACATCCCTTCTCATCAGTGCTAAATGCCTCAATTACGTTCGCAGGGTTCTAGCCGTCACCCCCAGATTGAATGATCGCCCCGTGTCCTCCTCTGTCCGGGGGATTTTCGCCTGCGCCGGACCTTGGACGAGTGAACAAGGTCCCTCCCCAAACTAATGACACGACAATTGGCACTGGTTGCGAAATTGCCCCGGCCCGGTGACCGCAGGATATACCCCATCTCCAACCGGAGGGGCTCTGGTACCTGGATCGTCGAGTTGCGGGGTAACATTCCCAGCGTCTAGCCTTCCCCTTCGATCCCATCGTGCACGTTTGAATGGTCTCGTGCTGCCATTCGTTAGAAATCACGCACTGGGGTTCATACCCCAACCACAGTGGTCATCTTTTGCGCGCAATTCCATCCTGGGAATCTTGTCCCAGGGCATCCGGCGGGGCCTTTA